GCCATGTCGAACTACAACCACTTTGGCAATGGTAAGTCCTGTGCTCTGCGTTGTCTCCCTGCTCGCTGACAGAACAGTTCAGAATATTACAACACATACCCCACGGCCGTCGCATCTAATAAATACGTACCCGTTTCAGAGCCATTCCTCTCTCACGAAAGCTACTACGTCCCCAATGGTATGTTTTCCTTCGCACCAGCCGCGGCTGCCCGCTGACCTGTCTTCACAGGATACGTCGATGAATACGGGGCATCTAGCTCCGTGTACCAGCCTGGCCCTTCTGTAAAGCCCAATACATCCAGTACGCGTTGCCATCGTTCTTCGCTTCCCCATCTCCATCTCATTTGCTTCTATCAGTCCCTTTGCATATACCTTTCACACCCTCCCTTAACACGGCCCAAGTACAATACGAGGTCGACGAATATGGTAAGTACCCGCCTCTGATTTCCAATTCACGGGTCTTACAAGCATCTGTAGCTGACGTCTCTGCCGTTTCACCTTGGCCTCAAGAATACAACATGTCATTTTCAGGGGCGCTTCCCTCATCGGAATCGTGGACACCCTTTGGTCCGACGACAGCTGAATCGACCCCAGATCGTAAGTGTTTTCAGCTTTTTTTCACGATCATTTCGCATATTTACACTCGTGATATAGTTCTTTTTTCTTCCCCTTCAATAACGGACGACTGCACGAACGTGTTTGATATCCAGTTTGGACACTCGTTGCAATCACGATCACAGGAGCTCGAACGGAGTCTTTCCCCGAGCTCTGCCGTCTCTCCGAAGTCATATCCCTCTCGTGAGGTCGTTCGTCCAACAACAACGGCCAAGAAGTCAGCAACACCTTCCCAAGACGATCAGGCTTCCCCACGCCGCCGGCATCCGTGTCTCATCCCTGGATGTCTCCGGCGCTTCACCAGCCAGTATACACTCAAAGTACACATGCAGGCGCATAAACCGAAGCCCCGAGTTTCGTTTTTATGTACGCTAGGATGCGGTGAACGCTTCTCAAGGCAGCATGATCGCCTTAGGCATGAGGTTGCCAAACACAACAAGGTGTGCGAATTCTCATGCGAAGCCTGTGGCCGCTTCTTTTCGATGGCCAAAACTTTGGGCAATCACAAGTGTCCTTTAGCGCAGGGTGGCACAAGATGGGTTCATCACTAAATGATGAATCGTATCATCTGGCCATATTATTTATTTATCACGCCGTTTTTTTATTCTAGTCCTACTATTTAGGACATGTCTTTGGGTGGACGATCGGAAAGCATCAAAGCTTGTACAGTACACGATAGCATTAGATTATTATCATGCTGCACAATGGATATCATGTCAGCTCGAACCTTGATGATGCACCAAACTCCTGGTCGGACTTTGTCTATCTGAGCTGCTTGAGTTCGAGCAACGGGACGCCACAATAAGGCACAGCCACACGGGGCGTAAAACCAACCGCCATCATCTGATTTCGATTCAATACTTGAATAATGATGGACCGGCGCTGAAGCGCTCAGGCTACTGAATGGCCTGGAAAGTAAGCGCAATTGAATAGTCTAAAGGTCTTTGGTCTTCTTTGGGACTACTCACACCGGCTGGCTCTTTCCAGCTTCCTGATACCCACGGAATGGATCATCTTCGGGGCTATTAGGATATCAACTGCAAGATGTAAGTAATGGTTCAGTATCTGGAAAACTACGTACTTGCTCATTCAGCTGTCTTTCACTTGGCCGAGCCCTTACCGCGACTGGCTGGGAAAACGATATCGCCTCTTTGTTACCGCTTTCCGGGAACTCGGTCGTGGGGGAAGGACGAAGACCACGGATCCGTATTATTCTTGCCTAGGACGTCTCTGATAGAAAATCTAGGCCAATGCTTTCATCCGACTTGCACGCTTAAACTTCATCATTCATGCGGATCTCGAAATTAATGAGAGCAAGGACTCTAAGGATGCGCGCGTCCATGACAAGCTGCGGTCCCTTCTATCTAGCCCATTGAACTCGATCCCGAATGCTCGGTATGGATATTCCGAACCTGGGCCTTCGCGGCTCTCACACGACGCCGGGAGAACCGCCACCAGAACGAGATGCGCAGCTCCTTCTTGAATGCTCCAGCTGAGTTTGAGAAGAAGGAGCAATGGTTATGAATCTTCCGGACCGGTTGGACGACGAAGGTCGGGTCGTTCGTTGACCAACGGCCGAAGGGATGCAATCGATTGTGTTTGAAGAATGCTTTACGCGTGTGTCATTGGCAGAAAAGGACTAGTGCGTTCAGAAGGGTTCGAAGGCGGCGTGGACTTGCGTCATTACTGCTACGATGTATTGCCTTCTAGAGGGCACCGAAGATACACGAACTGTTTCCCTCATGTATACAGTGTTTCAGCTTTCCTTAGAGCTTCCGAAGAACAATGGGACGAGCGGCTCGAAAGCTTCTATGTTTGTAGCTGATATTCTATATGTAACAAATTTGCTATAAATCCAAGACCGTCGCGACTGTTCGCTTTGACGACCCAAGTCCCAAGTCCAAGCATGAAATAGAACTTTAATCGGGACTTGTTCGCATGGATTACTTTTGCGCGGGAAAAAGAAAAATAGTTATTTTTTCCCGAGACCATAAGGCAATAATTGTTAGTGCGAGTGGTAAATTCGTTTATCAAAGATGCGTTTGAAAATTTAAATAAATACGAGGCACACGCCGATACGCGACGCCCAATGTCTGTTATTCAATGCATGAACAGGTGTGGGCGTCAGATCGTGAGTCATACATAATACATATTTCACCCACCGACGTAACGACATGCTTTGGTACACGACAGCACCCGCCAATAATACAATATCTTCAGTGTCCCTGGGTCAGCCTTATCCCGCGTTTTCATATCAACTCCCGCCCTTACTAGGGGCCTCACAGCTGATCCTAGGGAGTCTCTTAACCCTCTTAACATTCCAGCAGTCGGATTAGAGCAAAGGAAGTGAATCGCTGTGGACAACTGTTTCGAAAATTTGTATTCAAGAAATTTTGGACAGACACGCCTTTTCGAGCCCTAATTGTGGCCCAGAATGCCCAAGGTCTTCGAGCTTCAATACTGAACATGAAGGTGGAGGACTCGGCTAAGATAATGTGAATGTTTTACCCATGAACATTCGTATTTTGTTCTATACTGATCGTCAATTTTCGTACGCCCAAACAATCCCGACGGCGGAACCATCGCCATCGCCACACGTGCTATGTTCATAGCGTCATTAGGACAAGAGCGATCCCAGTCATACATCGAAAAAAAAATCTGCCCCTTTGTGCCCACAACAAAATCAGATTGCAATCAACCCGCGCATTGATCAGATCGATTGTAGGGATCGACACAACATCCGCCGACATTGGGCGCTGTCATTGGGCGATAACTGGGCTCTCCTCTTCCCGACATTTTTTTTTTTCTATCGTTCTTCCCGCTTGTTTCGGGACATGAGGCGTTAAGTATTCAATTGAACGTCCGAGCCGGAAAAGGAGGTGACATTTGGAGGAATTGTACGTTATGCACCGGTCATAGCAGCGCTTGCACGCCAGTCGTCTCATTTAATTTTTTGTAATGGTAACGCCCGGTACAGATAGGCGATCGTATTCCCTTTCTGTTAGGATGGAAACTATTCAATAGAGCGTGTAAATGTTTCGGTCTCTCGTGTGGGTTCTATCACTGTGGCGCAATCCTGAGCTGTCTCCGCCAGGGGGGGGGAGGTCCCTGATATGCTGGATAGACCTCCATAACCGTAGTTGGAGTTGAAGCGTTGAAGGGAGTCGGTGGGGCACCCCAAGGCGCAGCGAAGCTAGGCATTCCCTTCACGCTTGTGAAAACTCCGAAAGCTTCTTCTCCGTGACGCCAAGCTTCTTTGGACCAGCTTTTACGTCTGTGCATTACGCCGCATTTGTTTACCGCCTTAATCCGGAGCCAGCAGGTAGCCACGATGAACGGTAATTGATTTCGACAGAGGAGGAGCATAGTCATGATCAGCACCTCCGCAGGAAGAACGACATGGCCGTCTTAACCGTGAGAGGCACCTGCCTGGCTCTTGTGAAAAAGTTCGGCGATGGCGGCGGGTATTGAGTACATCCCTTTGACAAAAATAAGACGCTACCAGGACAGTCAGCGCGTTTCAAGGTGCAGGCAGGAAGAACTGACTGACCGGCAATGGAAGGAGCGTTTGCCAGCTTGCAAGCTGGACAGTTTTTACACTCCGACTCTATTAAGAATAGCGCCACAAGATTGCCGCCAATTCCCAGTTTGTAGGCTGATGGAGGTCGCTCAGATGGACAGTAATCCTCCTGATGCATGTTGATAGAATGCCACTTGAAAACCTAAACGTTTCAGAAGAGGGGAATAGCCACCGACTAGAAGTCCGATGGAAGCCAATTCTGCTGTAAAGGACGACATTTGAAGTTTCTACAGGGTCTACGTTAGATGCGTTCCCGCGGAGAGCAGAGTGGACATGAGGTCATCGCCTGACCTTGTTGCCCACACTAGTGGAAATGAGATTCGCCGTCCTGTGTGCAGCAAGAGTGCTGCTTGCCAGTTTTAATGAAATCGAAGAAGAACCACCGTGACGTTGGTAGATCTGTCTCCTCGTTAGAATCTTTCCGTACATGTCGTCCCAAAAAAAACCCACAATCAATAACAAGCTATGTTATTCAACGTATATAATCAGGTTTCGGCTTAGGCGTAGGCGCGCTCATTTTGAGCTGCCTCTTCCCTTCTTCTGTTCGATAGTCGACGAGACCAGCTTTGTAATCTTTCTGCACGTCTTCGAGCCAACGGACAACCTTGTCAGTGGTCTACCATAGGTTAGGGTCAAACCAATCAGGTAGAATGGCATCGATGATATGCTGTGGAGGATAATATAAGGCGCAATATGACTCATTGCCGATAGTAACAGTAGGAAATTTGACTAAAATATGCATGGTCAGCCAGGACAGAATAACTGCGGGAAGACGTACTATCGGGGAGTAGGCCCATGTCTAGAGTAGCAACCGAAAGATAGGTGCATACCAAGTCTGCGGGCCATTCCATCTGGGCCACGGTCCCAGGACAGCATTCGTGTTTGATGAGGTCGTGAAAGTCGATGAGCTTATATTCTCCGTCGAGAGAAACAACATTTCGTTCAGAAAAATCGGCGGGATAATAATGCGTTAGACGATGGAATTCTACGAGGACGTGAAGAATTTTCTTTTTAAGACACTGTTGAGCATGAATAGGAGATTCAATAGAGGTTGACGCACCGCTCCTCTCGAGAAAGTTCTAAAAAATAGAGATATGCTGCTGGGTTTCCACAGTCTTCCAAGATCAAACAGCCCTGGCAATCGTTCTTGTAGTACCCTAGAAAGCGAGGTATGAAAGAGCCTTGTGCAGGAGCGAGAAGGTCTTGGTAGGCGTCAGCTTCGCGGGTGAGATCCTCGAAAGACTGTTGGTTGGTGGAAATTTTGAGAACGATATTCGCGCCTGCTGCATTTGCGCGGTACACCTTGGAGTGAGAACTGTTGTACACCAGTGAATGCACGTCGACTCGGAAATCAAGGATGGAACTTGAGGTTGAGGTAAATGTCAGTTCCACGGCGCTTCCAGCCGTCGTCGCTATCGATGGCGGCATGGTAACGGTTAACATTGTCATGTTGGATGAAACCAAGAGACGAAGAGCTCGTTACTTTCTAGAGAGACCTTCGAGACCTTCTAGTCACGTGACAATCGTCACAGGTTGGTGACACCCGCGTCGGCCCACGTTTTTTTTGGCACCAGAAAGAACGAATCCCACTACCGACAACTCCTCTGATTTCTGCAATATTGATATACGACTCTAAGGGAGGTCAATAGAATGGGGGCATGCCGCACGAAAATGAGTTCTAAGTACTGTCATAAAGGACCTGTCTGCAGTCGTCATAACTTTCAGTTCACCTCTATCAGGATTCAGGAATCATTCTTTCCCAGGGTAATCATCAAAGGCCGCCACTAAATTTTTCGAGGAGCTCGGGATGCGTCAATTTTTACTTAACGGGAAATGGGAGCACTTTCCAAAGGCTCCTTCAGAAAACAAGATAAACGAGAGCGCAATATCTCAGCTTATGCAAGATGTCTAGAAGGGTATCATTGATGCAGGTCGCTGAATTGTTTTCCTGCAGATGACACCCGCCACATTTATGAAGAACGAAACGGCAGCTTCGAATCAGATAGGCATACGAGACTTATGCGTCGAGGAAAGCTCGTACTGTGATGACCAATTCCACGAAGTTGGATAGTCAGCTGCATAGTGACGTCGGTGTAAGCAGCATCGTATTCTGTAAACTCCTCTTAACTCACGGCCCACTGGTAGGAATCATGGTCTGCGATCTTGTGAGATTTAGGTGGCGTGACGTACCCTCAGTCCTCCAGTGCTTTTTCGACTAACGGTACAAAGCGTTGGAGCGTCAGGAATGTCCTGGACATTGCCGCACCATGGTCCTCTCTGTGTATTCATTCGTGGCATCATCGCCGACTACATGTCGATGAGGACCTGTTCTTAGATCTCAAGTATGATCTCCCTGCATAGGTCTCGCGTGTTTACTATCGGTCGTGTTCACAGAGACTCACCGCCGTTCAGTGGAACGTTCGCAAAGGGTTCAAACATCGCCAAAATAACGGATATAGAATACGCAAAGAAATTTTTATCTGATCCAGTTGTCGGGGTTAGGACAAAGGTGAGTTGACGTCTTATGGACCACCTGACGGATTAATTGCCTGACATCAACGACACGGTGCCGCCACTTTTATGTCAGTTGATAAATTCAGACCCTCGGATATTTATATCTTCTACTGAAGCGGTGTGCATATACACACGAGGCAGGTAACAATCTCCGAGCCCGACAGAACAACGACGCACTTCGTCGAAGGTGCTAATATTAATTCGTAGGCACTTGAAAGCCAGGCTCCTTCTGCCTACACCCCCCACAACTTCTTCCATGACCTAGAGTCCCTATGGAGGATTGAGAAGCATGACCTTTTCTCTTCTATCAAAGCCTCCGGAAAGATTGCCCATCTACTACGCCAGATTTCGAAGACTTCTTTCCGTACTCCTTGGGTCTAACACCAGCACCCTGTTTCTATGGGCGGGCTGCATGTATGCTCGACATATCGTCAATCTTCCGAGGGAGTATAGCAATTCAGCGAGAGCTCTGTCGGACGCTAGAAACTACAGAACCACTTGGCAGAAAGCTCGAACTTCTCTATGTTGCCCTGGCACCTCTTCTTAGCATCTGCCTAGAAGATCATCTACAGAAACGCAACTATACTTCTGACATCACACGACGATTAACCCCGTTTGCGACCTGATCATATATGAAAGCTTGTGGATAGTGTCTCGGAAGTCACGAAGTTCACTGCCAGTTGATCCAGGGTTGGAGAACAAAGGTTTCTCTATTCCGGTTGGCAGTCAGGACCCGCTATCTTTATACGGTCATGTGAAATGAATTTAACAATGCACGTAAAGATAACAAGGCTTGTCGTTTTTCTCTAGCCCCACCGAGACCAGGCTTGGGATTTCCAACGCACGTTTTCACAAAGGATGCAAGACGGGGCCGTTTTCTACTACTATCATACGGTCGCGGGGCTGACGTCCTATGATTTTCCCCTTCTTTGGTTATCGATCTGTCGGTGGCCAGGCTGACCCTTTCTTTTCTTCCATTGTTCAGGCTTCAGATTTGCGTAGGATACAATACCGTTTTGCTTTCTGTCATGAAGATACTGATACGGGTTCCCTCGGTAAAATTCATCGAGCTTGTAAATAGTGTTACAATGCCGACGACCTCACGGAACGTTATTATGGAATTGCTATGCTCAGCTTTCTCGACCAGCCAAAAATCACTGTGGGAAGCCTACCCTTCTGTGCCTCAGATCTCCCAGCCATGAACCCAAGATCAAAAATACCAGTTCCATACTTTGCTACCAAGTTGAATATATGTGTTCGGACCTCCAAGCGTGCCTCACAGCGTACAATTTAGGGACGAGGCGGGCTACTTTTCGGGGGAGGCATCGGTTCTTGTGTATAGCATTGATGCGCCAGAGCTAGCCTTGAGACGGTGCTTACTATGATGACACGTCCTTGTGGGAAAAGTCGTCGACGAACATTGGATTATTGAATGTAAACTATATAAAGACATGCACTGTCAGACAACACGGTAAGGGCTAGTACTCAGAATCCCAGAGATCATCGTCACTTGGCGGGTCGTCATACCTCCTCTCATACCCGCTATTCTCGATTTCCAACATGGCCTGACTAGCCGGAAGCTCATCGTCCTCATCTAGAGTTGTTGGTGGCGCCATGTCGAAACAGCAGTCCTCACTCCTACTATTCAACCACTCTGACCACTCTGAAGTCATGCCAGAAGATGGCGAAGATTTGGTGTTCTCGCCGTCGTTATCGTCCTCCTTATCCTTGCCCTCGTCGATATCCTCCTGGTAGATAACCTTGTTCTTGTAGATATTTGCGTCCTCATCCTCGCCGGTACCATTCCTTCCTACCGACAACATTCGCCGTTGTTGTTCCCGTCGACCCCCTCTTGCAGGGGTTGCGACTGGTGCCGTTTGGTTTGAGGGTCGATCATTCTCTCTCGAATTCTCCATGCATGTCTGGCATTCCTGAGAAAAGTCTGGGGTGGGATTTGTCTGCACCGGGTTCCAGAAGGGAGGCTTCACTACGACGAATGTAGCCTTTTCCTTCGGATGGTCATGATCAGCATTGTGAGCAACGTAGTTTACTTCCGCAATCGCGTCAAGGCACGTGACGGGCATGAATTTGGCGCCGGGTTCGTGACGGTAGCAGAGCACAGATCCGTTGGTGGGCAAAACGATGTGAAAGGGATCCTGGGTAGATTCTTCGAGAAGCTGGAAATGGTCGATAATCCAGTCGTGCAAAATTTTGTCTTCGAGAGTGTTAGGAACTTGGTTTTGGAGAGCAGAGACGACAATCTGCGCCATTTTCCAAGCTATAAATGACGCACCACGGGGGTCTTGGATGACACGGACGGGATAAGCATCGTCGCCTTCCTGGGAAAGGACCTGGGAGAAGAGGGTGTAGGGCTGCATGCCATCGATGTCCTTCACAGAAGGAAGCGTTGGCGCGTCACCAAGGGGATGGCTTTCAGTGGATTGCGTAAAGGTGGACATCTGAAGGCTTGTTAATCGTATTCGATGTGGAAGGATATAAACACACCGTAAGAGTAAGAGTAAGAGTTAAAGTGGAATGATGAAGGGTTTGGTGCGCCTGGGTTGCGCGAATTTATAGTCGAGAACAGGAATGGGTGCTGCAGTGGCAACACAAGTACCCTCTTGTCAAGCGCCTGAAAGGAGAATAACCATTAAAAAAGGACAATGTTTCCTTTTCACCCCTTCATTCGTTCATATGAATCTAGGCGGTTGCTAGGGCCCTTTCATACAGGATACTAACACTCAAAATAAAATACGCATTGGGTAGTCCTGAGTCCTGGCTTGAACAAAAGCGCTGGTGAAAGGGTTACAGCCCTTGTGCCCATCCGGGGGAGCCTCTGAGAAGCTTGATCGTATAGCAAAAAGTCCATACGAAGAACAAGGGCCATGGAAGTACCGCGGCCACTTTGCAACAGGAACAGTAAACTCCAATGAATGGTGGAAAGGGAGGAAGCGTACCGGAAATTGCCGGCGACACTTCCTGGCTCTAGCCTTCACCCGTAGATGACGATTTTGGGGTTTCCCTCCTGAGAATCCTCCGTTTCCTAGCTTTAAACCACTCTGTTGCTCTGGCCTCAATACGAACTGTAATCCCAACGATCTTAGTCACAGTTGGGCTTCTTGCGCTTGATGTGTCCAAATCGCAACGTGCCTGGCTAAATTTCTCTTCGAGGACTGGAATCTGTGTCTACCGGAACTCCATCACTCGTGAATCTCTCTGAGACGGATGACGTGAATCTTTCCGGGGAGGTCAATGCCATCCACGTAGTGATAGCAGAAGCAACCACTTAATGTCGCAGCTGCGCCGAGAACATTAATATTCACGTAGGGACGGTCTGCCATTATGGAGCAATTTGCATGACTGATGAACCTTCAAAACCGCAGGACGGAATATGTCAGGAAGTCGAGACTTTCATTTCAGAAAGAGAAAAGAATTATTCTCGTCTACGTCCAGCTCGTACCCATGGAGATTCTTCATGAAAATTTCCTTTCCGGCGTCGTGGCACTGTGTAAATATTGGGATACATGTGCCTCTGGGGTGTCTCAATCTATTCGTCGAGACGGTGACATTACTCGACAGGACATGAAGCTCCTGCGGTCCGTATGTTCTGACTTGGGCGTCTACGAGAGACGGAATGTGGCTCCGGTTCTTCGGAGCACTATGATGATACTACACTCATGTGTTATGCTCGGTGCACTAGTAGACCCATTAGTGCATAGTGCTCACGTCAATCTCCTGCTTTTCAATGAGCAGGAGCAGTTGGTACTAACTCGGCTGCGTGGACACCGATCAAGTCCTTGCACTGAATGAAGAGAAGCCGCTATCTCGAAGAAATTGCTCCAATATAATTTTCCCTTCATGTACGTAGGATCCATTGACTTGCGCCATATAACAGAAGACGGCTATACATTTCATAGTACATCTTTCCGAAGTGTCCTGCGGCGTCTTTCGACAAGGAGATAACTTACTGTATGCCTCGGTGAGTATCAAGCGGAATTAGGAAACTGGGCGTGATTTACCGATTAATCTGTCCATAAAGCTTGTAAGTTCGAGGTTCACCTCCAGCGATGCACGTCGATAAGGTCGATAGACCACTAATGGTGTCTTTATTTCGTCGTCGCTGCGCACCAGCTAGAGAGTATCACGGGGAGTCATGAGAAAAAAAGTTATTAAGGCAACTGAACATACTCCGCTTACCTGAAGCCTCCGTCTATGTGTTTTCCAGCGATACTCGATGCCATTTATGATAAAAGATCCTCCACTGCAAGAGAATATCAGTTTCGTGGCGGCCTCTAATTGTCAGCTTACACTTTCGTTTTCTCTTCCTTGAGAAATTTGTCGGAAGGAATCCATTCGCCCATGTATTTGCCTGTCAAGAATCGAACGCGGTGTTTGCCACTATATGATTTCTGGACCTCTGCGACAGTCTTCAGTGTGAGGGTTTCCGGGTTCAGGATATTTATCTTTGTCAAGGTGGGGTGCCAGAAGCGGGTGACGATCTCGTAGTGGATGAGGTCTTCACCAACGGCGAGGGTGGTGTTGCGGACGCTGTTGGTGGTGAAGGTCAATTTAAGAGCGGTTCCGTCCATGAGTGCCCAAAAGTTGGGGAGCAAGAAAGCCTTTTCAACCATCTAGGAATGATGCATGTGGGTACATACTATGAGCGGCACGCTGTGGACAACTTTAGTTGGTGCCCGTCAACGATATCCCGTCTACGAAATGTCCATGCGAATCATTCGTCTTATCTTCATAGTAACTCGGTGGGAAATACTGCGAGATAAGGGAAGGGAACTTACTGATAGTCTTTCAATATACACATCTACTCCATTTCGGCCGAGTCAGCGAATAGGACCGCCACAGGAAACGAACTGGTACTTATCACTGGTGGACAGATACAGTTCTGGTGCCTCAGCACCAAAAAGTTCCTAATCAAGAGGCGTTAATTTTAGACCGAGTCGCTGATACCACGTCGCCTAAAGTTCTCGCCACCCCTTCTTCGCCGACAACATCTAAAAGCGTTGAATTCATTAAGCGCGTTAATAAGCGACATTTGCTGATTTACGCGCGCTATTTACATGGCAGATCACCGCGGACTCATCAGACCTTGTCTAGGCGCAGTAAAATGGCCTTCTCCTCGTGTCTGAATTTTAGGATGTTGGAAAATCCCGGTTCTAGACGATGCCTGGAATTCAGAGCACACAATTTGGACATAGCCAAGGTATTGTGTCTTGAAGTCGTGAGAGATACTTGAATACATACCTGATGGAAGATGGAAGAATTTTCTGGATTGCCTGGCTTCCAAGTCGCGGGACAAGGTCAACTTTGGACGGCAACTCGGCTTTGCGCCAAGATGATGCAAGCAGCTCTAAAGTATACTGCACCGCCACCTCTCTTCCTCCTGCTGTCATCCCGCTTTCTACCGCCATTCCTGGTGGCTTATTTCCTGGCTTTCGTGCCCAGTACTGCTCTTCTAGCTAGATATGGTGTTCCAGAAAGAAAAGCCTGTCCATTCGCTGTATGTGAAGCGTCTTTGTTCAGTTTTTTACGTACTGACTTTCTGCAGAATTGCAGGCGGGTCGGCTGGTGCCATTGAGGCGTATGTCGTCCCCAGATGATATGCTTCGACTCCTAATGATGAATAGTTTTCATTACATACCCTACGGAATTTGTTAAAACACGGTCGCAGTTCGGTGGAAAGGTGCGTCCCTGCGACTCTTTTGCGGTGCCCTAATGACATTTGCTACAGAAACAAGGGCCGATTACGATTATTAAAGAGACTCTGAAGAAAAGGGGCATCGCCGGGCTGTACTCTGGATGTTCAGCACTGGTTGTCGGCAATGCTACCAAGGCTGGAGTGCGGTTCGTGAGTTATGATCATTTCAAGCAAAAATTGGCAGACCCTCAGGTATGTTTCAGTCCTGTCGTTGATATCGTTACATCTCATATTGATTGGAGGGCAAAGTGAGCGCACCGCGGAGTCTTGTTGGTATGATTTGTCGCGCGTTAGCGCTGTGGTATATGCTGATGTAGTTTGCTGTAGCTGGTCTGGGAGCTGGCATGATGGAAGCTATATTCGCAGTGACGCCGTCAGAAACCATCAAGTGAGGTTTTCCGTCATATTGTCCACCGTATTCTTATCAGGTTTCCAGAACGAAGCTCATAGATGATGCTAATCGACCGAATCCGCAATATCGCGGTCTCGTGCATGGAACAATATCCATAGTGCGGCAAGAGGGGATCACGGGGATATATCGTGGACTATGGCCGACAGTAAGTTGTTTAATTTGTCTGTGCTGCGACATGAGGATAACGTTTGCATAGATGATGCGACAAGGCGCTAATTCTGCAGTTCGCTTTACGACGTATTCGACACTAAAGCAATTTGTTCAAGGGACAGCTCGTCCCGGACAAACATTACCTAGTACCATTACCTTTGGTATTGGTGCTATTGCTGGGCTAGTAACAGTCTACACTACTATGCCTCTAGAGTACGTTCTTCTACTGCACCTTTCATCGAAATACTCATTCTGGACCAGCGTCATTAAGACTCGCATGCAGTCATTAGAAGCGCGTTCGCAGTATCGCAATTTTGCTCACTGTGCGTATCGGATATTTACAGAAGAGGGGATCCTGAGATTCTGGACCGGGACTACACCAAGGCTGGCACGGCTGGTGGTAAGTGATTTTAGTACTCTCCATTTGAACGTAACTAAGGTACATATAGATGAGTGGCGGTATCGTATTTACTGTATACGAGAATATTATCAAGGTTCTTGGTGGTAGAAGCTCATGACAATACATACATAGATAACGCTTTGTTTACTGTAATTGAAATTGCATGTTTACGGTCGGCGATCAATTCCTGCACGTTTTTTTGTTTCCGTCTACCATCGCGAGCAGCATGCGTCTCTCTTTCTGACCTGTAGAGCCTGCTTTCAGGTGAAGCTTATACCGTTATTCCGCATATACCCACTCTAGTGAATTGGAACCGCAGAGTCAGTTTTTTTACTTATCTCGGCCTCGGATTGTTGCGTTGATGGCATAGCGGTATACAGTACTTAACTTGGAACTGACGGCGAAGACGGTATCGATACCGACTACATTGACCATGGATGGGACGCAGAAGAAAATGAAAGAATCGTTCAAGCTGAAGAACCTTGTCGCGTCAATCCGGAGCATCGAGTGGACCTTCTATCGCATTCATTTGGCGGCCTTCGTCTTCGTTCCACTCATATCCTCAGGAATATTCTACGCTTGCAACGGCAGGTTCCGTATCAGCTATCTGGATTCACTCTTTCTATGCTACTCCGCAATGACAGTGACTGGGCTATCGACGGTGAACTTGTCAACGCTGACCGTGTGGCAGCAGGTCATGCTCTACTTGCTAATGATGGTGGTGAGTAAGTGCATCGACATGTAGCAATAGACTACTGATGGATACAGGGCGATATCACGACGGTATCGTGGATCATGGTACTGGTGCGAAAGTGAGTGAACTTCCGTTGTCGTTCTATTCATCTCACGCCATTGCAGACACTATTTCCGAACACACTGCGAAAATCTCCCCGACAGGTTGAAGATATTTCCTACACGCAAGGCTTTCCTTGCATCCATTTCTTCCCCCATCGCCGCCTTTAGACCTCGCGATGTTATCCCCGTAAACGGAAAATACGCCCCGCAGCTCAATTTCCATCAGCCCACGCCGGTGGCGACCACGTCCCCAGCAACCAACACTAACGAGATGGTACCGACGTTCGTGAACGGACGAAGAAGCGAGGAGGGCGACGGTGATAACGTGCTTTCCGATGTGCATACATTCACCTCATCGCCTCGCGCAGCCACCCTGCACCTTTCGCCCGTCCAGAGTCGCACCTCGGCCCGCCGCGGCGTAGACTTTGACCTCACGACTTCAATGACGCCATCTATGCGCCAGAGAAGGATGAGTGCCGCTCGTGCTGGCGTCCCGCTCCCGACGAGGGGCATGACAATGCTAGTTAGCCAGGATACAGCTGGAAATACACATGAATTATGGAGTGATATTCCCGGTCCCATACAGGTCTTCAAAAAACTGTTCAAACGCTCGGCTCCAGGCGCATATAGGATGTTTCAGCGCAAGATGACTATGCCGTACACGTCTACTTTGGAGGCCAGCAAGACCAAGTGGCTTAATTTCGACCTGGACGTGGGGCCGAATTCAAACTTTTATACAGAGATATTAACGGATGAACAGTTGGAGGCTATTGGAGGTGCCGAATATCGGGCGCTAAGGGTTCTCAGTTACCTTGTGCCCACGGTGCGTGCATCGGCACACATCAGAGACGCTTTGTTGACCTTCATCTAGTACTTCGTGGCTACCCAGATTCTCACCTATCTCATATTCGCTCCTTGGTTATCCACTTCTTCGAGTTATGACAGCGTGTTTGAGGCGCAACCCCGTCTCGTCAAGAAGCCATGGTATGGAAGTGTGCGTAAATTATACTCGGTGTTGATGAGAATCTTCCTAGGTTCTCACTCTTCCAAGTTATGGGAGCCTACACCGGAGGTGGTTTATCCTTGGTTGATCTGTGAGTCGAGCCACACCCATGCATGCCTCGGGTGCTGACTGCGCATTTTCAGAGGGATGCTTCCTTTCCAAACCGCATATCTCATCATTTGTGAGCTTTCCATTTCTGTGCAACTGGTCGCTCTTACGAGAAACGGAAATACAGTTCCTTTGATGTTTGTCATCTTAGCAGGCAATCATGCCTTGGTGTGTTCGCATACCTTTGTCGTTAACTATGCACTGACACCCTATCATTCTCTCCAGCCTATATTGTGAGTTCCAGAGGTTTAAAATAATGACTTGGTGGCTATTCCTTACGTATACCCTACAAGTATGCGACTCATAATGCAAGTATTCATGCCTTTTTTATTCACAAACACTAAACGTACTAAAAACAAATGACCCTCCAGATGGATATGTTCCAAATTTACCAAACCAGAGTCAGATCTGGATAAAGCATGGGACTTCCTTCTTCATCACCCTCGACGGTAAACCGGCCCTCATCGTGTAGTTGTACATAATTAACTTTGATGACAGATGCTATTTCTACTTGTATGAACGCGTTTCTTAGTGCTTGCGTCCTCCTGATATCTCCACCTAGGTTCCCCAGTCATCAAACTTGGTTTCTGGTGATTGTTCTACTCTTGATGAGGTTACTCGCTTCCATTTGTCCGGCGCAAGCCCCATTTGCTGACATCTTTTTCGCAATAGTGTTGTGGAATGGGTCGCGTTTGAGGTGCTCAGTACGATCGGAGCTGTCTCATATTTCCGCTCACCTCTGATGACCGTTCAGATACCGGACTGGAGTTTTATGAGGCTATGTCGATTGGCGCTAAGATTGTATCGGGCTTGTTCCAGGGACTGGCTGCACGGGCATCCGGATTTTCGATCGTCCCTTTAGCTTCAATTGCCCCTGCCGTTCAGTACGTTCTGCTTGTAGTTACCACATATCGGTAATCCTGAAACGGATGTTCCGTAGGTTTTTATATGTGGTAATGATGTATATTGCGGTGTGTTTTTATATCTTATTCTGTCTGTTCTGCTTATCTGACTGTGTTTTAGGTGTACCCTGTATGGCCCTCGTCCGGTTTTGATACTGTAAGCCCTGAAACCCCCTTCTTAGGTTGCAATGAGTATTCGTTCGACCAATACGTAGGTGTTAGGTCAACTGGAGGAGTGCACTTCTAATTTCCGACATCAGGTACGAAGAAGGATCACTTGGTGTATTCGAAGCCCCGCCACTGGATGAGGAGGAGTTTGAAGACAAAGACAAGGAACTGGGAGATCCCAAAGACAGAGAGCCGCGACAGCGTGTGGCGAGGTATTTAGGGTGGCACTTACGTCGACAGATGTCTGATGGTGAGTCTGCTTCTGGATCTGATACTGAAGAGGGATATCTCATCGGTATACACAGATATCTGGTGGATGGTCTGGGGTGTCCTCCTTGTTGCCATTATCGAGCGAGGCAACATTATAGACGATAATAAGAAGTGGTTCGATTTGTTCAGAGTGCTTTTCGAGCTAGTCTCTGCATTCGGTGGAATCGGGCTGAGTCTGGGGTTCCCTTCGGTATATTTTTGTCGTCAGGCCCGATTGTGATGCGGTATTGATGCTGGATACAGGATAACATGTCATTCGTTGGTGCGATGAGACCGCTGTCGAAGTTGGTCATTATCGTAGTGATGTGCGATCCCCGTTGCGAGTTTTCATGAGAAGTCACTGATATCTGGCTGTTAGGGTACGTGGACGACATCGCGGTCTTCCTGTGGCTATTGACCGGGCGGTGAAGCTTCCCACCGAGCTCGCGACAAAAGGTAAGAACGCGGAGAAGGAGAAGGATAATAATTTGGAACCGGTGGAAGAGATCACCGTTACTCCCCGTGAATTGTCATAGCTTTTTGAATACCCTGGTTTCTGTTGCTTTCCTCTGGAGTTGCATATCCTCACCGATGTATATAATTCATAGACCCATCTAGACACTACTACCTACTTCTTGACATACCGAATGTTATATGCTGCGGCTCCGATGTACAATTCATTATATCATTCTCTTATTGTATACTTCATGCCCATGACGGGATGTGGATAGCAATCTGAATCAAAGTGGATTAGCAGATGACACGAATGTCAGATTTGATTTCGCCCTTACCCTTTTGTTCTGCTTGTCCTTCTGTTAACGATGCGATCGGAAAGTGGTCTGGTACAATGGAAAGATCTACATCATTCCCAGAGGCTCGACTAGGAAATATGAAACTGGCTCCTACCTAGGCTGTTGTTCCAATTTGGGATCTGTTTGTTTTCATAGTCACTTGAACTAAAAAGCTTTGTTGCGTGTTATCAATAGTTTAGGAGAAATTTCAGTCCATATGTTCGAAAGCAGGCATGCATGTTGTTTAACACCTCACTCAGCACTGTGCCCTAGCCTAGCAACAAATTATCCTTCGTTGCTTGTTAGAAAGCAGCTTGGAAACCTTCGCCATCTACAATTCAGTTGAATGAGATGAGATAGTTTCATAGTTAAGAAAGAAGGTCGGTATACTAATGCCGGATACATTAATTATATCAGTAGTGCCTGGTTACCTTACTTGCCTAGGTCTGTCGGCCGCCTGGTCGTTGTACGCGTCAAGAGGCGCGCCGCGCCGCGGGTCGGACACCACGTGATATAAACGAACGTTTACCCTTGCGGGCCGGTGATCCTGGTTGAAACTTTAGTTTCGACTTTACTTCGACGTTTTGCCTTCAAACTTTCTTTCTGCACACGGTAGTCTCTTTGCTGCATGTAATATTGTATTTTGACCATCCGCCAATTATGGCGTCCTCCCACGGAAGACTTCTGTCTACCCCGCCTTCACTTAGCTTTTTCCAATCAAGACTCAAGGCACTCACAAAACAGGCACGTCCAACTGACTCAGCGTGAAATTTCTCAAGGAGCCCCAGAGACCCCGTTATTCGGAACTTGCCACTTTCCTGGCATCGCAAGTTCTACAGCTCCTGACTCAACGGTATAGCCCGCCTGTCCGAGATAGTCAGACAGATCAAAAACTCGAATAATCATTCGAAACACTCTGTCAAGCTGCACCAGGGAGTTGAGGTTCTAGTTTTCCCTTTCGCGGCATCTTTTCTCCCATTCCATGATTACGTCTCCACTGTGGCTGACTGTAAAGACGACAGTGTCGTAAAGTATATATTTCCTTTTTTTCAATGATACTATGGCGCCCGGGTTGAGATACTTTTATCATTATTGCTGCCTCCGAAAATTGCGAACCCATGCAATGGTACATCAACACCGTTGACTATATTGCATCCTGCAGATTGCGTGGAAAAATCGCATATGCCCCGCGCCTCCATCAAGCTTCGACATGCGATTTCAAAACCATGCCAGCGCCAATTTTTTTTACCCATGAATGGACTTGCGTAGGAAACGATCAACGCTGACCTCAGCTACTACGTAGCCACTATAAAGTTATTCTGGAATGACTCCTGGTAGTCTGTCTGGTTCGGTTGAGCTTCTCTACACGTATCTGGGAAGTGAACACACGGCTGGTCCTCTCGTTCACTAGTCACTCGGCGTCAAGATACCCATCGCCATTGCTCGAGGTCCGTGTTTATTTTCCGTCCCCTTGCAAGGCTTTCCGTGCTTATGCTGGTATTCCAGCATTGGCCATGCCGCTCTTTGTTACCTTAGACGTGGTGCTGGCATTTGCGTTGCTTTTCCTTGCAATGACCATTATCCCTGCCGCTACGGTTAAATCGATTCATCGGACTAAAACCTGGTTCAGCTTGCTCATCTCTTGCGTGGTCTTTTGCTTGTCATTCTTTCTTCTCCTTGGCCATCAGTCGGGTCCTAAGCCACCTCTGTGGTTGTGCTTGATCAGTGCTAGCCTCGTGTACGCAGGCTCTCCCTTGTACGTTTATCGCTGCTCTTTTATTATCTCATGCTTATCAGTATGCCAGGATTGCCGCCGCCGGATTGATCTTGATTGTGGAGGTACATCCAGGCCTTCTTCCCTGCACCATACTCACCATCACTAGTTATACTTACGCCTGACTTCGACGACGTCCGACATCAACGAGAGTCGAGTGACTACGGTGAATGCCTTTACCTTGTCGGACTTCCTTCAGCTCTGATATCTCTTAGATGCTCTGGTGTCTACCTGTGGTCCATGCAGTCGTATTTTGGGTGGCTATGTTGGTGCGTCATCCTTTCGTACGTGTGTACAGCCGATTTAAATTTGCTAGTCTGGACTGTCGGACGTGCGTAAGGTTGAGCGAGGTCCAACAGGATTTTACTGCCATGTGGATCATCCTGCACCGTCAGACCTTCTATGCTATCCAGATTATAGTAATACCATTCCAACGTTGTTTGCAAATACCTTGTCTCGGCGGGCTTCATTTTTTTTGTGTCGTACCCATACTACTGTTCATTTCTAGTTCCTTTATCTATTGCCATTCTTTTTGGTTCCCAAGCGGTAGGCTTCTCGTGAGTGATGTCCCTCCTTCTTACTTTTTCATAGGACATACTCCGAGTGTATATGTTTTGGAGACCAGCACCCCCACCCGTCCCACCTAAAGACTGGCGTCACTGGCCACAAAGTTCGGGCATTGTCACAGTAGAGGAGAATTCTCTAGATTCGGTTTGAATGTATGTCATATATATTAGAGGACAGAATACCCTGTATGCATACATAGGTTTTACGGTGCTTCGACCCTATCTAACTGGGGATATCAAATTCTTCCGATGACTGAGCTATGGAGCTTTGAGGAATCGTCCGTGTCTTCTACCCCGCTATTATGTCTGGAGGCCCAGGGCCTATATTCCTGCCTTGACTTTACCTCATCTTCATCGAAATCCCCGCCAGCGCCGGCGTTGCAATCCACAACGAGAACGATTTTGGGGTCCTAGGTCACCTAGCACTATCACAGACGCTCCGGTAAAGTACATTGTGACCGTGAGCGCATAACATGCTCGTACTTCCATTCTTTACAGGCAGGCAACTACAAAGTTCATACTGTCGAGTTCGATATATCACGCGGTGCATCTGATGTGGGCTGTTCTTCCGACTTCGGGCCACAAGGGCTACCCGGACATGGTGGTAGTGGTTCTTTGGGGGGGGGGGGGGTACAACTACTTTTTCTGTTTCTTGACGCTGTTAATTTGTTTCAGAAACTTCGGCGAGGATTTAACCACCTTATTATCCCATTTTGCATTCAACGATCAGAGCCGTAATGTTCGGGCTGATATTTCGATCGGATCAATTTGAGTTCAATGCTCGGGCTAAATCACGACTTCGTCAAAAATCGATGCGCGAAAAGACCTTTGACAGGGTTTTCATGAATCGAAATGTGGTTCTCTGGTTAAATCCTTGCCCTTTTCCTCTTCGTAAATGTACGATTTTTGTAAAATCGAGGTTAAAGAGTCCGATCAAATCACTTCACTCAGGCTAGATCGACCCGAAAATCATGACCCTGACCGCTACTAAGAATCAGCGTGAACACTTGAGCTCATCTAGATGCACAGCTAATACTATTCCGGGCTTAAGAAGTATGGGAAGTGACTAGAGGACAGTACTTATCACTATGACTCATTCTGTGACGGACTGACAGAATTCAAATGAGGAGGAGATTCTAAAGACCTTGCTGTACAGCACGGGCATGAGTTCTGACTGATTAATATTCCGGCTGTTCTTGCATCTCATCGCGTCCGGCTTAGCCGCTGAGCGCTGAGGCAGAATTTCCAAGCATCAAACTCGGAGAAACGCGTAGTTCCGTTCATATTGAACGCCTCCGTTGTGCATGATTCAATGGATCTCCAGGCTGGTGTATAAATATATCAGGTTGGGTACCATATTTTTGGATTCTACTGATAAGCCATGCCTTTAAGAGCAAGAGCAGGGGTGATTATTTTGGCCCTGAGGAAGGGCCCATCACTCGTGCTAGGAATTTTCCAATGCTAGGACAGCCCCCGAGTCACGATCCCTCGGTAACTTGAATATTCAATGCTTTGTACACTAAGCCGGCTCGGAGTCCACGCTGAAGTGTTCTCAATTTTCTAGCAGCTCCATAACGTACAGATCGACCAAGGAACAGATCTTCGGATACTAAGTATTTGTCCCTTCCCTTGGGAAGAGGTTTCGCGGATGAATCATATCGCTGTTTGTGTTGATGATTGCATGGCGTCGATGATATCTGAATTTACGGAGGTCACAGAAAACATGAAAACTGCATATAAAGGAGTAACACACTGTAGATAAGCAAGATTCGGAACTCCGGAGAAGACGGCTTGTGGGACATAAGCCATGGTCGCGGTAATGAGGATAGAGATGTTCTCATTAAATATCCGGAGGAGCCATCCTATGGTCGTAATAGCACTTAGCAGCAGTAGAGCAACTGGGCGCTGACTGGTCCATCACCTGAGTGGCGCTGTTGTCAATTTTTTTTTCAAAGTTGTCGACTTGTGGCATGCAATTACAAAGTGTGGCTATTTTCACAGTAAGAAACCTGTTTTCAGAATTGTTGATTGTGAGTGCTCTGCATACTACATGACGGGCTCTGGTAGACTCACTGATTTCAAGTTCCCTCTAGCGACTGGTGCCTGTCGGTGCGGTGCGTCGCGTCGGCGCGTGGGAAATCTTTAGTTACGGCAAGGCACGTGCCTCCTAAACCTTAATTTAGCACTTCCGCGTGCGCAGTCGCGCTGTCTCGCACACGGAGGCAAAATACTTGACAACGCCTTCGGCGTACCTCAAAATTCTGTACCGAAAACTTGCCGTATTCTTGTTGTATATGCAATGATGACACACCCTGGTAACGGTCTCGTCTGTCAGAGAATTATTTATGCGTAAATTCAGCGTTCTCCGCGCGTTATCTTTCTGTGCTGACCGTATTTTGAATCAGGGTGATCGTCGATCACATAGGTTGACATTCGGCCTATAATCAATATGCGTATTTGCTTCAAAAAATTTGCCGTGAGAAGCTTGACCTATCGCTCCTATGGCCAATACATTATAAAGGACCGGGCGTTGCCCAGATACGGGTTTACCCTTCGTTCTCTCACTTTTCCAACGACTTGCGGTCTCAGAATCATAGCTTCAATGACGGAGGAAGAACATCAACAGGCTGTCTTCTTTCTTGGTCCCTGGGTATGCGCTTGTTCGCAGCTGCGCATCTGCGGTTCCTGTTCTGACCGGCCGCCTGCGCATTCTGTAGCTCGTGGGTCTTTGCCTCGATTTATTCCTTCAGGGAATTTTATCATCTCAGGTGAGCCGAGAGTTCGCACTTCCCCACGGTATGGTTGATAACGATTGTACAGTTCTCCAACTATTATTCATGGTATGGGAAGACGGATAGCATCAAGCTTAAAGTTGCTGTTGGAGTGCTGGCCATCGGCACATTTCTCAAATCTATCCAAGTCTGTGATATGTAACCCATATGTTCGTTATTCTTCCACTAACTTCTTGATGATAGAGCTTGTTTGTCCACGTCTTCATCTAAAGTAGAAATTAACAAGCTGATCGCATCTACAGTGCCATTGTATGGATCCAGTTGATCGAGAACTTCCTTGATCTGCAGACCGCAGTCAATCTGAGGTACGACGCAAATCCTCTTCGTTAGGTGTGTGTCCCCTGACGCGTCATGTTCAAGGTTCGTTACGTGGTACCAGATAGGTAGCGTCTCAAGTCGTCGTTTCTGCTCATTCAACTTATGTGACACAGGCAACCCTCTAATGGTTGCATTCATTGGTTTCTACGTTCAAATGTACTTTTGCTATCGGCTTTGGGTGGTGTCTAAGCTGTGGTGGGTCCCCCTTCCGATGATCTTCCTATTCCTGTTCGCTCTCATTGCCGCTATGGTGGTGGTAAGTTAACTATCCTTTTCGATAGTTCTTTCTGCTTTAATTAACCTATAAATTTCTAGACACACTATGTCGCAATATTCGACGCCAAATTGGCTAGCTGGTGTACGGTCTTCTTTATCATCGCGTGATAAGCTGAGCTGAGAAATGGCAATTCAAGTGTCCGCCCACTACGCCACCGTCTTTGGTATTCATCATTTGATATACGTCTCTTTGCTTCGCTGACGTTCCATATTTCATCAGTTGCCGATTTGTTATTATGTACAGCGACTGCCTACTTCCTTCTGAAGACGAAGAAGAACGTTCTGCCGCAGTACGTAACATTTTCAGGTGAAACTGAAATGTACTCACTTGGTCCTTTGCACAATAGAACGGTGGGGCTCATCAATGCACTTGTCCGTCTGACGTTCCAGACAGCGGCACCGGCTGTTCTTTGGTACGCCGCCGCTCCCTTCCCACTCCCATGAAATATCCATCAATGAACCGACTTTTCTCAGTGCCCTTCTCAACTTGATATTCGTGTATCTTCATAGCGACGAGACTAAGAGCATCTCGAACGCTTTTATCCAAGCTCTCCCCAAACTTTACGCCGTCAGCATGATGTGGACTCTGAATTCAAGGAGGAGTATCCGCGTTTCTCATGGAAGCGGAAAGAGCGGGAGCACTAGTAACGAACCTTCTGGGCCAAGGACGGATTATTCTCGCACTCGAAGGACCAGAGGACCGGATGATATCGCCATGGGTAATATTCAGGTTGTTACTCACACTGAAACCGTCCGAGTAGGTTTCCCTGTCTTCGGGCTTACTACCAGGGATTACTAGTCACTCACGACCCGTTTTTAGGTTACCGATATGTTCGGCGATGACAATCAAGCGATGAATGGGAAGATAGGAAACGTCATTGATGATGAAGAGTCATTGAAGTCGTCTGTTCGCAAGAATTGAACGGCTTTTCCTCAAGAACATTTGGACTCTTCAACGTTCGATATCTGTTCAGTTGTACGCTGCTACACTGTGACTTAATATATCCGATATTTATCTAGACAAGTACACCGGAAGCAAATGTTTTCTGTCCGTTTCAAGACGTTAACCTTTGATGATTGCGCATAGTCGAGATGGCTTCAGAAACGACATGGACCTGAGGAGACTCAACTTGATACAGTCAATTCTGCCCTAGCATGTTCGACATTGAAGTTGCTAGACAGCCATAGACCAAAATAAATAAGAAATACAAGACACAACGGGCAAAGCTCAAACATCGTCTACCGAAAACGACGTACCACCATCCCTCGATATGGAATCCATATATCGCCGCATCACAAAATCAGGGGGCATTTCCCCCTGCTGCACGCGTATCCGTTCTCTCGCTTCAAAAGCAGCCTTTTCACGTTCCTTATCCTTAGTCGATGCACCGATCAGTTCAGATGCAGTGTAGTACGGGACGTTGTGTGGGCGGCCATTCTGATGCGTCTTCCTTCCGTAGTCGTTCTCCATCCACTCAGACTCAGCTTCAGAATCCGAGGCAATCATTTCATCCATACTCATATCATTGTCACCGCCTCCAGTACTGTGATGGTGTTTGTGCGAACACTGTTTACTAGTGTGTCGAGCTCTCCAAACAAGTTTCTCGAGATCGCGTGGCGTAGTATCATCAAAGTGCCAGTCCGCCGCATTGACGACGAATTGAGTGATGTTGCTAGATATCCAGAAATAAGCCCGGAGCAAATCAGCTAGATTGAGGATGTTCAGTGCTCCGATGTCCCAGTGTCGCACGTATCCCTGATCATCCTGCAAGCCAGTTTGAATAGGTTAAATTGAAATGAAGACTGCCGAGGCTTACTAGGGTACCAAGAAAAAATCTTAGGCTATAAGCATCACCATGCGTCGCACGGAAGCCTGTAATGCCCATAAGATACTCCTGCGTGAAGCCAAGTAATCGTTGGTGCCGAAGAAGGGCGGCAAAATCCATGAGGATCTGGCGGTAAGCAACTTCCTCATTGTTCGCCTTGAATTCGATCGCCAGCATACATAGGAAAATTCGGTAAACATGTGCCGCACGATCGCTAGAGCTAGTGACCTCCTCCAGGACATTGTGATCGTTTGCAAACTTTTTAATAGCTCTCCTAGTTTGTTCGGGCAACATATAGGAAGCCTGACCGTCGCTTATCATGTTCGGGGAGATACCGACCGGCGCATTTATAGAGTATGTTTTGCTCATCGAAGTCATTACTTCGTGGTCATATCTACAAAGGACATGATAAGCGCATATCGTTTATAGATTGTCATGAAACTCACCTTATAGTATCCGCCTCTTGCCTCTCCGCAACCTCTCTTACAATCTGTGTCAACAGACCATCTACAATACAGCGGGATGTGGCCTCATTGACACGGGGTTCCTTGCTGACAACGAAACAAAGGTTCTTCTGCAGATCTAAAAGCCCTCTCCATCCATCTCGGAGGTTATATTCGTCAACGTCCGATGTAAATTGTCCTTGGAATGACAGCAAGAGACCTTCAGCAAGCTCTTTCATCCTGGGAGTTTCATTGCTACTATCCTTGACTGAGATGAGGTCAGCCTAAGGATGAAAATACTGAGTTAGACGAATAAGTGGATAGATGGAACCTAGATTGACCTGTAGAGCTTTTGGGAGTTGGGGACGGAGGAGTTTTTCTGTTTGCTCCTCGATTGCAGGAGGCCTAACGGACGCGAGGAACGGATCTACCATGGCGGCATCAGCCCATCTCTCAAAAGTTCGCCCGGTGCCCGCTAATGACGACGGTGTAATAGATGATGGCATAGTTGGTAAGACCCTCTAAGACCTTTGCTCTTGTGTGGTCGACTATCGTCAGAGAGAACGCTGGAAGAGTGACAATATATACAGTCCCTGGCGACAATTCGGGTGTCTGTGTAGGCGAATCCGGTTTAGGCGGGGAAGTCCTTGGAGGCGATTTTTGCTTCGATGAATGGGCGAGATTGAAACGAACTACAGAGCAGGAGTCGTGAAGAGAGGGAAAAGCTTAGGGTATTTGCTGGACTTGGTGGTCGTACGCAACGCCTGGCAAGTTTTGCGACGTGAACGTCTGAACGCCGAAAGAGTGGAGACGTCTTGTGAACAACCCTTGTACTCATGCAATCACGTGATGTGAAAACCCTTACTAAGCTCCAGTGAAAGGCAAGTCTCGCCCTCCCTCCTCGGAGTCCCCCGCCCACCGTCGGTTGCACACAAGAATTTGGAGCATCGGAATATGAGGGAAGGTTCTATATAAGTACGGCATTCCCATCATTTTTTTCCATGTCATCTTTACAATAATCAATATAAAGTATGTACACTGTACCCAATCAAATGTCCCAGCTACATAACATACAAAGTACAAAGATGTAAAGCTTCTAAATTACCCATCCAAGCGTAATTACCCCACCCGGACAGGTTGGGTTCGGACAGCGTCCCGGACTGGTCATTTCAACCCCATTCTGCCTACATAGCCCCTTCGGTGTCTACTGCTGCTGCTGTGATTGCCTGCTGCATACTTGCCTTTAGAATCATGAACATTGATACGCCGTGGATCTAGTTGGTAGGGATGTCTCTAGATTTTGTCTAGATTTGTTTTTCCTGGGTATCTTGACGGCTCAGGTGAGTATTTTGTAGAATACCAGGTACAAAGTATAAATCCGAGCCCTGTTACTAAGTTCTTCAATTATTATTCGTGGTACGGTAACAAGGATGGAATTGGTCTGAAGATCGCGATTGGCGTATCGGCACTCTTGACGACATTGAAGTCTATACAGGTGCGCCGCTTGAAATGTATCCGGAAGCTGCTGACTGGTCCTTAGGCCTTGTAAGTGAATTTTGTTGGGAATAGACGTCGGCAGGCACAAAGGACGTGACGGGGATGGCTCGAACAAACGTATATTCGTGGTCAAATACGTAGGTGGTGGTACGAAGCCAAGGAACGGTAATGATCGGTACGAAAATCAAAATAAGGTAAAACAAAAAACGGCATAGCCGTTAGCCCTGTGGCTGTGAAACCATATCCTCAACAAATTTGGCGCGAGGACGCATTCACACTAAGTACTCCCTTTAGCTCCATTGTTTGGATCCAAGATATTGACTATTTTAACGATCTTCAAGGTATCCTTGCGCTGCCGTACGTTTTCCAGTTTCATCGCACAAGCCGTGTTCTCACGCCGTTCTAGGACTACTGCGTGGTATATCATGGGTATGCAAAGTTTAACTTGGCCATTTCACCGTCTTGGCTCATGACAATCTTTGCAGGAAACATTCTTATGGTGAAATCACCACCAGTTCACGAAATTTGCAAATTAACTTCGATTTGCGCGGTAACAGGTGGCTGTGATTAACTTCTATGTTCAATGTTTCTTTTCCTATCGTTTATACGCCCTATCGAAATTGTGGTGGATCGCCGCACCCATCATGGTGCTATATGTCTTGGGACTAACTGCCGCCGCAGTTGCGGTATGTAGAACTTTCATAACGCCTAAAACTTCGTGTTGTTGATATGTTACTTACTAATAGACCTACTACATATCGACCTCCAGGCTTGGCAAACTACTTCGACGCTGGAGTAAGCCTTGTGATTCCGCATGTATACTGTCCAATGCTAACACCACCCTAGTTTCCGTGCATTATGCAACCGCTTTCGGTACGGCTCATATCCGTGACCCAGAGCACTGCGCCTACTTCTCTGCTTTTCTCTAGCGGCTGATGTCCTACTGTCATCATCAACGGCATGGTTCCTCCTCAAAAACAGAAAATACGTCATGCCGCAGTACGTTCCCCGAGTCTCATGATCACTATCTTATACTTCAAGTGCTGAGACCCACACAGAACTGCCAGTCTCCTCAACGCCCTAGTTCGCCTCACCTTCCAAACAGCAGTGCTCCCGGCGATTTGGTACGTGCTTGAAGGGATTCCAAAGTCTGGGCTTGTCCTTTAATTGTTGAATAGCGCAATGATCAATCTGATTTTCGTCTACGTACAAAGCAAGAATGTCGTCAGTGTTTTCATCCAGGCGCTTCCGAAACTATATGCGATTAGTATGATGTGGACGCTCAATGCAAGACGGGCCATTCGGGTCGCGTTCTCAAGCAGAGGGAGCGATGGTACCAGCAATGAGGAGGCTGTACCTAGAAACGTCGCGAGGACAAGAGGAGTATTGCCATTCCATGTTTGAACTAGGATCAGCTTCCAACTCTTCTGTTTTCAGGATGAAATCCCCTTGAGTAATCTGCATCCACATGTCAAGCCGGCAGTCGTCTCCGTACGCTCCTGTTCTGTGTCAGTACCCCCAGGTTGACCTTTTTTAGGTGCATGACATGTTCGCACATCCTGATAGCGATACCGAGATGGGATAGGAAGCTGCAGGAACTTCTGTGATCTCGAGCCATATGTTAGAAAACCTTGATTCTATTACTGCGACATGAATCATGATATGACGATTGCGGTCGCATAGCTACCCAGCGCAGCGCCGCACCGTGCGAAGAGCGGGGGCAGGCCATAATCGATTTATCGTGGTACATGAGCTTAGGTTTCGTGTTGTAGTGGCGTAGTAATGACCGGCTGTAGGATTCCAATGATAAACTGCGTGTGTACTAGGATAGCATGATGATACTGTAAATGAAGGTGGCTGTCGAGAATAAGTACAAGGAGATGCATGAAGGAGGTAGTAGTAAATTCCGTGTTACCCCGCCAATGTTATAAATGCTAGGAAAAAATAGCTTGATTTAACTCCAACCCGATGGTAGTCCAACTCTATTCTTACTGCTTGCCACGGATCTCGTTGATCCCTCCGCCGTTAGGAATCCAGAGTACAAACTGGGGTTCTCGTCTTCTTCCAATGATCCACGCCGTGTCGGTTCGCGTCGAGTAACCCATCCCCAGCGGCTCTGACTCTCGCTCTCGTCCCAGTTGCCATAGTTACTGCTGACGGAGCCATACATACGCCCACTCAAAGCCCGCCGACTTGGCTCGGGATTACCGGCCAAGTGCTTTCTTAGACTTCGTATCGATTGTTGTCGTTTGGGCGGAACCAATATCCGTGCCAAATTAAGCTCGCCGTCTTCTTCATCACTGCTCTCGTAATGGTCTGTTTCGGGATCCATGCTCCAGCCTCTGTGGTATCGGTGCCCGTTGACGGCCAGCTTTGGAGGAGCAGTGGCAATGGTCCATTCGGTAGGTTCACCTTCTACTCTTGTCCTGGCGAGAGTCGGCAAATTCGCGTCGCCCTTTTTCCTTCTGCCTCGTTCCCTTGGTTTTGATATCTTCTCTTCCCGCTCGCCATCCCTTGTCCTCGAGGTCGCCCGACTTGATGGGGCGCTATGGCAGGAGACTCTAGTCCGACTGACCTCACCCACACTGCGCCGTGATCGTCGTTTCGACATCTGTGCCATATATACCGGCGGCGGCGGTCTTCCTCGTGAAGGTGAGGGCTGGGGTTCATTTTTTGGCCCGCCAATGTATCCTATGCCGCCGTACATTACTGCACGAGCAACAGTTTCTAACCATGTATGGGGAAGGGGTGGTGCATCTTCTTCTTTAACTTCTTTAAGATTCGCGGGTGGAGTCGACCTGGGGCGCTGTGGCAGGTTCGCAACCGAAGCCATATGCCGGAGATAGGCGCCTGCACGAGAAGGCTGGGGTTGCATAATGGGTTCAGATGGCTTGTGAGCAAGACGATTTGAAGGAGCGTATTGTGTTGATGACGGTAAATGTGAAGGAGTGTGAGGATTACGCCTTGACAAGGCGGGTGAATTCGGTAGTCGTTGAGAATGCAATGAAGTGTACGAAGGATTATTGGTAAATGCATATAACCTTGAAGATGACTGCTGTGTAAATTCGGTATTCCGTGAAATCTGTCGAGGACTTTGGTAGCTGGCTTTGGGAGTAGGCCCGGCACACTCCATGGACGAAGTGCTCCCTGGCGTCGATGGTCTGGTCGACGGTGATCTCTGCCGCTGTTTCTGCGACAGACGATGTGGTATCGGTGAAGAAGGTGGTGAATAAGTTCGACGCCTCTCTACGGTTGGCCGTGGTGGCACGTCGGTCGTGTCTTGGCGGAGACTTGACGGCGACAAATTGGCGCCACCAGGCATCAACCCGGCAAAAAATCCCACTACACCGCGTAGACTTCGCCGTTGGGGACTACCCTCCCGACGCTTCCGCTCAGTGTGCTCGATACGCTCAGCTTCCGGCGTAAATACACGTGTTTCCTTGTATCCCGCTTCTCGCAGAAGATCTTCTAGCCGCTCGTAGGTCTGGGACGTACCACGTCGGTGGAGGGGTACGCGACCAAGATCTGGATAACGCGACCTTGAACGTCCTGTACGCTGAGGCGGCGTTTTTGGCTGTGGAGGTGAGCTGGAGGAATGGGATGCGGAGTTCGACGATGAGAGTGTTGGTGAGATCGTTGAGTTCGATGACGAGGGCATCGGATAGCTCGTCTGCACCACAAAGAACGACGCCTCCAGATGAGCAAAGCGACTCCCAAAGAGAGGAGAGAACGAACCGTAACGGGCTGCACTCGTTGTCGATACTGCATACTGCTTTGAGGATTCTTCGAGGTCGCCATGTCTCTAATGCGATGCTATATTGTACCAGTCGAGCTCGCTGTGCCAAACGGCGTGGAGGCCGTGTAATGGCCTGTGCGTATCGTCGTTTTATCGAGAGTGAAATTTGAGAGCCTGGGTCGCAATGGCGAACCGACCCCGGGCCCGAGTCGAGGACCAATTTACAAATCAAATAATTGTCGAAACAGTAAATAATGCATTTACCATATTGAGCGGACATTCCCATCACATGACAAAACGCGTTTATTCTCCGGCTTGATCCGAGTCATCTGACTTCTTGAACACTCATTAAAAATTTGAAGGCCCTTCCTGCCAATATTAGGTGTTCATTCCGAAGATATGCCACCACCCTTCTTAATAAATGCTATCTTCTTCTCTTGTGATTACCCCGTCTATATCGGGATTCGTACATACCTGTGGGCCGCCGCCGCCGTCAAAAAACGTCAGGCGGCCTTTACTAGGACACTTGTATGAACAATTAACGCGTCATTGTCGGAGTACCTACGGACACAATACAACCTCTTGGGCTGATTGTCCACATTCATTACGGAAATATAGGGTATGTGAATAAAAATACATCGTAAATTCATACTTGCTTAGTGTACACGCTTGAAGACTTGGTATCCTCCTCCGAAGGCGAGTCGTCACCCTTTTTAGTTGGCATAGATTCAATATCCGCATCAAACTGGACGGAGCGGTCATCGTTAGTAAATGTAGACCATTGTGCGATTGAACGGCATACCCGGCTTTCCGTATGCGTGACAATCTGGATCCCGCTCATCGCAATATCGTCGCTAACATTAACCCGCCTTCGCGTCATTGATCTTGAAAAGTCCATTCGAGTAGGCTCATTACTTGTACCACCGGTTAGACTAGAAGAACCGTTTGCCACCCGAATACGCCTCCTCGCGTTTAGTGTCCACATCATGCTGATAGCGTATAGTTTTGGCAGAGCTTGAATAGACACATTAGAGAAGCCTCTAATGGTAGGCGTTTTGCAAGTAGACAAATATCAAGTTGAGCAGCGCACTGTTGGATAATTCGGAGGCCGGTCCTACACTGAGTAGATGGTTGGGATCAAGGAGAAAGCACATACCACAGCGCAGCGGGCGTAGCAGTCTGAAACGTAAGCCGCTACCAGCGCATTTATCATGCCGACAGTCCTGTACCAGTCGTTGACATGGAAAGCAATGGAAGCAATAGACTACGTACTGCGGTAAGACATTCTTCTTCGTCTTAAGAAGGAAATATGCTGTTGTGCCCGCAAGCAATACGTCACCAGCTAAAGGAATAAATTGTAAGAGAATGATATGGTGAACGCGAGATCAGACCGACCAAACACAATGGCATAATGCGCTGACACTGAAAGCACATTATCAGGACCTGGACAGAGGTCATCGAAACACGTAAGTACACACGCCATGGAGCCAGTTGGCCTGATCCTTGGGAGTCGGATATATAGTGAACCTACAAAGTGGATCAGCTCTAACTCGAGAAGAATCGTAATGTCGGCCTCACTGCAGCGGAGACACAGCCAACGGCAAACAGGTAAAGAAACAAAATCGGCGTAACTATCCACCAGAGTTTCGATATTGTGTACAGTCGGTAGCAAAAATAGAACTGCACATATAGTGCGATGAGTGCAACGAACAGGGTATTGCCTGTACATCGATTAGATACAGAGCATACAGAGAGTCAGCAAGTCGTGACGCACATCTTTCATACCAAGCAGTATTCCGCATGTTGGATGCACTATCGAAATCATCGAAATGTACTATCTGCTGCACCCAAACAATGACACTGGTAGGCATCAGCTTAAAATCTTGTGGTCTTTAAGAAGGGGAGGGATTCTCACAAACACTGAATGTAGCAACCAACATAAGTAACTGAATAAACATTTGAGAAAGGCCAAACTGACAGACCTGTATGGATTTTAGTGTCGTGATGACTGCGAGAATCCCCACGGCCGCCGTAAATCGATAGCCATCCGTACCACCGTACCACGAATAATAATTTGAGAACTAGTTCATAGCGTTAGGCTTGTTGTCATACTGGTATAGTTCAGAACGCAGCTCACCTGAGATGTGAGCACGCCCTGGAGAATTAGATCTAGGCACAGCCCGACCAGCTAGTACCACGTCAGAATCGACGAGACGGACAGAAAGAAACGCAACAGCACATACCCAGGGACCCAGAGTTGTAGCTGCGTCACTGTTGCCGTCCGGATTAGCGGGGGCGTCCGACGCCATTGACGGGAAAAGGAAAAGGTACCAGAGGCCTCCAGAACCGTTATGTTAAGTAAAAGCTTCTTTACTTATGGGAAATTAAAGGGCGAAGGAAGTGAACGGAAAATCATCCCTTCAATGATCTTATGGCGAAATCAGAAGCTAAACACCGGTAAGTGCGGTTGGTCGTGGAAGTGGTTGTAAGGGGGAAATGCCTCCGTCCTGCAGCTGTCGTTTCGAGCGCAGTCGCTCGGGCCGTGCCAGAATTGAGTGCTTCAACTCGGAGTTGCATCGTGACTGGTCCTCTTGTGCTCCGATCAAAGTGGTTGCGTTGCCAAGAACGCTGATGGTAAGAATCTTCACAAATCTTTCCGCCGAAATTCTTTGGACCTCTGTTGCAAACTGGTAGTCCAAGATGCATTGAGCAGAGTAAATGCCACTGAAATATGATCGATCAAGAAGGAGCCCTCGATAAAGCTCGGACTCGGCGAGGAAGACTTAACTTACTGACAAGCGGTTTCCTAAGGCACCGCTCCCCTCCATGACGGAAATCAGCATAATGTATCAGGTCCCTTCATCAAAATTTGAGCTGCGCACTGCACTCAAAGCCTCCCATATAAAAGCAAGTCCGGTAAAGTCCGCTTTACCGGAAAGGACAGTTAACTGGAACAAAGTTTCCAAATTTTCTCCAGAAGGCAGCGATAGGCTTCAAGCATGTATGCCCAAGAAAGCGGATTTATGACTTCTCCTTGGCATGAGTGCAAATGAGTACGAGTCTGATGTTCGTAGAAGAGTAGGATCAGAACCTGGTCTTGTGTAGCTGTAAAAAGGCGGCCGAGTTGCATTTGCTCTTGAACACCAGAGATCTCTGTATACGAATCTTTTGTCGTAAGCCAAGCGACGGTATGTAGCTTCGGCATATATAAGTAATATGGCCGGGATTTGGCGAGGTGAGGCATCCGTATCCGTAGCAGACCATGCTGCGCCTGTGATGTTCCCAATGACAAGAATGAATGGAAAGGTCGTGAGAGAATGCCAAGTCTCGACGCGCTCGGATGACACAAACCCGCATTCATTGCCGGCGCAGCACCCCATTGCCAATACGAACATCCTGCATGTAATATAAGTATCGCTCTTGTTGAGGGAGGGTCGTGAGCTCAAAATTTTCACTCACAGACCCGTATCTGTACCAGAGTCGCCCTTGGACCACCGAGAGTCGTGTATGCGGCTGTCTTGCACCATTGAACCGGGGTGTGTCGCTATCGTTTTCCCCATCACATTCAGCGCAGGTGTGCATATAATAGGCCCTTATGCGACGTTCGTCTGTCAGGAAGGCAATTCAATGTACATAAGTTATAATTTTCGTCAGCGTGGAATGATTGACACAACTAACCGCGGAATTAGAGGTCGCCTCCCACGCAGTGTATATTCTCCACTTCTTCAGGTCTGTCCTCCGAATGTCGGATTTCCCTTAATGTTGACGGAGCTTTTGGCGGTTAGGAACCGTATCGCGGTGCCTATATATGTGTATACTTGGCAACTCCGAAGACATTTCTTCGCTCGACAATTAAAACCCGAAGGATGACGCTGTTTTAGTTTCCTGGTACTCATCGTTACCATGGAGAAAATGCCCATGACTGCCTCGGTGAGTGTTTGGGACAATCCAACCCTAAAACTGGCCTATTTCGTTGTCGAGGATAATGAATCTGGACTCACTGTGTTGCTTCCGGATAAACCTGTCTCGATATGTGATAATCCCGTTTCACTGGATGACGAAAGTTCGCTGGCAGCAAGTGCCTGTCTTGTATCCACAATCAAGGCTAGATGGAATGGTTAGTCTCTTGTGAGGCATATAAGCAGAGATACATACAAGCACAAGACTCTAAAACCTAAATTTTCGAGGTTTGGGAATATGCTCGTTATATTATGGGCAATCAAGTCATTGATCCGTGGCGAAATGAACGGATGCATTATTGGCCGGCCAATGAGCGCAAGGCTCGGAAGGAGGCCTGCCGCCTGAAAGGAATCGGAAAACGTTCTCGATAGGCATGTCACTTCCATGGCATAGTTACCGCGTTGAATAGGCCCCACTCCAGCACCCGAAGCTTCAACCCACGTCGGTAATTTGGCTAGTCCTCCGAGTTCCTGACGCTATAAGGAATGGATCGACACATGCTCTCATGGACTATACCAACAGATGCTAGTGCAGTCGGATGCACTCATAGCTCGGTACCGATTTCGACCCCACGACGAGGTTGTCAAGACGGAATATCTCTTGTGTTTTTGAAACGCCACCAACATGAAGAGTGAACTAGTGTCGAATTTCGAACCCAGATAGAATAACGGCGGTGGATGATTTGTTATACTGGACGTCATAGATAGGTGCCCACTTTTACCAGAGCGACTCGTCGGTTGAACATTTAGCAAGAAATCGTGTTTGGTAGACGTAGTACTTCTCTTTGCTTTCCGTCCTCCGAATGACTCTGACCGTACAGCAAGCCCTCACCCCTGCGAAAAAAAAAAAACAAGGAGAACGTATGAAGAATGGCTAGTTCCTAGCTTTGTTCATTTATTCGCGAGTCTCCTCCATGAATCCAAAACCATCCAATCCAAGTTTTCATAACTTTTCAAGAGAATTTGAAGAGTGACAGCCTTTCTGAAGGTAGAGATGTCATTTTACAGCGAAAGATGAGGTCGAAGGATGGTTAAACTTTCCTTCAGTGAAGCAGGAATGATATAGGAAGGAACTCCAAAATGAGGTGAGTTTTTTTGTTGGATTCTTCCTTCAAGCAGTAAGCAAGGAGCATTGGCTTAGTCATCATCCGGTCCGATTTCCGTCAAGTCGGGGCTGCCGTGGGAATTTCTATCCTTCTCCCCGACTGGCGTTCTTCTTCAGCGAGGCGCGATTTTTTGAAGCACCCTGTTTTACTGACGAAAAATCCTGGATCCAGTGATATGAACTTCACACTCGATGTCTTCTTACTTCCAATAATTCTGATGGTCGCGATGAAAATCACAAAGCCGGGCCGCACCTTGCCTTGACCTTGCCGCCCCAGTGCCAGTCGTATCTAGGCCCCGCGGACCGTAGCTGTTCCGAGACATTGCATACTGGCTCTAACCTATCTAGCAGTGAGCGATAATTGTTGATCCTAAGAGTGTCGGTGGCTAGTATATTCCTAACTATTACCTAAGTAAGCTTTTTCCTGCTCTGCACTCTCCTCTGGTGACTGATTTCTCGTATTTCGAGGGAATAACTACAACGAACTGTGACACGTTTTTCATGTCGCCCATCAGCTACTATCCTTGTTGGGGATCCCTATGATGCACGGCTACCATGTATGTCCGGCATGGTGTCCACGCGTGGAGTTCGCCTGTATGACGACATCCAATCGCCTCGCTATAAGTATACACGCCAACACCATGGACATAACACAAACCGTCACTCCAAATCATGGCTTCCGTTACGACTGAAGATGTTCTCATTATCATGGTATGTACCTTCAACGCGGAATTGTAGTCACTTTACTGATCAGAGCACCTGTAGTTTTCCATTCTACTTCCGCCAATAGCGGTCATCTTGATGAAGCGGCCCCTGGCGGATGTCCTCATCAACATCATTCTGACGCTTTTCTTCTGGATTGGAGGAGTAATTCATGCACTCTACTTGTTGTACCAGAGGCGAAGGTCGTGGTGGTGAAGGTGCCGTAACTTGTCTACTGTATGTGAGTGTACAGTAGCAACGTCAATATGAGCGTTACGGGTGGCAGACAAAGGAACTGGGAAACAACACCACAGTTACGCGTTACGTTGCCCATTTTTGGCAACGACATAGTGCCTTCGAAGTCATATTTTGGCACCTGGTCTCTGCCATTTGCTGTTTTATAGCCTGAAATGTGTTCGAGCATGTATTCCCAAATTAAACTTACTGAATAGAAATTTTTTATTCGAATTTTTTTGGATTTTCCATACCGTAACGCAAAAAAATAGGAAACAAGGTGCTCGTTACACGTTACGGAGAGCAAAATAAGCAACGAAACAGGTCCAGCGTTACGCGTTACGGTTTCTACTGTACACTCACGTACAGTATTGACACTACAACCGCTGATTTAGGACAAACAGGAATGCTGACATCCTATGCTGTGATTTATTTATTTAAATCAATTCATTGCCTGTCTACGTCTCGTCGTCTTAATACCTGGAATGGGATGTGAAACTCATATATTGCTACTGCTGGAATGGGAAGGAATGTATATTCATCCAAAAGCCTGGGTATTTCCAGCCGATATCATGCTGGAAACATTGGATCTCTGTCTGACAGTGTTTTTGTCGTCTGTGTCGTCTTGGTTTCCTATTCACACCCTCGTTTCCCCCAGCTACGCCCGAACGGATGATCGGTAGGAACCTCCATGTTTGCATCACTCACTCGCCCGAAGTATTTAAATTGACGCGACTACGCCACTTTCCTGGTCATTCATTTACCTCTCCATGTCGCGATATTTGCATGCCTTCATCGTTTCGTCTTTTATCTCTGTCTGCCTCTGCGCATGAACGATGGTTGAGGTCGCTATACCAGGTATTTCCCTCGTATTTCCATCCCGTCCGTCCTCAAACAAAGCGATGGTCAAGCTCGTGCTGGATAGCTCATCCTCTGACAGGATCATGCCTGTAACGTCGTCAGTCACTCAACTATTGTGCGGAATCGATCTCTTCTGACCTCCTTAAGCCCCGTAATTGCGGATTCCTCAGAGACATAAATTATGGACGCAGTCCGTATCCCCGGCGTATTCCTAAGATCTTGTCCAAGCTGTTGTTATCGTTCAGGTCCTCCCGGGATTTCGAACAGCAACCCGACCAGGGAATTAGTCGGATTCTGGTGGACGCAACTTTGGAATTATTCGGCACCTTTTCGATGTTGCCTGACATATTTTCAGAGAAACGCAGCAAAAATTTGAGCACGACGTCCATAAATAGATCCCTAGGCGTCGTTCATAAGAGAAAAGGCACGATTATATAATACGCAACTTCCATTCAACCCACTGTCCACCATGCAACTGAAATATCTCAGAGATCGGTGGTTCTTTTGTTTTTCTGGTGAGTGCATCTCCGGCATATGTCCATATGCGTATTGATGTATTGGATGCTTTCTGGTGCCTCAGTTCCATCTTCCACGTTCATTTTAGGCCTAGATTGATTTGCCTTAGAAACGACCAGTCTATGCCTGCGGTAACTGCTACGCACGATGGCAGATCTCTGTAATTAAAAATATCCTGTGCAATTACTGCGAGAGCGCAGGCAGCGCAGCTCTTGATCGGGAATACAAAAGCTTCAGGTCCTTCTCGAACCGTCTTTACCGAATATTTTCTCTCTGTCCACAGTGTTGTGCTCTCTGTCACTCTTTCAACAGCCCACTCTCTCTGTAGGCTCCTCTCCTTTAGTTATCCATTTTCTTTGGCTGAGAAAATATAGGTTCTCCAAGCATGCTTTTCTCCGCCAAAGTTATTCTTCTCTCTTTTGCCTCCGCTATCCTTGCTGGCTCTGCACATGATAGCAGCCTTAAGAGGCACGCGAAATTGAAGAGCCGTCTTTCAAGTCAAGCCCTCGAGGCACGCTCCGAATCCGTTGAAGCTTACTATGGGTTCCAGGTAAGGATTTCACTTCTGTTTGACGTGAGAGGCTGACCATCCCATTGCGTGATTTATTAGAACAGCACCATTACCGCCTGCGGTGTATATTTCAACGATACGGACTACATCATTGGATTGAGCTCTGACTATGTAACCGCTGACTATACTGACAACTGCGGCAGGTCGGTGAGTGTCACTTAGCCTCTCCCAATCTTCGAACGCAGTGCTCATTTCGGATGTTTTTCATAGGTCACTGTCTACTTGACTGACGACAGCTCTTCTTCCATCGAGGTCACCGTCGGCGATTCGTGCGATAGTGATGCCTACCTTTCCATTGCTGCCTTCGAAGCCCTTGCCGGGTCGCTTGATGCTGGCGTTTGTGAGTCACTCGGTTTTTCTTGCATTTCTGATCTAACATCCCCATATAGTGAATATCACCTGGTCATTCATTGACGAAGCCACCACGACCGTATCTTCTGGTGAGCGTTTTTCTAGCTTTCTGCCAGCTTGTGGACCACGGTTGACATATCTTCTAGCATCTACCGAAGCTTCTAGTGCCTAAATATTCCATATCTCTGACATCGCGTCGGGTTAAAGGATTAGGGACGGACTTGTGCATAATTTCGGGACTTTTCTTATAAAGACCGTTACATTTAGTACCGTATCGTAGTGAAATTTATTGTTCTCCTGTTATACATGGCTTCCCCTCAATTTGTCACTGCATTTATTTCTCAAACGACAAGCACACCAAATCAAAGGAGACTACACCGCCCTTTCGTTCGTCATCGGACGTCCTTCAAATAAAGTGCAGTGCACTGGCATAACAAAAGATTACAGTACAAATTTGACTGGAAATGCTTAAATAAATAAATCCTAGAGTCTGAATACTACCGTTTGAATAACACGAGAAACCCTCCCCAGGCTCTCAGTCGGAGAAGACTGGACTCGGAGAATCGGGGCTGGGACTGGATGCTACGTTCACAGCGACTCGCGGTAGGTGTTCTAGGAAATTATTCAACAATATTAACATGTAGTAGACTTTTTCATGCATAGTGATGCTTTGAGATAACGAAATACAACGGGAGTTGGGCTGTTCACGCGCCGTGGGTGATCGCGAAGTAGATCGACGCTGTTAAGGTGTTCAATTCCTTTTTGAGACGCCGGTGTCGTCACTCAGAGGAAACAGAGCCAAACATCAGCCATCGAGGTGAAGGCGCGGTTGCATCGCTATCTTGATAACTTACCGTCATCATGTCCCGCCAGGACAAAGCGACCACCGAGCGATTTACGAAGACTTTACGAGAGCTTGTCAAGAAACCGGAAAACAAGCTGTGTGCAGACTGCAAGCGTAATGGTGCGCGCCTATTTCACTCTGATATCTCGAAGTCGAAATTCATGCTCGTTTAGATCCTCGATGGGCCTCCTGGAATATGTATTAGCTTTTATATCTGTCGAAATGAACTGGAAGCTCATACGAACCTCAAAGTGGCGTCTTTCTTTGTATACGATGTTCAGGCATCCATCGTGGCATGGGCACCCATATTAGTCGTGTCAAGTCTGTAGACCTGGACGTCTGGACCCCGGAACAAATGGAGGTATGCTATCAGCGCGCCTTCCAAAGCTATGTTTACTGACAGTCGTAGTCCATTCAAAAATGGGGAAACTACCGAGCGAATCTTTACTGGGAAGCTCATCTCAAAGCTGGACATATTCCTCCTGATCAGTGCGTGACATTAAGTGAACAGGAATGCATCCTAATCTTGAACATTCTAGTAAAATGGAATCTTTTATACGATCCAAATATGAATCACGGCGGTGGGCGATGGAAGGACCTCCACCACAGGATCCATCGATGCTAGAAAATGGATCGAGCGCAACGCCGCCACCGCCGCCGCCACAGCAGCAACAGCAATCAGCCACACCGGTGCACCAAACTGCACGCGCTAGCCCTTCTCGCGTTCCTGTGACCAACCGTCAACCCCAGCCGCATCACCTACTCTCTGCCAGTTACGCGTCACAGCACAAGACACAACCTACTCCTGCTGCTGCTGCTCCAGCTCCAGCCCCGCCACCACCGCAACCGAAACCGAGCGATGACCTCTTTTCGCTCGATTTCCATTCCCCCGTTTCATCATCACCACCTCCACAGCAGGATACTCAGCAAAAGAAAGACGTCAAGCAGGACATACTATCGCTGTTCTCTTCCCCCCCGTCCGCTGCGCCCACACCAACTTCTCCTTGGGGACAGCCTCAGCCTCAGCAGCAGCAACAACAGCAACAGACAACAAGCATGATAGGCGCGAATGGGGCAGGAATGTGGGGCGTCAGTTCAGGATGGAATTCAGCGGCAGCTCCTCCCCCTCCCCCTCAGCAAAGTCTTTGGGGCGCCTCAGCCCCGCAGCAGCCACAATCGCAGCCGTCTTTATTTGCTAGCAGCGCTGCCATCTGGGGAACGCCTGCGCCGTCAAACGGGATCAGCCAAACGTCGAATGATCTCTTCAGGCTCGTTCGCTAGTGCGGGAGCTACAACTACAACTACCGCACAGAAGAAGGATGATGTCTTTGGAGATATTTGGGGGGATTTTAAGTGAAGCATCGCATATCCTGTATGCATAGTAGGTACTTCATAAATCTAGACTTTTTCAAGGAGTGGAAAGATTGTATCTTCAAAAAGCCGAAGGGAACGGTGGCCTTGATATGGCAGAGCATCCGATATCAACCCTGTAACCACCAGATCATTCATTTTCAGACTCTGTGGAGGTCAGTATTTGTCGTGTCTGCTCCAGAGTCCCATAAAGTTACCCTAGAGAATGTGGAATTTCGGGAATTGCCGGGTCAGCGGCGTGCGAAGTTGGAATTGGTCCAGGTCTTTCTTTCATTTTTCATCCCACAGCGCTTGGAGTTATCCATACTCTACTTGCTAATTATCGCCCCAGCGATACTCTGTAATCACCTGGTGCTAGCTGTGAGTTGTGTTTCATGCTCATTTCTGTGTATTTGGTTCGCATTCGAGTCTAATGATCTTGGATCGGGTTCATTACACTTTACTCTGCCCTAAATTGCTTAGGACGAGGTTTCGACTGAGTAGCAGTATTATACCGGCTTATCATTTCATTTCAGTACTGAAAAAACAATCTCAAGTTTAACGAAACTTTTACACAATGTCGACTACTTTTCCTGTGTGTACACCCGCACCTGTTTTCTCCTGCATATTCTCAGCTCATCCATAGGGGCACCAAATATTACCTCTCGAGTTAATTGATAGGATCACAGATGAAGTTTATAGTTCTTCGGGCAACAGCAAGGAAGACTTGTATAACCTGTCGTTGACTTCTCGCGAAGTTGGCAAGCGAGCCACGGCACTGATTTTTCGTGTTGTGAAGCTCAAAGGAGGTGCTTAGGGGTCAGACCCCGAAGACGACGTCTTTCAACTACACGTCCTCTTCGAATCCAACCGTGACCGTAGCCTGGCAGCATTGGTCAGGATATTGGTTTTTGGCTTCCCGGAGGAAGGTGAAAGTACCTTCTCGCCCAGCCTTCCGTTTGTCCTTGGGTAGATGCAGCACCTGCATATCATTAAACTGACCGGCGTTGATCCTTCACTGGTATACCCTCGATCCCCCTTCTTCTCTGCCTTCGCCAATCGTGCCAATCTTACCGACATTCGTCTTTATGACATATCCATGAAATACAACGAATTCGAGACTATCCTTCGCTCGAACTCGTCTCTTAAATCTCTCCTCATATCCAGCCTTTGGATAAATGAGTTTCATGAATCTTCACGCGTCTTCGGGCGTCATTTTCGGATCCATGAACCGGAGGCTGTGGCATGGGAGGATTCTAAGTCGCGCTATCATGGCCTTCAGCCCAAAACGGCTCTCGAGCTTCCGATCGAATGTTTAATCATGAAGTTGGCGACACCCTCGGATTACAAAGTAATGGGTCTTTTGATGTCTTCTCGACTCCCTATCCTCCTACGAGGGAGCCTCAAGAGACTGGCAATTTCTACTGCCACAGGTACAGTTTGTAAGGCGACAGCAGACAGAATCATAGCTTTTCTCCACTCTTCGTTGGCCCGATCCGTGTCGCAGCTGCACTTGGCCGAGCATGAAGTGGAAGGATGTGAGTCATATTTCTGTCTGCCTGTACTTTATTCAAAGGGTACTGTAGACTGGCCGGGCTCTCATGCTCCTAGGAATCTGGCCACCGTTCGTCTACCACTTTGTACAACTCTCGATTTGCACTTTGCTATCAGGGATTACGAGTGTAGGTGCACGGCAGGTCCCCTTTGGTTCTCTTCCATTCTCAAAACCCTCACTCCGGAGCAGCTTCCCGTCAAGAAGCTTCTTCTCGTCTTTGACTTTTGGTTTGATTGTGGGTATATCGACTATATGACTCCTCCTGAAGACTTCTGGTGTCGTCTTGACAATGCACTCTTTGCGAATTGCTTAGATTTGGAGGAAGTCGGGGTTCATATAATTCTTCGCGCCGAAGATCCAGAGAGATTCTTTCCTGATGAAGACGAAGAGAGCGAAGCAGAGGAGACTGACGAATCAGAGAGTGGCTTAGAGGAGAACGAAGAAGACAAACGAATGGCTCAGAGTTGGGCGGGGAGTGGAGAGGAGAGCGATGCGGAGAGTGATCCGGATGACAGCACCTATATCACGGACCAGAGCGAATATACGGATGCCGAAGAGGACGAGGATGATGTAGAACTCGGGAAGAACGGTGGGCACGGCGGCGATGGAAAAAGCCAGGACCACAAGGAGGCCGATGTCACCCCTCGACATATACTCCAACACTGGCTTTTCGGATTTGCGCTTCCCAAGACGAACTCCCGCTATCAATTTCAACAGGACGAAACCAACTCTTCTGCCTCGGAGAATGGAGTCAAATCTTGGATCCGTTTTTCAGAAAGAACCAGCAAAATTGAGCCTATTTTCGATATTGATGAATTTTCACTGAAGTAGTGTCATGCAGTTTCTTCCTTCTTCACCCTGTATCATGTAAAAGTAATTGGCTTTGCTCGTCTTGGGGGATATCATCCTAATAAAATATACTATTTTGATATTTTGCGAAGAACACAATATGTTGAAAGACTTGGATCGCTTGTCGTGGACGTTAGGGCATAAAGATGTACCTAGAACGTTATCGTACAAAAGAGTGAATGATCTCAGCTCGTATTACACAGGATCCATAAAGGACGACACTCAAGTTTTCTGTTTATGCGAAGGGCACAATAAGAAGCGCGGTGCCAACGTCGAATTTCGGAAATTGCCGACCATCGTGTGAAGTTGGAAGCCTCTCTTTTTCTCCATCTCCATCCCACGACGCTCCAAGCGCATTGCAGTTATCATACTTTATTTTCCAACCAACGCTGTGTTGATACTTTGTGGTGATAGCTGTGAGTTGTCTCTCAAATTCAGTTCTGAGAGGCTTTGCTTCTGGGTCCTTGCCTAAATTCGATCGCGTCTACTATACTTTCTCCAACCATCAACGTTCCTACCGGTTAACGTTATTTTATACTGGCTAATTATTGCATTTCAGCCAAACGTCCAATCTCATAGGGAAATATCACTGGCAGACTCGACAAAGCTGGTTGCACAATGACAACTACTCTTCCTGTACGTACGTCTGCACCCATTCTCTGTTGTGTATTCTCACTTCATCTACAGGGACATCAAGTGCTAGCTCCCGAGCTCGTAGACAGGATCACGGATGAGGTTTACAATTCTTCGGACAACAGCAAAAAAGACTTGTATAACCTGTCGTTGACCTCTCGGGATGTAGGCAAGCGAGCCACGGCACTGATTTTTCATGTTGTGAAGCTCAAAGGAGGCGCTTCGGAGTCAGACCTTGAGAACGACGTCTCCAGACTTCGCGTCCTCTTTGAATCCAACCGCAATCTGGCAACGTTGGTCAAGGTATTGGTTCTTGACGACCCGGAGCAAAATTCAAATACTTCCTCGCCCAACCTTCTGTTTGTTCTTGGGCAGATGCAGAAACTGACTATCATTAAAATGCTCGGCATTGAATCGCGACCCCCGCGACGAGGCCGGGTCTCTTTCTTCACTACATTCGCCAACCGTACCAGTCTCACTGACATTCGTCTTTATGACATGTTCATGAAATACCGCGAGTTCGAGACCATCCTTCGCTCAAGCCCAGCTCTCACCTCCCTCCTGATATCCAACCTTAAGATAGATGAGTTTTCTAGCATGTCTTATGGGAGCGTACATTATCGCGGCACAGTTGTCATGAAGCCAGAAGCTGTAGCATGGGAGGATACCAAATCGCGCTATCATGGCCTTCAGCCCCAAAAGCTCTCAACCTCCCGATCGAACGTTTGATCATGAGGTTGTCGACATCCTCCGATTACGGACTAATGGACCTTTTCATGTCCTCTCGATTACCTATCTTCGTACCTGGACGCCTCAAAAATCTCGCAATATCCTACGTCAGAGGCTCGCTTAACAAAGCAATAACAGACAGAATAGCTGCTTTTCTCGAATCTCCACTGACCCAATCTGTGTCGCGGTTGCACTTGGGTGAGCATGAAGGGGATGGACGTGAGTCGGATGTGTTTCTTTCTGTCCAGTTTTGTAACAGCACTACAGACAGATGGGGCCTTGATCCTGCTCGTAGTTTGGACACTGTCCGTCTTCCGCTTTGCGAAGCCCTCGAGTTGCGCCTCATCTTCCTTGACTGGCACACTTTCGGGATCAACGACACATGGATTGCAAATATGCTTGAAACCATTTCCCATACGCAGTTTCCTGTCAGGAAGCTGCTTCTCGTCTTCGACTTTCGTTTTTTCAGGGGCCATATGGTCAGCAATCTGCCCACCCCAGATGAGTTGTGGGTTGGTCTTGATAATGCGCTCTGCGCGCATCATTTTGACTTGGAGGAAATCGGGGTTCATATAATTTTTTCCGTCGAAGATCCAAACAATGAACTTGAAATTGATAATCCTTACGAAGAACGCATTGTGGAAGAAGAAGAGGCGGAAGAGAGCGACGGATCAGAGAGTGAAGTTGAGGAAAGTGACGTCGCGAGTGGAGAGGACGAGAGTGACATGGAGAGCGACGAAGAGAGCGACCCAGAAGACAGCACCTACATCCCGAACCAGAGCGAATATACGGATGCCGAAGACGAGGATGATGTAGAGCTCGAAAAGAAAGAGGAGGAAGACGATAATGCAAAGGGTCAGGACCACAAGGACACCCCTGGACATATACTCCAACACTGGCTTCTCGGATTTGCTCTTCCCAAGACGAACGCCCGCTATCATTTTCAACAGGACCAGACCAACGTTTCTGCCTCGGAGAATGGAGTCAAATCTTGGATCCGTCTTTCAGAAAGAACCAACGAAAATGAGCTAATTTTCGATATAGACGAGGTTTTACGTCGGACCTAGTACTATTCGGTATATCTTTGCTTCTTGACCCTGTATCATGTACAGATATAGTTGCTCTTCTTGGGGACTTCGTCCCAACAATATAAATCTATTTTACCTACCTACCGCATCGACTTTCTCCTTGGCAATGGACCTGCTGTAGTAAGACTGGGGCCATTCGCCGCTCACCTTAGACAGGAAACGGCTTAGACGTCTCCAAGAATGTTTTCCTATGATAACAGTGAACTCATACGACACCGAAGTAAGTCCTACAACTCAGAAATACGTAAAGTCCAGAATGAATAGTATACAAAAGCCAACAAGTCCCAAATCACAGCTTGAGAACTCATCGGCGCATTTTTGCTGACCGGTCGTTACAGGAAATCGTTGAAGATGTGTTTTCATCTCAGGCGTATCCATAGCACGTTAGCACGTCAATAACCGCCTCACTCGCGTTGAATACTCCGGGACCTTTCCGTGACAGCAAACTTGTTCATCCAACATTGGTCACCAGGGGTGGCTTGGAGAGGACAAATCGTTTGTCGCCTTCTTGAGGTATAAATGTCGTCTGTAGACCCTCAGCCGTTAACGGAAAAGGAAGATAAAGAGTCCCGGGCGTCCTAGAGTGGTAAGGAAGCTGTTGTTCGAGAAAATGGCAAATCTACGTGCGGAATTCAGGATTTTGACATGTTCTATGACGATTTTATCGGTGATTTGATATCCTGGGAGCCAAAGACTAAGAGATGGCTGTACGTATTGATATTCGGATGGCGTCGAAGCCCATGTCTTTAAGACTATACTTATCAAAGGTGTTGTGTGCCAAGAGTCGCTAAAAAAGCTTAGTCAGGAAGTATTGCAGTAGCCTCAGAATCCTGTATCATTGGATACGACGAAGCGACCTGTCATGAGCTTGATCATCGCTTTGTTTGAGCATGGATGGGATGGAAATAGGATGGAAATACCTGGCAAATCGACTTCGACCGCCATTCATTGGCGCAAGTAGAGAGGCAGACGGAGATGAAACGATGAAGGTGTGCAAATATCGCGACATAGTGGAGGTAAATGAAAGAGCAGGAAAGAGCATCACCGCGTCAATTCAACAATTACGTGACAGAAACTTTAAATCTCGCGTTTTCATTTTTACCAATTATCCGAGCGTAGTTGGGACAGCATTATATCGACCGGGAATGACTAGGTTTTTTGATGAGCATAAGTTACATTCCTCCCATACTAGCAGCCGTGATACAGGATTTGTGTTTCACATTCCATTCCAGACATTGCGACGAGGAGGAATAGACAGGCAATGAATTTATTTAAATAGATCACAGTATAGAACGTTAGCATTTCTGTTTGTCCTGAATCAGCGGCTGCAATGCCGATAGACGAGTTACGGCACCTTCACCACCACGACCTTCGTCGCTGATATAATAAGTACAGTGCATGAATTACTCCTCCAATCCAGAAGAAAAGCGTCAGGATGATGTTGATGAGAATATCCGCCAGGGGCCGCTTCATCAAGATGACCGCTATTGGCGGAAGTAGAATGGAAAACTACAGGTGCTCTGATCAGTAAAGTGATACAATTCCGCGTTGAGGGTACATACGATGATAATGAGAACATCTTCAGTCGTAACGGAAGCCATAATTTGGAGTGACGGTTCGTGTTATGTTCATGGTATTGGCGTGTATACTTATAGCGAAGGGACTAGATGTCGTCATACAGGCGAACTCCACGCGTGGTCACCATGCCGGACATACATGGTAGCCTTGCATCATACTGGTTTCCAAAGCATTCAAACAATAATACTAGCTGATAGACCACACGAAAAGACACTTCATAACAATTTATAGCAGCTACTGCCTTACAAGCTGTACAGGAAACTAAACCCTTGGATTAGAGGGAGTCGGCACCGGAAAGGATAGGTTTACCTAGATGGTAACCCAGCTTATTGTCTTCCTCACACCCTCGGGGTCAAAACATTATGGGATTATCGCCATTATTAGTATGCCATGCGTGTTGAAACAGCTACAGTTGGCGGTAACTCTTTTGCATCGTCCTTCAATGCCGATGTTCTGAAGAGATCCTGATAATTGTAGGAAAATTATATCGCGAAGCGATGAACTTGCCTTGCGGGTGGTTAATTATTGAATTCAGCCAGACTTTTGATGAGGGCGCCCCCGAAAATCAAGCTAGACTACTAAATATTAGAAGAAAAAACGCACGCCTATCAGACCTGAGAGAATGCTGGGCGCTGCAAGCGGAGAGAGAAGGAGGTGAGTGTTGAAGGATTTCCCACGGCTGCTCGATTGGCTCGGAGATCGGACCGTATTACTAAGCTCAAACATTCCCAGTACTACTTATCACCACGACGTTTCGCTCGTTCGCCTCTTATCTTTGCTTTTCCTGCCTCATATCCCGGCTATCACTTTATACTGCGATTTTATCTTTCCTAGAAGATATTCAAGAGCTGTGTGTGCTGCTCCGGCGCCGAGGAAGCACTTATTGTTACATACGCTCGGTTTAACAAATGGTCCTTGGAAAGTTGATTCGGACGAGCCCCGAAACAAAATCAAAGAAATGAACCTCGTGAGGAACAAAGCTATCCGAAACCTTATCTGCATTCTACCCCGAGGGGTGCGCGTATTTCTGCTTCAAGTTAGACGCCCTTACGCCTATTGTTAGTGCCTATCGGCGGCGGTTACTCATTTTCCTAGATAGGCACATCCAATTCAGGAGCTGCTACACTAGGCTATATTTGTTTCTGTCTCCTTCAACCTTCATTTCGCTCACTTAATATCGGTCCAGGGTACGACGGTTACTTCCTAATTAACCGTCTTGAACCTCACCAATCCTTCTCAATGTCGGAGCCGTTTTCCGCGTCGATTACATTTTCATGCTGCTGCAGAGCAAAAATACCTAGCCTAAAGAAGGTGGCACCTGTATCGGGATCCATTCAATTTTGACTTCTACCTCGTGTCAATTGGAGGATTCGATATTCGAGCCTATGCTGTACAAGGGCTGCATGCTAACGCTGTGTCCTATAGATCTCCACGGCTGTTCTATAAGCATTACATGTCTCGGTGTTTGTCTTCATTTCCGGTAGCTGGGCCAAATTGGCGGTTTTGTTGACCTTGTTCATCTGATCATCAGCGGGTCTCCCGCGACTCCACTCATTCAGCCCTTACCAGATTGTGCGATAGCACTTTCTGAGGTTCGGCTGTTGTTGGATTCGCTGGAGGTCCGATTTCATGTGGTTACCATGATATTCACCTTGAATGCAGCATCTATTCTCGATTTTGACTCCTCGGGCATCAACTTCGTTCACAAGTTACGATCCCTCTCTCATACACCTCCCAGGGTTCGTTTGACTCCTCGGCAAACCCCTACATTCTTCAAAGATAGAAGCATCCCTCTCCATCCCTCGGTTTCCCTTACATGGAGAAAGCTCTTGTCTGTCGCATATAAATACCAGGACGTTACCTAGAGGAAGATCATACTCTAGCAGCGTCTCTCCACTACGCGAACAATGTGCTCTACTCCATTATACGCCCTTAGTCCGACCTCCTCTGAAGTAACGCTTTACGATGATTCGACATCATCTAGCCTTCCCCAGTGGATTTACACGACCAAGCATATGAGAATTGACCTCGGCACTCGTATGTGGGGCTCGCATGTCCCGTGCTACGGCTTGAATGGAAACATCGAAGGATCCATTCGCTTCTCAGGCAATCCCAGTACCGTATCAAAGGTCACCGTTGCGGTAAGTTATCGTGCATGTGAGATGCCTACTGCGTCCTGACAGCAATTTTTTAGCTCCAGGTACAGGTTACAACCTCCGAGCAGCGATCTTTCACACTCTTGTCCCGTACTGTTCCCGTCTACACTCCGTTTTCTGCGTCTTCGACCCAATGGAACGATGACTGCGCTTTTTCGCTGCCTATCCCGAGCGAGATCTACTCGAACGGAGGTATTTCGGTTATGCCGCCATCGTTCTCGTACCACAGCTACGATGCGACGTGCGAAGTTTCTTACTTTGTCAAAGTGTGCATGGTGCGAAAGAGGAACGGTTTCAACACGCATGAATCGTGAGTTTTTCACTGGTCGTCTTAGTTTATCATCCTCACTCGTCTTTTTCATCTTAGACGTCTCATACCTATCATGTACCTTCCCAAGTCAGAGCCTTGCCAGGTCCAAAGTGCAGAATCAAAAACGGAGATGATGTCTCTGAAGCCTATGACACCGCAGTGGTCGGGTTCAAAGAAAGGACGTCAAAGGGCAGGCACTCTTGGTGACTTCGATGACGCAGTTCATGTGGGTCCCTCTATCTGAATTTCTTAGCAAAGACTAAAGAGCGTCCTAACAGGTGTCTATCTCTTCCACGAATCTCGCTTCCGGCGCCGGAATACCGTTTTCCGTCAAAATTGACACCGCTAAGCACCCGGTTCTAAATCAGGTATCAGACAAAAATATTCATGTTGCGCTAGTGAACAGAGTCTCGCTCTGGTCATCATCGGGTTCATCAAAGCCTGTGTCATCCGAGTATCAAATTTCCTCCGGTTCTGTGCTGCGCAAGGATGGATCTCAGAGTAGCCTTGTGTTCCAGGGGTCTATCCAAGCAGGTTGTGCGGGAGAAGAGAATTCATGGCGCCTTAACGGCGTTGTAAGCGTGGAGGTAAATTATAGTCTCCTTCTCCCGCTTGGGTTCGTATCTGACTTTGTGTTTTCGTCCAGTACATTCTTCGCATTTCGGTCATTGCGCCCAGAAATCTTCTTGGACAACTCCCTACATTTCATCATGACTCTGTCATTACATTGGCTTCAGACGAGTACGGTACGTCTTGGCGAGAAATGAAGGAATCCTGCGGCGTTCCAGCGCCAGCACTAGGTCTTTGGAGTAACTCGTGCAGGTGCTTGTTCTCTATAGCCTCGCGTTTGCAACTTCTGATAACTCTGTTATAGTGAGTCTAGTGAAGAAGCAATTGCCTTTGCCTATGTCTTCGTTTGTTAGAGACTATTGCTCTTTAACGATCTCAGTACACCCTACAGTTGTATCATGCCCTACAGTTGTATCACGCTGTTACGTATGTAAATAGGGTCAAGATGCTCGACAGCCTCCTTCACATTGAAATATCATCAGCTGGCAAGCGCATCGGAAGTGTCGGGCCGGGAAGTGTTATCCAAATAAACCGCATGCTAAGCCGTCTACTTATCTTCATGATGAGCAGTAACTACAGTGGCTCCGTGCTATTTTCAGACGTTTTCATGCGAATTCACTTTACATGTATCTATCCTCTCACTGCGCAGGAAGACCGAAGGTCTCCGGCGTACCCCGCATGGTAGCACCGACCCCACGAATTGTCGTGTGTGTGGGGAAAAGAAGCTCAGGTGATAACGCGTTATATCCTTTCAGTACATGCAATACACTAATGATATAATAGACGTCCGTAACATCATCATAACCGGACCTCCCACTTCCTTTTTGTCCACTCATGTCGTCAGAGAAATATTCGTCCTCGTCGCCTACCAAGACCTCTCTTGAAAAGGGTGGAGAGAAATGCGAGCTCGTCGAAACCTCCAAAGACAGCGCAACTCAGGTGATCGACAATTTCGGTGGCGAGGCTACGCTGCCGCCGCCTCCGGCATTGACAGAAGCGCAAGAGAAGAAGCTCTGGCGGAAGATTGATTTGAGGCTCATGCCGATTTTGAGTCTGATGTATCTTTTCTCGTTCTTGGATAGAGGTCTCCGTTTTACGTTGCCCTGTATGCTCAAATGCTGATATGAGCTTATTGATAGGAAATATTGGTGCGTAGTGACATACTGATAGAATGACGAGTTTACACTTACGTTTGCTTTCAATAGGAAACGCCAAACTCCAAGGACTTACGACACAGTTACATTTGGATAGCAACAAGTATAACATAGCGCTGGTGGGTGTTACTGTTTGTGACTTAAATCCGCTCTGAATTCCAGCCTGCAGACAATGTACTTTGTAGTGCGTATGATCATCTTTCTCCCTTAGAAATAATTTCATGTCTTTTTTTACAGCCATACTGCATTTTCGAGTGTCCTGCGAAGTGCGTTCATCTGTGCTCTTTTCGTTCGAGCTTTTTTGGACATGACCTTCGTTTAGTCTGGTTTTGAAGAAGTTTCGCCCTTCTCGGTGCGTCGTCTAATTTCGTTTACAAGAACAGTCTGCTGATATAGCATGTAAGATGGCTCCCGGGCATTACCGTCAGTTATTTTGCAATTTCTCTCATCATCCGGGTTAACATAATGGTCGGTAACAGGTCACCTGGGGCATTATCATGTCAGTACCCTGTTTGCATGACCATCTTTCAAACACCTACTCGCCTTCAGGACATTGATGGGTCTTGTGAAAAAGTAAGAATCGTGAATATCTGACCCTATCTCATTTGCTAATTCACTGGAAGTTATCCCCAGCTTGTTGGCGTCCGCGTATGTCTTGGCGTTGCGGAAGCCGGATTGTTTCCCGGTGTTGTATACTAGTGCGTCCGACACTGAAGCTCTGCGCCACCATCATACTTACCCGCCAAGCAAGTTTGACCCTCTGGTACCCTCGTCACCAACTTCAACTCCGCATTGGGTACTTCTTTGGTGCTGCCTCATTAGCCGGGGCCTTCTCCGGATTGTTGGCCTTTGCTATCAGTTTCATGAGTGGTACTCGTGGATTACTTGGCTGGTCTTGGATCTTCGTAAGTCGCTCATATCTTACTATTCTCCTCGGAGACCGATTCATTCTATAGATCATTGAAGGGAGTGCTACTGTAGTGGTTGGGTTGTTGTCTTTCTTCAGTGCGTGTTACGCCTTTCGCTACTTCACTGTATCTCAATGACATTCTCCTTCTAGTCCTGGTAGATTTCCCTGCCACGGCCAAGTTCCTCACGCCAGAAGAGCGCGCGTTTGTTGTTTGGAAGAAGAGTAAGCTTCGTTCTTCTTTTCGATATCTGTATTGACCGATTGTGCAGAGTACGACAATTCATCCGTGGGGGAAGAGGAACATTTTTCTATCCAGCACCTCATTCAGGTCCTCACAGACTGGCAGGTATGCCCTCAGTCTGGGAAAAGAGGCATTCTGATGTATGCTATATTAGGTCTTTCTCCACATTCTCATTTACATGTCCGTCATCGGCCCATGTGAGCGTTCCACGTCCATGTCCCACGAAGACTAAACTCACATCGTTTTCCAGTATATGGCATAACCTTGTTCCTTCCGTGAGTTCTATCTTTCTATTCAGGTATATCGGGTGCTTATCTCTTGCAGAACAATCATCAACACGTACGTATACAATTACACCTCCCCGGCGTTCCGTTAATGCGCAGAATTAGATTCGGCCACACTCCAGCTATCAGTCAGCTCCTTACTGTGCCGCCTTACATATTCGCTAGTATGTTATTATTGCTTATTAGCTATTGTCAGACGCTCATTTGTTTTATTTATACCAGCCATTGTCTTGTACTTGTTCGCTAGATACTCCGACAGACTCAAAATGCGTTCTCCGTTTATCTATCTCGGGCTGGGGATGCTCCTTGTGGGATTCGCTATTAACATATCAGATGTGGCTACAGGGGTGAAGTATTTCGGGACGTTCTTTTGTGTCGCTGGAAGCTATGCCTCGTTCCCAGGAGTTGTGGCTTGGTAAGTGATATAATCCCTTTTTTAAAACTCTTTGCTCACGTTGAACCTAGGCTTGGGAACAACCTCGCGGGTCAGTATAAGCGCGGTGTGGGTATGGCCACCCAGATTGGTATTGGCAACTTCGCAGGCGCCATCGCGTCGAATATATACAGGACGCAAGATTCACCGAGATTTATTTTGGGGCGTGAGTATCGAAGCTGGTTGACTCACTTTGCCACAAACTAAAGAGGCTTTTGTATAGACGGCCTGGAATTGATGTTTGTGGGTATAGGGCTCGTCTGTGTACCGGTGGCGGTGATCAGCTATACAAGGATTAATGCGAACCGGGAGAAGGAGATGCAGAAGGGAATGAACTATTCTCGTGAAGAATTGAAGAAGATGGGAGATAGAGCTCCTGATTTTAGGTACATGATGTAGACGTAGGTACGTTTATTGTAGCCTCACAAGCTAAATGACGGAAGGCATCAGGTTTCTAAATTCTTCGGTAGTGGTGATGGCGATATTCGGACTTTTGTTCAACTCAATTGTCTGATCTGTCTTTTCATTATCTCCATCTAGTACACAGCGACAACGACGATAGGCGAGATACATTATCCTGAGTTCATACGCTGGCTAGGATTGTGTGGAAAACTCAAATTGGTTTTTCACAGAAAGTTACCAGGCCGGGAATCGGGGTCCAAAGGGTTAGGTTAATTACTGAATTAAGAGTTCGACTGTAGACGGCTCAGAGCAGGGGATATAGCAAGGAACGGCCTGAAGTAGAAAGCAAAAATGTTCTGAGGCCGCTGGCTAGGATAGACGGTGGTATTGAAAGGGTATGAGCTACTAGGGACCATATCATATGACTCAGATTATCATCATAAGCTAACTATCATGGGATAATTAGCTCTATGTTGGCCTAATGGAGAAGCGCACTAGCTATGCTTCGAATGCTAGGTTCGATTCCTGGATAGAGCAATGCTGTGCGCCCTATCCTCAGACGTGAGGTGTGGACGCACAGCATGGGTGACAGAACTTTTTGACTTTCTTGAAGGGACTGGGGGATAACCTGATAAAAAATTTCCAGCTACATAAAATCCCTTCACGAGTAAAAATCGAATTTCTTGATCATCTACTCTGAACCACGCCTGAAGCTGAAACCGGAAATGACCACATTCTCCTTTGTTTGCTTACCGACATAAGCATATGACGACATACCTGTCTCGCAACCACCACCACCACCGAACAGACTGAGTAAACATATCAAGGGCGGAGCATGGGTTCTTTTACCAGCGAAGAGATTCTTCTCATCATCGTGAGTACCTCTGGAACAATAGTTTCATTCATCGAATTGAAAACCGTTGCAGGTAGGCATCCTCATCCCGCCAATTGCGGTGATTATTATGAGGCGCTCCGTTGCGGAAATCCTCATCAATATCGTCCTGACGCTGTTCTTCTGGATCGGAGGGATCATACATGCAATGTACTTGATATATCAGCAAAGAAAGTCGAGGTTGAGGTGCCATGGTTTCTCTGGCCTGTTTGTGGAAATACTAACCTTGTGTAACCCGGATGCCGGTTACATCGGCTATTCCCGATGTGACATAGATACGAGGGATTGCCATGTCACGTCTCTTTAGTTTACCACCACCATCTGTACCGTCGTCTCACGAATACCGAGCTGGTTCCTTGCACATCTGTGTGAACGAGTTCTTCAGTGTAGCTCCGTGGCTACGAGCTTCCACCTTGCCGAAACAGTTCAAGTTACAACTACTAGAAAGGTAGCCGTGTAATAGTAACTGGCGAGCTCTTTACCTGTTGGATTTTGCTGCAGTGGGGAGCGCTGTGAATGTTGTTCCAGTTGAAATGATAGTCTGCAGTCTAGTAATGAAACGATGTAGTGTACAAAACGAATCGGACGTGAATAGATGCGAAGAATCAGAGCGCCAAGTCATAACCACGTTCATCTGGCACCGCGAAGCCAATATTGATGCAAAACGCGCCAGGCGACATCTTGACCACCTCCTCGAAAGGGTCTACTATTTCCGAATCAAAAGGTAACGGCTCATCGAGAAGGGCGTCCGAGAGAAACGGGTCTGAGAATGGGGTGAGACGCGTTTTGAGTCCGGTTAGAGTTGGTCGCTGGCGACGAGGGAGAGTGCTGGATTGTAGAGGGACAAGGCGAACTTGACCCTCGACGAAATATGGAATAAGGAAAAAGGGCGAGGCTGGAGGTTGCTTAGATCTGGCTTCTGAGTCACGGAATAGTGTGTGCAAGTCGCAGAATGGGTCGATCAAAGGAGAGCATGGGTAGTTTTCCTCGGGCAGAATCTCCGTAGAAATATCGATGGGCAATGAACACAAGTCGAGTTCTGGCAAGAGATAGTCTGGCGAATTTTCGTATAGATAGTTTTGAGCGTCGTAACAGGGAGGAACGCTTGCTTCAGAGAGTGGAGCCATAGCATTGTCGTCTAACCGAGAAAGCGGGCGGCGAGAGCGCCTTGAACGCCTAAGCTTCTGGATAATAGGCAGATTTGCCTTCTCCTCTGACAGCCCGACAGGTGCCGTCCGTGTTCGCTGTTGTCGACTCGGGACGGCGACGTTCTCCTTGTTGTCCCGAGATATTTTCTTTCTCGCGGGAGCCATTACCTGGAAATCTATATCAGAAACTCGTATGAACAGGCGAGATTAGATGCTTACGGAGGGTATCCCTTGAGGTGAACTTGGTTGCAAAACAAACACGATTTCAGGTAGCGATGATAATAGCAGCCTAGAGAGCCTTTCTCTGATGGTACCTTTGATGGTAGCCAAGGATTACAAACGAGCTTTGTACGAAAATGTTAGAAGGGAGTCACAGTAACAGGAGAACTATAGGAGAACAATGTAGAACGGAAGCAAGATCGGTTATAGGTCGGAGAATACCGGACGGAACCGGAAGACAATCGCCCTCCAGTACGCCCATTGTGTGCATCCAATTCGTATCTCTCACTTACTTCAAGGTCACTTTCTATTATCCTTCCTATGACAATAATTGTCTAGCCACCTTCCTAGTCAAATTCCCAAAGTGTATCGGTATTTCCGAATCATGAACTCGACAAAATTTTCTTTTGTTCCTTCACGCAGGCTGTGAATGCCGTATACGTATTACTCTGATGAGTATCAAGTTTCATCTAGATGAGGAAAACAGGTCCGTTCTCGAATCATTTCCTATATAAATAGCACCTATAGCGATGGCTGAAGCCCCCATAAAAAAGCTGTATTTTCCAGTTCTGGTCCTTCCTTTGTCATACTATGTCTACGACTATGCAGGTGAGATTTTACGCTAGTTCATCCTATTCGGGCTTACAGTGTGCTTTTGGGGACCTCAGGTGCTGTCCCAACAGCTCATTGACGATATTACCGATGAGGTATCACACTTTGGCGACGATGATCGTGTGCCAACCTTGTGCAGTCTGTGCCTAACGTCTCGGCAAGTGAGCGTACGAGCCAAAGAGCATCTTTTCCGAGTGATCTCCATCACTTGGAACTCTCCAGCGTGGCAAGGATCTGAGCTCCAGCGTCTCTTCAAATCGAACCCAGGTCTCGCGCCATTGGTCAAGTGCTTGATCATAGACAACGCTTACTACGCACCGGACTCTAGCATTTCAACGTCACGTAGCCTCTCGTTTATCATGGAACGTATGACCAACCTGACGCTTATCCAATTGTCAGTTATCAGTTTTTACGGCCTCCCCAGGCGGAACGCCTTTTTTGCTGCCTTTTCCACCTGCACCAAACTCACCGACGTTCGTCTGGAAATACTTACGCTTCATTTTCAAGAGTTCCAGATCATTCTAACCTCTGTGCCTCTCGAATGCCTTCGCTTGTCCGATCTACATGTCCTCGAACTTGAGGGACGAAAGATCCGTCTCGACAAGGTTTCGGATGAGCCTTTCTTGGTGGACTTTCAAGATCCCAAGTGCAAAATCCTCCAGCCCCAGAAAGATCTTAACCTATCAATCAAGCAATTAGTCTTGGAGTTGGTGTCGATACCAGACAGCATTCTCATAGACATGTTAGCTACTTCGCGATTCCGTATCCTAGCGCCGGGCGTCCTAAAAAGACTTGCTATCGTCACCGCCACTTGCAACGACTTTATCTGGAAGAGGATCCAAACGTTTCTAGAAATCCCCGAAGTCAGGGACTCTGTATCCGAGCTACATTTGGGCGAGGAGTACGCGTACAGGGGTGATTCCACAGTATCTGCTTCCTTTCGAACACATCTCACGCCCACTTATAGACAGCAAGGGATCCCACATGACCGAGGAACATCTCAATATTCGACTTCCTCACTGTGAAAGCCTCGAATTGTCCCTCTGTGTCAAAAATTGGGCGCTCAACCAACGTCTGTCGGGATGGTTTGCGAAAGCTCTCCAGACCATCTCTCCTCAGTATACCCCAATTAAACAATTGGCGTTAGTTTTCACGTTCCGGTTCGAAGGAGCGACACTGGACGACATACCGGACGACCAAAGCGAGCTTTGGGCTTGCCTAGATGATGCGTTTTGCACCCATGGGCTTACTACTCTGGCGGAGATCCATCTCCGATTGCAAATTGACGCAATTCCAACGTACCCCCGATTTTGATTCCATACTACTCCGGTGACGAAGAGAGTTCAGAGGGTGGTCCGCTAGAGACAGGTGGTGAAGCGTCGGATGAAGAGGAGGAAGGGTCCAGTGAAGATTACGAGGACGCTGAAGACGGCGGAGATGAAGAATCTGAGGAGGATATCCAAGAGGTCGGATTGTCTTCCTTAGAAGATATTCTAGGAAAGCTGAATGATCCCCCAGCCCGACACAGAAGAAAAGGGCAACGATGAACCAGAACGTGCAAGTGACGAAGATTCCCAGATCCAGGAGGAGCACAGACGTCAGATGGAACAAGTCATGCAAGACGAGGTGGAACTATGGGAGAGGAGAAGGCCGAGAGGAAGGCATGGTTCGATGAGTTCAAAGGCAAGGCTGAAGAATGGATGTTCAGGGTCTGTCTTCCCAAGGCCAATGCGATGTATGGCTTTCATGGCTCAGGATCGTCCAAAGGCAACATTGCAACCTCGGTGGACTTCTCAACCAACATCATCCCTGTTTTCGATATGGATGCTGTCTTGAGGAATTGAACAGGGTGTCACAGATTTACCTTGGAATAGTGGACTCGTTGCGAGACTTATCTGCATACTTATTGTATTCTTAGTTTTAGATTACAACAAGGGAGACATTAGTTCCAAAGGAGAAATGCTCAACTGAAGCAGAGTGAAGACGCCTCTTTATATTCGCCCCATCACTAGAGACTCGTCGTCAATTGTAGGTGAAATCTGCTTTTCCAGGTCGTTGTGAAACATGTCCGAAATCTAACTATCAGTATTAACATTCCGCAGTTTGTACGAACCCAGAATAAAAACAAGCCTCCATATGTGACACCACCTGTATGCCCGATATATTGGAAAATTTTAATATGCCTCCCATTGCAATATCATCATGCCTTCTTCGTGACCTCGAACAACCCGTCCAAGGTGCATCGCGACTTGATGTGTCGTAGCTGTAGGTAATCTGCGTCGGCCGGATGTTCCTCCTTGAATTGAGCGTCCACATCATGCTGACACCGTACAGTTTCGGTAAGATCTGTTCGAACGTACTCGATACACCTTTGACGTTTGGATTGGGTAGGTAGATGAAGATGAGGTTGAGAAGAACGCTGTCACGTGACGGAAATGGGTCAAATGACAATCCAAACGTATACAATGAAATCAAAGTACCAGATGGCAGGCGGCGCAGCGGTTTGGAATGTGAGCCGGACGAGTGAATTGATCAGACCCACGGTTCTAGGGTGTGAGCGTCATTGCTTTCTGAATTTTGGTCTTTCAAGGCAAACATACTGAGGCAGTACGCTGTTCTTCGTTCTAAGGAGAAAGAAGGCGGTGGACACCGCGAGTAGAAGATCACCAACTGAAGACAGATCAGTAAGCAGGCTTTAACAAGGTAACGGTATGCGCACTAGAGACCGTAGCATAATGCACCGATACTAGATAATGCTGTGAATTTTCACAAAAGTGATGTCGATAAAAGGAAGAACGTACGCCAGTGCGCCAGCAATGGATCAGAGTGAACTATATAATATGTCTGTCCAAAAGCTCATTATAGATCAATTGTTGATAGAGACGCCAGGACATACCGCGACGCAAACACTACTGACCGAAAGTATGTAGAGTAGCCCAATTGGCGCGGCAACGTACCATGTCTTGGACACAGCCCAAAGACGATAGCAGAAGTAACATTGAACGTAGAAGGCGATCAGGGCAACCATGAGCGGATTACCTGCATCGCTCACCGTGGGTACAAACGGCAAGGCCTACTCCAAAATGACTTACGTACCGATTTGATACCAGACAACAAACCTCATTTGCAAAGCGCTGGTAACATCGTTGAAATACTGTATTTGCTGCACCCAAACGATGGCACTACGAGTATGTGTTAGACTTCTTCGAGCCGTGAGAAGCCACGACTGACAATGCCTATATGACAAATGCATAGGAAACCGGGAAAAAAAGGGCAGAACGTGGACGTACCTGAATAGACTTGAGCGTGGTCATGATGGAAAGAATCCCAACGGGTATAGTGAATACCGGACCGTCCGTTCTTCCGTACCAAGAGTAATAATTGAAGAACTGTTTTATGGTGAGCTTTAAATTGTACAGCTTGCATGGTCGACGTACTTGGGACGTCAATATTCCCTGAAGGAATAAGTCAATGCACATCCCGACGAGCTGGATAGAGAACGTTGGTCAGTATAATTAAGATTGACGAGATACGCGTACTCATGGCCCTAGCGAATAGTATATGGATTTGTGGTCTGGAGAAGGGCGATCTGGAGGAGGGGTCTGGTTCATAGAGAAATATGGGAAGTCTGACGGGAGTACTTTTTGCTTCTTTATTTATATTCGTGAGGCGAAGTCTGGAGAAGGCTTCTCTGTCTGTCCTAAGAAATTGTCCACAACAATCATGCTCATCTCCGGGTCAAATCCAGAATGCGCTACGAAAATTGCATGGGGTGTATCGGAGAATGTATCAAGTCCACAAGGACTCGTCGATGATAAGTGAAATTCACATGGTCAGGCTTTGTGGTCACGCTGCGAACCGCTAGTGTGGTACGTATATTAATTTCGCACTCCATAATGACGGAAAACTCACTGAGAAACCAATATAGCGACCGGATCAGGTAGAGTTGGTGGTCTTAGAGAGCTAGAAGACCAACATGCCCGAAAGATGTTACCACTGCTAGGAGACGCAAAAGAGAAGTGAACGATAAGAATGAGAGTAAGCTCACGCATTACCTTTAGTGTAGTTCAGTCGGGAAGAACTAAACACTTTATACATTATTGGAGTGAGAGGATGAGCTGTGTATCGGCACCGTCGCCATACACTACAGATGAATACGGCACTCTAGCAAGATGCACATAGAATTTACCTCTTCGTTGCTGCTGCCGCGACAGTTGCTTATTTCTATCGTCTTTGCATTCTATTTTGTGTCTTCCGATGACATTTATCCCGCTGCGTAGCATCCTCAGACTCAAAAATCTGTCAATGAGTGTAACGGGTGAAGCGCAAACCGATCACGGGAAGCCTGCAGATTCCTTACTAAATAATTAAAATCAGTGAGGTAGCGAGCCAGGAGGTTCCATGACAGAGACGAAAAAGATCCGTGGACCACAAGGGTAGGAGAGAAGAGAGAAAATGCGGTTATGCAGTAAAGTGCGAGACGTCGGAGCGCGTGAGAGGGCGACTGATCTGAACGGCAAGGCGTTTTTGTCGCCAGCACCAGCTATACCGTACTGTTTAAATAATCATTTACTAGTAAAAAGCGTGTTACAACAAATAGAGACTACAAGAAATTGTAAACCGACGGCAACTGGTATCTGGTGCTAGGCATTGTTGGCAACCTCTTCGAGCTGGTCATTGTGTACAACGAGAGCGGAACCAGCGAATTGGCTACAGATTTCGGCAATGACTGAGTAAGAAACCCAGTCCTGCAGAGTTTCTTCGTCAAAGGGTCCTGTGGCTCTTTCGCATGGCTGAAATATCATATAGTGGTTCAGAGCACTGAACCCCACGATGAACCGTTTGTGAATTTGGTCCGCCCATGGCTGAAAGTCGGCGAAGCCGCTGTTCACCAGAGGAGAGAATGAGCTCCTTGGCGTGAAGAAAGCATTTTTCTTGTCCATCAAAGTATCATGGCTGTCGTTGTACCAAGCATCGAATTGCGACCGGACTTTCCTGCGTTCCACAATGGCGGGTGTCGAAGATTCTTGTGTAATTACGACCTCGTAACGAACACAAAGCAGGAGAATGACATAGAAAATGGATTCTACGTCGTGCCGATAGAGGTGTTGGGGTGGGTTTCCGTTCTCGTCGTTGATGAGTAGTTCATACGCCATGTAGGGTAGAGTTCCGGTGCGTTGAAGCGAAGAAGGGCCAGTGGTATCTCGAAGAGTGGACAAGTCGAAGTCGTTGAGGACCCCGCATAGGTCGCCTTTGGCGTTGCGGCGCCACATGATATTCCCTGGGCTAATGTCCCGGTGAATGATCCTTGGGTGATCGTACAACCATTTGTGAACTAGCGCGACTATAAGTTATCTCATTGGAAAAGAAAAACAGTACACGCACTTTACAAAATGTCCAAAAAGACTTGAGCACACCCTTTAACCGTTTTCAGTTCCTCGAGAGGATACAATTTCTCCTGGACCATGACTCGACAGACGCGCTTCTCGTACTCGACCTTCCTCTCCCTTACCAATAAGGCGTTTTCGAAGAAAGCCATGAATTTGACCTGTGTGGAATCCGCGTCGTAGTCAAAGTCTTGAGAAAGGAGAATGTCGGGCAGATGGTCTAGGGCCCAGTCTGGCTTCTTCCCGTGCGTCATCGTTCGCGCCTTATTTCTAGCTTTCTGCACCAAGTACGCCTCAGATTCTCGATCGATGGTCGGCCAGCTGATCTTGACGATGAGTTCTTTACCTTTCCACCCTTCGTGCTCCGATGTTGCCTCGATTACGCAGGTGTTTCGACCAATAATGCCAGGCGCGCGTGATATAATCCGGCCAAGGGTGACCTCAACCTTTATATCATCCTGGAGTTTGAGCTTCAGCCCAACTAAGATAGCCGTCCTATCGGAACTTTTCTTATCCTTGGGGTGGCCGTATCTGTCGTCCAAGTATATCCTAGGGTCATCGGTGAGTGCCTTGTCGTCGCAGAATTCTTCTTGCATTCTCCGCTGATTGAAAGTGAATTGACCTAGCCCGACAAGCATCGTGGAAAGCGCGTCTGTCACACTACTCTGCTTCGACTCGGCATCCCCTTCGAAGGTGGCAGCTGGTTTGCAGAGACAGGGATCGTAGTCGGGGGTTTGTACGCGTCCAATGGCGACAAGAGCACCCGTACAGTGTGTGCGAAGGCCGTCACTGGGCAGCATCTCCAGGAAATAACGACCACACTGAAATCGCATAGCTCGACGCGCCTTGGATTCATTTTCTTCATTCATCGCTTCGTTTCCCGTTGCGACTCCCTCTCTGGTAGACAGTGCCACCGAATTTCTGACCTTTTCCTCGTGTTCAAAGATTCAGGCGTCGTCCCAGGTCGCGCATACTTGGAACGGAGTCGAGAAGTGTCATCTTCCGAACGATATCGCTTCTTCGAGGTGGTCGACTTGAAGGGGGAGACGATACCGTCAGTGTCTCTGTGTTCAGTGGTGTTTTCTTGCTCGTTTCCTTGAGGATCTTTGCCGTTGCCGTCTGATTGTAGGAATTGGTGGTCAGAAGAACGTCAGATAGAAAAGATGACAGTTACCAGATGTTAGAGAGTCGGTGCCCTTGATGTAGTGCTCTCTGGGTTTGAATTCCTGCCAGTACACAGTCCCATTGCTGTTTCTGTTATTGATCAAATTTCGTGAATTGTCGAACATCGCGCAAACTTGAACGTCGAAGGCATCTTGCAAGGTGTGATGACCAAACTGGTCAGGTTCGACTCGTGCCGAGAACTCCGAGTCCGAGTTCGGCAAAGTCCGAATAGGATTCGTGCTCTAAAGTCGTGACTAGCGCCCAAAACCGATTCTCTGTACGCAATGGAATTCACACAATGGCAGTTCAATGGTCCATGAGTAACCATAAGGGAAGTCACGGACGTACCAATTCAACTCGCAGTCAGCGCTTCTCGTGTGAGCAAGGCCGAGTTTTCAAAGTTCAGTATCTAGCCCTGCAGGCATTATCCACAAAGTTCAATATATTCGATCGCAAAAATCAATACACAAGGCTGCCAGAGACGAATTGTTACAGCTGGATGCGACTACTTGAGGACTAGAGAACCTCCTTGAGCTGGTCATTGTGTACTACAAGGGACGAACCAGCAAACTCGCGGCAAGTGTTGATGACGGCCGAGTATGAAACTCGACCCTGCAGGGTTTCGTTGTCGAAGTGGGCGGGATCTGGATCATCATCATGTTGCGCCTTAGAAAGTAGTCCGAGCCTGAACTGTCTGTAAAGGTCCCTGACCCACGGCAGAAAGTCAGCGAAGCCGCTGTTCACCCTGGGTTGGGTACCTGTGAGCCAAAAATTGGCTTTCAGACTCCGCAATTCATAACGGCCTGCTTTGAACCAGTCGTCTATTGGGGCAGGGACTCTCGTCAAGATCGCGGGTTCATGAGAGGTTGAGGCAGTCACGATCTGGTGACAACAACAGTGCAGGAAAATGACACAGAAAATGGACTCGAGATCATGTCGATAGAGATGTTTAGGTGGACTTTCATTCTGGTCGTTCATGAGGAGGTCAAATGCCATGTAGGGCAGAGTTCCAGTGCGCTGAACCGAAGAAGGACCAGTGGCATCTCGAAGAGTGGACAGGTCGAAGTCATTGAGAACCCCATATAGGTCGCCTTTGGCGTTGCAGCGCCACATGATATTCCCTGGACTAATATCCCGGTGGATGATCCTCGGGTGATCATACAGCCATTTGTGAACTTCGGTGGCCGTCAGTTATCTCCAAGGAAAAGGAAAACGATGGACGCACTTTGCAAAATGTCGAAAAAGACTTGAGCGTACTCTTTGGCCGTCTTCAATTCCTCGAGAGGATACAATTTCTCCTGGACCGTGATTCGACAGACCCGTTCTTCGTATTCGACTTTCTTCCCTTCTACCAGCAAGGCGTCCTTGAAGAACGCCACGAGTTTTGCCTGAGTGGAATCTGCGTCGTAGTCAAAGTCTTGAGAAAGGAGAATGTCGGGTAGATGGTCTAGGGCCCAGTCTGGCTTTGCCCCTTCCTTCATCGCCCGCGCCGTATCTCTGGCTTTCTGGACCAATTCCGCCTCTGATGTGCGATCGACGGCCGGCCAGCTGATCTTGACGATGAGTTCTTTGCCCGTCCACCCCTTGTGCGCCGACATCGCCTCGACCACGCAAGTATCCCGACCGACGATGCCAGGTTGGCGTGCTATAATCCGGCCAAGGGTAACCTCAACCTCTTTATGATCTTTACCCAACTTGAGCTTGAGCCGGAGCTTTACATCTTTAAAGATGTCCCTCTTATCCTCCTCACATCTATTCATGTACTCTTGATAATTCTTGATGAGATCCCTGTCAGTGCAAAACGCTTCTTGAATGCCGCGTTGCTTGAGAGTGAGTCGACCCAACCCGACAAGCATTGCCGCGAACTCGTCCGTTACGTTTTCGGTAGTGATGGCAGCCTTCCCCGGCTCGCGAACATATTTGAACATGTCGATCGGTTTGCAAACAATGACGATGGAGCGATCGTAGTAGAGGGGCTGAATGCGTCCCACCGTAACAAGAGCACCAATGCAGTGAGTACGAAAGCTAGCGCTGGACAGCATCTCGAGGGCATAACGACCACACTGGAGCCGCACACCTCGACGCGCTTTAGTTTCATTTTCTTGGTCCGTCGCTGCATCTCCTCCCGCGACTCCTTCTCTGACAGAACTGAGTGCCGCCGGATGTTCTAATCCTTTCCTGGCGTCCGAAACTTGAGGAGCTGTCGCAGAGCGCGCGTACTTGGAACCGCCACGAGAATTATTATCTTCCGAAGGGCGCTTCTTCGAGGTGCTCGTCTTGACGGGGGGCAGGAAGCCGCCAGGGTCCCTGTGCACTGTCGTTTTTCCTCGCACTGTTCCTTGAGGATCCTCGCCCTCTGACGCATGCATTGGTCAGAAAAAAATTCAGCAAAGAGCAAGGTAACACCTACCTGGTGTGAGAACTCTGTAGCGTACATCTGTCCCTTCGTCGAGAAAGTACTCCTTGGGCTTGAATTCTTGCCAATGCATTGCTTGTGCCCACGAAAAGTTATGCTCCGGCCCATTGTCTATCATGTTATCAACTACGTTTCCCGAACTGTTGAACATTGCGCGAAGAATGCCCAGGGTATCGGGGATAATCTTTTGCACACCCCCATCCACCGGCTTCGCGTCTTGTCGATAAATGCCCAGATTAGAGTCGTCGGAAGCGCCTAGAACATCGAAGGCACTATTGCACATCACCCCATGGGGATGATAGAATGTCTTTTCCCCAGGATTGCTCCGGTTACATACGGCGACGTAGGCTGTTACATTCTGTTGGAACACAGGATCGGTTTTGATATCTTGAATTCGAGATTTTATCTCGTCGTTCGTCCGCCAGTCACTAGGGAGATGAAAAATGTTGGGGAAGAAATAGTCGGCGGGCATGAAAACACGATTCCTGAGATCTTCTTCGATGTATTGGTCGAAATGAGTCGTAAGGTAATTCGGGTTCGCTGCGGGATCAACGGATTGGGAGTGGTTGCTGGGCGGAGTACTCTGTACAGCTGAACGTAACTGTTCAAGTCGAGACGCGTTTTGCGGCGGAGTTTTTCTCCCTGTGATGGAGGGGGGAGCAGAGTCCTTCAATTCGTTCTTCGTAGACATAGCAATGTCAGGATAAAATTGAGGGGGGTAGAAAGAGAGAAGGGGGTCAAGGAAAAATACAGCGACAGCCATTTCGACTTGCTTTTAAGGACGCGTAGAACAATGGTAAGGCAAAGTAAGGCAAGTGGTGGCACTAGCAAAGTAATCGTTGTGAACGGCACGTGGTCGCGTGGCGTCAATTTGGTCACATCACCGGACAATGCCGGGCCTGCTCTTCAATTACTTTGCCTGAGAAGCACGTCTTCTCCTGTCTTCTCATAATTTCCTTGTCCTGCTTCGACAAAGAATGTGCCATTTAAATACTTTGTATGTGCCGATTATATCTATTGTAAAACTTTCACCTTTGTCGCTGTGGATGTTCATTAATGCATTTCGCTCACCTTTCCTCAGCTATGTACCTACTTTTAAAGTGGTCGAGTTTATTAGTAGTCGCACATTGGTGAATCCTTAAAAAAAGGCCTTAAATACTGCAGCGGGCTCAACGCTGAATTTCCCTGTGGAGCATAGTAGGGGCATGTCGGCCACTCCCTTTTTTTGACTGCGAATGAAAGTGAGAATGGCACCGAGGACCATGCGTTAGGCATAGATGGCGATAATCTATATCGCTAAGGAGTGACTGAATTTGACTACCTGCCGCCTGCGGACTTCTGTACAATGGGTATGGGGTATCGTGCACTTAGATGTGTGTAATAGTTCCTATAACTGCCACTTGGCTCCTCTCTCATGAGCTAAAACTCAGAACTGGACGTTTTTCTTCCCAACTCTACAGTCCTTGTTTCACTGCTGTTATCCGGCATTATGATCCTGCCCTTGTCGAAAGAAAAAGCACAAGATGTCCTGTCGCCGTAAATGTTGGCAATGTTGACAAAGAAGGGGAATCGGGGATGCGACGTACTTTTTGGGTGCCAAAAGTCACAACCGCACCGATTGGTACTGATTGGAAGTTATTTTTCAGGGCACATGATTCTTTAAAATGACCGCACCTGTATTCGCGAGAAGATACCACGCAGAAAGCGCACTGTCCTTGGATGGGCCGACAACGGAGTAGATGTTAATACTTTTCCGCAGATGTTACTTCCGTGGGAGAGAAAATAAATATAGATACTTACGAGACCATAAATCATACACATACGGAGAATGAAAATAGGCGGACGAAAAGATGCGTCGGAAGCTCAATGCTTGGGGAACTGGGTTGACGCTTAAGGTTAATCATAGTCTTCCGGATAATGATTAGGATGACAACTACGCTGTAAAGTCAGTGGACATGAACTTGACCAGTAGATGTTGGAGCGTCCGGTACCTTCAGCTATCATCGTTGCTAAAGATATGATGACTCCGAGGACGCAAAAGACAAGAACTCTGGATCCACAACGGTTATGTGGGAGCTCACAAGTGGTATGGATCAATACAGCACTCACAGTGTCGAGGTAGTTAGATGACAGTATAAATGTGATCCATTCCGTCGAACATGCTTGGGATCTTTAAGGCCCATCTGCAAATTCAAACTTATTCATAACGCCGATGAAGACTGAAGAATATACAGATACCATAAGAGTGTCCAAAAGAACAAACAGGGACAAGATAAACGACAACACAAGAAGCTAGGTGGTTCTAAGCGCATGTTGATCTAAAATTGAAAACAAAGCTTACAATGATTGGAGTAGCTCGAGGAGGGCTTTTCCCTAGAGACGTAAGGAGGAAAGATGCCAGGAGCTAATGCTCTGGGTCAATGACGTGGCGGTGCTATACGATTCACTAACCTCCACAACGAAACTAAGTACGCAAGAAACGCAACTTCGATCAACACACTTGAACATACTGTGAGCTGCATAAAAGAATACGCATGCTTACAAGACAGGAGTTGCATGAACCAGGCATGCTTGAAAGAGACACACTCCTGTAGACGGTTCTTGGTCACCCTGCGCCCCGATGAACATCAAGATCGAGTAGGAAGCGCAATAGACGATTCCAGAGACAATCATTCCGAACCAGGTCACTGTCCTTTTAACATTCGGCGAAAGTAAGGCGGGAGCAAGTAAAGCCAGCGTAAGGACAAAACCCAAAACCTGCAGCGTATCGAATGCAATGACAAGGGTTTTCACTTTGAAATCTATGTCAAAACGGGATCATAGGTCAAGTGGAGCTACTGACGTACCATCTCTGTGCTCTTGCAAATCCATAGTAGCCCTTGAGAGATGGCCCGGGTGCGTTGGCCTTATTCCGTGTGTAGACTGGGCAAGGTGTATGGTCCCAATGTTATACCTACCTAGCTTTTATATTGCGCCAAACGTGACCGCCGGGACAGGGACTCCGTTACCACAAGACTTGAATGAAGATGGTTATTTAAGCATAAGATGAGAGTTGCCCAATTGTACCTTCTTGAAGGGAACAAACTCGGCGACAACATCAGATTATTGAGTCATAATCACCAACATATGCTGCTATTTGCGTTGAAAAAAACGCACAGAGATGTATCCTATTCACACGTAGAAAGATTCTGCGAGGACGGAACATTGTCTTGATCAGATGAATCACTTTCTTTTCAAGTTCGCCGTCGAGCTGAGATCCAGGGCTTCTAGATATCGTAACTCAGTTGGAGTCAGTGAAGCAAATGCTATCTCGGGTGGAGCATAAAAAGGAGTTAGAACAAGAAACAGGCAAGATACAAGTGTCCACTGAGAATAGAGAAGATGAATTTACCGTGAGCATGTCTGGAAGGAAGTACGAAGAAGTACGGCTACTTTGGGAACCATCCGTTCCGAAAGTCCCACGCGCCGGTGGGTCAGCTATCCGGTTACCACAACATCAGGTGTGCATATCATATCATTCGACAGCTCCCATGAAGATAATCAGGCGATCATACTCGGCTCATTCGCAGCAGCACTCAGCTTCATAGAAGGGATACGAAATCTTTCTGTTCGGCCGTCGTGGACTGTACCAGGGGGAAAGATCATTTTTTTGTCAAGAATTGCGGTGTTGTCTAGGCTGCTGACCTCTGTCATGGTCTATTTTTGCAGCAGGGCTACTTGTGAACGCTGATAATTCTTCTCGCAGGTATCATAGGCAAGTCGACTCCTCGGGGGGTCCAAGCTAGTGGCGGGTAGCATGAACTTCAACCCTAAGGGCGTCTTCAAATTCAAAAGGCTAATGAGCCAACCTTGAGCCTGAGTGCAATATTGTAGTGATATGTTACTCAGCATCGTGGGTTGTAGCTGTAGTCGTGCGAAGGATCGCCGTTCGGAGCATAAGCGTACCTACTGAGGGCACCATTGACTAACGAAACATGATTTCTGTGCGAAAAGCCATAATGAAACTCCCCTGGGTGATGGCTAGGTGTTGATGCAACGATCTCCGAAGAGGTCGTGCTGGTAAATCTGCAACATCCGAAAGACCCCAACATGCGTCGGCTTCAGCGAGACTGCGATCTCTGATAGAAGACGTTACAAAATAGTACAAGCAGAGATAATGATGATATGAGCCTGTAATGCTGCCTTGAAACAATATAGTTCCTCGTTTAATAACTGGAACCGGTAGTCCTTTTATTATCTACACAGAAGTCTCTCTCCTTCGGAGTCGAAGAAATTTCTGCCTACGATCAGTAGTAACTAAGAGAACGATGTGATTTGCTACACAATGCGCCCACCGTTGTTTCCCGCATCGAACTAGAATAGTCGAGATGCTTGAAATTTTGATGAGGATAAAACAGCCATCCAGACCGACTCGGACATGGGTTTCTCATCATCACTCACTCTATGGATGTAGAAACAACCACGTGCTACTCATGGCTCAACGATCGCATCGTTCTCCTCGGTCTCTTTACGCTAGAAGTCACATCCGGACAAAAACATCGTACATGTTCGAGATGAGACAGATACAAATCCAAAGACACTGATAGAACAAGAACATCGGCATATAAACTAGGATGTACAGTAAACCTAACGGCAAGGGGTCAGCAAGGGCTTAAATAAAAACGTTAGACCTACCACTCTACCAAGCCTGCGGTGAAATAGAAGAAGCGTCTCAAACGCCATACACATCGAGTGGTGCCCCCAATTCTAGGTCACTGTCGGAATCATCACGATCATGCTCGTTGGAATATGGCACAGGGAGAGTTTTGGATGCCAGCGGGGACCTCGGCGATGCAAATATGAACGATAGATCGGAGAATGCCGGAGAAGGGATATCGTCCGAAAATAACTCGGGTTGCGGCGTCTTGGGTGCCGGTGAGAGAGAGGAAGAAGTAGACGTAGTGTTGCAAGACACAGTTGGTGGGAATATAGGCAGGGCATCATCCTTGGCTTCACAATCCGAGAGAGTCTCGTGTATGAAAAGTTCTGTTCCTCGTACGATGCCATACGAATAGGCGCCCCGAGAGCATGAATTTTGTGGCTCCGTGATAGAAGAAACTTTGTCTTGACGGCGAGGGCTAGGCGTCAAATACCGTCGCCTGGAGCGCACAATAGAGGAAAAGGCAACAGATGGTGAAGGCAGGGTGATACCAGGCGTCGGCAGATTAAAACCTTGTGATAGGCGAGCGGGAGAGGGAGTAGGTGCTGTAGAACGATATTCGACTTCAGACTGCGCAGCGGTTGGAACTAGTGCAATAGATTGAGATGGAAGAGAAGGATGCGGACAGGTAGATAGTGATGCGATATCATTGTCGCACAGGAACGAGGAAGAACGCAGAGATCTACGTCTAAAAGTCTTAGTGCCTTCCAAAGAACAATATCTGACGTATTCGTTGACGACTTGTCGAGGAATAAAGCAGTAAGTTTTCCGCAGAGATGCATACATCCGACGAGACGAGTTTGGGCAATGATGTTCCTGCAAAACGGAGAAGATTTGGCTTCGCCTAATAACGATTTGATCCTTGTAGATTAGACGGGGAGGATTTTCTGCCGTTAGCGAGAAGAATTTGTCTGCGAGAGATGCTCGAGAGTAGAAATTTCCTCGAGCGTTGTTGCGAAGTCGTGTGACCAAAGCGTCGTATGATTTGTCCTGCATCAGCTGAATTCCAGGCCTGGCATCCGCAGAAAGGGCGTTCGCATAATTGTCAAGAAATATCTCGAAGTCACGACAATCGGGAAAGGATACAGTCCCAGATAGGGCAGATGTTGGACTTGCCGGGCGCGCGACGAGCTCGTGCTGCTGAGACTCTGGCAAAGTAGGGCAAGGATATATTTCTATGGAGGGCATTTAGTAATGTAGACAGTGAAATACCATGTAATGGCAAAAATTCGACCGAGCGTTATTGCAGTGGATGGTGGTAAGAAGTGAACGTTCGAAAGTGGACCGCCGGTCCGAGGAGGCCGGTATTTTGCCTTTGCTGACAAATTCAACTTTATTCATTAAATTATTTATTTACGTAATTTTAAATCCTTTCGGTACCCCTCTTCTTCCTTCAACGTCGACGAGAATATTGTGTTTTGTCCTATGCAACAATCTGGAGCATGGAGAGTGTCCGATAGTGGGCTGCTGGATGTGGGCGAGCGTAAGTGTAGCATTCATTAACACTTGCTGTGCTGACGGCTTGATTTGACTACAGTATCATTGGAAACTGGCTGTTGGCGCCATTCTTGTGATGAGCACTACAAAATATGGACCTTCGTTGTTACCACCGTATTACATCGAGGATTCTAAGTATAATTTACGCAGCCAAGGACCTGACAAGATGATAGAAGGATAACAGGATTCAGGCTTGGAGGCGTGAAAATACTACTCTCCCAGGTATGTGCTACTACCTTTTCCCCATCTTATACTGAAAATAAGGATAGTCGGTCACTTGTGACGGATTCTTCCACCAAGCAGAATTCGAGTTAAGCAAACTTGTTGCTCTGTAGCATTGCTGCGAGACAACCGCTTCAGTACCCGTCACACCCGGTTCTCAAAGGCTACTCACCCCGCACCAGTAGACCCCGTCTTCTCCTCGTTGCGCGATCTTTTCGTATCTGATTTCTCCAGTATACGAATATTCCCAGCATCCACAATATGCACATCTCTGACACAGTTGCTCTTCGCTGAGCAAAACTTCAACCTGTGGCTCTTCTATTTCCCTATCCTCAACCTTCACTCTTCTCGTTGTCCCCGTAACCTTCAAAATCGGTGGCGTTGCAGCAAGCAGATCCGCTAACGTGGTGTTGGGGGATTCGCGGAACCAGAAACGGTGGCGTAAACTTTGTTTTGGGAGTGCAATGCTAGTATCAGAGAGCTGGGGTTGGTTCAGAGGAGCGAAGAGCTTCCAGCCGTCTGCCATGCCGTACGCGCGGGGATAGACGATATACCAGCGATTACATCGCCTGTGGAGAGCAACCTCGACGTGGATCATTGGTGTATAGAAGGATACTAGGCGAGTCTGACTCCGGTCATTGGTATTCATGGATACCTGATCGCTAACTACCTTTGTAGGACACGGCAACATATATATGATAAATAAACGCCTAGGCTGTGGTCGTCTACGTGGAGCTCGGCGAAGCCGGACAACCTTGAACTCGGAAGTATACGTGGCGGCGTGCGCTCGCTTTTCGCTCCAGAGCAGATACTTATAGCAACTAGCATAAATCGCGGGGAATCGCAGATTATATCGCATATACCGAAGGGATACCAGCAGCCAAGACCTATGCTAAGGACCAGATAGCTCCTGCGCGCGAGATTGGAGTAACACTGGTTACCGCGTAAACAACGCGTCCGCCTCAAATGAGGAGCAATTTGTATCATCCGCTCCGCCGTGTCAAGGGTAGTCGCCCTCTTCCTTGAGATAGCTGAAGAGTGGAATCAAGTGAGTATCCTCCTTCCTCTCCGTGACTGAGTTTATAACTTGTTCAGCATAGATTCGGTAAATAGAGAATTTATTGTGAATGATGACAACGACGTTCCCATGTTCGATACGACTGCTTCGCCAAACTGGGATCCATCAGCAACAGAATACGCATCTTGACAGACGGTGAGAACCAATGTCAATATCAACGGATGTCTCAAAGTGCATTGCAAAACGAGTAGGCTGAAGACCGCCGCTTACACTCTTTGCAACATGCTCGATCTCTTCAATGACCCTTGCAATGGCCCATATAGTCAGATTCACCCTTCCCAACAACTTTCCTTTTTTTCGGATGAGGACGAGTTTAGAGGTTCCGTCGCGTTCGCACTATGCTCGAAGTACTTGCCTGACTTCAGACTCGATTCGTATGTCGAAGATTAAGAAAGGAGGCCAAGGCTTTCCAATCTTTCGTGGAGTCAGAGCGTAATAGCCCCCTTCACAAAGACGTTTTGTGACGTTGCCTGGGTCATGGGAGACGGGGGACCGAAACGCTGGAGGCAGAACGGAACGTCTGAGGGAGGGCGAAAAACTCTGCTGAGAATACAGCACGCTTCAGGGACGAAGCTTATTGTGCCGAATCTGTGGAAGTTTCTGCCGAGCCAAAGTCCCTTTTCAATAAGTCTGGTCTGTCGATGCACAGCCCACCGTCATGGTGTCTTTGGCTGCTATACACTCATACCATATTCTGAGGAAGAAGCATCAATGCCCGTTTGCGTTCAGCGAAGAATGGCTAATCAGGATGGGGAAAGGCCGTCAGAGGAGGATGGTCGCCCCTGGTTCGCTTGTGGCATATGATGAGGGGAATGTCAGGACGTGAAGCTACTGCTCCACATGTGGAGTATTCCAGTGCTTCGGATTGAACATCCGCCTCACATTTACAAGGCCATTCGACATTAACGTTGTTTCGGCAGAGTCCTAATGCTCGCCTTATCAAGCTCAGCTCGGAAGAGGTCCTGGGCGGTCCGACTTTCCCTCAACTCAAGGATATGCATAGGTCAATATCGATGCAAACACTCAGAGACGGAGGATAGCCTCCGTCAGCAGTCCGTCCTGAAGACCGTTGTTTGTATTCGGAGTATCTTACAAGCGACTACAGGGATTTGTGAACGATGCTTATTTTGTTCTTCCTCACCGATGGAACTACAGACAGTCACTTTCATAAATATAGGACCGAGCGCCGCGCGGGATAGATGGCGTTGAAGAAGCCAAAGCTGACCGGCCGTAAGTTAACCCAAGATACTTCCCACCAGAAGATATCATCATCCCCTGTCACCCTTGAGGAATTCGCTGAAGTTGAGCTTTCGGCTGAAGGACGTCGAAGGGAGATAAAGTACTAATCCGCCGACGAGTCAGAAGACGCAGAAGTATTCTAGACCAGATGGCTATCGACTCTGGTTTGGACACCACGCTGAATAACGGTTTAACAGTGCTCAGAAAACGAGGAGAACTTTGGACGAGGCGAGAGTGGAGAAAATGATGAAAGGATGTGGCGGGTGATAAATTTGATGATAGGCGTATCATGACGGTCTCTCAGATTGCAGTCAAGACCGACTTCTATTGGTGCCGCATTCCTACCAGATGTGACGATGGATGACCTACGATCGTGCTGTGGAGATGCTAGCTTGTCGCTAGACAGAGAAGTCGATGCTCTCTTTCCGCGCTGGCCTAAGGATCAATCAATAGTAAATTTGCTTCGAAGCTGCAGAGTATAGGACGTTCAGGCGAAGACTCGGCGTTCCACTGCCCACGACAGCAATGCTCATTGCTTACAGGCTATTTGCTCTATATTCAATCCGTCGGCGGCCGTGGCGCATTTCGCTTGACAGCGGATGGAGAAGGTCCCTTAAGCCTCACTGTTGTTGTGCCTTGATGAGGAGAGTATCCGCAGATGGGCGGGGCAAGCAGAACGCGGCAATGATGTTGGTCAAGAAGGGGTAATCAAGAAGCGAACAGACGGAGGTGTAAAGGTGGCGGGACACTCAGAACTCGAGCTGTTGGCGAGGCATAATAAGGCACTGTATCCGATATCCATCAATCGATATTCAATCGATAGGACATTGCCGATGGTCGAAGTTCATTGTCCCGGACTCCGCGTTGTCCCAGCAATGCTTTCATGTGATGCACGGAGGAATTCCTATCACCTGCATAAATTAAAGAACTTCAAACATGCATCCACCGATTGGTTGTAAAGTGATGTTACTCAAAATGACTATTAAGGTTCTATTTGCAATAAGTATACATGCAGGTAGAGTACTGGTAAAAAAGAGAGAAACTCGGAAGTTATCCTAATCGTACATTTACTTGTATAGGTTGACGTTCATCAGATGCGTATAATCCTTTCTCGAATAACACATTCCACATCTAAGCTTACCCATGCGTCCTCCGCTTCCTTGGCAGAAGATACTCGCCGTTTGATGAAACTCAAAGGGGAGTGTGCACCGGAAGACGTACGAGGACGAGCCGGGGTCGACGGTCGGCTCTTCGGTGTTGAAGGTCTGGTCTTCACTGAGCTTGGAGTGCCAGGCCGTGAGTGAAGGGTCGGACGACGCGATAAAAGGGACGCGATAGAGATGGTAGAATGAGCAGTACTAGCCGCGCTGGATCCTATACGTTCACGCGGTTTATTTCGTGGAAGGGGAAAAGAGGGTGGCGGTGGCGGTGTGGCAGTATATTGTCTGAGGCTGGAGCTGCGAGGATTAGGGAATGGTAGCGTCGTCTGTGAGTGAGAGACAGTGATGAAGTTGGAAGTCGACGTTGTAGAAGTTGAGAAACGAGAGGACTGCATATGATGAAAACATATCAGATTTCTGAAAATAGCTAGAAAAATATGAAATATAGCAGACCAGGTGAGGTTCACAATCCGGATGCCCTTGACCAAGGCGTGAATCAAATTGAAAACGGCCATCATTATCAGGTACTTGGTCTTCAGGTGGCACATGAGGCAGGGTATACCGCTGGGAATCTGGATCCCAAATTGCAAGAAAGGTTAGTCGAGATGTAGGAGTCGGAGGACGGGGCGGTTGCTAGATGTTTTCTCGTCAGAAGTAGTCCTGGGCTGAAAGTGTCTGCTACATACCTCTTTCCGCGTCCGAGCCGGAATATCGACCTCAGGTGGAGGACAGTAATAGGCCAAAGTGGGAGTGATGCTCCCTGTAGATTTAGAATCGACGTCATTTTCCGCAGTTGCCGCTCGCTTAGAGGCCAGGTTTAGAGACTTAAATATATAAACACTTTTTCTGAACGAGGAATACCTTGATGTTGAGTTTGGGCAGAAAAGGTCGGAACTTCATCTTTGGACTATCAAGAGTGTTGGGGGTGTCGCGGGCTGGGGAGTATAGCATCGCTCGGAATTTCTAGGCTTTAAGAAGGGAGGGAGTCCTAGCGCCCCTTGCCCTGTAGTAGGCAAAAATAGAAGGAAAGAAAGTCGAAAAATCTCGGTCATTCCGAAAGAGAAGCTCCATTTAGGTTATAAAGAGTCGTGTTTCTGCATGAGGCCTTAGGTACCGCTGATACTGGTGGGAAACGTTGCGACATGTCAGAGACTCGGCCATTGGCGGAAACATTCCGAGTAAGGATGGAGTCGTGATAGATTTAGACGAAGGAACGAGATCGACAGTAGTATACGTAGATTCGGAGTGGCAAGAATGAATCTATCACACACTTTGCGTGGTGGATGCGAATTAATGTTGCGTGGATTGTTCTACGAGAAATCGGAAAACTTACACGTGATAGGTCCTGTTTCGTAAAGTCGGTGCCGCAGGCGCTTGGGGAACGTCAAAGCGGTAAAATACAATGCCATACACTCAACATACACTAATCCTACATGATAAGTATAAGGATCCCCGCTGGGGATACAAAAAATGGTCCTCGTAGAATAAATTGATGACCGTAAAGGAGCGAGTTAGACGAACGTCTGGGTGATCTCTTTCGTCACCTCAATACACACCCACGACTCCTTCTCTCTCCTCCACCTAGACAGGAATTTGAACAGGCGGCATCCTTCTTCACGTGGAATGGAAGGATCGCAACTACAGCCATCTTGCTGGAGAGCATGCGTGTGATTTACTGGGCGAGGCCGCGGTTTCCTCAACAGTCTGTGTCGTTGCACCGGAGGAAAGACGTAGTCTTCTGGGGCCTCTAGTTGCAACCAGCTATCATCACTATTGACACTGACATGCGACAACTGAGGATGGATGTCATTCTTGGGCGTCCCAAGAATAAATGGGACGAACGCACCCTCGGAAGACCTGGATCCACAGTATCGTAGAACCCTTCATCTTCATCGTCCACTTCATCCAGCTCGACAACCGTGTCCTGATCACGGTCCAAAACCTGTTCCCACCTCTTCGCAAATTCCGTACGTGGATCAAATCTAATATCCCGGTTGAGCTCGCCCAAACACGAGAAATGTTTGTTGACGCTCGTCCTCGTGCATCCCATTCCTATTCTTGAGCTCCTGATGTACACATCCAACCCGCCAATTGTAGAAGAAGTCTGAGTTCTGCCTCTCGTCCGCCGATCAGTTTCATCATCAAAGAGGAAGTCATGATGATTCCTAAACCATGCAAGGGTACTCGAAGCATCGAACGAACTGGCATCGGTGGGACAGTCAGGCTCGACGTCTGTAAATTCCGAATCGAGCAAGTGAGCTCCGGAGAAAGCCACCATATCCTCTTCTGGATCCCATACAACGGCGAAGGTGAGCGCATTCTTCGGAGGAACGATTTCTGACCACCTGCGGTCGGTTTCTGACGTTAGGCATGTAGAGGAGCTCTGCTGGTGGAGGTAATTAGAAGGGATGCTACCGCATGGAAAGCACTGTATACCGGGTATGAAGACAGTCTTGTAGCAGAGCTTGTAGATTGCAGCATGTTCATGCTGATAGAGTACGAAGAAAAGTATGGAGCAGAGATCCACTGGACAGAGTTGCTGTGATGTACACGCAGTGTGTCAGTAGAGGTCAATGCGATTCGAGCGGCCTACATACCTATGGGAGACGTGCAGCTCGCGAGAGAAAGAAGGAATGGGTCAAAGTATAGATGACCCAGAGCGGCGGTAGCAAATCACGTCTCTACATAATGTGGGAAGACGCATTCAAGAATGGCTTAGCAGGTATCACGTGCGAGAGCGTTGCTAAGGCCTCGACTCGAGGTGGTAACAGGAATACAAGACACGAGGCTGAATTACCGGGATGAGGTAGGTAAAGAGGCCGTAGAGCCCACCTTACGATAGCTCGACCCCAGTTGCCTTATCGATATTAGGATGAACTGTGGCGCATGAGAGGATAGAGACAGAAACCTTCGCGGGAGTAAAGAACATACATCGAAATGCACCCGCAAATTTCGGAGCCTGCAGAAGGTCTTGGAGAGAGACTCGGGCCCGTTCTGAGGCTCCGAAGATGATTGAGACCGTGGCGCATTTAGATAGAGGCATGAGCGACGTGTGTCAGTCGTTGGCATATAACGGTCACGTATAACCAGATAATCCCCGACAGACAAAATTTTCCGAGAAGAAATGTCCGGATTGCCAATGGCATGAGTCTTCATCAGAATTTGGCGAAGCCGCTGTTCAAGCATCTAGATGAATCGCGCTTGAGTGCTCTAAGGTGTATTTCAGAACATCAAGTATTGTTCGGTCAGAATGTATATGTAGCGGCGCGCGGAAAGTTGTGAGTGCATTGCCGAGCTGGCAGAAGAGTAAGTAAATCGCAATTCTGTAGCTACGGATTACTGACCACGGAAAGACGCCAGTTGGTGCTAGTGCCAGCGTAAAACGGAGAAACGAGGAATGATCATAGATCCTGGAATTAAGGTACCGAGTCTCTTTATACCGATGGCGTTGTCAGATGTTTGAATGTATATGAATTTTGGTATCCGAGGTGGCAGACACCGAAACAGAGGGAATGAGAACATGATACTCCGGCCACAACTTTTGATTTGCCGGAGGGACGAATAATTAACGGCACTTTTGCTGGAGCACAATCGCATCAATGACCGCAGTTAGGCAGAGCAGAAGAGTTGCAGCTTACATGTATGCCTAGACGTTGAGGCGTGTTTAAATCACCATCACACATCCGACAAGGAAAGTTCTGTCAAATCTAAGACCGTCGGTAGACCTAATTTTTCTACGACCAGCGTGGCAGAGGAGCGCACAAAGGGAAATAATGCTTCGACGAGTTTGACAGATGGCGACGGTAACCCAGGGTAGACCGGTTGAAGTTGTACTACCAATCGCCGTATGTGGCAGCGCGAAGCCAGAACTGAATCCAATTGGCACCAATGTGAGGCGTACCTATAAAGGTCACTGTTGTGCGAGAATCCGGTCAGAGTGAAGGTGCATTCTTCGAGTTCGATGTCTTCAGGTAGGTTCGAAGGTGAAAAGGAGTCGATGAGCCAGTTGAGCCAATTTCTCAGCCACAATTCCCACTTCATCGAGTACAGTTCGAACTTTAGGTGGCGGATCTTTTTTGCGGTAACGAGTGTTAATAGAGGCGCTGCAATCACTGCGTCAATGGGATTGATTATTGAGCTGCAGATAATCACTTACCATAGAGATACATATTTAAAGTAAGAGTCTCCAGCGTATCCTTGAATCGTCGAATCAATGTCTCAGCTGTGGATATAGCACCACTATCTTCGAAAAACGACGTTGTCTTGCGAAATGCGATATGAAGTTGTGTCAGCTTCTCGAACTCGAGAACCGAGTGCAGGGGAGAGCCGACGTCCGCTAGGGACATGTGGTCACCGTACACAGCTAGAGATTTGAACGTTAAGCGGTGAAGGATGCGGAGCCCATCTCTAGGTCCACTCAAAGTGATATTTCCAAGACACAATTTTGGCCTGTTGGTTGCATGCAACAGTAAGATGAACAAGTCATCAAACGGGGCGTTGGCGACTGAGATAGAGACGAGCTTGCGTGAAGTTAAGATGATCGTAGGAGCCGAGATGATTTTGAGGAACGGCGTTTGAGGCATCGCGTTGACGTAGATTAGATGTCGCACATTGGTCAAAGTAAGAAAGAGTTCCGACAGATGGAAGTGGACCCTCGACGATCTTGAGAGACCAGGCCAAGGGGTCTTCGATGGATGGATATCTAACGATACGGTCTTGATGAATGCGGTGAGATGTTGGGATGACCTTATTCGACGCAAGGAACTAACATCTGGGGTGATTCGGGTGATGCGGGGTACGGGAGAGAATCGACAAGGTGGGGAAACTTTGATGATGAGGCGTAGTGTTTCGTAGAGATAACTCTGCGCAATAGGTGCCCAAGATCGGCACACCAGAGCACACGATCGAAGCGTACCAACATCACCTCTGTTCTCCCTGAAGATACAATGTATCAGTTCCGCAGGGAGGTCTGGCGTCTGGGAAATTAAAAACGAAGGCCGACTACTAGGGCTCTGTGGAATACAGAGCCACGGCTTGCATTGCGCATACGGAACTAAATGATAGGATGGCATGATTGGCATCGAATGTTCTATATGAATTGGTGTGTCCGTCAATAAGGCAATGCCGGTCCAGGGAGCGGTACGTACTGTTGTTGTATCAGTGATGGCGGTGGCAAAGCATACGCTGTGAAGGTGTTGGGGAATGGGTAAGGTGCGCCCACCAAACGCCATTGATCGCCACTGATGATTATCTTCCAAGCCATTCCTAAAGCTCGCAGGTCACGCGATAAGATGTCATCTAACAGATGTTACAGATGGGCACATAAAAGCGCCGTGTATCACGAGATTGTCTAGAATAGCGTCTCAAGATTCTGTAATGTTTAACGTCCCTCGGTTAACGGCACAACTGAGCCTCAGAGAAGGGTCGAAGGAATAGACTTACTGATGATATTAAGATAGTTCCAGACTGCTCTTGATTGTGTTCTACTCAGAACAGATAGCCGAGAAGCGTGATGGCTCGCAAAAATTGAGCGGGAGGAGCTCGCTTCAGGCTCCACCATCAGCCAGTGATTTTGTACTGATTTTCCACAGAGGGATGCGCCATTCTTGAGTTGCGAGTATTTAACGGCACCATTGTTCAATGCCTAAGAATCATTGAGTAAATACTTTGGACTATTTTCCTCAGTAAAACTTACTGAGGGTGACTTGAGGATACCAAAACCGTCAGTGTCGGCTATCCCGGTAGATGTTGCAGAGTAGCAGTTCGACGGCAACAGTTACTAGGCATCGTGTATTGCTTTTTTGAGCGAGAGCGGACTGGCAATGAGGACAAGGGCCATGTTGAGCTTCCTGGACCATCATGGCCGTGCCGGTCCCGGCAGCCGAGACATCACGTGAGTATTACGTACCTCCACCGGGCCCGGCTTACTCTCGCGTATCGCACTCGTAGCTTCAAACCTTTCAGTTTCGAGCTCGCACCTTTGCTTGTTTGGCAGAAGTCGAATTAAAAACAAACTCTGCATGCCATATTGTTGAAATCCTTCCCTCGGCTGCTTATACTAAGAATACCAATCAAAACATGCATATTGCAAGTTGATTGCAAGTGACTTGGAAAGACGTTCGCATGACTTGACATTGACAGTGAAGTCAGGTTAAGTAGGGGCGCAGGTGAGATAAACCTGGGTCGGGCCGAATGAAGAATGCCCGATACGTCTGGACGTTTGGGAAAGATTTCTATCCTCCAAAGAAATTCGAGGGATATGGGGCCTGAGGTAGGGTACAATCAAAAAGAAGAGCATTGGCGGAAGAGAAGTGATACCGCCGAAGATTGGCGGCGAAGCAAATGAAAACAACTGTCAGTGCGAAAAAAAGGCAAAAATATCCTTTCTTCCATCCTAAGAGAATCCCGATCCTGTGCTGGAGTTAGCTTTCAACACAGATACTGTATGCACCGTTTTCTGCATCAGAATAGGAAGACCAAAGACGTCTTGCTAGGGCCGGTGTACACGCCCCGTCAACATCGTAACGTTGTTCACACGTTTACCTCGAAGCTCAGAAAATTTCAAACCCATGTCAGAAGAATTCTCAATTGTCCCGACAAAGAACAGAGACAGGGACATACAGCGTCAGAACCCTTTGATAACACCGCAGACGTTCCTGGAGCCTTGGACAATCTCTTTCATCCCTGCAACGCCTGAGAGTGGTTCCTCAGAGGACGGAATTCCATCTGGAGAAAGACTCGACCGTTAAAGATGATTGCTTAGGACGCGGAAGAGGAGGTCCGTATCGCCTCAGGGATGCATCGTAATGGTTCGCCCAGCTGTTCCATATCGTGTTCTAAGCCCACGGTGTTACGTTGACTTTGTCGGCATATCCTGCCTTCGGAATGGGTTCGCAGACTGGGGCCAGAGTATGTCGTACTCGAACTGTAGCGAATAAGGAAGGGTTGAGTTCGGGAGTAAGCTATGTGCCTGGCAAAGGTCTTTCTCATGAAAATCCATCGGAAGGCGCGTTTAACTGCGTGATGCCGAGCGACGTAAACCATACGGGCAGAATAGAGTCGGTCACGGAGAGAGAGAAAAGGACCCATCGAGAGATTTGATCCCAAGAAGTGTCATATCACGCGGTACGTAGACAGTGAGGCTACTTGAAACTTGAAGCACGGTATTCTTCGCAGATGTGCCACAGACCTCAGGGCAAAGAGCCACCTTATAGAAGCTGTACCGAAGCTCATGTGCAATGAGGCTATGTGTTGAGGCGTTGTTCTATGAGCTTTATGTTGTTGGGATCTAATACTGACCAAAGAACAGGCGCATTCCTCCCAGAACTGTGAGAAAGGCTATCCATTAGTATGCCCGAGAAAACAATACTCACATGTGCTCCGCCGACGCCCTATTTATTACTATAGTGCGGCCTTTCAAGCGACTGAGAATCCCTGCACCAAAGCCGTAACTCATTCTTGGGTCCGCTTGTGGCGTTGCGGTGACAGAGCAAGACGCAGGAAGAGAACAAAGACGCTCTAGACGTCCAGGCATGACATAGGCGACTGCCATCTATCGGCCCCGAAGTTCGTGCTGATTCTGTTGACGCGCCCCCCCCGGAAGGAATCGGAACTTTGAAACTAGGATGGAGCGACAATCTCCCAACCATGCATCGACGATGAAGCTAAGGTTCCGAGGGCATTTACTGCTATAAGTGCAGGCATCCTTCTTACCTTTTGATTGTGTAGTTGAGGCTATGGCGAAAGGATGTGGCGGAACCAGCCCGACTTCCGAGAAGGCCAAAAGTAGATATGGTCTGTGCGCTCAAAATTCCGCGGTACAAAAAGCGCATCCCGACATCCTGATTCCTTACCACTCTGGCCTTTTGGCTTAGATCAAGTGTAGTATCTGTTCTTAATAGTTTAACCACTATTACGGAGGCACCGCCTCCCGTATTGGTTATCTAATTTTTGCCGCCCTTGTTCTCTGTGCTCTGCTTGCAACACGGAGGCGCGATGACCTTGCTACTGCAGTATCGGCTTGCGTCGTCGGGGGATCCCTTTTTTCTTTGCTGTGCACTTGCGAGGACTTCCAGTTGGCGGTCTTTGGGTTGCAGCAAACAAATAGGCTATTTTTTGTAGGGTTTCTTTGATATCATCTTTGAATTTCGGAAGCATAGATTTCTGAAGTTGTGCAATGCTGGGAATCGATTGGAAGTAATAGATACAAATATATAATAGGGAGTGAGTGGATACATTTCATATCACCTAGAGGACACTGTTGACATAAATAAAATCAGAAAGAGGTCCTCCAGGGCTTATAAAAAGAATGTACCATACAATTCCCTCTCATATAGCATGAGGGATGTCTATATATTGCGGTATTGGAGAATCTTGCGGAGAAAGACTCGACGTCCTAGGCAGACGTGACCGTGGACGTTCGGACAAACCACGATAAACGACGCTAGGCTTTCTCGGAGGAGAAAGAACAAAGACGTCTGTCGTTGGACTCGAACTTTCCGAAGTCCCTGCACAACCACTCTCGGAAGAGCCCGGACCTGAGAAATAACGATCTGGCCTGTCCTTTCTAGCAATCAACGGAGAACAACTATCTGTTGTATTCGGACGATCGCGTGAACGTTCCCTGGACACCACTGGAGGAAAGCTAAAGCTCTCCAAACTGCTATCGAATGTGCACATTGTCTCCTTGGACCGCCTCTGAGTATAAGGACGAGTTGGTTTGAGATCAAAGTGCTCTTGGAGGGGGCTCAAGTGGGATGTGCTGTTGCTTAATGGACGAGACTTGAGAGGTGGGATGTCATACTTCTCTCGTGAAGGGCTTGGCTCGGCGTTCCGCGAAATCTTCCAAAGAAAATGTCAGGCTCAACCTCCCTCTTTGTCAAATGACACACTTGTACTGGAATGATTGGACGATCCAAAGTGAGAGTGCTGTTGTACGTGTCTAGCTGCTCGGGCGAGGAAAAGCTGGTGTCCCCTCCTATGTCGGCATTCCTTGCGAAGAAAATTCCAGCGTCGGTAACTTGATCGCGTCGTGATTGATATCGAGTGCGGCTATTGAATACCATAAGCAAAGCGTTGGTATATAACTTCCCGAGACAGAATGCCGGCGCAGTATTGTACATCCGTGTGTCAGTCACAAGGAAGACCGCTACTACCGTTGCCGCCGCCGCTGAATAGGTGACGCGATGAAATGACGGAAGACAAAGATGGATTAGACCCACTAACCTGTTAGAACACCAGTTTCGATGGTGATACGCACAAGTCTCGTTATCATATTACGGGTCGCTTTGTACGACGCGTCAATTTTGATCAGCTGGTTAACACGTTCAAGTATCTGAGAAAACAAAGGGAGGGACTACTTACGTAGTACGTCTGAATAGTCGCGATGATGATATCACATAAAGCACTTCCAGCAAGCCAAACCTAAAAGGTAGGATATTAAATAGCGCCAATACTGCGACGACCGCACTTACTAGACAAGGTACCAGGGAATTCCGCCGGGATTGTACAGAGTAGAGACCGTATGTATATTGCAGATGTCCTTCAATTATTGCCGCCACAAATTGGGCCACGGAAATCTAGACATTTTGCGCTTAGATGATTCCCAAGCGAGAGAAGCTGACATACCGCCCCTATGGAGGCCGCCAGCACGCGGGATTTGCTCAAAACCGATATCCGGTAGCAATAAAACAGTTGTACAATGCCACCAACTACGAGAATTTCATAAGTGTTCACTTGCAATTCAAAGTAAGGGACGCACTAAGTCCTGTCATTATCGGGACAGAAAACCATAACGTATGGACGTTGTTGAGGACGTCGGTTTGTCCAAAATTCGCAGCAAATATATCAAATAAATCTATAGTGAAGAGGACGGTTTGTAGCGTCTCCAAAGCCAAAAGGAGGTATATCAGGAATTTCGATAGGATTGGGTCCTTGGGGAACGAAATGTAGTAGATGTCTGCCGCCGAAGAGTAAGTGAGAGGACGGTGTTGCTGGAATACAGATACACGCACAGGTCTGGACACACAGTGCGCCATATAAAGCCCAATTCATTGTATACCCTATGAACTGGCGAGCAAAAGGTTAAATTTCGGGGCTTCCTTTCCCTAGATAGACGCTCATACCAAGGGGCCAGTACTGAAATCAAACCAGTCAGCAATAACACCTCAAAGAGCAACTGTAAGGACACACGTTGTACTGGATACGACGGATGGACGATCAGGAGCCTGGGACATTTGTCTGGAAAGGACCCTGGAATGAAGGGATGGGCGAGAGAACAAACCGGTGGAAACCTGCGGGCGTAAACATATCTATGCACCAATTCAGCGACCTTCGGACTGCACAGCTGATGCCCCCCCGAATCCCGGCTGGCCTTATTCATTGATCGAGAAGGACTGCCTGAGAATAAGGACAACCCGAACAGCGGACCGCCACCGTGGGTCATTCGAGAGATGGATACGTGTGCCGATCAAATGCCACAAACCAGTTGAGTAAGTATGGGGTTGACGTGGACGACATTGACTAAGTCTGAGAAACGACAAGGAAAACACGTCTTGGATATTTGCTGGACACGTCGGGCATCGGAGAAACTACGGACGAGGCTTGCGTGTACCAATGGGGAATGAATTCGACTCCGTTGAAGACTGATACTCTCATGCTGCAGGATTGTATCATTGATAATGTGACCCAGCTATCCTTGAATAACACAGCAGTGGTCTATCCGAATAAAGTGAGGAACCAAGAGGAGGACTCAGGAGGATATGAATGAATAATCAGTCACCTCATTTAGGAAGCTACCACTGGTGATATCTTCTTCCAGTCTGTGAAGCTTTGAGAAGTCGGACTGTCCAATCGAATCTTTGGAGTTTTTAATCATGACTGCAGCTATTGCACGCACACAGCTCAAGTCGGAGTCAAGAGTCAAAAAGTGCCAGAGCAGTAAAGTACAAATCCCAAATACAGAAAACATTTCCTGCATTACACATTATCATTTACCCGTACATATTTTTGCAAAAGATACATACGCTCTAGAAGAGATCAATCGGAGCATTGGAGGACAAGGATGGTGATTGAGTGAAGCAGAGTTGGCTTTGTCATCACCCGCCCCTTGTCCTTGTACTTCTCGGTGCCTCTCGGTCCCTTGCTGGGCCGCACCTGTCCATATTCCCATTGGCCTTCTCCTCGGCTTTTTATACATCGCCACTCAAATCAGGCCTTGTCGAGTTAATTTAGCTCGATATCACGATGCATCATGACCGTGCCTGGTACTTAATAGCTCGCCGTCCAACACTATGAGGATCTTTCTGTTCCGAGATTGCACATTGAAGATGCGATGGATCAAAAGCTGGGCACAGGGTGCGACTCTTTGTAAGTCCTCGTGAAAGAAGAAATAAATATCTCTTGTCCGCATCTGACGGAATGGGATTGCAGGTTGCATTTGTTATTGCTCTGGTTGCGCTGCGAATACAATCCGGAGCAGAGAGGAACGGCGGGCATGGATGGACGAAGACTCATGTTGCATCATTGCATCTCTCAGATCCTTGCCAACTTGAAAGAGGCTCCGCTTAAACATGATCTTCGGACCCAGATCACAACCGACCTTACCCAGATAGCTGAAATTCGACTCTTGCAGTAGTACTGGAAGAAAAGTCATCGGTTTTCGTTAATCTGGTTCGTATCGGTCGTCTCTCTCTCAGGAATTATGCTGGAATTGATACGAGCTCAGATGATTTGTATCCTGACCAAGTCAATCCCCCGACATCCGCACAACACTTCTCTTTGGGCATACTTTTCCGCCGGCAAGTTCTTCTCCCCGAGTGGGGTCGACAATCGCAAACTTCTGTGCCTATCGTGATTGCACCAAAATACTGACCAATGAACATGTTCAGTGAGTAAATTTCGAACGAGAAGGCAGTGTCCATGATCACCGCGACTGCGGGAGGATCTAGAGCACAAATTCGCGTCTCTGCTTGTCCTTAAGAATAGGATCCCCTGGGCCTGGCTGTAGATATCTTTTTTTCTCTGCCAAGTCCTCGAACGCCCTTCTCAATTCCCCGATTGGCGTCTAAATTTTTGACTTCTTCACCTTCACCTGGCTGCCCGCCACCCCTGGACCTTCAGTCGACTATCGCCAAAGCCTATCGGGACGCGAGCCGACCTCTAGTCTGGGTTGGATACGGCTTCCATTTGATCAGTGAGTACCCCATGGTTGATAATCCATACGGACACCCTTGGTCACGGAGACGGCTCACAATGACTACCCTCATCCCCTGGCATAGGCGATACGGAGATAACACGACACTACCAGCAGTACCCTGCTGGCTGGGGGTTTTGTCGTCCTTTCAGATGCGAATGGGCCAGAAATCAGCCAGGTGCAGATCATCTTGGCTTGCATGGACGACTTACCATGGCTGCATTTATCTGGCGTCGAAGAAGCTAGGTGACATGAATGCTTGTCCTAGAAGTCTTTACGGCTTTACCTGGGCCACTAGGCCTTCAGCTCTGTGTGGGGCCGTAACTTCCAGAACTATGAATGCCCATTGACCAACGTAAGTCTTGCTGTTGTCGACGTCACTGGAGGACGGGGGACTGGTACAGCTTCCATATCTAAACGATGCGAAATTCTGTGGAAGTACTTACTGGTCCCTGTTATCGCCCGGTTACATAGAGTCCACGGCCCTCTCCCTGAAGCGGGGGACCAGCCCGTACGTCAAAGTGGACCGAATTTAAGGCTGGAGCCCCGACTCTTCCGCTGTCCTTGGGGATACGATCGGTAGTTATTAAGAGCGAATGATTGATAGCCGTGCATCTGAATTGTTCTAAAGCCTCCCTCGAAACTTTAGGTGTCACGTCTGGATTAATCCGAGACTCGATGGGACCGGTACCGAACGGGAATCTCGAACAGCGTCTCACCATGAGTGTGCATCGTCCGAGTCGGGATCTGTCGATGATCTAATCGTTCACTAGTACTGTTAGCAGCTATTGAGGACACCTCGCGGATAGGCGACAGCGAAGAGGGTTCGTATTTCGTCATCTTATCGTCCTGTAGGCTGTGCATCTCTCCTCTGATAACAATCTGGTCAGTTGCTACGACAGTTGCTTCAAAATGAGTACCATCGCCTTTCGCTCCCGATATCTTGTTTCGTATCTACCATGTCTCGTCGAACTGGAAATGAATATATTAATACAAAATCCTTTCTCCTCAGAAAAGGGTGATTTTAAGACATATTTTGCCTGAAAACACGTACTAGCGAAAGTCTATGCCGTAATGGTTCTCGGGTTTTGCGGGGTATAAGGGAGTCTAGATCAGCATAACGTAGCGGGCTTAAACCGTGGCAACACAGCGCATGTTTTTCTGTCATTTTTCACTGTATCTTGTGCTCGCCAGCTCGTAGAATACGCATGTTTAATTGGTTTTTTCTTTCTTTTTTGTTGTTTCATCTCCATCGATCTTTCAGACGTGATGTGGCGGTGCATCAAACGCCTTAGACGCGTGGGAGCCTGGTGAAGTCATCATTAGACGGCGAATTTGAATACCCCTCACTTTCTCCTTGACTCCAACCACCACCATCGCTATACCCCCATCCCGCCGAATTGCACCATGAGTCGCGCATTCTGTATCCCTGGAATCGTATTCCTCTTTTGCGCATTCGTTCTCAGCTTTTTGACGTCCATCTCGCTGCCCTATCTCACTGGGCTTGACATTGCTCGTACCTCTGTGGCTAACGCTGGAAGGGTTCAAGGTCAGGGTGTTGTCGAGATTCGAGTATGTGCTCTTCATGTCATTTTGCGGCAAGGCGGGCTGATTTTTGTTGCACTATTAGCTTGGGATTTGGTACTTGCTCTCCACAAAAGTGGCATGACCTACAGCGCTTATTTTTCGTTGCTTTATAGGGCGGAGTGCGACTACCAGACAAATGGAGATCGTACCTGCGGAGATGCTTCACATGGATATACCTTGTTTATTCAGAACGCAGCGGGTACGGAGACGGTTGATATTGGGAGCTCGTGGACCCGAGGATTGGCCGTTCACCCCGTTGGTCAGTCTCAAGTCTTCTTAATCCTTCAATATAAAATTCTGATAACCATGTAAATAGCGACTGCTGTGACCTTCATTGCCCTCTTGATGTCGTTTTCCCAGCATGTTACTGTCACCTTGTTCGCTTCGCTCACGTCTTTCCTCGCCGCCATGCTCACCCTCATCGCATTCGCCTGCGACATCGCCCTGTTCGCGTATCTCAAGCACCAGGTTAACAAGCTCGACGACTTGGATCCCAGCACCAGAACCGGCCCAGGTACTGATGTTGTTAAAGCGCCTGCATTGATATTAATTCATTTTTAGGGTTCTGGCTCACGTTCGTATCGCTCATTTTGCTTCTCCTTGCAGGATGCACGGTGTGCTTTGGCCGTCGTAAGGAGCGCCTATCTGGTGCTTCTTCCTACCCTAGCTACCCCATGTCGTCAACCAAGAAGCCATTCTGGCAGCGCTTCCGCCGCAACTAGATGCTCCTCCACTCTTTTAGAACATTGCTATACCATTTCCTATCTCCAGCTCCGTTTATGAAGCTTTTCTTTGATTGTTACCCGACCGTATTTATTTGATTCATCGTTGTTTTCCTGATTTGATGTCCAATACACCTATGTATTGCAATGCCAAAGTTCCGGAGTGATAACATTCCCTGGATAGGGTATCATGCCCTCAATCCCCGCCAATCGGATTCCTGTGGTCATCCGATGTCCTTGCACCTTGCTCCACCCATTATTTGTACTATGCTTTGCCAGCATGCCAACCACGATTCTTTCAGCCGCGTGCATCGTTCTTCAGCGCACAATACGCCTTGCAGACCATAACATAATAGTAGCACCAAGAGCCGTAATTAAATATGCCTTCTCTTTCCATCGTATCCACGACCAGGCTGCTGCGCTTGATAACATGATCGTCAGGGAAAGCTCGATCTTTGATACACACCTCCAATTCAATCCCATCACCGCCAGGCCTTCCCTGCACACAGAAAGGCGCGTCGCCCATCAATACTCTGGGGCTCCTTGGGAAGGCTGCACGATGGGTACTTGCAGGTGAACGCGTATGTATCCAGCAGGGTCTCGATACGCGCCGTACGGTGCTTCAGGATTTCATCAAGCAAGAGATAAAGATCTGATAGTCGGTTTGAAAGCCGTGATATCGAAAGTGAATGAAACGTGTGCCGAGCGCAAATAGCGTTGGGAGCACAGCTTAATAACGATTAGATGGTTGAGCGGTGGAAAAGATGGTAGGCAAAGAACGAACCTATGATTGATATGAGACGGAGCTAGTGAAACGCTCTTCCAACGGCCTTGACAGTTTTCCGATGTTCATTATGTTCGTATCAATGATGCCCTCGTTTTTTTCTTGCGATCGTGGAGATGCAAAAACGCCTCCTTCTCCTTAAGTGAGGCGTTCTGCACCACGAGGGTAAGGAGCCGCGATGCGTGAGATATGTCGCCGTTCACGGTTGGGATGACCTCGGTAAGACGATGACGAGGCGCTCTCGCAGGATGAGGTCCCCTGGTGCTAGGTCTGGAAAAAATACCTTTCCCAGCACAGGGAACGTCGTCTATGGTGTAGGTTATGTAGAACGGGGTCTCTAGGCAGGAAAATATTGTCCATGGGGTCGTCCTCGTTGCTAATGGCGCGACGCAGAGTTCGTGGGTATACGAACATGGTGGTGGAATGACTTCAGAGCGAAGATACAATGAGAAATGTAGCGAGAAGAAAAGGACATTTTGGAGTCGTTAATCAGAGGGCAGTGAACGTCTTGCTCAAGAGATATCGGTGGTAGTGGAAGAGATGGTTATATTCTGAAATGGGACAAGAAAACTCCAAAGATAAAAGAAATCTACAGATAATCACAAATTGATGACAAACTCCCGTTTCGGCAAGCAACTATCAGGACAAAAGTCCTCGCGCCCAGCTACCCACCTTCGACATCTTCACCTTCTTGCGTGGCTCGATGGTATACTCAGTGACCTCAGTATTCCAATGTACACGCTTTGTATCTGCTTCATCGTCATCCCCATTGACAAGATGCAGCTCTCCCAGTACATTTCGTTCAGGACCCTCAATCGAGACCGCTGATGCGTTAGCCGCATACAGGTCGTAGTAGGAGCCATAGACGGATTCAAACGAGAACGGGGTCTCAGTTGTCTGTTGGCTCAGCTGGACAGGTGGAGAAAGCGCGGCATTCGTGTTAGGGAACGCAGACAACTGGCTTTGCAGGGAGGCCAGACTGTCGTAGGGCGCATATACTCCAATTGGCTGATATGTGAGGTCCTGAATAGGTGGCGAGGGGGTGTACTGGAAGTCTGACTGGCTGTCGAAGGCTAGCAACGCGGTCTGCCGTCTGGTGCCATCGGCAAAGACGTACGTGTCGCTGAATGACTCTGGATGAGAGATGAACGCTGACGCTGCCAGGGCTGTAGGTTCGGATACTGCATAGCCAGTCCATGCATTGCTGGCGAACGTGTACGTGTCATTGTTACGGTTGAGACCGTCAATAAAGACGTGAAAGTGGGCATCGAGCGGGCGTGGACTGAGGTCAGGAAGGGTTGGTAGCGACCTTGATGCGAGTCTGCCACAGGACCTTTCTGTTTGTGCCGTCTCCAACTGAAGCTGGGCATTGAGGGACGACAACTGTTTCTCCAGGGCCTTCTTTCTCGCCTTGTTCTTGTCGCGAGCAGACTTGGCTTCTTGGCAGAGACTCTCGATTTCGCGTAGCTGGGCCTCCAGTGTACGGGCAGTCTCGAGAACGTCGAATGCAACGGGCGCGGTAACGGCGATACGGGTGCTAGACATGTTGAAAGGATCGTACTGCCAGTAGGATGGTTGTGGTTGGAAACAGAAGGTGGTTGGACTTGGTACGATCGATTTCCGGCCGTAGAACTTGAACCAGCACCACCTCGCCCTTTGCCAACCATGCCAGATATCTCGCCACTTGCATCCGACATTATCAACAAGGTCCCGGACTTGCTGCACAAGCTGAATCGTTACCTGGACCAGAATGGAAAGCTTGTAGTCCAATGCGATAACTTGGAGGCGGAGATAGCCCTCGTCACCACACGCCTGGAGACTCAGCGACAAATTCGCGAAAGGATGAGTTCCGTCAAGAAGCCTGAAGCTGAAGGTTCGTATGTCTGTCTTCTAGTCCGCTACGCTTTTAATTTCAACTGCGTCTACAGTGGACTTCAGCTTCACCCGTGGAGAGAACCCTCTCCAGAAGAACGAAGGTTCGCCTGTCTTCTAGTCCAGTGACGCACCGCACCTCACCGCAATTTCAGAGGTCATCAAGCAGACCCAGACGAATAAAGGCGAGCACCTCTTCATCGATCCACCTGGGTCGAAGTAATTAGAATCATCCGCGTTCCGCGTTTTCAGAAAACGATGCCCTCGCGATGGTAGTAACACCTAAAGCAAGCGCCGATAAAAAGGGTAAAGAGGTAAGCATAATCGTGTGGCCTCCACTCCAAGCCTTGTTCATATATTTAGAACGAGCGATTCCAGTGCGACATCGGTGCTAGCCTTCGCGATGGACATACGAGGACGGACATCTCGGGCGAAGAAGCCATGTCTCTATCTAGATTCTAGAAATTTGTATTCAAGGTCGCAATGATGCATTCAGTTCCCATCCGGTCCCGTAAAATGGGAAATGTGTTGCATACCTGCATACCTCCTCGGAGGCTGAACACTGATACGCCCGATTGCCGCGCATATCATGCAGCGTTCAGCCATTGAAATGTCAATGCTAGATACCAATTCCGAGTTCGGAGTGACGGAGCAGCTGGTGCATTAGGTGTGGCGTGCATTTTTTTTCATACGTTAGTGGCACTGTGCATGCTGATTTGTTGCCAACATGCAGGACAACTTTGGCCGATCCCATGTACGTATTGTACAGAAATGCCTTCCGGCCATTCGGCCTGTCGAAATTCGGTATACTGATAATGCACCGCGGTTGACTCGTCCGCCCACCCGACTACCTTGTCGGTTGCCGGAATGCTCATGTGCTCTGTGGATCCCCATGCGTTATTCATCGAAACCGAGATACCTGTCTGTTTTGACGGTCGCCTGCAACTATTCAGACCTCAACTAACCACCGAACAGCGTATCCCAGGTTGGACCACTAGCCGACGGGATACAAACGTTCCGCGTACAACTTTTAGTAGTGCATGCCACACAATCCTTTCAAACGCCCGTCCTGACATTAAACTTCTGCACTATGGAACTACCTGCATCAAGCAAAGAGCTTCATATTCAGCTAGAAGGCGCCAAAATAGTGGCGGGGTCTCACGGAGTGCCTCAACGAGGTTTTTGCGTTGCCCTCGAATGGTAACATGGTGTTGGCCGATTCTTACTGATCGCCTGGTGCTTCTTGCATTGACTTTACATCAATCTTCTTGGTCTTTATAGCCAGGAACAAACCAACAAGACTAATAGTCGCCGACGCTTTTCTTGGTGCGTCATCAACGCTGACTGCACCCGGCTGTAGAGGGATGACACGAGCGCTCCTTCGTTCTAAAAATTTGCGGCCAGCACAAGTCTTTACCCAATGATCAGACTTCCTATCAGCGTCGTTGAGTCGGTGTGGATCGACCCACCATCCCTATTCGTCAATTCAGTTACTGCACACGAGCCATTTTCTTCACGCCCGCCTGTCCCCACCTGATCTTCAGCCCTAGTACCGAAAAGGTGTCTTCGAATTCTTCCTGTCATGCAACCCAAAAAGCAAGATTGGCTCCTGAGACGTGATTTCGATAGAGGCGGTAGCGGTCAGGTTACGGTTTCGCGAATGGGTTTCATGATCATCGGTTGCGATGAAACTTTCGCCTTGGCCTTCTTCGGCCAATTTTTTGGTTTGTTCGTGGACACTGTAAATCGGGGTTTGTATACGATGTGTGGAGTGCTTATGTTGATCCATCTACAGTCGTGTTCAGCCTTTAAAAGCAGGGTTACGGTACTGGTCAGTTGTCGATATCTTTCATTTTACTTTCAATTAATATGCCATCCCCCCTGCCTGCGTCCTTCTCAGTACTCGTTTTCTTCGTCTTCATCGTGTGCTGGTATGCTACTGCTCGCAGAGCCCGACGACCAGACGGACCAACCCCAGCTTGGTTTATCGGGAACGTCTTACAAATCCCTTCCAATAATCCGGAGCATAAATTTACAGAATGGGCACGTACCTACGGTGGGTATCGTTTTCTGGGAGTTCTAAGAACTACTGACCGGGTCTACAGGCGATGTCATTTATCTAAAGGTTTTTAGCCAGTCTCTGATCGTCCTAAACAGCCGTGAGGCTGCCCGAGAGTTACTGGAGCAACGTGGCGCTATGTATTCCGATCGCCCGCGTTTTGTACTATTCTCCGAAATGTATAGTTACAACCCACCTCTTGTTCCAGCCGTTCACTTTTTTCGTCAGGATGGGATGGCAAAACGCGTCTACGCACGTCAGATAGTATGTCGCCGAGTTTGTTTGCTGGATTCTCCAAGCTAATGTCGGCTAGTGGGGCCCGATTCCGAAAACATAGGCGCTTCATGAATCAAACGTTCAACCAACAGGCTGTCGCGGACCTTCAACCTATACAGATAAAGGAGGCTCTAACTTTGATGGAAGGACTGACTGCGACTCCTGAGTTATTTATTGACCATATTAGACGGTGAGTGCCATTGCTGCGGAGCATACCGTCGCCTATATTTTCCACTACAGATACGCCGGTGCCACAATCCTGAAAATCGCCTACGGAGCGGACGTTAAGTCAAGTGATGACCTCTATATCAAGCTAGGTCAGTGATTCATTTTTGTTTTACTTTGGTGATGGGTGCCCTGAGGAATACGTTTGTAGCCGAAAGAGCAGCCACAATGACTGTACGGTCGGGTACACCCGCCGCTACACTCGTTGATTACTTCCCGGTAATGAGGTGCGTATCGCTTGTTTGACTTTCCGTTGACATCGTATGGCCTGACACTTTCCAGATACATTCCCACATGGGCACCATTTTCCCGTTTCAAACGCGATGCGCTTCAAGTAAAAGCTGCCGTTGACCAAATGATGTCACTTCCCTATGAACGGGTCAAGGAAGAGATGGTATTACTGGTTTATGATCGAGGGTCTCTGCGTCTTCTCTGACGGACTTTGTAGAGCATGGGCACCGCAGCATCGTCGTTGACCTCCCGACTGATAGAGGCACATCTCAACACAGGAAGTATCACGCACGAGGACGAGGAAGACATCAAGGGCGTTGCAGGGACATTATACGCTGCTGCGGAAGATACCGTAAGGTCTCCGTTGAAAACGCTAAATAGCTCAATTATTGATCATTATGTCTTCTAGTCTGTTTGTGTGATCACCTCATTCATCCTGGCCATGGTCCTGTACCCCGAAGTATTTGTCAAGGCACAGGATGAAATGGATGATGTCGTAGGCAGGGCACGATTGCCGGACCTGAATGACAGAGAAGCCCTGCCGTATCTCGATGCTGTCATCAAAGAGGTGTACAGGTTCGTGCGTCATCAAAGGCAGTGAACATTAAAAGAGGCTCATAGATTACTGCAGATGGAATCCTCCGGTACCTTTGGGGATACCTCATCGAGTGATGGGCGACGACATTTACAGGGACCGCTTCATTCCCAAGGGCAGCACCGTTCTGGCAAACGCCTAGTATGTCATTTGGAGTACATCGATGTCGTCAGCGATATTTACGCTGTGCATAGTGCGATCCTGAAGAATTGCCCTGATCCGGATACCTTCCTTCCTGAGCGGTTTGAGGATCCAGAGGTCTTGAACCCCCGGGACGTAATATTTGGATTTGGGAGAAGGTCAGCGGTGGTATTTCAGATGCCTCTGTTCTTGAAGCTGACTGTTGGTGACAGGAAGTGCCCTGGAAGGTATTTCGCTGATGCAGGAGTGTGGCTGGTGCTTTCCATGATCATCTCAGGGTTTGATATATCAAAGGCCAAGGATTCTGAAGGGAACGTGATTACACCTGTTGCCGAATTCGAGTCGGCTTTTGTCCGGTGCGTTGTCGTCGCTGATTCAAGCTGTCTATGACATATGATATATCTTTTCCAGACACCCAAAGAAATTCAAGTGTTGCATCCGACCCCGAAAGTAAAAATGGCTTCGGTCCCGACGAGAGGGCTAATTTGTTACTTAAAGTTGTCGATATTAATGTTCCATATCGTACTCGTGTTATGAATAATTAGGTAAATCCAACTTATTTTGGCGCTCGCCGCTCTGTGGAAAAAATCTTCGGATAAGTTGACAATGACTGTCCATGCGGTGTTCAATGGCCGTCAATCTTTATGTACTTTTTCGTATCGTTATTTACCTTGGTACTACCAGCTGCAAGCGCCACACTTTCAAACTCCGTAATGTCCGCGACTTAGCACCGACCGGCGGCAGGTGCTGCTCTCTCCAAACTTCTTCCTTATCCACAGCCGCCGTGAACCATGCCAACCTTGGCATTCCTCCCCTGCCTATGACATCAAGTAAATGTATTACTGAGCTAACTTTACAGAACGTAACTCTATCGATTCCATATCGATACCCTTGGTGCGCTCCTCGTCGCGGTTTCAGCTTGACTTCGAGGAGTGCGATCACTTTCCTTACTCACCGTCATTTACTTGAGGCGACTGCTTGCCGGATCGGAATTCTCGCGATGATGGACTACGATAGGGATTCTGGAGCATTTGTCCAACCCTACTGACCGGCATCTCATCTTCAAGAAACCAAACAATCATCCAGAATATGGGCGTCTTCCATCTCGGTCCCTGACAGAGGAACCCAATTGGAGCTACCGTTGAACGCACCCCGGGTCGCGCTCTCAGTTACAGGTGGATATGCCGTCGACGCGCTATGTGCCTCCGGTTAACGTATATGTGCGCTCGGAGGCTCTTGGTTACACCTCGGCCCAGGTTTGACTGAATGTGATTACTACTTACTCCCGCTCGACAATAAGGTCCATAAAATTACTCTCAGGAAAGCTCCAGCTGGCCCGTCTCATGATCAGTCCTTCTATCATTGATTCCCTTTGATTCCACATCGTACCCTGGCTCGGGTGCCCACTGGCCCGTGGATTGGAAGGCCCGGATGACCACTATCTGCTTTGCGACGTCCACGAAAGTCGATAATTGAATTGTTCTACGCTTCCAGCCGATGCATCTTCCATCAGAAATTCGAGAAGGCTATCCGATCGAAATGCTTCCTGTCAAGTACTGTTGTACCGCCTTTCGATAGAGCTTGCGCGTTATGTCGCCTGGGTGTATGTTCCGTTCGGGCACTTCGAAACTGCTGTGGCTTCCTTTTATCGGGTATTTCATGTGGATGCGTCTTATTTTCTATTTCTACTCTGTTCCGGAATTCTCATACATACTGCAATGCATCCGCTACGGTGATCGATCCGCATTCAGCCATGTTTTCCAAGTTTAAAAGCGAGGCCGAGAATATGCAATGTATCCTTCCTTCACTCCCTGCCACCATGTTTTCTTCAGAGGCCTCGTCATTGGTGATACCTCTTCTCGTCGCTTTCGCCATCGTCGCGTATGCGAGATATTCGCGCACACATAAACTCTCTGTACCCGATGGACCAAAACCGACTTGGTTCATCGGTAACGTCCTGCAAATTCAGTCAAGTCATCCTGAAGAAACGTTCACAGAGTGGGGAGCCCTCTACGGTTAGACAGTGATTCCTACATCGTTTGGGAATGTCGTGACCAATCTCATTTGCAGGCGATGTCGTCCATTTCAAAGTGTTCAGCCAGTCCACAGTTGTCCTCAGCAGCATTCAAACTGCTCAAGAATTACTTGAGCGCAGGAGCGCTATATACTCTGATCGTCCACGATTCGTTCTACTAGCAGAGATGTACATTATGCTTCATTCTTCACCCTCGACCGTGTCTGACATTTTTCCCCGTATAGGATGGGATGGAACCATTCAACTACACATATTCGATAGTAAGTTTCTTCCCGTTCTCTTGGAGACGTCTAGTGAACGGAAATTTGCTAGTGGACCGCGTTTCCGGAAACACAGACGTTTCATTCACCAAACTTTCAACCACCGTGCCGTTAAGGATCTTGAACCCATACAAAATCGGTCAGCACAAGCATTGATGAAGGGGCTAGCCGACAGTCCTGAGGTATTTTTGGATCATATCAGAAGGTTAGTGCTTCTTATTACGGATGATGATCTCGCCTGAATGAACAACATCAACAGCTATGCCGCGGCTAGTATTCTTAAAATCGCGTATGGTGCCGAGGTCAAATCAAATGATGATCTTACTCTCAAGCTAGGTCAGTTATGGTTACTTCCTTGGTCGCTTGAAGTTGATGTCTTCTAGCTGAGAAGGCCTTGAAGATGACGATACAATCCGGCTCACCGGCTGCTACATTAGTGGATTACTTCCCGCTGATGAGGTTGGTGGCGCGTCTTGGGAATGAAATTTATAGTGCTGATACCTTTACTTAGGTATATACCCACATGGGCTCCCTTCTCGGCATTCAAACGTGATGCGATAGAAGTCAAAGCCGCAGTAGAACAGATGATGACCATTCCATACGAACAGGTCAAAGAAGAAATAGTAATGAATTCATTTACTACCCCCATCTTTCATTTCATCATTGATTATTTGTTAAAGAATATGGGAACCGCGTCGCCCTCGCTGACCTCGAGGCTGATCAAAGACTGTCTCGTTATGGGTACCATTTCAGACGAAGATGTCGAGGATATCAAAGGTGTGGCTGGGACGTTATATTCTGCGGCCGAAGATACCGTAAGCTTCTCTCAGGTTTGTTGTTAAAACAAGGGCGCTAAAACTTTGATACGGGACAGACTGTTTGTGTGCTCACTTCTTTTATCTTGGCGATGGTTCTCTACCCGAGTACGTTCGCCAAAGCACAGGAAGAAATGGACTTTGTTGTGGGGCGGGGCCGTCTGCCGGATCTATCGGATAGGGAGTCCTTGCCATATCTTGAATCTGTCATCAAGGAAGTTTACAGGTCAGTAGAAATTATGCCGAGGCCTTGGTCCAACAAAGCTAACAGCTTATCGATGAAGATGGAACCCTCCTGTACCCTTAGGCTTGCCCCATCGGGTGATGGAGGATGATATTTTCAGAGATCGTTTTATCCCGAAGGGCAGCACTATTCTCGCGAATATCTAGTACGTTCTTTTTTTTGGCTTTACGAAATTTATTCAGTAATACCACGATTCTAGCGCAATGATGAGAAATTGCTCCAGCCCTGACGTCTTCCGTCCTGAACGATACACAGAAGAACTGGAAGACTTCGACCCTCGCGATGTGGCGTTTGGTTTTGGTAGACGGTAAGGTTCAAGACAAATTGTTATTCGTAACCTTGACACTAAAAAGTTTTCCCGCAGGAAATGTCCCGGGAGGCATTATGCGGACGCGGGGATTTGGATAGCTGTTTCGATGATTGTTTCCTCATTCGATATAACAAAAGCCAAGGACTCGGACGGAAATACCATAACGGTGGTCCCGGAATTCGAATCTTCTTTTGTGAGGTATGTGAAGGCATATCATTCTACTTGGCATCTAGACTCAAGGCCTTCGAAGGCATCCCAAGGCGTTTAAATGCTCCATCACTCCGAGGACGCTATGATCCCCAATGCTTATAATTATGGATTTTCGGTCAGTGTTAGGTTGGTTTTATTTCGGACATGGACATGGACTTGATTCGCATCTAAATTATGGTTAGCAAAATGTATGTGTGTATTCATACGATGTACTTAAAATTCTAATGTACACATGACTCTTGTACTTATTGGCGATTTGAGACGCGGCAGCTTCAGCCGATATGTGCTAAATTGAGTTCCGCTCATCCAGCCGTGTCCCGGCAACCTGTTCTGGTTTTGTCGGAGTTCGTAATCTCAGTTATCGGCTGGGCCTGACACTGACTTCGGTTTATGGTGATTCATTACCTGGATCCACAAGCTTCGGGGTCTCTTCGCACAGATCCTATCGATGATACATTTCCGGTACCGAGGGAAATGGACGTTCCACGCCGACCAAGACCTAGAATCTGTGAGTTCAATTGTGTAAAGAACCAGTTCGGTAGCGGCACCTGATCCTGTGATATGGAAAGTTGACTTGCCTCACTAATGTTTCCTTTTTGATTTTGACAAAGAACTCACCTATTATTCTTCACAGGTGCTGCCCTTGCGATGATCATGGCTCCACAGATTTCTTTTGTACTGGTACAAAGGAAAAGCTATGAACAAGAGCCACTGGTAACTGATGCCGAGAGCAGATCTCCCTGGGAAAGTGTCGTTTAGACTATATGAGAACGAGCCATCGATAGTCCCTCCCATCGATCCCAACTACCATGAAGCGTGGTTTCCTGCTTACTGCGAAAGCAAAGCGCGAGCTGGCAAGCCCGGCCAATGCCTCCAAAACGGTGACAAAGCAAATGACGCGCGCCAGTCCACTCGCCGATACAAGTTGTTCACAGTATGTCGTACCTGCGTTTGCTCGTTTCATCGAATTTACTGACTACTATTATGTAGTTTCTGCAGATGAAATGCCTGACGACATCTTTTCTATGGGGATGTCAGATGGTAGTACTCCTTCTTTGCGCCTCTTGATATGAAGCAAGCTAATAAATGTCGACAGATGAGCTGATGAAGAAGACCAATGAGATGATGAGTGCGTGGGGATTAACTGCCGACGATTTGAAAGGCATGTGTCGGATATGCATGCGTTATATATTCAGTTAGTCTTACGTTCTCTACTTAGCCTTGGCCTCGGTTCCCGATGAGAATGATCCTGGTTCATTCGACGACAAGACCCCTTATCCCGACGACGAGGCCTGATGCGACGTATAAGTCCCATTCGCTGGCGGGTGGTCCCAGTGCCTGCTGTCTGGCTATCTCAAGCGACGACTTGGGTCTATTTCCGGGTTCCCCCGACCTCTGAAAGAGACGGAGGATAAAGCCTACAACATCTCTTCTGCACCGGGCAAAGGGTTGGGCATGTTCGCATCGCGCAAGATCAAAATGGGCGACCTCACTGCTGACGAGAGGCCTTTGATGGTTGTACCTCTTGTCCCCGTGGGTCTATCGGTGGCTCCTGTACGAGAAGGCATGACGAAGGAGGAGAAGAACCAAGCTATTCAGGATCACAGCGAAGGGATTACGCGTCGCGTTTTTGAGTTTATGCATGAGGAGAGTCGGAAGAAATTTATGGAGCTTCACAATAGCCACACGGATGATGGGAGCGGTCCAACCATGGGCGTGATTCGGACGAACGGCTATGGCCTTGGCGATGAACTGAAAGACGAAACTGGTAGGTCGTCAGATCGCCACTTTGATGATAGATTTTGACGTATTCTTCCAACGGTAGGAACTGTGGAATTGCTATCCAAGTCTAGCCCGGATGAAAGTAGGTTGTCCGTTATCCTTCTACCGGTGTAACTAACATTCACATTATGAAGAATTGAAGAAAATGATTGGCAAGTATACTAGCGTCTACAACATGCTCTCTAGGGTAAATCATAGGTCAGACCGCTTCAAGTTCTTACACAGTCTCATGTTCTAACAAACATTATAATACAGTTGTTCTCCGAACACACATCGGAAGTTCTACATGTCTTCCTTCTCTATGCAGCTTCGCGCAGCTCGGGATATCGAAGAAGGGGAAGAAATTCTTACCACTTACACGGAAGTCCTCCTGCCAGCTGCCGAGCGTGCGAAGGAGCTTGCATCCTATGGCATCCAATGCACCTGTCGGGCCTGTCTTGACTGCACTAAAAGCGACCCCATACGCGCCGCCGTGAGCAACCGTCCAGCCGTGATCGTCCCCATGATACAACAGCGGGGCATGCGACCCGATGCTTGGATAGATCCTGCGGTCGAGATTCTGGCGAAGATAGAGGAGGAAGAACTCCGGGGATCGTCTGCGTACCACAAGACGTTGCATCAGCTATTCAATGCGTATGTGCACCAGAACGACGAGAAGAAAGCGCTGATGTACGGCGAGAAGTTGTGGTTTGCTGCTTTGGCGGCTGGGGAAAAGCAGCTCGAAACGTTTAGGAATGCAGAGTTGATGAAGAAGTCGCCGCAGTGGCTCGTGGCGGGGATGACAAGGGGGATACGCTTTGTGCAGTCGTTTATCTGAGGGCCACTGGAACGAGGCTACCCGGTGGTGCTAAAAACGTGTAAATTTAAGCTTTTTTGATCGGTTCTGACTGTCGGTTGCGAGCGAGAGGACTGACTCGTTTCTGGTTCCTTTCCGGACCACTTGTACTTGAATAACGTCCGGGATAAGAGGGGGAGGGGGGGCAACGGTGTGGACGAGCCGGTGTTACTTCGTACTGCTAGTCTATCGGAGCCTCGATGTTTTTTCCCTATGGCCGCTTTCCTCCCCTAATCGTGATTTTGTTTATTCATAGGTGTGCCCTATCGATGTGGAGCTGGCTTGAACGTTTGGCTTTCGATGCCCTGTTGAATAGAGTCTATCCGATCAAAGGTCGGTCTGCCTCTTCAACGTTTTTCTTTGATAAAGTCATATTTACTCTTCTCCAGACGCGTTACAATCGCAGAGTTTCCTTCTTTATTAGCACAAAGCAATCCGTGAACAAAGGGATCAACTGTTGCCGAGCGCAGATCTTTTTGGACAGGCAGACTTCTTTTGGCGTATATAAGAATAGGTCATCTATGGAGCTCCCCTTCGTTCCCAACCACCATGAAGCGCGGTTTTCTGACCACTGCAAAGGCCAAGCGCCAGTTTTCTGCCTTGAATCCCGAGAATACTTCAAAACCGACGACAAAGAAACCGACAGGTTTGCCAGCCGGCTCAAAGGATGACTTGAAGGACGTGAAATTTACCGAAGGTATGTCGTGCATGTGGTTGTGTACGCGATGTATTACTGAAGATGTTCTACAGTTTCTCATGAAGAGTTTCTCGACCGTATGTTGGAAAGTAAAGGCATTACAAAAGGTACTTCTTTCATATCGTCTCTCGATATTCGGAAGGTCAATAAAATCCTTTACAGAGGAGGCGATGAAGGGGGTTCAGGAGATGATGGATACGATGGGATACACTGACGGCGACTTTGAAAAAGGTAAGCGCCTTGTGTGTGATTGTCTATGATACGAGCCTTATCGATCCTGCATTAGCTTCCGCCTTGGTGCCCGACGAGAATGACCCCGGTACCTTTGAAAATAAGCCTCAGAAGGATGATGACATTTCGTACCACGTGCAGGTCCCCTTCCCTGGCGGATGGTCCCAATGCTTGATATCTGGATATCTTGACCGACGACTCAAGCACATCTCCGGGTTTCCGCGACCTCTGAAAGAGACGGGAGAAAAGGTCTATCGCATCTCTTCAGCCCCGGGAAAAGGCTTAGGCATGTTCGCGACGCGCAAAATCCAGATGGGCGACCTCATTGCCGACGAGAGGCCTTTGATGGTCGTGTCTCTGTCGCCCAAGGGTTTTCGAGTGGCTCCCCTTCTGAAAGAAGGTGCTACGCAGGAGGAAAAATACCAATACCTTCTGGATCAATCTGAGGGTGTTGTGCGTTCTGTTTTTGGACGAATGTCTGAGGAGAGTCAGAAGGTGCTCATGGGTCTTCATAATGGCCACTTGCACGATGGATCCGGTCCGATATTGGGTTTGGTTCGCACGAATGGATATGGTCTCGAGGATGACCTGAAGGATGAGACTAGTAAGGCTGTCAACTTTCTTGAGAATGATCATTTCTGACGTGTCCTACTCGACAATAGAGGAGACAGAGATGCTGTTGGAGGAGTGCCCGGACGATTGTACGCTGTCTGCGAACCTTTTGTACCTGGCTAACCGTGATGAGTAGTGAAGTCCAAGGTTGGCCGCTATACTAGCGTCTACAAAGATCTTTCCAGGGTAAATCACAGGCGAGAAGTTCTTCCTCAGCTCGATTGCCCCGGCACTAACACCATCACGACAACTTAGCTGTTCACCGAACACCCATCGCAAGTTCCACATAGCCACGTTCTCTATGCAGCTTCGCGCAGCTCGAGACATCGAAGAAGGCGAAGAGATTCTTACCAGTTACACTGGCATTCTTCTGCCTGCTGCGGAGCGCGCGGAAGCCCTCGCGCCCTATGGCATCAAGTGCACCTGCCGAGCCTGTCTCGACCCCGCGAAAGAGCGATCCTATTCGCGCTGCCTGTGCTCAACCGTCCTGCCGTCACCGTTCCGATGAAGCGGGAAGCGGGAGCGCGTCCGGATGCCTGGATCGATCCTGCGGTGCAGACTCTGGCTGAGGATCCACGAGGAAGGGCTGGAAGCATCGCAAGAGTACCATAAGACGCTTCACCAGTTGTACAACGCGTACATACATCAGAACGATGAGAAGAAAGCGCTGATGTATGGGGAGAAGCTGTGGGTGGCTGCTTTGGCTGCGGGGGAGAAACGCTACGAGGCCTTTAGGAAATGTAGAGCTTACGAAGAAATCGCCTCAGTGGATGATGGCGAAGATGATGAGAGGGGCACCAGTGTTGCAGTCGTTCATCTGAGATGTGGCCCACCTGTTGATAGCCCTGATTGGAGAACTGCAGAGATGTGACCGTTCCGAATTTTACATATGTTCTGTATGTATTTAGTAACTTTCCTTTACGAAAGTAGAGATGAAGAAATACTCTACTTTGAGGCCATCGTCGTCAAATTATGAAGCCTTGACGGAGGCGCTCCTTCAACTGAGAAGAGACGGGAACTCAAGTATTCACGGTGGAGTCCTGAATGAGCATCGCCGGTTCTGACGGAATTCTCGGCTCGCAAGTCCCAGTAGAGCTAGCAAGGTCTTGGGTTGAGTGAAACAGTACGACTCCAAAATTGCTTGAAGCGTCGGACCACGGCCCTCCTCCTATGCAAGCAACTCACGTGCTCTGTGACATAACGCGTTTTTCCTTCTTTTCCCCTTTCCCCTTCTGATTCTTAGCTGCCCCAAGTTATTCTACGAAAGCATGGTACATAGATGGTCCTTGCTATCAGCGCATCTGCCGGCGATATTTTTAAGCGCAAAGTGTTAGTGAACCTTGCGAGACCGAATGGCGCACCTGGCGGGGGTCCTTCGGAGGCAGAGATAGACCCTAGATGTCGGTATCGCGACACGAAACACCGTCGGATCATTTACAAGGATGTAGGCACGCCATCGGATTCATTGAAGCCCTGTTCGTTGTTGTCGATGTTATACCCAAGACTTCACCAGGACTAGAATGGATGTACAAGAGACCTTAGTGGCGGAAATCTAATTTGGATAGAGGGCTCGAACATCACCAAAACAACGGATATGGAATACGCAAAGAAATGTCTGTCCGATCGAGGTGCTGGAGATAGAAAAACGGTGAGTTGATTTCTTACAGACCACTTGCTATTACTGGCATCAGTAACAGTACTACCATATTCATGGAGTGATAGGCTGAGATGGGCAGGAAGACACGGTGACTGAGTCACGTGTATTCTTGTCTATATGGTGAGGACACTTCGTTGTCCGTACGTGGGAATATGTGAAGTAGACACCTAGTCCAACAGAAGTCTAAGCAGAGAGTGATCTGTTCCTTCCACAGGAGGAAGACATTGTCGATAGTGATATTAACGGGAAGAGGAAGGATCGGATATCTGCAAGCACGAGAGAAGCGAAGTGATGAACCCTGTTCGTAGGAGGAACTGAGTGATTCACTCTGCGCGCAAATGCATGCAAGTTAAACGCAAGCAAACGCAAGCTCGCAAGAGTCACTCGCAAATTTCTCCTGGCCCGTAATCTTCCGAAGGAGTATACTCATGCAGCGGAGGCCTCGTCGAAGACCAGACGACTGAGACGTTTTCTAAAGAATCCGTACCTACTTGGAAGGAAACCCGGATTTTCCCCATGTTGAGCGCCCAGAATTTGCAGTACACAAGAACAGCACCCCAAATAGGTTAATCCCCATAGCCACGACAACGATGTATACGGAGTTCAAGATAGAAGTACTCAAAAAAATTCCAGAGGGTGCACCTAGGCAGCCATCACCGCAGTGAGCGACAATGAGCTCTCCAATTAGATAGATTTTGAACGTACAGATTATTTACTTAAATGGGAGATTCTTTGTCGAAGCAGGACAAGGAAATAATGAGAAGACGTGCTTCTCAAGCAAAGTAATCCAAGAGAAGGCCCGGCCGGCATTGTCCGGTGGTGACCAAATTGACGCCACGCGACCACGTGCCATTCACAACGATTACTTTGCCAGTGCCACCACTTGCCTTACTTTGCCTTACCATTGTTCTACGCGTCCTTAAAAGCAAGTCGAAATGGCTGTCGCTGTATTCTTCCTTGACCCCCTTCTCTCTTTCTACCCCCCTCGATTTTATCCTGACATTGCTATGTCTACGAAGAACGAATCGAAGGACTCTGCTCCCCCCTCCATCACAGGGAGAAAAACTCCGCCGCAAAACGCGTCTCGACTTGAACAGTTACGTTCAGCTGTACAGAGTACTCCGCTCAGCAACCACTCCCAATCCGTTGATCCCGCAGCCAACCCGAATTACCTTACGGCTCATTTCGACCAATACATCGAAGAAGATCTCAGGAATCGTGTTTTCATGCCCGCCGACTATTTCTTCCCCAACGTATTCCATCTCCCGAGTGACTGGCGGACAAACGAAGAGATAAAATCTCGAATTCAAGATATCAAAACCGATCCTGTGTTCCAACAGAATGTAACAGCCTACGTCGCCATATGTAACCAGAGAAATCCTGGGGAAAAGACATTCTACCATCCCCATGGGGTGATGTGCAATAGTGCCTTCGATGTTCTAGGCGCTTCCGACGACTCCAATCTGGGCATTTATCGACAAGACGCGAAGCCCGTGGCTGGGGGCGTACAAAAGACTATCCCCGATACCCTGGGCGTTCTTCGCGCGATGTTCAACAGTTCGGGAAACGTAGTGGACAACATGATAGACACCGGGCCGGAGCATAACTTTTCGTGGGCACAAGCAATGCATTGGCAAGAATTCAAGCCCAAGGAGTACTTCCTCGACGAAGGGACAGATGTACGCTACAGAGTTCTCACACCAGGTATGTGTCACCTTGCTTTTTTCTGACTTTTTTCTGACCAATCGATGCGTTCAGAGGGCGAGGATCCTCAAGGAATAGTGCGAGGGAAAACGACAGTGCACAGGGACCCTGGCGCCCTCCTGCTCCCCGTCAAGACGAGCACCTCGAGGAAGCGTCCTTCGGAAGATAATAATTCTCGTGGCGGTTCCAAGTATGCACGCTCTGCGACGGCTCCTCAAGTTTCGGATGCCAGGAATGGGTTAGAACATTCGGCGGCACTGAGTTCTGTCAGAGAAGGAGTCGTGGGAGGAGATGCAGCAACGGACCAAGAAAATGAAACTAAAGCGCGTCGAGGTGTGCGGCTCCAGTGTGGTCGTTATGCGCTCGAGATGCTGTCCAGCGCTAGCTTTCGTACTCACTGCATTGGTGCTCTTGTTACGGTGGGACGCATTCAGCCCCTCTACTACGATCGCTCCATCGTCATTGTTTGCAAACCGATCGACATGTTCAAATATGTTCGCGAGCCGGGGAAGGCTGCCATCACTACCGAAGACGTAACGGACGAGTTCGCAGCCATGCTTGTCGGGTTGGGTCGACTCACTCTCAAGCAACGCGGCATTCAAGAAGCATTTTGCACTGACAGGGATCTCATCAGGAATTATCAAGAGTACCTGAATAGATGTGAGGAGGATAAGAGGGACATCTTTAAAGATGTAAAGCTCCGGCTCAAGCTCAAGTTGGGTAAAGATCATAAAGAGGTTGAGGTCACCCTTGGCCGGATTATCGCACGCCAACCTGGCATCGTCGGTCGGGACACTTGCGTAGTCGAGGCGACGTCGGCGCACAAGGGGTGGACGGGCAAAGAACTGATTGTCAAGATCAGCTGGCCGGCCGTCGATCGCACATCAGAGGCGGAATTGGTTCAGAAAGCTAGAGATAAGGCGCGGACGATGAAGGAAGGGGCAAAGCCAGACTGGGCCCTAGACCACCTGCCCGACATTCTCCTTTCTCAAGACTTTGACTATGACGCGGATTCCACTCAAGCAAAACTCGTGGCGTTCTTCAAGGACGCCTTGCTGGTCGAAGGGAAGAAAGTCGAGTACGAAGAACGCGTCTGCCGAATCACGGTCCAGGAGAGGCTGTATCCTCTTGAGGACCTGAAGACGGTCAAGGAGTATGCTCAAGTCTTTTTCGACGTTTTACAAAGTGCGTGCATTGTTTTTCTCTTCCAACGAGATGACTTATAGTCGCCCTAGTTCACAAATGGCTGTATGACCACCCAAGGATCATCCACCGGGACATTAGTCCAGGGAACATCATGTGGCGCCGCAATGCCAACGGCGACCTATGTGGGGTTCTCAACGACTTCGACCTGTCCACTCTTCGAGATGCCACTGGCCCTTCTTCGGTTCAGCGTACCGGAACTCTGCCCTACATGGCATATGAACTTCTTATCAACGACGAGAACGGAAACCCACCGCAGCACCTCTATCGACATGATATAGAGTCCATCTTCTATGTCATTCTCCTACAATGCTGTCGTTACGACCTTGTGACTACACCGGAACACGTAATTCTGGAGCGTATTAAAGTCCCTTCCCGCTTCGACGAGTGGTACACCGCCAGCCGTGCGGGGTTGAATGACAAGAAAGGGAATTTTTTGATGAAAGATATCCGACCCATTGTGAGGAGTGGTTTTACCGACTTCAAGCCCTGGGTGAGGCGCCTGTACAAACGGTTCAGGAATGGATTCCGCTCTAAGCTACTACACGATGAGTCCGGCGACGAAGAAACGGAGTCCGACAACGAGACGGCGGCCCGCGACGACGAAACGGCGGCCTTCGAAGACGAAACCCTGCAGGGTCGGGTTTCATACGCAGCTATCATCAAAACTTGTCGCAAGTTCGCTGGTTCGTCCCTCATAGTACACAATGACCAGCTCAAGGAGGCTCCGTAGTACTGAAGTAGTCGTTTTTGGCTGTAACGATTTGTGTCTGTAACCTTGTGTTCGTTTTTTTGCTATCATATATCTTGAACTTTGCGAAACTGGGAAGTGATGGATGGTACCTCAATACTGAAGTTTAAAAACTTGGCTTCGTTCACCCAAGAGATGCTGACTGCAAGTTAAATTAGTACGTCGATGACTTACCCCACTCTCCATCCTTGTGGACCATTGCACGGCATCGACACGATGTGGAATCTATTTTCTATGCCATGTCCCTGCTACGTTGTCGTTACCAGCTCGTGACTGCGCCAGACTCTTACACACCGACTTCCAGCACTGGGTAGATCAACTTCACCAACAGTTCAAAATTCACGATGGGGTCCGATGGTCTGAACCACCATATGGCATACAAACGATACGGAAGAGCCACAGGGTCTTTAGACGAAGAAACTCTGCAGGACTGCTCAGTCATAGCCGAAACCTGTAGCCAGTTCGCTGGTTCGGCTCTCGCCGTACAACCCGCTCGAAGCGGTTACCAACAATGCGTCGTCGGCAGTAGCCTCTTTTTATTGTAGCATCCTTTTTCCTAACAAAAGATCATTGAATAGTACGATATAGCTGGCCTTGCCATTCAGGTCAGTCAGATCGGCAGGGCTGCCCCCAAAACTTGTCCAGGTATTCGTGATTTAATTCCTCAAAATAGCATCCATATCGAAAACGGGGATGATGTTGGTTGAGAAGTCCACAGAGGTTGCAATGTTGTTTTTAGCCGATCCGGAGCCATGGAAGCCATACATGGCATTGGCCTTGGGAAGACAGACCCTGAACACCCATTCTTCAGCCTTGTCTTTGAACTCATCGAGCCAGGCCTTCCTCTCCGCCTTTCTCCTCTCACGTCGCTCCACCTCGTCTTGCTTGGCTTGTTCTATTTGACGTCTGTCCTCCTGGGTCTGAGAATCTTCGTCACTTGCACGTTCATAGTCGCCCTTTTCTTCTGTGTCGGACTGGGGGATCATTCAGCTTTCCTAGAATATCTTCTAAGGAAGAAGATCCTGCCTCTTGGCTATCCTCCTCAGATTCCTCCAGGTCATCTTCAGCCTCATCTCCGCCGTCTTCAGTGTCCTCGCTAGACCCTTCCTCCGAGACATCCGACGTTTCGCCATCTGTCTCGAGCGGACCATCCTCTGAACGCTCTTCGTCATCGGGGTAGTATGCAATCGAAATTGGGGGTACGTTGAAATTGCTTTTAATCTGCAAACGGAAATGGATCTCCGCCAGAGTAGTGAGCTCATGGGTACAAAGCGCATCATCTAGGCTAGCCCAAAGCTCGCTTTGGTCGTCCGATATGTTGTCCAGTGTCACTCCTATGAACCTGAACGTGAAGACTAATGACAATTTTTTGATTGGGGTATACTGAGGAGAGATGCACCGGAGAGCTTTCGCAAACCATACCGACAGACGTTGGTTGAGCGCCCAATCTTCAACACAGAGGGACAAGTCGAGACTTTCACAATATGGAAGTCGAATGTTGAGATGTTCCTCGGTCATGCGGGATCCCTTGCCGTCTATAGCTGGGCGTGAGATGTGTTCGAAAGGATGCAGATATTATGGATTCACCAGAGTATCCGTAGTCCTCGCCCAAGTGCAGTTCGGATACAGAGTCCCTGACTTCGGGGATTTCTAGAAAAATTTGGATCCTCTTCCAGATAAAGTCGTTACAAGAGGCGGTGATGATGGCAAGTCTTTTTAGGACACCCGGCGCTAGGATACGGAATCGCGAAGTTGTTAGCATGTCCATGAGAATGTTGTCTTCTATCGTCACCAACTCCAAGACTAATTGCTTGATTGATAGGTTAAGATCTTTCTGCGGCTGGAGGACTTTGCGCTTGGGATCTTGAAAGTCCACCAAGAAAGGTTCATCCGAAGCCTCGTCGCGACGGAACTTTGGTCCCTGAAGTTCAAGGACACATACATCGGACAAGCGAAGGCAATCAAGAGGCACAGAGGTTAGAATAGTCTGTAACCCTTGAAAATGAAGCGTAATTCCTTCCAGACGAACGTCGGTGAGTTTGGTGCAGGCGGAAAAGGCAGCAAAAAAGGCGTCCCGTCTGGGGAGGCTGTAAAGCTCGATAGCTTCCAATTGGATAAGCGTCAGGTTTTTCATATCTTCCATGATAAACGAGAAGCTGCGTGACTTTGAAATGCTAGTGTCGGGCGTGCAAGCGTCATCTGTGATAAAGCACTTGACCAATGGCGCGAGACCTGGGTTCGATTTGAAGAGACGGCGGAGCTCAGAGATTCTCCGTGCAGGAATTGTTTCAGAGTCCAGAGTGATGGAAATCACTCGGAAGAGGTGTGCTTTGGCTCGTATGCTCACTTGCCGAGATGTTAGGCATAAACTGCACAAGGTTGGCACACGATCATCGTCGTCCAAGTGCGATACCTCGTCGGTAATACTGTCAATGAGCTCTTGGGACAGCGCCTGAGGTCCCTATAATCACGCTGTAAGCCCGCATAGATGAACTAGCGTAGAATCCCACCTGCGTAGTCGTAGACACAGTATGACAAAGGAAGAACTGGAACTGGAAAATACAGCTCTTTTATGGTGGGCTTCAGCCATCGCTATAGGTGCTGTTTATATAGGAAATGATTCGAGAACGGAGTTCCTGTTTCCTCATCTAGATGGAACTTGATAACTATCAGAGTAATACGTATACGGCATTCACAGCCTGCGTGAAGGAACAAAAGAAAATTTTGTCGAGTTCATGATTCGGAAATACCGATACACTTTGGGAATTCGACTAGGAAGGTGCGTTGGCTAGACAATTATTGTCATGGGAAGGATAATAGAAAGTGACCTTGAAGTAAGTGAGAGATACGAATTGGATGCACTGCACAATGGGCGTACTGGCGATTGTCTTCCGGTTCCGTCCCGCGGACCGGTATTCTCCGACCTATAATCGATCTTGCGTCCGTTGCGTCCGTTCTACATTGTTCTCCTGTTATTGTGACTCTCTTCAGCTCTTTTCTAACATTTTCGTACAAAGCTCTTTTGTGATCCTTGGCTACCATGAAAGGTACCATCAGAGAAAGGCTCTCAAGGCTGCTATTATCATCGCTACTTGAAATCGTATTTATTTTGCAACCAAGTTCACCTCAAGGGATACCCTCTGTAAGCATCTAATCTCGCCCGCTCCTACGAGTTTCTCATATAGATTTCCAGGTAATGGCTCCTGCGAGAAGGAAGATATCTCGGGACAACAAGGAGAACATCGCCGTGGTGAGTCAACAACTGCGAACACGGACGGTACCTGTCGGGCTGTCAGAGGAGAAGGCAACTCTGCCTATTATCCAGAAGCTTAGGCGTTCAAGGCGCTCTCGCCGCCCGCTTTCTCGGTTTGACGACAATGCTATGGCTCCACCCTCTGGCGATATTCCAGCAAGCGTTCTGCCCTGTTGCGACTCCAAGCTTTTCTATACGGAAATTCGCCAGATTATTTCTTGCAGGAACTCGACTTGTGTTCATTGTCCATCGACATTTCTGCGGATATTCTGCCCGAGGAAAACTACCCATGCTCTCCTTTGATTGACCCATTCTGCCACCTACACACACTATTCCGTGACTCAGAAGTCAGATCGAATAGATGTGGCCACCCCAAGGACGGCAAGGGTCTCAAACTCAAGCTCTATGATGATAAAATGGTTGAGATCATCTCTCTTGGCCAAACTATATCATGCGCGCGCGGCATCGTCAGTCGAAACACCTGCGTAATCGAGGCGACATCCGAACGCGAAGGGTGGAAAGGTAAAGAACTCATCGTCAAGATCAGCTGGCCGGCCATCAATCGAGAATCAGAGGCACACTTGGTCCAAAAAGCCAGAGATAAGGCGCGAATGATGACGCACGGGAAGAAGCCAAACTGGGCCCTAGACCATCTGCCTGACATTCTCCTTTCTCAAGACTTTGACTACGACGCGGATTCTACACAGATGAAACTCATGGCTTTCTTCGAAAAGGCCTTGTTGGTAGAGGAGAGGAAGGTCGAGTACGAGAAGCGCGTCTGTCGAGTCACGGTCCAGGAGAGGTTGTATCCTCTCGAGGACCTGAAGACGGTCAAGGAGCATGCTCAAGTCTTTTTCGACATTTTGCAAAGTACGTATATTGTTTTTCTTTTCTGATGAGATGTCTTATAATCGCCCTAGTTCACAAGTGGGTCTATGATCACCCGAGGATCATTCACCGGGACATTAGTCCAGGGAATATCATGTGGCGCCACAATGCCAAAGGCGACCTATGTGGGGTCCTCAACGACTTCGACCTGTCCACTCGTCTACATGCCACTGGCCCTTCTTCGGTTCAGCGTACCGGAACTCTACCTTACATGGCGTATGAACTTCTTATCAGCGACGAGAACGGAAACCCACCGCAGCACCTCTATCGACATGATATAGAGTCCATCTTCTATGTCATTCTCCTACGATGTTGTCGTTACGATTTTGTGACTACATTGGAACACGTAATTCCGCAGCGCATTAAAGTCCCTTCCCGCTTCGATGAGTGGTGCACGACCGACCGCGAGCCCTTGAATGATAAGAAAGGGAATTTTTGGTTCAGAGATTCCCGACCCATTGTGAATAAGGGTTTCACTGACTTTGAACCGTGGCTCAGGGACCTTTACCGACAGTTCATGCTGGGGTTTGCGTTCAAAAGACTTGAAGAAGGGGGGAAAGAACCCTTTGATGATCAAACCTTACAAGGCCAAGTTTCTTACCCGACCATTGTCAATATTTGTCGCCAATTCGGAGGTTCGAACCTTGAAATACACAACGATCAGCTCCAAGAGGAATCCTAGTACTGAAGTCGTTGCAGTCTGTCTCAATAATGTATATAACTGTAGCTACTATCTATTGTTTTGCGGTAATACACCCAGTTTGAACTTGAACTTCGCGCTGTAGTCCGGGCCGCAGGGATGCTGGTGGACCCTGCTGTGTAATACTGCCTACCTAACATAGGTATTTCAGTTGAACGGACCACGGCATGAATAATTCGATGAACACCCAACACCCTTGATCCTGGATTGCAGCTACATGTACTACTTGCGACCAATTTTGTTCTTTGTTATAGGACACTCCATCTAGAGATGAGAGCTGCGGCAGCTAAGTACCACGTAAATCGCCTTTTTCAATGGATACACGGACGTTCAGGATTTTCGAAGGGTGATCGCTGTTGACGCTTTTCTGCCGCAAGTAGATCCAAACTTGATCAGAAACGGATATACCCACACTGATGTACGAGAAGACGCTACGGAGAGCTAATCTGTCTGCAGGGAATAAACGCTGTCAGGAACCCAGAAATCGGTAGCCAAGAAAAAAGGAGGTGAGCTGGATGCCGCTACGCTGCACCAGAAAAATTCTCTTGCAGTGAGCATCGATAGTGGGTTAAAGATTGGGCAATGCGCGGACACAAAGACAAGCCATTCACATTGGTAGATATCCAGTCGCGCAAGAAATCTTAGTAGTAATATACACATTCTCTGTTCTGTAGTTCGTTAGCGAGCTCATAAGCTAAACAGCCAAGTCCACTCACTATTCTCAACATATCCTCGTTTCAGATCCCTTTCCCGGCTCTCACCAGTTTCAGTTTCTCCTCTGGCACGCCATACCGTTGCATGAACTCTGCGATAACCTCTTTGCTGACGCGGAATCCAAATCCTGACTCCCCAGTGTGCAGATCAAGGTACGAGCCATTGCCCCCAGCATCGATTTTCTTGGCAACCTCATTTGCGGCATCGGCACTTGTCTTCCACATAAGTCTCTTGTCCACGACAGCGAGGAAATAGCCTGTCGCACGGTCGGTACCATACGCGATTTCGATGTCACCCTGTTCGATGGTGTAACGGGTCATGTTTCTGCGAGGAGTTAGCAAAACGAGCAGTTGAGGCGGTGGGACTGACACTAGGATAACGGGGGAAGGATCGTGTGAGTCAGGATCATGTCGAAGCGTCTTTTATGGTGCCCAGACCGATTAGGCCTATGGCAATTCTGCGGAGGCGCCGAAGAACTGTTGTAATTGAGTTTTATAGGCGCTCGGGAAGGTCATCACTACTGATTTGTACCAGAGTCATGCTAGTGTTCGTCCGTTCTGGAACTAGTCTGGCCGGGGTCCGGTTCGGTCCAGGTTCGGGCACATTTGCCTGAACCTCGAACCCGCACCTCCAGGTTCGCTCCCCAACCCCCCGAACCTCAAACCTGAACCTCAGGTTCAGGTCCACAAGGTTCGGTCCAGGTTCGAACCCGGTCCAACAGTTTTTTTTTCATTGTGTATCACAAACCATGCATATAAAAACAATCACTAAACTACATGGATCGACGACTACATTGAAAAGTCCCAGTCTGCCTCGTCAAAACAAGGTCCAGTATCCATCCACGCTTCATTCTGCGCACTTATGCGTCCATCTCGATAAGCTTCCTTCAAACGCTGCAGCGTCCCAAACTTCTCGGCACCAAGGTTTCGACGGCGAGGATCAGAATCAGTACGCCCTGCATATGAGAAAGCACGCTCCGATGATGTAGAAGATCCAGGGACGGCGAGATAATCACGGGCCATAGCAGACAGCACCGGATACTCGTCTTGGTGAATCTGATTCACACAAATTAGTCATATGAACTTCAATACAAGGACACAACGTACACCCCACCACGCGATAATGTCTTCACACAATGCCCGGTTCACTGGCTTGCTATACATGAATTCCTCAAGCTCTGCTGTTGGGCTCGCCGGCTCGGAAGGAACTGAAGCCGAGTTCTTGCGGATTAGCTCGTCAATCCAACTGTCAGTTGTCGTCAACGCTATCATAGTAGGATTTCGGAATGTCCTACCGGGTAATGTGCTTGCGTCTAGCACTAACGTTGCCGGTCATGAATGCCGTACTCTCTTTTACCCCATTTTCGCTAGAGAGCTCATTAGACATAGCCAGAGTAAGGATGGCGTCAATACTCACATGCATAGCAAGCAATAATGGCCGGCTTTCATCTCGCCGTCAACTTTCCGTACATCTGGACGGAAGCAGAGGCGTAAATCCGCAGTCTCGGCACTCCGCGTGCGTTTCGTTCGGGTCTGGACTAAGTTTAGTGTGATGTTACGGCAGAAACTAGACGGTATTATATACCTTCGGTGGTCAATGCGGCATGTTCCTTAGCTGTTAGGAGAGATACCGTTACAACATGAGCCTCATGTTTCCAAAATAAAAGTCGGTGAGACGACCGGCGATGTTAGGCGCCGTATGATGCTGATCTCTTCATCAGGAAGGGCCTTCGTAGCTTGGGAACCCGTTATCCAAGGGTCAAACGAAGATAAACCATCTTCCACAGGAATTTGATGATGCTTTAATGGGCTCTAGTTCAACGTCGTAGCCTTTGGAGTCGAGAAACTAGGCTGGTGTCGAGAAGAATTGGCTAACAGAAATTGGCTAGACCCCGTGTCTCGGACCCTTCATGGATATAATATTGGCTTTGGCAATACTTGGCGTCAGCAACACCGAGCCTGCTATTTATGATACAATATATTGATCTCGGTAGACAACGATAACTGGAAGAAAGAAGGATCAGTTCATGTATGGATGCAGGACCATATTATCCTTCACCTCCGGTTCGTAACGAGTGTTTCTGTCTCTCTCTATGCCAATCTTCTGCCATCGTTCTTTGGGCCTCCTGCATTTCAATTCCAAAACACGGTAGTGCGCACGATCTCCAAGGCACGTAGGTTTGATTAAATAGCGCCATGAGCACCTAACAAATCTCCGTTTTCAGCCTTAACTATAGCCGCAGTATGCGATACTTGACGGCTGGACGAGGGCCGAAATTGTTACCATAACTGTCGTCGACCATCATCCCAGTAAGGTTTGCATGCCACGGTTATTGAGAGACTTCAGCAATAAAGTCCAGTCAGCCATAGTACTTCCGAGTATGAATTCGAGAGCGCACGACGTCTCTTCCCAAGAGTTATGACTTGGCTTAACGATTCTCCAATGTTTACTTCTTGGTCGAGACGATGCTCGTAACAAGGAAACGCGTCGTTCTGTTTTCCGAGGGAGTGCATGCATTCGATCCCTATAGTACTAAAGTTGTCCGAGGTCCTCTTAGCGTCAATGTGGCGGAATAACTTGGCGAACCGCTTCATAATGATCGTAGAATGAAAAGGTCAGAGGTGATCAGAGATGGACCGGCATTGTCCGGGCATGTGACCAAAAGTATGCAGATTGTACCTCCTCCACCGTCAACTCAGAGAGAAATACTCCGTCGACAAATAGACCTCTAGGTGAGGTGACACGTTTATCTTCTCAGAGTGTCCCGCCCTGCAATCGTGCCAAGGCTATAAACCCCACCGCTAACCCGAACCACCCTACTCCTGAATCCGACAGATACTTTGAAGATCTCAGAAACCGCGTTCGCATGCCTGCAGACGATTTCTTTACCAATATTCTCCATATTCCTCATGACTGGCGAACAAGCGAAAAGATAATATCTCTGATTAGAGCCATCAAAGACGACGCCGCATTCATACAACATGTAAAGGCCTACAGCGAACTATGCCAAGAGGGCCCTCCCTGCAAAAGTGCCTTCGATGCTCTATGTGCCACCAACGACTCAAGTCCAGGCGTTTATCGACAAGACGTGAAGCCGGCAAATGACGGGCTACAAAAGGACGACCACGACACTCCAGTGGGCGTTCTTCGCGCCATGTTCAACAGTTCAAGAAACGTAGTTGGCAACATGGTAGACGATGAGCTGGAACATAACTTCTCTTGCGTGCAGACGATGCACTGGCAGGAATTCAAATCCAAGGTGTCCGACCTCAACGAGGGCACCGACGCCATCTATAGAGTTCTAACAATTGGTAAAGGTTTTTTTTTTTTTTTTCTGATATCCTTCTGAGCAGTTCTTGCGTCCAGGTAGGGGGTATCCTCAGGAGAAAGCGCATCGAGACCCTGGCGTTATCCTACCCCTCGACAAGTCGACCACCTCAAAGAAGCGGCATCGTTCGGAAGACGACACTTCTCGTGTCCTCTCCAAGTATGCACGATCTGGGATGGCAGCTGAAGTTTCGGATGCCAGGAAAGCGTCTGAAAATTTGGTGACACTCAGTTCTGTGACAAAAGTTACGGCCGGAGATGAAGAAGAATCCAAGGCGCGTCCAGCCGTACGGCCCCAGTGTGGTCTTTATGCCCTCGATATGGTTTCCAGCACTAGCTTTCGTACCCGTTGTATTGGTGTTCTCGTTGCGCTGGGACGAGTACAACTCATTTACTACGATTGCTCGGTCATTATTGTGTGTGACCCGATTGACATGTTCGAACGGGACGCCGAGCCGAAGTGGACTAACGTGACGGATATGTTCGCTGCGATGCTCATCGGATTAGGTCGACCCACTCAAGCGATGGGATATCCTGGAAGCATTCTGTGACGACAAGGTTCTCATCGATAACCCTTGCATCCATATGGACAGATGTGGCGACCCCAAGGATGGAAAAGGTCTCAAGTTCAAGCTCTACGATGATAAAATGGTTGAGGTCACCCTCGGCCAAATTATATCGCGCGCACCTGGCATCGTGGGTCGAAACACTTGCGTAGTCGAGGCAACATCAGAACACGAAGGGTGGAAGGGCAAAGAAATCATCGTCAAGATCAGCTGACCTGACAGTAGTCGAAGATCGGAGGCGGAGTTGGTCAAGACGGCTAGAGAGAAGGCGCTAGCGATGACACGAGGGAAAAAGCCAGACTGGGCCCTAGACCATCTACCCGACATTCTCCTTTCTCAAGACGTTGGCTACGACGCAGATTCTACTCAGGCAAATCTAGCAAATTTCTTCGAAAATGCACTATTGGCAGACAAGATGACGGTCGACTACGAAAAACGCGTCTGTCGAATCACGGTTCAGGAAAGGTTGTATCCTTTCGAGGAACTGAAGACGGCCAAAACGTATGCTCAAGTCTTTTTCGACATTTTACAAAGTGCGTACATCATCTTTCTTTTCCAATGAGATAATTTACAGTCATGCCAGTTCACAAATGGCTGTATGATCACCCGAGGATCCTCCAACAGGATATCAGTCCAGGGAATATCATATGGCGCCGCAATGCCAACGGGGACCTATGCGGAGTCCTTAACGATTTCGACCTGTCCACTCTTCGAGATGCCACTGGCCCTTCTTCGGCTCAGCGTACCGGAACTCTGCCCTACATGGCGTATGAACTTCTCATCAACGACAAGAAGGGATATCCGCCCAAGCACCTCTATCGCCATGGTGTGGAATCTATTTTCTACGTCATTTCACTGCTCTGTTATCGTTACAAACTTTTGACTACGTCAGACTCTGATGAACCCGAGATTTTGAAACGCATAAAAGTCCCTTCTGACTTTGACGACTGGTACAAACTCAGCCGCCCAAAGTTGAAAAAGGAGAAAGGCGATCTTTTCATGGATGTCGCTCGCACAGTGAACAATGGCTTCGCTGACTTTCAGCCCTGGTTAAGTGACCTTCACCAACAGCTCAGAGATGGACATCATGCTCGAGGTTCCCATATCACCCGCCGAAGACGCGGCAAAGCCACTGGACCCTATGACGACGAAACTCCACAGGGCCACGTTTCATACTCTATTGTCCTTGATATTTGTCGTCACTTCCCTGGATCGCCCCTCGTCGTACACAACGACCAGCCTAAAGAGGCAGCCTAATACTATAGATAGTAGCTATACACACTGTAGTCGTGTATGTAGCGTAGCGTCTGTTTACGAATCTTTATCGATAACTGTTGTAGCATATTTTTATTACAGTTATTGACAGGTCATTGCAACACCATCAGTCACTGAAACAGTTGATTTAGCCTCCTTCTCCCCAGTTCCGCTGCCTGACAGTGTTGTATAATCGGAGGCATAGATGTTATGGATTTTTAGTGATTTTTTGGGGATTTTAGCGCGACTGCTGACCCCGTGAAAAATCGAACAGTGATGCAAATTTGGCAGGGGTTTGCCACGTGGTCATTTACCAGTCAATGAAACACCGTAAATTACGAATATCTCAATAATAGATGCCTTGATCCACTTCATACTTTGTATGGATATCACTGAGCAATATTAAAAAATTTGTAGCTACTTTATTTGAGGAAAAAGACGATGTGTGGTGGATGGGACAAAAAACATTTTTCGGCGTTCCAATGACCGGTAAATAACTGTAATTTTTCGAAGAAATCAATGTGAATATCCTATTATCTCATTGCACAGCCGCCTTTTCTCTCTTCTTTCCTATGAATCATTCAACCGTTCTGGAATGATGCCCTGGCTCGCAACCACACTCAGCCCGTCTCATCATATGGTCGTTGAACAGCACCACGAGTGTCCACCAGTCTTCGTTTTCAACCTTGAGGATAATCGCAAGATCCTAGAGCTTGACGTCCTGATGAGGCTCGAAGAATGTTGAAAATGTTCGCTATTCCTAGTGATGTGCGGGCTTGGGCTTGAGCCCAAGCCTGACCCGAGCCGGCCTGAGCCCAGCCGGGCCCGAGCCTACTGTAGTGGGCTCGGCTTGACGATTTAAAAGCCCAAGGCCTGCCCAAAGCCCTGGGCTTTTGGTACATAATTTCTCTGCCTATGTGTTGAGTTTTCTGCTACTATTTCCAAGGCAAATATCCATGTACTGCTATTCTGGCACTCCTCTGATGATTTCGGCAGGATGCTGAATATCTGCTGACCCATATATTGCTTCACCAGCTGCACAGTGATGATATCATCACTGTGCCGAATACGGCAGCATCCTGAATCGGCATGTATTCACTCCCTGCAAGTTGTGCACACCTTCCAAACAATAAAATGTGTTATTGAGCTGATTTATGACTTACTTTCATTACATACAATGGTCCTAGATATGACTTCCCTCTGCACTAAAAGCCCAGGCTCAAGCCCAAGCCCGCCCAAGCCAAGCCCTGTTTTCAGGCTTAGGCCGGGCTTGCAATTTCTTGAAGCCTGAGCCCGCAAAAGCCGAGCCCGTTGAGCCCAAGCCCGGCCCGCACATCACTAGCTATTCCAATAGAAGTTGTCGTTGACTTTAATAACGAATCTATTTGATCAGAAACCCCCGCAGCATCAGTCGGTCAAGAAGCTTTTGAGTGTAAATTCGAGTGTGCATAATGTGCCATACCGTCCTTGCGTTGCTGAAACCCGGATGAGCTGGACGGCTTGGCCACGTGTCTCTCGGCAATCTGGACTCGGACCGTTGACCCGGGAAGTGTTCAACCTCGCAGTAATCATTCATTCATCTTGCTACTCGCTATACTAGCCTCTAAAAACAGATCACACATTACTATGACCTTACGCAACATACAAAGTGAAAGTAAGTCTCGAGTCTTCATTGTTAACGCGTTAACAGGCCATGTTTGAATTTGAAGATTCTTACGTATATCTGTCGATACAACTATTCGGTGTATCCAAGCATTCATGTGGTCGATTGTCACGAGTATGCAGTTCTGGACTCGATGGAGGCCTCGGATGCTGCAGGACTTAATTCCTCCGACGTTTTGTCCCACTAACAACCACCATGTCGTCCTCAAACTTTGGCACCTTTGCACGCAGCAAGACGAGAAAGTTTCCTCCTCAGGCCATTGACGAGATACTCTCCTTTGTCCATGATCTAGACACCCTCAAAAGCTGCACATTAGTTTGCCGAGATTGGGAGTCCACTGCGCAGCTATACCTGTTTTCCGTGGTACACGTCGGTGGTCATCCACCGCCTCGTCGTCACAATCCATACGACATACCTCATCCACTTATCCCTCTCAATGAACTCCATACCTTCAGATTACAAGGCTTTATCCGGGAGCTCCGTATCCTACAATCTCCCGGCAATGCCTTTCTCCAGCAGCTGCAGGTCATTCTCGACAACGGAGACTTCAGGAGACTCAAGACGGTGATGCTGGATCAGACCAGTCTTACCATGACTGGCGCGACTATGGCACAAGTCCAGAAGTTACTACTGTCGAATATCAGATTCTCTGGGCCCAACGGGCTACTGGCGCTCGATCTCTCCCGTTTCAGTTCCTTGGAGGATTTGCTGTTTGAAGGAATAACATTTCTCCCGTCGACTCTGGGTCCGCCAGTGAACACACCTCCTCCATTGCAACTGAAAACGTTGGTGATTCAGTCATGCGCCAACGATGTTTACGCGACGCTTATCGACACTCTCCTACTTGATCAGTCCCCTGTGAACATCAAGCACTTGAGTCGGTTCGACAATCATGACAATCAGCTCATATATATCGCAGACCCGCTGGACCCGAATGCCCGTATTCCGTGTCCAGACACTTTGAGTATGGCCTCAAGGGCTGTCGGACACCTGCTGAAGGAAAACAATGTTGTACAGCACATCGGTTTGCATAATGTGCCTGGTCAAACTGGTACGTACGCTCACAGCTTTCAAACTCATTCTCGTCTCATGAAAAGTTTTAGAACTGCTCACGCCCACCTTTCTTTGCGGGCTGCGGTCCCTTGTAGTGCCCATGAAAACACTCCAATTGAAGGAGTCTCTTCAAAATCTCTGTAACCTTCTCACCGAGTCAAAGCCTTCCGCGTCAGGGCCCTTGACCTTGATTCTCAAATATCCTTACTTCACGGCGGATATCTTACGATGCGGCCACGAGTGGATATTTCTCGATAATCTTGCTGGTTCTCATGTGGTGAAATTGGGGGGTTTTTATGGAGTATCCGGACGATGTTTCTTCGGAGGAGGAGACCTTGCAAGTCGCTGGGCCGCTACAATTTGAGCAACTTCTTTCTAGAAGCATGGCTAATGCGGTGTTGCGATTTGGGTATGTGGGTGCGTACTGCTGCATTTCGTCCTGAAATTCCAACGACTGATATTTACTCAATTTCAAAAGGCCTCAATACAATTGATGATTTCTTGGGGTGGTGAAATATCTACTTTGCGAGTCATTAAGCACCTCAAATACCATGCATGTAGCTCCAAGAGTTACCGCGGTATGTTACCTCGACGAAGGCGATGCTATGTAATATGTATAGAGTTCTAACAGTTGCCAACTTCTTCCATTCTTCGTCGACGACAGACTTTCAGGATCTTGTTCGGCAGTTATATTTTCTTTTTTATTTGTATATCAAACTGATCTGAAAAAGATGAGAATGGTTTCCGGTCAACTAGTGCTGTGGTTACGCGTGTTCGGGGAACTGATGAGTCGGTGTCTACTTTGGAATCCAGGTCCTAAAACAGAAATTCTCCGTTGCTTCTGGCCCTTGCCGCAATGATCAAGACCGCCGCACATTCACAGACTTGGACAAATGGTACTCTCCTTCGGAAACGCCTTCGCTACTCCCAGCATCTGTTCGCCTCTTATCCTTAGTCTTCTTCTTGCATCAATGTGCTTACACTTTCCATCTAAGCCGGTGAATTCCAACGCGGCCACGACTATCAGACTTGGAAAGTTGTATTCAAAAAGGATTTGCATCGATACGTTTTATCTATACGTGAAGAGCTCAATACGCATCTTCTCCTCTGAGGTCAGCCCTCAGCGACACGTGTTAGCGACGGTGAGTCATTAGTCCAAAGACTCCGAAACCTCTTGCTGGAATCGAATCCTTCGTTTCCGATGGAGATGATTTTTTCTCTGATCTTCTCTGCGGAGCTATTTGATCTCAATTACTTTGGGCCGTATTACCAGCGTTCAGTATTAATAATTATATCTAGCAACGCACTAGGGTTATGCCTTTCAAATCACCCACACCTACCTGCGGCCGGCGTATCATCGCAAGGCTACTATGAACGTCAGGGAGCTTGACAAAGGTGCGTAAGTGTCTCGATGTCGCTCTTTAGTCTGTCTTTGACCGGACAAGTACAGATCCTAACGCTGAGAAACTTGTTGTGACCTTTGATGCCTTGCTTTTTCTGGCGGTATTGCTCTGCATGGCTGTACTTGCCCCTCCGCTCCTGTCCACGAAGATCAAAAGGAAGAAGACGTGGTTTGGAATGATGATGTCTGGAGTATTTTGCGGCATTTCCTATTTGATCTTGATGTTCATTGGAGAACAGGATGGTCCCGAACCATCCGTAGCCGTCTGTTTATTCCAGGCTTGCTTGGTCCATTCAACCCCCGTTCTGTAAGTGCAGATATTCTCCTGATCTGCGTATGTTATACTTAATGGTCCCATCTGAAGTGTTGTCTCTTCCGCGCTTGGTTTTGTTTTGGAAGTCAGGGTATGACCTTGCCACCAAAAGCTATCCAACTGACAAAGTTCCCTTCAGCTGTTCATTGGTTGCTTCCTGAATTACCAAGGGAAATCTCCTTCCCGAGCTACTCCTTTGATCGTATGCTTTTCATTTGACGTGGACAAGTTTGGGCTGTGCTTAATGACCTAGATTTTAGGATCGTCGATTCTCATGAGTCCTACTCGTGTTATTGGAGGCTTTTGTGGTATTTGAATATTTTATTTTCATGACACTCTGATATTTCTCGGCACAGATAGGCATTGGAAATCCCGATGACGTTCGATGTAATGACTCACACCTGTATTGCTATATAACTACCTCAATACCGTAAGTACTGTACACAGCCGTCTGCGTTTGACATTCTTAGTACATTTCTACTAGTAACATCGTCTTCTGTGCACATGATGCCATCTTGTCCTTAGCGATGATGATCGCAGAAGGTAGACACTCGAGGGATCAAGCGCGAAACTAAATTATTGCTATTTCGAAAAATGATGAGAATCCAAAAAAAAAATTAAAAAGTTTTGGGCCCCGCAAAAAGACCTCCGAGTCCGCACTCAGGGGCCATGACGATCAACGTCATAGGTTGTTTCGTCGACAGTCGTGGGTTGTCTCAGATGGTGCAGGCTGAGATCGGGCTGGCATCTGGCGGGTCAAAACTTTTTTTCTTTTTCGAGAATCTCATCATTTTTGAAAATAGCAATAACACTACAAAACGTAGTCAATGTCATGATCATTATCTGGAAGACCAAGGCGAAACTTGGACGTCAACCCGGTTCCGCAAACATTGAAATACCAATACAACATCTTCTTCTCCGTATATTTTCCTTCTCCGTTTTTATAAGCCTTGCAGTTGGGTGAGTCTCTACATAAAGGATTCTTATATAGTACTAATACTCCCAGTCGGGGCAAAGCATGACCATCTACTCCCTTGTCATCCCTCCCAAGGGCAGTTCTGGTTCATCCTGGTATCTCCTACTGGGCATAGGTGTGTCATTCAACTCAGTCTCTGTCCCGCTTTACGAAATTCCAGCTCAGTACCACTCGTTGGTATCGCAACATTTGGGACTCAAAAGGTAAATCGCCATGACTTCCTCGGTTCTTTGCCGAGTTTGTTCACAACTACTGCAGGACATCCTGTATTTTTACTATTGGAGAAATGACATCTAGCACAACCGGATTCCATGCAACAGCGCTAGAAGAATTCTCGCCGTAGGAGAGTCGCGATTGGCACGTTCCTTATTCCTATTCGCATTCTTTATCTTTACCTATATACTATCCTTCGTTCACTTTCTAACCTTGGATCTTCTACAGCCCTACAATCTTTATTATCTGTCAGTAGTTACCCAGAGCCTTAGTTGACCGCTTCAGCGTCACTGTAACCGACTGAGGCGCATATACCACACGACTTATTACTATTTCATATTTATGCTTCTCACTTTTGAGTGCGTATCGAAGTTCTCTCTGAACTAAGTGCATTAATTATCTATTGGTTTTCCCTATCGTTGTTCCTGGCTGATTTCTTATTAGTGATATGTATTGTTTTCTTCATAGTACAGTATGTCAGCCTGAGCGCCGGACCGTGATCAGCCAAGGCCGTTTGAGGGCGTGGGAACATCTTAGAGTCCTCCCTTTCACTTAGACTCTTCGCAGAGCACCTAATCTTCAGCCTCAAATCTCGCATTTTATTATCCTATCCTGTCCTCATTCGATTGCGATGAAACGCCCACTTCTTGTCGAATCCAAAGTTTAGGTCAACAGGCCACACAAGACTCTTTTTTCAGTGTCGTTTTTCTTCGGAGGGTGAGGGTCGCAGTCAGATGTCCATCGAAAATCCAGAATTGGATTTTGATATCTGGCCCACGAAAGAACGGCCTCAATGAGCACGGATAATTCGCAACGGTTACTTCCAGGCGCAGATCTCGTTCGACATCCGTCAACTGCCCAACGAGACAGGACTTCTTCCAGAGCAGAGGCGTCTTCCCATCTACCAAACCACCATGGCCCACCGTTTTCTCAACGCTGTGAAGACGAATTGGAGATTTTCTCGCACCCTGAAACCGAACACGAACTTGAAGCATTGGACGGACAAAATGAAAAGAGTGAACAGTACGTCCTGCATGTTCTTATCCCTATCTTATGTATTTATCTATGTCATATGAAGAAATTATAGGCAGCATGAAGCCAGGTAAGGGTGCCCTCTTTGCGCTATCTCTTGATTTCAGGAAACTAATGCACTCTTTACAGAGGAAATGCAGAGGAAGATCATGGACATGTTGACTGAGGATGATATTAAAGGTGCGTCTTTTTCTTTGCTGTGAACTCGAGCTAGTCTGGTTAACCATATTTTAGTTTTATCCCCACTTCCCGATGAGAACGATCCTGGTATATTCGAAAACGAGCCTCATCCGAATGACGACGTCAGGACCCACGTACAGGTCGGCGAGTCGCAATGTCTAGTGACAAACTATCTGAAGCGACGACTCGAGCACATCCCCGGTTTTCCTCGACCTGTGAAAGATACGGGAGACAAGGCCTATCGTATTTCCCCCACGCTGCATAGCGGGATGGGCATGTTCGCGGCGCGTCGATTCAAGATGGGGGACCTCATCGCTGACGAAAGACCTTTGATGGTCATCCCCATTGGTCCACCGGCCGATTTCGGTTTCTTAATGGCACAAACGACGGGGGAGGACAGAATGAAGTACTCACAGGCGCTTGTGGGTTCTGTTTTCGAGCGCATGTCTGAAGAGAACCAGGAGGCATTTATGGGTCTTCATAATAGCCATCCGCATGATGGTCTACTCTTTGGCGTGGCTAGGACGAATGGGTATGGCCTCGATGACGACTTGATGGACGAGACTAGTAGGTCGTCGACTTTGCCATCGTAATTGTTGCTAATGTATGCTGCCAACGATAGAAAATGTCAAATTTCTATCACTGTTGGTCTCGCACAATAAAGGTAGGTTGCTCACCATTCTTGTATGCGGCTGAAAACGAGATTATTCAGATATGCAATCGAGGATTGGCAGGTACGCGGGCGTCTTCAAGGATCTCTCGAGGCTGAACCACAGGTAAGATGCGTTCTTTTAAAACGTGGTTGATGGTACTGACTCGGGTTACCAACTAGCTGTTCCCCCAATATCCACCGCAAGTTCCATATGGCCACGTTCTCTATGCAGATTCGCGCAGCTCGGGACATTGAGGAGGGCGAAGAGATTTTCACCACTTATACCGAGACTCTTCAGCCAGCTGCCGACCGCGCAAGAAGCCTCGCGCCTTATAGCATTGAATGTGGCTGCCGTGCTTGTCTCGACCCCGCCAAGAGTGACCCTATACGCGCTGCTGTACGCAATCGCTCAACGTCACCATCACTTCCTCCATCGAAAGCGAAGATCGATGCTGCAGTGCAGACTCTGGCGAGGATAGAGCAGGAAGGGCTCCAGGCCTCCGCTGCGTATCGCGAGACACTAGGCCGACTGTTCATCTCATACGTATGTGTGCACGACGAGAAGAAGGCGCTGATGTATGGGGAGAAGCTGTGGCTGGCCACAATGGCCGCTGGGGAACCGCTCTGCGAGATGTTCAGGAATGTAGAGGTGATGAAAAGTCGCCGCAGTGGATGGCGACGAAATGGTTTGTGCCGCCGAGGCGCCTTGTTTGAAAGTCTCTCGATCGAGTGCTGGAATTCTTTGTAAACGTGGTATAGATATGCAAACGTCGCTTTTCTTCATCCCTCGGGCCTCGGGCTTTACAATTTCATCATTGGACGGCTCGAGGTGTGCATACCAGCTGGTCAGTGGCCGGTTCACGTCGAAGACAAAGTCTGGATCGGTGACGGGGTACTCAATGCTCTCGTTTTTTCCTCGGATGGTCGCAGTCGTATATCCATTGCGCCTTTGGTATCTGGACCTGTGATGAGCATGGGTCATGGGTAACGGTTGCTACCAGGCGCGGATCTCCTTCGACATCTGTCAACTGCTCAATTTCAGGCAGGACTTCTTACAGGGCGTTCTCCCTTCAACCAAACCACCATGGCACATCGTTTTCTCAACGCTGCAAAGGCAAATTGGAGACTTTCTAGCACTCGGAAACCAACAGTAATAAACACGAACTTGAAGCGTCAGGTGGACGAAATGAAAAACCTGTTTGGTACACCTTCCCTGTTATTATCCGTCTCCTTTATATTTATTATCTTATATACAGAAACGGTAAACAATTTGACGCGAGGTAAGGATGCCCTCTTTGCACTAACGGAGAAGCTAATACATTGTTTATAGAGGAATACGAAGAGCTAATAAGGAAGTTTGGAGTGGCTGACGATGATGTCAAAGGTACATATTGGTCTTTGCCATGGACTTGAGCTCGTCTGATTCCACCGTATCGTAGCCTTAGCCCCACTTCCCGATGAGAACGATCCTGGTATATTCGAAAACGAGCCTCATCCGAATGACGACGTCAGGACCCACGTACAGGTCGGGGACTCGCAATGTCTGCTTACAAACTATGTCAAGCGACGACTCGAGCACATCCCCGGTTTTCCTCGACCTGTGAAAGATACGGGAGACAAGGCTTACCGTATTTCCTCCACGTTGCATAGGGGGTTGGGCATGTTCGCTGCACGCCGGTTCAACACAGGCGACCTCATCGCTGACGAGAGGCCTTTGATGGTTTACCCTCTTGGTCCATCGACCGATCTCAGCTCGATGTCAAATGGGGTGCGATCCAACCAGTCGAAGTATTCACAGGATCTTATTGGTTCGATTTTTGAGCGCATGTCTAAAGAGAGTCGGGAGGCCTTCATGGGGCTTTGTAAGAGCCGTTTGCATGATGATCCACTCTTGGGCGTGATTTTCGCAAATGGGTTTCATCTCGCTGATGACTTGAAGGATGAGACTGGTGAGTTGTCGACTCTACTGTTGCTGTTGATAACCGGTGCTGATGTATGCTGCCAACGATAGACAATGTGAAGTATTTATCACCGCTGGCTCCGAACATCGAAAGTAGGTTCCCAGTCATCACCCTTGTATATATGTGGTTGAAGTCGATATTATTCAGGTCTGCGAAGGCTCGGAAGGTATGCGAGCGTCCACAAGGATCTCTCTAGGGTGAACCACAGGTAAGATGTGTTCTTTGTGATTAATCTGCGTTACTGACATCTACCCCAATCTAGTTGCTCCCCGAACGCATCTTACAAGTTCCACATATCCACATTCTCTATGCAGCTTCGCGCAGCTAGGGATATTGAAGCAGGCGAAGAGATCTTCACCACTTGTATCGACAATCTCCAGCCAGCTGCGGAGCGTGCGAGATGTCTCTTGCCTCATGGCATCGAATGCACCTGCCGTGCTTGTCTTGACCCCACCAAGAGCGACCCTATACGCGCCGCTGTGAAGAACCGCCCGGTATTGTTTACTCCTCGGGATCTGAAGCCCCCTCAGGCTTGGATCGATCCTGCCCTGCAGACCCTGGCGAGGATAGAGGAAGAAGAACTCCAGGCTTCGACTGAGTACCGCCAGACGTTGCGCCAGTTGTTCAATGCGTACATGTACGTAAAAGACGAGGAGAATGCGCTGGTGTATGGGAAGAAACTGTGGGCGGCTAATTTGGCGGCTGGGAAACCGCTCTGTGAGATGTTTAGGGATGTGGAGTTGATGAAGAAGTCGCCTCAGTGGACTAGGCCGAAATGGTTGTGGGGGGTACAGAAGCGTCATGTAATCGTTTGAAAAGCTCTTCGACTCCGTTTGTAACTACTGTATTTATACATGCTTCCAGATTGTTGTTTCGCACGTTAAGGCCTAGCCGACGTTCTGTCGATGTGTACATTTATCTATGGCGTTACGTTTCTACGTGCATACCAACAGAAGAACTTGCCTGAGTTTCAAAAATTACATGTGAGTTGTATTATATTCCTGTTCCCGCTATTCTTTCACCTTGAAAAGTCACCTTTGCGATTTTACCATAGTTACAAGAAGCCTAACTGCTCAGATGAAAAACTGCAACGACGGTACGTACCCGGCCCTCTTTGTGGTGACTTCTTCGTCAGTTCCACGTTCCTAAACCTCTCATGCTGCCCACAGCCTCTCGCTCAACTCCAGTGCTTTCTTCTCGTTGCTCGTATGTACGTACGTATTGAGCACCTGATGCCTCTTCGCTTCCTTGAAAATATCGTTATTCTGTTCTCTTTCCCTGACTATCTTCGGACCATCTCAGGCTCAGGGAATGGCAGTTAATTTCTACCGTCTTTGGAGACTGACCCACGATGGAGACATGACCTCACGAACCCATAACGTCAGAAGTAGAGTTGCATCGTCTGGGAGGAGGTAATAACTCTTCCCAAAGACTTCCATAGGTGTTTGCAGCCATCGGATTGAGTCGAAAGCGGATCTGTCAGTGGGTCTTGGTAACATTTCGACAAAGGAACCGGATGATATTGACATATTGAACTCTACCCTCAGCGTGAAGATGGGCAAGCCTAGCATACTGGTCAGAGTCTATGGCGGTGGTGACTGCCATATGATAACGGATCAGTGGAAAGTCCTCGAAAAACGTTGATGTTAGAACGATTTACCAAGGTCTAAGCCCTTTGGAATATATGGGTGGTCGTCTTCAAAGACATCCAGAATTGTCTGCTTGTGCTCAAGAAACCGGCTATCAAACTGAGTTCCTATAAGGTGTCGGGCAAAAGCTCGTCCCAAAGCAAGATAGACCTATACAGACGTCCTCCGTTATGGGAGAAGTGGGGCCAGTATACTAGGGTGTGAAATGCGGAGGTGTGCAACGCCTTCTTTCTGTATACAGTGAAAAGACTCAGCAGCCTTCAACAGGCAAAGAGGAAGAGATGGCGTCAAAGACGGGGTCATAACTATTCTTTTTTTCATTTGCATGCATGTATTTTGTCCCAATGTCTGGTTGATAGTGTGCGTTGCATAACATTCATCTTTACCATGCATTTGATGTACCCCATGGAGAGCTACTCTGCGAGACGCACGCAACCATGTGATTGTAACAGTCGTGGCCTTCATGGAAATAGTGCTATGTCAGGTCACAGACTCAAGCTAGACTCAAGGAATGGCAGTTGATTTCTACTGTCTTTGGCGATTGGCCCACAGTGGAGACATGAACCCATGCAGCCATAATGTCAGGAGACTCAGAGTTGTATCGTCTTGGAGGAGGTAAGAACTCGCCCCAAACACTTCCATGAGTGTTTACAGCCATCGGATCGAGTCGAAAGCGGATCTGTGGGTGAGTCTTGGTAACACTGCAACAAAGGAACTGGGTAGTATTTACATATTGAGCTCTACCCTCGGCGGCAAGATGGGCAAGCCAAGCATACTGGGCGGAGTCTATGGCAGTGGTGACTGCCACATAGTGACGGATCAGCAGTAAGTCCTCGAACAATTTCGATGTTAAAAACATTTTACCAAGTTCCAATCCCTTTCGGATATATGGGTGATCGTCTTCAAATACATCCAGAATCTTCTGTTTGTGCTCAAGAAACCAGCTGTCAAAATGAGTTCCTATAAGGTGCCGGGCAAAAGCTCGTCCCAAAGCAAGATAGAGCGTTGCGGAGGAGCATCCAAGTCCAACAAGGATATCATAAATCCTGGATCCATCAAGAGAAAGAATGAATAGAAGATAAAGGCGCACGTACGATCTCTGCTCCATGAAAGCCCCAAGCGCATCCGTATTGAAAAGTGTACGTTTGCAATCCCACTCCAGAACAGGAGAATAATTTGGGTCTATGATCAGTTTTGTTGTCTCGCCTTCGAGGAGGGAAGCTATTTCATGAATTCGTGGCTCCGTGGACGACGTCGGATCAATGGCATTGAATAGGATGATAAACTTCCTCGACAAGGGATCGATGTACCCCACAGAGCCTACTGGAATGACTTGTTCGAGCATTGGTATGTTATGAGCGGTGCTTATTCCTAAACAAGCTGGTCATCAGCATACATAAAACAGCAAAGGCAGAGAACAACAGACCGGAACGTGAACCGTAATACCAGCGCAACCAGTCAGAGTTCCTTCGTTCGCCAAACATACACCGATACACAAAATCAAGCCCAATATCCTGACGCGGAAAATCGTACCACTCTTTAATAACAGAAATCGAAGAGCAAACGGCAATTTCTACATCAGTAATCAACGAATATAGGCATCACCACCTCTTGATAGGGTCTATAAGACGCTTCACGATCACGGGTGTGGCTCCCATGACGGTAAGATGCTGGACTCGTGGTTTAATGGTTGGTTTTCCACAGTGGCAGGAGCGGGGATACTGTAGACGGAAACTAGTAGACACGCAACGACGATAGTGATAGATAATGGTTAGCCGTGTAATTTGCCTGGGAACCCAGAAGCGGGGGATGTGGATTTGCGAATCGTCGACGTAGTCGACGTAGATGTGGGTTACATGTACAGGCGGATTAGGGCCATGGAACATCTTCCGAAGCGTAGATACTATTTCCCGGTTAGCTTCGACAGACGGCGTGCACTCGTTAGCGGCACGAAGCAGCCCTGGCAATGTCACATAATCTATCCTGAAAGTTATGGTACGGCAGAGCATTGGATGAGAGATTGAGGATAGTGACTTGATGCTATACAGTCGTCCTCCATTATAGGAGAAGGGAATGAACGAGTGCGTGGAATTCACCTGCTTGATCACAGCAGACCACTGTTTGGATACAAGAGAGCAAGCTGAGAAAATTATAACTTGTTCATCGATAGAATATTGGCCAGCCCAGAGTTCGGCAAGAATGCGCACGACGAGCTCGACTGGAGGCACCATGGAGACAGTTAGACCAGTGTTTCGCGATGAATTTAGACACGCCGTCCGAACAGTGACAATCAGGTGACTCCCCAGGTCAGGCCTCCGGACTTCCCGCCCCGGCCTCCCCTTCGGAATCGTCATCTGCGAAGAGTACGTCCAGCCTCAACCAAAAACAATGCCAACACCGTAGCCATACAATTACCATCTTTTTTATCGCATATCTCATCTTCTTGACCATTTTTCTTAATACGTGTAACCTTATTTACAACGAGCTACCGAGGTCAGCAGAGGTGGCCGATCAATCCAGTTTTCCAGTTTTCCTGACTTGCGTTTCAATGGGCCAAGATTCTTTTCCCGAGTTATAATCGGTAAGCCTAGCAACGGGCTTAGTATGCGGTCATAGGTCAAATAGATAAACGCACTTGAAACGCTCCAAAATAGTTTTAAATGCAAGCGCCGTCTTGAAAAATGGGAAAATCTTCGACCGAGTTGACGACTACGAATCGGAACGGCTGGACACTCCAAGACCTTCCAAAAATTTTGCGGTCTCTGAATCTTTGTCCTGTTACCAGTCTGCCCAAGCAGATAGAATAAAACATGAATAGTGACCCACTGTACTTCAAACTGATCACACTGAAATAACATTCCCACTGGATTGAACACATTTCAACTCGACACATATTTGTTTGCTGCAACCCAAAGACCGCCAACTGGAAGTCCTCGCAAGTGCACAACAAAGAAAAAAGGATCCCCCGACGACACAAGCCGGTACTGCAGTAGCAAGGTCATCGCGCCTCCGTGTTGCAAGCAGAGCACAGAGGACAAGGGCGGCAAAAATTAGATAACCAATACGGGAGGCGGTGCCTCCGTAATAGTGGTTAAACTATTAAGAACAGATACTACACTTGATCTAAGCCAAAAGGCCAGAGTGGTAAGGTTTTCAGATGTCGGGATTGGGTTTATATATCTCCGAGCCACGACGCACAGACCATATCCAAAGTCGGACATCGGGCCGATATTCCTCCCCTTCGACCACCACCATGAATCCCATCCTCAACGACGACGTCCTCAGCTGTATACTCGACGAGCTCCATGCTGAATATGCCGCCCTTAGGAACTGTTCACTCGTCTGTCGCAGTCTTAACCAGCTCGCCACCAAAATTCTGTATTCCAAGGTCATCTGGTCGCCCACCTTCCGTCCGACTTTAAATTTGAAAGACAAAGGACTACCCCCAGTACGTATCTTTCTTTATCCCGGTAGTGAAATCTCAGGAATTCAGAATTAGCCATCCTCGATGTTCAGCTCAGCTTGCCTGCCTCATCATGCGCCAAAAGTCATGTCGCTGGAAATTAGTGGTGAGTTCTGCTCTTTGTCTTCTTTGTGTACGCATCGACGTTCTACAGGATACCTTTCTCCGCGACCACCACCACTGAATCAGTTTCCGATGGTATTACTTAACGCCATTCAGTCTTTCGTGAATATGCGCTCTTGTCGCTTGACACCAACAATGTACCATGAAGACCTCTTCACAGATATCCTGGGTGCTCTAAAGTCGTTGCCTTACCTATCTCATCTCGCGGTCAATTCTTCATGTATGGATGCACCGAGGACGCCGATGCTAGTACAAATCACGGGGATTAATGTTTTGGTGCTACAAGATCCAACGAGAGCGATATTAGACGCGTTGCCATCATGGCTGGCCGACTTGACGTTGACTGAGTTGCACCTGAAGGTAGGTTATACCATCTTACCTCGACCTGATCCCGCGAGGCTGATACCTGTCATAGGGCAATTGTGGATCCATAACACCTGGCGTGCTTAAGTCCCTTGTGTCGCAGCTTGCGAACATCACCGCCTTTTCACTCGGACTATCATACTCTCTTACGGATGAAGACGTCTTTTCTTTTCTGTCGCAGCTACTCCAATTACGATCTGTGGCATTACAATACTATCTGGTTCGTCATTTACGTTCTTCGCGACTTTAGGCTGATTTTTTTTACAGCAACTACGCCGTTCACCTGTTACTCCCTTCTTACCCAACCTCCGGTCATTCACTGTCTACTACTCACCCGCATGGAGTCGCGACGAGGCCGATCGATTAGGCAAATGGATACGCACTGTGATCACGAGCTCTCCCATCGAGCATCTCGCCTTACTCTCCGATAACAACTTTGTAGCCTCCAACGTCCGGTTTGATGGTATTGTCCATCATCTAGCGAGTAAACATGCCGGTAGGCTGCGGCATCTTGAGATGCCACATGCGTTTATAAGCGTGGATGCGCTCAGACTTTTGTGCAAGGAGTGCTCGGTGTTGGAAGAACTCTCGGTGGCTGGGGGAAAGAACGTGCTAGTCAGTTGTCGATGACTTGCCACTGATGATTTACTGACTGTCCTTCAGGCCGTGCTTGATCAATGTATCCCACAGATGAAATGTCTCCACACTGCCCAAATCAATGTTCGAAACATCAAGCAGAGTCTATCTTCAGGGTTTCCGTCAGCAGGAAAGGATATCATGTTCAAGTCGGCGCGACTACGGAGACTGAATGTAAACGGGTATCATCTGGAGGTGAGAAACCTTCCCTATCTTTCTCGGCCTGTCTGTAACACATACATTCGCCAGGCACATTGGACGGCATCCACTGAAGGGAATGTCGAATTGGCGGTTGAACAGGTTTCACCACAATTTCCTCCTTGGGAAGTATGGGAACTGAAGTGGCTGCTTCACAGAGAGTGAACATCGGGCACGTAGACTTGGATACCCGAGAACAATGACAAGAAATTACAAACAGACCGTCGAGCATAGTGTTGTTCCCAAGGCGACGAGTCGTCATCGCAGGACAGTGTGGTCGAGCTAGTATACGCGGTAGATGATGGCGCGGGTAGGAATGGTGAGCTCACTGGCAATATCTCGGGAAAGGCGCAGGCTGACGAGTAATTAATTCTCCAGAGCTTTCAAGAGCCACGGATGTGCACAAAACCAATGTCGGATATAACGTAGAGATAAACAGCTGGTTTGACGTTCGGTGGCGGGAAGGAAAAAAGAATACAGTAATTGACCCTGATTTCCGTTCACCCCGCTCAGCGGGGCGAGATGAGATTTTGTCGTCTATTGCTCGGTGTAGGTGCATGCATAAATGAAGATAACCTGATCGGTCCCATCATCGACGAGCCGCGCTGTAGTCTCCAGACGACGCTCCGCTGGCTCTGACAACAACAGCACCAGAGACCTGACTTTGGACCACTGGAGAAGTACAGGTCACGGGCCAGCATAACCATTTGTCGGCCAACAGACGAGAAATATGTACTGAAAGTCGGAGGCGTCGTGGCACGTAATAGTAATTGGATGAAGCCGCTGAGAATACAGAAGTAGGCCGAGCAACGTAAATGGATTCAGACACCCCACGTAATGGCGTGCTACAGGCGGGGAAAGAAGCCAGAGGTTCTAACGGGATCGCTCATTCTCTATCAACGAATAGTAGTGTTTACATTCAATTACACCAAGACGCCCGGGAGCCGTCCTGCAACTTCACCGTTCGAGTTCGCATTTCTCGCAGGTTGAGGATCAACCTTGTTACTGTTACCGTCGTACTACACCAGATAAAGCTCAATTGCATGTCTGTCAGTATCTTTTGTCGATAATGGTCGTTTTGGAACTTACAATACGCCTAAGAGGACTAGAGAAACCTATTGGTGATTTGTTAGAAAATCCGGGAACGGAGTGAGGCGAAGGACTGACTGGGGCTACGGATGCTAGCAAGAGGTTCATTAGTCGGAGTGCTTGGTATAGATGAGCATCGGATGTTCCTGTGACGATACGGGTGCTTACAGAACAATATCTGAGTAGAATAGTATAAGACTATAGAGCCGTTTCTTGATTTCGAAGACTCACGAGGAAGTATATTATTCCATCTCGATACAGAAGCCTCCCGACGTCCGTATGTTGTGATCTTGGTCTTGACAAGGCATTGTACACCAGAGCTGTCAGAGCCATAACTTCAAAGAATATCTGTAATAGCACAATTCGAAATCACTGTCAAATGGGTCAGGAAAATGGTCCGCTATTCACACATGAAGCCCAGAGCATAGGCGCTTTTGCTCTATCCTTGATCGCGCAGGCACGGAGATCGTGATCGAAATAAACGTGATCTGAAGATGGTGATTCAGAGTTTGGAGTCTGAAGCCTAGGAAAAGCACATACGGCTCGTTGCTTGGACCACGACGGTCGTACACGTCATATTGGCTATCACAGTCAGGACGAAGAGCACCAAAGTGCAAAAAATGAAACGCGGGGTTCGTTCCCAGAGATTCCATAGGTGCAGGAGAACTAGGACTTGAGAAGGCAGTGAGTTGGCGTTTGAGAGTGGTTATAGGGATAAGTACAATTTGAAATCGCGACCGATATTTGGCCGAGGTATAACTAAGGTTTTTGGGATTAGCTATGGTTCCTGCGTGGGTATGTGAAACGGAAACTAATCACCGAGATGTCATACCAGATTACGCAGCTTCAGGGGAGAGACATCAGTGATCAATCCAAGTATCCCAACAGGCCGGAAAAGTTACAACTGGGAAAAAATCGTTACTTAGTAATGAAAGACCTTCGAGAAAGCACCGCGTTGGAACTTACGCTATTCGACACATGCGAGTTGGCTATTCCCGATAATACTGCGAGAGCCAATTAGGAGCTGACAGACAGCCAGACCCAAAGGAAAGCTGGGACGTACGGTGTATGTGGATGATGACGCTCGATGGGACGAAGTATCGGATAAGTAGGAAGAGGACTTTGGGGACGGACCAGCGTGCTGTCCAGATGAGCTCTACTTCGGCGGGGAATGTCAGGATGTGGTCATACAGCAGGACCTGGGATTGGTAGTGAAGTAAAGCGTTCGGCCGGAAAACTCCAAGGCTTACCACGAGCCCAGCACCTACAACGTTTACACATGAGTCTTCCGAGCGCCACAGACAATTAAGAGCTCACCACTTAAATAACGAGTAGCCTGGGCGTGCCACGCAATTTCAGTCGCCGTCTCGTTCATGGAGGACGTAGTCAAGCGGCGACTGCAGCAGCTCTGGGGCCCTGCATATTAGTATCACCCCTGGTCACACGGATCATCAGCTCTCAGTCTGCGCACGCGCCGGGTACAGTGAGCTTATTCCGCATTCATTGTTAACCCTGAAGCCGCTTAGAATGGAATGGAATGGTTGCTGCAGCAGAATGGGAAGATAATCCTGAATTAGTTCGTCGCAAGATGCCGTTCCGGAGAAGTGATATGTTGGGCTTTTATTCAGTATGCTTTTAGATAAGAGAATAGCATTGATTGATGGACCGTGGAGGGAAAACTGGAAAACTGAGTAGATTGGCGATCTCCGCTGATAGCTCAGGTAAATAAAAGTAAAACCTACCGACCTCGATGGCTCGTTGTAAGTAACGACAGTCGTAGCAACATTATGTATCTACTAGTGCATGAGTCCGAAATGACGGCGAATACGCACATTCCCTCTGATCCTTTAAAACCACCGCGATCCTGATCGTCGCAGACCAGCTGCGCCTCGCTGACATCAGCTGCAGATGATGTCGACCCGGGATAACGAGAGTCAAGAAATATGGCAGTCACACTGCATTGGCTTTACAGAGTGAGAGAGGAAATAGACCAGGGGAAAATCCGTGAGGTATTCAGCTCCTTGAACGACATCACTAACGACTTCAAGGGTGGTGGTGGTGTTACCGGCGCCAGGTCCCAATCAGGAAAGGCCGGGTCCACAGCCCTAACATGGCAAGCCATGCGCCGTGGCCTAAGGCAACGGTAGGAAGAGGTATCGGTTATACCGGGCCAGATCTGCGGCAGCGGCGACTACGGCCACGTGATCTATGTCGGAGATTCTGCATCGGCCTTTTACGGCGTTAAAAGGCTAAAAATGACGAAATCGGGCCGGGAGGCATTTAACGCATCATGAGAAAAGAGTCCGGAATTAGAATTCAGTTAGAATTTGATTGGAAGGCCATCCTAAGCCAGTATTATTCCTATTTGAAGCGGCCCTTAGATCGGGGATTTTATTTTATGCCGAATTTCCCCCTCTTGGCTTTTCATTTCCTGATAATGTGATTAATTTGTCCTTCTCAGCGCCTTAAGTGGTACTTTTTTAAAGGACTTTTTTATGCTATTGAAATTGTATTATAATTAAAATTTAACAACCTAATAAAACAGTTACAATCGGATTACAATTGGTTAGGTCGATTATTGTCGAACCTAAAAAAGATTTATTGTTATTTCATATTACCCTACACTTTTGAAGACTTGAACTGGAATTTGAAATTACAGAGGAAACGGGGCAAAGAAATAATTACATTTAAGTTAATACAAGAAGCAAGATTCAAACCAGTAAACTCCAGTTATATTAGATAATACATAAATAAATACATGGGCTAACCATTACACTAATAGGTCTTTATATATGTGGGCATCTAAAGTCTATATAATAGACTCCTACCATTTCAATGAATCACAGAAACTACTGCAAAGAAATACAGATACTGGCTCACAAGCGGTTAGGGGGAAGTAGATACAATACAGAACAACTAGTATTGGGGGAAAGGTACTCCAAGACAGGTAAACTAAGCATAAGCCGCTGAACCGTACTCCAAATCTTCCTCCAACATCTCATCAAGATCATATTCTCCTCCTACTGCTGCTGGCATAGCATCCGGAGAAACCTGTCTTCGGGAGCGAAGATGACGAGTCCCTGGGGCTTTCTCGGCATTGGCAACACCACCGTGGGTACCAGATGCTCCGGCTTTGCTTCCTCTGCCACGAGTTTCACCTCAGGTGAATTTCTTGCCTCCTCTTCCTCTTCCTCGGTTTGGTTTGGGTGCATTCACTGCAGCTGGCAAAGGGTTATCAGAAGCATTAGACCCCATCCCAGAGGCATTGCCTTGCTCAGTTCCTCTGTTCCGACCAACTAGGCTACTGCGATGCCCAAGAGCATCAGCAGTTATGGCAGTGATGGGCTCGTCATCAGAGCTAGTAGCAAATATGTTGGTAGGGTGAGGCTCATCATCAGAGTGAATCTCAACGTAGTTGTGTCCGGTAGCAGGAGGGTCAGCAAACCTAACTGCCCTGAGTGTCAGCAGCGGCATCAGTGTCGCTGACATATTATTCTCCCTATCATCCTCCAATGATGTGTTGACCTCTGTCTCCTGGTCTGCTTCTGGTTGGTGCAAAGCCCGTAGGATCTCTTCTTCTTCTGAGTCGGAATCCTTTCCGGCTTCTGAGATGACCAGCCCTGCCCCAGTTCTCCTTCGAGTGAAGAGATTTTGATTGAAAAAATCAATTGTCCTCTGTGTCGACGGAAGAGATATCGTCGTCTCGATGATTCGGATGTAATAGTCGCAATCCTGAGAATAAGGAATGCCGGTCTTGTCTCCTTCTTCGAGGAAGTTACCATCAGAAGTAAGAAGATAACAAAGCTAAACAGATGTAAGCGGAGTCTAATATACAAGAGGAGGAGCTTACTATGATCGCAGCACAAGCTATAGTGCCTGGCGTGATGGCAAAGATTTTCCAGAGTGTGCCATTGGTGGATCTGATCATCTTTCCAGCACGAAGGGATGACAGACCATACAGAATGAGACTTAAAACCTGGAACACATTGTTAAATAAGTACATACAAAGAGAGAAGTTTTTGCATACCTTTACCATTGCTGGAGAACGAAAGAGGCTGACGCTGGCTTCATCACCTTCTCCAACAGGATAGAGGACTTTGGGGCATTGCTTGTACCTCTGCCTAACCTCGTCATATCCCAGGAGGGACAAACAGAGTTCATTGCTGCCTTGAGCATACCCCGGATGGAAGACAGTATGGGGAACGGGAATGTCTTCAAAGATTGTAGAGGCAGACTGTCGGATGTGATGCATCATGGTGGATCTTAACCCGCCCGCAGCGGCTTTCATCTGAGTTCACATGAGTTTTCAAATGAAAAAAGAGCATAACAGGTAGACTCACCATGTTTTCCATTCCACTGTATCCGCTTTCCAGCATGTCATGGAATTTCTCTGGTATGACTCTATAAAGGGCTTTGACAATCCATAGCAGAGAGATCTGTCTCTCTGCATCTACTTTTTTTGAGCTCCAGTTCAGCACAAGCTTTCGCTTCGTGGTGTCCAGCTTGTTTAGCTCTTTTAGTTCCTCACGGTAGCAAGCTAGCTCTGCAGCACTCTCAACCCGGGGGTATCCAAATGGAAGGAATTTGTCCCACCAGACGTTGCAGGTCACAACGAGTGCTTTTGCCTGGTACTGCACATCCTTGATCTCGGCAGCTGTGAGTAATCTCTCGAGGCCCTTAGCCTTTTTAATGGAGGAATCGGCAGCAACAGGGCCAGAAACAGAGTTGGAAGCAGCAGATGACGAGGTGGAGGAGACCTTGAGCTCTCAGTTTTCTTGAGACAACACCTGGTTTTGAAGCTTGAGAGCCTGCATTGTCTGGTACAAAACTATGTGAGTACTTAGTCTTGTCAATGCAGAAAGGGCGTTACCTTAAGTAACTGTTCAATTGTTTGCTGTTTAGTGGTCGAGACATTTGAAGCTGCAGACATGGTGAGTGAAGAAAAAAGATAGGTGAAGAGAAAAAAAAACCGACACGCGGGCAAAAATCTTATGCTGTCAAGAAATCAGCTCTGACTAGAATCGCTGACACATGTCAAGGTAAGGCCAAGGAATATCCTCTCATATGCAGACGTGGATAGTACCAAAGGATATCGAACTATTGTTTCTAGATAGATTACAATTTCACTGAAATATTCTATGGAGTCCTGCAAAAATTAAAAGACCGTTAATAGAGATTTTCAATTTTGCCTCAAAATTACTTACTTCCCAATTCCGGTCTCCAAATAGCGTCGGATTCTGCTGTACCCTACTTGGACATGAGTATCCCTTGTGCCTATATAATCTCCAACCGCAGCGCAATGCGCGCTGCAATATCTGCCTTGAAAGCTCCCCGCTCATCTCGAGAATCCGGACCTGGCAGCACCTTCTGAGCCTCTCGCTCTTCAAGCGCCGCATCTTCCTTCTCCTGCGCAAATGACTTCATTGAGTCTCCTTCGATGACTGCCTTCAACTTCGTATTAGTTTCATAACCAGGCCCTTTATAATCACTAGGCATCAGCTTCAAAAACACTGTCGCCTCCTCTGCCAGACCCTGTGAAGCAAGAAGCGCTGCGTATTCAAAGTACCGGTCATACAGATTAGCAAGCTTGAACGTCTTGATATCCGATTTCTGCTGGAGGTCACTGTTGACATACTTCGTAGCCGACCGGAAGACCGTAACCTTCTCGATGAAGGACTGCAGTGCCTGTGCATGATCTGTATAATACGAGTCTTCCTGATGCTTTGCATCCACCAACAGCACCGACTCTTGCTCAGCCATCTCTTCCAACCAAATACTAGCAATCCTCTCCAACCTCACCACAGCCAAATACGTCAAGCGTCAAGATAGCATACTTGCAGAACTGAGAAACCTGCGCAGGATCCTGACGCATTGGACACTGCGAACTGGAACTCCAGTCTCCGGCCAAGCTGCTCAGTAAGGCTGGGGAACTCCTCCTTGCTCGCAAACGTGCAGATAACCACAAAGATCTCCTGCTATTCCTGGAGGTCGGCATTTTGAACGATATCTGACAAGTCGCTGGTGACGATGGACTGGAAAAGTCGGAGGTAGGGATAGATGTTGGTATGACATTCAAAGTACGTCTTTTGGGTCTGCTGTAAGAGCTCCGGTCCTCCCTTCGGTGCGAGGAGGATAGCATCTGTGAATCGGTCCGAAGAGACACAACAACACTGCAGAGTCAAAGTCTCCAAGAACGAGTGCCTTGGTGACCAGACGATCAGTCTCAGACTTGTCTGCAGGATAGATCTTGAAGGTATTGCTCTTCGACGTCTCAGACGTCACCGATGAAGGTCCAGAACCGATGGTCATAGCAACCGACGAGTCGATTCCATAGTCTGTATGAGGAACGTCGATGGGAGGTATGCTCTCTCCTGAGAGGCCGATGCTGCTGAAAAAGTCTGCGCCTGCAACATCTCGCTGAGGCATTCTGGGTCCATCATCCCCAAATAGAGAAAGCGCCGTCGTAGTAGACTCAATATCAGTCAGCCGGTTACCATCAGAGGTAGCGTCGGCGCTGATTTCTGAGGGGGTCTTTTCAACAGCCCCACCAAAAGGATCGTCGTCGGTAGCAACATGGAATGTATGCTCTTCAGCGAACGAGACCATGGGTTCGTGAGTCTTCAGCTCGCCATCATCTTCCTCAGCCTCAACCTCTTCCTCCGACGATTGCTTCATGACCTTGAGCTTCTCCACTGCCTCCACAACACGAGCTGCAATATCCGCCTTGGAAAACCCTAAAAGCATGACCAACTCGTCCCGAGAATCAGCCTGGAAAAGGCTCAGCAGCGCCTTCCAAGCCTCTTGTCCATCAGCCACCGCATCTGCCTTCTCCTGCGCAAATGACTTCAGTGAATCTCCTTCGATGGCGGTCTTCAACTTCGTAGCCTCTACAACCAGGTTCTGCTCTGTGACAACTTTGCGGAGATGGATGATGGCACTGTGGTGCTTCCCTTGCGCAGAAGGAAGATTAGACACCGATGCCAGCTTTCCACCAAAACCTCAAGAGCTGGATGCCGGACATTTCAGCCATTTTGGGGGCTGCTTCAGTGAAAGGGTGCCGCTTTGAGTCTGTGAATACCTGGCAGAATCAAATATATCAGCACCGTTACCGGCGGGTGCAGGTGTGGCAGTAGTGGCGGGCTCGTTGTTCGATTGGATGGAATGAGTGCCGGCGGTGCCGTCGAAGAAGGCAGTAGCAAGGAGGTCTGGGTTACGAGGGCACCATTCGACTTGGAATGTCCAGTTTGACGTGCTCGGTAGCTTGCACCAAGACAGCGACAGGATACCCTTCTCATGGCCAGTAACGCATGCGTTGCGAAGGTCCCAGACCATGATGATGGGAGAAGAATCGTCCTCGGATGCTGTAACAAGTCTCGTAGCCTAAACCATAGAATGAGAAAACTGTTTAAGGAATCAGAGATAGGACGCACGTTATCTGGATGCCAGGCAATGGTGCTCATCCCTCTTCGTCCACCAACAGCAAGGCCATTCGTCGCACTGACTTGGCCTGCAAGCATTCCAGCTCCACCACCGTACGCCAGAGCAACGACCTCGCGCTTCCCTCTGAGATCCCAGACAACGGTGTAGCCGGTCATGCTCGCCCCAGTGAGGACATATGGGACTTGCTGATTCCATGCGACCGAGGTAATCTCATCCAAGTTTGTGCTCCTAGATCCAGGCGTTGGGGCATACGGCTTCATAGAATCTTTCAGATCCCATATGCAAACCTATACTAATATCAGAATGAAAGCAGCTACATCGACCAACTACAACGAACCTCTCCATTAATGGCACCGGATGACAAGAGGTGAGTCTGCAGAGGATTAAAGTCTAACGCTCTGACCTGCCCGGTATGGTGGTATTCTGCAGGATGAGGAACTCGCTGGAGCTGTTGTAGGACGCGTTCAGGAAACAGGAAACAAAAAGCCCAGCCATGCAACGCACCCAGCACCAGAAAGAATCTTCGCTGGATCTCACAATGCCAGCTCGCCATTCTCCATACCAGCCGCAATGAAGCCCTGTGGTCGACTATTCGACATACCTCCACGTCAAGCGGTTAAACCTATATCGACCACATCAGTGTTGATGCAGCAGTGCATCTCAGAGCAGACGGACCACAGTGTCTTTTGGGGCGACTGCCCTCTATCCCCAGGTCGAATTTGAATCATTCTTGTCGAGAAATTTGGGTGCTCATGTTTCGAACTGGCTTTTGTCGTTGGTATGCAGTGTCGACAGTTGTGGGGATCTACTCGAGCACGGCATTATTGACGTCTTTGGCGTTTGACACCACCAGATGAAATCTGCAGTGGACTTCAGAGACACTTCTGCAGGTGGATTATCTGACATCACGTCAGACAATCCGAGCCCATTTTGCATCACGCAAAACGTTGCCTCCGCATTGACATTGCGTCAATACACCCCTACAGAAGAACCGAAGATAGAGATCGAGAAGACAGGAGAGGATAAGAAATAGAGCAAGACGAAGAGAGCCAAGTAAGGGGGCAGAGTGACGAGTGACAATCCGAGGGGTCTGTAACGCCTGTAACCGAGTGCTGACATCAGAAGATGCACGTGATGCATCGATTTGTTTGACGCTAAGTTAGTCTTATTGCTTTGCTCCAGTCAACTGCATGTCCAATTCTTTTGCTAAGTACCGCATCGGCTACAAGTATCGTTAACAAGGTAATTCATGTCCTTTACACTTTCTTGTCACCTTTATTAAATGCTAAATTGCTCCAAGTTTATAGCAGATTCAGAACCAAATGATGAAGGCACTGGGCTGTACCTTACTGCACAAAATACGAGAGTGTTTTGTGTAGCCAATACACGAGACGTGTATCGGCAGGTGCATAGGAAATTTTGCATGAGACGTGTATCTTTTCTGCCCACCTAACTTGACAAAGAACAAGGAATCAAGGATCGTTAATGTACGTTGTTGCGACTGCAGCCTATTTACGTGTGTAATTTTGCAATCTAGAGTGTTTTACATGCATACTGAGAAATAGTGAGCGAGCGGACTAAAACTACGTGTCGACACTAATGCTACAGTGGTGCAATGATATGGAATATAACTTATGGCATAAGAAGCAACGGGATTCTAAACAGGACTTAGTCACAGCACTGTACCTGACGGGCATGCGTGATGAGAAGGCCAAACCCTATACCCAATGCCTTAGGCTCTAACTTGCAAGCACACTCGCGGGAGCTAGATAAAACCTTGAAGATTGCACTGGCACTGAGAACACTTAGCGCGCTCACTAACTGTGATGCGCCATACCTGAAAATCTGGGGAAATCCTTAAGCGAGCTGACAGATATCACCGGCACGAGCTTGGGCAATGGGCTTCGGCCAAAGTCGGCGAGCCCACATTCCATTGTTCTGAGTCCCATTGTTCGAAGACTCACTTGTTGCCGTGTCTACAAGAAGCCTCTGTGAATCCAAGAAAGAAGTCCTGAACGACATACGCCAGAACTGATAGTTCTGTGCGCCTAGACCTGTTGGTCGCTAGAGAACACGCCCGCGGGTGTCGGGAGAGCACCTCTTGGCACGCGTTTAGCGAGCTCACTATAGAAATGAGACTAAAACTGGGAAGTCCGACTCGGATGCTCAGTAAGGCAGCGGTGGCAACGTGCTACGCATGTAGGAGTCTGGGTACTGCGCGACGTTTGTAATTCTAATTCCCCTGTAGTATAAGTAGACTGGTTACAGTAGGTAGAGGCCAAGTTTCGAGCCCCTGAGTTCCCATGCACACGTTGAAGGCGGTACTGTAACAAAGGATCAGTTTGTGACTTCGAGCTGTGCGTAGAATTAGCGAGCTCACTCAGAGAAATACGAGATACCCTTTTGATAAGACTTTTGAGAACTTAGTCAGAGTGAATACGAATCAGTGACGCTGTTTCTGTTCTGTTAAGTGTGATAAGTCTGTTCGGAGAATGTGTTGAAGTGGAAATCTGAGATCTGTTCTGTTCTGTTCTGTTCTGTTTCAGTCTGTTCCGTGTCAGTTCTGTTCGAAGTTCCGTTTCTGAATCTGTTTTCCGAGCACTTCTGAAGTGTTCTTGAGTCGAGATAACCTGCGGGAGTTAGTTGGAGAACCCCTACATACAGTTGTGTAGCGAGCGGGCTAAGTCAGTGCTTGCCTGTGGTGTTCTTTTAGCGAGCTCACTAAAGTTTCGGCATGTATTGCCGCTGTTTCTGTTGGGATCAGTGTCCCTTGTGTATTATACCTCAAATCTGCCTTGAAGGTTGCGTCACGCCAGTGAACGACCTTCCTGTAAAAAGTTCCTAGACTTAGGAGGTCATTAGAGAAAGCTTAGCTTCGCTAAGAGCATGGGGAATAAGAGAAACTCTTTGAGATATTGAAGTATAGTTGGATCGCATTAGAAATAATCGCTCCCCCTAGAACTTACGAGGGTGATTGTAGTTTGTGTAGTTGTGTGAGTGTGTGTGTGGGTTTTTGAGGTTCGCCTTTTAGCCCGCTCACTATTCCACAGGTGCCCACAGCCAGCCTCTTCAACGTGTTCCTACCTTCGGACATGAACTAAATTTCTTAAGCTTGGTCTATTCGACATATAGCACAATGTCATTCTCCCCCGAGCTACGACTTGGCGACCTCACTAAGTTTTCTTCAAAGTACAAAGGTACGTGGGCTAAAACTATCATCTAAATTTGTCACTTATTCTGATATAATTACAGGGCATTTAAGCATCAATGATGGTCACGTTGGGACTTACATGGAAGAAGAACATGTTTTCATTACCACTCCCAACAATACGTTCATCCCCCATCCCCCGAATATACACAAAGTGTGTTTGTACGAAGACGGCCGATTTGGACATCACGATCCCACCCACGTTCCTCAATTTTTCAATGAAAGATTTTGCCACTTTCCTGCCATTCCTCATCGGCCCTCTGTTCACGATACGTCCCACCCATACTATCAATGGCTCGATACAATCTGGTACAACGTTGCCCAGAACGACATCGTGTTCTCTCGTGGATATGTTTCTCACATTGGTCTACTTCATGCAAGCATTCATGGATGATTCAAGCAGGCATTATGTTAGCCACTAACTCTATCGACTTAGATCGTGCTAAGGTCGCTACTCGCACTTCGGTAGACGACGCTGTAACAAGCCAAAGGCGACGAAGTCAAGGGGACAGATAGTCACGAAGAACGGAGTTCGATGTTAGGTAGATTAAACCTTAGCCGAAGCTGGGGTTCAGACCAGCTGAGGCTCTACTTAAATACACGTGAGTATTCTAAAAATACTACTGCGCAGTCAGTCCGTGGTGATCGCGCACCACGTAATCCAGCTGACTAAGGAAGAGAAAAGAAAAGAAAAGAAAAGAAAAGGAAAAAGAAAAGAATAATCGTAACATTACCCCCTCCTTAAGACTCATTTGTCCCGAATGAGAATATATCTCCTTCCTTCCACACCAGCGAGTCGAGGGTCTCCCTTCTGCTTTAAAACAGGATTGATTGAGCCTCCGCTACACCATTAAGAGTCACCCGTTGTGTTCGGCCTCTGACCCGTCTCCTCCTGGACTCTAGTATCTTTTGGGACCTAGAGCCACCTTGCGCCAGTTAGGCCTCGACTGTCTGTCGGGATCCGCGATCCCTAAGGGTTCAGTGCTCGTGATTGAGCAGTGGAAATCCCCTTCTACACCGTAAGAAAGGGCCTATCTAGGCTGCGCTCGTCTGGGATGAGTCGCTTGAATTGTTGCCGTCATTTGAGGATGAATATTGTGAATTCGAATGGAATGACCAGGTGTCGTCATCCGTGTCATCGTCGTCATTGGTATCCGAGTCCCAATTTTCTCTTATGCGTTGGAGGTTTCGTATATTAATTTCCTCTTCTTCGTCAGGACAGCCACTGGAAATGTCGATATTATCGATGACTTCGGAAGAGGCATAAGAGTCTTGTTGGGCGTCTGAGTGTCTGGGATTGGTACACTCAGAGGAATACACCGTTTCAATGTCGGTGACACATGGCGTGTCGGGGTCATGGTATTTGACTGGCAAGTTTCGAGGTATCTTGTCGTCGACTCCGACCGTCTTTCCTTTTGCGTTCACGGTCCAGGTAATTTTTTGGATACGGGCCTCGTAGTCGTTAACGAGTTCCTCGGCGTTGGCCATATCCGACCGTTTTACCCAGGAATTTTCTTCAATTGGGTAACCCTTCCATTTTACCAAGTATTCGGTGATGGTACGGCGAGTCTGTCCACGGCCGATGATTCGGTCTCTTTCTTCGACGATCTCCTCGATTTCATATTCTTCTTCGTCATCAACGAGCTCTGGGGGCGGCCTTTCAGGACGCGGTTGGTTGATGAATTCTGGAGGATGGTACGGAGTTAACAGGGATTCATTGAACCGGTTGTGAATTCGCCACTTCGCGGGAAGCTTCAATTCATATGCCGACGCTCCTTTTTTTGCAACGATTGCGAATGGCCCTACTCGTCGGTCTCCTAGTTTCTTCGTCGGTCAAGGAAGATTTAGGTTGGTGGAATCCAACCAAACCTTATCTCCCACCTGATACTCTTGTGCCTCCCCCTTGTGCTTGTCATAAGCTTTCTTCATTGACTCCGCGGCTCGTTCTAGGGATTCCCGGGCCTTGTTTTGGATTTCCTGGATTCCTTGAACTAGCTTGGAAGCAGCTGGTACCGCGTTTCGACGTTGGGCGGTTTTAATGACCTCCCCGTCCCGGCCAAAGACGACCTTATAGGGAGAGAAACCGGTGGCGGAATGCTTTCGATTGTTGTGAGTAAATGCCGCAAGGGGCAACCACTCGCTCCAATCGTCTTGTCGGTAGGCTACAAACATCTTGAGGTATTTTTCGATTTCTTGATTCACCCTCTCAGTTTGTCCATCCGTCTGAGGGTGGTAGGCTGTGGACGGGTTCCCTGTGACCTGGAGAAGCGCGTAGAATTCTTTCATGAACTTGGAAACGAAAACTGTCCCCCGGTCTGAGATAACCTTTTCTGGCATGACGCCATACGGCACATAGACATAGTCTCGTAAGATTTTGGCGAATCCCAGGGACGAGATTTCCTCGGTGCATGGAATTGGGATGATGGTTTTGGAAAATCGATCTACAATGACTAAAATGGCGTTGTTCCCTTTTGAATCAGGGAGTTTAGTGATCATATCGATGGAGATATGAGTCCATGGGCGATCTGGCACCGTGTTGGGGTGGAGAGGCGCCTTTTTTGGTCGGCAATCCATCTTTGTGCGTTGACAGACTTCGCACCCTTTCACGTAGGCCTCCACATCCTTACGCATTCGAGGCCACCAATAATCCCGTAGGATTAACTCCTTTGTCTTTTCCACTCCCGGATGTCCCGTGGTTATATGGTCATGTCGTAGGGCTATGATTTCGCCCCTCAATTGTTTATCTTGGGGTATATAGACACGCCCGTCGTACCAAAGTAGTCCCTGGTCTTGAAAGACCCCCTTTTCATGATTAAGAGAGTCGGAGATGCCACGATCCCACTTTCGAGGGTCGTGGGTGGCCAACTGGATTTTCTCTTGAAGTTCTGCGGCGGTGGGCATGACCAGGGCACGGAAGTGCTCAGGTTTTAGGATCGTCACATCCTTATTATCTCCTTTCCCTTGGTCATGATCCGCTCTCCTCGATAGGAGGTCTGCTTTTCGGTTCTGGGCTCCGGGTTTGTGATGGAGGGTGAATTGGTATTCTGCTAACTCCGTCACCCATCGGGCTTGTCGTCGGTTGAGCTTCTGAGGTTTTCGAAAATATTGAAGGTTGGAATGATCTGTCCAAATTTCGAAATCCTCCCGCGTGCCCATAAGGTACTGGCGCCACTCTTCTAACGCGATCATTATCGCCAAGAGCTCTTTATCGTAGATTTCATAGTTCCGTTCAGTGATAGACAACGACTTGGAGAGAAAGGCGACTGGTCGCCATTTCTCCTCCTGCCATTGGGATAGGACCGCCCCAATTGCTCCCTCACTGGAGTCGGCCTCCACACGAAACTTGCCTTGATCCAACGGGATAGTCAACACCACATCTTCCCGAAACAGCTCCTTTAGCTTTTCGAATGCCTTCTGCTGAGCGTCCCCCCACTTCCATTCCACCTTTCCGGTCAACGTGGTGAGCGGTTTGACGTGTTTACTGTAATCCCGAATGAACCGTCGGTAGAAATTACAGAAGCCTAAGAACGACTGCAACTCCTGCTTCTTGGATGGAACTGGCCAGTCCAGAAGCCCCGCAATCTTCACCGGGTCCATACGAATCTTGCCCTCGCTAATGAGTACGCCTAGATATTTGGTTTCCTCAACCTCGAATTCACATTTCTCCGTCCTTTAGGAACAATTTGTTGGCACGAAGTATCTTGAGTACTTCGCGTACAATGCGTCAATGATCTTTCTTGGTCTTGGAAGCGATCAGGATGTCGTCGAGATAGACGGATACTTCCCCAGCCGTGATGAGGTCTTTAAAGATATCGTTCATCATCCATTGGAACGTAGCTGGGGAGTTGGTGAGTCCGAAGAACATCACCAGGGGTTTGTAGAGACCGCGGTTAGTTCGAAACGCCGCCTTCCACTCATCGCCCTGCTTTATCCTTACGTTATTGTACCCCCACCGTACGTCCAGCTTTGTGAAGTACTTGGCCTCCTTGAGTCGGTCCATAAGCTCCCCAATGAGCGGCAATGGGTAACGATTCTTGATTGTCATCTCGTTAAGCTTGCGATAGTCCTGAACCGGACGGAGTTTTCCATCCTTCTTCTTGACGAAGAAGAAGGGGGAGGCCATGGGAGACTTAGAGGCTTGAATCCGCCCCAGTCGAAAGGTTCTCGTCCAAGAACCGGTCCAACTCTTCTTGCTCGGCTGGATTGAGGGGATAGACTTTGCAGTCTAGGTTGGCATTGGCGTTGGGTACCAGCTCAATAGCGTGGTCCCAGGGTTTTCTGGGTGGTAGTTCGTCGAAGTTCTCCTTGGCGAACACGTCCCCAAACTCCCTGTATTCTTCGGGGACTATTTCTTCGAAGGACTTGGTAGTCTTTCGGGCGTTGGCCTGGGCGGCTAATTCATTGGCTTTAGTCCCCATGGCCCGTACATGGAAGGCCTCCTCAAAATCGATTACTAGGATGGTGTCCCCTTCTTCGTACTCATCCCATCGTGACGTAGGGTCCGTATCCGGGAGAGAGAATGGGATTTTTCGGCATGCGCAACGAGCCAAGGTAACGGCTCCAGTATCCCAATCGATGATCGGGTTGTGTCTTTGCAGCCAGTCATGCCCTAGAAATAGGGGCGTGGAACCTAGGTCCACCATGGCAAGTTCGATCTGTTCCACGTGGTCACCGATGCATAATCGCACTTCGGCATATTCCGTGATGTCGCCCCCTTTATTCCAGGTTCCATCGGCATTGTATACCGGAACGGGTCAGGCCGCCTTTTTAAGGGTGATGGCATGATTCTGGGCCCAGGCGCGATCCACGGAACTACCGGTGGCCCCGCTGTCCACCAACGCCTTCACTGAGTGGGTCTCGCGGGTGTCCAGGGTTTCTAACTGCACGGTAATGGATACATTCCTCCCCTTTCTCCCTCGTATGTACATGGGTGGTTTAGTAAGGTCTTCCATCCATTCCCACTTATCTCGAGCCTCAGCAGCCGTCTCAGGTTGCTCCCGAAGGGCCTCCCACAATTCTACCGTTATCTCTTCGACTCGACGAGGGTGAACCCATCGACGAAGGGTAGCGAAGGCGGCCGCCTCACTAGTGGCGAGGCGCAGCGCTCTTTGGGTCCAATGCGGTCCAAAAGGTTCGTAATACGTGTCTTGAACAGGGGTTCGTTTCGCAGATCCGGACCCCGCAACAGGGGTCACGGAGAACTCCTTCCGTGTTGATCGTACTGGTATGTCGGACCGTAGATAGGCTTCTTCATCTTCCACTTCTTCCAAAGAAACCGAAGGCGTCTTCCCTCGAAGTGGCATTTGGTCACCGGGATGAGAAAGGTCCCGAGGCGGCACTTGGGCGCCTTTGGTAGTCGAGGTGGTGGAGGAGGGCTCGCTGCCCTGTGTTCGGCCCTGGCCTCGGGCGCTTGTGCGCGGCGTTGTAACCTCCACATTTGATCCGTACTTACTGCTCTTCCTGGACCCGACGGTACTTCGGGTAACCCTTCACGGGGGCACACATATTGGCTCCCTCGAGGGGTCTGCACTGTTGGCCACCGGACTGCCCTCGGCTACTAGGGGCAGGTGGTCCCTCGAGTTCCCAGCCTCAGCTGCTTTTCCGACGCTTCCTGCTAGAACAGACGCCTCCACATATGGGGACACAGGCCCAACAGGCTGGGTTGTCGACCTTTCTCCCTCTCCGGGGTGACCTCCCTTCGTCAAGGGTGCAGTCGGGACTCGACCTAGGGGGCTCTGCCCTCGAGGGGCTTTCCCTGTGCGGTGAGCCGGGGGTTCCTGAGCTCGGACGGCCCCTAGGGGTTCAGTACTGAGCGCAGGCTGCGCAGAGTGGCGGAAATCCCCTCCTATGCCGTTGGCGTTTTGCGATTCTTCATTCGTAGTCTGCTCTCCTGGTAATGCGGCGAAAAAAGCGGTATATTGTTCATACGGGGTACCTACATACGTAGTATAAGTCCGGCTAGTAGTACAAGAGCGCGCACCAGGCGAAACTAAGTCCTTTGCCGACGTCGTCGAATCGCTTACTTCGACGCCGGCTTGTCTTTTGACGACTCCTTCTCCTTCTCGTCCTTCACTTCCTCGATCTTGGTATCCGATCCTAATTCTTCCTTCTCGGCTTCAGCAAGTAATTGGCGGAGGCGGGCGACGTTAGGCTTTTTACGAGGTGGGAGTTTGACGGGAATCCACTTCGACTTGTCGGTGGGGCATTTATGCTTCGGGCTCCACCCCGTGTTCCCACACTTGAAGCAGCGCTTGTCGGATCGGAGCTTGTCGATCTCCATGGGCTGCCCCGCACCACCGTACGTGGTCCCCGTGGAATCCTTCTTATCGCCACTAGAACCCTTCAATTGTTGTTGATTGCCTCGACCCGAGCCGCCTTGGTTCAGGGAGGACTTACTGGCGAGGCCCTGGGCCACGTCATATCGGTAATTGGCGTCGATCCTTAGGACTCACGCCTTCCATTGTGCGTAGGTTGTGGGGCGCTCGTTGTCCCCATGCATAACCGTCTTCCGCACCGTCGGCCTTATCGCCACTTCCACCGCTTCGAACATCTGCTTCTCGTCTCCGAACTCTCCTGCACTTGTGCGCTAGTCGCTTGAATTTGGCGAAGAACTCGACGGCGGTCTTGAACTCCGATTGGCGGACCTTCTTCCACTCAGACTTCCATATCGCGAGTTCTGCCACCTCCCGGAATTCTACCGTGATGTCGTTGGAGAATTCCGCCCACGTCGGGAATCTCCAGTGCCCCTGATCGTCCCTGTAGCGGTAATACTGGTCCCCCCACCAATCCTTGGCTTTATCTCGTAGATACCCTTGCGCGAACGTAATTCGGTAAGGGTTCTGGCCTTGGTCGTTCATGGTGAAATGGAGGGGGAATACCTGAAAGTACATCTCGCAGTGATGTAGGAATTGATTAATGTCGGTGGACTCCCCGGTGAAGTACTCGGGCTGCGTGATTAATTTCGGTTTAACTTCATTCCAGGGATTGTTGTCCTTCCCCGCGGCCAATGTCCAGGGTGGCATTGGGTCGGGGGGCGAAGGCATATGCGGTGGTACCGGTGGGTTTGGCGGCCGTGGAAGTGACCGTAGACAATAGTTTTCCCCCGGCGGCGGGTAGTCACCGGGGTACACTGGTTGGCGCGGACGCTGGACCGGTAGTTGAGGCGGGACAGCGGGCTGTTTCCCTTTGTCAGAGGGCCCCGCGCCTGGGTCGTCCATGTCGTCGTCTTCGGGCCCGGCACCCGCCCAGAACTCTTCGGTTTCGAGCGGGTTAGGCATGGGCTGCGGTCATCGATAAGGCTCGCACCCCCGTTGGGGTGCCCCGGGGTTCATCATGTTCCACACGATGGCTGCCCGGTGCCACGTCTCTACTTCGAGGATATTTTTCATGAGGTAGACGTCCCCCATGTTCCTTGCGCTCTGATAATCGACCCCGGCATCCGTAAACAGCCATTGCGGGTCTTTCTCCATATGCTCCATGATAATTTCATACAACCCATGCCAGGGAAGTATGTTGAAAATGTCCGGCCTAGGAACTGGGCCCCTCAGCATGACCTGCGTCACTGCCGCCATCACGGTCAGCTCGAGGGCCCGGTTCAGGGGCCGACTTGGCATCCTCTGCCTCCTTCCTCTCTCGGGTGATTCGGTCGAGCTCCTTGTTTCTCCTCCACCTCCCGATGTCGGAATCAGGGTCTGTGATTTCACTCTGGTAGGCGTTCCATGCTCGAGCCCTTGCCTCGAGATCGATCCCTGGCTCGTCTTGCCCTTCCTGTGTAGCGAACGGCAGTGGCTCGTATTCGGTTGTCGACCTCGGCGTTGGTTGCATCGGGCTCGAGGGGAAGGTCCCACCAACCGTTGGGCCCCTGGAGGGCGTCCTCTTCTGCTCGACGGATGCGTGCGTCGTGCGCTCTTCCTCGGTCCATTCTGGCCTGGATCTCTGGGGATTCCCGGGCATCTCGAGGGAGTCGGAGGGACTCGACGTACATGTGGTAGAGAAGCAGCCAAGGACGCTGTGAGAGAGGGACAGGGTCAGCGAAGGCTCTCGACGCGACGGACGGCGTCCAATTGGAGACTCCGGCGAGGCGCTCAGGCTGCGGTAATTGTCCCAAGTTCTTCGGGGTCGAAGTCTGGGAACTCGCTCCAAAGCTCCCTACTCGTCGGCTCGATCGAGGGGACGGAGGGAGGGAGCGTTGGGGCCTCGGTCCCTGCAGAGACCTGGTCGGGCTCTGCTCCGGTTGCGACTCCGGCCACAGCAGTCTCTTCCCCGTTGTCTGCGTAGACCCAACTGGTGTCGGGGTACCAGGCGACTGGAGGGCCTCTATCGGTTGGCCAGGCCCTTGGAACAGGCTGTGGGTGAGCTGGACGGGTGGTAGCCGCGGAGGCTCCGAGGCTAAGCTCTCCGGGATCATCGTAGAAGTCGTCTCGGCGACCTCGGTTGCGCACAATCCTTGCGCGATCTCTTGCATCGTCGGCCGCAATCCTTCTGTCGCGGACCTCTTCCCACATGCCTTGGTGTCCCCACCCTGAGTGGGACCTTTCGTTTGAGGAGCCTCCGGTATGGGCGGCATCTTCCTCCTCACTCGGGTAGAGGTCGTTGAGGAGGTCGTCAAGTCGGGTTCTTTCCCACTCGGTGAGCTCGTCCCCTTCGAACTCGGTGTCAGGGCTTTCTTCGCCCTCGACCAGATGCCTGGTGCCTTGTCCTCGGTTTCTGTCGTCGCCAGACTCGCCTTGGACTGGAGACTGGTCGAAGAGACCTGGTAAGGGCGAGTCTCCTCGGTCGAGGAGTACGCCCCTGGTATCGGTGATGTCGATGGAATCGACTGCTGCGCTGGAAGCACTTCCGTAGGAGTCGGTGCTCGACTCTGAGGATCGCGAGCTGGGTCGCGACGATGTGTAAAGGGACCTTCCAGGTCCCCCGGAGTTGTTGGATTCGACATCGCCTATCGTCTGCTGGGATGCCGCGGGGATGTGAATCACCGGCGGAGGGTACGCCGGGGTGCTGGGTACATAATGGAACGGGAGCTGTGCTCGTACTCGCTCTTGTCGCTGAAAACAGCGGCGTAGATGGTACAAAGTAATGGAGCAGAAAAAGAGTATGAAAGTCGCGAAGACGGCGAGAATGGATTCTGACCAGGGCATTCGTCAATGGGTCGATCCTTGGCGTAAGTCGACGATTGACCATGCAAGCTGGTAGACCGCAAGGATAGTGAGCACGATAAGGAGGGTGATGATCAAGCTAAGGTCGGTCTCGTAATTAGAGCCGTTCATTAACAAGATCTCACAGTTTTCGTCGGAATCGGAGGAGCTCGTTAATATTAACAGCAAAACTATCAATATAGATGCGAGCTGGAGGGCGAGGATAAAGGGTTTCGTGTTGGGATACGTGGTGTCCTTAGATGAGGCGAGGATACAGCGTGTACAGGGCGACCAGCAAACTTGCTAGCAGCACTGCCGATATTCCAAGTCCAAGTAGGACAAAAGTGAGGAGTACAGTCATAACGACTGCAAGGAGAAGGTCGTCTCGTAGGACGAAGTTAACGATTAAGTCGAGCACGAATAACTGAAGGAGTAGTCGGAAGGGTATTACCCAAAGGACTACTGCGATCAGGAAATGTATCGGCTGAATGTTGGGTTCGAGGTAGTTGGGCAACGGCGAGTTGTTGGGGGTTGGCTAGATCCGGGTACGTTCGATTAGGCACCGACAGATCGTCTAAGTGCTGCCTAGCGACCAATCGGTCTAGCTGGGAGAATAGTTTTTCTGAAAACGTCGGGCAGTGCGTCGAGCGACGTGGCACTGGGCGATGCTGGACGAGCTTCGGCTAAATGTTAGCCACTAACTCTATCGACTTAGATCGTGCTAAGGTCGCTACTCGCACTTCGGTAGACGACGCTGTAACAAGCCAAAGGCGACGAAGTCAAGGGGACAGATAGTCACGAAGAACGGAGTTCGATGTTAGGTAGATTAAACCTTAGCCGAAGCTGGGGTTCAGACCAGCTGAGGCTCTACTTAAATACACGTGAGTATTCTAAAAATACTACTGCGCAGTCAGTCCAGTGGTGATCGCTGCACCACGTAATCTGGCTGACTAAGGAAGAGAAAAGAAAAGAAAAGAAAAGAAAAGGAAAAAGAAAAGAATAATCGTAACACATTACAATACATTACTGGTCGTTGTTCTCCAGTGCAGAATAACCAGAAGTTTTCTGAAGGATTTCGAGAGTTTCTTAGCATTAGATGCACCCATCTGGAGGCCTTGGTCCACCGGACAGAAACAGTGATGACAGATGCTATGTCCATTCGCGTGCAAGTAGCGGCAATGCAGTGGTATTGGTTGGAGCTCGTTGCTGGGCTTGACTACATGGAAATTCATCAGCCCGTGATGAATGGCAAAGCTCAGCATGACGATACTTTTGGTTTCAATTGTCTCATGGGCACATTTACTCTTAATCTTGATGTCGCTGAGCAGCATATGAAAGCTGGCATCCCAGTCTATCTCGTCTGGCCAACCGAACAATTTATCAATCAGATCATACTTAAAGCTGAGAAGCCAATCGTTCTCAGCGTCAATGAAACCATTCCCGAGCCTTCGTTTCCCATTGTTTTTGAAGGCGACCCATCTCAACCCAAGAAATTTGATGCTATGCATTGTTTCATGAAAATCTTCCAAACCTATCGCAATCCTTTCCTCTTTTCAACCGCATCTTCCTCAACGACTGTCTCCTCTGCTCCCTCCTGTTTAGCCCCTCCTTCAGGTTCTAGTGGTCCAATATGCGACACCAGAGGCAAGACCCGAGCATCTGGTCCTCTTTCAAGCAAACAGCCTTCACAAAGAAAGAAGATTCGTAAGAGACACTCTCTGTTCTGCAGATTTAGAAACTCACCAATATCATTAACCAGAATCTCTTCAAAGCACTAGAGACAAGTTTGCTGACCTGTCTGGACCATATGCCCTGCTGCCGATACCTATGTGGTCTACTGCCAATGACAGCATTGATCAGAATTCAGAGCGCTCCCAACAGCGTGAAGAACGAGTCCGTCGCTCACAGAGCGAACCCAATACAAACACCAGCCAGGACTACAACAAAGGATACGCCTTTCCTGATCTGGCACTCCTTGTTTTTGCATCTGTGACTCGTCAAAGCACCTACTTCCGTCAGTGGGAGCATTGCCGAGACGGTCTCATTTATCGTATTTCTTCTTCCACTTCGAATGCAACACCTGTCCATTCTCAGGTCTGGCGAGAACTGCTAACAATGCCTTTCAAGAAAGAAAGCACCAAAACAACCAAAGCTCATGACATCATGTTAGAGATGATGGGGACAGCCCTTCAAGTGTCAGGCACTGAAACTATTTTGCGAGTACCACTGGCAACTCAAGACCAGCCATTCGATATTGAGAGAGGTTGTTATCTTGTTTGGGAGCTTTGTGAGCTCAACTTTCGGTTGGAACTCCTAGGGCTCGATGCATACCTTACCAGGTCTGCACACACCTCTACTCAAGATGATGCCGACTTTCGACTCCAGCGTCAGAATACAATACTCAAGCTATTCCCAGAAGAATCCATTGTTCCATCCACAGGATCCTGCGGTTGTAGTCTTGCTTCTTCAGTTTGGCAGGACAGGTGTGCAGTGCTGAAGGCTTTCAGAAATATAATGCAACAATGGGACGTGCCTCTCGCAGTGGAGGCTAAGGGTCTTCTAGGTCCGTCAGGTCGTAAAGTGTCACTGAAGGTTGAGAAGGCCTTGGCGGCTCATTATGCTCAGACTTTCTTTGATTGCTTTGGCCGGCCACCGGTCTTACCTCGTATTAGGCCGTCTCATCAGCAGATTTGATTTTTTGGGAGGAAAGGAAAGGTATAAACACTTGTCTAGTAGATGTAAGTTTGAAGGTTGAGACGCCGATGTTTTACTGACCTCCCGTACAGATTTTTCTTAATGTTTTTAGTCCCTCTTCCTGCAAATGCAAAACTATTTAAAGAGCTTCAAGGCTTTTATGATGTCATCCCAGATTCAGAGCGAAAGAATTTACCGGCTATGACATCATCCACAACAGTCGTTTAACGGGGTTCTTGGTTACTGAACCAAGAGCCGGAATAAAACTACCCTGATATCGTGGGATGAGTCCTTTAAGGTGCTCTGGGTTACTGAACCCAAGAGTAGGAAGAGAACTACCTCAATAATATTACCGTCTCTTCACGGCGATGTTGGGAACAGAACTACCCTTCTATTTACACTCAATACGCGTCTCAGTCGAATTTGTCCCCCTCTCTACTACTAACCGCAGACCTGTTCTTCTCTTCTCTTTAGCTACGTGTCTCTCTCTCCCTCCGACTATTTAAAGGTAAGACATTGGCCTTGCCGTAGAACGCTGCTAACATCTCTTGTTTAAACCTAGTAGACTTTTACCCAATCCCCTGTCACATCCAACATGCAGAACGTAACAAAAACGTGTTGTCATTGCAGGAAAGCTTTCAAGGCTCGAGGCTTCAAAACACACGAGACAGCTTGCGCTCGGAAGGTCGATGAAAATCAGCGTATGACTTTGTATGAGGCCCGATATGAAGACGGTGAGTCTAAGGGGACCTTATTAATGCAGCTTACAACAGTTCCTGACCTTCTCTCTCCAGCGCGTCAACTTGCCAATCCTCATTGACCTGCCAATCTTCCCTCCCCTGGGGACCTGGTCAGATTTCTCTCCTGAATCGGAAGAAGCAGTATCTTTTTCAGAAAACAACTTCGAACGTTTTTGGGAGGGTAGAATCCGTATGACAGGTATGTTGTTTACGTTGTTTCTCCATCCAAATTAACCTGATTGGCTGTTACAGTCGAAGACCAAAATATTCCGCAAGATGACCGGCCTCCTTCTCCGCATATTCCTTCAGATCAATCTCAGCTTCCCGCCAATTATATTCGTACCAAGTATCACCCATCCAGCGGCCGGGAGCCCAGAGAGGAGTCTCTTGAAGCATTTCAAGTTCAGGAACAGTCATCCGAAGAAAACATCCCAGTTGATGATACACTCTGGTGCCCATATCGATCCCTACTTGACTTCGAACTTTCAGAATGCATTCTAGAGGCTGCTTTAAATGAGGGAGATACCGATAGCCTGCTGAAGAATATCGCAAAACAAGGTGGAGAGCTCCCTGATTTTTGAAACCACCGGGAATTAATTGCCTTGTGGGACAAGTCAGCGTATCTTCGCACGCCAGTTCGTATCATTATTCTATTTCATCTTGATTTAAAATAAATCTCTAATCTAGTTCCTAAAGTCACCTTTTACTGTGCCAGTTGAAAGGAGAAGATTATCGCTTTGATGTCTATCACCGAGATCTTTGGTCCTGGACCTTGGATATTCTCCAAGATCCCGTCCTTGTGCCTCATCTTGTCTGGGATGCTCAGAAGCTATTTAGACACCAGGGCCGCACATCTGAACGATTCTATACTGAACCGTGGACAGGTAATATCTTTTGGGAAGTGCAGGTTAGTATTTCTTCCTGTCCTCGTCTATATTACTGCTTATTGACCAAATAAATAGTCAGCGCTTCCCAACGATGGGAAACCCATTTGTTATATTATCTATGCAGATAAAACCCACCTTTCTTCATTTGGGACAGTTCAAGGTTATCCTGTTATCGTTAGACTGGGAAATCTTCCGGCTCATATCTGTAACGGACAAGGCATTGGAGGTGGGAGGGTAATTGGATGGCTACCAATTGTATGTTTATGCTAACAAATTGGTACACTCACTAATTCTTTTTCTTCAGGTACAAGAGGAGCCTCGGCATCACAATAAACCCTACTATGCCGATTTCAAGAGGACTGTCTGGCATAAAGCATTCGAGATCATTCTTTCATCCATCAAGGATAGGTCGAAACTAGGTACTTGGGTACAACCTTCTTCCTTAGATGCCACACCTTGGCACGTCTTTCCTACAATCATGATTTTGTCAGCAGATTATGAAGAGCAGTGAGTTTCTTTTCTTGTATACACTTATAATCACCTAAATTCTCTCCTAGATGCATGATGTCTCTTATCTGAGGGGGCAGCAGCCACTTCCTCTGCAATATATGCATTGTTCACGAAGACAGTCAGCGCAAAATGGATAAGGCATACAGACTTCGAACTGCAGCCTGGAGCCAGGGTCTCTACAATGAGGCTAGAGAACTGACCTCTGCTTCTGATCGAAATGCTCTTCTTCAGCCGTACGGTCTACGTTTTGTGGAGGTAATCATTTATCTTAATTAATATATTAGCGTGAAATTTTATTGATATCCAGTTCAGAACGTCTTTTGGAGCATTGAGCACTGTGATGTTCATCGTGCTCTCTCCTTCGACCATTTGCACGCTTTTCATAATGGTCTTTTTGGCAACCACTTGCGCAAGGAAGTTATTGCAAGAATTGAGAAATTAGGATCTTCATTTAGTCAACAAGCTGATAATCAGTACGTCAAACGAATATGTTGTCAGTTCTGAATCCACGAATAAAATCAAGGTCAGAAACATTTCCTTCTTGGAAGGATTTGTATCATTTCAAACAAGGATTTATGAATGTGACATTCACTGACGGACAGAAGTACGAGGCCCTTTCGAAGGTATCTATCGTTTTTAACATTCTATCCTTCGGCTGATCTCATTGGCCCTAATCATAGCAACTAATCTTTATCGCCCACAATATTCTTACTCAAGAAAGAGATCCCATCGGATATCTTCTTCTCCGAGCCTTACGAGTGTATATGGAACTGGATATGTATGCTGGATTGTCTCTCCATACGTCTGGCACTCTTCAAGCAGGACGAACCAAGCCATTGATATTTGCTGCTTTGATTGACGTATATCTTTCCCTTGATTTTCTGATCTTTGACTCATCGTTCGTTAGGAATACGAAAAAGTCACATGAGAAGAGTTCAACAAGGCCATACAAGCTGCTAGGGATGCAGACAAGCAACCGTCAAAAAAGACATTCAAGACGTGGGAATTTCCAAAAATCCATTCGCATAAACATCTTTTCAACGACATTGAAGCCAAAGGTGTAACACTCAACTACAATACGAAGCCAAATGAAAGTATGCACGGATCGTTCAAAGAGGCATATCAGCGATGCACTAACTTCAAGGATTTTGAAAAACAGGTCAATAGCCGGCTTATTCTATAACTTGTGAAACTAACTGAAGTTGCGTCTGCCTTAGATTCTCAGAGTTGACCAATGGTATAGTGCTACATCATTCATCTGACAGCAGATTGATTTGCATGACCGGCAAGCCGGTCAAGCTCAAAGTGCAGAAGCAGAAGCGGAAGAGGGTGACCCCTCGCTTACTGATGAAGAAGAGGCGGTAGGGCAACCAGATTATACTACGGCTGCTTCGGTACATGGCCATCATGGAAAAGGGGGAGGGAAAATGACAATCGCTGAGGTAGAAGGAAGAGCTACCGACAATCGTAACTACCGAGATTTTCAAGAGCGCCTGTCAGCCCACATGCAAAATCATTTCAAGGATAACCCAGAGGATCTCCCCTTGGTCGATGGTACAGCTGCAGCGTTTGAAGGCTTCTCGCCTGAAGATCTGGTTTGAGTCTCTCTTTCTCTTGTTTATAACTGCGCCTCACAAGAAGCATCACTTCAGATACTCCGATATGGAATGCTCAAGTCATATTACACCAGTCTTGCTGACTGGAAGCCCACTACCGATATTCTGTGATGTTCATCCAGCTTCAACAATCAACCTCATTACGATTTTGTCCTTGTTAAGACGGATAAAGGACCTCTGTTTGCACAGCTGGCGATGATATTTGAATGTAACGTGCATGGGAAGACGTTTCCCCTTATGCTTGTTCTGCCCTTCAATCAACCTGCAGGAGGACACATGTGAAAGGATCGAGATCTGGGACTGTATCAAGTCAAAATGAAACTGAACAGCCAACCACTTCTGATCTCCATATATTCCATTGTGCGAGGCGCTCTGCTGATCGAAGACACGGAAGCACAAAATAACAGGGGTGCAGATGCAGCAAAGGAATATCTTGTGGTTGATGTGGTTGATTCAGATATGTTTCTGAGAATGCAGTCCCTTGCATACGTAGGAAAACCAGCCAGTCGACGGAACTAGTCTTTCCTCGCTGTTAGACATCTGGAAGCATTTCTCAGATCCCCGTTGGTAAGCCTTCTTCAAAATTTATTGTACGAGAGTTTATTCTTTTCTTTTCTAGCCTCCGCGCCGGTCAGATGAAAGGAGATTGGGCCCTCCAGAGTATTAGACTGCCCATAGTCATGTTTGGGGCCTTCTTTAATTCTTGGCGCCGACCTTCTTCATCCACTGAGTCGGGCACATTTACCATACCTCACATTTGCGCCTCTCAGCTATCTGCAACAGCTTCCTATCAATTCTCCCGTACCTCTTAAAATGGCCCCAAATCAATGAAATACGACTTGAAATGCAATTAAAACGGGATTTAAATCTTATCGCACTCTTATCTTTACTTATCATCTCAGATAACGCTGATAATCAGACTAAAATCAGATCATTACGTGATTTATCATCTTATCAGTGGGCTTAAAAACTGGGTTGCCTTAAAAGGCTAGTACCAAATCTCCGACATACTCTCTTCCAACCTTTTCCTTACTTCTTCCAGTGTTTGTCTGGTCGTTGACAACCCGTGCGCCGTTAGAGTTATTATGCTCCATCTTCTTCTCTATCCGTAGCCTTACTTTGGCTATACAATTCCTCGTAGTTTCATTGGATTCCATTCGAACTATTTCTAGAATGATATTCAATCCACTGGCTAATGGCAATTCAATGCTCTCCCGCTGGACTTACCTATTTTCGGTATCCTTCTGGGTATAGACGCTCTTCTTTGGGAAACGTTATCTCTCGCCATCAGACTATAATCTAAACGTCAAAATTTTCCCATTAATAGCCCTTATCTCCCTCCTCGCCGGCCTCGGGCCTTGATTAAGAAACAGCTTTATCTATGGCCTGGTTCTTTCCGCATCACTTTTTGCCACTATGTCTGCAGAAACCGAATTCCGGCCACTGCTTGGTGAGTTCTGTGCTTGCGCTCTAATGATCCACGTGTTGATGGGCTACCAGACCAAAGCGTTGGCTATGGCGTCGTTGTAGGTACGTCATTCACATTCATTCGCTAGGTTTTCGGCGCTTATGCATCATGATAGGCGTCGGGTTTTTCTTTGCAGCTATCATGCTGCTCTTAACGTACCTACAAGCAAAGTTCACCGACTTGTCACCCTCTTCTTCAGAGGAATTCACGGTAGGCCTAGCACCTTATATCCGTTTGTGTGACGTCAGCACTCATTTTCATTGCAGAGCGCATCACGGAGTGTAAAGGTTTGCACATGGTTATGAATACATCAAGTCAAGCCAGCTGACGCATTTCATCAGCCAGGCTTGGTGTGTTGTGGGATGTAAGTTTTCTCTTTGCGTCGGGGATCAAAAGATCTGAAACTCCACATAATTAGTGTCAGCGCATGGACTTGGAGTGCAACTTTACTCCAATCGAGTACAGCGGCGTATACATTCGGAGTTTCGGGACCTTGGTGACTCATTACTCCCTGACTTTCCCAATATCTTCTTACAGATTCCTGATAATCGTAGGTGGTATGGTGTTGGAGGGACTATCCAACTGGCTATCTTCGGGATGGTAGCTGCCAAAGTCAAAATGAACGCAAACGGAGCCCATACTTTTCTCGAGGTATAAATATCCGATCTACTTGAGTGACTTGCTCATATCATTATCGTTTCCGCAAGATTGTTCGAGCGCGATTTGGAACCGGTCCCCACATCCTATTCACCTTCTATGCTTTCATGTGTATCATGATCGTTTGCGGCTCGCTATTACGTGCGTCTACGCTATATATCTTGGCTTCCATGCTCAGCTGGACCCTTTTATTAGTTGGTGGGGCCACCACAGTCACTGCATTGACAGGCATGAACACAGGTACCACTCTATCTCTTTGAGTGTGCATTATTTGATGACAAGTTATCTCAGAGGCCGCATGTTTCCTCCTTCCAATCGGTATCGCGGTATATGTCCTTGTCGGGTACGTTATACTGTCATGATTGTGAAAATTCAAGACCAACGACTCACAGCGGCCTTCGTGCAACTTTCATATGTGATTGGAGTCATACCGTGATTCTATTCATCATCATCTACATTGTACATCTTTCTCTCAGTTCGAGTTTCCCATCACCTAACTTCTTTTCCAGTTTCTCTTCCGGGCCTAGTATGTAAAGTTATTCGACTCGAGTCGCATCGGGCCTAATGTCGCATCAGTGGTACTTCATCGGAGACAGGTGGGCTATCAGGTTTGTACGACCTCCTGGTAGCAGCAGGAGAAGAGATGCCCGTCGAGGGAAATCAAAATGGCAGTTATTTGACTATGAAGAGCAATCAAGGGCTGGTGTTCGGCGCTGCGACCATTCTGTCTGGATTCTCTGGAGTGTTCTGTGACCAAGGCTACTGGCAAAGGGTAAGCTTTCGGACACGAGAAACTGTTGTACACATGCTGACACGTCTGCAGGCAATCGCAAGTCACCCCTCCTCAACTACAAAGGCATATGTAGGCGTTCTTCCATGTGCCGCTCCTCTGTTGAGAGATTCAGAGGGCGCCTTTCTTTCAGATGCTGGGCGGCCTTTCCTGGTTTGCCGTCCCTTTTGCTTTCGCTTCATGTCTAGGCTTAGCAGCAAGAGCATTATTGCACCATGTTGGTTTCTTTATCACATTCATATTGGGAGGAAATTCAATTTCATTGTGCTCTAGCCGGATTTTCCCACCTACCCTAACCCACTCTCCGATTCTCAAACGAGTGCCGGGTTGGCTGCTCCTGCAGCTGCAGCAGTGTTGATGGGAAAGGGTGGGGCCGTTGCAGTTTTGTTGGTGGTGTTGTACGCCACGCCATGCTGTTATCCTGCATGCGTTGATCATGTCCTAGCATGGCCGTAACTTCCGCTACCAGCGCAGAACTTATTGCCGTTTCAAGCCTCTTGTACGTGAGATCCACTTGCTTAGTTACTTACCCCGATTAAGTCTCTGCCGTAGCTCTTACGAGTGGGTCTGCCATTCAAATCCAATCCGAGCATCGTCACTACCCTCTTAAAACAGTATTTACCGAACTTACTTCAAACCGAGTGCCAAAGGAGCTCAAATTGTTCGCGTCTCTCACTACTTTATCTGCTTCTGGGCTGTATGGATGGGCTGCTGGGCCGTCATCGTGAGCAACACTCTGGTGCTCACTTTTTCCAGCTAATAGATACCGCGAGTAGCTGAATAAGGCTGGCGTAGATCTTGGCTGGGTAAGTACCTCGTGTACATCCATGAAAATAGCACTGATTTACACACGACTACGAAAGCTTTTCTACGTTCAGTAGGTTACCTGTTCTTGACTTCTTCGTCAACTTACTGTAGCGATATCTAGAGGAGTCATCTTGAGTCCAGCCGTCATTCCTATCGCTTTGACTGTGACATGGCGGAAACTGACAGCGATTGCAGTATGCCTTGGTGCGATACTGGGTGCTGTCTTGGGCCTGACGGCTTGGATCATTGGGTGCTGGAAAATTTACGGTATGGGATTGATCATACTAGATACATACGTTATCTACTTGGTAACTGAGGATCTGTAGGTACCATCAACATCACGAACCTAGCGAAACCATATTCGGCTGTGTGCAGCGGCCTCACAGGGTTTGTGTTTTCCGGGATCATCACCGCTGGTACATCGTTATTGAGTAAGAACCCTCCCCTATCGTCGTGTGCTACAGACTAATGACGATCGGCGTTTTATTAGGTCCGGCAAACTATGATTTCCAAGGCACCAGGGGAATCACTCGTTTGGACGACTTCAACCACAGTACTAGTGATAGAGCCTCCGAGAATGTACAGGACAAGAAGGATGCTGTCGATACTGCCGTCGTCGGAGCCGACGAGGCAGAATCTCAGATCGGTGAAGGCGAAATAGACATGAAATCGCTGCAAGCTGCGTTCAAAAGAGCGACTTGTTATTCCTTAACATTGACTTCGATTGTGGCGATCGTTGGTGAGTATGTCCCTGTCCTCAACAAACAGTAACTATCTGCTCACGCCACGACAAATTCTGTCAAGTACCCCTTCCTATGTTCTTTTCCCATTATGTCTATGATAAACAATTCTATAAATTTTGGGCCTCGGTTACCATGTAGGTGACGGTGCCATTACTCCCTCAGCAGATGAAACTGATGGTTTCAACAGTATATGGGCTTTGATGAGTGGCACCTGGTCAGTCTTGCTTCCCATCTGGGAATCCAAAGACCAGATCACGCAGATTCTATATAGGAGTTACCAGGCTATGAGAGGGGGAAAGGTACCGTAAAGCACCACCACTGAAAGACTTCATGGATCCATTCATGCGGTTCGTTTGACCGAAAAGGATGGCTGTCTAGAAGCGCTGTAAATATCCTTGTATATCTCGTATACAGTACAGTTACACATATGATTATTGTACGTAGCATAGGTGGATATCTTTCCTTCTGGTAACGTGGGTACTGAGTGCACATGTCGTGGTACAAGTCGTCATCTCACTCCTTACGCTCGAATGCCAGCGAGAACAGAAGTAATGAGTTTTTCGGGGTCGTCGTAGTGAACCTGAGGAGAGGGTTACCAATGGTGCCTGGAACGATCATATTGACTTACAAAGTGATTGCCTCCTTCAATCGTGACGAAACGGATGGGCCGGATCTTACGTCCTTCGTTCGAGTGTTGCTGGTAAAATCGCTTGGTCTCGATATCTGACCAAATACATTGCCACGTCGACCGAGTCGCTACCATGTAGGTGACGGGGACGTGAGGGAAGAAAGTCCGGACCACGCTCTCGTCGAATAAGACGCTATGAGCCATCTCTTTAATCTTTGGTGACATCGGGGGGGTATACCTATCAACGTATTTCATGAGAAAGCGGGGAGAAACTTGTGGAATGAAATGCTTACATATGTATCTCGGACCTCACTGAGGCACCTTCGTTGTAATACCTGGCCCACTGCCCCGATGTCCAAGAAGTACACGATCGTCGATCTGTTCGTTTACGAAAGTCCATATTGTAAATGGTCGGGCAACTGGGGTGGTCATAATAACCAGTGACCCATTGGCAAAAGTTCCCATACAATTCTTCAGCGGTCTTGTATTCGGGGTCAGTCCAGGGATCATACGGCTTTGCGTCGTCTGGAACCTCTATACCGATTGATACGAGTGGTGGATCTACATGAAACTGGCTCAGACCGCAGATTGACTGACCTACAAAAAAAACTCACCATATAAGATAAGGTCTTTCACGTAGAGCTCTAGCATATCATACTGGGCACAGGACAGAAGATCAGCATCGGCAAACAAAGCCATAGCGGTTGTGGTGCCCATGGACCACCCCATGATGGCGAATCCTCCCAGGTGGCGGTCGGGACTGATTTTGGGTACGGCTTCCTTCTCAATGAATAGCAGAAGGAATTCTACCATTTGAATAGCAAGGCGATCCAGGAATGTCTTTTCTCCATTATGCAGCTCTTGGAGTTCGCCATCGGAGTATCCAGTAGAACCAGGATAGTCTCGACGGTTCCAGACAACGGTGCGTAGGTTAGATTTATGGGCGAGCGCATGAAGCTTCTCAAATGTGTCTGCGAGGACGACATGATCAGTCGGTCATCGACAGACGCAACGATACAACTCACCGCCTGTAAAAGCGCTGCCATGCAATATAACAACGGTAGTGTAATCACTAGAGCCAGGGGGAGCTCCACTGTCAGTAAAGAAAATGTTGACATTGTTAGAAAGTGTGTAGGTGCACGATGAGACCATGATGGAGGAGAAATGGAAAAGTAGCCACGGAAATGCCTCTTTTATCGTTGACGACGATGCCCCCACTTTGGGATTAGAACGCTCTTTTGACAGGTTCGATAGCAACCGGAAATGCCCCTGATGCGTACTATATTACGCCGCTGTGACTTTCCTCAACACGATCTCGGCGACCGTTTGACTTTAGACATTTGGTTGTTCGTTACTGGGAAAAAGTCGAAAATCACGGCATTAGGACGACCAGAGAGAACGTTTAAGGAAAGTAAGGGCTCACTGAGAAGGGTAAGGCATGGGAAACTGGCGTATACGGGTGCCTCGAGAACAGTGCTACTGGGCATTAGGGAAATGAAAGAATCTTTTTTCCAGGGGTTCAGACACGCCAAGTCCTTTCCGATATAGTGAACCACAAAATTCGCATCCGGCATTCGTTCGAACAATTAATACGGCCTGTTCAACAAATTATTTACGAGAAAATCCACGATACTTAGTCAAGTCTTGAAGTTTGAACAGTAGTAAGGCCCGGTGCCAACGGTTGACGTCGACACTGAAGCCAATGGCGGTCTGTGCCTGTGCCGGGCCGACAATTTGTGCCGAGTTTGACAGGTGCGGCTTCTGCGGCGGTGAATACCGCTTTTCCTCACTGAGTTTGAGCCCTCAATAGCTTCCTCGGTGGCCTTCAGCTGGGAAGCGTCTGGCTGCGTTTCTATGCCTCATATGAAACCCCATGGAGTTTGTGGAGCAATGAGATGTAGCCGAACTTTTGAGGATCAGTATCCTCGTGGATCAAGCTGAACTTTCGGGTGCTTCTAGCTTGTTTGATCTTTCTTCGATGCTAGGCGCTGGCAGACTCTAAAGCTTCAAGCCCAATGAATCGGAAATCTACTGCTATTACTCGCCTCCATTAACTTACCTTTAGTCTGAACTGGGGAGATTCTAGGGAGTTCTACTTGCTGGGCAGTCATTTCCTTCTTAGCGAAACATCTTTCGGTTACCAGGATTCCCAAATTCGACGAATCCCTGGCAGCGGAAACCCATCAGGCTGTTAGGACCCTTGGACAAGCTTCATGACCCTAGCCAATGAGTCATTACCCAACGGCAGCTAGCAACGACCTGCTTTCACACTTATCTCTTTGGCTATGTATCCGCTCTGGGACCGTCAATCCGTCGCACGGTACGTCTCGGTCAGCTTCAAGTTCCCTTCACGATGATTAGAAAGAACTCGTGCCCAGGCTTACTTTTGGGGGTCACAATTTCTGGGGGACTCACGTCGCTAGCGATTACTTTCCGAACAGTTGTGCCACTGTTGCGATTGATGTTCGTACGACCAGCGCAAGATTTGAATCATCCTTCCACATCTGCTCTAAATTTCTTGGCGAATGCGCAGTCAAAGATCGCCCATGATCAATAATTTTCTTCCATCGTAGTCTCCTTCATCCCGAATTTGCTGGAAAATCAGGCTGCTTCAACGGTCATCACTGGTCCGAGTCTATACATCCAAGGCTTCGACTGCTAAAAGCTGCTTTTCCTTCCAAACACAGGCAAGATCGATATACCTTTGTCTCCTACGAATGCTGGATTGTTCATGTTTCAACAAGGTTTTACCATACGCCACCTCCTTCCTTCCGTCATAATGACTGTAGGTGGATGGTCACGGTACTGACAGTGTTCCAGAGAAGCACGTCGCCACAACCTCGTTGATGACGAGCAACTGATAGCAGTACTACAGAGCGGGTGACTGTCTCCGGGTTGTCTCCTGTATCCATTCCTGTCGTCGTTCCAATGTATCCGGCCCATCGCCGCAGTCTGTTCTGCTATATAGACGACGCTATGCTTTTTTGGCAGGAGCTGCCGCCTCAATTCCTGTGTGCCCCGAACAAAAACCGCTAGAGTATGTTGTGCTCGCCGAGCCCAGTAAAGGGCAAGCCTGCAGTGAGCAGATACTAGCCACCGCAAAAAGTCAGAACAGTCACTAGGACACAGAACCACGGCCAGCCGCAGAGCCACGTTATTTAGCTCTACGTTTGAGGGGATAAAAGTATTATCTACGCCCAGCGTCCCCCAGTTGGCCCTGCCGTGTAATACCCCCTGCCTGCCCATCAGCCACACTACAAGTCTGTTACTATCCTACACATCACTCACTGACGCACCAGAGGAAACTCAATCCGCGAACGAAGGGAGTATGACACCTGTACTTCCATCGCGCCTCAGTAGGTAGTTTACTTATGGTGGTTAACAATCACAGAATCGAAAAGACCCCAGTAAAGGACCTTAGAGCTCACATATTCTCGGAGCCTCTAACTGACCTTAGTCAGAGAGGGGACGGTCTGCATGGAGATCCTACCTCAGTAGCCTTAGGTTGATTGTAAGCTCGGCATACTTATAGTCTAGTCGTACATTATGTACGCCCTTACCCTCTAGGCCTCTGTTTGGCATGACGTTCATCGTGTATTATATGAATCATGCTATTAGACGTATACTTAGATGTCATCCCGTGTCGTGAACAAGAATACAGTAGTCATAACGTGAACGAAATAAATATTCAGGTATATGGGCCCTCTCATCATTCTTCAACTGATCCCGAACCGACCCACGAACTTGTGAAGCCAACCATAAAGGGCAAAAGTCTGCTGCTTCAAGGGCTGAGTCTCCGCAAAGATTTCGAAGGGTTCTTCCGTAGCCGTGCCATTTAGCGACGACGTAGCCGGGGCTGCAAGAGAGATCGTGAGCAAAGGTGGCCTCTAAAGGCTAAAACTTGCGAAAACACTCACCATACCACCAGAGCGTGGTGACACCAACGGGGAAAGTGTATGTAGCCTATGATAATATCGGTATTCGGTACTTACAGGATAAATTGTCAACCTACCTGCATACCCCTGAATTCGATGGTCGTCTGCACGGGCGTTGGGTTCCAAGAACCATTGGGTGTGTCATCCCCTAAGTGCATTAGAACTGTCAGTTTGTCGATCATTCGATAGCATCCACCACCCACAGTTTAGTACAACCAAAGAGTACCTTAGCCAGTCAGACGAAGACACTCTTCCTGTGACATATGCTCCCACACGGAGAGCCCAGCTTAAGCTGCCGCCCACCGTGACCGCCACTCGCTTTCCAAATGGCCCACCCGTGTCCTTCGGAATGATTGCCTTGGATGCCTGGGCCATGACATAGACTAATATATTTGCCGTCTTCAGTATATTCGGGGCCGAAGGGCAGAAGCAAAGATGTGCTTACATTCTTGGTTCAGGCTGTACGTTCCGTCACTGTTGACCTGAACAATTGCCCGACAACCGCCCCCGCAGCTGTTAGTTCCGGGGTACAGAGGATCGCCGTTTCCATCCAGAGCCAGGTTCCACATGAGGGCCGAATGGGAGTTGTGCTCTATCGATCCTGTACATTTATGGTGTCAGGAGCAGGTGAGAGAAGTAGCTCGCTAAATTACCTATGAAGCTGCAGAAGAGAACAATGATCAGCATCTTCGATGACGTTAGACCGCGATTACTTACATGTTGTCCATATACCACTGCACGTCGGTGAGCATCGGTAACTTCCCAAGAAACAAGGACTGACCTTGATATCAGACCACCAGTCACTTCCTGGAATTGATAATGAGGGAATGTGGTAAAACAATCAGAACACACTTACCAATGGTTCCGGTGCACTCTGGAGGTGCATATATTATGAATATATTTACTTCGCAGAGACGACTCTTACTCACCGGTGAAGTATATCTGAATACCCAATTCAGCGTAAAGAATCCACATATAACAAATTAGGACGGACCTCTTTGGTGGGGTACGCGGTGTGGAATGTATCTTGGTCAGCGACATCACCCTAAGTACATGTAAGCTCTCGGTCTTAAAGATAGAGTAAATTATAAAAAGATACCGAATAGCAGTGGAAAGATACTCCTGCGAACGAGTCTCCTGCTGCCTGCATGAGTTGAATGGGGTAAGCGCCAGCATCGCCCCAGTTGTGTTCATATCCGATGAGCTTGACAGAGGAGAAACCATTATTGTTCATCAAGGTCCTCAATGCTGTACCGATCTGAGCTTCTACAGAGACAGGCATGGTACAGGTTGGGTAGGTTGGGTTGCTGTTCTCCGGCTCGTTCTGGATAGAGATGGCGTACAATGGAATACCGTTATTTTTGAATCCTTGGAGGCATTTGAGAAGATAGTTCGCATCTGGAATATGGAAGGTTATTAAGATATATGCGTGCGAGTGCTTTCGATATAATGACTTACAGTAGGTGACATACTGGGATTGGAGGGATCCGCCGTTCATTGATCCAGAGCTCTTCATCCATCCTGGTGGGGACCATGGCAAAACATGCACCTTGATGACTGTTTTCTGTCACGCCTGGTAGGTTCCCAAGGGCAACGAGACGTACTGTTGTTTATAGAGTAGATGTCCTTGAGAACCGAGAAAAGGTAGGATGGTGCATCGTTGATGTTGAAAGCGTTGAAAGACGTGTCTCCATTGGTGTCATCAAAGCTGTACGCTAAGTAGAGTCAATAAAGCCTGCATATATGCGCATATAACGCGGCCAACGCACGTCCAGCTGAGAAATCCGACGCGCCAAGAGGAACTCTTATATAGTTTAGCCCAGCAGCGTTCGCTCCATCCGTCGGATTGAAGAGGTAGTTCAATAATGTCCAGTAGTTGTTGGAATTTGTCGACTAGGGGAAGCTGAGTTCGTCGTCGCTGTAAGAGAATGGTGAGATGTACCTTTAGGTTGTTCAAAACCAAAGCGGCGGAGTCGGCTGCAAATAGTATTTCATCAGGGTTGTACGTAACGATGACGAGCATTGCTATGCTACTCACTGAGCGAACCTCCAAATCCCCACACTGACTGGTAAGTCGACGTGTCGTCCACGCTGATATCGGCGCTCCCAATAGTACCAGGCGAGACGAAATTAATAGGAGATGATGGGGCGAGCGAAGTGAATAATTTGGAGCGGTCCCAGGTTGTTTGCCACTACGAACAGCATAAATCCCAGGAAATTCGTAGTCGTGTCGACTCACAATGTCCCATATCTGCTGAGAAGCGACCGTGGTGACAAGAAGCAAGGGTATCGTGAAGAATCGACGCATGTCGGTTTAAAATATGAAAGGAAGGCCGAGCAAATAAATGCCGTCTGGTGGTATACAAATACAAAGTTGAGCTGGTAGGAGGAACCTAGGAGAAGCTCCATTGATAAATGTTTCTTATATATATGCACCGTGTACAAGCATACGGCTCATCTAAAGAGAGTTCCGATGAGAAGCAACCTGCTGCAATCCGCACTCTTCCCCGAATATCAGACGCTGATCGTGTGCAACCACGGCTCACGCGACGTGGAATGCAATAAAGCGTCTATCAAAAGCAGTCAAATTGTCCCCTACAATAAGTATCTATTAAGTAGGCATCAAAGCAGAGTCCACGAGTCTGCACTCTACGTCCAAGTAACTCACGAGAGCAGAGAGCATATCAGGCCTCGTCATGTGTTTAATCGGATATACCGTTCTCGCAGAAAACTCAGTTACGACGGACATGCGCAGCTGAGAAAAAAGCCCCGTCCAATATTCACTGAACCACACAAAAACACGTCGAAAGCAAATCTAAATAGCGACCATGCCGCATTAGAACAGCCCGAGCAGATCGTCCTGTGGTTGACTCTGCTGCTGCTGCGGTTGCTGAGACGGTGACGGGGCAGATGGTGCCATCATCGGTGGTGATGATCCGAAGGCTCCCAGGCCATCTCCACCTCCAAGCGAGAGACCTCCCAATCCAAACGCATTTTGAGGCGTTCCAGCAGATGCTAGCGGGGCATTGGATCCGCTTCCGAAAATAGACACAAGGTCATCTAATGGGTTGCTTGATGTGCCTGCCAAAAGACTCGCCGCTGCCGGCGTCTGTGAGAGCACCTGCGTTGCAGCCAAGCCAGACGGCTGACCATCCGTCGCGGGCACATCGTCGAAATCGCTGTTAAAATGCTTAAGCCCGCCCCCCCTGAAAGACAGCTAAGTCGACTACTTACAGCAAGTTCTCGGCTTGTTGTCCAGCTGCCACAGTCTGCAGAGCTTTCTGTGTAGAGAACCGATCGTCGGACACGCTGCAATGGACAGAAACGCAGTCAGTCGTTGGATGGAAATAACTCATAGGCCTATATCACTCACTCGACACCTTTCCTCTGGACCGAGTCGGCTCCGACTCTACCCCTACCAACAAACGTCTCTTCAGGTTTATGGTACACACTGGCGAGGCTTGACACCTCTCCCAGCAGCTCTTCCAAAAGTGCTGGTGCAACCGTAGTCCTCGGTATTGAAATAGGAGGTCGTGGGGTCAAAACAACGGCCTGCGATCAGTTGATTAGCGCCTCATTGCTAGCATGAGGAGCGAAAAGAGGAGGAGCAGGGGTCGCTCTTGAGACATGGAGAAATCGCAATTCCGGTACAACATCATCGCGTGAAATCTTTGCTTACCTTGGCAGCGCCTGGATCAGTCGATAGTAACCTCCAATAGATATACGCGCGATCTCGCACATCCGGAGAATCACAGTCTTTGGTTGCCGTATTCAATACACGCTGTACGATTCCTTGTGACGAGTCTGGTTTCTTCAGGAAGAGCTTCACGACTGCGGTCAGAGTTTGTAATTGGACCTAGCAGGGTGTCAGAGAAGCTATAAAGACACCGCTTGGGAAAGCGAAAACCCACAGGGTAAGATTCCTCAGTAAACGTGTCCACAAATATGCCTAGCAGTTCGTCTGCATTGTCGATCTTGTTAGCATATTCCCCTATGATCCAAATCAAAGACGCCTTGGCTTCTGGCTCATCTAACTCATCGAGATTCGCGCAGAGTGTCGGGATAATGCCTTCATACGTCGATGGATATTTCCGGAAGATGTCCTGTGGAAAAACGTAATCAGATGATCCAAGTTTAGCACCAATATGAAGTGGCCTCAATACCTTCATGACCACAACAGCCTCTTGCACCACATAACTGACGCGTGTTCCAATCAGTTCGAGTAGCACATTCACACACCGTTCTGCTGCAGCATCTATCTTGACGGCCGTCTGTCCGATTGCTTTTATGCTCTTGCGAACAAAGTCTACGTCAACCTCAGATGAATACCTATGCGAAATGAAGGTTCAGTTAAATGCGATAGATGAAGATGTCGACATACTCTTTCAGTTCGCTTAAAAGCGCATCGACATTATTCTCGCCTGCTAACCGTACCATGATCTCCAATTTCTCAACCTTGACATACAAGGGATCATTATATTTGCAGAAAAACACCCGCATTTCATTTTGTAGAATATCCGGCCGCTTTTGAAGAAGGAGATTAATGTTTCGAAGTGCAACCCACTGCACCTCTGGTGGAGAGGAGAGAAGTGTCACTAGCGGAGGTGCCATTTTGCGGACCAGCTGTTTGATGAGGTCCTCTCGTCGGACGCCACGCATATGAATCATGATCACCTATAGTTATATGAGAAAACGTATAATAGGCTAGCAACAGAGGCATCTACCTTCACGGCAGCCAGTACGACAGCCCCGTTGACGTGTTGAAACTGCGGAACGACACGTTCACATATATGCTCGCTTTCTTTCTCGTCCTGAGCCTCATATCGAGCCAATGCGTTCAAAATTGCCACCCGACCCCATTCAGAACATTCATTCAAGGCAATCAAGAGTTTGCTGAGAATAGATGCAGATATTATGAAGATCCCTGGATCGGACGAAGAAGTTGAAGGTTGCGCAGAAGCAGCTATATGGATGTCTGTCAATGCGGCAACGGTATTGGCTACGACCTATAAGGTTAGTCAGGACAAGCATACAAGGAGAAGGAGAAGAGAGCAAAGCAGACGCACCATTGGATTACTGTCAGCTATCATCTCATGCAGCTGTTCCAAAAACCCGTTCTCAATCACCAATTCCGGCTTCAGATCATACAGCTTTGCAACACACAGCGCAGCCGTTTTGCGTACGTATGGGTTCTCATCGCGTAAACATTTCTGAAGAGGGTCGCAGAGGTAATCGATGATCTTCTCTGCCCGTAGAACACCCATGGTACGGATGGCGAGTGCACGGACCAGAGGATTTGGATCATCGGTGTCCTTGACGAAGGTGTTCACTGCGAGAATAACGAGCTCTGGCTGCGTTTTTGCGTAGTTCATGAGATAGAGATAGACGAGCTTCTTCTGCTCAAGGTCGTCGGTCTGCATGTTCTTGAGGACGTCAGGGAACAAGCCACTGACGTCTACGAAATCATTTAGCTCAATGAAATTTATGTAGCAGATTGCACGCACCCTTGCCGACCGTCATGGACGCTATTGTTCTCTTGATGGCATCCTTGCGTTTCTCCCTGTATTCACTGTTGAGGTCGACGCTGAGCTCGTAGTTCTCGCCTTTCCGAGGAGCCCTGAAGCTCATGAAGATCAGATATTGGTGGTGGTCGGTGGAGGAAGACGGCGATGTCACAGCCGTGCCACGCGATCATCACTTCACCAACCACCACCACCACCACCATTGCGACGACTAATCGACAGTGAACTGGCAACAATTCCGCCTTTGTGGTACTACTGATAGCAACGAACTGTCTACTGTATTGCAACCCCTGATACCTGCGAAAGGCGAGCGGTTAGTAACTACTGAGGGCCTTCCTCGCTATCTACTCTCTTTCATGACACTGAAGCGATATTTTCCACCTATTCATCAGTCGTACGGATGGAATGACTGGATCGCAACTGAGTTAGAGGAAGGGTAGTACATGTCCGTCGGTCACGCGAAATCAACAATATTCATTCGTCCTTTTATCCGTTCCTCGTGGAAAAGAGCTGCAATTTCTGGAGCAAGCTGCGCGAACAGAATTTTGTCATTTGCGATGACCTTTCATCAGGCCTGTGTCGTCTTTTGTTTCGAAAGCGAAACTATCAGTGTCCTCCGGCTCGGACATGCTCAGGGACGAACTCGGTCGTGGGGTCTACGCGCCTTCACTCATCCCCAGCGCCGGTGAGGCCAAAATCTGTCAACATGAGCGCTGATTTTTGTCCATTGGCGTGCTGTATGCCTCTTTTTGGACCATACACTGTTTCCGGGGCACCCTAACCAGCGTGTTTGAAGAGCCGCCATTCAACCAGGGACATCAATTCTGCCAGCTAATGAAAGACTCCATAGTACCTTCCGCTAGTGGCGTCGACCTTCGGTACAGGTTCATCAATATTCGCGACGTGAAAGTCCTTTCAGATCAGACAAACCTTGCTTACCCTTCCAACTAGTATAAGGACATTTCAGCTTTCTCAAGGCATGATTCTTTCGCAGCGCTAGCTGTAAGCACTCGACCCTCTGAACTGAATGAGATACGATTGACGTATACAGCGTTTACCGTTTTCGAAGGCTACGAGTGCCAAACGTGCGCTCGGAGATATGACCGCTAGTTTGATGGCGCCTTCTCATGGTGACAATCATATATTTCTGATACAGGGATTTATTAAAGCCTTCTTCCTTCGAACTCGACCACCGCCATCTCGGATTCCCTCCTTCTTTTTTCACGACCGTCATGGCTCCCGTTGAGGTTCCGGGAGTCAACGTTCCTCTGCTGTGAGTTGGACTCTTCATTTTCTTCCGGTTGATCGGACATACTCAAGGGTGGAAAAAGGACTGGGCCCCTTGTGCGTCGGATTCAATTATACAAGCGTAGTGCCCGGACGAAATCTCTTTACAGGCATTGGCATACATGTGGGAGTACGGCCTCTATGGAGTCCTCCTCGTTCAGCTGTGTAAGGACACTCGCTACGCTAAAAAACTGTTCTGATGAGAAGGTTCCTTCACGCAGATATTTACCATATTACTTTCCGGAAGGACAAGATCGGCTTCAAGATTTTCGGTGCGCCTGTTCTTGTCACTCCTTCACGCCCTCTCAAACGGACTTAAGTGTGGTCACTGTTCCTTCTCGAGACAGTCTTCACCATCTGCACAACCATTGCCGCCTGGCACACATTTGGAACTGGTTGGGGAGACCCCGACACTCTCACGACAATTGATGTCTCATGGGCACCCCTCCCTGCACTGAACGGTTTCAGTGAGTGGTCGTGCCTGCCCTTCTAGCCGATTTTTACCTTTGCGATTAACAGTCGGAGCAATGGTCCAGAGTTTCTATGTCTATCGAATATGGACGTTAACTAAAAGCGCTTGGCTTGCGCTCACCATTGAAGCGGTAGGTCTTCGGCTATTTTCATCTACTTAGGTACCGGACAGTGATTTCCGATAGGTTGCTCTTATGCAATGTACATTGGCCTTTTATTACGGGATAGCTGTAAGTCCACGTGCTCAACCCATAGGTACGGTTAACCGACGTGTACGCAGCTGTCTGTAAGAGGGCGAAGGATTAGCGAATCGTATGCGTTGACGCCTAGTGTCAGCGTACGCGTCAACATTTGTGTCACCCTTCTTATCCGCAGTTCTAATCCCCCCGTCGTTACAGGCATGGTTATCTGGCAGCGCTGCATGCGACATTCTGATTACAGCTTCTATTGTCACCATAGTGTGTTCGATTTCAGAGGAAACCCACCATATGATTAATGTTCCTTGATTTTAGCTTTACAGATCAAGACCAAAAGCAGTATTTTCGCATACAACGAACACTGTTACTCGACTCATACGCTACATAGTCGAAACCGGCCTGTTAACCTCTGTGGTAGCTTTGTGTGAGCTTATACTGTGGTTAACCAATCGACAGTACAACTTCCATTTCATCGGGTACGTTCTCTACCCATCAGCGATAAATGACAACGTAATCATGACTCTAGATTCCTTATTCTCGGCAAACTGTGAGGGTCTTTTTCGTTGCTCAACAAAGCATCGTGCTAACCAAAATACTAAGATATTCGAACACTCTTCTAGCAACACTCAATTCGCGTGCCCTCATGTTTAGTGGACGTCAACATGACTACGAGCATCAAAGCACGTTTATAGCCACGACCCCTCATAATATCACGACCTATTGGGACGAGTCGGAACCTCCAGAAACCGATTCGAGTTCAGTATACCGACACCAACCCGGCCCTTCAATATTGCAACCTTTACAAGATCTCAAGATCAGCCCCGTAGGATCTGCAGACAATCTTGACGCCAAGCCGGTTGTCGTTTCAGTACGTGTTATAAATTTTTCTATTGTAACAGATTCTGACTGCTGGCCTCCTCGTACAGAATTTGTCAGATCACTCCGAGCAGCCAAGTGCTGCAAGCACAAGTGCTGGAGCATTTCACTGAATGAACTCGCCCTATTTATTTGTCACGGTGTTCAAGTTTTGGGGTTAACGACCCATTTTGTATTACCGCAAATTTAAGAGAACTGGACATGTACTGTATCCATAATGCAATGACGTACGACGTTTATACTTTTGCTTATTTTATCAAGAGTAAGGTGATGGAATGTGTGTACTTGCACAGCGTTAAGTTCATACCCTTGGTATCTCACCCTCATCGAGTTTGACCGCTACGAATGGAAGGTGTGCCTCTATATCGTGCCCCACATCTGAGCTTGACTTGATAGGAAATGAGGTCCGTCCATGGATCGGTGGTTGACCTGGTTCCCGTCGCAAATTTGACCAAGGTGATGATGGCGTCGTGTTTCCTAGAGACCTCTGAGGCCAACAAGGCTACTACAATCAATGGTTTCAAAATGCAGAAACTTTGACCCGCCCATACCCGGCACTGTATTCAATCTGTCCGTATAGGCGTCACTACCGACGGACCGCGTCGCGTAACGCTACCCCTCCCAATACAAATATCGAAGAGACAAAAAACCCTTACTAAACAGTCACCGGCCGCTCAGAACTAAAGTGGCTTTGACATTGGACTCAAAAATCATATATTAAGTACAAGGCTCTGACGACGTTCACGGAGGCAAGAATATATCCATCGGATCCTGTCGAGACTCAACCGTAAGTACAACGCGACCACCGCGACCATCTTCATCTTTACACAAATGCCGGTATTGACTGAAGACGCTCTACTTCCACAAGACGATCTTGATAAGGAGGTTCTGTAGTATCGGCGATCGATTATGGACTGCAATAGGTGACAATACTACGTATCCCCGGAGTAATATCGTCTACCCTGTGGGATATGAATAAAGACGTCGATCGATTGTCGGGTGAGTCCGACTCGTCAGTGTGAAGACCCTTGGAAAGTGATAAAGTCTGGTGGACAATTCGAATAAACCACTCGGAAAGCAGCCGAAGTCACGACGCACCATTGTGCTACGACGTTCCGTGGAGCTGGAACTGATGAAGTAAGGAGCGATTATTGGTTACTGAGTCCGTCATCACACGTACTTCGCGAGACTCGGACTTGCTAAAAGACTGTCAACTCGGAAATCAGCGTGTCCTATGATAGGAACAGTAGCGCTAAGCGGACAGTTTTTCAAAAAGAGTTCGGATATCTTCCGTGTTCGACCTGAATCATAGAGGTACGGTCAGGGGACTATCTTTATACAGAAGAATGGAAGTAACCCTTCATCACCACCATCATCATCACCGCACGGCCCACCCGGGGTATAACGATACGTAAGGAGACGAAAACATTGCGAAGACTGTCTGAGGTTTGGTTGTTAGCGTGTACAGCCAGTGCCCGGAAATTTGCTTCCATAAAAAAAAGAAAGGAAAGCAAGCGAACTATTCGCTCCGTCCCTTACAAATTCGGGTTTTCCCAGTTCCCAATGAACATGGGTGGTTCTTAATTTCCACCCCGTCATCGCTCAGGCCGTAGCGAACAGACCTTGAAGCTATGGCTTTCAATTGCCGGGACCGGAATGGACAATAATAGACCGTGTCAAACTTGATACAAGTACGATTCATTAGAGCCCAGATGACAGTGAGCTTTAGAACAGATTCAACAAATTTACTCGTGGAATCCCTTGTACTAGGCCAATGTGAAGACGCAGAGTGATGCCTGGTACCATTATACATTCCCTATAGTGGGCTTATTAGTCTACCTTTAGCCTTACAGCTCTACGAGTTCAGGGAGAACATTTGACACGCATAATTGCATATGGCAAGCTTGCTTTCTGCAGACACCGGTCAAATTTCACCTAAGCCAAGAAATATGTCATACCACTGAAGTGGATACCTTACGACAGTTTACTGGTACTCGGACCATCCACGTATGCAATTAAAGAACCAAGTAACTTGAACTAGCCAGGATCAGGGATGCCTGGGAAGATGGAAGGCATTACCGTAGTTTCAACAAGACTAGTAAGAACAAGAAGTCAAGTCGTATAGGTCTATAGATTCCATAAGGAGATCGGATAAGAGTCTTGCAAGCCCGGCGACTAGGATAGAAAAAGTGTGTTAGACCAGGAAAGGCGACTGCGTGCTCTGCGTGACCTTGACATCGCGCTCACGTGCATACACGATAGGGGCCGTGTTCTCCCGCCCTAGAAGCTTGGCCTTAGTCATATCTCCACCAACACATATTGCGTGTAATTTACCATAATATGAGGATTTTCCCTCGCTGTCGCGTTGTATTACATGTGTCCGTCTTGTCTTCGTCACAGTTATTGAATCCGAGGCAAGTTCGACTCAAGTTGGTAACAACGAGTAACGGATACCTATTTCAACTTCATTCGCCTTGTGTTACACAAGTTGTGGCATAAAAAATAAATAACTTAAAACTGGGGTGCGTTATGGCTCGTTACAGGTGATGTTCATAATACTTTGGTCCGCCGTTACCGTCAATGCCCAGACTTATGGCATTTTCACCTCTCTTGAAATCCTTTTCAGATGTCAGCCCGCCATCGCATGTGAATTCTCTCTAAATCTCACCGATACAACGATCATCTCATGAGAGTCGCCATCCTCGTGGACTTCTGTGGTTCGTGTTACGTGTACGGTCTGTGACCGTAATGCTCCAAGTGGTGCTGTAATTTTCGGTCCAGCCTCGTCCCAGAAAGAACTCGAAGGGTGCGGTATCGATCCTGACGAGGTGATGAGAGCGCCATTTTGAATGGTACCGAAAACAAGCGCTCTTGAATTCAAAGTTGCGACGAGGGCATTAGAATACCTGTTAAGTTAAACACTCATCGGGGTATAAATAACAAGGGAAAAAAACACACAGCTTTCCTAGGACGAGAAATCTGCAAAATTCGTTGGTCAGACACGGCACACGCTGATGATCTCTGACGTACCCGATGAAATGGACGTAATACCTGGGCTGGACTAACCAAAGGACCAACTCTACTACAGCAGCCATGGAAGTCAGTAATCCCGTCTCAACTGTGAAACGGATAATTTTCGTGACTGCATTTGTCGTCTGACTAAAGGTCGATTGGCTATTTGCTTGCCATAGCTATTACAGTCCATGTCAGATACGTAATCCAGCGAACGCATTATTTTACACGTACAACATAGACGATCACAGAAGTGATCAGTACATCACAAACTGCACTCCCGGCTAGCCATGTCTACGTTGAAAGTGAGCGTCGAACAAAACAATGGGTCAGAGCGAGACGTACGCTAACCACAGGTGTTAACCCAACGAGCTTGGTGACACTCAGACCTTGTACAGATACCTGTCGAAAGGATTCGGACTCAGAGAGGCTAAAAACGAAAGAAATCTTACCGCTATTCCGTAATAATAGGCAAGCACGCATTGCGCAACAGCAACAATTTCGATCAAGATACAGATCCATACGTTTTTCGTAAGGTTGAAAATTCTCCAAACATAAAATGTTTGAACCATGGCAGAAACTGTTGCGAAGTTTAGAAGGACATGATTTCACGATAAATAGCCGCATACTAGTGCCATTGAGTGCAGGAAGTGGTTCCCAGGACCAGTCGATATACGAGAGCGAATCCACGTCTCCCCATCCATCAGCATATTGATCCCAAGCCGCGATAGTTGAAAAAATGGTAAAAATGACCTCGAGAAGGTATATGAACCACACTAGTAATGTGCGGCTAGTGAGGACTCCAAAAAACAAGTTCAAAATTTGGCGCTCACCATATAATCTCATTCTCCACGTGTCTTTGTGGTTAAAATGGATATGATAAATATCTGTTCGGAAATGAGAAAAAAACCCAATGAAAAAAGCGTACACGCACACATCTGAACGGTGAGAATGCCAAAAAGGCCGTATCCCCACATGTAACCAAGTATCTGGGCAATATGCACAATCGGTTAACGGACTGAGACATGTTGGCAGCACGAGTTGCACACCAATGGGCCAGTGCTGGTTCGGCGAAGGATCATCAGCGTAGTACAAGGAAGCTTCGACAAAACTTACACGAGAGGTACGTTAACACCAGGGACGGATATAGGAGCCATGGATATAGGCGGGGTGATTTGTGAGGGGCGAAAAAGAGGACGGGTACGCTGTCCCTTCCTAGTGTCGATCTGGCACTTTTAAGCAACGGACCTTGTGGTGAGCTTTCTCACCCACTTGTGCGTCCTTCGGTCAGTTCTACTGATAACGAGGTAGCGCATCAGATGTTGATGACACGATCATTTTGTCGAGAGGTTTCATAGCTCAGACATCAAAGGCCAGTATGAAGCAGCGCGCAGAAATACAAAGGCAAGTTCTATGAGTCATTGGAAGTGATTTCAAACAAATTGCTTCACAATGATATCGGGTCGGGCGGCGTATCCAGCAAGTATGTCAAAAGCCTAAGGGCAGCTAAGTGTAGTCCTTGCACTTCATTGATCGCCATAAGGGTCATCGCGGTGAACACCATCACCGCCTGATGCCTAAGCTCTAGAATAGTATCGGAATGTGGGCTGATGCCGCGATCCCAAATGAAAATGCTCAGGGCAAGGTAGTGTATGAGTCCAGAGCAGATATTCGGCGCCCATGGCAGGGAAAGGCTTGGGGCTTTGGTATCATGAAATCTATCCCAGTGGAGCATCCCCAGTAGAAGGTCTCGTTCTTTTCGCTGAGAAATCCAACTCTGTTCCCCTGGAAGTCGTGTTATTTGCCAGCACTCGAAAATGAAGTTTCAGACCTGATTTTTCAAGTCCATTTTGATGGATAAGAAACACATGGCGAATTTCAAAATGCTTCGGCAACTTTTGAGCCCAGCTCAGCTCCGGACTCGGCTATATATGTATCGGGATCCAGTTGATGATTGTACACCAGAGCGAATGCGTAAGCATGCCATTCCTCCCGAGAATTCTGAAGCTATCTGAGGCTTAGAATGACCTCTCAAAACTGGAATTGTAGTACTTGATTTCCTGGTAGGGAATTCGGATTTCTGGCCATGGTAGATCGTCAAATTTCAATGATCGCCAATTTGATCATCACTGATTAACTACTAACATCCACGCCTTCAAGTACTGTGAAACTGCCACTGAAACACAGTGAAAATACTCATTTGTTGCCTACTCAGAACTAGTCACATATGTAATCGCGATCGTATGGTAAAATCGAAATTCAAGTATGTTGATTCATAAACTTACGTTTAGTACTATCATATCCACAAGAGTAGAAATGCTTAGATTTAGGTTCAACCATTGAGCTGAAAGCTAGACTCCTTCAATTCCGAGTTCCTTCGCAATGATAAGGGTGGCTTTCTCGCCAATCGCAAGTGTAGCCGAGTACGTATTCTGTGGGAGATGAATCTAATCAGGCTGCATACGGTTAGTGATACTGACAAAACCTACGCAGTTGACGTTTGAGGGCGCAATCGAAAGATCTACAAATGACAAATGAGTGCGATGATCAAGCGAAGAGCAAGTATATATACGAACCAGCAAGCTTCAGCCCCGTGACGCCATAGACATTGAGATTTGCATCGACAACACCGCCTCCTTCTCTCGGTTTCATAGGACAAGTGCCCAACTAGTTAGATCAAGCATCAGGACTGGGGATATCTGGGGCGGCAGGCTAAACTTACGGAGTGCCACGTTGTACCAACTACATAAACGTCATAGATATGAGAACACAAAATTCAAACGAAGCAAACTGACCAAAATTCCTGATGTTAGCATCGATCGCATCGTCGTCTGTCTTGGAATAGACTATCTTTGGTGCATCCAACGGAACTGGGCCGTCTTCAGCAAGCGCGACTCCTGCCGGACTGCCTGCATCGAACTGGGGATGTGCAGGTGCAAAGGCGCCACGATACACAGGCATCCGGCGAAGGATTTCACGGCCTCTCTTGTAGCCCCAACGAAGAACAGCGACATCAGCAGGGCTACAGAAGTGCGCTTTCAGGGGGAAAAAACCAGATAGCAACATACACAACGCACTGAGATAAGAACCCGCAGTCGAAGTCGGGGGGAGCATAGATATCATCAGAAACGATGTGCAAATGTCCACGGGAAACGGGATACCCCTACAAGACTAAGTTAATATTTGAGTATGAATGGCATGACTGTCGACATACAAGAGAAACCCCGGAGCAGAAGTAGCTGATTGGCGGCAACGCAGACTGATCTGCGGGAAGTCTACAGTACTTTTGTGAAAGAGCCATGGAAGAAAAGATACACAGGAACCTACCCAGCTAATGCACTCATCCAGAAAAGTGGCTTGTCAGGTTTGTCTGCATAGTCCTTCTTCCAGACCTCTTCGAAATCTGGTCCCAGCTCGTCTACTTCATGCTCAAGGGGGCGGAACTTAATGGATGCGTCCACTCCACTAAGAAACATGATTAACATGGAAGCTTAAGCATGCAAGAAGGGAAGTATACTTTGCTCCCAATAAACCAGAACCATCACCATCCCACTGGGCCATATTTTCTAACAAGGAATGAGAACTGCCGGAAGGATGGATGATAAAGCGAGATTTACTGCCCCAGGTCCCTGTATCCCCTCGGAAAAGGCTGTCATAAGTTGCAGCATTGGGGTCCACAAGGTACGGAGTGACGAGGAAAGGGTGATCTGTTTCAGATTTAAGAAAAGAAATCAGTGAGATAAGAAATACTCTCACCGTCATAGTCTTTCCCGACACCAGGAAGATCAACAAGCTGTTTGACTCCAGCTTTTTCCAATACGGAGGCGGCACCAATGCCGGATCGTTCAAGAACTAACGGAGAGCCCATAGCACCCGCGGAAAGGACTATCAAACGACTGGCGAGCACTGTGTGCACGGACTGTTCCGCATCAGGATAAACCTGCTTGTCAAAAATATACTCGACGCCGATGGCCTTTGTGCCCCTGAAAATCCCGTTAATTAAGCATCGTGCTGGTTTTGCTTGTCAGCACTTACTCAAACAGGATACGCTTAACCCTGGTTCCATCACAAAGCGTAACATTCTTGCTGTCTTGATTGTAGAGATAGTGAGTCTCGACAATATCAACATCAGGAAGGATTCGAAATATCAAGATAGAAGCATATCATACCGCTGTGTCAGACCGGCGACCTTTACTTGAGGCAAACCTGAACGAGTAAAAGTCTTAGAGTCCAATAACTCGGACATAATTCGTATACTCATACTTGGGCATTCTCTGTGAAATATTAGCGTGTCGTGCGAGCAATGGAGAAAGTTCTCCTTACAAAAAAGCAGTTGAGAGATTCAGGGTCGAGATTGTTGCCCTCTTCAGATCGAGGTCTGTCCTTCTCGTACTGAGGGCCTAATTCAAGGAATTGTTTGCAAATCTCCATCATGGACGGATTTCCACCGAAAGACACCTTGATCGGCCCCGACGAGCCGTGGGTTTTCCTGGTCGGATCAACCTCATATGTTTCGGCCTATTTTACGATGAATAAGAAAGGATGAAACGATAACTAATGTCGACACCTTACTTTCTGCAACAACGGAATCAAATCCTTGGAACCCCAGCCAGGGTTGCTGTATTCAGTCTCCCAGGCGTCGAAGTCAGAAGCAGCGGGACGGTTATACAGTACAAAGTTGACCGATGCACCTAGCTGAAATCCGCTTCAGTTCCTCGAGTAAAACACGCTGTGCTTACCACCGCCGACACATCGAGCAGAGGGAACAACCAAACTCCGACCAGCCATGTGTTCACTGGCCTTGGACTCATAGAATTGCATGGTCTTGCTGTCGGGAGCCAAGTGAGTTATGTAGCGACCGGGCTGTATGTGTTCGATTTTGTCCTTGGTGGTCGGTCCCGCCTCGAGGATGAGGATCTTGAGGTTGGGATCAGCTTTCGTCAGACGTCCGGCAACCATACAGGCCGTCGTTCCCCCTACACATCGTTAGAGGCTGAGGCGAACGAACGTTGAATAAAGACACACCTCCAGCGAAAATAACATCGTAAATAGATTCGATCGTGTGTGGAGCCATGGTGCAGCGATTTGGTGGGTTGCGCTTTGAGGGTGAGATCAAATAAATCCCTTGAAAAAAGCTAGATCATGAAGCCAGGCGATGGGCCCAGGGACTATACATCGAAGGAGCGTTTATTCCAGGCCCTGAGGGCAGGAAGATGATATGTACCCGGGGGGTATCATGATACTATTGAATGTCAGTCTGATGTACATCACTGAAAAGGCGCAGGGCTGTTGAATCCATGATGACAGGAAGGCCTAGAAGTATATTCGCAATGTTGTGATTCCTGAATCGCGCCGTATAAGAATGCGTTATTACATCATGTTGATGTATCATCAACAGGCCGACATCTAGTGTTTCGACCATCTGTTGGACTGACATTTTGGCTTGATCTTGAAGTGTTGGCTGCAGTCAAGTAAAGTTCTGTGCCTTTCAAGGCCATGTCTTCCGTTAAGGTACGAAAAGAGGCGATAGAAGAGAACCACTAAACCGTTTAGATTGCTTATAGGTCATCATGATGTTGATGGGATCCACCTGGAGGTTTAGATGAGACTAGAAAAAATGCAGGCATCGGAGTAACACAGAAATGGTATTAACGAAAACGATTCGGACCGCAAGCCAAGGGAGATGAGCACATAGAAAGAACATCCTGAGCCTTTTTCGTAGGTTTCTACGAAAGACGGGAGGACAAGTCACCCTGCTTTGAACCAGATTTCAAGGTCCCGAAAGCAATAGAGTTTCCATCAAGTAAAAATCTTCGGATCTGGCTCGACTGTATCCAAGACCCAATGGCTCGTACCCGAGAATCAGCGAAGCACATTGTGCTGATCCTGGCGATCCGAGATAGGCGAAGTTTACCTACTGGAAGGGACATTACAGATTTGTCACAAACCCATACTTGTTTTGCTAATAGTTCACGAGTAAGTAAAACCAATGAGCAGAAAGAATGTGAGGTAGTACGGCATGCCTGCGGCCTGCCCTGGTGATACTTGGACTATACCTACGGGCTCAAGCCCTCTGTTTCTTAGAAGGAAGACAGGGCATCACTGCGGAATGCGTTTGAGGTCAGGCTTCTGTCAGAAACCAATTGCGCCCGCGTGCCTGAACCCATACAGTGCGGCGTTTGCATTGCACGCATCGTCCGTCTGATCATTGATGAATGTGCTTCCATCAGGCAAGGACAACAAAAAGAAACCGAAAAAGGCTAACCAATCCATGGGCGATACAAGAACAAGATGTCGGGTATCATTAGCATGAGACAAACCGGAACGCAGCGATACGGCGCATCACATTCGTTATCACCGGGCTACTCAGCGTAAGTGTATACATAACTGCGGGCTAAAATATTGAAAAAACAAACAAACAAACAGAGCGGTCAATTTTCCTACTTAACTGTACTGCACTTACGAGTTTTCTTTGGTGATCAGAGTCCAACAGAGTTCCTTCTCTGCTCCTCTCCGATCGATTAATATGATTCATACTGTATAAAATTTATTAAGAGTTAGACTTTAAATGAGATTTGCCTTTACCTCAACGAGATATAGTATCCAGACACGCCTGCAATACCGCGTCCAGTTGGGTCGCCTGACTACATCCGGCTCGCTAAAAGTCAAATATGTTCTTGATCAAATGTCCTGGTCTGCCGTATCAGTGGCCATGTCCTAGGTATTTAGAAGTTTGCAGACGGGTGCCCGTCACGAACGTAGTGATACAATTTAGCCTTGGGTGTAGGAAGCAAGAGGACAAATTCTTGGCACGTGCAGCCATGTATGCGCTTGTGTGGCCACATCGTTGACGGCCCGAATACCCGGATACTCAAGTCAGAAATGCACGACGACGGAGATTAACGACTTTAGAGAGCCCCAGATATGGTCCAACATAGACTAAAGGAGGCACCGAGAGTGCGCTGCCCTATGATTTTCAAATACCGGTTAATTTTGGAAGAATCAAGAACAGGCAGAGAGATCCGTGCGTCATCGCTGTGCCATGAAACATTACAACCTCACTGAAGCATAGTCTGCCTGTACTAGTAAAAGAAAAATCGAGGAACCTACAGAAATTACAGCACAAGACCCAGTAGTGAATCTGATGCCGCTTAGTTTTCCCCCTCGTATCCAAGGCAGGCTACATGAATTTTTTAATATCTGAGATGCACAAAAACTGTTCACCGCCGCTTAGTCCCCGGATCCGCTTCATGCGAGAATCGGATTACTAGCATTCGGGCCACGAGCTCCACGTACCCAATAATGCTGATGCTGAGAAAAAAAAAGTAAGAAAAACCAATCTTGAAGTAAAGTACATTCTTAGCTTGATGGCCGGTGACCGGTCCGATCATCCGGGACTCGCTTTCCGGCAATTCCGACGACCAGCACGAAGCTCATAACCATCCAATTTTGACACTGCGGCAGACTGGAGCGCCAAGAATTTGTTTTACAGTCTTGTTCTCTTGATCATCTTTCTACCGGTGAGGCCTGAGGTCCTGAGAGCGCCTCAAGGCGACGATTGACACGGATTTCCCAGTCAGCACCCGGTCTTACCGTCGAAGGCGTAAATCCGTAGATAGATGCGTTTCAATCTTGCTTAGAGTGGAGGTAGGGCCACAGGGAGCCAGGTATCCTCTTTATGTGGTTCTTTGTGGTACGATACGAAGCCTCATGATCCCAAGTCTCAGTTCCCGCTCATAGTACGCCTTCCTCTTGAAACATGGAGGACCAGCGTAGTAAGAAAAATCCATTCGTCTACGATTGGTCTCTGTCCCTGTGTCTGTGAATAACGCCCCACGATGGTGAGCGCCGGTGGGCAGCTCTTAGAAGTCCTGCATCCTTTCCTCCTCGGAAGTGGTTCTTGCCCAATGGTATCTCTAGTGTCTATGTCCGGATGGAAATGACGGACTGCGGTCTCTAGAATTGCCAAGACTTACTCCCACCCGTGTGGCGCGATTTTAATGTTCAGTCCCTCCCCCTGATACCTCGACGATATGTTCGATTCATGGTTTCGTCCTCGCGCTTCTGAGAGTTGGGATCTACATGAGGGCAGGCTTAAGCTCATATTCCTCCTTGCGGATTTACCGTTGCTTCCAAATGACATTGACAACCCTGACGTCTCCAAATGAAGAGCTCGAAAAGCGCTCATGTCTATCTCAATTCGCAGTGTCCTGCCCACGCTCTGCGACTTCTTTGGCCGCCGTAAGCTCTGTTGGGTAGGGTAGCAATATTGACCATGCTTGAATTTGTCGCGACAGCAATTGTGGAACGAAGCCACTACAGGACTGTCAAAGCTCTAATGCATGTTCGGATTCCGTCGATATTCTCCCGTTCATCATGATCTCAAAGAATCATGTCACGTCTGGCCTGGACTCTGAAGCTCACGAACAACAAATTGAACCTCTGCAAGCAAAACTTTTAATATCGGGGCCTGAGCGTCACGGAGACGCCCGCGTATTCCAGGGTCGCAAGCACGCCTCTCTATCGCCCAAGAGTCCTCTGGCCTCATCCTCATCACCCTTCTTTATTCGGTTTGATCTATGCAATAGTTTCTCCAGGGTGGGTCTCTACGTGCCTACCCAAGCGGACGTTGTGTTGTGGTTTGCCTCATGGCCAACGTTATTGCAAGACCTTCTCTTTTCGCTGTGGCGTTGTGTGTTCATTTCCTTGTGTTTCATACAGGCTCAGCTGAGTTGATAGTATTTACCGCTAGATTGGGTCGACTCGAACGGATCCTTGCATAACCTCGTTCACCCATGGTGTATCCAATGATGGACGGTATTACAATACTATTATAGCATGATTTACCGATTGAATTAGCCGTCTAGATTCTTTGATTAGATTGTAAGACGTCATTGTTGATTTTTTTGAGCGACCTGGTTAGTAGTTTTTAACACTGAGTCAGCGTACATCTAGTCTGCGGTCCTATGTAAGTTGTTCTCTATCCGTGACGTCATGGCTCACAGCTGCACCAGTGTCATTCGTTTATACAGAACGACTCTACCCTCAGTGGGGGCCTTGGACATAGTAAATCAGTCGTACCGTATCCCAGCTGTCTGGTTCTTGGTGGCCTAACTTGTCCTGTACACGTTTGATGTCACTCCAATTCATCATGGTCGTTCTTCCGTCATTCCGAGTTAAAACACGGTACTTCTCCGAAGTCGGCCTTGCCGGATGTCCTGGCATGAACGCAGCGGGAAACGCCTTCTATGGTCACTTGGATCCCACGATTTCACACCTTAGGATGTCAAAGCCGTCTCTCGGAGTTATTAGAACTTCTTTATCGCTCTTCGTGCATCCATACTCAATCAAGAACCTTGTGGATATTTGCGTCATAACGAAGGCGTCGATGCTCAACGGTTAAAAAAACGTTAGTAAGTACATCTCTCGCAAGAACCCACCTCGCTTAATGTTGTTCCGGTATGAAGGATCAGGGTAACAGATCGTGGTACGAATAACTGGGGAGTTTTCGGTGCGACCTCTAGAGACCAACTTAGACTACATCTGAGCCTGGACGTTCCCAGCAGGCCCTGTTTCCACACCGCTCGGTAGTAGGCTCATGATACTTCTAGTTCAGGTCCCCCAACGCTTGATCATAATAGCACGATGATATATTGGTGAAAATATACTCCACTTTACTACGCGAAACTAGTGTCATCATAACTAAGTAACCGATTACCCGACAGCATCTTGGCCGAGAAGACTACAGAACCTACAAGTATTATAGTTATACATAAAGCCGATATTATCCAAGGAATTACTAAATAAGTATGTCGTTCCGAACCTACATAACTATCTTCGTGGGGGTCTGTCCGACTTTCATTTCCCCGTCGACAAGTACGCGACGTGCCGCCTTCCCGTCTCGGTTCTTATAGAAGACTATCTCGCCTTCATCTTCGATGAAGCAGCACTGTGTGAATGTGCGATATAACGCCCGGAAGGTATTCTGATCCGAAAGGATGAGTAAAAAGAGTGGTAAAAAAACCCACTTGAGCCGTACCGTTGAATCATAATTATAGTTTTCGCCAAGAAGAACTCGGATACGCTTCGTGACCTCGGGTTGATTATAGAACGGAATGTAAGAGAAGAGGTGATGGGCAACCTAGATAGAGTCAGTGAGAAAAAAAATGAAACACGGGAGGATAGTGAGCTCACATGATCGTGGCTAACGTTATGGAAGAAAACTCTGCCAACCCATCCCAGAAGGGGTCTGTCAACAGTAGATGCCGCACCACGGACATAACTCCATGCCGCAGAACGATAGTATGGTATCGTCGGGTCGGAATGATGGAGGTACGTCAACATAACGATCCAGTGATTGGCAAGCTAAGAGAACACGATCAGACGATCCAAGGTTAAACGACAAAAGTCATGACGGACCAGATATGGTACTGCGTATACTTTGACAAACTGCGAAAACCCTATCTCGCGAGCCCATAGAGTAAGAAGAAGAATAGTAACGCAGAGGCCAACATTAGAAGCAATGATTTTTCGCCGGTGCCGGGGCTTGAAAAGAGGCGAAGAGGGACTGAAATGCTGGATTATCGAGACATGAGAAAGGAAGATATCGGATAACAGCGATTAGAACTCACATTCGTTCCCTTGGGATAACTCGGATTTCCCATCTCATTGGTGAACAGGTAAATTTGCCATCCAATGAGTTGCATGATCAACATCCTCGAAAGGACATAGATTGGAGCATCTTCGAAAACTTCGTGAGGGTCAAGGCCGGATTTCCGTTCGCCATCAACCAAAAGACCGGGCGCTCCACTACGATCGTCCTGGGATTGGGGCCAGAGTCCGTACTCGCTCCTGGACTTCGGAACATAATTTTCGTCCCTCTCCACACTCATGGGCGCCCTATGGTGACTCCGATGGCTCTCCCTCCACGCATAATACGGCGCAAGAATTGCAGTATGCAATGTAAAGCCCACGGCATGGTTGACCCAAGAGTACTCGGAGATCGTCCCATGACCAGCTTCGTGTGCGAGGCACCACCAACCAGCAAGAACTATACCTTGGCACCACCAGTAGGCAACCCAAAGTGGAAACCTCAACACGGCGGGGGCGAATGGAATAAACGAAGAAAGACGGTAAAGGATCCAAGCGCAGGCAACGTCACGGGCAACGTAGGAAAGACCCCTCGCGGTGGACTTTTTGAAAACGTGGGGGGGAAGGGCAGCATGGAGTTCAGCAAGGGTAATGTTAGGTGGTACGAAGGGAGCATTGACGCGGCGAGCATATTCCGGCCCATCGATAAGAAAGGTGGACAACATGACGAGTTTCTAGCTGATGCCCAGGGGGGGAAAGGAAAGGACCCGGTTTGCGAGAGAAAAGAAAGCGCATTCTGAGTTGTATTTATTCATGAGATGTCAAATAGATTTGGCAGAAGCAAAGATTGGCATCAATTACACAAGTGCTCAGTATAGCAGACCGAACGTCGCGGAGTACCCCGGACACCTCCGCGGCACTTTTCTTTGATCTCAACAGATGAAATCCGGCGTCATTTGTTTCCGCCTCGTGTCCTCCTTCTGTGGTAATTCAGGGCCGCCACGTTTGCCTACTTTTACGAATCAACCATCATACCATTGGAAACCGGAATCACTCGTGGGTCGATTTTTTTTTCAGTCGTCCCCTGACCCTGCTCTCATGCTCGGTGGTTTTTTTTTTGCTAAGTACAATTTCAATTCAGCACCGTAGTGTTTTCTCATTATTTTTCTAAATTTTCTGCTGGCGGGAGTATGATAGTCCCCAGAACCTTTTGGTCGCATGATCATCGGTGGCGCGCGATCCAGCTTCCTCTTCACTCATCGGTACCCGTGTAAGTATATCACCCTCGAATCTCCTGTGTAACGATGCAAGCCTGACACTTGGCAGTCTGGCCTCCGCCAGCCCGTCAGGTCCGACCATCTCCCTGACAACGATCTCAAGTAACCTACAAGCCACCTACCGTCGCGAATACGCGATAGTGAGTGGGAAGTCGCGTCCGGGATCCGCACCACGATAATGCACAAGAGAAAAGTGCACGGTTCTTCCGTTTCTGTTCTATTCGCTACAACACGACTCTGCTTAATGTCATTTTTTCATTGATGGACATTGCTACGCCATTGGGTATCCTCGAGTTTGCCTTTAATCGGGCGTGCACGGATGAGGCAACGTCAACGGATCACTCGCACGACCACTTTTCGGAGTTCGCTATATCTTGTACTTCAGGACGCGCCCCGATGAAAGCTATCTCACCTTTCGAGCGGCACACCCTAGTCGTTGATCCAAACTTTCGACAGATCATGCCCATTAATATTGCACTCTCGAATTGAAGTCGATGACGCATAATTAACACATTAACACTCGGCTTCGGGCTCGGTAAGGTACCAATTGTAACTGGAAGTCCAACAATCAACTACGCAACCACCGATCGGAACACGATCTCAAGAAGAAAATGCAGGAAAGAAGGAGGGGTGAAGATCAGGAACAACCCAAAGTACGTGTTGAACATGGAGAGATTCATGTTTTCACGTGACCGCGCCTTGGTGCGTCGGACTGTCCAGAACTTCAGGGTACTAGCATTTATCCTTCTCAGTGCATATTCCATCCTCAGACGCGTCCTGTATACAAGACCTCATGGGTGATGATGATTGTGGAAATGAATGACATCGAAGGAATGAAAATAGTAGACAACAGCCCAGTGCATAAGGTACTGTGACCGGATGGATGCTAGGAGCGGCCTTGTATGCCCAAATGGTCCCAAGCCGTCAAAAGAGTGGCATCCAGATATGAACGCAATACACATGTCCAATGCTAAGCATAAGTGACATAGAAATGCATCACATGTGTGTTCCATGCGGTTCGGAGGACGCCTATCCAATGCCCATTGGGAGGTACTATCAGCCTCACAGATGGCATGCGCAGGCACATAAATCAACCCCAGCTTCACACGCGCACAACTGTTTCAATGTCTGGCGGGCTCTGTGCGAATGTATTCGCACAAAAATCTATCGAAATCATGATCAGTGCCGTGGCACCGTTGATGGAAAAAAGGATACTCCATTGTGCCTGCACATTGAGCCTGCGATGAAATATACCAGCGGGATTATCAAAGGACTCTATAATGAAAGAAGCTCAATAATCGAAACATGATGGTGGACTTGGACAGTCTCGTAAACTTGACTCAAACGATCCGATAAATTGACGGTCAACTTGGTGCACTGCCACGCCACAGCCTCAGGTGCTTAGTCATTAAAAATGCGTCAACTTTTTCACACCCGGACGATGCGACTTTCCAGAGTCCAGACAACTTGGGCTTGCTCGAGCCCTCCCCCATCGCTCCCATTGCAACCCAATGTATCTTTAAAAGCCACTCTTTAGTCTCATGATGTTCCATCACGGTATTTGTCCTTTTTTTGGCATCAGGAGCTGTCATGATTGCATAAACAATTAGTAAAGCCGTATTCAGTATGGGCGCTAGAAGGACCACACCTATCAGGCGGGTCTGCTCAATATAGGAAAACAAATGTTATACTGTGGTAACGTCAACTGGTTTGATCATCAAATCGCTTGGAGTGCTCTTGCAGCAACTTAAAGTATAATAATTAGAGCCCACGCGTGCCGAATATAGATCTCGGGAGAATCTAAAGTCATTTTCTGATGAATGTTAACATTTGCACAAAATCAGTGCGTGTAATGTGCCAAAGCCTCCGAGAGTTCTATACAGTATGATTCAGCACTTTGTTCCAATCGTGTGTCTAATAATATCAGCAGTTTGACGCCGCTTCAGCGCTGCCGCGCCATCACAGTGGTTTACCATGAAGCTTACGATTCGGAGGTTCATGATAGCCTACCTGCATTGAACCGAATCGCCGCAGAGATCCACACAAAAAGGCAATTTGCAGCTGCGCTCCCAGAGGCCTGGATCTTCTGCTACCACAGCAAACTGGAGACCGCTTTGAAATTTGCTATGAGCCTCACGTGGCAAACTCAACGTGTAACTCCACATAGCAAGTTAATTAAATGCTGGATGTTCCCTCTAAGAAGTGGAAGATATGCGCGAGAGTATTCCGATTTCCTCGTTAAAGCTCGTCGCATTCTTCCTTTTACTTTGCCAATGTGAAATTTCTCCTTTTTCAGTTGGCGTTAGGCCCTGATGATCTCGTCTCACTGACCTTCAGCACCTGATTGCTGGTCGTATCTCTGAATCTCTCATGATCATCGATCGTTGTCCAAGACTCATAATCAAGTCTGAATTCTTGTAGGTACACTATTACCCGAGCTCAAAACTGTTAGGTGGTACAGTGATTCACACAAGGGCTACGACAACTAGCGTTTGGGACTCCTATGTTAGCCGTCTTCTCAGGAAGATTGGCACAAAGCCTAACTCGCTCTGTACGCCTTCCCGTTATTGCAGCTAGATATCTATTCTTGCAACGCTTCTGTCGTGTGACTTTCGTTCGGCTCGTAGATTGCTCTCTTTATCAGACCTACTGGATCAAATACGGGAACTTAATTACTGACCTTGAACATACTTGGGACTAATTCAAGTTTATACATCCGCAAGGTCGTCTCTGTTACCAACTCATGGATATATATTTAGGCCTAGTGTGAAGCCCGCGAAAGTAGTGCAAGGAAGTCTGTCCATACTATAGATTTCGGGAGCATTTACATTTATTAGGTGCCAATATTATCTCTCGTCCCATTTAATCTACGCCGCTGGAGCTCAAGCTCCACGCAGCAGCCCATCCACTCTACGCTTATTCCGTTACAGGGCTCATCAATGATTCCCGATTAGACGGTTACGATGGTTATCGGGTTGCGGCAGTAAGTTAGACCTCTGCCACTGCTTTCTCGATGTTTGGCACTCCAGTCGTACAAGCTTTTTAGTGATCCCCGCTTCCCGCCATATTGGGAGATCATCGTTTATTGAATCCCATCTGGCAGACGGGGACCAGATGCCATTTTACGCTTGATTTGCTTCCGCTGTGACAGAGAGGATTCGAGGGTGGGAATGTGGATTCTATGCTGGTTTGGCAGGTGCGAATCTTCAGATAGACGTGCTCGAAACTTGACTTAGTAGTCTAAACTTCGCCAGTAATGGTACTACTTAATGGTACTTGGAGCTAGCTTAGTGCATACTCGGGCAATCTGGACCCATAGATGACCTGTTCCGCTTTGACGTTACATCGTCGAGAAATGACTGCTTATGTTTGACGACGAGCGCCACCAGTATGTACCCCGGGTAAGCGTAACGTTGGGACTTTACAGAAGGCAAGTCAAGATTGATGAGATGAGTGATTCCACGCGATGTCAGTGGCAAAACGCCGCCAGCGAGGAATGTGTGCACTTACCACTAGGTCGCAATGCATTATGTAGAGTAAATCAGCCAGGAGGCATGTGTTGGTCAAAAATTAAAAGCTTCCGAAATGAGCATTGCATCATGGCATTTCTTCGAGAATGACGCAAAACGCGCGTTTGTTTCGTCTAGACATTATATAACTATGTAATGTATCCAAGAAAAAGCATGAATATGTAAAGTAGAATCCAAATACTAAGTTGTTCCCTCCAAGCCGTTCATCTTACTCCTCGTCCAAGGCCCTAACGACCGCATTCCCCTTCTTGTCCCGGTAGAACAGAACATCACCTACATCAAATTAGTACTGGTCAATCGTTGACTCGCATTCAGCTGACCTTCATCCTCCACAAATTGACACTTATTGTAGCTATTCCAAAGCGCCTCCCAGATCGGTTCATCTGACCAGCAATAGTGCTCGCCTAAAAATGCTTTGAGATGTTGAGTCGCCGCAGCGGTATGGTAGTAGGGCATTTTCGGAAAGAACTGAAAGCTTCTGAGCATCCAAATGAACACTTAATGATAGGAGGACGTACGTGATGCACAACATGATAATGTGCCACATCATGTAAGAACCATCGACCCATCCAGCCGAGGAATGGTCTGTCGACAGTGGCTGCCGCACCGCGCGCAAAGGTCCACTGCGCAGCACGATAGTGCGGGAGGACGGGATCAGTATGGTGCAAGTATGTTATCATGATGACTAGGAAACTATGAGATAGGTCAAGCGGAAAAACGTGGAGGAAACAAGACGTACACCAGTGGGTGACTTCGAGCCAAGGAATTCCGTATAACGCCACGACGTTCCACCATCCCCACCACCTAACGGCAGCGCAGACAGCGACGATCATGCTCCCAATGCCGATGTTTGATAGAATAACTGCATTGCGCTGTTCGGGTGTGAACAGGATAGAGGACGGTAAAAAATGGTTTGTATACGCGGGATAGTCTGGCTGCCCAGATACGTTTGTCACTAAGTAAGAAGTGAGATGATAGTCAGAAACTTAGCCTCGGGAAACGTACGGAGATAAGCTGGAAACGCAAGTACTTGCTGCCGGATGAGCATCATCAAAGTCCAAATGGGCGTATCACCAAAGTAATCATCCCAATCTATACCGTGTTCCTTCTCCTGCTCCTTCGACGGTATCCCAAGAACTGACCGTGTCTTCGGAACGTAGACCTCATCGCGCTCCATACTGGCATGGTTCATATGGTGCCTATGATGGCTAATCTTCCAACTGAAATAAGGCGTCCATAGCAACGTGTGTAGCGTATATCCCAGCAGGTCGTTAAGCCACGGGTACAGACTAAACGCGCCATGGCCACATTCGTGACCAATAACCCATAATCCGGTTAGAACAAGGCCCTGGAACCACCAGTACCCGAGCCAAGCAGCGGCGCGTATAAGGGGGGAATATATATCGAGCGGTGCCGGTAAGTGGAGAGAAGGTATGTGCAGTGCGAGATAGAAGAAAAAAGCAGCGGTGATGAGGTCGCGTGCGAGAGTTAGTAGCGCACGTGAAGTTGAGAAGACGAAGAACTCGGGGGGAATGGCTGCTCGAATTTCGGAGATGGAGTAGGGAAAGGGGCTGAAAACCGGGAGTTTCTTTCCTTCTGGCTCACAGCGCTTAGCCTGAAGGCTCGTAGGAGAAAAACTGATAAACGAAGGGGCCATCTGGATCTGGGAGAGCTGTATCCATGTTTCGCTCTGAAGTACTCTTTTTATTCGGTGAGGGATGTTGATAGATCATAGATGCATGTTTTTCGACAAGACAAATCGGTCCTTGAATATCTGAAATTCAGCGTAATGAACGAACAAGGTGATCGGGGTCCTGCAAAGTTGATGGACCCTTATTTCCACGTGTATGCTTCCCATTATCTTATCTCCGAATTTTTTAAAGTGGTCTTCCTCCGTCCCGAATACAGTCTTCCTGAAGCCCTGACTGGGTCCGGTTTCCGTGCCATCATAAGTCACGATGCGAAAAACCAACGGAAAGTGTCAGGCATCGTCGACTTCGATCCCTTAAATTTCGTGTGGCTCAACACTTAATACCATCGAGTAAGTAAGTACTTGTGCTGTGGTACGTATGTCATCCAGCCATTTCACCAGCCTACCGTCCGGGACGTCGGAAAGGATCCGAAGTCCATTCGATATGCCCGGCATTCGAACAGCACCCTGGCTATATTTTATTTGAGTCCCTTTTACAAGTCACCTTCATCCCCAAAAATCAACGGGTTCCAATTGGAAGCTCAAGCAGGCTATTCCGTTCGGAAGCCTATGCTCAAGAAAAGGCAAATCGAAGACGGGACTCGAATCTTCCCAGCTCCGGTTCATCCTTACTACTACCCTTTTGATCTCCGAACTTGAGGTCCAAAATGTGCGAAGCTTGATGGCAACCTAGGCTCTGACTTCATTTCAGTTCAGACAAGTGCTGTCGACACCTTCAATCCCTTCGTTGACGGCGTTGTTTACAGTTAAGCAAATTACAGAATACAAATTTGCGTATCACATACAATGTCCAGGTGAAGTACATCGAACATATCACCCCCGATGTTCCTCCGAAAAAAGCCTATAAATCTACCTCAAACCCGGTAACTTGTGGGAGATAAGCCAAACCAGCCAAATCAAGAATATGCACGTCACAAAAGCCAGTCTCGGAGTCGTGTCCTCCAAAGACAAATAGCCGGCTTTCATCAAGAACAGCTGCATGATATCCCCGCTGACTTGGCGGAGTTCCACACACCAGTCGTTTCTCATACCGCATTTCGTCTAAAAATACAAATGACTTTTGTGTAGCGTTGGAAGTGATAAATGAAACACACGTAGATTGAAAGTGAGCAATTCGGAGGTGTGGTCGTTCCCGTCATGGCCGCCTTGTATGAAAAGATAGGATCCAACCAGCGTGGACGTGTGTGCGAAACGGACATGTAGATTCCTCTTCAAAATGTCGGCGGCATGCCATTTCAGATTTACTAAAAACGACACTCATGGATACCGAACGATCCTCGGACGCAGAAAAACCACGTACCAAAGCTAAAGAACCATATATCCCACAAACAAGTCCTCGACTGGGACTTCCCGCCAATAATAATCATATACTTCCCCGCCAAGTTAGCGGTATGATAACCCCTCGCACAGGGTTCTTCTTTTTCTTGGGAGCTATCTGTTGTTATCAGTTCCCATCGCATGCTATTCATGTCCGATACGTCCAGGGTCCATAGATCGTCAAGTGCACCAACTCCGGTTCCTCCGCCAAATATCCAAATCTTCTGATCGTACAACACAGCGGAATGAGCCCGTCGTGGGGAGGGTTCACGACCCGTGACAATTGGACGCGACCACTCACGTAGCGTCGTGTCAAAGACATACACATAATTGAAACACGTTTCGTCGTTACCACCCCCAAATATGACGAGCTTTCGACCGACCGGAGTGGCGGTATGCCCGCCCAGAGGCGGAGGAGGGTTACCAGTTGTATTGGGTCGTGACCAGTGCATTGCATCTACAGAAGGTCAGATCGACTGAACCGACAAGGCACAAGTATGGCAGTGAACGTCATACCGGTATCGAAACAGTATATATCGCTTGTTCCAGCACCCATATAGTAGCCACCAAAAACCCATGCAACATTATCTAACAGGGTCACAGAAGGCCTTCGCATCTTCGGAGGGAGCGTTCCGTATACTGGGGCGCGGCTCCAGTGCATGACCGCACTCGGAGCATCCTTTGCATCTTTGTCGTGGGATAAGAGAGGAGAATTCTGCATTTTCGGATAAGAGCCACTCCAAGGTTTGGTCCTGTTCTTACTAGCGACCCCTTCCTCTGGCTCCGCAGAAGATACAGCAGACACCGTCAGTGATGAATGTATCGGTTCCGACGAACCAGACGAAACACGAGCTACAGATGTTGATGGGCTAGGAGATAGCCCTCGCGAACTTCCGAAGTGACTGGAGGATTTGTTTTTCAAACGTGAGGGGCGTATTGCCAGCCTTGAGGAACCAGGGTAGGACCGAGATGGTAAGTCGGATGATGTTTGTTCAGGTACGACATAGAGATGGCGGGAAAGCATCTTGGGCCGTGAGTAAAAGAACTTGATGAGGCCTTCGACGGATAATCATCCTGAAAGAAGTCTTGCAGCGACACGCGTACCCACCTGCGCACGTGCCCAACCCTAGTTTTCCATTTACTGCCTTCTATTTCAATTGTCCGAATTCGACATAGTCGGCTATTACTCAGTACTTGATACAGCTACTACTTCGAACCATCAGATCAGCTTGGTCTTGTTCGGTTACCGGCAGGAATCGTGTTCGACCGTCCCCAGTCGTCCACCTGGAAGCCTAGGTTTCATCCTTGAATATCAAACTGGTGATAGAAGAGAGGAGAAAAAACATCCCACGAAAGGGCGGATAAGCCGAAGATCCGAAGAACGAGGGCGTCTCAGCGCTGTACAGACTTGCCGGGATCACAGTGCTCGATGACAGATTCCCCCATTGAGTATCTCCTGCAAGGTAATTGGCTCCGGTGAAGTGCGATTCTCCAACAGAGATCATTTTGTCGTAAATAACGTTACCGACAGCTGTCTGTTTTTGCGTCTCGTTGTTTGCGGAGAATATGCAATTTTGCACTTTGTTGCGAAGTCAGACGTTCCCAGGACCCGTGGCGTGGAGATCAACTGCATTCAATTTACTCTTGGTGGCCGGAGAGTGAGGTGATGAATGGTTTACCTTGATCAGCGTTATCATGCCTACGCCGTTCTTGAGCACGCGTACATTTTGTTCAAGACCCAAATTACGTACGAATTGTCTGCACAGTCCTCGTAGAAAGTATTTCCCTGGGACGCGTTAGAGTAGAGCCTTCCGAGTAATCTGGACAAGCGGACTAACCTCGATCAAATTGAAGTATGCATCTGAACACAGCACGGCATGTCAGCGGATATTCGGGACGATATAAAATTAGAACAAACACGAGGCATGGAATGCCATGTCGTTGTAGGACTGCCAAGGCTCCTCTGAAATTAATGAGGACGGGTATCAAATGGACGGGCAACCATAGATTACCGATGGCATTGTAAGAGATGACATTATGGTTCGCTCCTTGTTGCAAAAGTATGTGGTGGCGTAGATCCCAGGTCTGACGGTAAAAAAAACCTGAAGAATGTCCAAATATTGTAAAAAATTTGTTCCGACCTTGTTGTCCGTTACACGGACGCCTGTAGACAGGTGGACATTGAACCCATAGCCATATCCACCTTTATTGATGTAGAAACCATGAGCATAGTTACGCTCAACGACCATACCGAGGACGAGCGCAATATCGGCGTGACTACGTCCGCTGTTGATGGAGTGATTGTCGGTGTCGAAGACGTTTGACGCCATTCTAAAAGCGACATTGCTCACATCCTGCGCCGCCGGTTCATTGACGCGCTCAATGCGGACTCCTTCGACTATGAAAACCATTTGTCAGAATGAATGACTCTGCAGAGGGACAGTGAGTACTGTGCAGACCTCCAACGTTGAACAAAGCATCTATCGGCCTAATGTATGGCTCCTTCTTTTCTGAATACGTCAAATCAACCGGGAAATCAAAGGTCAGCCTATTCCCCGAAACAGACTTCACGAGCAATAATTGCGATTCGATGAAAGTACCCCACGCCTGACGCCCTGCGTTGAGATAGAGCTGCACCATCTGACCAACCTCAATGTCACTAGCGTCGCTGACATTGACAGAGGTAGCGCCTGGAGAAACAGAACCATCCACTGGCCTTCCTTCTGCAGTCCAACTTCCATCGAAACGGATTTCGGCATTAGCACTTCCATTGGCGGTGATAAGGAACGTTGTTTTTGAAAGACCGGCGCCCTAAAGCATCGACTACGAGTTACTAAAAACATGTAAGAGTTATGGAAGCCCTACACGAAGGATAACATCGGAAGATCGCTGATGAAGAAGTGAGATTGGGTGCGATTGGTCGGAAACATAAGACGTACAATTTTCAGCGTACTGTTGAAATAATAGGTTCCTGCCGGGAAGACTAACACGCGCCTTGATGAAGTAGATACGGTATCTAAAATGTCCGCGATAGCTACAGAAGCGTCGATGCTGTCGTAATCCACAGGCAGACTGTTTTTTGTGACATCAATTTCGACTGCAGGAGGTATTAAATAAATTATCAGTTCGCTGCTTATCTGAGCACGGACTTACCCCAATCCGAAGGGTCTGACCAAGTCGTGTCTGGAAAGCCACCGGGAGGTACGTAGTCCGCTTTTGAATGTGAACGGGAGAATCACATGAATTGGTAGTGGTGGATACGCACAAGTAGTAGGAATATTGCCATAATCATCGATAGCTCGGGTCCTGATTTTTGCGTGCTTGATAGTGGAAGCGGCAGCCGTAGCGAGAAGGGATACCAAGCAGACTAAACGCATTGCTGCAGCTGGTTTTGGAGTATTTATGATCCTGAAAGGCTTTTTTAAGTGAAAGACGAGCAGACGAGCTATAGATCAAACGCTAAACCTAGAGCCTTGCGCGGGGCTGGACCTTTTGAAGGTGAAGCAGATGGCACTTAATGAATGGCACGCCACTTTTTGGTAAAGCTACCAAGGATTTTGCCTAGCGGCATATTCATGCAGTAAGTCAGCTCGCTTTAGAATGACTCGTCCGCAAAACAGGTCTGGTGCTGGTATCCCTGGGCTCGCACCAGCGGTCCAGGTTGAGCGTGCTCCTCGTGGCCAGATTTCAAAGGCTGCCAACTTGAAACCGGAGTAGAGACTACAGGTACACTGTAGCCATGCCACCGACTGATGGTTGAAAAGCTGGAGCCCCAAATGGATCACCAAGCCTGGGGGAATTCAGTGAGTCATCAATAGCATAACGAAGTAGTCTTTCACGAGGCTTTAAAAGCAAGGAAAATATAACAAGATTGAATAGTACCACAGTTCCTTAAAGATGAAGGGCTGCAATATTAACAAAGCTGCTGAAGCAATGGATGTGAAATCCTTGGCAGTGAGGTCAAAGCGCAAAATTTGATGCTTAGGTAAGATCGCAGACCTGTTTTGGAAACTGCATTTCCAGACCCGAACGACTTTAAGCTAGGCCACAATTTGGACAGCGAATTCCGCAGTTATGTGCTACTGGTTTCAAGTCAGAAAGTTGTAGTAGCATTGGTAGGCTCCACTTCTATCTTTTTAGTTGCTACTGTCAATGATGGACCTTAATTCGCAGCGTCATCACGTCAAGATGCTTATCTATGAGATGTCTGTAAGCCTAGACGGGAGAACACCAATAGAATCCATCGATAAATCTTCGTTAGCAATAGCAGTGGTAATAAAGAGGTGCATTGACCCGAGGGCGAAAATTATCCTATTCGCTAAGATGCAACTCAACAATACAATGTACACGAGGACTATAGAGACGTGACGATTAGTGCGAAAGGGTCTAACGGGGCCCAGAACGTCGCTTTTTGCAATTTTCAAACGCCAAGAAGGAGCACAACTCCGACCAGCAGCACCCCAGTCATGCTGACACCGCCGGCTCCCATTGTCGAATCGTCCGCAGGTTCAATCGTCGTCGTGACCAGAGGCCCGTCCGTACAATTAAATCCAAGCGTATCCTGCTCTCCCTCGGCCAGCGTGGCGGGGTCGCATATGACGGTAGTTTCCTTTGATGTGTCGTTCGGGGTGACATTAATCCCCGAGAAGCTGAGGTTCAGTGCTAATCATGAGGTGATGGTAAGAACAAGGACATGACAAAGAATTTTCGAGTGACTTGCTTACCTGTATCCGGGAAGAGATCGAATATGATAGCTTGTGTTGCGTCGCCACCTTCGACGTAATTCCAGCATGGATCACTTATGCAGGTGCCATCAGCTATGACAGGATCCTCAGCCGCAGGAGATAACTTGAAATATTATTAGACACGTACTCCAATTTTTAGCCAACGTGCCCGTAAAATTTTTGTAAGTGAAGTTTGAGATCTGCGTACTCGTTTGGTTGGTATTCTCCGGCCGCGCGCCCTTATCTTGGTCGTAATAGCTATACATGACACTATCAGGGGGCGACGGAGAAGAAGGATGTCTTCCTCACTTCTGTGTGATCAAGATACCCGTTGAAACACCTTGGAGGGCAATGTCTTCCCATGTCACGTTCGTTGCGTATCCTCGGCCACCAGTCCAACTTTTGAACTACGAGATGGCAGTCAGTGATGATGTTATCATCAAGGAATCTGATGGACTAACGCGAGCACCGTACACCGCCCCCTCCATTGTCCAATTCCTGAATACGACGTTTTCTACAGTCTGTACGGCGCCATTTTTGCCTAGTGAGCCAATAGATAATCCGTGGGACGAAAATCCGCAGAATCCATTTTGTGCAAGGACATCTCTCGCGCCATTAACGACCGAGACACAATCGTCGCCATTATGTCCGTAATAGCTGTCGAGTGAAAAGGCGGAGTTAATGGCTTAGTATCTAAGATAAAAGAGTCTTTCGCATACCCATCAATGGTTATATTCTGACCTGAAACATTAATACCGTCTCTGGATAAGCCGGTTCCATGTGCACTTTAGTATCGCTAGTGAGATACTAGCGAGATCACCCACGTGTTGAAAGGAAAGCTCTGCAAAAAGTATTGAGAAACGCAGTAACGACGCGAGAACCCTCGAGACCTACAGTGGTATCGTCTCTAGTACCGTTATCTGGCTTGGCATCCACAAAGTGATTCTCAACACGTATATTTTGACCAGGGAGATTCCAACCCCAAGCTACGGGCTTGATGACCTTGAGACCGCGTAAAAGCCCATTGGTAACATTGAACGTCGCTAGCTGAGGTCGGAGTGTCTGTTAGAACGCATCAGAAACACCTTGGTATCGAGAGAAATTTGGCCATACACGGTTTCCGATATCCCACCACTGTTGTCCAAAACCATTGAATCTTCCCCATTCGTCGCTCTCGGATCCGATAAGTTGTACATCTGACCCACTGAAATAGAACCATGGCGTCGCATAAGTCTGGGCGATGGTACGGTGTTAGCGGCGAATTTTGATAAAGCCGCGTGCGTACACTCGGTGGGTTATTCGTGGTGTTGATGGCTTGTTGGACTTGGGAGATATTATTGGGGAGATTGAGGTTTCCGTTCAGGTGCACCGTAACGTTTCCTTGCCAAGATAGTCAGAAATAAATGTTGGGGGAAAGAACTATTACTGTGATACGCACTCAAGTCCGTAAAAGACATTGGGGTATACGCGCTGTAATTAGCTTCGGTGAAGGTTATCACCGAATCCTCTGCGCAGTCCGCAAATGCTTTCAAGATAAACGCCGAGTCATCCATGCCATTATCGCTACGTTCGACCGTGCATTCTGCGGCCCGGCTGCTGGATATGATAAGTGCCGCGACGACTCCAGCGAAGACGAACATGGTGATTGTTTCTCAACATATGCCATGAATGATATCTTTTATACCCCTCAACGACAGGACCAGAGATTCTCCGCGATGGCTGCTGGGACAAGCAGACAGAGCATACAGAGAACATCACCTGAGAAACGAGAGAGCGGCCCGGAGGACACCTTCGTCGGGATTTGAGGGAGGAAAAGAATCATGAGACCGTACAGCCAGGAACATAAGAAGTCCGCACGAGTAACCGCGCCATTATATTGAGCTAACGAAGGGAGATGTGGAGGTAACCCTGACCAAGTATCATCGAAGAAACGCCTGTTGAAGATCATGTGAAGATGGAACGGCAAAGCACCTTTGTTTCATGGCGGCCGGCGAGTAATCCAAAGAAATACCGGTAATTGAAAGACCACCATCCAAGCCAAATCTTAATGATAGACCGTCGACGCTTGGCGAGCGCTAGCCAGACGAAGTCAGATCCAAACTTAGATGCAGTGATGTTGCCGTTGCCGTTGCCCTCGATACGCATTGTAGGGTGCCATTGTAAGGATTCGATCGAATATTCGTGACTCATAACGTCGTTGATATCGAAGTACCGGCCCCGAAGGAAAGTCGCCTATTGTTTGACTTAGACGATTTGGCCACACAGCGCTCGGCAACTTGGCAATCAACCGCGCCACAAACGCGTGGACCGTCAGTGGACTCAGGGTGGGCCAGCGCATCTCGTCTTTCCCTCCCACCACCACCAAGCGTTATTGTTTTTGGTTGCTCAGACGAGTCATAGCGTGTGAGCACATATAAGAGCCACATATTTCTTTTATTGTGTCCATCATCAACCTCCATTACAAGAGCTCCCCAAGATTCAAGTTTCAACCCCGTTGCCACTGCAGTTTTCATTCTAGTAGGTCCTCAGCTGGGAGTCGAGAAGTCTTCGATCAACATCTCTGAAGTTCAGAATGCCTAAGAGCAGCCCCATCACGCAAAGTCAGAGCGCTAGGCCCAGTCCATACAGCAGGCCGAAAGATGCCACACCGTCTGAACCGCCGAAGACCAAAGGCTGGACGGGACCTTGCAAAGATCTGTACAAAGCGCTTTCTCAAGAATCTCCACAGGCAAGAAAGTTAGCCCGCCGATGTGAGAAGTTGAGGAAGAGATGCTGTCGTATTGTTGGCCCTGTAGACGACAATTATAAGCCCGTCATCGACCCCCAGCCTTTCTTCCTTGAGCAGCATCTAACGTCTCGAACAATTGGGGTCCTAGTCCAGAAGTCGGAAGAGAACCCCAGTAAGACGCTCCTCCTCACATCGGTCACCCACAGGGATTGGCTCGAGGTGCGCGATACCTGCCCGTCCGCCAATTTGCTGTTCGGGCCACGACCTAGACAATGGCCTGTTCACGACATCAAGTCTGCTGAGTTCCATGATTGCGAGATAGACGCCGTTCTCGCGCATCTGACGTGTCCTCAAATACACCGTGCAGTGATATCGGGGAACTGTGACTCATCGAGTGACATTGAATCTGTGTCAGCCACGAGCAGTATCCGTGCCTTGAAACTTTCTTCGTGTACGGATATCCCGACACTGCTGCGGCTCCTGGAAATGCCATTCTTGCGTCATCTGGCGCTTGAAGTCAACGTGGCGAGCTACGGGATTTCGGAAATCCAAAGCCGAGTGACTGAATTCAATCGGCTGCCTTCTCTGGCGAGCCACCGACTTCATTCGCTCGTCCTGAGCAAGATGCCTTTCGACGATCTGACATTGATGCGGGTGCTCACAGAGCTGCCTACACTCACCCGGCTTGTTGTACATGAAGCATCGGATAAGCTCGACGGTTACGATGGGTATATGCTGTCACGTAGTGTCTTGCGAGACCTGACGCGTGTGCCCCGACTAACTGATTACAGCCGTAGATATCCTATGCTGCCGAGGCTCAAGGACCTCGAACTAGTATGGTCGAGTGGGTATCATTGGAGAGATGGTGAGGGACCAGAGGGTCCGCACACAGAGTCGATGTATCTAGTCCAGAACATGATTGCGTATGAGGGGTTTGTTACGGAGATGATTGAGTCTCGTTGTTTCCGGCCAGAAGGTGACAAGGGTCGTCAGCTGCAACGTTTGGAATCTGTCGCAGTCGGGTGTCGGCAGCTCTTTGGAACTGACAAGATGGACGTCATAACAGCGCCGACTCGTGAATACCTGGATGCCTTACCAGCAAGGTGCCGGAAGAATGATCAAGAATACGAGATTTCGGTGACGATTATCGTGCCAACCTAGTGTGAACCTTGCATATTTTCCCTCGTTTTCTCATATCGGACCGTGTATGGAACACAATAGGACACTCTAGCGTATCATCAGTCACCTGTGTAGTATTTAGTAGGCATCAATGAAATAGGTACCTTTCAGCAAAGTGAACGCAGACAAGCTAAAAGCTGTTGCGCCTCGTAGACTGTTCCTTGTCCTGAAACACCCCAAATGAGTGCAAGGAGAATATCTGTCTCGTCAGCATCTTAGCTTCGTCCATTATTAGACAAGAAACGCACTGCCTGAGGTCCAGAATTGCAGGTTCGTGAGGCGATGGCGCTGTTGGGGTACTTAAGACAAAAAACGGCAGTTAGCCTGTTGGTACGGGCGTGCATCTCGTTCAAAGTGAAGATAGATATAACATGTCGCTGGCCACCAAGATTCTGCTGAAAATATCAGAGTCATGGCGACGACAAAGGATTGGGCGAATTCGATGCTGGCTGTTCTGAGAAGAGGCGCGTCAAGCTGAGACAAACATATTGCGCGTCTTTCCTCTTCCTCCCACCACTACATTGCTGAATTTCCCTTCCCAGCTTTGCTGAAATCTGGCTACGTTTATAACCTTCACCTACACGATGTACTTGCGACAATTAGAGCAGAGAAGCAATGGTGCCGCTCCTTGTGAGTAGGGTTCTCTGCCTTCAAACCACTCCTAATGATTTTTAGAGGTATCTTGCGCACCGTCATCCATACAATGGACTAATATGAGGACAAAGGAGGAAATTTGTGCGTCTATTGACTAGCTATGTTTTTAATGTTAAAGTAACTGAACACCGTAGGACTTCCGGTCTACAGACAGGCAGTTTCTCGTTTCAAGGACACCTTCTGGAATACTTAGACATCTGTTGTCTCTTACCATTGCTGACCCTTACTCAGATCAATTCTTGGCAGGTAGATTTGTACAATTCTTTTGCATTACACCGTTCTCAACATCGACAGGACTACCAATGCGGTTTCAATTGCACGGGAGCAGCGCCTCGGAATGTCAATAGACGTGGTGAGCCCGCCAGAGGGTCGCGATGCTGGAAGAAAACACGGTTCGAGATACAGGTCTTGGTCTTGAGTGTGCGATCTACTTCTCACTACGTGTGAAGATACGACGGTTGAGAGAACAGTCAACAATGAAGTGGGGACAGAAACAGATTAACTAGAGAGTCTGAATTTGCAAGTGTGGGAGGCACAATCAGTTCACGTTCAATAAGTATAGTTTTAGGGATCAACTCGTCATCATCGCCATCACCATCGCCGCTGCCACCGTCGTCTTCGTCGTCGTCTCCATCGTTATCGCACCATCGTTCGTGACTTGTCCATTGCTGCTACTACCATCAGGCAAGCAAGTTAGACTCCCGTTGATCCTACCCAGTACAAATGCTTGCGTATTGGCATCTACATCGCTTTTGGTCGATGCGTTGAAGACGCTCACGCTAGCGAAACACCCCTGTTTCACCACATTCGACTCTGCAGGCAAATTAGTTGTTCCACACCATTCCACATCCGTCGCGCTTGTGTCCTCATTGATCCTAGACAACACAAAGCTGAAATTTGATACGTCTGGACAATTGCTCGTCGAAGGATAGTTCACGTTGACGCTGACATTCGTTGGGAGAATTGTCCCCCCTGCCGCCGTCAGCGCCTGCACAAACTGGACGCTCAAAGCAGCATATGTTCGTGCCGCGAGGGTGTCTGCCGAGTCTGGATTGGATTCGAGGGTGGTATACGACACTTGGGAACCTGTTGCTGCGGAGAAGGCGATAGAAGGGATACCCTCGTGTGCTGCTTCACATGCCGCACCGCTATTGTAATGATGATCATGAGAAGAGTTAACGGAAACGAGGTCAGCTGCGGCTCGTCCCCTGCTGGAGAGAAAGGCACGCTCACACTGTCCCAGAGATGAGCACGGTGGATCCCAAGTTATCTGCGCAAAAACGAGTGTTAGCAGATGAATAGGTGCTTATAATATGCCCACGTACTCCCGACATTTGGACCGCTGACGACGAAATCGGGTGCGCTGCCGTTGAAGAATTGGGGTGCGAGTGTCTGGATTCCATACCGGGCCGAGTCGACAGGAAATGCGTTGACGTAGTTCAAATGAGCTGTGTTTCATCTAAACTCCAAGAACCCTCGAGGAACGGTATCGACTCACGATCGGACGCATTGAAGCCCTCCGCGGGAGACCCAGCTGGGCATGTATCAAACTCGCACGGGGAGGCAAGCACCGTGGCTGTTGCGCTTGAAGACCCTGTACCCGATTTATTTTCTGCAGGGCATGAAAGCACGACCTGTTCGTTACACCCTTAATCGTTTACGCTGTCACCTGCAAAGGAGGTTTGACCTACGTCATGCCCTGCAGCCTTTAGCGCGTCATTCTGAGCTCGAACCAAAGCCACGGCCCAACCATCGTCGTTTGTCAGGACGATGTTGCTCCCGTGGACGCTCTGCAGGTAGAGGAGAGCCAGTACTAATGCGAGTCTGATCATTGTAGGAGGGAAATAGGAATGGGTGGGACGTAACACTGCTAATAATAACCACAGCAAAGTCATGTGCTTCGCCCCTCGAACGTGCAACATTGCGAAATACGAAGCTTTGGAGGAACAGAGCGGCCGGGAGGAGTGATAACATGACAATAAGGCCGTAGTGTTGGCCGAAAACTGAGAGCCGGCTTCGTTTACGATACTCAACGGGCGCCACCCAAAAACTGTTGTCAGGTCAGATGATAAAAGACAAGAAGAACCACCACAAACAGCAGCTCTACATAATCCTATTCGAACGTACCGTTGACTGCCGGTATTTCGGCGCCCTACATAACAATCCGACTCGTGTGAAATTTCCAACAACATTACGTGTCTTCTACCTCGGTGGTCGCGTCCAGCAGTGTCTCTTCAACGATTCAGAGTTCGCAGTTTTGAAAGCGTCGAAAGAGGAAAATAGGTTTGGCAAGTATTCTTCCTAATGTCATTTTCACTAAGGTCACAACCTGTGTTTACGTACTTATCTAGCCTGAGGTTCTATGGGAGACGGATCTAATGCTGACAATGGCGACGTTTTAACTGCATCGCAGCACGTCCTGTCTGCCGCCGCACCTATAGACCGCAATACGGAACTAGATTCTATCGTCAATGAAATGCGAACTTTCATAGCAGGGGAGAACCGTCATGCGAACCTGGATGGCTGTCTCACGGTGCGCTGCAAGACCGAGGAGATCGAAGACGCTGTATATGCTCTCGGGATCGTGTTCGATCTTCACTATTCTGACTCTCGAGGCAACTTATGCGTCACATTCACACTTCGGTCGAATACGCCTACTGTCGTTGATGACGACGAAGAGTTGAGAGGTATCATCCGCGGAGATCTTTTGGACACACCGATACGTTCCATAGCGAAAAAGTTGCGGAAATGGATATTAGACCCAACGAGTTCAACCTCGGTTCGGGTTTCCAATGTCGAAAAAGCAAAGCAACTGGCTAGTCTGTTCAGGCTGGCGGTGTGGCAGCCAGAAGGGACCATGACGGTGATATTGACGAAGCCTCGGAAGTCCCGCCTGGGAAAAGTGATTGATGAAAGGCGTTTAGAGTTAGTTTTGAGGCAACGGAGGGTACCCTCAATCAAGAAAGGTCTAAGGAAGCTAGCAAAGAATGGTCCAGGTACGTAGATGATAAAACCCAGTCCACTCGAGATTGGAGAACTAACTGTCAATCCAGTGAAATCCCTCGTTTGTAAACTCCGTCAATTCACTTCAGACGTTGATGGTCCCAGGTCCATGACCATTCCCTGTGATGCATTTAACTCCAAGGCTGCGAAGCTTGCCGATGTGTTTTCCTTGGATGCTACACCGGAATCGGATGTTGTAATTTTGACGAAGAGAACCCAGGGCCCTATTGTAGTCGGAAACAGGCTACTGGCGGACGTACTCAGTCAGAATGGAAAACGGCAAAGGGAGGAGGATGAAGAAGTTGAAGTCCTAACCGATTCGTTCAGGGCACCCGAGGAAAAAGTTGGGTTTAATATCGATGAAGAGGCTGGGAAGCTACTGAAGAATGGTTGTAGCGAGGCCAAGCAGTTTTTCTTTAAAGAAATTCCTGACCTTCAACAAGTTTCCGATATCAGCTTGCTTGAGAAGCGTCTGCAGGAGTTTGCGGACGACCCTGATGTCAGCAGCTTTGTCATCCCGTTCACTGCAGATCCAAGATTGGCCCCTCTTGCCAAAAGCTTGCACCTAAAGCTCACACACAAAGGAGGCCAGACAATAGTGAGGAATCCCAAGTTTAAAAAGGAGTCGACAGAGGTGATTTCCGTACAGGGGTCTCAGAAGAAACTGAAAATATCAGCATCTTCTGAAATCCCTGAGGAGTTCCCCGATATCGACCCTTCGGTGCTGCGCCTATGGTTGAAGACCTTTGTAGATGACGATCATGCGCCTGCGGAGATGACTATTCCGCCTACGGGCGAGAAGACACGGGATGCTTTGTGTGAGCTGGCTACTGCTTTTGGACTAAATTATACGTTGAGTGATGGGTTTGTGACGGTGAGAAAAGCTGTGCGGTAGGCTGTAGAGGAGGAGAAAGTGAAGGAATCGAAAGGTAATTGTGTTTACCGATGTTCAAAGTTTGCGAGAGACCTGAAGTTATGAATTAGATTCAGTGGACGACGCGTCGTTATACGCATAGTGAGGCTCTAGTGCTTGTGTATTATGGTCCCTTCGGCTATCCGCAATGAGTCTTCAAGCTTCTTGACTTTTTGTCAGGTCGCTCTTTTTATCAGATACTCCGTCAACTTTGATATCGGCTTTTCCAGGCTGTCGACAAAGTACTTAGCGGGACATGCAGGACTGCTATTCGTTGGTTTCTTTATCTATTGTATATTTGGGTCTTCTATGGTACATAGTAGCGAAATCCTCACGTCCTCGATGGGTGGGACTCGGAAGCAGGAGCATCGGTCTGACGTGCAACTTTCCAAAAGCAGACATGGTCTGTGCTCAAAGCTCGGAGGTATATAAACCTGATCCCGACACCCGACAACCTCACCACTCTGGCCTTTTGGCTTAGATCAAGTGTAGTATCTGTTCTTAATAGTTTAACCACTATTACGGAGGCACTGCCTCCCGTATTGGTTATCTAATTTTTGCCGCCCTTGTCTTCTGTGCTCTGCTTGCAACACGGAGGCGCGATGACCTTGCTATTGCAGTACTGGCTTGTGTCGTCGGGGGATCTTTTCTTTGCTGCGTACTTTCGAGAACTTCCAATTGGCGGTCTTTGGGTTGTAGCAAACAAATGGATGGCTTTGCTTATTTTTCTAAGGATCAGTAGACCTTTTGTAGCACTTATATTTTCATGTGTTGTAATTATTGGAATAATTGATGAGAATGATTTGAAGGTCTTGGTTTCGAGGAATTGGAAGTGCTTTTGAGCCTTCGGAATATTACAACGTTCCGAAATTCAGAATATCCAATGCTAGAAGGAAAGGCTCTCACTGATGCTCGTCATGATATGGGAAGCTCCTGGTGATTGTTGGTCATACGCGGAATTACTTTTGGTTGCGCGTGGAGGAAAATCTGAGCATGTGTCGTATCATCAAACTCAGCAGGGAAGTACCATGGCAGTTCAAACCTTTGATTAAAGTAGTACACGGAGTTCCAGCACGTAGCAATATCGACTCCGGCCTACTCAACCAACATCATTGCTGCTTCTTTGGCGAGTTATCCGAACGGACGAGATCAACGCGCTGCGTTCACAACTCAAGTACGTGAGACACAGCGTCGGCACCATCTCGGGAAATAGGAGATCCCATCTAGCGGAGCAGGTAACACGCTTACTTGCCTAGGTCCTTAGGACCTGTATTAGGAAGCTGGCCCATACCAACTATCAACTGTACACATGCAGGAACACACCGATGTGTGATGAAGAAAGAAGTTGGCATGCGCGGTAATTAATTGAACCATCGACAACCGGTCGTTCAATGAGATCGTCCAGAATTCAAATGAGTAAGGATATTATTAGATGGCAGTATGCGGTTTGCGGGTCGGCGGTGACCACAAGCGTGAGATAGAGATGTCAAGCGGTGCTGAACAGTGAAGATCCGGTAGTATAGGTTCACATCCGATGGTACTAGAATGATCAAGGCACTAGTCGTAACCAAGCTACGTTGGCGACAGGATATGAATCCATTTCCCAAGCTAAAGATAGAAGGCAGTCGAGGAGAAGTGCGTTCCCAGGAAATATGGATCAAGGGTGGCTAGACTCTAGAGCTTTATGCCCCTAGTCCTTGAGAAAGTATTGAGAGGTCGATGAGAGAGAGAGAGAGAGAGAGAGAGCAGCCGTATCAGGTTTCAAGCGTTGGTGCAAGGTAAGATATCGCACAGTAGCCACACAGAAACAGGGCTAAGTATAATGAAGGTACCTCCGCCCAATCAAAGACGCTAGAAACCGTTCTACCTCTCAGTTGACATGAAGGATCATAGATGTGAGATCTGTCAATACCAAAAGCCTTGTGGAAGGCCGTGATGTGGTAGATAGCATAAGAGATTCCATTTGTACGACAAGTAGAAAGGGTTACCTGTTCGGAAATAAACGTATCCCTTGTATACTGCAGCACCGCCCGCTGGGATAAGGATAGGCAACAATGGTGAGAAGGAGATCGAGGAACGATCAATCCAAATATAGCTTCGCCGAGATGCCGTTCCGAAGATGCAGGGTGGCACACGCGGACGTTTAAAGCCGAGGCACGAACGATGGATGGTCCACTTTCTCCTTTCCTTCCTCCCATCGCCCAGTGCGCATACAACTGCCGACACTGGTGTCGTGCTCTTGCTTCATTTCATTTTCTGTTTTCACTTTCAAGCTCTCAACGCATCCCGTTCTTTAAATCCATTCTTTTGCTTGCGATTTTGTCGAAATGTTTTCCAAGGCTCTTTGTATCGCTTTGCTGGGATTGTATTTCTCTGCCTTGGCCGTTGAAGCTGCGCCTCACAATGGCTTTCAACAACAGTCTGATCAGTCGCAATCCTGTGATGTGCGTTGAACGTTGAAACTGGAACGATTTGCGTTCGGTTATTTTCGTATTGTTGACGAGATATATAGGCTCAGAGCGTTATCACTCAGACTGTAACCGTGACCGCTACCGCCGCCGCCGCCACTTCGACGTCGAGCACCGGCAGCTCTGGAAGTAGTACGTTTTCACGATCCCTTGCTAGATAGTCGCTCACATTGAGAACAGACGATGGTTCGAACAACAACTCAGACGGATCTGCAGCTGGGAACGGCAGCTCCGATACTTCTGGTTCAACTAGCAGTGGGAATGGTACGGCTTTCTTTGCTTATCTTTTGGGGGATTTTCTAGATTTGACCTTTTCTAGGCAATACCGGCAACAGCAACAGTGGTAGCAGTGGCTCCAATAGCTCCACAGGAAACGGCAGTTCCAATAATTCTGGAAGCAGTATGAGTTCCGTTGCTTATTCTTGCAGAGATCTTACATTCAGCCCTTTTTAGACAACAATACCGGTAACAACAGCTCGGGTAATAGCAGTAACAGTGGCTCCAACAGTTCCGCAAGCAGTACGGTTGGAAACGGTAAGGATAATAACTAAGGTATACCTCAAGCGGAACCACGTGGCATCCAGCATCGTATCTATGGGTGTGTAGAGGCAAAATCTCTAAAACGGCATCCGAGGCATTGTTCTAAATAACAATTGGGAGGATGCCTCGGAGCCATTTTCCCCAAAAATGCTCTCCCGCTACATAGCAAGCCGACCGCCACGTGGTGTCAACTTGAAGGAATCCGCTTGAGGCATACCTTACCTACTTGCACCTTGTACTTCAACTGATAACAATCATCAGGCAGCTCGGGAAGCGCAACAACGACATCTGCTGCGTCGGTACGTGTCACAAGCAGTATCCTTGTCATGAAACTTAGTAACGGCGTCTCTAGTCGAGCACCGGCAAATCAGGTAACGGCAAATCCAACACCGGAAATTCTGGAAACGCTGCAAGCACGTCGGCAGCTTCGGTATGTTCATCTGGGGTATCTATAACCTGCCGTTAATGTTGCCGTTCATAGTCTGCTACGAGTTCCGCCGTTAATGATAACTCCGGTAGCGGAACGGCGACCTCTAGCTCTGCTGCATCAGTGCGTCCTATTTCCCCGTCTGCTGTTTTTCTTGCTAAGAGCTATTGTCTAGTCTAGTACAGGTACCTCTGGTAACAGCACTGCAAATAATGGTGATCCACAAACATCTCTGAGTTAGTTTTTTTTGTTATGTTATGACATCCGCTCACTTCATATCATCATCAGCGCTCGACCCTCGTGTCATTGGTAACTTTTCCAATGACGGCCAAAGTCCACCGGTTACTGGACAGTCTCCGTCCCTCACGACTACGAACAACTTCATCAACTTTTGCCTTACCGTCGATGCTCCCATTACCAATGGCGAACAGATCAAGACTGGTTCCTGCAATCCCATCCCCATCGGCGCTATCCCCACTACCGATAACATGCCGAGCTCCAAGTTCACGAACCCGCAAAACTTTGGTACCCTCAAGTCTAACACGGCGTTTGATATCACGATGGCTATTCAGAACATGCAGACCGGCAATTTCGTTAATGCAACGGCGAACTATTTCTCTGCGCCTCAACAGCTGAATGCCCAGGGACAGATTATTGGGCATACACATGTTGTTATCGAGGAGTTGGATTCCCTCGACCAGAAAACACCTACTGATCCCAAGACATTTGCATTCTTCAAGGTAGTTATGTTTCTTTAACATATGAAAATGGATGCTGACGCAATCATTCACAGGGTGTGAACGGAGCGGCAGTCAACGGCGTGGTCACCGCCAGTGTTGACAAAGGTCTCCCAGCTGGCGTCTACAAGCTCAGTTCTATCAACGCAGCAGCGAACCACCAGCCAGTCATTGTTGCAATTGCTCAGCATGGTTCCTTGGATGATGTTGTCTTTGTGAGTTTTCAGAATTCTATGCTGTGCCCCTGCTCATCTCTTTGACTAGTTCACTGTCACTGATGATGGACAGCCCGCAAGCAACAGTACTGCTTCATCATCATCTGTGGCCTCTGAAAGTGTCTCGGCTACTGCGACGGCGGCTGCTAACAGTACTAGTAGTGTCGTTGCATCAGCTTCAGTGACGGATTCAGCTTCCGTTTCCGATTCGGTTTCGGCTTCGGCTTCAGTGACGGCTTCAGCATCTGAAGCCACTGCTTCTGCGACTAGTGCTGCTTCGACCAAGGGTGGAAAGAATTCTTCGGCTACGAGCAAGGGTGATACTGCATCGGCTGTTGTGTCAGCCACGGACGCGGCGTCATCAGGTGTCGCATCTGCTACAGACGTTGCTTCAGCTACCGATGCGGCTTCTGCTACGGCAAGCGACTCAGCCGCTGCAGAAACCTCATCAGCTGCCGAGAAAAGCAAGGGTAATGGGAAAAACTGAGTGATACCCCGCACTTTACACGCATAGATACCTCACGTCGGGCCCGTTGAGGTACCGGTCGTTTCTTAGAGTGGGCTGGAAGACCGTATTTATTCATGATTCCCTCGATTTTCGACTTTCTAGCAGTTGATTTGTTATACCCTTGTTCGGATTTCATAGTTTCTGAATGCGATTGACGTTGAACATTATATCGGAATTGAGATGAATTGGTGGCAGCTCATCTGCCAATCGCTAATAGTACATGTGTTTTCTTTTCATCTGTCCATCTACTCGAAGAGTTTCGCGTTCTCCATCAAGATGTTGTTCAACCCCTCCCTCTTCACACAGTGGTCGAACCTGAAACTGGCAGCAATGCGATCGAGTTCATCCTTATCCTTCCCGATGAAGTGATCCGCCCACTCCTGCACGAGAAACTCTGCAACGAGGATGTTCCTCGCGAGCCTGCCCACGCGTGCGTCGAGCTTCCACACAGGGAAGGGGTAGAGCTCGCGGAACTTGGGCGGGATCTCCTTGTTGATGTGGTCTATCAGTGGCTGGTAGACGTGTCGAACGGCAGAATCGTCTGTGCCCCAGGCGTCAACGGCAAGACGGTGTTTCTTGGCGAGGAAGTCCTTGAAGAGCGTCATGTACGGCGTCTCCTGGGGCACGTAGACCATCCCTTGGTACCCGATGTCCTTGTACAGCCAGATAGTCCAGCTGAGACGGTCCTTGTTGTAGATATCGAGTTGGTCTTTGAGGACTTTGTAGCGCATGGTGTTGATGGCGTCTGTGGCGTCTCCGTCGTACTGCCTCCTGGCGTAGACGGGGCCCCATTCGCCATTCCACACGCAAAGCCCGCGCTGGTCCATCCACTCTCGCTTCTTCTCATAGCTCCGCCTGAGTCTGTGCAGCTGCGGCTCGCTACCTACGTAGTCTTCCGGCGGGGCGGGGAAGCCGAAGAGGGAGTAATCGTGGATCGCATAGGCCGTGTTGTCCCACTGCTTGTGGATGTCGCCAAAGTGGCTGAAATCGGACGCGAAGGTGTTGCCATCGAAGAAGATGGCGTGGTCTGGGTCGATGGCGCGGATGGCCTTGTGGATCCGGTCGTAGAAGGAGACGACCCGGATGTGTTTGGAGTCGGTGGGCTCGTTCATGGGGTTGTAGCCTGCGATCCATTTGTTGGATTTGTAGTGCTCGGCGAGGCGTTCCCAGAGCCATACGGTGCGGTCCTGAAAGTCTTTGTGGTTCCAGACTAGTAAATCTCCAGTTAGAACTGTCCGTCTACGGTGCACAAAGAACGGACGTACAATTCGCAATATGTCCTCCATGGTCAGAATGCCAGTCGGTATTCTGTCCGCCAGGAGTGGCGTGCAGATCTAAGATGGTGTATATCTTGTGCTGCGCACAGAGGTTGATCACTCGATCGAGGTGCTTGAATCCAGATTCCTTCAAAACGCGGGGATTCATATCGTCTGCCAAGGAAAGTCAACGAAAGTGACGTATACTGCGGACAGTGCGTACCTTCAAAGTGGTGGTAATTAAAAGGGAGCCTGATGCAGTTCAGCCCGAGGCTGCTAAAGAAGGCTGCGTCGGCGTCCATGAAGAAGTATTCCAAGAACTGTATTAAGTCGGCAAAGGGGGAATTCTGGAAGAGCGAGTCTACGGACCTTGTCGAAGAAGAAATCGGATTTTTCTTGTCCAATAGTATCGGCCAATGCTTCGCGAATCTGGAATTCACAGCCAGGGTATCCTAGCAGTAGTTAGTTCCCACCATGCATTCGTGGAAATGAAATATTGTATGCCTGAAATGAAATTCTCCATACTACGAGTGATTAGAGATGACTTGGGCAAAGCGAGGAGCAGAAACACTCACTTCATCCAACCACCTAGACCTGCTCCTCGCAGAATGACCTCTTTACCCTCCTCATCGACGATCTTTGTTCCAGATACTTTGAGCAGAGACATAGTAGGGGGCAATGAGGAGATTCTATGCCGTGGGGCTCTTTAGTATCATGCTGGTCGGACGATCTTCGCAAATGCGAGAGCAGCTGGTCCACGAATGCCGAAGTTTTTCCGCGTCGAAAGTGGAGTTTCATTCGGTTAAGCTCGAGATAGCCGGGTTTTTTAATGAAAGAACAGGGCTCGGGCCGCCGAGGACAAAGAGATAAGAGACTGAATCTACAATTAGAACTGATCTGTGGCAAAAGAAGGCCGGTAAGGGATGGTATGCCTCCCCATTTAGAGCGGTGGGTGAGACGGTAGAACTTGAAGGCTGTAGTATGGCGTGGGCGTAAGAAGACATGCATTAGCACTCAGTGAAGACTTTGTCATCCAGGAACTACTGAATCTGCTGGTCAAGTTAGGCTCACTCCGTGAGGCGTAAGTAGAAACATAAGGCATTGGTATTGAATTGCCTGTGAATACGTGCGGAGGCACCGAAATCCCACTGAGTTGGACTGGGCCAAATACTCCAGGGTATTACCATTGCTTTCCCTCCAGTGTGGAGTTCCGTCCTACCATCGTTCCAGGTCTTCGTTTGGTGTTTCCGTTACAAAGGCGTCCACGGTTCGGCATAAGAAGGTTCCGGATGTACCACCAATTGCAATGTGTACTCTAGTATTATTGATGCGATATCCAGATTCCTGCCGGCGACAACTGAACATTGAACCCCTGGGCCTTAATGACAGAGTGATACAAAAGCAGTCGTGTCATGCTACAAGACTGGAAGACTGTTGATTGATTATGTTGGTGGATAAATCGGGCCGGAGAATCCGAGGAACTTGGAACACGGACCGGGTCCGGCACACTCAAATCTGTACTCCCATGACACTTGTGTTCGAACTCGTCGTGCGCATTCTTTCCGAACTCTGGGCTGCCCAATATTCTATCGATGATCAAGTTAAAACGTTCTTGGTTTGCTCTCTTGTATCCAAACAGTGGTCTGCCGCGATGAAGGAAGTGAATTCTACGCACTCGTTCATTCCCTTCTCCTATAATGGAGGACGATTGTATAGCATCAAGTCGCTATCCTCAATCTCTCATCCAATGCTCTGCCGCACCATAACTTTCGGGATAAACTACGTAACCGTGCCAGCGCTACTTCTTGCCGACAAGTGCACACCGTCCATTGAAGCCAACCGAGGAGTGGTATCTACGCTTCGGAAGATATTCCGCGGTCCTAATACACCTGCACATGCAACACATATCTATGTTGACTATGTTGATGATTCACAAATCCACATCCCCCGTTTCTGGGTTCCTCCACAAATTACACGGCTAACCATTATCTACCACTATCGTCGTTGCGGGTCCAGGAATTTCATAGAGCATAATCGCTTCTGCTCCTGCAGAAAACCAAACACAAAACCACGAGTGCAGCATCTTACCATCATGGAAGCCATGCCTGGGATCGTAAAGCGTCTGATAGACCCTATCAAGAAGTGGCGATACCTACGTTCGTTGACTACTGATGTCGAAATTACCGTTTGCCCTTCGATTTCTCTTAATTTTATCGAAGAGTGGGATTTTCCCGATCAGGATATTGGGCTTGATTTTGTGAATCGTTGTATGTTCGGCGAACGAAGGAACTCTGGCTGGTCGCGCTGGTACTACAGTCCATGTTCCAGTCCGTTGTTTTCTTCCTTGGCTGTATTACGCTGATCACCAGCTTTTTTTAGCAAAAAGTACTGATCATTATATACCAATGTTTGAACAGGTCATTCCAGTGGGCTCTGTGGGATACATCGATCCTCTGACGAGGAAGTTTATCATACTATTCAATGCCATTGATCCGACATCGTCCGTGGAGCCACGAATTCATGAAATAGCTTCCCTCCTCGAAGGCGAGACGACAAAACTGATCGTAGACCCAAATTATTCTCCTGTCCTGGGGTGGGAATACAAACGTACACTTATCAATACAGATGCGCTTAGGGCTTTCATGGAGCAAAGATCGTGCGTGCGCCTTTCTCTTCTATTCATTCTTTCTCTTGATGGATTCAGGATTTATGATATCCTTGTTGGACTTGGACGTTCCTCCGCAACGCTCTATCTGACTTTGGGACAAGCTTTTGCCCGGCACCTTATAGGAACACATTTTGACAGCTGGTTTCGTCAGCACATACAGACGATTCTGGATGTATTTAGAGAGGATCACCCATATATCCGAAAGGGATTGGACCTTGGTAGATCGTCTTAATATCAAAATTCTTCGAGGACTTCTGGCTGATCTGTTGCTGCATGGCAGTCACCACCACCGTAGATTCTGCCCAGTATGCTTGGCTTGCTGATCTTGACGGTAAAAGTACAGGTCCATATGTAGATACTATTCAGCTCCTTTGTTGCAGTGCTACTACTTAAGACCCACACACAGGTCTACTTTCGACTTAATCCGCTGGCTGCAAACATCCATGGAAGCGTTTGGGGAGAGTTCCTATTTCCTCCGAGACGAAACGACTTCAAGTTCGACTCCGACTCCGATGCTTCTGACTGGATTATTATGGATCCATGGGTTCATGTCTCCACCGTGGGTCAGTCGCCAAAGACAGTAGAAATCAACTGTCATTCCCTGAGCGTGAGCTAGTTTGAAACCAAATATTTTTGATGAAGAAATCACATATGTACCTGGCAAGCACCGTAGTAATGCACAATCTAAAGAACTGCCTCGAAAGTGCTGCCCCTCGTGAATTCCGACTCCTCCTATCAGGGACAAATTGGTGATAGATGGTTTTTCTGAATTGAAGAGCGCGGGGCTTGAGGACGTTTCCTAGAACTTCGCTTGGAAAGATGTATTTGAGGCAAGAACTGGAAAACTGGATTGATTGGCCATTTCGATGGCGGCTGGAGCTCGGATCGGAGCTGACCGGAGGGCTGTGCTGTAATAATTGTCTGACTGCGCTCATGATTTTCTTGCTCCCCTCTGCTCCCACACGGTTCCAGTGTTCAGCGATGGTGAACCCGGGACTCCTTGGATGTCCACGAATCACATCTATGCACGTTCGAAGGCTTCGTGGCACATGTTTCATTCGTGAGAGGAAAAGAAAAACCTCACGACGCACGAGGACATAATACAATCATCACCATCACCGACGAGGACATAAAAGGCGCCACAGGCCTCTTCCTTTCCTTCATATTGAGAATGTTCAGCAATATCGCGTTCCCTGTGACCCTTTTAGCCCTCTTTGGCTTCCAGACCTCTTGGGCGACGACGCGAAATAAGGTCGTCTTGACCAACGACGATGGCTGGGCAGTTGCGTCGGTTCGAGCGCAGAATGATGCTTTGAAGAAGGCGGGGTACGATGTACGTGTCACCTCTCTCTTGGAGTGCAATGTATCTGACTGGAGGCAGGTCGTCCTTTCTTGTCCGGCCGAAAATGAGTCTGGTACGGGCTCGTCTAGCGCGCCGCCAACGATACTCTTGATCCCCTGCGAATTTGATACGTGTCCAATCTTCTCTCCTGCCGAAGGGTTCAATGCATCTGACCGTACGTGCTTATCGCTTTCGACACTTTCTAGGCTGAATGGTTTGCAGCGCGCTTGAACTACGTCAACTCCTTCCCCGTTGACTCTGTCCGATTTGGGATCCAGACACTTGCACCACAATTCTTCGACGGCAGTGCACCCGATTTTGTCGTTAGCGGTCCGAATGTAGGAAGTAAGAACATCACCTGTTCATCATATTCCGCTGTTTGACGTGATATGCAGACAACTTGGGACCAGTCATTTTGAATTCCGGCACAGTGTGAGCTCACCTCGTAGTAATCACTACACCTTATCTTACATCGTTTGCAGAGGCGCTGCATGTGAAGCTGCTTTGGAAGGTATACCCTCTGTAGCATTTTCGGCAAATACGGGTTCGCAGATTTCTTACACCACCCTCGAGTCTGACCCCAACTCCACCAACACACTTGCGGCACTAACATATGCCCAGTTGAGCGTTAAATTCGTGCAAGCCCTGACGTCTGCAAAGGGAACCATCCTTCCTCCTGGCATTAGCGTCAACGTTAACTATCCGTCCACTTCCAAGTGTCCAGAGCCCTCGGACTTTAGCTTTATACTTTCGAGGATCAACGCGGATGAGGATGCAACGGATGTGGAACGGTGTGGGACAACACATCTCCCCGCAGAGGCGGATGTGGTGACTCAGGGATGTTTCGTGAGCGTAAGCGTCTTCAATGCATCGACGAAAGCGGACGTGGGCGCCGATACGCAAGCATTTGTGTTGGATCGTATTGGTGGGATTTTGTCCTGTTTGCCTTGACCGTACGCCATTTGAAAACTTGGTACAACTGCCTCGTCATTTTAAACAAACTGACAGCCGTTCCAGATACTCCGCTGTTCCTTGACGAGGGTGGGGCCATTACACGGGAACGTCTTTTTCGTGTTTTGATTCAGATTTACAATTGTACGAAATGATATATGAACTGCTCGTTCATTCAAGGTCGTCTCTACAAATGAGATCTGAGAGTCAGATGCTTAATGCTTTGACAATCTACCTTTTCGTTATTCCCTCGTCCGCCGATTGTGAAGACCCTGCGATCGACGATCGACTGGTTTCTTCGACGCTATTGATCATCCCTTAGCAGATTAGGGTTATAAGCTCCACAAAATTAACTTCGGAGACCTGCACTGGATCTGTTGTAGAGGATTGGACCTCATCGCACAGAAGGGCTCTGCAGCACTGTGTAGCGGCACACCTTTTGGGCTGCTTTTACCTCACTGCAGTATCATCAATTCCGAGTGATCTTGAAATGGGTTCCGATTCTCAGTACTTCGGTTTTGGAGAGATTCAACGGCTAAGCTGTTTCGGCAAGCCACAAGGCGGCTTGGTTGAAGTAACTTCTGAGCCCTGACCGATCATCATTTTCGCACACGAATCAGGTTCCTTGCGACATCTGATTGTTGGGACCAGTCAAGCAAGTAGCTTTTACCCGTTCCATGTGGGTACCAATGGATGGCAGAAATACGAATGTCCCGAACATCAAGGACGGGAGCCATTAATTATTGGACTGATGGAAACATTCATCGCAGTCTTGTGGTGATGGTGGGGTACGTTTAGTCTGATTCCTTGCCTGTTTCAGTGCCAGCTGACGATTTGGCGAATTCTTCTACAGCACAGATCAGTACAGCATTATCATGAACGCCGTTGTTCATTGGCCGGGTAAGCATTTTCAGTAACCACTCATTCCATCAGTCTCGCCTGATACTATCATAGCGTTGTATCAAGCCCAGAATCACAACCACTCGGTGTACGTGGGTTGTTCGCTTTTACATCTCCGTTGTTTTTGGCGCTTGCTCTCACGTTCGGTCTTCGGTCTCAATTCTTGATTCCAAACAGACTCCTATCAACTTCGAAATTCCATTCTCATTTGAAGAGCGCGTATTTCATCTTCCGGTCTTCGCTTCTCTTCCCCTAGGATCTCTACTCCTTCTCAAGCATCATCTACAATGGCTCCTCATACTATTGAATCGAACTATGATCTTATTTTCGCTGGGGGTGCGCGCCTCTTGCTAACATCCTCTATGCGCTTACTGATGATGCGTAGGAGGAACTGCGGCGTGCATCATCGCTGGTCGTTTGTCCAAGGCCGACCCCAACCTCAAGATCCTCATTCTTGAGGCTGGGCCTACTACCAAGGACAAGTTAGAGCACGTCCAGCCCGGTCAATATATCACCCATTTGGTTCCAACCAGCAAGACAATGCAATTCTACGAGTCCAAGCCTAGCGAACACGTCGCAGGTAGGGCTGTCGTCGTCCCTTCTGGTCGCTGCATTGGTGGAGGTGAGTATCTCATCCCTGAGTCATGAAGATGCACTGACTTGACGCGATCAAGGCTCTTCCGTCAACTTTATGTTATACAACCGCCCTGCCGCGTCTGACTTTGACTCCTGGGAGACCGAATTCGGTAATGAAGGCTGGGGATCCAAGGATATTATCCCTCTACTCCAGAAAGTGCGCTGAACACTGGTCCTGTATCGACTCAGTTGATGAATGCTTCCATGCTCTAGGCCGAAACCTATGAGGTCGACCCTACTAGGAAGACCCACGGTTCCTCAGGACCCATCAAGGCATCTTTCGGAGGGAATGCTGAAATGATGGAGATCCCTAAGCAGTTCCTTGAGATTGGTCCCAAGTTCGAAAAAGACCGACCGGAATCTGAGGAAGGAAACAACCTCGACCCTGAATCAGTCAATGTATTTTTCGTGAGTATAGCTCAGTTGATTATTATCTAGGGCGCGCTGACCTCCTTGACAGAGAATGCCAAAGTATGCGTGCTGACATTATAATTGCCGAATTTGAGTTGATCTTCCTCATCAGATATATCTCAACTAGTGGACGCCGGTCCGATGCTGCCGTATGTTGATCACACTTGTTTTTCACAGCATGCTTATTGCGGTAACAGCATCATTACCTCTACAATTCTGAGAGCAAGAACCTCTCCGTGTTCGACGGAACGCGGGTAAAACGTGTCATTTTCGAGTGCGTTATGGAGTGCCCTTTTGGAACATTAGCTGATAAATTGTAGGGGAACCCGGGCAGTCGGCGTCGAATATGTGTTCGACAAGCAGGTCTATCCCGATGCGGAGCAGACTGTGCACACGGTTCGCGCAAGTCGCCTTGTGGTCGTCTCCGCGGGTGCCATGGGTAGCTCCCTGATCCTTGAGCGATCGGGTATCGGTGCTGCGTCGATCTTGGAAAAATTCGGTATCAAGCAGATTGTAGACCTCCCCGGCGTGGGCAAGGACTATGACGGTAAGTGGACGGTATGCTCTCAAAAGAACCGCTCCTATATCAGGTCTTTAGATCATCCGTTCCTTGTAACACCGTATATTGCGGACGGAAATACCGAGACATATGACCCTCTTTTCCGTGGAGAGCCTGAGGAGTGGGGTAGTAAGTTAATGTGTTAGCGTTAACTGCGGGAGCTAATCGTGCTGACCTAACTTTCTTACCAGAAATTTTACCTCAATGGGCCGCTGATGGTTCTGGACTATTGGGAGGAAAGTAAGCGGCTCTATTTTTTTTCACACATATCTCCAGGTATTGATCATTTCCCTCAGCGGTGTGGACGCGGCCATTAAAATGCGGCCCCGGGAAGACGAACTGGAGGAATTAGGTCCTGATTTCCAAGAATATTGGAAAACGAGCTTCGCCGACAAACCGGATAAGCCCTTGTTTTGGCTTAGCGCCTTGGCCGGGTATGTTGGATGTCCCTAACACGAATCAAATCTCATCGCCCGGGTTAGCCTTCCTGCTGATCAGTCTGCGTTGCCTCCGATCAAATTCATGGCGTCGGGATGCTTCCTCGTAGGTTTTCTGTTCGTAAGCAGCTTTCACCTTACCCGATTTGTTGCGCAGGGATATCCCGCCTCTCGTGGACATCTTCACATTGCTTCCGATGATATCTACGCCCATCCTGATTTTGATGCAGGATTTTTGAACCAGTGGGTAACGAGGAGAGGAGTTTCCGCTGTCTTCTAATATTTTATTTTCAGTCCGGCCGACGTCGCCGCTCTTCGATGGGGTTACAAGAAAGGTCGGGAGTTACTTCGCCGAATGGGTGTATATCGTGGCCCACTTGCTCCCGCACATCCTCAGTTCGCTGCGGGCAGCCCGGCAGCTGCGGCCCTCGCTGAGAACGGCCCTGTTGCACTGGATGCGCCTAAAATTACTTATAGCAAGGAAGACGACGAAGCCATCGCTGCAAACGTCAGGAACTTTGGTGAGTTTCGGGTTCTCGCTCAGCAATCTTAGCCTCATCATAAAAAATCACGCGCTCAGTTGCAACAACCTGGCATTCCGTGGGTCGCATCATATCTACTTTCGTAATATAATACTGACATCGTGTGGTAGCTCGGGACTTGCCCTATGAAGCCAAGAGAACAAGGCGGAGTCGTCGACAAGGACCTCAACGTTTACGGCGTTACGGGATTGAAGATCGCTGGTAGGTACTCACCCTTGTCCATCTTGCATCTGATGTTTACGTTACCTGTAGATCTCTCCATCCCGCCTGCTAATGTCAACTGCGTAAGTCCGGGTAGTTTTTTCCTTAGCACCTGATTCTAACCCGGTTCTGCGCAGAACACTTACTCCGCTACCCTGGCGATTGGTGAAAAAGCGGCCCTTATTATCGCAAATGATCTTGGAATTAAAGGTGTTTAAGGTTGAGTTCCTCATAGTGCCTTGGTTTCCCTGTTCCTTACAATCAATGTGTTGAGTATATATTTCGGCGTGTAAAAAATAGTATCAATGATTGGTCGTTCAGATTTAATTCCGCACCCACATTGAACTGCCGAAGCGTCGCATGGCGCCCTTGGATTGCCTGAGACGAGTGGATGGGAAGAAAGTTACTCACGATAGAATAACCCCAAAAGTCAAGGACACCACAAAACTCGGAACTGATGGTGATGGTGATGCCAACGACTGGATGATCAAAAAGAAGCTGACTGCCAATGTCACCTTTCAAAGTCGGGCAGACCGGTATATGTTGAGCATCCTGGTCATGGGAGATTATGTACAGTGACAACTTCAAGTGTAAGTGCCGCCGCATCATTTGCAACCACATTGCAGCTTGTCTCAACCAGCGATCACAGAGCTGTAAATGTTCATCAAGACGGCGTGGATGCCTAGAACGTCTAGTCGACTGCCCCAGAAGCCGGAGGAATGAATGGGATCAGGAACAATGTATTCTGAGGAGGTTATCTGAATTCCGCTGGTGTACCGCAACAATACAGCTGGGACAATCCTCCGAATGCGGCATCTTGGCAATGAAGTGGCTCTGTCCTTCTGCAATTCTGTGATAAAGACCCAGTCTTCCTGGATCGACGGTTCTGATGTAACCCATTGATCGTATCTTACAGGAACTCACGGCACCTACCAATGAAACCTCAGGACGTCGCGGTGTAGTGAATGATTGTATCAGTAATCAAATTCTGATACACTTGTGGGTTTTGTTCCAATGTAAAGCCGCCGAGAGGAGCGCGGTGAATCGCATAAAGGTCTGAGAGTGCAAGTAAGTCGCATCGACCCTCAAGACATACCATGGCTCCCGTACAGATTCCCGGTGTCAACGTTCCCCTCCTGTGAGTTCTCGATCTCTTGGTAAAGTCTTGTCGAAAGGACACTGATGGATTTACGCAGCACCGGCCCTTTGGTATGCCGGTTATGGCCCAGGATGCGTCAGACTCTCAAAGGTTTTCTAGGTCCTGGGTTATATGTGGGGGTATGGCCTCTTTGGTGTTCTTACTGTGCAAATGTGTACGTATCAGCTTGACAGATGTTTGCCGAAATGGTCCTGACAGATCTTATAGATATCTATTACATCCATTTCAACTCTAAAGACGACTGGAAGATGAGGCTATATGGTTGGTCCTACGGCTGCGCTTCTGCTATCCATTCTAATAAGGACGCAGTCTGGTTTATATTCCTCCTTGAGCTCATATTCACCATCTTTTCAACCATTGCTGCATGGGATCAGTATGGTCCGGGGTGGGGTGACGTCGACTCTATTCTGCTCATCGATTGGTCTTGGGAACCACTTCCATCGCTGAATGGAACGAGTCAGTTTTCGCTCGATCCGATTGCGTTCCTGGTAGACTCATGGTATCTCAACAGTTTCGGCTATGGTTCAGACTTTCTATGTCTGGAGAATATATAATCTGACAAAAAATATCTGGATCTCGTTACTTATTGAAGTGGTGAGTACATGAATGCGTTCACTCTGAATCATTCTCATTTTTGAATTTCTTCCAGGTTGCTATTGTCCAATGTGTTTTCGCTTGGTATTTCGGTATAGCTGTACGCGGCCTTCGTATGTATATCTGCAGTGGCTCAATCCAAACAGGTATCGGTTCAAGGGCTTGGTGTAGAAAAGCTCATAGGATTATCCCCTGAAGTCAGCGTGCGTATTCGTCCTGATTTTGACTTATGCGTTTCTCTGACTTGACTCCAGACATGGCTTGCCGGAAGTGCTGCCTGTGATGTGATGATTACATCAACGATTGTCTTTGTGGTGTGTGATCTAATCGAGTCTTCTTCTACTTCCTGTTACTAAAGCCGACGAGTAGTTGTATCGTGCAAATTCGCGGTCCAACTTCAGTCAGACGACAAGCGCTGTCACGAAAATCATCCGTTTCACAGTAGAAACTGGCCTGCTTACTTCTGCTGCGGCTGTAGTAGAGCTGATTCTGTGGTTAACTCAATCCGAGTACAACATACATTTCATTGGGTGAGTAGTTTCTGTTACCTCTACGAATGAATCGTCTAATCGTCATATTCCGCTAGTTTCCTCGTTCTGGGAAAATTGTTCGTCGCGGCTCCATTCGTCTACCCATAACTACTGATAGTTTGTCTTCACAGATACTCTAACGCTCTGGTTGCTACCTTGAATTCCAGGGCGCTCATTTTTGGATCTGTGCACACTGGTGCTTACACTAGTTCGTCCGGATCCGCCGGTCCTCACACTTCGAACCCGTTCTGGGACGAGGGGGCAAAAAGTCAAACCCATTCTATTGGCACACGATCTCAGGCAGTGCATGTCACCAGGACCACCGAAGTTCACGACGATGATTCTCACGAAATGATCGTGGTATCGGTGAATATTTACTTGTTTGCTTTCTATTACCATCTGATAATATAATAGGATCTGAAGCGGGCAGCTGGTGACGACTTGGAAATTGGAGCTCATGGTCATAATAACGATGAAGCAAAATACGGCGGACATCGTGTGCATCTGTAAATAAAACTGGCTACGGTGACAACAGCATGTAGGGGGTCAGATGTACTACGTTTAATTTATATTTGTTGTATGTCTGTTTCGTGGGACGATAATAATTTTACAGGCGACCGAAATGGGCTTAAATATTTCTTGCGACCATTAATGTGAGTTGAATGTTCTAACTGGAACTTATCGGCAACTTCCAGTCGGCATTTGACAGCCGCCCCCACGTGGAGTCGTTTGCGCTTTTCAGTCCGGCCGACGCACTCTGTGTGCCTTCATAACTTTATTACGCTAGATGACACTGGATTTTTCGCCCTTACTGATCTACACGGGGATCTACTCCGCTCGCACGCAGTTTGGCTGCCAGGCATGGACCCGCTATAATCATGATGAAAGAAGACTAGGTTATCATTACTCTCATTTTGCGTCGTACTGTATCAGATTTCTTCTGCTGACATTGTTCCACTGATGCCGCAAGTAAAGATGACCTCAAGGTTCACACTCAAGATCAGTCATGAAACGGCCGCCGGTGTCACCCACTGTCGAACACGAAGCACTGAGTTGCCTGTCTATCAAGGTCATCTGTTTTCAAGATGCTTCTCCCCGATGTCCTCATGCGGTAATCGGAATCTCTAGCTATGACGGAAGATAAGCATTTAATTGTCCTACCCCACATTTCGGAAGGCTACTACTATTTATTACAGTCTTCGAACTCTCCGGCTTTCAGTTTCTGCGTGAGGCTCGGTGTCTTCGACCGACCCAGTCCTAGGAGTCTTCTATTGTTCAAGTTGAAGGATCAAGGGAGTACGATTTGACAGTCTAGGAGAAAATATCATTGCGGAACCTTGTTCCACGTCAATTTCGGATCTAAATGATGCATATCCTGCGGCTCTGACTCTATGATCTCTGGGCATTTCAAGTTTGGGCGTCTGTATCGTTCTAAGGCAGACAGAAGGTATTCTCAATTACACATTCCTTTCGTGGTATGCCGCAGGTGTTGTTCGACTAAGAATCAGCTCTGACGATGATCTCGGGCCGCCAAGAGGAAGCATTTCCCAAGTATAACCAAAGTGCACACGGGAAACGGTAGGTGCACCTTTTAATGCCAATATCAGCTGAAAACGTATTCAACATGCTTGAAGGCGACCCTCAGGTGATCAAAACAGACAACACCTCAATTGAGGCCATTCCGCATTTCTGTTCCTGTGATGCCGTGTGTACACCCTCAAATATCACGCACGCTGGGGTCAAGGGACCTTACGGATACAAATCAAGATCACTGCGACTCCTCCTTACATGACAAGAATCCCGTTTTCGCATTCGGTAACTTCTGCGGTTTTACAAAATCCTCCGTTTTCCCCGATCGCGGATTCAAAGCAATAAGGAACTCAGGCAAACCCGAAAGCGATGTGGGCTGCATCATGTAACCTGGTCTCCCAACGGGTGATGATGCACATTGTACGGAAGTGTATGGTGAATAAGAGTCCCCAGTTGTGCTTGTGGCTATTGATGCTGCGATGATCTTTCGGGACAAATCCCGAGGGTCCACCTTTCTCCCAAAAGATATTTCGAGTATTATGTATATCATCATCAAGCAAATTTTACTCACGTCAAGGCTGTTTTCTGCACTCGCATGTGCAAGGCTTCGTCTTTAACATTTCCATCCACATCATACCTCGACAATGTCTAACGCTACCAATCAAGTGACCGAGCGATATTGTGGGAGGCCGCTCGGCGTGTGCTCTAGTCATGGCCGAGATCATTTTGGACCATCACAAACTTCCCGCGCAGAAACTGATGCTCATGCTCATATCAACAAATCATCATTTCACCCGAACCAGCATCAAAATCAGGCATTGTGTCTTTTCCTCTGCGCGCGCGGTACACAAAGGCACTAGAATATTGTGCCAAGGTTCGGTTTACATGTGTTCGGGGTTTTAAAAATGCAAGCACAAATCGAACGTTCTTTTTACATACCTCGGGCCTCGTGACCGCGAATGATCCCGCGACAATTGAACGGAAAGACACCGAGAAGTGGAGAGATTGAAACTAAAACACGGTCAAATCGGGGTACTTCTTCGCATCAAACACTGATATGGCGGTACGAATTTCTTCTACAAAATATCCAGACTACAAAAACTGGCCACATGGAGTTCTAGTTGCAGGACCATGGAGACCCATCCAGCCCCTTTAGTTCTCGCATATCCTCCTCTAGACGGGTCCCTCCTGCTCCACGAACTTCCTGATTTCCATCTCTACCACAATCCCTCTCATCCGTTGTTTGTATACGCCGAGCATGACGCGGAAGTCCTACGTGAAATTTCCCATTTAGAGTTCTGTCGCGCTGTTCATCGAGTTGCTCATGCTGTGGACCATATCCCTCGAACAACACCCGTGGGAGTTCTTGCGCTGACGGATACAATCTTATATTACGCTCTATTCTTCGGGTTGATGAAAGCAGGTCATACAGTAAGTTGTGCGCTTCTTAAACCTAGACCAGTTTTTGACATGGCCTCTAGCCCTACCTTCTGTCACCAAGAAATTCTGCTGCCGCCACAGCCAAACTTCTACAGGATGTCGGCAGTCGCCATCTCATGGCGTCATCGTCATTCAAAGCGCTTGTCCAGGAAATTCAGCTCGAGCTCGAATTGGAATCGTTGGTCAACCTCTCGGTCTTTGGATTGCCGTCTCTCGATAGCATCTTCCCAAAACTAGGTTTGGAAACGCGGGAGGATCCTTTTACGCCCTACGTGTCTCCTACACGATTCCTGTTGACTGATGTTGCCTTCTACCTGCATTCCTCCGGTAGCACAGGACTCCCCAAGACCATTCCGCAAACCCAGACATCTATCTTGCATTGGTGCTCATTCCGTATGTCATCTTCTTTTGCGGCTGTTCCTTTCATTGAGCATTCCGAAACAGAGTCTATACGCGACTTGATCCATCAACCCAGTCTTCGGATTGGTGGTTTCATGTTACCATCCTTCCACACGCTTGGAATATACTTCCAGATCTTGACACCGCTGGTTGGCTTACGGACTGTCGCCGTTTATCCACCCCTGTGTAAAACCCCCGCCTCCCAACCCTTCACGCCTTCCCCCGGAAGTGTTCTGGAGCACATCACCCTTACGCGGTCCAACTCTCTGGTCGCCATCCCTGCAATCATCGAAGTATGGGCTTCCATCCCGGCTGCAGTTGATGTTCTTCGCGAATTGCAAATTGTGGTGCGTTCGGCTTTCACAATGTACGAGACGATGCAATAAATATATCTTCAGTGGTACTCGGGCGGAACGTTATCCGCCAAGGTTGGCAACAAGCTTCATGCAAGCGGCGTGACTCTATCGTCAGTGTATGGGGCCACTGAGTTCGGAGCGCCAGCGCACACTATTCCGCTAGCTGCTGATGTTAAGGCCGGCGAATGGTCATGGATACGGTTCGACTCCCGGGCAACTATTCAGATGATACCACACGGTGATGGTCTATTTGAGGCACATTTTATGGTGGGATTTGGTATTTCCCGTGATACCAAAATCAATGATTCATTGATATCATCAGAATACAGAAAAGCATCACGTTTCAGTGCACAACTTGCCCGACGGTCTTGGTTATGCGACGGCGGACTTATTTCAGAAGCACCCTACCAAAAACCTGTGGAAGATGTGGGTGTTACAGCTCTAAGTTGGTGTTCTGTTCTGACGTTCTTGCTCTAGAGCTGCAAGGATGGATGACGTTATTGTTCTTTCATCTGGCGAGAAGGCTATCCCGGGGCCAATGGAAGACATAATCAACTCCAGTCCATTGGTCGTGGGGTCGGTGATGTTTGGTCGTGAACAACCTCAGGTTGGAATCATTGTACACCCGAAGAACGCAGTACCCGACGAAGGGGCTGACGCGTTCATAGATGCCATTTGGTGATGGTCCATGCTTCTAGCTTCTGACATGGCCCTGATTTATATTTATTTTTTAGGCCGGTAGTAGAAGAAGCAAATCATCAAGCTCCGACCTTCAGCAAAATTTACAGGGATATGATCATAGTTACGCCACTAACGAAACCCCTTCCTAAGTCTTCGAAAGGATCTATTCACAGGAAATTATCCCTGGAGGCCTTCGGCAAAGAGATCTCCGACTTGTAAGTCTCTACTTCAGCCGTCTTACATCTCAATCTTACGTTGGGCCAGATATTCGAGTATCAAATCCGACGTTGGCCTCTCATCGTCAGTGAAACTACCATCAGACTGGTCCTCTTCCAAAGTCTATGCCTGGATATTGGATCAAGCTACTGAGGTTATGGGGTCTCCGATTTTACCAGATGTCGATTTCTTCCAGCAAGGATTCGATAGGTATGTAGGTATTCTTTCCGGCTAACCCCATGGTCACATCTTCTTCCCAGTCTCAGCGCTTCTATCCTGCGGCATCACATTACCTCTGCAATGCGTGCTTCACCCATCATTGCTGTTCGCCAGGAGGCGGAACGCTTTACGTTGGACTGCATATATAAATACCCTTCCGTCCGACAACTTTCCGCGTCCTTTGATGCACTCGTCAAGGGTTCGATTCCAGTATCGCATGCCTCTGAAAACGCTTTGGAATCCATGATTAACCGATATAGTGGATTCTCAGCTGCTAGGGCATCTCCCGTCGATAGTGCAATATCCATGGGCTCGGAAGAGGAAGATCATGTTCTGGACACCTCTGTGATCTTGCTGACAGGATCCACCGGTTCACTTGGGACGCATGTTCTGGCTAGGCTCATATCTTCTTCTAGTGTTAAAGCGATATATTGCCTAAACCGACCGTCAAGCCAGACAACGTTGAAACAACGACAACAGAGCATGTTCAAGACGCGGGGACTTGATATAACTTTACTGGATTCACCGAAGGTCTTTCTAATCGAGGGTAATATGACGGAAGAAAGATTTGGCTTGGAAGATCATCTTTTCCGGAGTGTAAGCCCTGGGCCACACGACTGAGCTAGATGCTTCACTGATATGCCCATATAGATGCTTATCTCAGTCAATGTTATTATTCACGCAGCGTGGAGAGTCGACTTCAATTTGAAACTATCGTCTTTCGAGCCAAACATCGAGGCCACTCAGAACCTCATCAACTTCGCTCTTGACAGTAAACGTTCAACGGCTACTCGATTTGTCTTCGTTTCTTCAATAACCTCCGTGCAATCCTGGACGGGAAACGCTGGCGTCGTCCCTGAATCTACGATTGACAACTGGAAGGTAGCTGTCGGAAGGGGATACGGTGAGGGTAAATATGTCGCCGAACAAGTATGTAAAATCACTGTGTCATTGGCGGCGTTTGCTCACCCTGCACAAACAGCTGCTTAGTCGAAGCGGTCTTCGAGGGACGAGCCTTCGGCTCGGCCAACTATGTGGTGGTTCACATGTGGGCGCATGGTCGACTACCGAATGGTTCCCAATTCTCGTTAAGTCTAGTATAGCGATCAATGCACTACCATCGTTCTCTGGGGTAAGTTCCACCTATGGAGAAGGGTGCTGGATATTGACGTTCTAACTAGGTTGTATCGTGGATGACTGTGCAATCAGTAGCGCAGATAATTCTGGATATAGTGTTCAGTTCGGAAGCGGAGCCTGTGATCAATCTTGTTCACCCAAAGCCGGTGCCATGGGCATCTATCGTTACACAAGTACGACATGCTTTGAAAGAAGATATTTCAGTGAAGCCTGCCTCAGAGTGGTTCGAGATCCTTGAGAGCAGGTCGCAAACGGCTTCTTCGGAGGACATACAACGTATTGTGCGCCTTTCTATGCTGTCCATCGTGTCGTGTCTGAATGGAAATCTTTACATAGCCTGCTCTGAAACTGTTGGCCTTCTTTCGTGAGATGATACAGGGGGACGACAGTAGTGTTGATGACCAGGAAAGTGGTGGACTGCCCAGGTTTTCCACTTCGAAGGCCAAAAAATGCAGCTCCACGATGTTCAACGTCAAGTCGATTGGGTCAGAAGAAGTGGAGGGCTGGGTAAGATATTGGAAAGAAGTCGGGTTTATAAGGGCGTGAGGTGGCATTTTTATTTGCCTGAGACTGTATTATGCAGGATTGTTGTATCATCTCTTATGTATAGTAGTCATCGCAACACTTAGGGTTTACAAACAACACTAATGAAATGGGGAATTTTTCCTATAGAATACAGTCTGTACTAGAGATTTGACAGATATTGTGATTAGTCAGTCAAAGCTGACATTTCGCAAGAGAGCGTCAACACAAAATTATGTTCGCTATGCAGTGGTCGATCCTCAAGGAGTCGAAAACTTGAAGACCGGATGGCTTGGACACCTCTGTTGATGAAACACAGGTAAATAAGTATGAAATAATTCCCTTCAGTAGCCCGTTATGAGCGTAGTAAGGATAAGGAAGCGTAAAGCGAACCCGGAAGGTGAATCAGGGTGAGTCTAGCTGGGAGCGGCCCGAAGTCCGACTTTCCCCAATCCAGACATGGTCTGTGCACTCAAAATTCCGCGGTACAAAAAGGGCATCCCGACATCCAGATTCCTTACCACTCTGGCCTTTTGGCTTAGATCAAGTGTAGTATCTGTTCTTAATAGTTTAACCACTATTACGGAGGCACCGCCTCCCGTATTGGTTATCTAATTTTTGCCGCCCTTGTCCTCTGTGCTCTGCTTGCAACAAGGAGGCGCGATGACCTTGCTACTGCAGTACTGGCTTGTGTCGTCGGGGGATCCCCTTTTCTTTGCTGTGTACTTTCGAGGACTTCCAGTTGGCGGTCTTTGGGTTGCAGCAAACAAATGGATCATCAATATCTTTCTAGTTCGATTTCTTCCAATTTACCTGTTCTTGGTCTTTAGATAAAATCATCCAGGTGAATACGATGATGTTATGTATAATTCATCGCTAACCGCGGTAGTTGGTTCCTCATGCAACCAATATATTGTATCGGGAGTACATGGCATCTATCTCTGACGTCTGACATGACGAGTCAGATAAGTGATTGAAAACTCGGCACTTGATAGTGAGGGACAACTGAATGAATAAATATCGTATGTGTACTGATACCAACAATGAAAAATATGGATGTTTAAACAAGGATAACACAAGTGAAAGCAGAATTGAGGAGAAACTATTATGGCACAAATGTCATTTGACATTGTAGAAACGAGAGGAAGCCCAGAATGAGATGAAACATAGAGATGTATTAGGGTATGACTGTAAGTATAATCGAGAACACAGGAGAGAATCGGAAACTAAAGGAGAGACTGACGAGGTAGTACAGCATGGAGGTTTTTTGAGTGATAAAAAAAGGAATGTACTGTTGAAAAGAGTCTACCGCTGCAAATCCGCGCGTCTGTTAAGTCCTCCAGGTCAGTGAATGATATAAAAAGAGCCGCGAAAAGCACTCACTGTCTAATAGTATCATACAGAAACTTGTAGCTTCGCAAGTTGCCCTTCAGACGTCGAATGTCGAGACTGTACGTGTCATTGAGGCGATCCATCCTAGTGAGTTCCACCGAGAACCGAACTTCGTCTCCAACATCCTCAGTAGGATCACCATACACCGGGTCCAGTATCGCACCAGGCTCTAGAACCATCACGCTTGGCTCTTCTTCAAAGGAGACCGACATATTTCCAGATTGAGAAACATGTGATGACTGTCGACGCATCAAGAGGCCACGTAACATTCCTCCGGAGAATGATGCATGTGAGGGTACAGGTAAACCGCGCCTATCAACCTATCCAAGACGACAAAACAATCAGTAAACAGCCTGCCTCAAAGCAATAAAGATCCCTACTCCATTCGACGCCGCGCTGCCCATCACTGAAACAGCAGCTAACCCGCCACCGCTAGGACTGGCACCAACGTTGGCAATCACACCCGGCACCCCTGGAACCTTTTTTCGTTTCGCCCTGATACAGCGATACTTATACTCGCTCTCCACCTGAACTTCTATCCCCATCCCTATCAAAACCTCCTTCATATGTTTTATCACCTCAGGTGGAGGTTGCGTCGTCACCATATCCTGATCGACTGCGCCATGATGAATACGAAGGGCACCTGCAACATTCTTCGAATGTGAACCACTTCCTCCGCCGCCACCGCCAACAGTCACAGAGTTCCTGATGCGGGTCACTAGGCTCGGCGTCGTCAAGGACGCATCTGTCGCTGAAGAAGGCGTTCGTTGGGAATGTATCGGCGCCTGATGACCGGAAGGAGTCCTCGAAGGGGCAGTAAGCGTCACTTGAACCGACGCCGCGCGGGGGGATGATAGCGTCTGGTTGACTGCATTCGACGACCTGTTTCTTGACTCATTCTTTCGAACATTATCCGGCGCTACTGGCTTTTCTTCTTCCTCCTCCTCCACTGGGTCGCGCCCTTTACTCTTGCTCCTGAACCAGTGCATGACCTTCCTAGCCTTACTCGTCGAGGCCGGCATACCAGAGTCTCTATCAGGACCAGGCGCGTCGTACACATCGTTAGTTGGTCTAGACGTCACCTCGCTGAACTCCTGAGTAGCAGGCACGGGAACATTGGCAGCAGAAACCTGAGGAGTTGATACAGCACTCTTCTCGTTCTGAGCATCGTCCACAGCAGAGACTGGCGTCGCTGCTATTTTGCCTTTGCGGCTCTTTATCGTCCGGTTAATGATGACAGTGAGAGAGCTCCTCCGGCTCTTCTTATCCGTCGCGGCGACGTGAGAAACATTGTCCTTTTCCTTTTCGCTGGGGGCGGGAGTGAGTAACGAGCCGGAGGTATTGGAGGCATTGGAGGCAGATACTCCATTGACAGTGTGGTCGTTGCTGAATATCTTTGCTAAACCACCGACTGTCGACACACCGCGCCTGCGCTTGCCGCTTCCTCTTGAAGAAGATTCTTCATCTTGATCATCAGCACCACCTTCCGGAGAAGCAAAGGCAAGAGGTGTATCAGGAGGACTGGCCACAGTGATATTAGGACGTTCCGGCTCACTGTTCTGTACTGGCACGGCCTTGCTACCTGTACGTTCACGACGAGGAGTAACAGGCGCGGGAGCAGGAGGTGATGGAGGCAAGGGCTTCGCTCCGCTACTCTGAGAAGGTCGCCGTTTCTCTGAAGTCTGACCGTTGAACGAGGAAGGCTGCATTTGAGTATGGCCACGGGAAGTCGAACGCTCTCTCTGCTTCCTCTCCCTGTCACGTTCCCGAGGACCATCGTCTTGAGGCTCTTTGCCCTTCTCCTTCCTTGAGGACCGATCTCGGGGGCCGTCATACTCAACTTGAACAGTGTGAGGCCTCGCGGCGCCTTTTCTTCCGCCGGGCTTGCTGGTAACTTCGGGTGAAACCACGCCGCTGGGGGCAGCAAACGGATCTTCACTATCCATGCCCTCATAACGTCCGCCGCTTCCTGGGACAGGCGCCGACGTCGGTGGTGATGACGGGCCCGAGTATCCAGCACCCTGATCCACAGACGTCTCATAGACGAGACCAGGCTGGATCGAGTGACTCCGGGAGGGTTTGCTCGCTGACGCGGAGGTGCTTCCGGTTTCATAGCCTGTGGGACGATGACTGTGACTTCTGCCTATCCTATCAGGTGAGCCCGATCCGGAGGCGACTGCAGCGGCTTTCATCTGCCGTTGGTAAGCCAGTCGTTTTTGGTGATGTTGCTCCATCGCCGCGCGCTCCAATTCTTCTACGGTTCGGCCAAACGCACGGGGAACAGGTAGAGTCGGATCGGTCGGTGTACTGTTGTATACAGCGAGCCACGGGTGAGCCATAACTTGATCGAGACTAGCGCGGTAAGCGGGATCTGGCACTAGCATGAGGGAGAGAAGGCCGCGAGCTTCCTGGGAGACATAATCGGGAAAAGATAAGGGAGTGTTAACGATATATTTATACAAAAGATTGATATTGTCGCCATCGGGATTCGCGGGGTCATCGTCGAAAGGGAGATAACCAGCAAGCATTGCATAGAGAATAACGCCACAGCTCCAGATGTCTACGGCGCTACCGACATAGAGCCCCTCACTAATGACCAGTTCAGGAGCGGCATAGCAAGGGGACCCGCAGGACGTCTGCATGAGATCATCTGAGCGATGCTCAAAGCGGTTTGCAAAACCAAAGTCGGTGATGATCACATTGCGATGCCTGTCGAGTAGAAGATTCTCGAGTTTGAGATCTCTATGAACGATTTTTTTCTGATGGATGTACCAGACGCCGGATATGAGTTGGGAAAAGAGTTTGGCGGCGTCTCTTTCACGCAGGTAGCGGTGGGCAAGGATGTGGTCGAAGAGTTCACCCCCGGAAGCATATTCAATAATGATACCGATGTATTTGTCAGTTTCGATAACATCGTACAGGCGCACGATGTTGGGGTGCTTGAGGGTCTAGGAGAGACTGATGAGTGGCCGAAAAGGAAGAAGAAAAGAGAAAGAAATGCATAGACTTACCCTTAGAACCTCTATTTCACGTTCTACCTTGGACATGCGAACAGTGGTGTCAACATTTCCGCGTCTAATGAGCTTTACAGCTACTTCCTCTCCCCACTGGCTGTGAAGGCCAAGTTTGACTTTACCGAATTCGCCCTCGCCAAGAGTCTGCAAGAGCAGGTACGGGCCAAACTTTGGAATCGTCCGCCGTGGATGTGCTGCTGCATATGCCACTGCTGCCGGATGAGAATAAACATCCGTGTAAGGAGGTTGGCCGTCGTCCTGAGCATGACCGCCATTGAGATGGTGGCTGCTCGACGACGATGACTGGTGGTTCTGTGCAGAAGAGGAGACGACAGAGTGTGACGCTCGCTGTTTTCTGGCCGCTGACGAAGGTGCCGCTGCCGAAGCTGAAGATTGAACATTTACCGACACAGGACGGGAGCTACCGGCGGGGTATTGCTGGCGTGAAGGACCTGCAGCAGCGTCCATCGTAGGAATTTTGAGGCTTGACGATGGCGCCATTGTTGGAGGGAGCGTCGTCGACGCTGAGGACGATGACGAAGAAGGCAAGTGGTGGCAGTCCAACAGAAAGAGCTTTGAACCAGACACGTGCATGTGCCTGCTTGACAACCGGCTCACTTGTGTACCTTCACAGGGCACAAAGTTCTTCTTTCCCGAACGCCCTCAATTTTCTCCTTCTCTTCGCTTTTAATGTCGATAAAAATCAACAGGGAACTACTTGAAATTTCATAAGGGTATTGCTTTATAGAATCACTCTGGCTGCATTTTCCACGACAGTGGCGGGGGCCGCAATCATTCAAAGCATCCACTTTTTCGGCTGGCAGGTTGTATCTTTTCTGTACAATCAGTCCATCGCGAAGTCCAGACGTCGCATAACGTCAGCGTTGCTAATACCGCCAGACGCATCATATGCTTTCATCAATATCGATTTTCCTTGTCGAGTACTTGTTTCTGTCTTGAACTGGGAACACTATGACTTACTCTGGGGATCGCGAAGGAAGAAAAATTTCCATCTTCTATCCGGGGTTCTATTCGATTGCGGCCCTGTTCGTGAAATACCGAACGTTTCGGTTTCATCCCTCAAATCTGCGCACCTTGTCCGGGATAACCGCTGACCCTATCCAGTAAGGTACACTACTTCGGCTGACGCGCTGCACTATATTATGCTCGGCTTCTGGATGTTTATTTGAGGCGGCTTAACGACCATATACCCACCCCGGGACCGAACCGTGAGAGGTACTTATCAGCCATCTGTGTACCAGTATCCGAGCAATAACAGAAAGAACGTCGTAGCTCTTCTCTTTCTTGTAGATGGCAGCTGCGTGACCTTGAACGTTTGGTTTTCACGGACTATTTTTACTCATTCTCTTCGCGATATTCAACGTTAACCATTTTTCGCTTAGCCCGAAGCCCGACTGGCTCCTCATGATCCTTTTTGTTGTGCGTCCGAATATACTCCAGTGCACATATCACGCCGTGAGGCACCGTCCAAGTAGCAGCGTTCTAAACGTTTTTGCTGAATATCCCGAATAACTTCTCTTGGTATCAACGTGCTGCGTACGCCAGTTCCTGTTATCAACCACTCATTCTTATGGCCGACGGAGATCTTAATTTTCTTGTAGAGCGGAGTGCTGCTGCACCACATCAGGCTATCGTATTGGAGAACTTTAAAAAAACACCAATTCTACGTCAAAATTGTATTTGAATGCTTTGTTCGTTGCCATCTTCTTTACTCGCATCGAAATTTTCTCTACGTTCGGCATCCTTTCTTCGCCCTTCAAAACGAATTGACTACTACCCGGTGATTAATATCTTTGACATATTCAATCCATCGCGGAACGCCACCACCGACGCAGCGCAAGATCTGACTTAATGGCGCTAAATTAGTCCTCGTCAAGGCTCCGAGGCTCAGGTAAACCATACCATATCGCAAACCAGATTGTGTTAATGCTACATACATAAAAGCATATATAAATGAGTACACAAACTACATACTAAATACTAGGGCTACGGCAACACAACACGCATACGATACGAATCGAATAGCTAAAAATTGAAGTCCAGTCCTAGGCAGCAGGTGGCGGCTCCGTACCCTTCTTAATAGCCTTTGGATTTGAAGTGAGGCTCTTGTGAATGAACGGCAGAACTCCTCCTCCAGCAATAGTAGCCCTCACAAGCGTATCCAACTCCTCATCACCACGAATAGCAAGCTGTAAATGACGAGGTGTAATTCGCTTCACGCGCAAATCTTTTGATGCATTACCTAGATGAATTAATGTTTCATCTATATTGAAAAAAGACGTCAAAAATTAGACTCGTACCTGCGAGTTCTAGAACTTCAGCAGTGAGGTACTCCAAGATGGCAGAAGTGTAAACCGCAGCCTTGGCACCGATACGGACATTGTGCTGTGTACGTTGTTTTAGGTAACGGTGAATCCGACCTACTGGGAACTAGTATAGACATGAGCGACGTCATAACAAGGTCACCAAGAGGAGATATATACCTGCAACCCAGCTTTCTGACTCCTTGTCTGTACATTCTTCGGCTGATTGGGCCCTCCTGGAGCTCCACCTCCGCCTGCCTTTGACTTTCCACCAGACTTTGCAGCAGGGGCCATAATTTAGCGTTTGCAGGTAAAGGTTGACAACGTTTCACGGCAATAATGGCAGCTAGACAGGTAGTCTCTTTCAAAGACCATACCTCCTGTCAACACATTTCATCAGAATATCATAAACAGACTCACAGCCTGGGTTATTGCTTAGGAGCCACAAGAAAAATCCACCGGAAATGATATCGCAAACGTCGCGCCCGAGACGTATCTGCCGACATTTCAGGTCAGAACTTGTGGAACTGGGAAAAGGAGAGCGGCACGAACTTTTGGAAACGCGAAAGTGGCTGCACCGTGGTGGTTCCAAAGAAAGAAGCGTGTTGTTGATTGTTGACTAAGATTCTCATACATCAACGATGGCACGTGATCCCACGATCGCGACTGCGGCAAAGTTCGGCCCGGTGTCGATGTGCCCTAAGGCTGTGTTCGGCGTTCACTCAACTTTGAACTCTTCCATTGTGACGTCTATCGAGCATCCAAATCCTTTTTTGTCAGGAGCTACCGAGGTCTATTATTTTACATCCTTTATGAGCTGTATCAGCGGAGGTGACTCGGGACGGGAGGTAAGTCAGGTGAGCGTCAATCTAGTTTTCTAGTTTTCTTGCTCCCTGTCACGTATCAAGAGGCAGCAAGAAGATAACTAAAAAAAAAAGAATCAAAGGTAGGAGTTTTGCGTTTAGCTGAGGTCGTAACGTATCGATACGAGCTGAAACAATGATTCTCCTTGGCAAAGCCTAAACACTCTAAAAGCCGTACCGCAGTTCTTCGTGGCGAGCTTTTTCTAAATGGTGAGTGTCAATATAATATATTATATTCGTGTATAAAATACATAATTAGCACAATCTACGCCGCCATGACCTAAGAAAAACGCATGAGCATCAGCTGTGGCGACTCCCAGACGAACGCTGGTGCTCCTACCATGACGGTAGGGAGAAGGGTGCACGTCACGTTGACTTTCCCTTTCAACCCCTGCAGCCTCTTCTTCATCCAATGTTCTGACTCTGCCAGAATCTCTTTCCTCGGACCGGAAACCACAATGCTCTCCAACGATTCCCAATTGCGCTTGGAATTGATGGTGTAGATGATAATATCCCAATCGATGAGATCAAGGTCATCTGTGCTGTTAATCTGCACACGTAGGGCGAGTTCTTTGATCTCTGATGAAACTTGGCCGATAATCTCTGGTAAATGTTTTGCTGCGGTGAGACGGGCCTGGTAAGGCTCGGCTAGAATAAGTTGATCGAATGCGAGGGAACGCAGACGTGTGTTGTGGCTCAGGTTGATATATCGACAGAAAGCATCTATATATCGTTCAGCTGTGCTGACGGAACACTTGAGCGACGTTACACACCTTGTGTAGCCGTTTCTTCGTTGATATCAACAACATTCAGATCTAGCACCTCGAGGGAAGGACCTAACTTCTCCACGAAATCTGCAACAGCGAGCGTTTCGGTGTCGGTAATACGTTCAAGAACAAGGTCTGTTATGATCGGGGTCGACGCTAGCCACCTTAAAACAGCATCATAGTTTCCCAAACGATGACTGTCAAGTCTGAGTTTGGTAAGACGGGGCGGAGGCACGGGTAGCGGGCTCAAACGGATGTGCAGTCCCAAAAGCAAGTCCATATCCAGCGACGTGCGGCGCAGGGTGAGCTCCTCAAGGCAATCACACACCGACAGCACATCAAGGCACTGATCTGGGGTCCGGAACTGGCACGACAAGAGCTGGAGCTGCTTCATGCTCTTCATGTGCGCGAAGAACGGAATGCCCGACTCGGACCAGGTGTCCGGGCGCATTCTATCGAAGCGCGCGCCGGTGATTGAGAGCGTTTTGACGTTAGTGAGGAGTGAGAGTTGGGGTAAAGCGTCGTTGAGCCATAACGTGCCCAGGCCGCTTAGACTGTATGCTTCGCGGATGACGAGGGTCCGGACGTAGGATGTGATTGTACACAGTGGGTGGGTCAACATAGCGGCAAAGGCATTGCATCGGGGGAAATCATTTGGGGGGAGGAAAACAGTCTCGAAAAGATAGAAGCGGCTACGGGCAAGCCAAGATCTGGAGGCAAGAGAGCAGGCTCCCAAAGTATCCCTCCGCTCGTGATATCTTTCCTGGTCTTTTACGCGGGACACGGGACCAAGGAGATGCACCTGGTCGATGATAGCATCAATGATTTCTGGAGGGAGGGCTGGGTAGTCGATGGCAGACATGAAGGATTGAAAGGATGGCTCAGGGTAAATTAAAGTGTCCGCACGTCTTTATATATGCCAACGTCAGGCTCGGGTTACAATACAGGGCGCGGTGCGACTCGGACGGTAATATCACCAAATTGAAGACTCGACGACTGGCCCCGACAGGGGCTCTTTGGGAATGGCTAGGGTAATAGGATATCGATGTTATCGTTGCTTTATAGCCGTTTAGGCCGGAATTTGGTCCCGTGCACATGCATATTTCTGAAGCTTCTCGAGGAGATTGGGAGTCCTCCGAGTCGGACATATTGAGATTAACCGCTTTTGGTACCATATATCCCGGAGAGACTGACATGTGTTCCACTATTTCGAGGCATTGTGATTGTGATGAACTTGAAGAAGTCGTAGGTCGGATCCTATCATCTTGGGAATTTTTAACATTTTGCAATCAAAACTTTGCACCGGGAGGAAGCATGAAGTGCTCACAGTTGAACGTTGAACGTCCATGTCTTAATGACTGAATGAAGTCAAAATAAAGCTGATGATGACCTTGATCTGTAAAAAATCATGCAGATAAGGAGAGCCCTCCGTGAATAAGGTGCTTCGTGTTGGAAGTGATGACGGGCAGAATTGCGTCGTCGATCACATTAATTACGGTATTACGCCGTATCAGGCCTCTCCCTCCTACACTGCACGTGTATTTTCCTTCACCCGGTTTGAACATTGACGCCCGACTTCCTTGAGATTCTCATCGAAATAGACATTCTTGAGTATGTTGAATTGGCACGGAAGCCCGTCTTCTCAACTGTGCTTGCGCCGCTGATGAGGAATTTCAAGTTCTCGAAACTTCGCAGGGACCGACTTTCGTAGAGATGTACGTCAAACTTCACATAGAATCTGCAGCTGCCACCTGGATTTCTTGTTCTAACTGACTCGTGCGTATACGCCAACAGAAGATATCTACTCCCCGACCCATTCATTTTGTATAGAACGAGTTGTGTCCTTCTTGAACAAGAAAAAGCTCGGCCTGATGAACTAACTTCTAAGGTTCTACTACTTATGGGTTCGTAGGGAAAGAGAAGGATTCTTGGCGACACATTGGTTGTGTGCTACGGGTACTTATGCAACTGTGTTCTTATTCTCAATCGTGTCACTGGCTGTATCTTCTAGGTTAACCTCCACCTCCTGTTCGAACCTTGTTGAGGCCATGGCCCCGGCAATTGTCAAAGGATTATATAACCGCTCATTCCTTTTTGGCAGATACGGAACCAACTTTCTCCGTACAGGTCGTTCAACATATGCACAAAGCCACGGGACTTCTCGATCTGTGATGCTAGTAAAGTACCCTCGAAGAACTAGGATATGAAGCCGGCTCTCACTGATGGTGAATTCCTTCCTATGTTGTTCTGCTTCAAGAGGCTTGTCAACGCGACTGTAGTAGTAGTAGTAGTAGTAGTAACCCTTGGAGCTAGGTAGCAAGTTTCACCCAAGATCCTTCGTTTAGGATAATCCGTTATAACTTTGAAAGGGCCAGATGTAACGACTTCAATACATCCAGTGGTCGTCCTTCTCATAGAAAGCTGGAGGCTCCAATGTTTGAGTATTTGAGAGGTCAGGAGCTGCAGAGAGAATTACTATACCATACCTAGCCTGATATTGTCCAAGCTCTTCGCGCTTCAACTTTCTTGAAGGTAAAGTCTGTTCAAGTTCTGGAAGTCGGTGTCCGGACCGACTGGGATTACCCGGACCTATCCGCTCCACGTGATCTATTTTTTTTGCTATGGAGAAAATTCCGCTTGTAATTTTGCATTGAGCGGCGACTTGAGGTTCTCGCCAACGACTACACCGACGATATGCTGGTTCGCACGGCACACAGAGCAGAGACGACTTTACTGGCGTCTCGCCAGGGACTGCCTCGTCCAGCTCGTCTTTATTCTACTCCCACCCGGCGTGTTAATGCACCTGCACTCGCAACAATGCCGGCGCCGCAACCTGATTTCCCCGCCAATCTACTGAGGGAAGCTGCTACCACTCAATACACGAATGAACTGGCTGGATACCTGAAGCAGCGAACACACTATACGTTCCTGCCCAGCGTACGCCCAAACGACAGTTCATCACCCAGCAACAATGAATGGTATGCAGACTCGGCCACGCAGGATCTACTTGCAGTGATGGATGCCTGCATACACAACCTTTACGATGTTCCTCGAGCAAAATCCATATTTGACCGTTTGCGTCGCAAAGCGGCCAAGTCAGTGTTGGAGACCCGCATATACAATACCCTCCTTGAGGCATATACCAACATGTCTTATTCCACATACGACAGCGACTATGAAACTAGCATGTATTGGATGGACACGGCTTGGGATTTGTTCGAAAACATTGAAAAGGGCGAGGAGGGCATCGAATCCAGTGCGAGCACGTATGCGATTATGCTTCTTGCTTTAAAACGGTGAGTGTTACTCGACTGTTTTTCGTATTTGATCACTCACTCTCTGTAAGATGTGGCCCTGGATCATCCAAGCCCATGGACCAACTCAATCTTCCCAAATATAACGAACTCCTCTCTTCCATTATTTCAAGGGGCCATTCCGTTTCTGCTGTGGTCTCTGATCGTGTATTCACCGACTCTGAGGAAGCCGCTGCCGTCATCAAGGAACTCTCCCATGCCGCTGTAGATCTCAATATGTCCAACATCGTCGCTGAGTTGGGGCAGGCAGAGGCAATTGGTACCACTTATACGGATATTCGCGACAGTATACCAGAGATTGTCCCCGTGACGCGGATAAAGGCAAGTACCTCTTTTCTCTGTTGTGAACCCTTGTCTGATGACCTTCAGCGCTCGGAGCCGTTGGTCGATGGTGTCGACGATGACTACATGGAAGAAGGAGAACAGGAAGCTGTCGTTCCCTTTAACCTGGACAATCTACGCCGGCATCTTGCTCAGGTGAACTATGCTCGACGCGTTCTTCCTGAGGATGTGGCCGCTCGCCAAAAGCTTCTCGAAGAATCTGTTTATGACGTCGCCGTAGAACGATTAAAACACGAAGCTACCGTATTTGACAACCTTGGTATAGGAGGAGCCTACCAAAAATCTATACGGAAATGGATGTGGGAATGGCACGTTGCGCTACAGGAGCGGCTGAAAGAGGAGATCAAGTCGATACAAACATTGGAGAAGAAGGCCAGGAACAGGCGATTCCTCTCTCCCTACCTGACTTTGGTTCAGCCCGAGAGGCTGTCCTTGATCACCATTCTTGAGCTCATGCGACTACAAGGGTCGGGCGGTGTGGCGGAGGGTATGAAGACGACAAGAGCGCTAATAACATTGGGGCGCGCGGTCGAGATGGAGTACAAGGCTCAAATGTGCAAGAAGAACAACATTCAAGTCCCCACCAACTTCAAGACCGACAAAGGTTTCTTCACCGGTCTTGGATATCAAGATTTGATGCAGAGGAGAGTCGTTGCAGCTCGGCAAATGACGGATGCAGAAGCCTGGACCTCTTCATGGACGCAAGCGACTCGGTCTCAGGTCGGAGGAATATTAGTTGATTGCTTGATGGAGGTTTCAAAGGTCACCAGAACGGCCACTGATAAGACAACAGGAGAAATAATGTGGGTGAAGGATTTTATTTCCATTTTATCTCTTACAAAGTGTGCTATAGAACGGAGGAACAGCCTGCATTCTATCACTCGTACGAGTACATACGGGGTCAGAAACTGGGCGTTCTTAGGCTCAATCCCGTTGTTGCAGAGGGCCTAGCTAAGGATAGTCTACGGGAAACACTTCATCCTCGCCACCTGCCTATGCTAGTTCCTCCAAAGCCTTGGGTAGGTCCGGAAATGGGCGGCTATTTCTACAACCGATGTATGTATATCATATTGCATGTTTGGTTCCACACTGACGCCTCTTTCGTGACAGCTTCTGCCATGCGATACAAAGACTCTGTTGAACAGCAAAGTTACATGAAGCGTGCGTCTGAACAGGGCAACGTGGAATTGGTTTACGCTGGGCTAGACGTTTTGGGTTCCACGCCATGGAAGATAAACAAGAAGATTTTCGACGTCGTTCTTGAAGTTTGGAACGCTGGTTATGGTTTAGGTAAATTGCCCCCTGCAGTCTATCCGCATCCTGAACCCCAGCCGCCTGCGGACAACAATATGAAGGACCGGGCGCTGTACATGTATAACCTCAAGCTTTATAACCAGGAGAAGGCCAACAACCATTCGTCGCGATGTAACGTCAATTACAAGATCGAGATTGCTCGTGCTGTAAGTGAAGCTTTTACGTCCCGATGTATCGAATACTCAAATGATTGTAGTTGCTGGGCGACAAGATCTATCAACCCCATAACGTGGATTTCCGTGGCCGTGCATACCCTATTCCTCCTCATTTGAACCATATCGGTGACGATCTTAGTCGGGGATTGTTAATGTTCGCCGAGGGAAAACCTCTTGGCGAGCGGGGACTTCGTTGGCTAAAAATTCATCTCTCTAACTTGTATGGATATGACAAGGCCAACTTCGATGAGCGAGAGCAATTCGTCATGGATCGGCTAGACGAAGTCTTCGACAGCGCTACCAAGCCTTTAACTGTATGTGATGTCTCTTTATTCAATGGTTGGGACTGACGATCATATGTAAATAGGGCTCCCGTTGGTGGACATATGCTGACGACCCTTGGCAGTGCTTGGCAACTTGCATGGAACTTCACGCTGCACTCACATCCGAAAATCCTACGGAATACCTGTCTTCGCAACCTGTGCACCAGGATGGCACGTGTAACGGTCTGCAGCACTATGCTGCCCTTGGTGGTGATTCGCGTGGTGCCCAACAGGTCAACCTTGCTGCTGGTGATCGTCCCTCCGATGTGTACACATATGTCGGAAACATGGTGGAAACGATTTTGGCTCGGGATGCAGCTGCCGGAGAACCACTTGCAGACATACTGAAGGGCAAGATTTCCAGGAAGATCGTGAAACAGACCGTCATGACGACGGTATATGGAGTTACCTACGTCGGCGCTCGTGAGCAGATCGAGAAACAGCTGAGGAACGTCGAGAGTCTGAAGAACGAGGACACCTGGACTTTGTCGGCTTATCTCGCTAAAGTGGTAAGTTTTTCCGGCCATTGTTATGACAATATGGAATCTCACTCTCTTGCCAGGTGCTGGCGTGTATTGGAGATCTTTTCAGTGGTGCCAAAGATATCCAAAACTGGCTAAACTTGTGCGCTCGGCTTATCTCTCGATCCATTCCCGAAGACCGCCTACCCGAGGCTTTGGAAGAATACAACAATAAGCGAGCGAACCCTTCAAAAGTGCTCCCCGCGGAACAGATCAAGAAGGAGCTGATGACTTCTGTCGTTTGGACTACACCCCTCGGACTGCCCATAGTCCAGCCATACCGGAAGACGAAGCGAAAGCAAGTTATGACTGCCGTGCAGACGGTGTATATTTCCGACCCCCTCAGTCCTGCTGAAGGTGAGCATTAGTGCTCGAAGAGGTTATATCGTTATTGATCAAACCCTTGCTAGTCAATTCACTCAAGCAAGCTTCTGCTTTCCCACCCAACTTCATCCACAGTCTGGATGCGACTCATATGATGTTGTCTGCTTTGGAATGTCAAGTTAGTCTTTTAGCTTTCTCTTATGGTTTATGTCTGACTGAAGTATCCGCAGCGACAAGGCTTAACTTTCGCTGCTGTTCATGACTCGTATTGGACGCACGCTTCGAGCATCGATCAGATGTCTGTGATCATCCGAGATACATTCATTGCTCTGCATCAATCCGATGTGCTTGGCAAACTTCGTGAAGAGGTGGGTCTGTTCTTACAGTTTTACGGTTCATTACTAATGATGTAATGTCTAGTTTGTTGAGCGTTATAAGGGTTATAAGATTCCTCTCATCAGTCTGCGCGGCGGCCAGATGGGCAAGCTTCTCCGTAATGCGGGTGCCTCGCTCAAAGTCACTGCAGAACAAGCACAGGAATATTCTATGCTGGGATCACTGATGGAGGTCACCGAAGAGGGCTCGACATTTACACATTCAGCTACAACTGCAGAGGCTGAGGAAGTGAACAGCCGACTAGATGAGATCGAGGAGACCCTGGTAGACGAGGATGAGGAGGACGTGGATATTGAGGATTTCTCAGAGGATGGAGCTGAACTATCCGACCGTCAAAAGAAGCTGAAGAAACGGAAAGCTATAAACGAAAAAGAGGCGCTGAAATTGGTGGGCAAGTTTGTGGACCTTGTCGACCTCCTTCCGCCTGTCCCGAAAAAAGGTGACTTCAGAGTAGAGGCGATCAAGGCGTCGCAATATTTCTTCTCATAGGCATCGCGCATTTCACCCACCCCACTTCATCACCATCCGGTCCTTGGTGGCCTTCACGTCGTTATCTTATTGCAACTTTCACTTCATATTTGGTTTTCGATGCACCATCATTGCTTAATGTATCAATAAGTACAGTACCCTATATATTAGACCTAGAGGAGAACATATTAGGAGTTTAAACGAACACGGGGGTACCACTGAGAAAACCATTGATGAGGCTCTTGGAAGACAAGTCTGGTTCAACGTTCACGTTCAGCTTGGCGGCATGTGTTGTATTTTTTTAAATTACAATCAGGCGTATTCCGTCTAATGGTGGTGCACTTCTGGCTTGGGAAGGTCCGCCTCGAGGAAACTGAGGTACGCATCCGCACCGCTGGTAGTGTCTGCCGACTCGCTTGCAACAGCAACCTCTACTTCAGCCAAAGTTGGTTCGGACGCATCGTATGCAGCCAATTCGGAGGCGATGTCAGCGGGAAGGGTGGGTGGTTGCGGTGCCGCTGGGGTCGAGTACGTCTTGACTACGCCGACATGGGCATCTTTGGCCTACAACGAACAGATGGTACTAAGTAAAAATGGAAAAGTAAAGATAGAGAGTGACGCACGACAGGCGCTGGCTTGTAGCTCTTCAGTTCCTTGAGATATAAGTCCTGGACGAGGTCTACGGGTGTATTCGGGATCAGGAACATTCGTACGGAATAGCGGCGACGTATGCACCTTTGCGGGAAGCGACGGTCGACGAAAAAGCGCGGGTACGCGACACAATACGAGCCTGAAAATTTGTGCTATTTAGCAGAGAGAAAAAAAAACTGGAAATAACAGAAACGTACAGCGCTGGCTGCCTGCCTGAGAATTGTTGACATGGCGGAGAGGAAGAGGAAAGTGTGACTGTGACGTAACAGAGTCGTGACCGGAACGTCGAGTCTCTCCGGATTCCACCTTGACCAACAACTACATCATGTTTCGCATTCCTGCTGCTCGTCGCATCACCAACTTGTCCGTCGCACAGAGGCGATACACCTCCAGCTTGAAGGAAGGTGCTGTTGCTCAGTCAAAGGGTGCATTCCAGTATGTATCTGTTGCTCTTCGCTTTTTATCAGTCACCTTATGTTGCCTTCAGAACAAAGGAAAAGGCCGTTGAGAGTACGCGACCATTGATATCCGTAACAGTTTCAAGTTTGACCGCGGGATAGACCAATATGCCCACAACATTGAGGTACAGCAACTCGAGAAGCTGAAAGCTGAGGTACGCTTTCGTTGTCTTCAGGGTGTTCCATATCTCATGCAGGAACATAGCTTGAGGCGCAGAAGAAGAAGCTGGTGCGTTGTATCTTTCTTTGTCATTGTTAAACCCTTCTGAATGTATTTGCAGAGCGAGAGTGAAGCTACATTGGATAACCTCATCCAGAAGGCCAACGGCAAATCGCAGTGAAGGGTGCTCTGTGTGCGTTTGATAGTGCGTTTTTTCCCGACAGCGCGCATGTCTAGATGCTGACGAGTAGCAAGTGGACTTAACCAGTTGTTGAACAAACATTGTGTATCTACTAGCCGCCACAAATCACAAACGTCGCTACTTGTTGCGGATATTACCAATCGTCCTAATAGCAAATAGCCCGAATAAAAGGCTGGTGAGCCGACATCGTTTGAGAGTTCATTAACATTAGACGCGGGACATCGTGAGCGAGACATAGCGGTATACAACTTATGGGTCGCATTCTCGAAGCCATTTCGTATCCATCGTTCAGAGCCAGCCTCCCAGGTAGAACGGGCAGAAGGGTGACTACTGTCCGACTGTGATGCTCCGAAGATATATTGAGGAGCCACCGTGTGTACTCTGAAGTGGATTGGAGAAGGTCCCCAAGTACTAGCAACAATCAAAGTTTCAAGTTTACCGTCGACGCAAGGCATCACATTTCTAAACCCGCAAGTATCATGTGATTCGTACTTTGGTCTTATTGACCCCGCTCATCATTAACAGGAAGTTATGGAATCAAGTTGAACTTTCTTGCTCATGTAACTTCTCTTCATTTTGTAGGCGGATCCTATTTTGCGCCACATCAGCAAAAAAACTGGTAATAGTGACATTGCTCACCTATTTCTGGCTGACAAGACCCTAAGAGTTGTCTCCTTCTCTTTCTCCGTCATATTGGCCCAGTTGGCAACACGAGAAAGCGTCTGCGTTCATATTCGGTGATGTTGGACGAAGCAACCGATAGGTAAGTCACGTACGCCATCGCTATTTACTACCATCGGCCCCAAGTTATCAAGCTTCACCGCTGAGCCGATGCCGACTTGTGTGGCCTCCGATTTGTCTGATGGAGCGGGCAGTCGAAGTGGAGTATGGGGCTCTGTCATGTTCTGTGAAGAACGCGTGGATTCGATTGAGATTGACCTTGGACCGTCAACGTCACATGGGAAATGTTAGAAAGCTCGAGAACGTGTGCTTGGTCTACGTCACGGAACAACGCCGCCAATTCTCCGTGCAACGCAGCGAGTAATCCTAGACTTTGCTTTCGGCTGTACCTCAAGTGAGTGAGGATGTCGCCCTTCGGGTTTTGAAGGAACCATACATGACTTTTTATGGTCTGATGAGCGGAGCCTGCCCTGATGGTTGGAATGATGACGATGATGATGGCGAGACTCGAGTTTCGATGGTCTTCTATGAAATTGGCGCAGATGCTGTACGTACTCTATTCTCTCTCCTTATTTAACCATCTTAACTTCATAGCAGTGAAGTGCAATGTGCCTATAGAAATCCAAATAGCCGCTGACCAGTACGATCAGTAAAAGCAGACATCTAGGCCATTGCCGAACCTGAAATGATATCCGGTTTAATATAGCGCAGCAACATCGAGTTGGCTTTCAACGTTCAACAAGGTCCATTGATCCCGCGGTTGGGTCGTGGGGAACCAACAATAACGGAAGTCAATAGCCATGGCTAAGTCCGTATTTCTGTTCGAGAATGGAAGTAAGACTGCCTTAAGCTCCAGGACACTATTCCTTCGACCAACGGCCCTGCTCACACGAGGGTTCTTCTGTCCGTTCACGTACGCTCTGGAAGCAAACAGCGCCCATGAAAGAATCTACGGGTACAGTGTCTCTTAACATCTTGGTCCCCTGAGCTAAGCATGCGGCCTACGCTTGTTATCGGGGTCGGAGAATAATGATGGCCTATTCGGGTTGATGGAGGAGTGGTACAATATAAAGTCTCTCCATGAGATGGTTAGGACCCTCCGCAAAGTGTGCCCGGTCTCCCTTTCCCTCTATAAACGGATTGGCAATGGCCGAAAGCGACCAAGAGGTGGCAGGACAGGCTTGGGCTGTGGCGTGGGTCGCAGGTGAGCCCTATACGACGTTTGTGTTGAGTGAATTTTGACACCGAGTTGGATTATAGCTGCCTGTGCGACTTGCATTGTGTACGACCACCTTATTACTTTTGGGGAAGAGTGTAATCATATTTGGCCGTAAGTACTTATCCGCTGTCGCGTTCGTCAAGCTGTGTTCATGCATCGCGGTAGGGCACGAATGACTTTGGCTCGCGTCCTTTTCTTCGTGAACCGATACGTCGTAGAGGGCATGTTACTGTGAGCTGTCTTATCCGATAACGATGCCACGTTTATGTGCTCATGGCGCTTGGGGTTAGGTTCGCCTTTATCGGTAAGGACGCGTCTGTGCACTCATCCAAAAAACTGATCCGGCCCAAAATAGCCGTAGGGTTCGGTAATCTGTCAACTTCAGTGGGTATTCTTTCATTAATAATATGTTACTCCATCTCACTGATATCATGCGCAGTTGTACGTGAGATATTTATGCCATCAGTTCTGCTTAGGCACTGAAGGCGTTCTGCAGCTGTACCTTCTACCTTCGGTGGTTGAGCGTGTGAGCGCATGTCCCTTAACATATCAGTTGAACGTCAACTGATGTTATCTATGTAGTAATTTGACCGTTCAAAATGCGGTGGTGCAAGGTCCGTCGGACATCGGGTCTGATGTCCCTAGGCCTCTTGTCTTTCTGACTGCTTCCGATAGGGATCCTCGTTCTACGTGTCTGGGCACTCTGTAAGCGTTTCTTTTAGCGCTCTCGTATATCGCTCATAGTATCCCAGATCGGGGCAATAAGGTCGGTGGTGATAGGAACATATGACAGCTGAGACTCAGTTATCGATTTAGCCGGTGATAGGGTTTGCATTCTTTCTCTACTTTGGTATGTGTTTTCTTTTGATTTTTATTGGTAGTGCTGGCTTGCTAACTGAATGTTTTGAAGGTGTCTGTGCAACCTTGGTTGGCCTGACAGTCACAGATTATCTTGCGGAGAGTGTAGACGGTACGCGTCATTGCGTATGCAATTTGCAGGCACTCATTTTTAATGTAGTGGATAAGGTGGTTGCACTACCGGGTTGCTACGCAGATAGTCTTCCTTCCATGCTTGCTGGCTACTGGTAAATTATTCATTGTTCTGCAGTCTTGACAGCTTCTGACCTGATGTCCTTAGGATCACACCTCTGGCCATCGAGAGTAAGAAATTTCCCCTCAGCTTGTTATACTCGTACGATCGTATCGTTTTAGGCTATCTATTCATCATGGTGTCCGCCCGAGCTTTTGTTTACTGGAAGGCAGGTGAATCCGCCCCTACCATCCTAAATCTAATGGTAAGTAAACCTGTTCTGCTTTGAAGTTAACTTCTAAAGGTTGTTACAGGCTCGTGATTCGATGATTTATTTCGCAATGTACGTCTTCTCATCCCGTAATTGACATAGAAGCTGATCTTAACCTCCAGAATACTTGGTTCGTCGGACAGTTACGGTCTAACCAGAACCGTCGACTGAATTGGATCACAGCTTTATTATTAGGAAATCTTCTCATGTTTTTATTGGGTCCGCCCTTCTTGTCTAGCCTGCTGGTCAAGTATGTCACCTATGACACAATCATTGGAGATCTGTGCTGACGTTTGTATAGTCCTTTAAGCGCGGCTAGTTGCATCCTGGTAAACTACTTGTTGAGTATCTGCTGTTGATATCTAACGTTGCGGCAGGGTTCCCGTATGCTCCTAAACCTTCGGATCGCGATCGACCTCCATCCTTCGCGCTCAGAATTAGAAATACCGCGTAATACACGCCATGGATCCTCAGAATATCCCAGACATTTACACGCACCGGACATCGTGGACGAATCTGATTCCCTCTCGTGATGCACGCCGCAGAGGAGTTCTGAATTATCAAAAGGCGGAGCGATCGGGCAAAATCAGGTGACGGCGCTCCAGGGAGCGAATGGTGACGGTATTCCCGCCGTCATTTGGACCTGTCATGATGTCACCATGGACTGAGTATCTGGTATAAAAGCTGCTCGACATGTCTTACCAACTCACAGTTCTTCACCATGTCTCAAAACACTGACGACAACTACAATCAGTCTACTCAGCCGCAGCACCATCTTCACGGTAGCAACGACCCTCTTCCGGGTGATCGCAGCGGCAATATGGACGAGCAGAACATGGGTGGCGACAACTTAGGTCAAGGCGGCCAGCGCCAACCCGAGTCGGCTTTTGGTGAATATCAGCAATCGGGTGGTGGTCGACAACAGCAAGGCGGAAATGTCCGCTTGGGCTCGGGAGCTGGTGCTGGCGATTGGGAACGCGGTGCAGGCCAGGCACAAGGTAGACGTTTCGTAGAGCAATGTCTTAAAATGTGCTTATCGTCTATCGTATAGGCGGTGTTCCTGTCGAAGGACATCACCATCACCACCATCATGGGCACCATGCTGGCCAACAATCAGAGCAGGCGGCGCAACAAGCGGCTCAACAGCCTGTCTCGACCACTGACAAACTTCTTGGCAAGACTGAAAAGGTTTGCTCACGATTTTCATTGTGTGCATGAATCGTTTTAATTCTACGAGTAGATCATTGGGAAGGCCTCCGACAACACTGAAATGCAGATGAAGGGAGAACAACGTCAGACTGGGGGCAAGGCCGCTCAGGGCTTGGGCGGACAGAGCGGCATGTGAAGAATGTAAGCCGTCATGGAAAATGTATCAAATGAATATCTTGTATTTGTATAAACTCAGTACCAGAAGTATGTTGCTAAATCCAGTGCTAATACCAACTTGAGGGAGGTATTCGAATTTGAGCATCGTTGAACAACATTTTCATACCGTCTTTCGGCACATGGATTATATGATGGGTTCTTTTCTCCTCGTCTAGTACGTAGGATGCCCTATAGCAGTAACCACTATAAGCGACAAAAAAGGCCAGGCCAGGCCCAAAAAAGACGGGTTATACTAACAGTCACACCAACTCTGTCAACTACACCATTACCATGGTAACTTCGTAGTCCGACACATGTTTAGAATAAAATTTCGTCACATACAAATAATTCACCATCTGCTCTTGAGGGCCTAATCTCTACGGTCTTATGCTTCTTAGATGTGTATGACATCTTAATGCTGTTCGCGACACACAGTACCCAGTAGGTTGTGGTCTGTACCCACCACGATATCGTCACTAAGGTCAAGACGAAGCTGATGATTACAAACTACCAAACTTTGATAGACTAAAGTCGTCACTCAAGAATTGGGGCTTGCGATCATAGTAAGTATGGTACGAAGTTCGTAAAGCAGGTAACGTATATAGACTAATATAATCCCATCGGCATCGCAGGAGTGTGATCATAATGTGGGGGTCCGGTCTCAATGAACACCAGCTCGTGTCTTCACGTGTCAAAGATAGGGACTCTGCGATCTTTCGTATTTGAATCGAGTCAAGCTCGATGGGCGTCGTCGAACGCGAGGGCCTGTATCATGAGGGCCATTAACTCCGGTGCCATAGGATGATCAATAACAATATCGTCGCTATGTTTAGCAACTCTGCTAAACCCCTTCTCGAAAGCTTTGCAAGAAGAAAGATGCTTGCTGGAGACGTGGGCGAAAAGCTTGGCTACCAAATGAGCATCCGCTCTTTTTGATTTGGCGGCTTTTAATACCAGCTTCTCAACGAAGAGGCAATGAAACTTTGAGGGAAGCAGAGAGAAATACTCTTCTGCTTTCGCCAGTGTCCTAGTGACAAACAGCTCGTCTACACCCCATTCAATATTCTTCTTAGCATCGACTAAACTCATCTGACTGGTCTTCGCTTCTCCTGTCGGAGTAGAGTCAGCAGCATCGCTATCAGACGATAAGGCATCTGATTCAGAAATTGGTCCCAAAGGTTTGCTCCGGGGACAGAGAACTTTGCGATGTGAGGAGGGAATTTTGATTCTCTCTTCTAACGTTCCAGGATTGGGAAGGTCCGCAGGCCATAAGGGACGTCGAGCATCCAGGGTTGGTGTCTGTCTTGCAGTCCTCCTATCCAACGAGGGTCGACTAAAACGTCGTAACTCGCTGTCCGGTTTTCGAGGGAACTTCTCCTGTCGTATGACGCCGGTGTTCGCGCATCTGTGACAACACTCAAGGGAGTATTCGCTACACTCTTTTGACTGAATATGGCCTTTTTGACATTGGCTCGTGACTTTTTGACGGCAGGGCATCTTTGAATGGTCCTGGAGTCGATGACACAGGGATGGGCACACGTGTCGTCCGCAATTCAGTTTTGCGTTACTAAAGTATCACAGAGTTCGTAAGTTAATGCGTACAGAGCGTATTGGAGACTTACCATGGTTCCAAGCATCCGCCATCGGGACATTCCTTTTCAAACTGTGACTCCGTGCTGATTAGCGCAGTCCGGTATGGATGCCGTTCACACTTGACCGGCAATCCGTCGTAGATATGACCTCTATCTCTCAACATGGCAAAGAGCTGTTGCCAAATCGCTTTTCCTTTCCGCGCCTGTGTAAAAGTATCTGAATTGCCGATCATGATCAGACCATCTCTAGCTCGAGAGAGCAAGACGTTGATCCGTTCGGGGGCAGACATGAAACCAATATCATGATCAAGGTTGCTTCGAGTCAATGATACGATGACGATGTCACTCTCCTCGCCTTGGTAATTATCTGGAGGAGAGACAATTAGAAGGGAATAGGGTATATCAGATTCATCGAGATGCTCATACCGATGGTTGCAAGTCGAAGAAAGGACCGCTTGCGTGAATTTGCCTCTTCCGGTGTGAGAAGACCGGCTCGTATGAGTTCATGAGAATCAAGGTCATTCAAGACAGGGTCCATCTCATTCTTGAGTTCTCTCTGAAGCTTGTGAAGTTGAGCAAGATATGGAGTCAGCACAACTATTTGGCTGGAACCATATCCTTGCTGAGCAAGGTATTTGACGATCTTGAGTACCATCCTGCCCTCGAATAGATTTTGCTTTGAAGACGCTGAGCTCAGGTCATGACAATCCGAGATCTGTGGACAACAATCTTCGAGGTGACCGTGATTGATGAAAACGACGTTATCGCGAAGGCCGCGGATAGGAGGACGATCCTGGGTTTTGGGAGCATCAAGAAGATCGGGGTATGTCAAATAGCGAACAAGAGCCGAAATCTCAGGGCGCATGCGGTGCTGGGTATGAAGCGTCTGGTGCGGGTACCCTTTTACGACGAGGCGTTCAAACAAAGACCGGTTGAGGTCGTACCCTTCACCTTTTTCGACCGTGAGCTCATAATTATTCACCTTAGGACGAAGTTGCCTAGTGAAAGATTATCGTTTTGTCCCGATGGTCATGGATCGTGAATGAACTTACTTGTGATCACCGATTAAGATAAGTTGCTTCGCCGCCTGCCCTAAGGCCGTCACGACGTGGCTCTCGAGAACCTCCCCAGCTTCTTCCACAAGCACGACATCAGGAGCGGCAGCCTGTAGATCGAGGCCGTATTTGGCGGCTGCCGTGGTCGTACAACCAATGATTTGCCTGCTTCGGAGAATAGCAGCATCCCGTTCTCGAAACTTGCGGGTCAGCCGACTGACTAAATCATTGTAGTGGAGGATCTGGCGACAAAGCCTTCCGCTGACCAGTTTCTTCAATCTGTCTTCCCATTTGGAAAGGTGCATTTGGCGCGTTTCCTCATCCATGGTCCATATATTGGAAGCGTCGCGGATATTCTGCTTGTCCTGAAACACACCTGCATCACGACCCTCCTTCCATCGACGAAGAAGATAATATTCATTGACTGCACGTCCCTTTTTATCAATAATTGTCATGCCGTCTTGTGGAGCAGGAACTTGAAAAGCGCTGTGGAAGGCTTGCTGCCTGCGTTCCAGATAGAGCATCAGATCTTCAATCGAGACTTCCAACAGCCTATTCTCAGAGAAGGAACGTTCCAAAGTCTTCGATAACTTTTCAATTTCACGCTTATACAGGTCAATGGCAGAATAGTCATCGCCAGTAAAGCGAGTTGGGCATTGCTGATATTGAAGAGCCATTGGCTTTGTGCGTGGTGTGTGCTTTCCGCCCATGCGAACCATGTTTTTAATGGGTATCCCAACGTCGAGGAGATCCTCAAGGAATTGATCCAACGCATGGTTGGTGTAGCAGACTACAAGTATTTTCAGATCGGAGAAATCGTGGATAATTTTGGCAAGGAGCGCTCCGATGAACGATTTTCCAGTTCCTAGGGGATTAATCATTGTCAGATGCCGAACGAGAGGTTGCATATCTGGTACTGAAGAGCATACCTGGAGGGCCTTGTATAATAGACACCCTTTGTGTCAAACCCGAAAGTAAGGCATTCATCTGCGACTGGTCCAGAACAATTGGTTTATCTAAGCGCATTACGTCACGCAAGTCTCGACTGGTGCTCTTGTCCAATATGGAGACGGCTTCATGCAAACCGACGGGATGGTCAGGTCTGTCCAGAGCATCACCCTCCCTCCAGAACAGCAGTTCTCGAGCAAGCGGTAATGCCTGCATGCGTTTCAGAGCATTCAGGACAGGCTCGTAAGCGAAGAGAGCGGTGTCAATCTGCAAGATCTTGAACAAAGTAGACGGTCTCGTCTTCAACAGTAAACTGGTGATCGGTACTTCTCCCTCAAATTCTAGCACAATCTCCGGCGGGTTTTCTGCCAACAGCTCCTCGTCTCGACGGACGCAAGGAAATGTTAAAACAGTTTCGTCAACCATTAAGCAAGTCAACGACTGATGCTTCAACAGCCGGGTGTTTTTCTTCAGATACGCCTTGCGCTCGGCGTAACTGTTCAGCCTTCGAAGCTGAGGAAGGTCATCCTCACACCGAAAGGTGATCGCGAAACTCTTCCTCTTAAAGCTATCACCTAGGTCGACGCCGATTATCTTCATCCTATCCACCACCAAACCTCGATGCTTTCGCCCTGCCTGTTTCCCGAGTGCGATCCGGAGCTCTCCCCGCAATTCATGGATCATGTCTTCCCGCATTAACCTGAACTGGTTGTCTAGATACAGCGACTCCCGATGACCTTCCATACTAGGGTCATCAAGTGCATCAAGTGCCCAGCTGGGGCGAAGAAAGGGCGTTTCTGTGGACGCGATCTCGTCAGGCGTAGGTAGGATAGAGATCTGACGAAAGTTTGGAAAATCATTGTCATGTCGGCCACCAGGATGAACGTCGCCATAAGGAATGATACCAGGAGAGGCGGATGCGAGGGAGATCATACAACGGATTTTTTGAGCCATGGTGCGGATACATAGATGAGGGGAAGATGCGAATAGGGGGACCATCTCTTCCCCAAGTGGAACATAAGGGGATGCGTCGTCGCTTCCGAAGACTATGAGCTGATGCAACATCCACGCAAAACATTGCTGTGCCTTCAGGGAGAGCTGATTGGCTTTGAATGCCTCGACATATGCATCCCAGAAGTTTGGGGGATCAACGATGGCCATTAAAGCCTTTGTGAGAAATTGGCCGCGGCTGATCGTTCTGATATCCGGATTCTGGAGATAAATGAGGGCATCTGTGGCGAGACCATCGAGGAAGCTGGTCGTTGTATTGGATTGAAAGGCAGTCTGCAAGGAGGAAAGTCCAGACTTGCTTGCAAGTATCCTATCGATGCAGGCAGGGGGATCTGTTTGAAGACATAGTGCCTGAAGGAAATGGGAGCTAGTTTGATTATCTAGTGACTGTTTGCCTTGTAGGACATTGTCGAAGATTCTACACAGCCGTGCTGTACGCGCGTCTAAGTCGTTGGACATGATGTTTCGAACCAAAAGGGTGGAGGCGGGAAAACCGTGAGTGGTACACGAGTCATAGCGCTATCTGATTCATGATTTAGCTTTACGTTTCGAATAGACGCCAGTGATCACGAAATATTTCTGGGATGTTGTTAGCTGCGACTTTCATACCATAGGAAACGGAGGGTACCTGACTAAACGCTATCTTTTCCGCAAAAGTACTCTTTTCGGATTGCAGAAAGAAAGAAAAGTTGCTGTGTGCCATTTTTACTTCTGTTATTTTCCCACAGAATCGCTGGTGCTTATTGAGTGGGGACTATTTGAAACACGTTCTGCATACGCGACTTATTTGAATTGAGGGTAAATCAGAAGAGGAATCTGGGCTGGCACTAAATCGGGGGTATGCAGAAATATTGAGTGAGAGTGAAAGGGACCGGGACTTCCGAAACGGGATCTGTGTTATTGAACCTTGTTTGTGTCTACGCGCCTACGCGTTGAAGAATAACGACGTCCTCAGTGGCGGCAGATTGGACTCGATGGAGTCTATTTCTCGTCTCCGTCAAGCTCTCTTTGATACCCTCAGCGGTAAAAAGGCAGTCCATGGTGTCCAAGCTCTCCTTGACGAGCTCATGGTTGCCAAACCGCGTCTGTTGAAGCTTTTTGACGTTGGGACAAGGAATCAGCAAGAACAGAGAGAAATCGAGTCTGGTGCGTGTCGGGAATTTCTATCCTAAATGCTTTCTCTAACCATGGCCGTAGGTAAGGCTCTGATTAACGGAAAGCAAGTGGCAGTGAATGCAGAATTTGCACGACAGGTCATATTCCTCTCGCAGCAACTGGACTGTTCTGAACGCTATGTTGCCGGACTGCTTCAAAAAGTTGTCGCAGAAAATCCAAATGTAGGGCCTGTGGACTCTATTGAACTGGCGATATCCGAGTACCACCAGAGGCGGCGCCATCTTGTCGATTCCCTTCGATACCTCTATGAAGCCACTATTGCAGAAGCCCCCGATGACACTCTCGTCTACTCTCAAATCTATCGCTTCGTCAAAGAGGAACTTCAAGGCCTTGGGCCAGAAGGTGTTGAAGCGTCGTTGACTCTGAAAATCATAAAGGAATTTGGGGCACTGGACACTGCACTGTCAAAGACGGATGCTGCGAGGAAGAGTGCGAGGAGTAACACAGTAGCACCGTCAGCGCAAGGTGAGTATTGCGTTAGCTTCAAAGATGCTCCCTCTTGATGGCAGACGCAGGTACCGGAAGTCTTGGTGCTGACATATTGAACGCCCGTTACGAGTCCCTCAAGTATGAACGACGACATCTTGCTGCAACCCTTCACATCACGGCTCGCCTAGGCTTTCTTCCTCCCTCAGGAATCATGCACGTTGTTGAATGGCTCTTCTCTAATCCCAACCACCCCATTACTTACTATATGCTCGCCACCATTCTTGCCGCCTTTGATCCCGCTGATCCTAAAAGCTATGGTGCACACCTACGCAATGGACTAGCCAACGATACGACCACGGTGTCTTACATGAAGGAAAAATTGGGACCAACAACGACATGGAAAGAGCCGGGGTTGAAAGCCACGGTGCTATTGAAGTGGACCTTATTCTTGACAGATTTCAGGCATCGAAATCCAAATATAGAGCATCGGGATGGGTTCAAGACAGACCAATTGGAAACTCAAATATGGAGCGCGGTTCAAGGGGATTGTTTCCCTTACCTTGCTGCCGCCATTATCCATTTAGAAAGGAAACAGGGCAGCTCAAGTGTTCCTTCGCTGCTGCAATCTATTACTTTGGCAACGGAACAAGTAGAGCAGAGAGACCTACCAGCGGACGACTTCAAACCAGCAGTGCTCAATGCATTTGAGACCCTCATACGGTCTTTGTTGACGCACGCCTCCTCGGAACTACGGAAGATTAAGCAGCGGCAGGAGGACGTAGTATTGTCCAGTGCGCGAACGGATCGTACTCGTGGCAATTCGCGGTTCTCGACAGCGGCACCAGAGCCCACTGCATCTCCGCGCAATGACATCGGCGTATTGTATTCGCTCATTGGCATCCTGTACTCCAGTCTGCCTGCTGAATCTGCACTCCAATTTTGGGGTTCCGGACCTCCCGTCGATTCTACTCGTACGAGTTACATGGAATACCTGGAGTCAACCGCGGGGAAGTTGCCAGCATTTTTGCAATGGGCAGTATGGTCGACGCCAGTCCATGACGCAACAATGATGATGGCATTGTATGACATGCTCGCTGGCCTGGCTAAAGGACAGCAGAGTAGCGAACTGGCATACAATTTCCTGGCCCGCGGAGGAGGTGAGGTCATTCAAGGAAGCACTCTACCTTCGTCTACATCAGGCTCCGCACTCTCCTGGGCTACAGTCTTTGACGTATTGGATACGTGGGCTTCAAGCGCCAATACGGCCCGTACTCAACCCGTTCAGCCCCTCGGTCAGAGCCTTTTTGGAGCACCAGCATCCATGCCGCCGCAGCCAGCTCAGCAGCCGGTAATAACCCCCAAAGATGTTTTACTCGCACAATCCTTCCTCCGTTTACTCTCTACCGTCGTCACTTTCTCGATCTCCGTTCGGGTGGCAATTTCCTCGCATGTTCACTTTCGAGCAATTCCTACTTTGGTGTCTCTGTTACCTCTGAGCATCCCGCTTGAGCTCAAAGGCGCGTTGTTCGAGGCGCTGTCGGCTTTCTGTCACCCCGGGGCAGGGCCGGCAGGTGTGGAGATTTGTCGCGCCGTTTGGACAATGATGGAACGTTTGGAAGTGATCAATGTTAGGGCAAGTTTGCAAGTTGGATTTGGAGCAGGCCTGTTGCCAACAAAAGGCGTTGAGGTGGAGCTTGAGGAAATTGAAGCTGCGCACGGACTGTACCCTGCAACTATCCCATTCCTGAAACTTCTCAGTACGCTCATTCACACTCCGCGCCGAGTGTCTTTGACGGATCGTATTATCGAAACGGGGACTCTGGGAACCATACCTGAGACTCTGGGCCAACCATACCGATTGCCTGGTATTGGACCCTTCGTTGGTTTCGTTATAGACAACGTCTTCGCCAAGATTCCGATGCGGGAATATTTGCGTCCCTCAGATAGATGGAAGTTGAACGACCTCTGTCTGTGTTTCATTGAACGCTGTCTTGCTAGCTTTGATCTCGAGTCTTTGCTTGCTGCAGCGGAGAATGGTCAACTCAAGGGCGATGTCCTTATTCCGCTTCTCATACATCCCGGGTATGATGTGATGACCCGGATGCTGACTAGTTCAGGGCTCCAACGCAGCATTCTGTCTTACCTTGTTGAAGGTGTTGAAGGGTTTGACAAGGGCTTCGCCGGAGAAGAGCACTTCTTTGCCAGCACAATTGTGAGGGTCCTTCGGATCGTCCAGCGTGTACTCGAGATCCAGGACATCTTTTTAGATGTTCTCATCCCTCTGTTATCTGATTTCGAGGGCGCCTCTTCTGTTGGAACGATTCACCCTCGCTCCTACTTCACGAAGTTCGACCAATCGCTATCATTTGGTCCCCAATACGCTCCGGCTCTCGCCTCGTATGTTGTCTATCCAGCATACCCAGAACTTGTGCTGCTCTCAGTCCGAATAATTGGCATCCTTTCATCGTCAACTTCTCTGCCCAATCTAACCATCCTGATTGAGCAGAGCGATAATTCCGAGCGTATCTTAGCGGGATTCATGAGTATTCTGGAGACGGAGTCCACAGAGGATGTTATAGCGGCGGAAGCAGCTACCGAACAAAGCACCGGAGCTGGTGCCCCGGATATGGATGACTCCATGGATTTGAGCCAGGCTACGAGACTGGCCGTTCTTGAACTCTTGATTCAGAACACACAATCACCTCAGTCGCACCTTAATATCGCACACTTCCTGCTCTTTGGAAGCACGAAGAAGGATCAGCAGATTCAAGACCCCCACGCATTGGGCGCACAGAAGACGTGTGTTCATGTCATCCTTGACCTATTGAATGCTGGTGTCCCACGGTTGAAAGGGAAAGGCAAAGACCGTGATCTTGCACCCTTTGCGACGCCGATGTTCATCAGGCTTCCTGCCCTCGCGGAAAGGTGCTACAGAATCATATACCAGCTGTCAGCCGATCAGTCTACCGCAGAATTCACGATGAGGTACCTAAGGACGAGAGAAGATTTCTTTGCCCGTCATCTTGCTGCTGTTCCTTCACAGGCACCCGAGACACTGGCGGACCCCTTCATCGAAGTCCTTTACGGCAATGGATCACGCGTCACCACAGCCGTTTCGTCTTTCAGCTCCTTCCTCCGGTCAAGATCATGGATATTCGATCTTGTGGCATTAGAACTCCATGTTCTTTCTAACAAGAACAATCAAAAGGGCATTGCTGAACTTCTCTCCATATTATTCGGAAGCGAACCCACCTACGATAACCACGCCGATTGGGAAGACGGAATGCTGCGAACGTTCCACGAAGTGGGACAGTCGCACATGAGGGTTATCGAGTTCCTCCAGTCACTTGCATTCGACTGGACAGACAGTTTGACCGTCAAACACATCGAACTAAGGTTCTTCGGACAACTGAATCTCCAGGCCTGTACACGAAAGGACGTCTCCGGATGTGAAATTATTGATCGGTCCGCACTGTTGGTGCTTTTAAACACTGCGAGACGCGCCTTGTACTCTCGTAATGTGGTTATGGCAGCGGCTGATGCTTCGCAACTAGCATTAGAATCAGCGTACATTTTGGAGAGCTGTGCTGTGGAGAATCATCGGCGCGAAATTGTTCATGCCTCCGCCACCGGCTTTGAATCCTGGCGAAGGATGCTGGACATGACATTGACAAAATGTTTCCATCATCTACCCCATGATCACAGAGAGAGCATGCTATTCGATCTGCTGCACATCCTACCCTCCATCATACGATCTAGCGATCTTCAGGAGTCAACCGCCGTATTGCTCGCAGAGATGACACTTTCTGCAATCACGAAGTTACGAGAGGATAGACACCATCAAGTGATTCTCCAGACTGTTGCCGGGGATCATGAGGCTAGCAGTCTTCCAGCGGAACGACTCTATGCTATCCTGACGAACATATTGGAGTGCATCCTCGAGAACAGTCACGTAGAACTCGTCCGTGGCAACCTCTACGCCTCTATTGTCAATTACGTTCATCTCATTTCCACTGGCAAGCCTCAGCCCCCGGGCCCGGCTTCTCTTGCCCTATCTACGTCAACGTCTTTGTCATTGTCATTGGCCGCCTCCACACGCAACAATTTCCTCGGTGATAGTGCTTCCGTAGCTTCGCCGGGTCAGACTGGTTCATCGACGTCCCCGATACAAGTGAACAGTTTGTCTTTGATGAAGGGCCATCTTGAGCGAGTCATCACAATGATATCTCGCGATGCCATCGATGGCACAGAAGTTTGGAAGACTGTGGCCTTCATGCTGCTCACATCACTATGTCAGCTTTCGGCTGCTGAAAAGCAGTATTCGGTATTGTCGTGTCTTGTTCGTCACGGTATCCTGTCCAATTTCGTTCATGGTGTTGCGGAATCCGATCTTCTACTACAATCAGTTCTCAAACCTGACCCAGGTAAGTAAAGTGACTCGATCCTTTCGTATATGTTGTTGAATCGTGTTTTTTTAGATGATCTGAACGCTCTCTATGTATACGAATCAAAAATGTCCCTGTTCATCCGTATTGCTCAGAGCAGAATCGGAGCCGAGCGCTTGTTGGAAGCCAATGTAGTAACAGTGTTGGCTCAATCCGACTTCCTTGATGCGAGGCCTGAAGGGGATCAAGCATTTATAGGTTTGTGTGCCCTTCTGTTCATTGAATTGTTCTAACATTCCATCAGATCAAGATTCTTTCTTACCCTCTGCTGTTCAGCGGTATCATCAGTTGCTCATGCCAGCTTTGGAACTCGTGAATGCAGTGGTAGCTGTGTTAGGCTCTAAACATTCTTCCGCAAGCAATCAAGCCTTGGACTTCTTATCGAAACATAGTCCGACCATCGTCATTCTGCTGAAGAATGAGATTGATGATATCTCGTTATCTTTGTTGGAGGAGATCCATCTACTCGTTTCTCTCTGCACCAACGTGTTACCGCTGGTCCCAAAAACTGAACTGGTGCGCCGTGGAGAACCTTCCTTACTTTCATCTCTAATTGTGACTAGGCATCAACAAATTCAGGATTTGGTGCTATTCATGCTGCAATACTGAGTCTCTCTACGCGATGCCTAGGCACGGGACGCTGGACACAAGATGTAAGACCGATAACGGATGCTGAAATGCTTAGTGCAAGTGCTTTATCGTCTGGTAGGCTATTCTTATATTTCTTTGGGGCAAGCGGCTTGACTTCCTTATAGGCTTCAGCTCAGAAACCAGATTTGATGTCAATGTCCGTCAGAAGGAGCGCCTGCTTCGAAAGGCGCTGGTCGCATATATTGGCTGCGCCAGCGAATTCACAGGTTCGCGTTCGCATTCGAAGCATACCTCAAATTGACTAAATGAACTGACGGTATACAGAACCCGAAATTAATGTCATGTTCTCGCCGATAACTACTGTTCCAAGGTTGGACGATCGGGGATCTCACTTCATTGGTGAACCACTTTCTCTCCAGTACCAGGTTGGTTCTGAACTCCAATTCCACAGCGACTTTGCCAACACTTGGCGACGCCATTGAGGCATTGAACGGCGTTTACAATGATCTTGCCGAAACCTTGAAGCAAATATCTGATATCTCCGCTGAACTTGCCATGAAGGACCATATTGGTGTTGAGAACATTGAGGAGGCGAGTTTCTATTACATCTTACGAAATAAAAAGCTGAGCGGCCATCGCCAGGTTATCCGCAGCAGCGATAATGAGATCATTCGTGACCTTGATGTTGGCCAGAAACGGTCGCTTATCTGTCGCGAGCTGGAACGGATGAGAGACGGGCTTCAAGACGACGTCAAGACTGCCATACGTGAGTTTATTAATTGACCCTTGTATATCCTTCGTTCTAAAGGAAGAGTGGTAGATACGACTGAGATGATTCTTCTATTGCTGTGGAGGCATATGCTGTACTATTGCGATGAGACTCGTTCAAAGAGCTCCGAAAAGGCATATGCCATAAGGCTTCTGTCTATGCCTGACCCCCAAACTTTCCGGCAGGACGTGGGGAGTAAACTTCGGCCCGTACTGCAACGGCTCAAGTCATTAGTGGTACGTTACTCTGCTGTGCTGAAAACACTGCAATCGTTGATTTGTCTTTGGCTAGGGCCCAAATCTGCTGGGTAACGAGTGGAGAGACAATCAGGCCTACATTGAGATCATGGATCGTAGGCTGAGGGACACGGCCGGTCTGCATGAAAGTAACGCCGATGAGATGGATTATTGATTGATTGTATTTTTGGGTCTTGTCCGAGTCGTAATCAGTAAAATTAATCGTGTCGGTATAATAATACAATCCACCACTACAGAGGCAAAAGGCTTCCTGCTCCGCGAGCTGCCATTTGGCCACCAAGTCGTAATGTTTGGGTTCCACCTGGAAAGTATGCGAGTATGTATGCCAATAAGGCTACAACCTGCAACAAGTGTAAGTGGCGTGGTGACGAATTTGAGTGTATGGTTGGGAACGCACCTGTACGACACCACATATTAATGATCCCAAAAATGAATGAAGCTGTAGTGCAAAGTCAATGCCTGAAGGAAAGAAAGGCCCAAAAGAGACGCACCCCTAACGAGAAATAGAGGGTTGCTCCCAGGCTGCCAAAGTAGACAATAGTGAACGGCAGTCGCTCCTTGGATACAAGATGCTTGATGTGATTTATCGGCCCTATAAGAACAGAAAAGCTGGAGGATACCGATTGGTAAAATGGCGACAATTGAGAAACAGAGACTCACCCAAACATAACCAGCAGGCTCCCAAGGCTGACGTGGCCTCGTAAGTATAACCTCAATGCAAGGAAACAAGCGAACATGCCTAAATGATAGCGCGAATTTGGTTGGCCTGGATATGCCGTTGAATCAGCTGCACGACGCCAATGAATGCAATGGAACGCACCGTAAGATGGTCAGGAATGCAATGAAGAAACAGACTGCAGCGCCAATGAGACACGCCCCGAATCCAAGAAGCCTGATGTAGCTCCTCAGTAATTCAGAAATATTGACAGCGTCGGGAGACGGACCTTTCCCAGCTGGACAACGCAAACCAGGCCTCTTCTTCATTGCTTCGTTCGCTCGAGCGTAGTGGTACGTAGTCGCCGGCAATGGATTGGTAGAACCTCGAGAAAGGATTGGAGGACTGCTGCGCTTGTTGGGGCTGTGAATCGTCGGTCACACCCCTCGACCACCTACAACAGGTTAGGAAACCAACAAGAAATGCTCAATGCCGTCGCCCACCTGAATTGTTGCAAGTTTGCTCGGAAATTCTGTTCCGAAGACGCAGGAGCCATGGCGGTTGAACGTTGAGATCGGGAATCAATGCCGGATACTGACGCGCGATTCCCATGCTATCCAATTCGAGACAGGTACATTATACACAAGAAATACGACTAGACTATATACAGAATACATCACGGACTAGACAGCAAAAGCAACGAAAAAAATGCAACACAGCAATCAGCAAAAAAAACTCACACAATAACACGTCTAGTGCCTGTGCCTTCGGTTCTCCAGAAATTCCTCCACCTTCAATGGAGCATCCTTCTTCAGCTCGTCCTCCGGCTCCCACGTAGCCTGATCATCACTATAGTTCTCCCAAAACACCTTGTAGAGAACCTTGCCATTCTTATCCTTCATCATGTCTCCGATGTAGGCGACCGTGTAACGTTTGTCAATCTGGGGCCTCTCAACCCGAACTCGCGTGATTTTACGGGCCGGATGACTCCAGGCCTTGGGAAGAGTCGGTTTCGCTGGATAGTGACTGGAGGGCTTGAAGCTGGCCCTCTTATTGTGCGTGCGATCGTGTAATCCCTTCAGCGATGGATGTGACATCCGTAGGTACTTGTCGACCTCGCAAATGGCATGCTCGACGTCTGCAAGTTCCATGGTCAGGTTGTCCGGCCCTAATACGGGACATTGAAGCCCTAAGCGCTCGAAATGATATCTCTGATGCTTCGTCATCCACTCGATGATGTCGACCTCGATACCAGGGACCTTGGCCTTGGCCTTCTTCAAGCTACCACCAAACAGTTTTACGAGACCTGACTGCGCCCCTAGTCCAGGTACAACAAAGTCCATACCGGAGAACTGCAAGAGCTCGGTGTAGCCGAGGTTCAGCAAGAGTTGGTAACCGGTAAAATCTGCCATGCCGGGGAATGAAGCGATGAATTCAAAGATATCGGCAAGATAGCGTGCCTTGTTGATATGGTCGAGAAGATGGTCTCTAGTCATCCAGATCTCGAGCAGGGCAAGATGGTTTTTGAAGTTGTCTCCCAACCCGAAGGATGGTGCAGGCTTCTGAAAGGCGCCCGTGTAAAGAGTCACTCCACTCTTCTTCGCTTTCGACAGGACGGAAAAGTATTTGTCCTGGCTGTAGGACTTCCACGTCAAAGGACCCAACTGCTCTTCAAGGTATTTCCAAGTCGCCGGCTTGGTAAATAGGTTGAAAAGTAAGACTCTAAAGAGTACTTCCCTCGGTTCGCTTGGTCCTTTTTCGATGACCTCCTTGATGATAAATTGTGACACTTGGTCAAGAACGCGAAAGGTATTGCAGAAGAAGTGATCCCGAAGGATAGTGTCATCAGTCCATCTAGGGGGAGATCAGTCAATCTTTGATGGAAAGACGAGTTGGGTTAGGACGTACGGCGCTTGATAACCAGCTCTCCTCCGATCATCAATTAGCTTCCGTTCCGCGCACCAGTACCAGAAAATGTTGAAGCCTTTGGTAGGCGTGAGCTTTTGCCCGGAGATAGTGATTGAACTCGGAACGGGCTGGCTCTCAACAAATGACCGCAGAACACTTTCTGGGAACCTGCTTGAGTCGCCGGTAGGTGTACAAACGACATCGTACGGCTTTCCGGGGCCATGAGAGCGTGGAGAACGTTTCAGTGACGCGACTTTGTGCTCGGAGGGCACGAGAGTGGCACTTCTCGACTTTCTGGAGCGTGAAGAGGCGGTAAAGGTGTCCGACTCGCTGTCGGATATTTCTATGACTTCGCGTGTCCGGATGGGAAGCATAAGACAGGACAGGGTAGGTGAAAAATCGCGTTGAGTGGCCGTAAAACTCTGCAAAAGAACAAATGGAGGTAAGAATTATCGCTAAAAAGACAAAGAACGAAAAAATGACCAATTTCTGTGTCGTGCTTGTTTCTGTTGTGGTCGTCAATGAGCCACAAGGCAATAGGGTCTTTAATACGCGTTGTTCGCTCAGCTCCAATCTTCTCACGGTCAACAACCCCTAGCTATCTTGGAAATTGCATCGTCTACTGCTGCAGCCTGCACGTCGACTTTCGATTCGATATATTTCGCAGCTCAAAGAAAGATACAAGGAAGAAAATATGGAACCAGATGAGAATTTTATTCGATTCTATGCGCGATATTGACGCTGAACCGTTCGGCACTATACGTCTGAGAACGATGGCCAAAGTCAGTCAGTTGATCCTAGTGAATACAATGCGTATCGTCAAACTTTTGCGACGCTTTAACGCTGCAGGCTTTGTCCAGCAGTAGGCTCGGGATAAACCCGGAAAGCGGACGCGAGGATCGCAGCCGGTGTCGCGGTAGAACGTATGAATGAAAATTGTGCTACGCCTAGTCGATGAGCGTCTCTTCAGCCTTTCGGTGCTCGAAAAGTACCGTAGAAATGAGGAAGCAAGTTGGACCACCCTTTCCTAGGTAGCTGGTGAGTGTCCGGAGTGTTGTCAAAGCCCACAAAGAGTCTTCAGCAGATATCCTCGACGGTACATTTCGGCGGTACCGATCGAGTCTAAATGTGCGATATGATAGCAGTATAGTAGTACGTGAATTAAAAATTTGAATAAGACAACTGTCAAATTCAAGTCAAACTGCGAGAAAAATAACAATTCAGGGGGAAAAGTTTTACGCGTCAAATATATCCTTTCATAAACGTGGGCTCAGATGCAGATCTTGAGAGATCTGCTAACGTTCGTCGAAATTTGAAAGAAATCTTGATCCTCTGATTCCTCAGGAATTGGGACAACTTAAATTGGCTATGGCCTACAGCCTCCAAGTCAAACAGACACAAGCATGATCGGCCTCACGTGATTGATCAAAATTTCTTGAACTCGTCGGCGCTATCCGTGACGCCTTGGTCTGGGTTACTGTCCTATATATCCTTCACCTCGCGTCGTGCTACAGGAAGAATGGCTAAGGCCTCAAAGTCTATGAAAAAGTTCGCTGCAAGCGGGCAACTGAAGAAAACTATCGAAGCTAGACGGAAACATCAGCAAATACGGAAGAAAGTGCAGGGGAAAAAATCCGGCAAGACAAAACCAAAAGCCGTTGAGGATGTCGATGAGGACATGGATGACGATGTGGAAGCTGAAGAGAAACATAATAAGAAAGGGTGCGTTATTTTCACGTTCAATACATTAGATTTGACAACATGATACAATAGAATGACTGTGGATGACATTTTGGGTGCTGGATTCATGGAAGGATCTGACGCGGACGGTGACCAGTCGGAGGTCCGTCTGTCTTTGTACCCGATTGAACGCTTTTGATACTTTTTCTCAGGGTACGGACGACTCCGACGATGAGGAAAATGCCGCGAGTGACAACGATTCATTTGCTGATGTCGACGACTTGGAAGATGGTTTGCTGTGTCCACTGATGGTCTGAAGTCTTCTGATTCATCACTCCTTAGATGAAGGTCAAAATCACCTTATGGAATTAGCCAAACTGGCGGAAACGGACCCGGAATTCTATAAATACTTGCAAGAGAATGACAAGGAGCTCCTTGAGTTCAATCCTTCCGCGGACGCTGTGGATAATGGCAGTGACGACGGGGATAACGAAGGGGACGCCGCGATGGATGAAGCCGTTTCGCGTCCTGTTCTCTCAAGCGATATCATTCGAGGGTGGCAGAAGGCTCTCCTCGAGGTAAATTGCATCCTTCCCGCTTCTTGATGATCATTGATATTCTATTCTGTCATGTAGCATCGATCTCTTCGTGCCCTACGTAAATTGCTCGTCGCTTTCAGGTCGGCTGTGCATATGAATGAGGAGGATCAGGTGTTGGCATGGAGCATAGATAGCTCTTCTGGTACGTGTTGACATGTTACCTCTGCCAACAGGGCTGACATGCGAACTAGTCTACAACAAGTTGATCGCCACTGCTTTGAGGTTTACTCCCGTGGTCTTGGAACATCATGTGCCGTACAAGAAGCTTCCAAACGGCAAATTGTAAGGACCTCGTCTTTATCATGTGTTTGTCACCTAATCGGAATTTCAAGTAAACCTCCTACACAAACTCAAAAATTCAAGACGCTACAGAAACTCATACTGTCTTATTTCCATAACATCATTCACCTCCTTTCTCAGCTCACTGATAATGAGACCATCGAGCTCGCAGTTACTGAAAGTGCCAAGATCATTCCGTATGTAGTTAGCAGCCGCAAAACTATAAAACTTTATCTCAAGGCAGGTTAAATTTGCGGTCTTTGTCATAACATTACTAATAACTACTTCAGAAATGCCTGGAATTATGGTCGAGCGCCGAAGATAGCATACGGATAGCATCCTTCCTGGCCATCCGAAAACTTGCTTCTGCCACGGATGACTCCATCCTAGACAATGTGCTCAAGGTAGTTCTTTTTCTCTCTGAAGTGCAAGCCTTTCGGAAGTTAAAGCCGAAGCCAGGGAACATACCTCACCCTCGTCCGATCCTCAAAGTCCACCACCGCATATACCATCCCTGCCATCAATCTGATGAAGAATTCTGCTTCAGAAATCTTCTGCTTGGATCATGCGGCATCGTATCAACTTGCATTTGGATATATCCGACAATTGGCTATTCACCTGCGCAATAGTATGAAACTTAAATCCAAGGTACATGGATTTTTGCTTTTCTGCTGTCCCACGATCTAAATGTACCTCTTTAGGAGTCATACAAGCAGGTGTACAACTGGCAATACGTGCATTCGATCGACTTTTGGTCATTAGTGCTTGCGCGCGCCTGCGACGTGGACCCCGAGTCAGGACGAGATGGCGAGGGCGAACTAAGACCATTAATCTACCCCCTTGTCCAAGTGAGCCTCGGCGCTATCAAGTAGGTTGAACTCATTAATTTAACATTCAACGAACCAGTTTCTTACAACGTCCCTAGACTCATTTCCAGCAGCAGATCATACCCGTTTCACTTGCATATCATTCGCTCGCTGCTGCATTTAACACGGCATACACAGATCTATATTCCCATCTCCCCATACCTTCTACCGATTCTCGCATCTACCCTGTCGTCTTCATCAAAATCAAGCACCCTGAGACCTTTGGATTTTGAAGTACAAATACGATGCCCACAGCAATACCAAAAAACCAGGGTCTACGCCGAGGGGTTGATCGAGGAGTCATCCTTCCTACTCGCCGAGTGGCTATCGACCGCTGCAGTGCAAGGGAGCATCGCATTTCCCGAGATAGTCATACCCATCCTCGTCACGCTGAGAAGAAGTTTGAAGGCCGCCAGGGTTGGGTCAGGTTCTGGAAAAGATCTGGGCGTCGTCAAGACTTTGATTGAGCGTGTGGAGGAGAGTGCCAGGTGGGTTGAATCCCGGCGGAAGAATCTCAAAATTGCACCCGCACAACTGGGCGATGTTGATGCATGGCAGGAAGAAGCCAAAAGGAAGGTTGGAGACTCGCCATTGGCGCGATATGTCAAGGTCCAACGGAAGGCCCGAGAAAAAAGAAGAGAGCTGGTCGAAAAAGTATGTATTTCTTACCGCTTGCCCATGTATCTGCCGTTAATCAGTGTATTATCCTCAGGCTCGCAAAGGCAAAGCTGAAATCCTATCAGACTAGTCGACAACCATACACGTTTCATCATTATTACACTTAATTTTTGAGGAGTTTGGTGATTTTTGCTTCGGCGTTATCGTTCCCCACATGTATCATAATTTGTCTACGCAGTTGTAATACCTGCGGTTACGATCGTTGTCAAGGTTGCAACTCTCAAAGACAGGCGCCAAACTATGCCAACATTAATGACTACTAGCCGTGACTGCTCAGGCACGAATTATAGTGGCATTGAAAATACATGTGATAGCTCCTGAAGTTCGTGGAAGCATACATATATGATTCAGGGACGCAGCAAATTCCATGGATTAGTGTTAATAAATTTTCTATGAACAGTTCCGTGACTTTCGTCCTCCGAACTTCGGTGGTACGTGTAACTTGTTCCTTTTTGTGCGATCTGATAGCCCAAGGAGTACCTCCGAAATCCCGGTAGTTATAGACTTGGTCTGGGGATATGCTGCAGTACTCTCGGGGAAACATGACCATATACCATAATAGCTGTAAAGATTATCAGTACTAGCATTTGGGGATAAGGTAAGACAATTGCTGACTTGAAGGCCTGACATTGAATCCACCCACGTCACTACCAAACGCCGAAAAAAACCTTCCACCACGGCCGACCAATTCCTTGTGCGCTTTTCTCCATTCCTTCAACGAGTCGTGAATAGTGCAGCGGTACCGAAGCCGGTTCCAAGGTTTTCGGTGACAATGGATACTAATAGAAACAGACATGCAGACCAATGAGAAAACAAGAGGTTCGCGGGAGAAGCATACTTTCTTGAATGCAGCGTTGTTCTGGAGCGCACTAGCAGCCTCAACTGCCCTTGGCGTTAGCCTGGGATGCTTGACTAGTGACTCGAGGAACGCCGAGAGCTGGATGTGACGGAACGGATCCTGGACCCATTTTCCTGCTATAGTAGAGAGGCGCTGGGATAATTGAGCTTGAGATGCGACTCGTGATGCTGCCATTGGATGTTATTGGCTGCGAGAAAAGAAAAAAATAAAAGGTGGTAGTGGTTCGAAGCAGAGCCGGGAACGGAATACCGGCCCGAAATCCGGGGGCCGCTTTCCCGAAGGCAGCGTGAATTGAGCGTTCCCACGTCCCTTAGCCGTCTTCCCTTTGGCCTAAAGCCAATTGAAAACACAAAATTCGCAACGTTTGTATCCTTTCTTGATGACTTATTGTCCAGATATTACTGCTAACGTAGCCTTTCAAGCTAGGCTCGAAATGTGGTTCTAGTGCTACGTGGACAGCTGCAAAGAAGTTGCTAAGATATATCAGTATCGTTTCAATGATTTTTACCAAATTTTTACATCTGAAACGCTGTTCATTTCCGAATAACTTTGTTAAGAGCATTTGTCGTCATCAAGTCCCTTCGTACTGACTACTTCAGACATTCGTGCACTGGCACTACTTAACATGAACTCATTCCCCCGAGGGAACCGGTGAAAAGATCAAGGAACAAAGCAGGCCTATTGACTTATTTTTCATGCTTACTCCTTCTACTCTGTTCTGCACCCTGTGCTTTGTATTCTCGAAGTTCCCTGCTTTGCAATACGTCTTCTCTCGCAAACATTTGCCTATTTAGTCAGAGTTGTCTTCCTTCCGCCGCCAGCCGATCGAAGAACGCAACATTTTTACCCATGAAGCGGATTCTAATAATTTCGCACAGCATCCCATGCTATGGCTGTCATGCATGTAACCAGACTGTTTCTCCTCCCGTTTACGGCACCATCCAGCTTCAAAATGTGGCGACGGCGGTTTGACCGGCCCAACCCGTCTCACAGTCGTATCTTTCAGGGAAGTGACTCCGCATCATACCCTTTTCAATGAAATGACGGGGCCGCGGCCATTACGACCATTGACCTTGAGACAGAGGCGCTGTCAATGGGCACGTACCGAAATTGACCTGGACATTTCGAAAGTTAATCCGCCACTCTCACTACCGCGTGAGTCTTTCACTGATCGCCGTGAGCGTTTCGAACCACTCTTCCGCTGCATTTACGCTGTATCCGACCGGAAGTTGCCTGCTCTTGTGGTGAGACAAAGCCACCCTAATTCTCTTCCCTTGTTCTCCAGAAGACTAAACTTGCTCTCGGATGGAGCCGACCAATTACTGAACTTCGAGTGCATCTTCGGGAATTGCAGAATATCTCTCACGGTTAAACGGTCATCGTTGGGACCGTGCCCACTTTTGTGCATGATTGCAGCTGGAGTACACCAGGTACGATAAGTATAACTCCCGAGAGGAGATTCTAGAGAACGCTCCTGGGCATTGGTTACCGCACTATTATGACTTGCCTTCCTCTTGAGAACTCGCTGTTCCACTGATAGATGGTCGTGCAGTCATTGTTGTACATATCTTCTATGGGACAATTTCACGATCTGATATCTGAAAAACTACTTATCTTGTCCAAGGAAACCGTTTGATGTAGTTCATCTCACTCTCGGTGTTAAAGTAACGCCTGTTGGACTCAGATCGTGCTGAGATTGATTGCCCTCTTGCCAGAAGGCCGGGCCTGATCCCCCAGATTTTCATTGTTGAGAATTCTGTGCATGGTAGCAGTGCTTAATCAAGGCTTCTTGGGCCGGTATGCTCCCGTGAACATGAATGTTGCGACCATGATCCTCTTACACCCGTTTATTCTCAGGTCAATGCCGTGAGCGACACTGGAATGTTGTTTCTCGTTTGGGGAAATCTCATCAGCGACCAGAAAGAAGGATATATCTTGATATCACTGTCATTTGATTTCCCGAAAGGTTGGAGAAAACAATAACGAGGACGGTAGCGAATGATTCCCCTCGAAGGATTTCGCTAAGTTCGTAGCACACAACGAATTTTGGACTTGGTACCATAATAATGATTTTAATCTAGTATGAACAGCACTGCCACAAGGTACGGCGCGTGGCGCTTGTTTGGCGCCTAACTGACACCGTGCAGGTGGTCGGTCGTCGTTGTGGTCGTTGCCCTTGTACCATCATGAGTTGCTGTGGTGAGCCCAAGGATAACAATGCCGACCACAACAACCGACCAATATCCCAATACCAACCTCAGCAAGTGGTAACTCAACAACCTGGCCCTGTTCCGGTTCCGTATCCCATTGCCCAAAATCCGTTCCAATCGACTCCAATTTCGTCCCCACCGCCTGTGCACTACAACCAGAATGGATATGGGTCAGAGCTTCCCTGGACGTCCACGCCGTCACCTCCGCCGACGAACATAATGGCAATGGGCACATCGCGTCCAACCTCTGGTCACGGATTGAATGGGTCTATCGGCCACTCATTTAACGAATCGATGTCCATGCGGCGGTCGTCTTTTGGGATAGCAGGAGGCCACTATTCGTCGCCCATGTCTCCGCCGCCCATGTCCGCATCACCGGTCGCCAGAATCGATGTCGCTCCGCCGCCTCCGGACGAAGGAAAAATGTCTGTATCGATTGACTTTGGTGTGTGTTCCCTGCCCCTCACCGTCCTGTGTCGTCTCATAGGTCTATGCCTATAAGGTACCACTTTCTCTGGCGTCGTGCGTACCTTTGCCCGGCTAGTTTACAGATTGGTGACCTCTTTGCCATAGGCCTACGGTTCGTCGAGGATTGCAGGCGGAAAAGTCCAACAAATACTAACGTGGCCCGGCTCATTCGAGACGTTTCGAAAGGTTTGACACCCTTTCATTCTCCTTGAATGTACTGATAAGCATCACTAGATACCCACCTGTTTGCTGTATGATGAACAAGGAAGAGTACTGGCCTGGGGCTTGGAAGCTAAAAATGCAGGCCCACTCCCTGATACCCTCAAGTGTGAATGGTTCAAACTATTCTTGGAACCTCGAGCACTTCGGGACGAATCTGCCGTAGATCCACGACTTCCACCGCTGCCAGTATGTACTGTCTCACTTTTGTGTCGCCCTGACATCAATCTAATATTCTCTTAGCCAGGCAAAAAGGCGATAGATCTCATCATTGACTTCTTGAGCTGCTTATGGGAATATGCTAAGGAGCAAATAACACGGGAAATTGGCGCCGTAGCTGATCTTAGTACGTTCCATTTCAATTGCGCTAGCGCTAGTCTGACAATTGATGGTTTTCAAAGATACGGCTGATGTATGGTTGACGGTTCCAGCAGCATGGGACGCTAAGGGATGTGACATCATGCGCGACGCAGCTATTTCTGCTGGTCTTGTACAAAGCGCGCGCGCAGGCGATAAAGATTGGAGAGATCGTCTCAGAATTATCACCGAACCGGAGGCCGCGGCAGTTCACTGTGCACATCTCACCGATCTCCACAAACTCAAGCCATCGCAGAATTTCATCGTCTGTGATGCCGGTGGAGGAACGGTCGATCTTGCCGTATACAAGGTACGTCCCCGAGTAATGTCCGCTTTTGTTTCTCGAGACATCTCACCGGCTTTTCCCTCCAGATAATTGGCCAGATGACCAATCTTGAGATCGCTGAAATTGCTGCAAGATCGGGTGCGAATTGTGGTAGTCTTTTCCTGGACCTTCGGTTCAGGGAGCTAGTGAAGACGGTAAACAACTATCTGCTCTTTCTTTGTCTCCAACCAATGCAATATTGAATAGCTCCTCGCCGATCATCCCGCACATCTTGACGCAGCGTCACTTGCCAACTTTAGTCGGTGGTCTTTATGGTTACTGTATCATTCTTTGACGGCCGTTTGGTCTAGTGCATTCATTCAGTGAAACTGACAAACTTGATTATGGGGGCGTACGTGACGACGGTAAGTCAGCGGGTGGTCAAAATGTTTTTTCCGCCACTGACGTATATCGGTGAACACAGAGAACATGTTCCATTTCACCTGTTTTAATGTCGAGGACCCCAACGATCCCTCTGTAGGATTGATTAATGGACAACTCTCGATCCCAGGAGCCCTTTTACGGCGTGAAGTGTATGTTTACATTTTACTCGGAGTCATTCTAGTATTAACGCCAATCTTGTAAAGCTTTGATCCCGTCGTTGAACAGGTACGTTTTCATTTAAACATTACCTCATGTGTAACTCACCGCTCACGCGTCAGGTTCTGGCCTTGATCGAAGACCAGACTCTGAAAGTCGATCAACGGATTGATGCCCTTCTACTTGTGGGAGGATTTGCGGGAAGTGAGTATTTGAAACAGAGAGTCGAGGTATTTATGTCGATCTTTACCCGTATGAGGATCAGTATTAACTTTTATACCATCTGTAAAGGAACGATTTTCTTCCCGTATTCGAGTAATTGCTCGGCCCGTAGACGCTGATACGGCTACTCTACGAGGGGCGGCTCGGTATGGTTTGGCTCGTAGGCCCCTCGTGTCCAGCGTGATCGCGCCACGGTCCTACATCATGAAAGTCCGTCTGTCTACTTATATTATCGTTACCCACGATTTACGTTAGTCATGAATAGGTCAAGTTACCCGCTGACCAGGAAGACTGGCAGAAGCGTCCCGCATACATCAAAAACAATGACGCAGGTGTTCCAATTTGTGAAAACAGGTACATTGTGACTTCTTCCCGCTATAGCGACGCTAAGTTACCGGCGGCTAGGCTTCAATATCTCGTGCAGAAAGGAGCCATCCTTCGGAAAGGGTGGGGCATTTTAAGCTTTTTTTCTGTGCGCCACTAAATCCAATATCTAGACAACGTCTGACAACGAAGTTTTGGTGAGCGCTCTGTGGCTGTGGATGAATGAACCCTGACCGTCGAACAGCAAATTCTCGCAGACCGTACAGGGTATGCATGTTCACTGCCACACACGTTTATATTCATTTCATATCCGGCAGATTCGGCGTTTGTGGCAGTCATGTTCACAAGCGAGGCCGACAAAATTATGCGGTATACAGATGAAGGAGAAACCACCGAACTCTGCAAGTGGACCGTTGATCTATCGTCGTTACCGGCGTTTCAACAAGGCGCCATGCAGGGTGGTGGTTTCTACACTGGTGGGAAGCTCAATTACTATCGAGATCCATCGTACTCACGTTAGTCTGCCAGAATTTGAGCTGGGATTGGAATTGGATAGCGCGGAAGTAAGGGGTATACTTCTTTATGATAATCAAGTTTGGGGACAGTAAGTGAGCTTAATAGTGGCCGGAGATCGTGGCGCTTACTTGTCTTAAGGGTTACATTCGACTTTCTCAATTAGGAGAAGCCATGGTTTGATGGACAGATGTAAATATAACAAGCTATGTTATGGTGAATGGTACGACTCTGTTCGCACGACGGTAACGCGTTATACCGGAGTAGTCTGGCAGAGAACCTGCTTCGCGGATTCATGCAAAAGCGTCATATGATACGGGTGAGAGTTTTTGATCCATCCGTCGCCATCGCATGCACGACGACACTTATTCCGAAGAGTGCTTATGTTGACAAGTTGTCGATGTTGGGGCTGGGTACCTGGATCACGTATGATATTGCGCAATGCTGAGACTCAGATCACACCGGACCAAACCGATGTCCCACACTCCATGCTGTGGGTCCATCCATTCGGCTTCGTTAAGCGGCTCCTATGCTATTATTGATGCATCCTTTTTTAGAATTTTTTTTAATTTCTTATATGTCTTGGCTTTATCGAGGGTGCCTGCCTGTCGGCTTGCCCGACACACATAAGGCTCTGGCGATGTCGGATCCGGCCAATGCCGCAACGGGTCGGGCATTTCCAGATGAACTCTCCCGATCCGCAATAAAAATCGATCGAGTAGTCATCACATCAACGGTCAGGATTCCTATAAAGCCATGGCAAATAGTTTCGTCGGCCTCTCGCACTGTCATGGCTCTTCTCACTAGCATACCCCTGGACGACCTCTATACTCTACTCGCACCGATTACCGTCCCCCCTTCGACATCCCGTGGCAAATTTAGCAACTGGGGGCAGACCTTTCATTGCGCCCCTCTAGCCATCTTCGAGCCGGAGAACGAATATCAATGCGAACTTATCCTCGAGTTGGCGCGCCGCGAGAAAAAAGTCGTACGAGCTGCTGGAATAGGCCATAGCCCCAGCGATATAGCCTGCACAAAGGAATTTATGTTGCGCACTCAAAAGCTTAACCGTGTGTTATCGGTGAGGTTATCTATTTGTTTTTCATCCTGATGGGGGTATTTCAAATTCTAACTGGGTTCCCCCTGTAGGTCAATGTCGAAAAACGTACTGCTACCGTACAAGCAGGGATAACGCTCAACGAATTACATGCACATCTGGCAGATCATGGACTCGCCATGATGAACGTCGGCTCAATCTCTGACCAAACCGTGGGCGGCATCGTAACAACTGCAACGCACGGTTCTGGAGTGACATATGGTGTCATTTCGACCCATGTAATGTCTCTGAAGCTCTTGTTGGCCGATGGCACCTATGTGACGTGCTCACGGCACGAGCGACCTGACCTATTTGTCGCATCCATATGCGGTTTGGGTACCACGGGTCTGATTCTGAACGTCGAGTTGGAGGTGGAGCCAGCATTTAGGCTCAAGGAGGTCGCGATCACTCAGCCTTTCGAAGATGTTATGCAAAACTTGGATGAAATTGCGCACGCCGCGGAGCATGTGCGACTAGCATGGATTCCAGCAGCCGATCGGATACGAGTGGGCTTGATGAATCGGACACGAGAGGTACGTTCGCTCTGCTTATCCGAGTGTCGGCCGACCATGGTTGAACTATCATGTTTCTAATTCAGGAGAAGACGCCGGCGGGAAGTTGGTTCTTGGAAGTGTTCCTGGGATTCTATGCGTTGGAGTTTATTCTATTCCTTGGGCGTTTCTTCGCCTCCATCAACAACTTTGCCGGGCTGTTTTTTTGTTGGTTGGGTGGGTCGAGGGGGGTTCGGGTGGATGATAGTCATCGTGTTTTTAATTTGGATTGTCTCGTGAGTATATCGGTCTGTTTTCAGCGCTTCTCTCACTATCTGTGTGTACAGTTCCTGCAATATACAACCGAGTGGGCTATACCGTACACGAGAAGTCAGGAGTGTCTACGTGAATTGCATTCTTGGTTGAGCCAGGAATATGGCGACCCGAACGGGCTGAGGCCCCACTTCCCCATAGAGATACGTTTTTCTGCTGCCGACGACATCTGGCTCAGCCCCAGCCAGGGCCAGAAGACGTGTTGGATTGGAATAGTCCAGTTCAAGTGCGTTCTGATCCTATCGGCGCTAATCTATTGCTTAACGATGTATACAGACCTTATGGGCTATATGTCCCTTACAAAAGGCTTTTTGATGGATTTGAAGCCATCCTAGCCCGTCATGGTGGCAGGCCACATTGGGCGAAGGCACATTCTCTACGTCGAGAAAAGCTGCGGAGTCTCTATCCTCACTTCGACGACTTTATTCGCGTTCTGGAAGACGTGGACCCATGCGGGCTGTTCCGAAACGAATACATTCAACGGCACTTCTTCGATGGCCAAGCAGATGGGCGAATATTCAAATTGCGACAGTAATGGTGGTGTGGGGATGTGTCTTGATTCTTGCTTTCTTTCCGTTTCGTATTTCCAAAGTACAGCTTTTATAATTCCTAAGTACCTCATATTACGAATAGTAGCTTTACGTGGCGAAGAACCACCTTCGAAACTGTGCAATATTACAATCCTAGTTGTTCCCTGATGGATTCTCGTACGAGACGTTCGTATTCGGGACGGTTGTCTCGGTACAGCTTGCAACAGTCGATATTGGCGCCGCTCTCTAGGTTGGGCTCTTGGGAGCGAAGCGATCGGTGCTGTGGTCATACAGTGGGAGCAAGGCGAGACTCACCGGCTAGCATTGAAATGACGCTAAGAATGACCTTCTCCACACTCTGAACAGGGCTCCATCGCTCCGATGCTTGTTCGTACATTGTAGGGTCATCGCCGGGGGTATGAAGGATCGAGATACAAACGTTCCCGTCTGGATAGACTGGAATACACCAATGATAACAGCGGCCGGACCACGGAGAGGGAACGTACTATTAGGGTGGAACAAGGGAGGCTCGAATTTCATCTTGAAAGGGGATAAGGGGTAGTCGGTTGGCTGAAATGAGCGTTAATTGAAAATGCTAAGAGACTAAGTGCCAATGACTCACAAACGTCAGTTTCGCAGAAAATACTCCTCCTTCCTGGAAATTGAATCTAGATCTGTGAACTGTGCAGCGGGAAGAGTATGGAACATACAAAAGGCGTCTCCTTCGGGCCCACAATGAGAGCCTCCCAAGTAAAGAAATCTGGACAGGCGACTGATTAACAATGGTGTTGCCTCCAACTGGTGGGGTCCGACCTGATTCAGATATGGGACCTAATGCGCGCTGTTACATCTTGACCGGAAGATGCGAAGCAAGGCTGAAACGTGGACGCACCGGCCGTGAACATCCCATCTGGCGATCCTGAGAAATCATTTTATTGCGTCCCCCAGCCAGAAAAGAACAGAAATCTACCTCCAGAGGTGAGCTGCTTGTACTCAGTCATCAGTCGACGCAAGGCCGTAGCACTGTTAGAACCTCTGGCATTCATCTTTCAATTTGTGGAGGCAATCGCAGGATGATGGTGGTGGTCACGGGTAAAGAACACTTTGCACCGCTAATGACAAATTTCACAAGATACACTCAATGGTAAAACTACAAATGTGCAATACGCAATACATTATCTTCCCTGTCGGCATCAAGCATCTGCCAGGATCAGTCTAGGGACCACGTTCATCGCCATCAACTGTTCGAGGACATCAGTGCATCCGTTGTAATGTCATGGCTGACGCCATAACTCACCTCCTGGAATAACAATTTCGCAGCATACGGAATCGTCAATTGCGCCATCTTCTTGGAGCTCTTGCAGTACGTGCACCAGCCATTATAGCCCATCAGACCACATTCCTGGCAGGCGTTTACCTCAAATTTGTCCGAGGATATCATCAGACGCTCAAGCAGAAGCTGTGTTGCACCATAACCTATCAAGCAATCCCGCTCCATCTCCCCAAGGCGCAGTCCTCCTTCACGAGACCGTCCCTCGGTAGGCTGCCGGGTCAGCGTCGCTCTCGGGCCTCTGCAAGGGACCATGGTAAGTGAACAACAATCGATGAGCTATTCAGGGACTACGAGACCTTGCCCTGGCATGCATTTTGTCCATCACCATGTGCTCTAGATCTGCGTCAAATCCACAAACACGAGCGTCTAGCATAGAAGACTCACTGAGTTTCTAACAACATGGATCAGGACGGAACCTCAGTATTTCCGATTGAAACCTTGCTTACCTGGTAATAAATGGGCCCAAAGTATACATACGCCTCCATTGGCTCGCCAGTGATACCGCTGGTCAGCATATCTTTACCACCATAACTGAACCCGTTCTCAATCAATATCCGACTCATGTCCTCGACCTATGGATCATTACTCAGAATTCATTTCGGATAGATGCGGCAGCCAAGCAAACCTTCGAGCCACCAAAGGCAGTTCCGTATTGGAGCTTCCCGCATAACGTCCCTGCCTAGTTACCGATCAGGATACAGCGCTTAACCCAACAATGAGTCTTACCTTCCCAGCAAGAAGTTCAATCATCTTCCCAACAGTCATTCGCGATGGGAACCCGTGCGGGTTCATGATCGTATCTGTCAAGAACCGTGATGAGTATCATTCTGCGCTACTCCCAATTAGACGCTCACCAGGATTGATCCCTTGGTCATTGAAAGGCATATCTTCCTGGTTTACGATCAGCCCGCAAACGCCTTTCTGCCCATGCCTCGACGAGAACTTATCTCCCAGCTCGGGCCTCCGCGTCTGGCGGATCAACACTTTAATGAGGGTCTGATCATTCTCGGTGTCACTGATCATGACTTTGTCGATATTACCCGCGACGGGAGACTTGTATGTCATCGGTGTGTTCTTGTAGGGCACCGAGGCCGCTTGACCCGTGAACGTGTTATCTGTAGCATTCGTCGGAGACTGCTTGTTCACGTAGACATCACCCGGATCAACACGCTCCCCAACACCTGCAAGACCATCTGGTTGTATGATATCATATTTTTTAGCAGTCTGTCCTGTCTCGTCCTGCGGTGCATCGGCCAGCCGGTCAAATCTAAAAATAAGGAGTTGAGGATCATCAAACTGCCGGTAATAATATGATGCGTCAGAGGAGCACGTACGTTCCGTTAGGATATTTTCGAATTAAAGTTGCGTTCTTTCTGAGCACTTGACATCGGCCATAACCACGATCTAGGCTGGCCTGAAAAAAAGTTCAGTAATAATGCGCTTTGACCGAATTAATCCGCAAGTGACCTTGTTTAAGATGAGAGCATCTTCAATGTCATAACCGGAGTAACTCATGACAGCCAGGGTAGCATTTTGACCTGCAGGAAGACGATCATATCCGACTAGTTCGATTGTTTTAGTTTTCACCATCGGCTGTTGAGGATATACAGATAGGTACAGCAGGGTGTCGATTCGATTTAGTTGATTGTAACCAATCGCGCCAATGGCTTGTTTTCCCATAGCGCACTGATAGGTATTCCGAGGAGACTGGTTATGATGAGGATAGGGGATCAGCCCCGCAACGGCGCCAAGTAGGGTAAATGGCTCGATTTCCAGGTGAGTTGTCGTGGGCACAATATCAGCTTCGTAGAGTGCGATGTACGCGTCGTTCTCCTCATTGACATCGAGGTATTCAACCAAACCCTTGCGCAAAAAGTCATCAAAGGTGGCTTTACCCCTCTTGAGATACTGGAATTTGCGATCAGACTTGAGAAAATCACGAGCATAGAAGCCCTTTTACCGAAATATGCTCCGACGTAACCCGCGGCCGTCCATTTTCGACGATAACCAGAGGTCGACAAATGCGACCCCCATCGCTTGCTATATGCACAGCCCGGTGGTGATGGTTAATATAAATGCTCACAAATTCGCTGACTCTTCTTGCGCGCCGCAGCTTCCGGAACTGTGCAACGAATCGGGCGGGATATCTGGTGAGGCCTATAATAGTTCCGTTGACATTGACTACGAACGTATGAGGACCGTATATCTCCGTTCCCGTGGCTAGAGTGATATCTGAGAGGGGAAAGACAATTAGAGGTTGACGGACATTGCCCAAAGAAGTCTATTTTAGATCTCACCTTCCACTCCCAGCATAAAGGCGAGACGAACGATTGGCTCCTCTTCCACATCAGTGGTAATGTGGGTCATCAGGGCCAGATTTTTTACTAGACCACAAGCCTCGCCTTCGGGAGTGTCACTTGGACATAGCATGCCCCATTGACTAGGCTGTAACGCCCGAGGACCGCTAACTTTTCGAGTCTTCTCAAACTGCGAAGAGATTCGGGTCATCATCCCCAGGGCAGAGATGAAGCTGAGCCGGCTAAGGACATGAGTCACACCGGCGCGCTCCATCTTGAACCGTTTCAGTGACCAATTACCGGTAGATATCGCGCGAACAAAGCCAGCGGTAAGATGGTCTCCTTGAAACTGCATCGTCGTAAACGCGTCAAACTCATTCGTCCGCGAAGGTTTCTTGAGAACCTTGTCGATAGCGGATTTAAGATTGGCATTGTAGGTTTTGAACAGATCTTCGAACAGAAGTGCAAGAAGCTGGCCAGCCCTGTGATCTATCAGTAACAAGTTACGAGATCGCGCTGCAGGCAGTGTAGCATCACGCACAATTCTAATCGCTTATTGCCCACATAATCACGATCATCTACCATCTTCTCGTCATCCATGGCCATCAAAACGCGCCGAGTCATGGTGGCGACGAAGATGGCTTTGGCTCTGAAGTCGAGACCGTTGACCGGGACGTGAGCCAGAACAATGGTGGCTAATGCTTCTAACGCCTCCTCCCATGCTGGTCGACGAGGCCCCACCACACGCCGATTTATTTTGACACGGCTGCCAATATACTCCAATGCCTGATGGCGAGTGAATACGCCAAGCTTGGCGGCATCTTCCAGGTTGGCGGAGAAAGCAGCTTTGTAGGATTCCGTGTTACCGGCGGTCAGCAGAAGGATTTCCTTATCTGACTGGACACCAAGAGCCTTGAGGGCGATGGCGATGGGAACGTCTTCATGGATAGAGTTATGTCGAAGGTATATCCGGCCTTTTTTAGTGGCGACATATGTTTTTGATTTGAGACCGCCGTGGGTAGACCTTTTCTCCGGACGCGTATTAGGAAAGTAGGAGATGGGCGGACATAACTCACGATGTGCAGGAGGCCTGGACAACACCTTTGACAGGATCCGTCTCTACAATAATTCGATTCTTGCTGAGCTGCTCTTGAACCAAGATGACTTTTTCCGTCCCTTTGACAACAAAATACCCTCCAGGGTCTAGTGGACATTCTTTCATGCGCGCCAGTTCGGCCTCTGATCGCCCAGTGAGCACACACTTGCTGCTTCTCAGCATGATGGGGATTCGACCGATGTTAACGTTTCGTTGGATAACGTTTTTGCCACGAACATATTGAATAGTGACCATAATAGGAGCACTGTATGTGATGTCGCGTAACCGACATTCGTGGGGAGTAACGCGCTTGTCCACAGCCTCGACTTCGTTTCGGTCTGGAAAGCCGACATTGATGTCAGTGAACTTGAGCCAGAAGCGCGGGTCGACGTCGGAAGTAATTTTATTGTTCGCTTTGACGATATTCTTGATGTCGACGTCGACAAAGTAATTGAAGGAATCGATGTGCTGTTTGACGAGACCTTTGACTTTGAGGAAGGCAGGCAGCAATAACCATTTGTCCTGCACGTTAGCATTGGTTGATGGTGATAGGTAAGAAGGCTAGATGGACGCACCTCGACACTCCTTATAGGATCCGTGAGCCCCAGGCCTCGCCAATTGGACCGGTTGAGCTGGTCCCAGTCTTCTTCATCGTCATGAACATCCATGACTGGGAAAAAAATCAGATGCAAGAAAAAAGCAGCGCTTGAGAATGTAAGATAGCTGGAACGTAGATGTGAGCTGTATGTGGCTATAGCATGCTCTGGTCTTGGTTGTCGCCGTTGTTATTGGGGAGGTCGTCGTCGTCGTCCGGCACAGTTCGGTACTCGTCCCGCTCGCGTCGATGCAAGTCAGGTGACCAAGGGACTCGGCGCGGAAACGGAATTTCCATCTTGATCTTTCACTCTTCTTTCCTCTGAAACAGCACTTTGCACCCGCCTCACTCATCGCAACGGATCGCAGCAGTGAACCATGTCCAAGCCTTCAACACCAACACAGCACGCCTCCAATACGTTGCTTCTTCGTCGTCAGCTTAACGAACTCACCAAGCACCCTGTAGAGGGATTCTCCGCTGGTTAGTGGCACCGTTCTCTGAGTTAATTATGGCTGTTGGAATATGCACAGGATTGGTTGACGATGATAACATGTTTGAATGGGAAATCATGGTCATTGGGTGAGTAGTGCTGTTGTCATCTCGAACTGATCTCTGACCGCTGTATACAGGCCTGCCGACACAATCTAGTGCATATAGTCTCATTTCTTCTGTCTGTACATTTGATGGATACTTTCTTCAGTGAAGGTGGCTTCTTCAAGGCTCGGCTGACATTTCCTCCTGAATACCCTCTGCTTCCACCCAAAATGCGTTTCGTGACTCCCATGTGGCATCCCAACAGTGAGTACCTGTACAGTGCAAGTACAATTACCATTCTTCTGACCGCCAAATCCAGTCTATCCCGACGGAGGCGTCTGTATTTCTATCCTTGTAAGATTGTCTCCTCGTCGTTCCCATCATCGCATCTCATCTAGTCAATCAGCACAATCCTGGCGAGGATCAATATGGATATGAAGACGCCGGTGAGCGATGGATGCCCGTTCACACCGTTGAGACTATCGTATGCTTGCCTGTCTCTCTCTGCCTGCGTTGTGACTCACCACCCCACAGCTTGTTAGCGTCATATCCCTTCTTTCTTCAGACACACCAAATCTGGACAGTCCCGCCAACGTCGATGCCGCCAAGGAAGTTAGGACCGATCCTGAAGGTACGATTGTTTGCTCCTTTGTAAGCCATTGCCCTGATTGTATCATGATCTCAGGTTACAAGAAGAAAGTTCGAAGACTGGTACGCCGAAGTGCTGAAGAAGCTTTCGATTAAATGTGGCGTAGCTGGAATATGGACGCGGTTGTGGATGGCGGTATCATGTCAAATCAACGCGCTACATCTCCGTGCTATACACCAGCTTCCGCCGTTCTGTCGATATCCTGTTACTTCATTCTCGCTGTAGTTCACAAATGACAATTAAATATTTAGCTGTACATTCATTTTGCCGCATTTTGTATATTTCTGTTTCCACAGCTCCTACAGTCTGAATAAGTCCACTCTGGGAGCGACAGTGTCACTGACAGGCTTAATTAGATTTCCATCACGTGGCTGACACGCTTCGGAAGTCGGATTCGGAAGCAGGTCTCACGCTCCTATTGTTAGTCGACTCTGAACTTTCTCGCCAGCACTAAAGTGGTCCCCTTCCTTATCTTCTGCCATCATGGCTTCAGCAACAGCCAGTACGAAGGTGAAGGTATCTGGCTACGCTAAGCGTTAGACATCTTTAGTTTACTGCATACTTGCGCTACCTCTGACAAAGTACTATAGGCAACAACGCATCTGCCGCTGTACCGTTGGGTACGTCAACGAGCTCCTAAATTACTCAATTTAACGTGTTTGATAAAGAACTCGACTCTGATCCTGACTTCAATCCCGGAGTGTATATTCCTGAAGATACCAAGAAGAACAAGAGAACTAAACGAGCCAGTCATCCTAAATTAGGGAGCTCTAGAGGAAAGAAACGACAGCGCGACTCGGACGATGATTATGATGTGCCGAAGGCTCGCAAAAGTGTGTTTAGTCAATGCTCTGTTTGTGTTCGCGTAAATGACGCGCCACATAGGATACCGACCTGACGTGAAGGGTGAGAATCCGTTACTTGAGTTCTTCAGTAATACCTCAATTCTCTGCAACGTCTTCCATGCCTTACTTTCCCTTTTTTTCCCTAGATGATACTGAGGAGCTCGGCCTCCATTCTGCGTCTGAGGACGAGACCGATGACGATGAAGAGAGGGAAGATGATGATGATGAAGACCAAGAAGAACTAGATGATGACGCACCCATCATTCTGAAATCTATGGTTGGATTTACAAGAAAGACGACACCTGAGAAGCCTACTCAGCCGCCGATAGAAGATGACTCGGTTACAGGTCTGCCTGCTCCTTTAGGCCCTTTTGTTGCTTGACATCGTAACATTGTTTAGAATCGGATACAGACGAGGAGGATTTAGTACCGGTGCCCCCGTCACAGATAGTAGCTGCAAAGCCAATGCCAGGTTTGTGTTCATCTATAGAATGTGACCTATTGGAAACAAACGGAATGTATAGCTGTGGTTGACGATGATTCAGTGACCGAATCTGATACAGAGGACGAAAGTGCAGATTCTATAGTTCCTCCTGTCGCTTCGAAAACCTCGCAAATGAAGCCAACCTACGACCCGAATTCTGTGACTGAAGAGGATTCGGAATCAGTGACCGAGGAGGACTCGGACATGGATGATAAGCCCATGATGATTAGCCCAGTATGGACAATATCCTGTCTTGAATTTTATGCTGCTAATATTCTCCGCCATATCAGCATTTGAAACCTCGCCCTGGTTTTCCACTCGCTTCTGGTCAGAAGCCCCTAGGTCCATTAGTCCTTGACGAGGCTAAAGGAATTAAGGTTCCTGCTTCTATCAACACGTACCTACGGGAGTACCAGCGTGATGGTATAAAGTTTTTCTATCGCCAATACAATGAGGGCAGAGGCGGCCTACTTGGTGATGATATGGGTCTGGTATGTCGTAATGCACACTCATCTCTACGTTAACGCCTTTCTCAACAGAAATTATCATCATAGGGTAAACAAATTTTTTTTCATCAGCTCTCCTGGCGTCTTATACCATTCATCAGGTAAAACGATCCAAGTCATATCATTCCTCGCCGCTATCATGCGCAAGGATGGGGTAGTCACAGACAAGCACCGGAGACGCGATCATGTTTCGCGATTACAAGACGGCTCTGCCTGGAAAAAGCATAGGAAATTGCCAGCTGCCGATGCGACCTGGCCGACTTGTTTAATTATTGCGCCCACATCTCTCGTGCTGAATTGGGCCAGAGAGTTGAAAACTGTATGTTTACCGTTTTTGTCGTTGTCGATGTCTTCATATATTGTCCACAGTGGGGATACTTTGAGGTAGGCCTGTACATTGGTAACAAAGAAAACCGACGCGTTGTCCTTGATGACTTCAAGAAGGGACGTCTTGACGTTGGTACGTTGTCACCATTTCAGTCTATCTTGTAGGTTCTTCTCATACAGTTTCACGCAGTCATCACCTCCTTCGACCTTGCAAGAAGGGATATCGACGCCATCGACACGCTCGCTTGGACTTGTTTATTCGTTGACGAAGTTCACCGCGTAAAGAATATCACATCAAAGGTTACTCAGGCGTACCACCAGTTCACTACCCAACGAAGATTTGGGCTCACAGGGACGGCCATCCAGAATGGTTATATTGAGTTGTACACACTTCTAGATTGGACGAATCCCGGACGGATAGGCACACCTAGGCAGTGGAAGGGCTTCGTCGAGAAGCCTCTCCTTGTAGGTCAGTCTGCGAAGGCTTCTGAGGAGGAGATAGCAAAGAGTATGGTGAGCTGACGAAACACCTATATTTGTGTGTATATACTCAGTTGTTTCGTAGCAAGTGGCGATTACCCTCCGAGATAAGATCATGCCGCGCTTTTTCTTGCGAAGGTCGGTACTTTCCCACATCCAACCTAAATTTCTTATTTTAAGCAACTACTTAGGACAAAAGAGATCATAAAAGATCAAGTACGTTGTGTCTGTCATTCGTGAGTGTATCAGGAGCTACAATCTTCCCTCAGCTCCCGCAGAAAATTGATCAGGTGGTGTTCTGCCCTCTGTCCGACATACAGATCAGTGTTTATAAGCGGATTCTCGAGACGCCTGCCGTGCAGAACCTGATACACAAGGACGATGACTGTTCATGTGGGTCCGGGAAGAAGCGAGTACCTCATCTATGCTGGAATCATCTGGCTGACCTCTTTTTTCAGACAGAAAGATTGCTGTGTGCCGTATGAACCTGCGGATGTCCTTCGATACATGGCAATCCTATTGAAACTGTCAAATCACCTGGCTCTTATATTGCCTTGTACGTGTCTTTCTTCTCGGCTGAGACCGTTACCTTATGTTTGGTTCCGCAGCTCCAACTGATTCCAAAGAGCAGGTGAGAGTGGTATATACTTCAAAACAATCGTTTTAGGCCGAACTTACATATCAGGTGCTACGCAACCGCCAACTATCGGAGATTGCATTTCCGGACGGTGCACCGATGTACGTCGAGGCGACGTTGAATCCGAAGTACTGTGGGAAGTGGCTTGTACGTATTTTTTTTCCCGCCCTTTTCAACCTGTATTGAAGACCGGATAGACTTTGAAATTATTACTCGGAAAATGGAGGAAGGATCCGACGAACAAAGTCCTCATCTTTACTAAATCAGTTAAACTCATCGAGATGCTGGAACATCTGCTCAAGGTTCGCAGTAAGTGCTCCTTACCTTATTTTTGCATCGAATAATCTCTAACATCTTCCTTCCAGGCTACACCTTCGTCAAACTCGATGGAAACACTAAGCAAGAAACTCGTAAGCATCTGACAATTGTGATACTACAGCTTTTTCACCTCTGCGCCATAGGGATGGAGTACGTTGATCAATTCCAAAACGATCCAGACGTTTACATCTTCCTCATCTCGACTCTGGCCGGTGGGACCGGATTGAACTTGACTAGTGAGTTCCATTGGTCTTATGGTGATATTGCCGACGCTCATATCTGCTGCAGAGGCGAACAAAGTAGTTATCTTTGGTGAGCTTCTAGTTGTGTGGCGTACCTCTTCGTGGCTGACGTGAGCTTCTAGATCCTAATTGGAGTGCGTTCTTCCCTCGCCTATCTGTCAAATGGACCCTCATTTATATACAGACCCTGCACATGATCTCCAGGCAATGGATAGGGCATTCCGCTTGGGACAAACGCGAGATGTTGAAGTATATCGACTGCTTGGGGGTGGGTCGCTAGAAGAGCAAATCTATGGACGGCAACTGTATAAGCAACAACAAATGGCGATTGGTTATGAAGCCAGTGTGCAAACCAGGTAACTCTTCTCCATCTTCGTCCTTATCTCCCTAGGTCTTATGATCGACCTTTGTTTAGATACTTTGATGGTGTTCAGGGTGACGCGCAAAGACAAGGAGAACTTTTTGGTATCAAGAACATATTCAAACTCAACGAAGGCTTATCGACCAAAATGACGGTAAGGATTGTATCCGTTCGTTCATTTCGCGGTCGCTGTGAGCATACATGCATCAGATCGAAAAAGCTAATATTGCGGAGTTGGACTGGGCACTCGCCAATATGAATCCGGAGAAAAAGCGGAAAATGTCCGACGAACAGAAAAAACTGTTTGACGCTGAGAAATCAGAGTCTCATAAAGACGATGTGGGTCCTCCTTATGGCCTCATTGCCGTTCACTAATGATCCGGTGAAGGGTTTGCGTGGTCTTGCCGCTCTCTTCTTCGATGACGAGGGTAAGTTTGATCTTCTCCGACACGGACCAAATTCACATTCTCGGTGCCTTAGCTATGCCAGTAATTTCGGCGAAGCCAATGACTGAGGCCGAAAAAATACTTGCAGCCGCTGGTGTGCAATATAGCCACCGCAATGATCATATCCTTGCCCCTAGCAAGATCGGAGCGGTGCGCGCCAAAAATGTACTAGCCGTAAGTGTTTACCAGTCCTTCCACTGTTCACTACTATTTTAGAGTTCAATTTAGAAGACGAAGAAACGCGCCAGCGTCAAATCTAAGCCTCGGACATCGGCAGGCAGGACAGCTCGGAAAGATCAACAGGCCATGGAACGACGGAGTTCGTGGCCACCCATTCGACATGGGGTGCACCACCGGACCACCAAGCTGGTGGCACCCCCAAAGACCACAGATAGGACCCCTGGGCCGCAACAAATTGATGAGCCTTCAACCTTGAATCCTGCTTGGACCCCCGAGGAGACGTACGTACACTTTTGCCCGTGGTCAATAACACCTAAAAAAAATTCGTTGCAGGCGAGCCAATCGCCAGCGTGCATTGATTGAAATTGGGTGGCTCAAGTCCCCTGATGACATGCCTGCCTTTGCTCTTAATCTGTGTGTCGGCTAACTTTGATACTGAATACTGCGCTGACGTTGACTTCAGGATAAATCAACCCGAAGACGCTCGAGCAAACATTCTGCGTATGCTGGACGAGCATGCAATGAAGTACCCTCCGGATCTATCTTCAGACTAGATCTTTAGAGCATGTTGTATTTTTATTAGTATTTCTACTTATGTATCAACATGAACCGGTTGTCTTAGTGTATTCCGGTTTCCTTTTGACTTGAACCGCACATTATTTTCTTCAGGGCGAGCCGGCGTCGATGTTTACCGGCGTGCTGTAGTGGCACTTATTCCATCTGCCATACACTTTGGTGCAGGTCTTAGTGGACTCTTTTACGTTCCAATTCAGTATTGTGACGTTGATTGCAAGCGAGGGTCAAATGTGCACCTAGTTTCCGTGTATTAGGGAATAAAAATGACAGGGAATTAAGTTTAAGAGGACATTGTACAAAGATATCATTCCGTTCTTCACACTCCCACACCTACGCCTGCTTCATTCAGAGTTCACCAGGATATCATAATGTCCGGGTCTAAACATACAACCATCAACGGAAACATACGACCCTTAAACTTAATTCTACCCACCTGTAGAGCAACGTGAGCGGTGTCTCATTGACATCAGGCGCACTCCGAAACTCGACAAAATCAACTAGCCCATTACTGTTTCTGCCATCGAGATAAGCAACATTCACGTTAATTTGGAGCGCTCTCGACAGGGCAGTCATTTGGACGTGGTCTAGGCCGTGTTAAATTATCTTTGCATTCGAGATGTCGAGGCAATTTGTAAACCACTCACCTGCTTCTTTATTAACGGCCTCTACAAAGTGTTCACAAAATTCGCGCACTTCCATTGGTTCGCCTAGCTCCGGATGGAAAAGGAACGGAGCGAACGCGTCAGGGTCGATGCGTATTTGGGCCGACTAGTTGGGAAGGTGTCAAGTGTCATCATGCTGCACAGGAAAAAAAAATGCTCACAGTAAGTAATCTCAAGTAAACCACGATAGAGTTTGATACTATGGGTCCAGAAGATGAAGGGGGAGATCTCTTTAATTCCGATTGATACAGCTTACCTTCGGGAGACTGAAACGCTTGAAGAAGCCCGACCGCATTCAGTGTTTTGCCGGTAGTTTGTGGTGTGACAATACTGAGAAGGAGTGATTCAAGCACGTCGTAAAAATCCTCAAACACCAATTTTTGGAATCCCACGTTCTCCAGCATGGGTAGAGTGGATTTTAGCGCTGCAACACCCTTTTGCACGGCTTGTTCCGGATTTAGCGCGTGCATCATGCGTTCTACATATGCGAATGCCACGGCTGTAAGGCTAAACATCGTGAGAACAACAAAGATGATACAAAGTATAGCTTCACATCTGTAGAAACAATCTCCGTCGCCTATTTGTCGGGGAATTGTTAGCTCCTTCCGAGTGGGTCAACGAGCGGCACGTCACCCACCTCTTGTTCTTCTGATGTAGTGATAGCCCTTGGCAGCCAGCCAGTCTATTTGCTCGACGAATACAGGGTTGCCCTTCTCATACTCGGCGCGCAGAGCTGATATCGGAGCAATCTCATCGATCAGCGGACGCGTTACACCTGTAGCTTCGTCGAGGAGACTCTAAAGAGTTTCAAGAGCGTAATTAAACATGTTATCCTTACATCAAAAGAACTATGAATGCACCTGGTTCAAATCAAAGACTTGGGCGGTCGATAAAGTCGAAATATCTACCGAGTAGACCGAGCCACTTGGTCTGAATTCGAACCGGATTGATGGAAAGGCTCGCACCTGTATCCTCGGTGACTTGTACCGGTGGTTGGACAGGATCACCTTGAATTTCCGGAAGAGCAGCAGGCCGTAATCGCGCTGTAAAAGTTCAATAGTATCAGAATGCTGCTATGTGGCTCAACCTGTCAGGAACAACATACACGCTGTAGGTGGACTGGGTGGCGGCATTGTCATTTGTACGTTGTTCTAGCAATATACCTAGCAAATTTTAGTTTCCTTGCGTACGTGGTGGTGGTAGATAGAGAACAATAGCAGTTTGGATACGCAGCCACTGCTCTCGGTATACCGGTCCGAACATTCGCCTTTCCGAGTCGGCAGCTCGGATCATCACTGCTTACCACCATGCATGATTCAAGCACCCAGCTTCCCTTCGAGCTCGTCGAGATTATCATCTCCGAGTTTTGGTTTTCTGAGCACGCTTCAGAGGACCGTATATTATTTATGACTGCGTGCCCCCTTATCAGCCGCCTCTGGAGGGACGTATATGCATATATTACTTCTCGAGACATCTACATTCCAACAGTTCCCTATCTTCTGTATCTCAGCTCTGTTATTCGCTTCAAACGGTCTAAAATCTACCACCATTTTCTCCCAGAATCTACCCTTACCATGACCTGCTATGTCGATCTCACCGAAACAGACAAGGACACCGCCATGCACCCATACTCAGTCTTCTGCAGCATGCCCAGTTATATCGGATTTCGCAAATGTTTCCCCAACATGAAACACATCCACCTCAAAATCAGTTTTCGCATTAGATCTGATCGGTATCCCTCCTTATATCGTGGCCAACTCATCCGAACTCGACTTTCCATCGGGCTCGATAAAGCGGCGGCACTTAGTATTTTACCAGTGGATTGGTGCATAGCTGCCAGTGATGCCCCAGATATCGATGAAGTTGATTTCAACAATATTCGCAATACATGGGGGGGATTCCTTATGGATATCACCCACGACATGATCCAATGGCGTTGGGAGTTAGGTAACATATATGGTTGGGGCTCCTGTAGCCCCGCGATGAGAGGTTCAACATGTTGTGAGGGGGTTCGTCGTTTCCAAAATCGCAACTATTGTCCAGAACGAAAAGGTGACCTATGGGACATCAATTATCTGTTCTCGAAAGCAGCCAGAAAGCCTATGAGTAAGGAACGGTTTTCTGGTGATCTTTTCTGCTTAATTTATCTTCGTAATCAGATTTCAAGACCTTTTTTTCGGGAATATATGAGGATCTGTATTGGGGCTTCAATTCTCACATTGGGTGCGAGATCCGCGTGTGGATAAACATCTTAGCAGTCGGTCATGGTGGGCGCTTACAAGACACTAAAACCCGCACCTGGGTGAACCGCAACACTATGGCCTTAGTAATAGGATAACAAACGAAGAGTATTGTGTCTATATTCGTTCATTTCACAGTATTCACCTATAATTCTAGTAGTGCATGCCAACACATTTCATATTTTCACCGCCAAAAGGGCACCGTTCCTGCATATTCTGCCCTATACGTGAGGAAAGATGGAATATCCAATGGCAGTAGGGCGTTGCGCCTCTCACCGCTGCTTATGATGTGTGGTTAGAGTTTTCAGCATGTTACAAATGCGAGCATCCTATTCGGGATCAAGAGGAAGAGTATCTAAAAACTCAACAGCCTTTTCCAAGTACTCACAGCAAACCTGTTCGCCCAGTGTCTGCAGTTTATCAAAAAACCCATTCCCCTCGCCATTCTCCACGTAGGCCTCATCCCAATTCGCCATTATTGACTCAGTATGATACTTGTCAATGATGCTGAACCATTCCTTGAGCAAAGGCCTGATCGTACGGATAGCCGACTCCGGCTTGCCCCGGTCTGCAGTACACCATCTTGTGTCATTGGTAAAGTATAGTGCCGTTGTGATTTTGTGACTTAACAGCATCTCGAAGTCATCACTGTCAAGAAAATCGATATACTTCTGTGAATGCGGGCCGTCTGGGTCCTTAGATGCGGCAATCCAAAGCGCGAGCCAGGCGAATGACTCTAGGTCGTCAAAGACAGTGTGCACAACAGGATCTTTACCGTATATCCACATGAACAGTAGACGGCGAGACATGAACTGTCGTGTGCCCTGGTAGAGACTATTAAACAATAACAAAGGCAGGTGAACATCCATTTACATAGAAACGTCGGTTCGCGCTTTGAGCGTATCCGCTACTTCGCCACTTTATGGCTGTGTCTGAGTCGATGAGAAAACCAGAACAAGAGTCAAGTACGTTGTTCATAAATGCAAAGCGCCTAGAATTGAGGTGAGCTAGAACACAAAAAGCAACACTTGACAGAGAACTGTTACTCTGTTCGGAGATGGGGATGGTTATTATCTCGCAACTTGTCGCGGCTCTGAGGTACTCTCCGACAAAGGACATTGCCAATGGATATATCTCGGTGGAGATATCCAGATAAGAATAGATGAAAGCAGCCTACGTCTGCCTCAGTGACGGGCAAGAAAGGATTGGTGAGGCGAACCTACCAACGATCCCGTCTATTAAGCATCTGATCCAGCCACGCATCGTCAAGTCTTCTCCAAGAAGACTTTGACCATTGTCAAGGCAGATGGAGATTAGTTCGACTCGATCCTCAACCTCGATCTTGAATTGACCAGGGAATGAAGCGAAATCTGGACATGAACTGCATGTTAGACCGCGAAAGATACCCAGGCCATGCTTGAGCTCCATGATTGGAAGAACATCCGGTATTCCATGCTGGCCAGCCGTGCAGTGAAAAATCTCTTTTTGAACATCGCTATCCTCTTGGAGGCAATATCCCATCTTGAGGATGCCTTCCTTGAAATGCATGTGCGGGCCTGCCAGCCGGACGAAGGATTTCCACTCAGTGAGAAATTCATCCAAACCGAGGGGTAAGTACTCGGTTTTGGCTAAAGTGTTATCGAGCCATCGTCGCCTCTCATCCAAAAGGAAGCCTTCATCATTCACCAGTGGCTTCCGGGGCGTTGACGAAACCTCTTCGTCTTGGATAGCCTGGCCCGTGTCTTTCTGATTGATGACGGCGACCATCGACCTACGACCACGAAATGCAATCCGCACAGAGAGTACAGAAGCTACCTTCCACCAAGCAGTAGATCCCCCGGTATCAAAAGGAAGAAGAATATACTTCTGAGGATGATCAATGAAGAGTGGGTGGACTCCGCGTTCGTATGGCGTTAGGTCGCAAAAAGCAAACAGGGCATCGACAAGCTGGCCATACTCAGATTGAACAGCCAAGCGAAGCACTGGTGTGACGAACATTCCTTGTATAGTGAAGAAGCAGAATCGTAGCTGGTGCTTCGTACTGTGATAGCATACGACCATGCTGTACCATCGACCAGAGTGAAGCAGCTTGTTCCCATATGTCGCCGCTTGTTCGAACAACTCAAACCAACTATCCTGGACGCAAATCAAGTTGTCTGAGCCCTCTGCGTTGTCGCAAATTTTGAAGCATATATCACTGGCGGCCGCCGGGGCGCGACGCAGAATGTCGTTCAAGAGAAGGATGTCTGCTGCAACGCCAGCAGTGGAGACCTTCGTAGCGTCGGCACGCCGTTCCGCCCAGTTGGATACGCGTCGAGAGCGTGCGGATATCGACCATAGTTTCTCTGGGAGATCTTGCGATTGGTAGACAGTGTCGAAGAGGAGATCCATAAAGATGTCGAATAGGGGGATTACCAAACTTGGCAATGGCACAGAGTAAGCGACTCGCCCGCCGTGCGCCCCTTCGCTGCTCAGACTGTTTCAGAGACGATTGAGAGGCTGAAAGGGTTGACTGAATAGTTTGCCAATATGTTCCCGTGGCCGATGATAGCGACGTAGACAGGATGAAGCGGACGGGACGGCTAATAGTGCATACAAAAAGGGCGTCTCCCATATTGTTAACAAGCAAACCAACAGAAAGCCGAACGAGAAAGGGCGACAACAAAAGCTGAAGGGAACCACGGTATTGCCAACTCACACCAGGTTACTGAGAAATAGTAAATGAACAAGCCGAGATAAATTACAGCAAAGGTCGTGGTCCTATACTAGTATACTAGCACAATAGATAAACACATCACGACGAACGAATGAGCAGATAGTATCATACCAGAGTACAGTCGGAAAAAGAAACGGTGAGCAGGGAAGGGCATTAGCGGTAGGTCTATAGCACAACTAGTCCTCATCTTCCTCGTCTTCTCCACTGCCAGCCGCACTCTTCTTCCCACCCTGCAAACGTATCAGTATATGCACAGGGAACAATGGCAGAATCAACATACATCATAGGCCGCCTTCTCGTCCTCGGCCCGTGCCTTATCTTTCGCTGCGAGGTCAACGTAAGGCTGTGATTGAATGTTAGCATCAAAACGTGAATGGGAAGAGCACATCATGCCTTCTTCTCTTCATCATCTAGCTCCTTCCATTTAGCACCAAGGAGCTTCCCTACTTCACCTAAGGACACATCAGGACGAATATCGCGGCGAAGATCATGGGATCACTTACCGAATCCCGCATCGGGATTTTCGTTCTTGATCCTCTCACGCCAGTCTTGACTAAAGAACATGTACGCAGAGAGAGCCCGTTTGGGGGCTTTGGGGTCCTTCTTAGCCTTACGCGGGGCCTTTTCAGCCTTCTCCGCTGCTTTGCGCTGACGAACATTGGGTAAGCAACCCCCCAGTGATATGTGAAGAGAGTCTGGAGGAGAACACGATGGCCAGCGAAGCGGTTACCAGCGCGACAACGGTGACGATGATGACGAAAATGGTGAGACACCAACAAGACATCATCATCTAGCAGTGCAAGAAGAGAAGCGATGCCTCCCGAAGAGAGAAAAGCGATCCAAAGTAAAATGTGGGAAAAATCAACGTATCAACAAGGCGTGTTCACGGCCTGAAGGGCGATGAAGCCGCATATATGCATGTATGCCCGCAATACCGACGCATAAGAAGGCCAAGAACAGAAGAGAAAGAGTAGGACACAAAGCCGGAGAGAGATATGCTCACTTTGGGTTTGGTAGCTTCCTTGGGCATCTGAAGACGAGAAACGCGATGATCAGCACAGATCGATACGAAGAGAGGCATAGACAGCAAAAAGAAGAGGCGATGAGGCAGCGACGGAGGGGAGGAAGACGAATGAGCCGCAGCCGAGACGAGACGCGACGCGTCTAGGGGCCAAACAAACAACGCGCTCACTGGCAGAGAGCGACGACGGCGAGCTGGACGACGACGACGACACCGGCCAGCAAAGATAACGGATGATAAGCGATGAGAAAATAAAGCTGCAACTTACTGTGCACGAATGGAAGGGCAAGGGAGTAAGGAAGAATTTATCAGAAAAGTGGTGGGCAGATGGCTGGTGGGCAAGAGCTGGCTGCGAGAACAGAGCGACCACCGAATTTTTGCACTGCGCACAGACGCAATCGGCCTTTGCCGAGCGGAGTTGTAAATCAAATTAATTTGGGTATGTTTACGGTCAGCCACACGTCCTACAAGGCCCCAGAGGGCTCCAAAATATTTATATTCACACAGGGAAAAATCTCAGTCAATATCGATGAGATTATTCGCTACCTTGTAGAGAACCCAACAGGCCAAGTCAAGCCTCGGCAGGCGGCCCGGCTACCTCCTGACGTACAATAAACAAGATCACGTGGCTCAAGCGCCGGTCACAGCCTGTCACGAAATATCCACCATCGAATGCCTCCATGCCCGGTCCGTCCAACCACAGAAGGCACAAAGCTGCAAAAAAGAAGGCAAAAAAGCCGCTGCCCCTCCCTCCGCCTAAACCCGTGTCTCCTACTCCCATTGACCACGATGTCATCCCCAAATTGCCATTCATCTACGACCCAGGAAACGGACCTCGCGTACGCGACACCAGCTCCTTTCTCTCGTCCTTCTTTGCACAGGCGCCGGCCATGGACATTCCAATGTGCGCAGAGTTTGCCCAGGAGGAGATACGGCAGATGCTTTCTACTGTGTTGCCGGAAGAGACTGCTTTGGTACGTGGCAGTCCGATGAAAGTAAAGGTCTTTCTCACTGTTGCTTAGATATTGTGGTATAACAAGAGTCGGGCGACGAGTAGGATATGCCCAGCGTGTCAGCGGCTGTATCATCTTGGTGACGCATTGCCCAATCTCATGGGCGAAGAAGCGGAGGACTCGCAGAAAGGGCGTCTTCCTCAGCTACAAAGGGAACAGGAGCTTAGTGGATTATGTGCGTAGCCTCTGTATTCCCTGTTTCACCCCTGCTGATTACTGTTTCAGGCTCGCCGGTTTGCTTCATTCTTGCTTCGTGTAACTTTCCCGAAGCCATCAAATCCGCATGGGGTCATACCGAGGACGAGATGGACGACACGGCGTGGTCCATGCTCAATGCACCTCTTCAGAGCGACCAGCACGGTGAGCTTAGCACAGGGCTCAGCATGCTCGTTCGCATGACGCGTCTATACGATCTGGGTCTTGCCCAACTATGTTTTCCTGATATGGATCTGGATTCATGAATCGTGACAATCTTGTATATATGTACGCGTTCTTTGCACTTACACTTGATTCTTCTTGTTTAATCAAAGCTCAGATTGCTTTCGTGTTCTATGCTCTGGATGTATCATTATTTGAATAAATCGCGGACATTCGCTACTCATGTGCATTCTGTGTAGATTTAGCCAACTCTGGACGTAAAGACTGCGGGATTAAATTCTTGCGCCTCTTGCGTATTTTTTTCGCATGACAGGGAAAAGGCTGTGATATGCTATTCTGGTTGTCATCCATGTACGGGACGGTCTCCAGCCTTCTCCAGCTCACAGCGATTCGTGGCGTCATAGGATTTTCCATCCTTATTCAAATGGGAATACACAGCACTGGGGAAGAATTCCGAATTGATCTGGATTTGCGCCCATCTTGCAGGGCCAGCGGTGCTTTCCGAGTCGATACTGCCAGGTACTACCTTGATCCAGATGGTACTTATGGCAAATACCTGGCAAAAATTTGTCAAGGTACCCAAAGACGCTTCTCAGCTATGTCTCGTTCTCAAAGACTATAGGGTGCATAGGTGATGTTCTCAGCGTCTCTAAGAATGTAGATAGCTAATGGCTGGACCTTGTACCATATCATACCCGGGCGGAAAACAGATACTCCGTTATTCCTTTGCCCAGCCCTAGGCAATGGCAATATAATCCCGACAAGGCCAACAACTCCCGATCACGAAGGTTTCCGACGGCATGCACATTGATACTAATTTGATCTAGACTAATAACGCGCGCAGCGTCAGTACTGATACAATGTCATACCGAAAACCTCCAGCACCCATCACTAGTTCAAAAGCACCGACACACGCTTCAGCATTCGGTCTGGAAGCCAGCGATGAACGCTCTACTATTGAGAAAATGGGTCGCAGCCGGTAATACAAACCATATGATATTTATCGCTGGATATGCAAATTGGATTTTTCTCTCCTTTTGCAAAACCGACCGCCTCGATGCCGTGCCTCGCTCCCCTTTTCAAGGAGGACGCCGAACCCTCTGTCGTGTGACTATAGGACGAGACTTGATTTTTCTACATAAATAGAGCCGGGCTTCTTGTAGCAGTGCGACTCACGAGAGATGCCCTTCAATGTTTTTAAACGTGGGCCCCATCCCCAGCCTCCACCGTCCCGAAAAACTACTTTAGATGTGGCGGACATTCTGCAAGGTGTGTTCCAATATTCCATGTATATCCTGACGATGCTGAGACGTTTCTAGGTTTTGATTTTATCTCCCGGTGGTTACACGAATACCGACCGGGGAAGGAATTCAGAATTGTCGTATCTGGAGGTACGTGCTCGGTCCTTCTGTTGAGGAACAGGACGAGTACACGGGACATCGACATATATTGCGACGACGCTATTCAGCTGCAAGACGTCCTCGCAGCCGGGAGAGCTTGTCCGAACAGCGTGCACTGGCCTGTTAACTGGATTAATGCCGAGATGGTGGCATACGTGCTGAACAACGAAGGCTGCGAGCGTTTATTCCAAAACTCCGTCGCCCAGGGCATCATGGTGTACTCGTCGGGCAATTTCAAAGTTTACGCCGCGGATTGGAGGTTTCAGTTGGTTGGGAAGATTCGAAGGGCATATGACGCGTATTTGGATCATGAGCCTAGTCCGAAGGATTTGTATGATGCAGTTGATATACTGCATATCCTGAATGTGAAGGATGGAAGGAACCAGAGGAGTTCGGATATGAAGAAATGGTATTATTATGGGTATCGAATGGGTCCCAAGGAAGTTGAGTATATCAATGAAGCGTACTGGCAGAAGTTTGGGCGTATTGGGATCTCAGATCGCGTTGGGGAGAACGAAGAAGGCAAAAGTTAATCGGTTGTAATCTATAATTTTCGAGTTGAGTAACTTACACTTCCATATAATAATAATAGGCACCTACTAGTCGGACGCACTCATGGCTATGAACTCTAAAACGCAATTCATATGTTTCGTAACTGGTTAGTGTTTGCCCGGATGTTGCGCAGCAAGAATGGGTTTGTGCCTGTTGCAGTGATGGGTTCGGGCTCTAGTCCGTTTCCAAGTGGAAGGGGAGGATATAATTGCAGAACCTGTGGGAGGGGGCCTACATCGCTAGTCCAACAAGGACACTCCTCCCAGGGTGGATTGGCATCGTTCTTGAACTTGCGCATGAGAAAAGGATCATCTCGTGTAACCCCCCTGCGTAAGCCAAGGGAAATTTTATAATTGAACGCCTGCACAAGTGCTTCAGCCAAGGCCGCCAGGATAGCGTACCGGGTGGCGTCAGGATCCTTTGGATCTGGAATGTCGGCGAGACGCCATGTTGGCTGGTCGTGGAACCAGTATTGAGATTCTATCATCATCTCGTCCTCGTTGAAGTCGACAGTGCATTCATAGAGGCGATAAAGCGTACATAGTGGGGTATCGCGGAGGCAGAACAGGCTGGTCCATTTGAGACCGATCATCTCCATTTCCTGCCTGCGTCTCGCTATGATTCCCGGGCTGGCTTGTAGCTCTGGTATGGAGAGAAAAGAAGGACGAAATTTCCAAGGGTATGGCCAAAATAGATACACAAGGATTCGTAGACGGTTTTCACTCCTACGAAGTGATCAGTAAAAGGATGAATAGTGAGTGGTATGTCGCCTACATCCACAGGACCTGTGCAAGTCTTGTATTCCTAATCACCCAGTCTCTGGGCTGGAACAGGCACCATACTCGTAGTTTGTGTAGAAAGGTCGATTCCATTGAATGGATTAGATGCCCTGACTTAGTGTGTCACAATTCATATGGTGAGACGAAGTGATGGTGATGAAACTATCTATAGCGTTGACCCGCCGGCAGGGTGCAAATATTTGGTGGTTACCGTTTCAGATCGCGTCAAAATCAAGTACCCTTTTGATTTTTTACAAAAATTCTAACCCTATTCCGACCTGCACGCCTCGTCTAGTCCCGTCACTCCGACTCGCTACCAACGGCACACCGACATTGACCTCCACACGAACGGGGTCAAATTTATATATCAAACCGACACCTGCAGACACGGACGGTCGTGTAACAGTGTCCTTGATGTTCTCGACCACTGAACGGGCTAAAATGGCTGGTGTGAATAGTTATCAACGAATGAAATAAGCGAGCCTCACATCGATTCATGGCATCCAGACGTCCAGCATTCAACCAGACGTGGGCTTTAACCGGCCAGTGTGCCTTCTTCGGAATGTTCGATATTATACTGAGGCCTGCGGACCAATAAATATCACCACCCAAGGAATCGGCTGTGACGTCGATTGAACGTCAGAAGGATTATCCATGTAGTAGCAGAAATACTCACGTCCATCTCTTGGACCCAAACCATTTGACTGAAATGAGCGTACAGACAGAGGTCCGCCAAGTTGAAATCTATCGGGGAACAGGGTTGGCTTTGAGAGGGCCCACATAATACCCGAGCGCAGGGCAATCGATCCTGACTACCATAGAGGGAGCGCTAGTTCAACAAAAATCTCAGGGAAAGACATAATACTCACGACGCCTGGCAGTAATGGCCGTGACAGTTGACTCTCGGCCTCAGCCTTGTAGAAAGACGCGTCTCCGCCTAATCCAGCCAGTTCCTGGTATATTTTACCATACATTCCGCGCGTTGACATAACGCGATCGTCTCTCGTATCGAGTGTATATGTGTATGACACCGCCGATTTGGACGTTGTACCAGCAGCTTCTCGCATGCTGTTTAACGGTAAGGAATTAGTGCTAGGAATCTGGGTAACACGAACCTCATCGAAGCAGTAGGCGTCAGCCCACCGATATTTCTGATAACTGCTTCGTAGGCAAGTTCGTGCATCCCAGAAATTGGTTTCCCGCCCTGGACAAATCGCGATAAAAACGATAGGTCACATGAGGGGCACCAAGCTGACCTAGCTCACCCTGACAACAGCTTTCGCGCCACGTAAGATCTCTGAGCAGCTCGCGAAGCTTGTGTGATCTCTATGTAGTCCGAACACCGTGAAGTCAGCGCGACAATTGAGGTCAGAGGTCATGGGGGCAGATAATGTTCCTTGGAAAGATTTGCGTGTAGTTGTTCCGGCGGATACGTTTGCCTCAAAGGTTTCAGCACCACCAAGTACGTTGAGCATACGGGCAGTTATACTCTGGAAATAACGTTAAATATCTATACATGGAAGATAATAGGACAACGCACCGCGCTCCCCTCGTTATTCCCGAACTCCGTAGCCGACTTGACAAACCACCTCCCTCTTTCACGGGTTTTAAATACAAGATCGACATCCCTAGGGCCTGCTATCTCGTCTCTTGCATGCTCTATGCGGGCTTCTACAGAGCTGAATGTTTCCGTTCGTAGGAGGACGTCGGCAATAGATCGTGTAGCGTGTAGGACTGACTGCACATCGGTGTGAGGCTCAGAGAGCAGAACGGGGTTAATCAGAAAGCCGAGAAACGATCCTCGAGTGTTATTTGCACCTTCAACCCGTACTGAGTGAATATTCAACGGGGTCGAGAGGTTGTTGTGTATCTAGGAGGTTGCTGTTGACTTTATCCAGTCACCGAGGAGAGAAATCGTACGCACCAGCTCCGAGAGGTGGAGAGTAGCGGATTCGTATTGTCCTCGTAGCCGTCGGGCGATACGTTCTTCCTGCCATTTCAACAGCTTTTTCGCATCATCTGGGTCATCATCCGCGCCAGCTGCGGAGTCTGCTGCCATTCTACGATATGTTAGGTCAGCGCAGGAACAAAAGAGGAAAAAACAGACGCGTCGGCCGCTGGCACTATCCAAATACGTAGTGCGAAGAGAAGGAATTCGCTCGGCAGAAATTTAAAACGTAAAGGGCTGCGATCACGTGGATCGGAATAGCGGCACGAAGTTCAATTAGTCCTGACCACTCTTGAACCTGAACCACTATCTCTTCCCTGCGATACACAAAAGCGATATCCCTCAATGTCTTCCTTGCTGCTGAAAAGTATTCCTCCACAAATCGAAGAGCCGGTTGGGTGCTGGCTGCCCAATCAGATCTTGCCACCGGAACTCTGCGACATCGTTATCGATTTCCTTCACACAGACAGGACCTCGCTTATGTCCTGCGGCCTCGTATGCAGATCTTGGCTCCCTGCAAGCCGCTTCCACCTCTGGGACACTCTCAAACTCGCACCATGCAACATCGACGGCTTCTTCATCCTTCTTTCCTATTCTTCCACGTTCTTGCCGTACATCCAAAACGTCGAGATCGAAAACGCCTTTACTAAATTCACTCATTATGAAAAGTTTTGGACTCGATGGGATAACATTGTTCCCTATCTGTCTGGCCGACGTCTTAACAGCGTTCGTTCCTTTCGCTTGAGCAAAGTCTCTTGGGGACTTCTGCATGATATGAAATGGTCGTCTTCCATCCTGCACACTTTCTCCGAAGTCAAGACTCTCCATTTGTCCAATGTCTCCTTTGACAACAACCTTCAGGTCATCCAATTTCTTCGCAGTTTTCCTCGTCTGGAAGACTTGTCTATCGCCATCTGTTTTTCTTTTGTCGATGACGACCTGCTCCCTAATGATGAAGACGAGGATTTGACGTCAATGATTGTCGATGAAGTAGATGGAGGGGGTGTCATGATTGAGGACGAGATCCATCCTTTTGGTTGTGTAACCGACACACCTCTCTGGCCTTCGCTTTCTACTCTGCATTTTACCCAGGGACATCTTTTCGACGTCTTTGGTCTCAATCTCTCCTCAAGACAGGAAATCTTTCTCTGGATGGCCTATTTTCTACCCGCACCAGCTATTCGTGATCTAGTGCTTTACTCCATCACTACTGCCGAATTGGAGTCGTGCGGTCGCCTGCTCCAGGCAATTGGTAGCAGCATCGAGACCTTGACAATTTCATTCCTGACAATCTTCACACTTGCAAGTGAGTTCATATCTAGTCGACACCAGACCATTTCACTCATCCTCTTCAGGCCAGATATCCGAATATATTGATCTCTCTTGTCTTGCGAGTCTCCGGTCTCTTCACTTTCGTCAAGTAGGCTGGGAAGCCTGTGACTGTGCCAAGCTTTCCACCGCTTTTATGCTGCTCTCGCAGATCCGCTCGCCTTTCATGGAATCGCTGTCATTCTCGCTTGGTGTGGGGGTTCTAGATAGCCTCGGTGACGATCAGTGGGAATCCCTCGCCCGGGTTTTAGCGTCGTCGTATCTCTCGGGCTTGCAAACGATCAAATTCTCCGTTTACTATCACAAGCTAACACCTTCAGAGGAATTCTACCGAAGTAGGCTCGCCGACTGCGATTCCAAGGGAATCCTTCATTTCGAGTTTCTTCCTGTACAGAATTCATGCTTATTCACAGAATGAGAGGATCCGTTTGGTGTCTTCTTTTTCCTATATTCCAGAGTAACTCCAGGAAAATTGCGCAGATATATAGATATATACTTGACCTCCACTTCGAAACCAGGACTATTCATTTAACATTATACACGCGTAACTAGATTTGTAAATCATCTATGCTTTCTTCCTACACCTGCACAAAACGTACTCAAAAGGGATTCCTAATTTTCAGCAAGCATTGTTCCTCATCGCATTCTCGACAGTGGAATCCCGACGACCCAGCCATGAGAGGTCGACATTTCTGCCTGGAGCTTTAGAGAGAGCGAGTTTAAGTACTAGGCGCTTCCTCTTCCTTGCGTCAAGAGAACTCCATCCTTGACAAACACCAGTTCTACTTCTTAGTCTCGGATACCTGTTACTCATTGACGAGCTCAACAGCCACGAAAAAAAGGCTGTCGGGGAGGGTCTTCCTCAGAAACCTCCCTTGGAGTGATGTGGCCTCGATGACGAGCTTTGTCGGATCTGGAGAGTGCCTAGGGTGTCTGGCGTCTGGCCGAGGACTAAGTACTCCATCGAAGGTGCTGGAGGCGCAGTGTGAGGAAGAGAAGGGGCGAAAAGGCTGGATGGTAGAACTGATATCAGCTGTAGGCACGCCAGTAATATGTTCTTGACTCTTCTGCCAGTTTTCTAATGCGGATATGCAAAGGACACCGATTATATCGTAGTGTGGATGCAATAATCTTTTGCCATAAAATGGTGCGCGTAGTCGTCGACTCTCCCTTTTGCCAAATGTTGGCAGTTAAGACACATCGGGCGTAATGATCCAGAAACACGAAGGACCTCGACAATATCGCACATGCGATTGAGATGCGGTATGACTTGAACGGGAACGATATTCGTCCCTGGAATCATAGAGTTCATAGATTTAACACTCAACGCGAGAGTGGCAAGTGGAGACGCGTTATGGATTGCTTCAAAGAGTCTGAATATTCTCAAAACGTTAGCCGACGATAGCAGAGATTTCAAACGGAAAATACTCACGAAGCAAAGGATAGACTTTCGCCACAGTGCCCCCATGGTGTACCAAAAATTTCCGTAGATGAATCCACCACCTTGTACGTCCCTGCCAGTGCATGCTGCTGCTGCACGGGAGTCGGGGTCATCAAAGGCTCAGGCCAGACGGCCTCGAGCGACTTGACGCGTTCCTCCCGAATTTCGTCACGTCCGTCGCCTTTCCCGGCCGATACGCTTGACGCAAAACTGAATCTGCGACCTTTAATGGACCAGAGAAGCTGGACGACTGTAGGCGGGTTCACCTCGAGTAGGGTTGCAGAAATACGGCACCACTCGGAATATTGGCTGAGGAGTTGGGTGAGGGATTTCAGATCGTGAGACGACTGGCATGGATGGAAGTGGGCCAGGACGTATCCTGACAAAACTGAGTTGAGGCGAAGAGAAGGATAATGTTAGACACACCAAGCCCGGAAAAAAAGTCTGGAATAGCGAGATTGGAGTGATCGTGGTATTGGACATGTACTGTAGATAGACTGTTTTGGGTGCCACGGACATAGTGGGATTTATTCGCCCTAGATATTGGTCGATTTCGACACACTGAGTAACTTGAGAAATTCTCACAAACATGGTTCTAAAATGATATCATATACTCTTTCTAGATGGGCTCTATGTGTATTTCTAGAATTGTAGCATATTTCCCTGAAGAACGCGGAAATCTGTAAAGACACATTCAGCTAAGTCCGGGTGGAGAGAAAGGATTTTATCCTACTGAAGTTCTCGAAACTTGAGCCAGAGACATAGGCATAACCACCATCCCTGCTTCGCACCGCTTGCGCTGTCTTCATTTCATTTTCGACAAAACATTGGAGATTACCGGGAGTGGACGTGAAGAGAAATTTTTTGAACTCGTATCTGGTTAGTATCTATTTGGCAATGTCTCTGCGGTCCGAAATTTCCGCACCCAGGAACCGTCACTTTCCGACGGCCTCCAGTGAGCTTGAAGATGAAAGGTTACAACCCCGAAAATTTTGGCCACGGCAGAAATGTCCTGTACGAGTCTCGGACATTGCCCAGAGGTACAATATACTACTGCGCATGTGAAACTGATTCTCTGATTCGTCTCCAGGAGCTTCAATCGCTCCATGCCTTGATATTGATTCGTCCCTGTACTTAGGCACAGTTGCGGATCCCCACTGCCTCGTTGCTTTTGCTAACGATTTCCTAAAGGAGTCTGTGACTTCCGATGAGCCACTATCAACGACTTGGTCGCTTTGATCCCATCATCATTTCCATCTTTTTGCGGTAGTCTGCTACACCCCCAGGAGCCGATCAACATGTACAAGGTCCCAAAACGGCCATCATCCCTGCTTTGAATGCAGGGCTGTTTCGCCGATGAACCTAGGTACATTTACTATATTAGCCTTAGTGCAGGTATAAGATTCGTCAAATTACACAGATAAACTGCTTTTTGACCGTCACACCCACAACTTCTACATTGATTAAAAAATGTCGGATGCGGATGCTTCCGCTGCCATCGCCGCGTTCCAGGCCTTTGTCAACAACCTTTACGAGAACAAAAAGAGCAGTTATTCGTATGGTGCGTGTCGTGGCGCCCCCTTTCGTGTTTTTTTTCTCTCTGATAGTGACAACGTAGTTTCCGCCTTGTCTTTTTTGACATGGGACATTATTGTGTCATTCGGGGATGAGGTACACCGTCTGTATTCTTACCATTGGGTTCTCTGAATAGCCGTTCTCTAGGTTAACTACATCTGGGTGTAAGTCTTGTGATTGATACATGTTTTGGCATCACCCATGATTCTCCAAAGCTCTCAATGGTCGATACCCAAGTTGATGTATTTCCTTGCACGTTACTACCCGTTCCTCTATCTCATGTCAGTAATCTTGTTGAGTCTTCCCATCTTGGACGAACAAATGACATTGGTTCTAGTGGGGCGAACATCAGTACGGGTCTTTTGCATAGCGCTTGCTATCTCCGCATATCTCATATGAATATGTCATAGTGTCCCTTGCTACTGACATTCCAAAAAGAGTGAGTTCGATTAGCTACCCTGACTGACTTGGCTTTACATGTATACCGTTCTGCGTAGTTGTATGTTATGGCGTTTACGTTTAAGGTTTACTTCTTAGCGCCATCGATCCAGCTGTCAGGCCTACTGGTATTGGTCTTTAATGTGAGTGGTTGTGCCTTCCCGCCGTCTTCGTGAACTAACCCCATCCTAGCGGCGGTCCCTCTTTCGTGATCATAATATTGGACATCATTTTGCTTCTTCGGGTCTTTTCGTTATACAACCGGAATAGATGGCGTACGTGAACACGTCCGTCTTTGTGTGTGTTGCAACGCTCACATGCATGCACTAGTGCTGACTTTCATGGTTCTCTTTGTTATCGGTACGGTCTGGTTCACATTACTGAATGCGAATTTAATTTCCGATAGGTGACGCAACGGTGGGTCTTCATCAACGGAGAACTAGTCATGCGCTGAACGTTTATTCATAGGGTGCTCTCTATGCATGTTCTAGGCTAGCCATCGATCTTGCTGCAGGGGTATATTCCATACCAGCCCCTTGGCAAGGCTGCGCAGCGCCAGTTCCACAATTTGAATTCGTTCTATCGGCATAGTTCGTTTTATTTCTCTTCCTATCTACAAGCGTTTGTTAATTCTCTGGGATAAAAGTGTTCCAGCTTTGACTCTTGCCCGTTCGTATTAATATGACTGTATCTACCGAGCACCTGAACTGACCGATCTCACAGTCTTATTCCTGGGACTGACGTTATGGAAATTATTCCAAACGCATAGGTCTTTGAACGGCGGCATTACGTTGAAGAAAATGCGCGAGCTCGAGTCCGTTTCTCCACTTTTGATGGCCTTTGTTACAGATGGTAGCGTTTTCTTTGCATTGTGGGTCAATTTCTCTTTCCCCATTTGAAAGGTCTCCGCATTTTGAATCTTTTCTCCGCGATCGACAGGATTGCCGGTATGTTTTAATTCTATATCGCCGATCAAAGAAAAAAATCTCATCACCAATAGCGGCGCTTGTCATTGGTATGATCCCTTCCTTCGCTGTTAGTGGCCCTATACAATCAGCTTTTCTACCGTAAGTCTCAATTTTACAACAACCATGCATAAACTAACCGGATTCGCAGGTGGACCATGGCATTTTATTCTTATTCCGTGCGCACCGATTCTGAGCGGTTCGTTTTCCTTATTGACCTAACTATTGACTTGGCAGGGAGCACACCTCATCCTCAACCTCCGGTCGCGTGTTCTCGGGCAGAACGCCACTCCGACGTGGAATGATACGCTTGAATTCGCACATCCGGTTTCCCAGAGAACACAAACAGCCGATGTGCCATTGGACGACAACCCTGTATAGAGATTTGGTTGTTCGTACATTTCATATTATAATTATCCGTCGATTTACTATGCTATCTATAAACGAAGGGGCTTCGGCCGATGCAATGGAATAAATCCAACGTATTCAACAACGATAAATACCCGGTACTTCAAACTGAGGCCAGCAACCTTAAGCACAATAGTTCGTTGGTCAGGGAGGGACCACGTACCATAATCATCAACTACCTCTGTTACGGACAAGAGACCTCGAGCAGTGCATCGAGGGAGTTTATAACTGAGGAGCCGCTTTTCACCTTTCAGGTCTGCAGTTTCCGACTCTATCCCTTTCAAAGCGAATTGTACCATAATTAAATTCGGCAGAACTGATAAGACATTATCCAGGTCTTCCCAGCGGAAGACACTAACGAGAGACGTCGAGTCGTACAATCCAAATGACAGTTGTATCCTCAACTCCTGTAGCTGCGGTATCTTGGATATAGACTCTTGCAAATGATGTTGCCATGGATAAAGCACATCTGAGGGGTACTGTCGATAATGCAATACGCGCAATTTAGTCCAATGTGACAGATCCAAGATTGGCTGTGATACTTCATCGCCGTAATCAGTCAAGACCAAAACCCTCATATACTCCAGAATTCAGGAAACTCACGGGTGATCGACCTATCCATTTGTGGTGGTGCCACTACAAAATGCCGGACATCACGAAGGTTGCGGATGAACCCTGTGCAATCAGCTAGACCGCCAGGGTGCACCATGGGCGAGTGAAAGGACATGTCAATTTCGAGATAGTCAAGTGGAGGACGCTGCCTCGACAGCCACTTGAAAAGATAGCCGAAATTTGCCACGCGACTTTCAATCAGAATAGCTCTAAGAACCAAACGACGAAGACGGGTTCCTAGCCTATAGCAAGCCACCCTCTCGGGAGGTTCATCTGTTATCAATCCACCCGCGCATATGCGAAGCTGTTCTAACATGGGAAACGCCACCAGAAACTGAATGAGACAAACGGGGTCCTCCCAGAGCATGTCAGTCAGGTCCAGTTCTGTGATGTTCCAGAATATGGACATCACAGAAGGAACGACAACGTCGCGCATCTGGTCCCAATTGATGCCGCTCAGATGGAGGGAAGTGACTGCGGAGAAGAGTGGGAGGCGTGAGATGATGGGCTCACATAAATCCCAAGGGAACAGCGTGGTTCTGTCTGGGACCCAGGGGCTTTTGGCGCAGTTCCCGTACAGCTCGAGGCGGTGGGTGTATCCCCCGAATGTGCAATTCTGCAATGTCATGCCAGTGGTCGACCTCAAGAATTTTTGCTGGTTATGTTGAGACCGAAGCACTATTCTTTTGAATAGATGGTATCGACTCGTGGGGAGCCATGACCTGCAAACAAGGCTGCAGACCACGAGGGAAGGATAATCCGAATGTAGAAAATCAATAATCGTGTCCCAGGTCTCGTTAGGCAGCTGGGAATGGACAATCTTGGGCATGGGTGCGGTAGACCTGCGGGGATTGAGGTATTACATGCCGTAGTTTACAAAATAAGACAATACCTTCAAGTGTTCCTGGGATTTGCACAAAGGTAGAGAAGCGTCGTTGACGTATGTGATGAACACTCGGGTGCCCGAGCCCGAGGTGAGACCTACAATTTAATTACAATGCTGTCATTACTGGTATCTGGAGGGAAAAATGGATGATAATTCGGTGCTGAGTGCAGTATTTACGGGTCTAGGTAGAAAGCATAGGTGATACTTAAATCTATGCTTTGCGATGAATAAATATTTTTTCATGGAGCCCCTACCCTTACGGAGTATAACGTGGAGAGGCTGAATTATACCCAATTACTGCATTCCAGTCGCAACTCACTGTTAAAATATAAGAAGCGATGGACTGCGTAAGAGGAGAAGGCAGTCCCTTTTTCTTAGTCGAAGTTCCGAAATTCATCGTTGCAACCCCAGTAACGGATACACTTTCATCGGTAGGATATACACGGGCTCTGAAGGGATGGCTGAAGCAATCCATGAGACAGAATTCCCTCTGAATCACCAATGACTAGCCTATCTCGTCGAGGGCGCAACCTTGTCATAGGTGAAAGAAAATTCAAGACTGTATCACTTTAAATAAGCTAAAATGAAGCAGAGCAAAAAGCTAGACTAGGAGTTCCATTTGTCTGGCCATCCACCGAGTAGAGACTATTGTATAGCGTATAGCGAAATTTTGCTTTCGTTTTTAAGCCTTTGTGGTGGTAGATGGAAGAGAGGCCGTTCATCGAACCGGCACATCGGTCCGATTGTCCCGTTAGCCGATTAAGTTCGGCTGCAGGGTCTGGTTTCTTCTCCAACCCTTCAGCTTCAGTGTTTGTTCACCCCGTGCAGATGGTGGAGGCGGTAACTGCTGAATATCTTCGCTAGGGAAGGCACTCTTCCAAGTTATTACGTTGATTGAGGAAGGTCTTCTACTCTTCCGACGGCATCTTTGTCTGGACTCTGGACGAGTCTGGAGTTTCCCAACATCTACATGAGAATCGGTCAACCTATCAACTTGCAGCTCGCGCTTCTGTCCCTTCTTAGATTTCATCTCGTGTGAAACAGCTGTACTATCTCCGAGTTGGTCTTTATTGTCTATTTTCTTTCGTTAGTTCGTGTGGGAATGTGAACCTCACATCTTAGATCTAGTTTCTCTCTTCCTGGTCCACGGAAGTACTTGTCTTGTCTAGATTCGGTTGCCAGAAGGTGCTTAACTCCGCCTTCACGTTCTCATGTCTGTTCTGCCTCGTGCCTTTGTGTCCAGTATCCGCTCCGAGGGATTCTTTCAGCACCCATGGCAGATCTCTTCGAGATTCGGCCACTTTTCACCTCGTCTTGACGGACCATGTTTGGCATCAGTCAGTTAAAAAAAAAAAGTTCTCTCTCTCTTCAGGATCATGCAGCCGGCGATCGATCCGTTTCTCCCGCTTCATCGTCCATCCACAGGAAATGCACTGTTGATTACTAAAACTCTTGCGGATGCAACCTCCCCTCCCCGAGCATACAGCATTCTCCTGCTCCAGATTGTCTGAGTACTTCGATCGCAAGTCTAGTATATCAAAACACAGATTCGCCTTCTATCATTACTATTCCAGTGCCAGAGATTCGTGATACTATATTACCCTCCGACCACCTGATGGATCTGAGGGTCAAACGACCTCCAGTCTTATGTTCAGATCAGTTGTAGTCTTGATAGAGATGTACATGTGCTAGACCCAGTGCTCGCGGCCGAGTACTGTAGAGGTCATTTTCGTGGAAGACACTGATGTGAATGTCTACGATGTTTCCCAATGAATATCAACCGAGGATTTCTGGTGGCTGCGTAACCCAGAGGGATATTTGTATGGGCTATATGTAAACGGTAGGAAGGCTAAGGAAGCCTGAGTAATGATACTGCTAAACTGTACCATGGGCCACAATGATTGTGCAGCTTATACCCATGTATCGTCACAGGGCTGAATGGTTTATAATTTGCTGAGTATAGGATTTCTTCTCGAGGGCGACTGCGACAAGGCCCTCGACGCAGACAATAAAGCGTCTACGATATTAGGGATCCATCGTCGACGCATGACGTAACAGCGGGGGTTGCCAAAACCGGCAACCTGATCATCCATCTAGCACCTCACCTCACGCCACTACCACCACCACCACCACTACCACCATCATCATCACCGCTGCTGCCATGTCTGACCAAGCTGGAGAAGTACGCTCTCCCTGCTCTCCGTCGCCAAAATTGTTGAACAATGATGTCTCTAGGCTGTCCCTGCCGCCCAGCGCAGCAGCTGGACATCGTTTCTCAAAACGTGCGTGCTGCATCGAGTGTCGTGTTGCAGGCCGAACTGAGGAATTGTGTATACAGGATCGCCTCTTTTTCTGGGGATCTCTCATCGATGACTGCACCGCCGTTTATCCTCTCGCCCGTGTCCCTGACTGAATTCCCTGGTACGTGGTTCAGTATAGGGATGGTTGCATGTTACTTATGTATCCGGGCGTTATTCTCGTTTCTCGCTCTTACGCTTTCTCCAGCATACTGGTGTGAACGACCAGAATTGTTTGCGGCCATTGCGGATGCGACGACAGACGAAGAGCGCGCGCTTGCTGTACTCAAGTGGTTCGTCGTACGTTTCTTGCTTCCTTGATGCTTAAAGCTTCTGGTAATCCACGATTGTCTTGCTACAGAGCACCCTCAAAGGCCAGTATACCTCACGAAATGAATCCATGGGCTCTGAGAAAAAGTGATTCGTCCTCGCTTTATTCATCGAACGATCACTCATCCTCTAGCTATTAATCTCCTCGCAGACCATTGAATCCGGTTCTTGGAGAGTCAGTCTACGCGTTTTCCATATGATACCTCCTCATACCGGCTTCTGACCCCTGTGGCGATTCAGGTTGTTCTATGGTCAATGGCCTGATCGAAACGGACGTGGCCAGACGGATCTACTGGTTGAGCAAGTATCACACCATCCACCGATAACCGCGTATGTTATCCAGAACAAGAGCAAGGGTGTCAAGCTTGTGGGACACAACGCCCAGAAGACCAGCTTCAGTGGTAAGCGTATACAGCATACACTGTGTCGCCGACTGAATGTATGAGTTCGTGCAGGAGGTTCTATCATCGTCAAGCAAATTGGACATGCCATCCTTACCGTAACGCCTCCATCCGGAAAGCCCATAGAGTATCTTATCACGCTCCCTCGTTTACGAATAGACGGCTTGTGGTACGGCTCACCCTATATCGAGCTTGCAGAAAATACCTACATCATCGGAGGCAACTACGTCGCGACGATCGATTACAAAGGCCGGGGCTACTTCTCTGGCAAGTCTCACTCGTTCAAGGCCATTCTTACTCCAGCACCTGGATGTGGTGGGGCCGGGAAAGATCACGTCATCGAAGGGCTGTGGCATACGACTAGCAAGTTTATTGGTGGTCCTCGATCCGGGAAGGAGTTCCACGACGTCACGGGTCCCAAAGAGGAGGTGACGGCTATAGGTGGTGAGGAAGGTGGGGAGATGGGCGAGTTTGAGACGAGAAAGTTGTGGAATCTTGTGGCGAAGGGTATTAGGGAAGGTGATTTCGATCTGGCGAGCAGGGAAAAGACGAAGATTGAGGTGAGTACCGTGTTTATCTGTTCTATTTCTGTCTAATGATGGGATGGATATGTTTAGAATGATCAGAGGCAGAGGAGGAAGGACGAAGTGGCGGCCCAGACCACCTGGAAGCTTAAGAATTTTGAGCATATCGATAATGATCCTACATGTGTGCTCGTTTCCGAGATTGCTGACTGTATCGATTCTGACGTATCTTTTTGGTAGATGAACGACTAGGAAGGATTGCCAGGATCAGTCCTCCCACGGAAGACGCATATGTCTTCCAAGATAGTTGGCCCGCATCTGGTTAGACAGTTCGAAGGCTGTGTACATTCTACTGCTAGCGTAAATATTCATGGCGTTGTAATTGGAGAGCTCTATATACCTTTCTGGACTGTCGTTTACTCATATAATAGAAGGAAAGTACAATTGCATCTTTTGAGAGTAAGTGCTCGATATTTACTATATGTCTCGAAGATCTAGATAAGTCGCTCTGTAACATCGAGTTAACGTTAAAGATATAAGATGGATAGATACTTAGATAACCGGTCTAAATCCCAGAACGTGTCACAGACCACAATCCCTCATGCCGCTGTGATATCTTCAGTCACCAGCCAAGAACATCTCACGGATTTGAGGGAATTGCAGGGACAAGTGAATATATCACAGAAAATATGTATAATATGTACCATGTACAGACAAGGCACCGACATCCTAGACTCGCCTTTGTACACTTGACGTTGCAAGCAAGGAACTGTGATCAGAGAAACGGTCGCCAGTCTACCGGCATCCCGCGTCATTACACTTTATCGTCGGTTCACATCCGCCCGCTTATGTATATGAACAGTAGGCAGAAGGAAAGATGTGACAGTCAGTCCCCAGAGTATTGCCAGTGTAACATCAGGAACGATGTGGGGAGCAGCAACAAGGATAGCATACTAGGATATGAAATGAAGAGGTGTGCGATCTGTGTACAAAGAAAAGGCTCAGCAGTCTTCAACGAGCAAAGAAGAAAATAGCGTCAAAGACGACAGCAAAGACGGGGTCATTAGACGAAGTCCCTTGGACGAAGCATTGCACGAACAATGAATAAAGAAATAGCGTCCAAAGACGACATCTGGCAGAGAGAAGTTAATAGTAAATTTGTCTGAATTTGTTCAAGATGTTGGTCATCCTAGTCCTAGTCCTCCATGCTCGAGTAGGCAGTGGGAGTATGCTTGCGTAGGCGCACATAGGGACCGCCATACGACCGCCGTAGCTCTGTTTATCGACGAGAAGAGAGTAAGTGCCCAGGATTTACTGTATATCTCGAAGACCTAGTTAAGTCGCTCTATAGCCGAGTTTAAAATTTAAGAATACCAGATTATCTATTGCCAAGTGGTAATCCACCATTTCCAGAGCCCTTCGATGATTCCCGAGTTAACACCAGCCTCTGATACCCCCGCTCTATTTTGAGGGTTGATGTACATGGGCAAACACATAGCGAACCATGATTGAACCCAGATATACCCGACGATGCGCCAGAAATTAGGGCTGCCCGTAAACCCTAAGCGCCGACCCAAGGCGATGACGGCGCTCTCTACGGTGATACAGAGCGCCTGGGACATGAAAAACTTGAGTGCCCCACCGTGGTATCCCAAGACCATGTAGTCAGAGCTGTGGTGGACCCATCCCGAGATGAAGAACGCGATGTATAGTCTGATGTACGAGGCGAGGATGGAGTTTTTCGGGAGGGAGAGGCGGGAGACGAGGCGGTCGCCTGGGGTGGTTATGTTCTATATAACGGTGTGAAAAGGTTGATATATGCAAGAGACTGGATGTACCTTTCGAAGGAGCTGGTGCCAGGTAAGGCTAGAATAAATTTTCAGCGGTGACCGTAATAATCAGCTCGACGACGCACCTCCAGAACCGGCGTATGGTATACGCGTCTAACCAGCTCCCGTAGAGCGGTCGCCACGTCTGGACGTCCCAAATGCCCAAAGCTACCATTACTGCGCTGAACAGCGCGTGATTCATCGTCAAGGCTGCAACAGCTGGCACCGCCCAGCCCCACACGAAGGCGCATTTCCCTAGGAAAGTCGTTTCCTCGGGCCCGTCGATGTAGAAGGAGGGTCGATACCGCGTATACGTTGCCGCGGCGTCCCAGAGAATGAACATCGCGGCACTTTGTACTATCCGGTTGACGACGAAGCACCATCGGGATGTGGGAGTGGTGTATGGCGGGAGGTTAGGTGGCTCGTGCGTCCATCCGATGCCTCGTTGGCTGGTTAAGAGAGATAAGCTCCATTTGAGACGCGATTTCAAGTCTGGGAAGGACGCCTGGGGGGTGGTCTGGCCTTTTTGGAACAGTTCGGTTTGGGGGTCGGTGAGGAGGATGTAGTCGAGGGCTGTGGCGACGATGGGTGGGATGGACGCGCCGATGGAGAGGTTGGAGATAATCTCGCCTGTGGTCGTGTGGTAGACGAGGTAGTAGGCGATACTGAAGATGGGTAGAAATAATAGGCGTCGGTAGGGTGCTGGGCGTATTGTTATGGATACAAGCAAGAGGACGGGAAGGAGCGAATGCAGCGGGTATGAAAATGGATGGCGTTCGTCTGCCATTGCGAACGTTCCCGACAAGGAAAATAGAGGAAATAAAGTGGACTTTGTTCGGGATCAAGGGATGTCATGATGGATGTTTGGTTTAGACGTCGTCCGATTACTTTTAATTTAGGCCGAAAACTCCACTCCTACTAGCACACGTGATGGAGAAGTTATGTAACTTCGCCCGATTTGTAATACGAACCGAAGTGCATGCCTCCCACCAAGCTTCCGTTACAATGGACGAAGTCGCCTGTCTTATTCTCACGATGCTTGAAGAAAAATGCAACAACAAACTACCAGATCACTACTAATTTAAGCCAGGCACAAAGTGTCGCAACAGCAATAAACGATGCAAGAAGAGAAATCAACATCCCAGCGACGAGGAAAATCGACCTGCCAGGCCTCGAGCGCCGGGGACGATGCTACGGATGACGAGACCTTACGATACGTTCCTCGCAGGTAGCGGCGATGAGGAAATGTCAGAGGTGCGCCTGACTTCAATGCAGCATTGAAATAGCATACGCCAGAGAAATTCCCAGACCATCTATCCAAGGAAATGTGGGAACTTTTGAAGATGACAGTGCATTTTCTGCGGAGAATATACAACGGCATCAGTCCCTTTGGTTAGTGTCAAGGATCGAGTTCATGATTGCGCAACAAGTTTGGCAGATCACAGGCTATCGACGGAGGTTAGATCTCAGCTTAGAGGTTTGATACGAAAAAATACTCAACTATAAACACTTCAGAGTCCATGACTATCCAAAGAATACCATTGGGTCCAGATCACGGATGTGGCTGGTCTCGAGTAGACAGACACTACAGGATGTGGTGCCGTCAAGACAGCAACAGAAAAAAAAAGCAACATCTTAGTAGCCAGAAACCTAACGCTGAAAGGGAGATAATCTGGACCTGGCCCGCTCCCCATGCCACAGCAACCTCAATATGAGCTACCGCACGATCGACCCTGAAACTGATAAGTACTACCTCTTGTCCACCGCCTTATCCATTGAGTCTGAGAAAAGAATCAGTGCGCTGGAGCAGGGGGGAAGACCTACTATGCCATAGGTCCTGTTTTCATTCACGTTGATAAGGACATGGCAGAAATAGCATGTCACGAAGGATGTGGCATGGAAAGCATGTCCACCTCTGTGCCTGGCACGGCTCTAATCGAAGAAACTGTCTACAACACCTTGCAGTGCGCACAAGGTCTTTCCCGATCCGTTCATCAAGATATACTTCAAGCCTGTCGGACGCCAGGAGTATGAGGGAGGAAAGGATATCCGATGACGTTCAGCAGGACGTGGAGGATAGTCCAGCACCTGAACGTCCCTAGGCGGCCTTTGAAGATTCGGCTGTCAGGCGAGATATTTCCTCGCGGTCTGTTGTTGAGCTTCAGTCAGATCAACGGCAAAGACCGACCTTCCCCCTTCGAGCGACGAACTCGGTCAATACTCGGTACTACTTATCCTCCTCTGTGTTTCATCTTACATGCTCTCCCCCAGATTTGCGTGTGAGCTGTCAGAAAGGGTTCATATTAGTTTGCCTATCTCAAACCCATGCGCTCTAATCTGATTTAGACTGCGCCATCATCATCACGATGTCGGCGCATCGCAAGCATACTGGCAATGAGCGACACGTTACACTTGCTGAAAGCTTCTCGGCCTCAAGTTCATCACCCCTCACCGATGCTGGTGCCTTCTTCTAAGTGCATCTTGGCAAGCAGGCAGTTCCTACTCCCGATCTCAAACACTCGCCTTCACAGATCCCGATCGCTGATTATGTCGATGTAGATGTCTGAAGGCCTGGACCGAGCAGCCTCCTGAAGCATCGAAAACGAAATACTCGGAGGACCCTGTATGTACAACGGCACACACAGAAGCCAGTAGTGGCCAGCAAGCCAGACGTCCACCATCGAAGTTCATACATCAATAGACAGAATTAAAATACCCACACCACAGGGTCCTCGTTCCTTTTTGAGGACATTGAACGCTCCCCCAAAACATTAATCGGCGTTCCTCAATGAGCGCCAATCAGAAACGACGAGCCGAGATCAAACTAAAAATTCCCTTGTCCCAGGGCTGAGGGAAGATGTTCGCTCTTTTGTTCTTTCTCGCTCGCTACCCACCACTGTCACTCCTTCTAGCTCATGTCCAGTGTCGATGGCGGCTTGATCATAGTTGACGACCAGGATGCGGATGTAGCTTATACTGGTTCATGGACGTCCGCTGGGTCTGCGATGGAGTACAGCCAGACGATACACGCTTCTAATGAGACGGGGGCGTCGATGTCGTATAATTTCACAGGTGCGCCGCGTCGGTGTGAGGAATACGTTCCTGTCTGATATTATTTTTGAGGGACATATATCTCTGTCTATGGCGATTACGACCCAAGGGGCTCGTGTTCTTTGGTTTTCAGTCTGGATGGAAAGTCAACGGAGGTTAATACTCCACAGATCAACGCGACAGCGCACCACCGGCAGATATGGGCATCCTCACAGCTGAGCGATGGCAACCACACACTCGTTTATTCCGTCGACTCGTGTCACAGGAACAATGCTACTTCATCTGGGACGTACGGCTGGTTCGACTATATCTTGTATCAGCCTTCTCCCGGTACCCTCCCCGCCGCCAAGTACGTTGTTGACGACACCAGCTCGGATATCAAATGGGCAGGCAACTGGTCGCGAACTGGGGTAGACGGGGACTTTAATGTCACTGCCCATGCGAGTAGCAAGGGTGCTTCTCTCGAACTTCAGTTCACCGGTACCTTCCCTCCTTTCTGTCGTTTCATGCTCCTAACATCCCGCTGTAGGCTCAGCCATTACAGTTTATGGCCGGCTGGACAACCTCACAAACACCTTGACCTCTGCGGCATTCGCCATTGACAACTGGCGCTGGAGAAACCTACAACGCTCCAGCTCAAAACGCCACTGTTTTTAACGAACAGTTCTTCACGTCCGGGACACTTCCCCAGCAGGAGCATACTCTTACAATGACCGCGCTGTCGGACGCAGCTATTTATATCGACTATTTTATTATTCGGTCCACACATTCTGGTTCTTCTGGAGGGAGCTCGGCTGGATCCTCTGGGAGGTCACATCGTACTGGAGCTATCGTCGGAGGGACGATTGGTGCAGTCGTAGGCATCGTAGCTGTCGCTGCTATTATCTACTTTCTTCTCACGCGAGGGAAGCGACCGGGGAAAAACAAAGATCTTAATTCACGTACGCACGATTGTCTTGATTCCCTGTCTGCAATCTGAACGTTATTCGGAAGTGACCCTGCCGCCATCAGGGATTGGGACCGGAAGAAGAGGCACCGTGTTGGTCAGGAACTCCGTAGACGGGAGTTATTCGCTCTCCGGGGTGGTGTCTCCCCATCATGGCCAGCATACGCGCATGCGGAGCGTTCATACTTCGCCTAGTAATTCTGATTTTGATAATATCTCCGGCCCAAAAACGGAGAGACGGCTGGTATCGCGTTTCTCGATAGGCTCGTCCATCGTATCGTCCCATGGCAAGTACGCTTCCGTTGATCTCTGTAAGTCCTTTCGCCTTCTGGAATTAATTTCGGTTATATCAATCAACTTTTCCCCCCTTCCAATCCCCCTAGTTCGCAATATCATTCCCACTCAACCACCCACACCAAGAACTCCCACCTCGGGCACCAGTTCGTCGCCTCTTCTCACGAGCATACCTGAATCCCCACCTGCCGGACGGTCTGCATTTTCACGCTTTTTCCCTTCCTCCTCGCCTCGTAAATCCCACACACATAGGCATATCCTATCAGATGGTGGGCCGTCGTATCCTCCAGATTATGGGCTGAGGTCGCCCCCCATGTCCCCTGGCGTGTCGTCCTACCAACCATCTGGCGAACCGTCTAGCCGAAACCTTCTGCATAGCGTCACAACGATAGATACCGACGATTATTTCCCGTCGATCTCTGATCTCAAAAGGCGACGGTTACCGGAAGTCCCTCGAGACCAACCACCGAGGGAATCGGTGGCGTATGGAGGAGAATCATCCCATAGTATGCCGAGTAGTAAGTCCTCCAAGTTCCTGGCAAGCGAAGGTAGTCTGATCGTGAATTGTCGCAGCCCCCCGTCCCCTACCTATTCCAGGGATCTTCGTCATTCGTCTTCGTTTCCTCCTGGCTCAGTCTCAGGGCACACGTGTTACGCGGAAAGTCGGAGGCGAGAATTTCATGGGGCTTGATCATGATGATCTGAAAAGGCCGAATACACTGGTGACGCTTTCGAGAGAGGGTATGTCGGCGTCGACTCTGCCTATTGTGCATACGGATAGTGGGTTGCGGTATACGGATGATCCTGCTGGTGGGCCGTCGGCGGAGGATATTGACACGACAACACTTGTCCCGGATGAACTGCCGCCGGTGTATACACTTCGTTGAGGTGGATTTAGTAGTTTTGTTTATTTTGGACCATAGCATTGATGTACCATATTCATTTTGCTTAGGCATTGTAATTGTATACATGGCTACAAGGTTGCGGATATCACCATGAATTCATTGGTACTTGGCTAACGGATCACTGACATGATCACCAACCGAAACACAAAACAAGAGGCCCAGCCAATACAACACCACACCAGTCACTTACGGACGATACAACTGCATAACCAGCACCGTCAATTCTGACATGACCAAAACAAAATACGAAAATATACAGATAACAAACTTCCAACTTTCAGAACACAACAAATGCCCCATTAGTTTGCTGCAACCCGAAGACCACCAACTGGAAGTCTTCGTAAATAAACAGCAAAGAAAAAAGGGATCCCCCGACAACACAAGCCAGTACTGCAGTGGCAAGGTCATCGCGCCTCCGCGTTGCAAGCAGAGCACAGAGGACAAGGGCGGCAAAAATTAGATAACCAATACGGGAGGCGGTGCCTCCGTAATAGTGGTTAAACTATTAAGAACAGATACTACACTTGATCTAAGCCAAAAGGCCAGAGTGGTAAGGTTTTCGGATGTCGGGATGGGGTTTATGTATTTCCGAGGGTGGGTGCACGGACCATGGCTGTTTTTGGTAATTGGACCGTGCCACACGCAAGTCCGAGATTACTGACACTAGGAGTGACTTCACTTTCTTTCTTCTTTCTTTCTTTCTTTCTCCGTCGTGGTGGGCGGTCTTTCTTGTAGTCCATTCGTATTGCGTTGCAGCGAGCTATCCCTCATGGTCACTACGCCGAAACATGCAAGTCTTTCTCCTTTGGTCAAGGATCATTGATATCTTGCCTTGTCCTCCCTAATGCTATTCCTGCTCGCGTCTCTGTTTCGCCAAGACGGCTCGGGCACTGTGTACAGCGCTATTTTCACCGCGCGCTGTTTCACACCGGCAACTAGCGCATATGCATGAATGTTAACTTATCTCAGCAACGCGGGAAATCTTCAAATAAAGACGCCCGTGCTCAGTCAGCACGACTCACACTACTATCGCTATCGCTATGGATTCAGTGAAGCCTTTGGAAATCGTTTTTAAACATGTCGGTGGCCTCAATATTGCCATGGACGTGTACGTGCCGGAATCTGCTACGCCTGAGTCTCCTGCGCCGGTTGTTCTGTGGTGGCATGGTGAGTTTTTACCGTTATCGGTGTCATTTGGTATGCTGATAAGAGAACTAGGAGGGGGATTGTTGCAGGTGAGCTCTGTCAGAACTTCTTTGAAGGGTTCGCTTATGCTCATCGCGCTACTGACATCTAGGGAACACGGAAAGGTCAGAAGTAATCAAGACCGTTACAGAGTCAGTCACTCATACATTTCTCAGCGCCCTCGTCTCACCAGCTCCGTTCGCCTTCGTCCCACAACATCTGCTTCATCTCTGCAGACTACCGCTTAGCACCCCAAGTCAAGTTCCCAGCCATCCTCTCGGACTGCAAAGCCGCAATCGACTTTCTCTTCACCCCAGAATTCGCCTCTGCCACGGGGAACCGCGTCGATCCCAACAAGCTCATTCTCAGTGGGAGCTCTGCCGGCGGGTGGTTGTCGCTCCTGTGTGGGACGGGAATCGGGTTCAAGGCGAGTGGGCTGGACCCGCCTGGGAAGGGGCGTGTTAAGGGTATCGCGGCATTGTATCCTATTACGGATCTGTTGGATCCGTTTTGGACGACGAAGCAGTACCCGGTGTCATACTTTAAACGCGTCATAGATAAGGAGGAGCTGGGGTCGTTCCTTGATCATAAGGGTGAGATCATGACTTCGTCTGCGTTGGATAGCCCGAGAAACGCGTTCTATCATTATATGATACAAGAGTACGTCGTGGCTTTTCTGTTTCTTTGCCTTGGGGGCGGTTTTGACTTTGTTTTTAGAGGGATTCTGGCGGACCTTTTGTTGGCGGGGGAGTCGATTAAGCCTTCGGCGTATAGTATTGCTGCCACTCTCAAGTCTGGCGAATTTGCGCTACCGCCAACGTATATCGTTCATGGGGATATTGACGATAAGGTTACTGTCCGACAGGCTAGAGATGTTGTTGCAGCTGCTGGTCCTGATGCTGGTGTACAGTATGATGAGCTGGAAGGTGTGGATCATTTGTTCGACAGGGATCCCTCCTGCAACATGGAGAATATGTATATTTTCATACATAGAGTTTTTGGTAATCTTTGATTTATGCACTAGTATATATATGCCAACTCGATCGTAGTAGCAAAAACCGTTAAGCAAGACTGAGTAGTGATTTATAGGGTACAAGTACAGATGCTACAAATATAAAGGGTAACAACAATGGTAGTAAGACCAAAGTAAAGCAAACCAAAAAAAGAGGATGGAAGATAAAGCAGTAGTCACCCAAAGAGCAAACTAGATTTAACGCTCCGACACACTCGAGTCATCATCATCCTCGTCGTCGGTATAATCAGACACCTGGATAGCCCCATACACATTTCCCCTCCTAACCTTGCCAGCAGCAACATTATCACTGGGCGGAACGCTGAGAATCAGGCGGAAAGCATCCTTGCCATTCAGGTAGAAGCGATAGAGCCGTTTTTCACGGATGAAGCCCAGGGATTCGTAGAGTGAAAGCGCGGCATGGTTATCATACTCGGTTTCCAATACGATCTGTAGAAGGGGTATTGATAAGAAATGACGTTTGGGGAGAACCGAAAAAGACAGAACGGACCTCCTCGACTCCGTCCTCCTTCATCGCCTCGAATAGAGTTTCGGACAAGCGCACTAGCTAGAGGAGAAAACAGAAAACCGCACCAAAAAAAATTGGTAGGGGTTTTAAGTATCTGAATTTCACGTGAGGATAGCAAAAGAGCTGGAAAGGTGGACGAACCGATTCCGCGCTTTCCGCCAGGATTTGCTGACGCTGAGCATGGCGATATAGCCTCTAGTTGTAGGTGTCACGGTGCATGCTTTGTTTGCAGACGATAACGCCTATTGGGTCCGAGTTGGACGGATCGCTGGGGTAGGCCTGGGATAATGAAGTTAGGTATTTGGAGTGCTTCGCAGGTAGAGGAGCTTACCAGGAAGGATAGGTGAGGCCTGTAGATAGAGGATGGTGTTAGTTGCGATATAGATAGAGGGATGGAGGACTGGCCATTGGTGTAGGAAATAACGAAAGGTGTATATAACGTATGGCTCGCTGAGCTCGTTCTGAACGAGCGCCATGACGTGGGGAAGGTCGGATTCACCGATATACTGGCGGTACATAATTTCGGAGGTCATGATGAATGTGGGAAGGAAGATAGATTGGACGTGGCAGGGAGGGGAACGTGACGTTATTCACGTGGTAGAGGGTGTTGCACAACAAATCTCAATAACGCGAAGTTTCTGGGCGGCTGGTTGTTGGACATATGGATTTTGAGGATACCGCGAAGGTTTTCAGTGAAAAAGAAACTTCGTATAGGGTTTACCGGGCGCCTAAAAGGAAGAGGCACTAAGTAAGGACTCTTCATTCCGGGCCGGGAGCTTGATTGAGTGCATCAGTGCATCATTCGTCATTCCATCAAAGATTAGTCTTGGCTCTAAGGGCCCTGCGGGAAAGTTTTGGGCACAAGGACTGAATTGCTCACAGTTCGCGGCACGTTTCGGACAAATTCGGACTCTGTATTGGAAATCTAAGGACGGTACTTGGCTTGAAGGCTGCGGACCTCGACCACGACGATAAACATGCTTTTCATCACGCAAACAAGGATCAGAGCCTTTGGGGCGGTGGTGGCTGCCTACGGTGTATACGAGTCCACTCAAATATGTAAAAGCATGTTGGAGCAATACCCTCCGCATACACCACCACCGACGTCGCAGCTCTGGGTCCCCAATAAGCAGGACGCGAGTCGACCGACATACGTACCCGCTGACTCCCCTGTTACATACTACGCCCGCATGCCGGCCAGCCTGTTTCCCCAGCCATTCAGCCTCGAAGAAGCGAGAAGGATATGGGCCGATGCGCTCTTGAACGGCAGCTTGTTAAGTCTAGAAGGCAGGTTGGTTGGGTGGATAAACGGCGCCAAAGAAGCAACTAGAGATGAAGCCAGGAGCTAAGCTGGTTGGTGGCGCATTGGAGGTCGTGCAGCCGCCCAGCTCGACATCGCAGTTGACGACTCGTTGGGCTATTCCTGAGGGGAGCATCAGATTTTTCGAGACCATCGCGAGATATGGGTATCCGTGGCGGCTGATGGAGGGAGGGAAGACATGAGATGCCGGTCGAAAGGGATGGTGATGATGTCCTTGTTGGTTTCTCGAGTGCGCATAACTATGCTGTGCTCGACGGTGACAACAAGGTTCTCCCCAGATGGGCAGAATGGGCACATCGTATGTATGCGAGGTTTATATTGGACGACGGGGTGAGAGAGCTGCAGAAGAGAGCCAGCTTGAAAGAACACGTAGACACTGGCAAGGAGCACTGAAAAGGGTGGCCTGGGATTCCAAGGATTCCAGCAGATTTACTGAAACACGTATTGTGTACCATATGGCAGAATCCTGTGTTCGGACGCACTGCCAGTTAATTGTCCGGCAAGTATGCGAGAATCGTCATGCGCGAAGTCTCTTTCGTGGGAACTTAGTGCCTTTCACGTCGATGCCAACGCAGCGACACGTCACCCGTTTCCTTTCCCTGTTATAAAGGACAGCCGCCATCACATCGAACTGTACTTTCTTTTTCCTCCCCAAAATGTCGTCGACACGACGGATGGTATCCGTTCTTTCTTTCACTTTCTTCGCTTTGATAGCCCTTTTCTGCTCTGTACGTGCAGAGGAGGCACACGCAGAATATGGAACTGTCATTGGAATCGGTGAGCATTTTTTTCTTTTTGAGTGATGTCTTTTCCTTATTTTTGTGGAACAGATCTTGGAACGACGTATTCATGTGTCGGTGTTCAGAAGGGCGGTCGGGTAGAAATTATCGCCAACGACCAGGGTCACCGTATCACACCGTCTTGGGTCTCCTTCTCCGATGACGAGCGTCTTGTTGGCGACAGCGCCAAGAACGCCTTCCATTCCAACCCTAGGAACACTGTCTTCGATGCCAAGCGTCTCATTGGTCGTAAAATGGACTGATGGTGACATCCAACGGGACATCAAGCACTGGCCTTTCAAGGTTCAGGAGAAGGGTGGTAAACCCGCGATTACTGTCGAGTACAAGGGCGAAACCCGCGACTTCACTCCCGAGGAGAATCAGCGCCTATGGTCCTTACTAAGATGAAGGAGACCGCTGAGGCATACCTTGGAGAGAAGGTCACCCACGCCGTCGTTACCGTCCCTGCCTGTGCGCCTTTTCTTTATACTCTCCGGCGACTTGTTCTCACTTTTTGACGCAGACTTCAATGATGCTCAGCGTCAGGCTACCAAGGATGCCGGAACCATCGCCGGTCTCCAGGTTCTCCGTATTATCAACGAACCCACCGCTGCCGCCATCGCCTACGGTCTCAACAAGAAAGGTGGCGAGTCCCAGATCATCGTCTACGATCTCGGTGGTGGAACTTTCGATGTCTCCCTCCTGTCTATTGATGACGGTGTCTTCGAGGTCATGGCTACCGCTGGTGACACTCACCTTGGTGGTGAAGATTTCGACAATCGTGTCATCGAGTACCTCGTCAAGCAATACAAGAAGAAGACCGGCACTGATGTTTCGAGCAACCTCCGCGCTATGGGTAAACTAAAGAGGGAGGTTGAGAAGGCCAAGAGGACGCTCTCCAACCAACAGAGCACCCGTATCGAAATCGAGAGTTTCGAGGATGGCAATGACTTTTCTGAGACTTTGACCCGGGCCAAGTTCGAGGAGTTGAACATGGATCTCTTCAGGAAGACGATGAAGCCCGTTGAGCAGGTTCTCAAGGATGCTGGTGTTAAGAAGGAAGACGTTGACGAAGTAAGTGCCTTGGTTTTTCTTGTTTCACTTTCATACTTATCATCGTTCTAGGTCGTGCTCGTTGGTGGATCGACTCGTATTCCCAAGGTCCAGCAACTCCTTAAGGAGTACTTCGGCGGCAAGGAGCCTTCCAAGGGTATCAACCCCGATGAGGCTGTTGCCTACGGTGCTGCCGTCCAGGGTGGTATTCTCTCAGGTGCGGAAGGAACTGCCGATGTCGTCCTCGTCGACGTCTGCCCACTCACTCTCGGTATCGAAACCACTGGCGGTGTCTTCACCAAGTTGATTCCTAGGAACACTGTCATTCCCACCAGGAAGAGCCAGATGTAAGTTTTTTGATGTGTTTTCGAGTCCCTCAGGCTGACGGCTTGCCTTAGCTTCTCGACTGCCGCTGACAACCAGCCCACTGTGTTGATTCAAGTCTTCGAAGGTGAACGTTCCCTGACCAAGGACAACAACCTTCTCGGAAAGTTCGAGTTGTCCGGTATCCCTCCCGCGCCTCGTGGTGTTCCCCAGATTGAGGTTACGTTTGAGATTGATGCCAATGGTATCATGAAGGTCGCCGCCGCTGACAAGGGAACGTGAGTGGACTTTTGATGCTTCGTTCGTTTTTCTTACTAACAATTTTCGATAGTGGCAAGTCAGAGTCGATCACTATCACCAACGAAAAGGGCCGTCTGTCACAGGAAGAGATTGATCGTATGGTGGCTGAGGCTGAGAAGTTCGCTTCTGAGGATGAGGCCCAGCGCAAGCGCATCGAAGCTTTGAACTCCCTATCTGCCTTTGTGTACGGATTGAAGTCTCAGATCGGTGACCAGGAGGGTCTAGGAGGAAAGATCAGCGATGAGGACAAGAAAACCATCCTTGACGCCGTCAAGGACACGACTGACTGGTTGGATGAGTATGGCTCTTCAGCGACTGAGGAGGACCTTGAAGAGAAGTTGGCTGGTACGTTTTCGTCTCTTTGATTTGTGATGATCAGTTCTAATGACGTATTCTACAGAGGTCCAAGCCATCGTCAACCCCATAACGACAAAATTGTATAACGCTGCTGGACCCTCTGATGACGACCAGGAGGCGTTCCGAGACCACGATGAGCTCTAAAGGATTCTCTGTATACATACCAATACTTTACTTTATATTATCGTAGCGCGGTGGCGGTTAGACGATACGCGCTCGACGGCATTAATTATTGTTGAGTAGCAGCGCATACATGGCCCTCATTGAAGCATATAAAATGAGAAAAAAAAGTTAGAAACCAGTGCAATTTTGTCCCTCGCGTCTGATTGGAAGGTAGTCGTGCTTCTCCACGGTTGCCAAGTGATGTGGCCTTTGAATTGACGGTGATGTTGAGGTCGAGAGACTGGCTCAGGCTGCTCTTCAAAAATTCTGGCATTATAAATTCGCTCACTGCTTTCTCTCTTCGCCACGGCGACCCTTCATTACGTGCATTCCGACTCGGCATTGATGTATCTCCCTGGTTCAAGCACTCAGAATATGGTCAGGCAGGCGAGAATAAAGAGCTAAGAGTATTGTTCTTTCGCATCGCTGCACTTCTAAAGCGCCCAGTTCTTCCTCTGTTCGTATTCGATGGACCACATGCAGCAAAGGAACGCCATCCGATGGAGAAGGAGTTGACGAGTGGCATGAAGGAGTTGGCAGAGGCGTTCGGTATCGAACACAGGACTGCGTCGGGTGATGCTGTCGTCGATCTCGCATTGCTCAACGCGCACGGCGTAATCGATGGCATATTAACCGATGACTTTGAGGCCTTTCTGTACGGTGCTCATACTGTCATTCAGAATCCGTCCTCGACTCATCGCGGTCCACCGAACGATAAGGGCAAACAAGAACGGTATCTCGTCCATCGCCTTGCCGACCTTGGATATAATAGAGCAAGTCTTATATTCATATCACGACTTTGCACACAGACAGGAGCATTCGACTGCAACTTTATGGAAATCGCGATTGAGCTCACCCGATTGGGCTTCGCCGACTCACTCCTGAGAGCAGCTACCACTATGACCCGAACCGAACTAGAAGCCTTCATACCATCCTGGCGCGCAGAGCTCATCCAGGAGCTCACTACACCCTCCGACGCCTTCTCTCCCTCCCTAGCCCACTTTGCACAGTTCGCCCGCGTGTCCTCCTTCTTCCCCGACGTCAACATGCTCCTCGCCTACATCAACCCCGCCATCACCATATCCCACGACATACAATGGTCCCGCCGCGAACCGTCTTTACCCGCCCTCGCGTCGATATGCGAGCGCTACTTTGAGTGGGGCTGGAAGTCGGAGATCGTGAAGCGGTTTAGGACGATTATGTGGCCATCGATTGTGATTCGGGCGATGCGGCGGTACGCGATGGCGCCTGACCAGCCAGTGTTCACGCTCGGGGGGATGTTCGCGGGGAGCCAGCGCGTAGGGGTGGATAATGATTGGATATTGAGGGTCACGGGTAAGAAGGAGGATGCGTTTTTCAATGATGAGTTGTTGTATTATGTGGAGGTGGATCCGAGGATGTTGGTGTACCTTGCAGAGGCGGGTGTGAAGGGTACGCGGCGTCCGTTGCCGGATTGGAAGGCCCCGAAGGAGCCTGTGGATCCGATGTCCCCGTTGAAGATGTGGCTCCCTGCTGTGTTAGTGCGAGAGGCGCGGCCTGATTTGGTGCAGGCGTATGAAGAGTCGCTTGTCCTGAAGGCAAAGCAATCGCGTGCACAGAGCAAGAGGGTGGGTGAGAACGAGGACTCGGTTTCCAAGGTCAGACGAGGATTGAACGAGCCCCGAGACTGATCCTTACCAATTTTCAGAAGCGTCGATCCACAGGGAAGACTGCAGCTACAAAAGCTCTGAAGGTTGCTTAGTTATATTTATACGGTGCGCTCCGTTCGTGTTGTGCTATTTCGTGCTTCTGGTTAATGGTTATCTTTTGACAGATCTGGGTTATTTATGTACTAATAGAAGGGTTGGCGAACGCGCTGGTGTATGACGAGAATGCTACTACATTGCTATCATTTTGACGTGCAAAGAGGAGCAAGCGTCTATCCGAGCCCCAATAATTTCCGGCGAGCGCTCATTTGGACTGAATAATTTACAACAATGGCGCTTCACAGTAAGGTATTGATATCTCCAGTTTCACACTTCTTAGCTGGCTACCAGATGCTCTGACCCAGTCGTTATGGTGTTACCCTTAGAGATCTTCGTATCTAATAAGCGAAGACTGATCACCCTGGCATCACTCCCTGGATAACATACCAGGCGATCGGATATAGATTAATCGGTCTCGGGGAGGGGGTTTGTACGCCGCCAACGCCGTGTCCAATGCTGAGATTCAGAAGAATCGAAGACAAATCGTCCTCAGTGTTTGTGTGCAACATGACCTATCTTCTGTTGGAGGCTGTTGGCCACTACAGGATATTTCGGAGGTAAGCGCTCCTTCAATTCCTCGCATGAGTTCACGTTCACTACCTAGATTAACCAAGGTAAATTTATGTGTCGCGACAAACCCTGTCACCGCAAGATCTACAGAAGCCACGAGGCAAATAACGGGGCATCGGTACGTAGCGGCTGTTTGTTCCAACCACAAGATTTCAATGAATAACAGTGAAAGCACCTGCAGTAACATCAACAACATCATGCATGAAAGCCGAACCGGATGCGCAATACAATAATTCCTAGATGGTGATTAACCTCTCCTCAGAGCGTGCACAGGTTACTCACAGAAGCTTTGTCGAGTGGTATTTCTGTCAACATATCGAGGTCAAGAAATGGGGGAAATTTTTAGTGAGGTATTACTTGATGTTATTTCTCCCTACGCTTACAGACACTCAGAGGGGTACAGCCGGAGTGTTATAAACACGCTTGGTGCCTTCGTATGAAGGATGAAAAATATCAGAATCAAGCGGGTAACTGTAAGTCAATCGCTGAGCAATTTGGAGCTTCGTTTCTCGCATTGATGCCAAAACGTTTTCAGGTTTGTGATTGGGTCCGAATCTAATTGAAGTTACAGTAGTGTCCAGGTGCTGATGGTGTACTGTGGGTCTCGCGCTAGACTCGGCGTAATACCCGCTATACGGGTGGTAATTATGATACGAGCGATACTTAGGTCTTCAACCGGACCCTGCACGGGTCGGACTCGGAACAAACTCTAAGAACGCCGACCAACCCAGCGAAGTTCCCCTATGCAGAAACACCATAAAGAGCGAGCTCGAGACTTTAGTTACATATTCAATGGTTATGTATAACGGGCCTTAGCCGGAACAGGGCATTATTAACGTCACATTCTATTTGGGCCTCGACGCATTGCTGATACCTGTGAAATAGGTACATTGAACCTCGGTGTTCTTGTCGTCTCAGAAGGAACACGACCGTGCTGTTATTGCAAGATCTACTGAGCTGAATTTTCAATGTGACAGTTGGTCGGTGCCGGTGGCATGTCGAAACTCCTGGCCCTTCAATTGGACTGCTTCTTCTGAAAAACTTCTCTAAAGCCATTTCCAATATGCTGTTTCTTTTGGACTTGTTCTCTGTAGAGGCGAATGGGAAGGAGTCTGGCTATTCACTCGGTTTGGATACATAATGGCCGCATGGTTAATCGCGGTTTTTCAGTTTGCGGTCAACATGCGATCATGATATCTGCGACAGGGAATTCCGGCAAAGATCCATCATCCATCTCTTTCTAATTCTTTCTCACTCTTCTCACCAATACATCGTGACGTGTTGAGGATTATTCCCATGCAAAGGACGCCGCCGATTACGTCGAATCAGATTACGGCGGCCAAGGGTTCCCCGGGAAGGCTCTCCAAGAAAGGTAACCACTGATCCAAGACAGGTCGAGTACTTATATGAATGAGGGTCTTTGATACACTATCTGGTCATCACGACAGCACAGGCCAACATAATGGCTACCGCAGACCTTCCGACACCCCAAGGAACTCTGAACTCAACGTTCACTCCTCCGATCGATGGATCCTTAACCCTCGTGCAAATATTTGATCATCACTATGTTAAGAGCCGAGACCATCCTCTCTTTCGTTACGAAGACGATACGGGGAAGGTTATTGACATCAACTGGGGAAGGGCCGTTCCCGCTATCCATTTGGTCGCTCAAATGGTCCTGAACAATGTCAGTATGGTGTCCAATGAGCGTCCAGTAGTCGCTATCCTAGCTGCTGCAGGTACGGTGGGATGTCTACTGCCTCGGATTTGACATTGATTGAAACGCCCATAGACTCCGTGACATATTATACGACGATCGCGGGCATCATGCGCGCTGGCTGTATCGCTTTCCCAATATCTGTCCGGAATTCAGACACTGGAGTCGCCCATCTAATTCGATCTACTAGCGCTAAGTACATGTTTTTGAGTCAGGATCCTGGAATGCAGAAGCTTGCCGACGCTGCACTATACAAATTAGAAAATGAAGGACTACAAGATTTCAGGATGATGCCAATGCCTTCGTTCGAAACTCTCTACCCCGAGACAGTTGAGCCGTCGGACCTGCTCCCCTCAATCAAGAATAGCGACTTGGAGGCTCAGGCTCTCATCATGCATTCATCTGGTTCGTCCCTATCTATTCTAACCTAAGACTCAGGCCGACGTATCTTTCTCTAGGTTCCATGGCGTTTCCGAAACCTATCCCTTTTACATACAAGATCATGATGCAATCTGGTCTTCTACCTTGTAAGTTTGTCGAGTATTTAAACGTTCGTCCTCACTAATGAAACACAGATTTTGGTGAGGTCGACATATGCGGAGACATACTTTCCGCACATGCTGTTCCAATGTTTCGTGGGTCAATGAACTTGTTCGATCTCAATTCGCTCACCGAAACGCCGTACCAGATCTTATGGGTGCCGTTCAAATTGCTTGGACCGTAAGTATGGCTGTAACCTCCTTAAGATGAAGCTAATTTTTCTGTCCTAAGGCTTATACTGGTGTAATTATGGCCGTGTTTCGCCCTGGCTGGCCTCCAATCATACCGACGCCTGATAGAGTCTTTTCTGGGCCTATAGCGACAAAATGCAACTTGATGTTCTGCGTCCCGGCATTCCTGGATGTAACAATGACTACCGTTTTTCCACCCATGATTAAATTCGAATTTCGAGCAGAATTGGGCGAAGGTTCCTCAAAGAGTAGAAAAATTAGCAAACTTCAAAACAATCGTGAGTTGTCACAATACAGTGCATGTCCTACCTACTAATACATGGCTTCTTAGATATTTGCTGGCGGCCCTCTGCAATCTGCGGTGGGTGATAGGCTTACTCAGCAAGGCGTCTGTTTGGTTCCTCTGTATGGACAGTAAGTCCCTGTCCGCGGACGCTAAACATGCAGTACTCATACCGTTACCAGGACCGAGACCGCGACCGTCACACTTTTCCTTCCGAGTAAGTATTTTCCTGCTCTCTGAGGGCCTGTCTAATTTGTCCATCATAGAGCGGCTCCCCCCCGAAGGCTGGGATTACTGGAGGGTGAAGACCACGACATACAGAAATCAAATTTCAATTAATCTTTTCTTTCTAGTTTTCCCCTCATTGTACTCCAACCTTCGTGACTTTCGAAGAAGAAAGTAGGGTTTACCGTCTCGTGTTCAAGGTAAGTGATTGTCTTTAAAAGGACGGGAGGATACTCTAATCGATCTACAGACAACCCCGACGCATCAGCCTGCCATCTTGAATACCGAAATAGATGGTGTTCCAGCCCTGGATACCAACGATCTCATAGCCAGACATCCCACAAACCCAGAACTGTGGCGAGTGCACGGACGAGGAGACGACCAAATTATGCATTCATCTGGGGAGAAGGCGAGTCAAATATGCATGTATCGGATTGATTGTACTCATCAAAGCCTCTGGCGGTGTAGACGAATCCTGTCCCTATCGGTATGTGTTTTATATCGTCGTCATTTCGCGTGTTGATTAATGTCGCCAAAATGTTCAGAGGACATACTGAATAAAAATCCTAGGGTATCTAGTTCCATAATGTTCGGACGCGGTCGGTTCCATGCTGGCGTTATTATCACGCCTGCCCCGGAAGAGCAAGTCTCGCCAAATGACGAGAACTGGCTTTCCCGGTACCGAAATGCAATCTGGTACTTCCGCTCATTATATCAACATCTAATGTCCTAAATATTTATTCAGGCCCACGGTAGAAAAAGCAAATCAGCTTGCACCTCAGCATTCCAGAATTTTCAAAGAGGTAGAGGCGCTCTTTCTTGTTTTTCACTACATTCAATTTCTATTGCAGATGATCCTTGTTGCAGATATATCCAAGCCGTTTGAATTTACTCCTAAGGGCACTCCAAGACGACAAGCCGTGCTGAATGCCTATTCTGCTAAGATTGACACAGCCTACGAGGCTGTGAAGCAGTCATCTCAGATTCATCTGGTGGCGCCAGTTCAATGGGAGCTCTCAAACAGCTTGCATTTCGTCCGTGAGGCTGTAGAGAAGGTCCTGACGAACATGGTCGAAGACAATGACGACTTCTTCCAAAATGGTTGTGACAGGTGTGGATTTTCATTTTGCTATTATCGCCTTTTTGTTACTGATTTGGTATTAGCCTCCAAGCAACATGGATCCGCAACACAATTCTTCATGCTTTGCGCTCGACCTCTAAAATTAATACCCGTGATATCCCACACAATTTCGTCTACGCGAATCCCACAATCCATTGATTAAGTCAATACTTAGTAACAGTGGCTAAAGGGTCTCATTTGCGGGATATCAAACACCAGACACAGACCATGCTGGATATGGCAAGGAAGTACAGTACTGATTTCCCCATGTCAGCGAGTCGCTTGGTCCCTGACAGCTCCAGGGAGGTCGTCTTACTTACAGGTTCAACGGGTGCCTTTGGTAGCTATATTCTGGATGCACTTCTCCGTTCCGACGATGTCATCAAGGTTTATGCGTTGAATCGTTCAGGCCCCTCTGGATCTCTTCAACGGCAGACTGACGCTTTCATTGAACGCGGATTGGACTCAGACATCCTTACAAGCTCGAAGGTTGTATTTGTGGACTGTGATCTGGCTGCAAACTTGTTTGGTTTAGACTACTCGGTCTACCACGAGCTCATCGAAAATATAACATGCGTTATCCACAATGGTCAGTCCTGGAAGGGCTGGAAAGGAAAATTCTCTCCTGAACTTGATTCACAGCCTGGCACGTCGACTTCAATGTTTCACTTGCATCTCTGGAGCCTCTGGTCCGTGGTACTAGATGTCTGGTTGATTTTGCTCTGTTGTGTCGCGTGGTACCACGATTTGTCTTCACGAGTTCAGCTGGTGTTTTCAGGAGTACGTTTATCTGTCTGTCGTACACGAATGACTTGTTGATTAGCGTTGGATTCAAAATAGACACGAAAGGCTCTGACTGCGTAGCAGTAGAAGAGTTTCTTGCTGATCCTGCTATTTCTGCTGGCTGGGGCTATGGCGAGTCAAAGTGGGTCGCGGAGTACATTTTGGAAGAGGTTTCCAAAAGCACGGCACTAATGCCTGTGGTTGTGCGCACGGGACAACTCACCGGAGGTGCTAATGGTGCATGGAATGTCAAGGAGTGGTTCCCGTCCCTGGTGAAATCGAGTCAGGATATGAAATGTCTTCCTGACATTCCGGGCGTACGTTTACTTTTCAGTGTCTTTCCTGTATCTTTGCTAATGGATTCATTTTAGTCTGCGTCGTGGATTCCTATTGACATAGCCGCCAAGGCCCTTGTCGAGTTACGCCTGAGCAAGCACCGTTACATTCATCTTCTGCATCCCAAACCTTTGGCGGCATCAATTATTCTCCAGCATGTCTCTTCTGCGTTGAGTATTCCCCTCATACCGTACTCTCAGTGGATTGGTGCTATTGAGCAAACCCCTCAGGAGGAAGGGTCTCATCGCGTCACTTCCGAGACTCCAGCTGTTCGGCTCTTAGAGTTCTTCTGTTTTCAGGGTAGCGGCGACACGAATAATAGGGAAGCCTTCGGTTTCCCGAGTCTGCAGACGACGAACTTGGGACAAACCGCGATTCTTGGGAACCTACGCCAGCTCGGGATAGAAGATGTCGACAAGTGGTTGGATTACTGGCGAGGCGTTGGTTTCATTGTCTGAACGAGACGATTTCACCCTTGTCTGATGTCAGTAGTAAAGATTCAAATGTATTATTAATAAGTTGAAGATGAAAATGACAGCCAGAAATTAGCACATTGGTACGGAGTGACTCTCGAGCACACTTCTTTATTGCAGGTCTGACGACAAGGCGTTGTACTCCGGACACAACGTCAGCCAATCTTGAGGCGTGATTTGGGCGTGCGGGCCCTCAATGTTGTCGGCCGGACTCTCTGCGAAAACTATAGCTAGCCCGGCTTCCAGATGCCAGTCGATGTGGCTGCGAGATTTTCAGTCATCAGATGGTCTATAGTTTGATGAATTAAGCATGGACTTCTCACCAGTGCAAAAACCAGGCTCCTGGATTATCCTGTTTCCACTGTTAGAAATGTATTTTGTTTTTCGCGTAGACTTACGCTGAAGAATCGGAATGTGGTGTTTCCGCCGTTGACTGCGCGATTACGTTGATATCAATGAAAGAGCATTCAAAGGGAGGTGACGTACTGGGAACGACGTCGCGCCTTGGCGGGTTGACATAGTTCGTCACGGCGGAGTTGGACGTACGAATAATGTCAAAGTTGTGTCCGTGTACTGTCCATAACTGGTTGACAAATGAATGCTCGAATATTCAGAAGGGAACGCACAGTGGAACGGATGAGCTGCCAAAAGAGATAAGCATGGAGATGGGAAAGGCGCATGAGACTTACCCCCAGCTCCAGGGATCGAAATTTCTATTGTTTTATTGGGTGGAAGAAGGAAGATCTTATTAACGGCTTGATAACAGTAATTTCACGGTTTTGGTGTGCGAGACTTACTTGTTCCTGAACACGTAAAGATATTAGTCGATACACGAGTAAAAGACCACAAGCACCTACCGAAGGAAGGAAATCTTGTGGCCGCGCCGCTCCACTTAGGAGCTGCAGGAGGACAGGAACCGGAGGCGAAATGTAGGAGATGCCATTGATATCAAAGAATGGTGGATTTGGCTGGTATTTGGCACGTTTACTGACGGGACTATTGCAAGAGGATATTACGAACCTGTGTGATACTTAAGGTATAAGCAACATCTGGGGGACCATCTCCCAACTAAGAAAACTTTAGCCTGTACAAATCGAAATACGTGTAGTACATACCTTTCCGGGCCCTTCTTCAGCGATGGGCTGCAATTACGAAAATCTGGTCAGGATCTGCTTGGATAATATCGGGCGATGGAACGAACATGCATATCGGCGTCATCCAGCTTAATACCAGGCGTATTGTTTGTGGTGGGTTCTCTGATGGGCGCGCCCTCGTACCGCAAAATAGCGCGTGTAAGGTCAGGGTTGACTATAGGGTAATGAGTTGGAGGAAAAGAGGTAGAAAATAGTAGACTCCTGCGATTGGGATTTCCAGCCGGGTTCCCACCAGTGAGACTAACGATGATAAATTTGAGTTCGGTACGATAAAAGTCGAGACTTACGGCGCGCGAATCCAATAATTATCAATAGGTTGGTTTGCTTCGAGAATAACGGAGACACGTTGTGCTGGGCGGCCAAGTCTGTGTTAGTGAGTGCACAGAAAATATCCAGACGGGAACCAACCGGCATAGATATCAACGTTCTGCACCGTGACCGGATCGTGCTCAACCCCATCGAACTCCATTGCACTGATGTTGTGGTTGTCGATTGAGAAAGTGAAGAATGGGCGACAGGAGAGCGAAATGAGACGCAGACGATAGCGTTTGCCTCTTCTGACTTTGATTACGGAGTAAGGGACTAAGGGCTATTGACGCTGAGTGAGTTTTAGGGTAAAGAAGTAATGAGTTACAAGACTGACGCCGCCATTGTAGCGCCCGACGCCGTTGATAAGACCTGTGATTCAAGGTAAATGATGAAGGAATGCAAAGGTGTAATGTAGCTACGTACCGGAGTCAGGAATACTAAAGACCAGGAAAGGTCAGCTAACTCGCAAATCTTGGACAGTTAAAACTTACGGGACAGTACCCGTTTGGAAGAACCTATTCTGAGCGTCCGGTGCAAGGTCGTGATACCAGTCTGCGAGCGTAATGATAGTGCTGTCTATGCGTCCATTAGTATATTGCACGCCAGTAAAGGATGATGATAACATACCGTCATCCACGTCATACAAATGGGCAAGAGGGTCATGCGGGTCTGCACATAGAGAGCTGAGAATCTCCGCGATAGGACACAAGTTTCGTACCCACCGTAGACGATGAATGCCCCTCTTAAACCATCACAATACTGTGTCGAAAGATGAGAATGGTACCAGTAGCTAACCGAACCTATGAGATCACCAATACTCTGATATCGGAACTATACGTACTTGCCACTTTGTCCAATGGTGCTAAAAGCATAGTCGAAAGTGGATTTTGGCGGAATTGGGCACTGGTTAACGAAACTAGGGCTACTGAGCATTGATTCAAATTTGATATAAGAGATGGCGCGCTCACGAAGGTCCATCCATAGCTGACGTACGAGCTTGGAAGAAGCCATGCCAATGCTGGAGGACAAAAATAGTCAACTTGTGCATACTTTGACACTATAGAACCCTACAATCGAGGTACTTCGTCGCATCCCAGGGTCAGCAAGATTATTTGTGGTTACAATGTGGACATCGTCGCCCTTGTTGACTTTAAACGTTGGCCCGGGGAAGGTTCCGTTTGGTGTTATGGCACTACAATGTATACACTGTTAGTGAAAAGGAGCATATCAATGCAGCTGAGTCCTACGATCGAGCAAAACCGTCGGGAGCAATGACTTTGGTGTCAATACTGAGAGGGAAGTGATGAGTCTTGCTATAGACTGACGAAAGGAAGGAGACAAGTAAGAAGACCACTGTGAAGTCCATCTTAGAAGTGGGGGGGACAACGGGGACGAGGCATTATTGCATCGAAAAACCGAGTTATATAGACGAGGCATTTATTTCCAAGACCGAAAGCTCGAGATAGTGAGAAGCGGGTGGTTCAATAGCCGAATACTGGGAAAAAGATAAAGTGGAACAGTCTCTTCGATGGGAGGCCAATATTAACAGTTTCCCGAGCCGTATGGAAGTCATGGCGAGGTGATCGGCGGCGTGTAATGCATAGATATTGAACATTGCGGACCATTGCTGCAGCTCTGTGGTAAAGCTTTCTGTCCGTGGTAGAAATCCCACCACGGCGAGAACATTTACTAGGAAGAGATTAGCTCTGATGCCCACGGGGGCGCTACTTGACCTTTTCCCCTGCTTGGCTGGAATAAAGAAGTATAATCATGTCCGGAGTGCCTTACTTGGCAATTTACAATGATGGGCCTCAATTCAGCACCCCATATTTTCACAGGCGATTGTTCTTGACTGGCTATGATTCGCTTTTATGGACCGCGACACTTGGTGACATTTGCTTGGGCCCGTGTGGGCATTCAATTCCCCGAACCTACCAGATGGTCTTCTCCGTCATTTGTAGCAAATATCCACTGCTTACTCCCATGTAGTCTCGCATTGCCAAGCTGGGAGTGCGAATTTAGGTAGTATTCAAACTTTGAAGTGAGCAGCATTGGGTAATCTACAGTTCCGATCTGGTAGAATGGCAGGTCAGTGAAGGGAGTAGTATATCATAGTGGATGACGTGACGCACCCCACCATTGTTCACTGCTGACAGCCATAGACACACTGATTTACGGCCAAAGGACCTGCATAAATTTCGATACGCTCTTTGCGTGTAACATCGACGTCGGAAGATCAATATTTGGGTTAGAGGGTGGCATGGCTCAAGATAGAAAATAATTACCACGCTATCGCGTCTCTTATTGGGACGTTGGCGCCGGCACCATCACCACCACCAACACTACGCGCCTCAATATCTCTATCACACAGAGTTCTCGTCCTTGTGGACAACATCAGGATATTCACATAACGGCGTTCCAATGGCCCTCAATTCCCCGGTCCTGGTCTAGCTATCTGAACAGTGATTGGCTTACTAGACATTGACGTCAACGGATCTCTCTGTGTTTGCCGCTTGCTGATGTCGACGAGCCCTAGTGACCAAAGGTTTCAAGAACATCAGGTTCCATCTCCCACAAGCACACCACTCGCTGTGCATCTGCGTCGTGGTACATCTAATGGTCTGGCCTCCCTGTATTGAATCAACCTCGCGCCCATGGCATCTGCCATGGGGGCGCCAATCATAGCCGTTCTCCGACGAGACATAATTGTGCTCCGATTCTCCAAGTTTTTGAGGGAAGCACGATATTATCCTGGGTTCTCCGTTGTTCAAGCTGGTACGTCAAATTTTTCAGCATGCACTGAGAACTGCGGACTAACGGCTGCTGCAGAATTACGCTTCTCTAGCCCTATGTAATTATCGGATCACTAATGATATGCGCGAATGATACAATGATACTAGTTGTTTCACAAATAGATTGGCCTAAACATTGCGCTAGATTTATCCTGGTCCATTGAACGGAGTACCCATGATTTTATACAGCATCTTCTTGGATCCGATTTCTTCCAGTGGGAACTTTTGTTACAGTATAAAAATGCTCAAAATCCGACAGAGATAGTAAAAAACACGTCCATTGCGAATCCCATCAATACTTTTCACCATACTTCTCCATGCGATCAATGCTGTTCCGTCTGCTTGCCCTCATCATCCTCGTTCTGTATACCGGAGCTCAAGCACGCCAACCATCTGAGCTCTTCGACGCTTTCGAGACTTTCCTGACAGGGTATCTACTTCTGAATTCTGACAGGCCGTGTTCTCAGTTTCCTTAACAAGGTTTATCGATCATACAAATGACGAACGCACTTCTGTGTTTGCACCTGATTGTATCGGACGAATCAACGCGATGACCAGTCAGTCACCCACAGTGTCTCTGAGAACGCTCTAACATATTGTCACAGTTTTGCGAGGCTCAGATAACAATACGGGTCAGTCGCCTCTTGTTCGCACTACTGAGATTCATCGTTCTCAACCTTTTTATCAGAATTCATTTATGGCGTACCCGCAGCCCTAGCAAAGGCCAATTCCACCCAGTTGATCGGATATCCTACGAATGTCGTCGTCGAAGCGCTTGCAATCCAGCTCTCTGTAGTATCAGCTACTGCCATTTTCTCCATGTACTATGGCAACGTTTCCCAGGTCGTTCCACTGCAGGTCGATATGTGGCTGCACTTCAACGAAGACTTGCAAATCGACGCCTACGATTTCATGCCCCGCAAGATAGACAAATTCCTTGCTAGCGCAGCACTCATCCTATTGGATCAGATTTCTTTGGAAATACCATTAGACGATAAGGATAACGCTACAAGTGTTATGTCGCAAAAAGTCTTCGAAGATGTATGCACGGCAGCTTTGGAATATTGCACTGGAAATAACCAGCAGTATGATTCGTACGTCGGCCTTTTCGCAAGGAAACTGAAGTCCGGGAACTGAAGTCTGTGTAGTAAAAGCTCATGTGTGGACTCGCTTACCAGCTCAGAGACCGATACAAACATCTGCCGGTTCGTTCAGTCTTCAGTATAAGTGCACCCCGATGACTTACGCTTGACGAAACAGATACATGTTCAAGAACTTGGTGCGGTCCCAGCCCGATGTACATTGTGCAAGCCTTGGACCGAATGAAGGTGACTGCGGTAAGCCATGTCGAGATCGACTTGAGATCTGTCCTGATAGACGTCAGCGGCCCAGCCTTACGCTGAGGCTACAGTCGAGTATCCCTTTGTGCCCAGTTTCTTTGCGCCGAATGTCTCTACCACAAGCACTGCAGGCTTATCAGACAAGGCCTTTGATGAAGTAATGAAGATCAACATGGCAATAGTTTATCCAACTACTGTTGCTTTTGTACGTTTGCTTCCCCCCCTATTCATTCTCGATTGATAAACGCGTCGTTTTTCTAGTATCCTATACCGACCTTCATTTACATGATTATTCTTTATATGTGTGCTAATTGCGTTGAGTTTGTGCTGCTTCGTTTCTCGAAAGAGTTTGTGAAACTATCTTTCGAGAATCAGAGGAACACGGTCACCTGTGAGCCAGTTCCCGAATTTTTTCTGTCAGATGAGAACTGACAGCTGGTGCGAAGATGTTTTGAATACTTTCTGGACGTTCGTTGCGTTGGCCTTGCAGTTACTCGCATCACCAACCTTGGGAGAGCGCTATACCTCTGAACGCGTCGATGAGATACGAGTAGCCTGTGTGGTCATCTCTGGACTGTGTGAGTCTTCATTGCCCTCTTTGTTTATACTTAGAGCTGATCTTTGAGGGAAAGATGTCTTTGAGCTTGCATATCGGAAACAAATGCGACGCCCTTTGCTCACACATCACTTCAGTGTACGCTCTGCGTCCTATCTTTATTCAAGAATCATTTCTGACGCCATAATACTCCAGGCCCTGTTCTCTATAGTTTTCCTACAAGTCATGCTTCAGATGTCCATGCATGTCGAGATCATTAGCGCCGGACTGCTCTGGCTCTTCCAAGCAACGACCGAACAATCCATCTTCATCGGGCTTCTTTTATATCGGCTGAAATACCCCAGGCGTATAGTAGAACCCATGTTGAAGTTCGCCGCGGTACAATCCTTGTATGTGTTATTTGAAACCGGCTCCCCCCTTGCCAGATGCTGATCATTACCTTGGAAAGCGTCTGCAAAACCGTATTCCTCGTGTGGTTGTTGGTGTGGTGGGGCTTGAAACTGGCTAAATATCACAAGGATTTCGATATCGCTCTCAGTGTCATGCTGGTCCTCGCTTGCACTGTTCTTATGGCAACTCAAATGTGCGTATCTTCGCTTTTTTCTGAATTCCATATCGTATAACTAGCCTTTTTATAGCCAAGGGTCTCACGCGGTGTGGACTATCGCGCGGAATATGTCTCGTTCATGTCAACGGCCAGCCGTACAGGAGTCACTCGTAGATATGGACAAGGTTTTCTTGATGAAGCGAGAGTCTGGTTCCTCTTCCGCGTGGACTCATAGTAGGGGAGAGTCGGAGCGGTCACTCGCGTCCGACCTGGCGAAGCCAAGGGACGCCGCAGTTAACGCCCAAGTCTAGTTTCAGTTTCGAGGCCAACTCCTCTGGCGGTAGCTAACCGCCATATTATTTGCTCATATGCGCCCTGACGGACTGGATGATGATCGACCCAGGTACGATGATTCTAACAATAGAGCCTCCTGTATTTCGTTTAGATGCAGATCATTGAGAAGAAATTACAAACCGACGTTTTTGGTGAAAAGTGCATGACCGCGTTGAATGTCTAGCAGGATACAAGCGCTATTTTTTCCATTATGGCAGACGTTGTTGCCGTATGTGCCGACCAGGTGGTCATGCGCAACTGTTACTCGCATCAGTGCCTTTTTACACCCTTATCTATCCAATTTGGACAAGCAAAGATAGGTGTGATATTTCTGGACCCCGAACAATGTGAGTTACCCCGATGATTCTATTCCTTATCTTACTGCCATGCATGACCTTTTTTTGACTGCCGCGGCGCCGCAGATATATCATGGAGCCTCCTGTCATTAAGCGCCTCTAACCCACTTCTTACCCACATCCTACGCCATGGGCACGAGGGAGGCTGTACAACGAGCTGATGAAGAACTACTAGCGTCGCTGGGCTACAAGCAAGAGTTTCGCCGTGCTTTCACACCCATTGAAGTACGTAATGCTACCGGTTCTTCCAGTGAATGGTGTTTGAACCAACGTTTGCTAGGTATTCGGCATCGCGTTCTCTATTATCGGGCTTCTACCGTCAATATCATCGGTTCTGTTCTACGCGATACCGAATGGAGGCGGGCCTGCTATGACATGGGGGGTGCGTTATATTCTCGAAATCTTGGGGGACGCAACTGAGCAGATGCTGCAGTGGGCCGTCGCTAGTGTCTTCATTCTCTTCGTGGGTATGTCAATGGCGGAACTTGCCAGTGCTGCACCCACTTCGGGAGGACTTTACTTCTGGACGCATTCCCTTTCGTCGCCCCGCTGGCGCAATTTACTATCGTGGATCGTGGGATGTCAGTTTCTCAAGCCAGGGGCTTTTGTGTTCGCCAAATTCACACATTTTCATAACAGACATGAACACCATCGGATCGATAGCATCCGTAGCCTCCATCGACTGGGGTTGTGCTGTCCAAGTCATGGCTGCTGCTAGGATTGGTTCCGCAGACCAGAGTTTCGAGGCTACGAGTGCACAACTTTAGTCCGTGATTTATTTTATCCTTTAGGCGTCGTGCGTTAAATATGCTTTTACGATAGTGGTGTTTACGCGGCAGTTGTCCTCAGCCACGCGGTCGTTTGTTGTCTGGGTACAACGATCCTGGCGCGACTACAATCGGCATATGTACTGCTCAATGTCCTGTACGTGCCTTCTATATTCCCTAGTCTCTTTCCCTTGTCCTGAAGTGCTACAGGTTATGCCTTGCTGTCATCATCGCCCTACCCATTGTAACTCCGGCGGAGTATAAGAATACCGCGCGCTTTGCCTTATGGGAATTCGTGAATCGTTAGTCTCTTTTATCTTTACGTTTTAGCGCAGTTCTCATCACTCCCGTGACAGTTGACGGTTGGCCCAATGGCTACGCATTTATCCTGAGTTTCCTAGCGCCCCTGTGGACCATCTGTACGCTTGCACTTTTTCAGCCTGTCTTATTTCGCAAGTAACCATGGGCTAGGCTCTTTCGATTCAAGTGTTCACATTAGTGAAGAGGCTGCAAATGCTGCGACCGCTGTTCCTTGGGCAATTGTCATGGCAATCGCTATAGCTGGAGTGCTTGGCTGGGGTGGGTCCGATGATCTTTTGTTTCGCGTGCAGAAGAGCTAACTCCAAGGTCTTATTCCCAGCGATCAATGTGGCGCTGGCGTTCTGCATGGGCACCGATCTGCAGATGCTGTATGATAGCGACCAGCCCATGGCCCAGATTTTCCTCAATGGGTTCGGGCAAAAGGGGACTTTGGGTATTTGGGCTATCGTCGTTCTGGTGCAGTGAGTTGACTGTTCAGTCGAAATACTGCGCGTTATTCACGAGTTTTCATTTTTTGCTAGGTATATGATGGGTTCTAGTATGGTAAGTTCATTCCAGGTGTCACCCACTTTGTTCTGAGATTGTCTTCCAGTTATTAGCCGCAAGTAGGCAGACATACGCCTTCAGCAGAGATAAAGGTTGTCTTTGACTATTTTGCTGAGACTTTATGTGCTCATGTTGCATAAAAGCGCTCCCCCTCTCAAACTGGCTTTACAGAATGAACACCTTCACTGGAACTCCCGTGAACACCGTCTGGTTCGATGCTGGCTGGGCCTTGATCCTCGGACTTCTGGTTTTCGCTGGAACGGAAGCCATCAACGCCGTATTCTCTATATCAGTCATCGCACTTTACGTCGCTTACAGCATCCCCATCGCCGCGCGCTTCTTAGGCGACAACGACTTTGAACCCGGTCCGTTTACTTTGGGTGTTTTCGTTAGTAGCTTTTTTTTTCTGAATTTCGCACCATCTAACAACCTCTGTAGAGTTTACCGATTGCCATCATAGCCGTCGCGTTCATGACGTTCATGAGCGTCGTGTTCATGTTCCCTTCGACGCCGGTGACGACCGTTCAAGATATGAACTACGCCGTGGTTGTTACTTGGCGGTATATTTATTCTCTCTTTGGTGTGGTATTACTTCCCCAAGTATGGCGGAGTTTACTGGTTCACGGGTCCCGTTGCTACGCTCTCGGATGCTCCGGGTATTGACTCACAAGAGTCGTCAGATCCTGACGACTTGAAAAAAGTCAGGTCGCGGGTCCATACAGAACCTGTGGAGGAGGATAGTTAAACTGGAATGAATTACTTATGAAAAAGGCCAAGGGAAATTGACTTGGCCTCCGTAACTAATAATGTAGACATCTAAGTAATAGAAGCATGATCTCAAACTTCCAAAAACTCAAAAAGCTTCCAATACACTCGAATCATATAAAAGTCGAAAGAACCGTGATAAGCTACTTTGGTATAAAAACGTATCGAGCGTGTTAGAGACGTCAAGGTCTGGCCTTACGCCCAGCCAAGAAAATCGAAGACGGGAGGCAGTACATCACACGCCAGTGTCGCAATTCCAGCGTACACGACAACCTTTGTGAGAACTGCATTTTGTGAGCGAAATCCCCCGATTTAAACCAACATAATGACACACCATAACTTCTACAGCGTTTAACTTGCGCCCTACTTGTTGCAACCTCTTCCCTCCAAACGTACCTCATTACAGGTGCTAACGCCGCCTTGGCAAGCAAACGCCACGACAAGATAACCGACATGCCTTTTCCAGACAACGTCAGCTGAGATGAAGCCCAGATAGGAAAACGAAGAATATCCAACCTGTGAACATCTTCAAAGCGGCAGGTACCCACGAGCTTTGTAGGATGTCTATTGATGTGGAAGCAAAGGCCCACGAGCTTCCGGGCATGATCACTTTCTCCAGCGCGCCATCCATGCCGAAGTAATTGACACCCCATCTCCCGAGCAGAGCTCCCAGTGCGACGCTCCCAGAAGCAATAGAATCCTCGAAACAAGGACAAGGATCTACAGGAACTATAACCGTATATGATTAGAGCAATTCCAGTAGAGTTGAGGATTACTGACGAGGGTGCATCTCGAGAAGGAACAAGAACAGAGAAATGAGGACTAGTGGGACGGCCAAGCCACCGGTGAACACCCAAGCTTCAAAGTACTGGAACATAGGAAGACTATGTACCCAAACTGCCAAAGCCCCGAGCATACAGCCGGTAATGCAGTCGATGAAGGTGTGCATTCCGGTGTACAGTCGGCCGAAGATGATGGTGAAGGCGTATATGAATAGGTAGGGGCGATATGCAGGCGGAACATGGAGAAGGAAGTAGAGAGCGATTGAGGAACTTTGCGTGGTATGTGTTGATGGAAAGCCGTACTCCAAATGATGGTCTTGGAGAGCTGACGAGTTCCATCAATGACGAGCCACGACGACGAGACGTTATCACGTACTAAGACGCGTCACTGGCGGAGAAAATGGCCTAGGCGAGCAGAAAAGATCCTTGAGTGAAGAAGAGGCGTAGCCGCCGAGGGCCAGGATCATCAGCAACCTGCGGAGAAATGAGACAAGCCGCGGTGTGCAAGGAAATGTCACGTACCCTCTACCAAAGTCATCGTATCCGAAGAAAAAGAATGCAGGGAGGACGACAAGGAAGAAGGTGTCAGTCCCGAGGTACGAAGAGTAGACAAAGTAAGTATCGAGCCAAGATGTGCGTATTGTTCTCTGTAGCAGTCATCGGCAACCGTCGTCACGAGTTTGTACTAAGAACTTACCTGAAGACGGGCTACTGCCTTTGATTCAGCCTTGACGCGCTCAACGAGCTTGGTTCTAATGGCATAACGCCAGGGAGCCAAGGCCTTTACGTAGTCCTTGTCCTTCAAAGCGCTGATGTCGACTTGCGTGGCATGTTCATCGGCTTCTACAGCTGTAGGGTGCATTTTGAGACCATTGGCCTTTGGCTCGCGTATAGTCACTGTGTCGTGCATAAGTTGGAAGGAGGAAGATATCTACAACGACGCTGCTGCTGCATTCGGCAAAGACGAGAAGAATTCTAGAAATTGATGGGAGTCGGAGGTAGCGAACAGTCTTCTAAACTAGTCGACATTGTTCGTAGACAACAAACTTTTGGGATCATATAACTCTAAACTCTAAGGATACAATATTATACAGACGGTGTATGCACCGTCCGCCTCGTTTACAAAGCAATGTCCATGTCCAGGTTCTCTTTATCTTCTCGCGTTGAAACAGCCCTCTTCCTGCGACTCATTGCGACGCCAGAAGGCTTCCGCGACCGAACCTTCTTCTTCTCCAGATCATCATCACTGGCAGTGGGAGACTGAGAGTTATCCAAGGAAGCGACATCGTCAGCGAGGACGTTTTCAGTGGGAAACAGCGTGAGGCACAGAGAATTTGTACTAGGCGGTCCTGTATCTATCCTCCGTGTCTGGAGCAGCAAGCGGCATATGCAACGAGTCCGTATCCGCTGGTGATGGGTACTTGTCCAAGGCATGCGAGGCTTTCGTTGGAGACGATGCAGTTAAGGGCGGATTCATTGTGAGCATGCCGCCGAATCTAAGACCATTTCTGAAGGTGACGATGTAAAGTTGCGCAGAGAGGAAGAGACTTGTGAGAGATGAAAGCGGAGAGCTTGAAAGGACACGGCGAAGGAGTCCTGGAGATATTGAGATTCGAGAAGAGGTCTTGTAGTTCGAGGAGGGGCTTGAGTAGCTGAAAGAGCATGCATTGAATCGGAGGTGAGAGCGGGAGGTTGTTCCAGGTACGAAGGCGGTTCCGTCATGAGAACTTCAATGGCTGCGACTCGGACTAGAGCGATATCAAGCTTGTGTACCTTTCAAAGAGAAATATAACGCACAGGTAGAGTTTGTAGTGGGAATACTCCCCAAGCTGTCTTTCCACGGCGCAGAAAAGTCGAAAAACAGCACTTCCAGCATTCGCATATGGTAGTCGAGACAGACGCTGTTCAAGTTGGTGACAGCAGCCTAGGCAGTTCTATTCGACCAGACAAGAAACACGACGGCCGTTCACGTACCTCCAGAATATCGACGACCTAGAAAAGAGGTACTGAGCAAAAATGAACAAAGACGCGTGAACGACGCGAACCAACCAGATTCTGCTCCACGTCTGAAAGCGCTTGGAAATCGAGGAAAGAAACGATGTTGGTGGCGTGCTGACAGGTCTCGATGTAGTCCTCAAAGGTCCTCAGAGCGCCAGGCTGAAATTTAGATACGAGAAGGTGCAGAACCGCAGTTTGAATATCGATATTTTGCTGCGCTTCTGGTGGCGAGCTGGCAGACGGAGATGATGGCATCTGGTCAAGAGGTGTCCGGCATCTAACCCGGCTACTTACCTTTTTCAATTTCTTCTCGCACCGCGATGGCAGCAGCAGCAGCAGTCAAGCCACCGGCACTAAAAAAGCGCAACAGAAAAAGAAAAAGACGGGCAGCGTCCTCGTCCTCATCTTCCTCATCTTCGTCTTCGTCGAGCTCAGAAGAAGACGAACCTGAGCCTAAAAAACCCATTCCGGTACCCCAAGAATCATCAGAATCTTCTTCTTCCTCTTCTTCGGACTCAGACTCGGACTCTGAAAGCGACGTCCCTACCAGAGGACGCCCTGAAGCCGTTGCGGAGGCCCCCTCGTGCGCAGAAGAGACAATCGCCTTCGCCTTCGCCACCTCCGACTGAAATCCCTTCCTTCATACCCGCCGCGGGGGCCGCTCCAGCCAACGAGCAAGAGTTGAAGGATAGGTTCAGAAAATTCTGGATGGCCTCTGTGGCTGATGGCTTCCGGGATGATTTGGAAGAAATACGAAAGGTATGTTGGGTTGGGTTGCATCCCTAGAGAACTGCTCTAACTTGCAATAGGAACCCAACCTGGGTGCTGCTCGTCTCTCTCTACTCATAGATTCTTTAGCCTCAGGCTGCCGAGGTGTTTACAGTCCACATCTTCGAAAGCTGCTATTAACGAGATGGAAGTCATCTTGGAGTAGAGTATGTTTTCTCTATCTTTTTTTGAGTCCGGATACTTTTCTAATGGATAGTAACAGGCGACGATACGAACGTTGTCTTGGAGTCGATAATGTTCCGCCAGCAGGTGCCAATTAAATTCAACTTGAAATTCTGGTTTATGCCGCGGATGATTTGAATGAGCGCCCCCGGGGTTTCAGGATCAGAGCGATGTGGATGGATACTCTCAGGAGCAGCCTGGGATTAGGCTACACCAGTGATGTGACGTTGACACGGATATCCAACAAGAATCTATCTTGTATACACTACATGCTGTAAACCATACTAACAGTGTTACCAGTACACAACGATGGGAACAAGTGTCAATGTGAAAAAAGGAATGTTTCCACGACGATGAATAGCAGCCACTCTTAACTACGAAGGCCTCGAGGGGCGAGGGGACGCCGGCAATCTCGGTCCACGTAGACTATCAGGGGTGCCCTGACGAATACCGGTGGGAAAAGAAGACGGGATTCCTGGAGATGGCTGTGGGGTCGGTTCCTTGGAGACAGGCGAACTTGGGGAAACAGGCGCAGACGACTTGATACCGGTGTCTTTAGCCTGTGCAGATCTCATTCTCTTGGGGGCGCTGATAACTGGCGAATCTTTGCGAACAAGGGTGGTGACAGAGTCCTTCCGAAGGCGCGGTCTCTGCGTCCTCTTGTTGTGGAACGGGAACCTAGAGGAGTCGCAGGCCTGTTAGAGTGCTCCTTCCATGCAGCCTTGGTCGTTGAACGTGGCTGCTTGCTGTAAGTCGATGTCGTGGAGGTCGTGAGAGCAGTAGCTGTCGACACAGTAGAGGCACGCTGACTCCGTGCGACTTTCGGAGTGGAGGTGAATTTCATGGTAGGACGGTTGGTATCAGAATACACCGAAAGTGAATGAGCCGCTCTCGTTTCGAAATGAGCTGCCGCCGGTTGCTCAATTTCAGGTAGCTCCTTCTCGTCTATCGGGATTTTCTTCGACGACGTGTATGACTTTTCAGATGCAGAACGCTTGAGTCCGACAATGTCATCGACATCGTTGACGTTCTTGGAGAAGTATGCCGGTGTGAAATCCATGCCCTCGAGGGCATCGCTGACTCTCACTGGAGCGACGGTATCAATATCCGAGCAGATATCGAGAGAAAAGGACAACGTACAAAACTGCGCCAGACCTTTGTCAAAGTGAAGGCGGCAAATCACACCCAAAGCTGAGGTGGCGACGAGGAGAACATAAGTGGTCACCGTCATAGTGGCGAAAAAGGGCCAAGCCATGAAAATGAAACGATAAACTGGACCGCAATGTTACCAAGATGATATAGAGAATGTAAGGGTACGTACGTGCGCTGGCAAACATGAACGTCGAAACGCCTAGAAGAAAGACAGAAAGGGCACCGAAGATAATAAATAAGCGACGAGACTCTCGCCGCACAGAAAGCCACCCCTGGAGATTCACTTGTCAAAGAATGAACGGAAAGTAGCCTTTTGTAACGAACCAGAACTACCCACGGAAATTCACACTACAGGCGAGACTTATTAGCGATGTGTACGCGACATGTTTTCACGTACTTACCACTGCGGTTACGCCAAAAACAGCAAGATACAGATGAAGATGTCTGGCAACACGCCGGATGCTGCCTCCCGAAATTTTGTCAATCCACATCCCAGTGGCAGCAAGAGAGAAAAACCCGGCCAATTGCAGTGTTACGGAAAGCAGAAGAACGAACTAGAGTAAATGTCAGAGGAGTTGAGATATATCAAAGCACAACGTACCTTGTACATTCTGTTGATCTCAGGTGAACCACCAACACGACTAAACGATTGATTCGCGTAGACCTACAACAATAAGCAAAGGACCATTCCTTACATGACGGATTCCTACCTTGTAGAGATTAGCGGACAAGTAAAGCAGTGTCAGAAGCGCAATAGCATTGAGGATGACAACGGGAACCTATTAAAAAGTCTCAGTTCGAGGCCTAGATGACATGCCGGTAGATGATCATACCGTATGTCTCGTTCGAAGAGGCCACCAATCTTGCAAGAGATCGATACCATCACAGGTGCCATGTACGATGAACTGGTTATATCGATCCTGTAAATGTTTCGAGCTTGAAACGCGGAAACCCGCCCAGGCCGTCCCGAGTACGTGACCAGCCAAAGATGCTCCGAGATGAGGAAGGGACTCGTTCAATATCTAAAAACTGGTATCACGAAACGGGAACAATTGGTAGTGGACAATAACGAACGACGACGATTGAGAGGCTTAGCATCCATATCTGGTATAGCAGGGCAACCACATCTTCTCTCCTTGAGTCTTGAAAGCTTGACACCGGAGTTCAGTCCAACGTTACAACGATGGAACAATAAAACCCACACATCCCCAAGCCAATGGAAAGCTCTCAAACATGGGACAGGTAATACACCGTCCGCAACCTTGACGCCGACCGTAGTTCCGTTGATGATAATCGGTACGATAGCAGGGTGATCGCGCTAGTACGTCCATTTAGAAACAATAACAGGCTGCTGTAAGTAGCTACTGCGCACCTTGGCGAAAGAGTGGGCCGAAACATGGTGCTGCACGAAATCATCTGTCGTGTTCTCAGTACCGGCAAAGGTCGAGTTACCAGGTCGGATAGGAACGCAGTCGGAATCAGGCTGGCTTGGAATATCATAGCAATATTGCAACAGGTTGTCGTATAGGATCGTCAAACCATTGGTAACATTGGCCGTGTTTAAAATGTCAGAGATGAGATTAGCGGCATTGGAGTTGTCATGGTACGCCAGGCCTTGGAGACTGGTCAAAACAATACAAGTCAAGAGAGCAACGATGGAGTAGAGCAATGTGAACTTGGTCAAGGTGATCCTAGTATACTGTGGAGCAATTAGAAAAAGGTGGATGTAGTAAAAAATATAAGACGCACCACCAGCTTCAGCCTCGACCACCAAAGAGCCTTTTTCACGAATTTACGAGACAATTTTCTCAGCATCGCTCAACGTCGACGAACCAGTCGTATGGGGAAGAACTTGAAGAAAAGAATGGCAGCACGACGTCGTCAGAAAACGCACCCAGAGCGTTATTAGACCAGCTCAGTAATGCAAATACATGCAAGGTGGTGAAAGTAAGAAAGAAAGAAGTAATAAACGTGTCGCGTGCATGTGGGGATGGCATAATTAGAATCTGAAATTCTAGACGAAGGGCCGTAGCACAAAACGGCTTGGCAACAACATTTTGATCAAATAGACCATCATTCGCCTTCGCAACTTCCGCCGTATCCGACTGCGATAATAAGTACAGAACAGGCTGGCTCAGTCCTAGGCCTCATATGTGGTTGGGAATACGTTCTTCACATCCTTCACATGTTGCAATTCAACACACTGCATTCGTCGCCTTTGATGCATGCCCCAATCTCCTTCGCTACGCTGACACCTTCATTGGATGCACCGTGCAAATATCACGTCGATCACCTGCCCTAGTCGGACGTACATCGGTCAATTACCGTAGTATGAACCTGTACAGATCGGGCTTTGTTTTGAATGATTGTCAACTAATACATGCACTAACATTGTACTGATATTCCTAACAGACACCCACGATTGATAGCAACAAACTCTTCCTAGTAGTATTCCGTGAAAGCGGCAGTCGTGGACTACATCACATGCACGAAGTTTGGCCCAGTACGTACGGATATAAGGCTCACCTCAGATAAGTTATTTGAACAGTTGACAATATATTATATGCAATGACTTTGCGATTATAGAGAGGCATCATTTTTCCCTCGCGTAAAACGACGGGAAAGCTTGGGAATGTGACGATCGATGATGGTGGCATCAGCAGGGTACGTGCTAGTGAAGGCGTGTCAAGGGCAGAGCTCTTGAGGTGGTATTTATCTTAAAGAAAAGAGGTGCTGTAGAGCGCGATCGTTGGAGAACGGGTGACACTGTGAGAGAAGCATCTTTGTCGAGGTGAGAGCGAACGAAACAAGACAGAGTACTCACCGAAAAGTTACCCCCTCTCCCAACTGCCGCGTTCCTAAGAATGGTCCGTCTGAGTATCCATACAGTAAGCAACATCTTAGAAAACCTGCGTACGCAGTCCCAAATAAGGACCACCGGAGTTCTGTAGTGCGGTGCGAACTAGGAACATCTCATGCGGCGGCATCGGCGAGAAATAGATGCAAAGTTCTACTTGGTCGAGGAGGTATCTCATCCTCGACCGCAATCTGCAGAATCGACTCGCGTGGAATTTTTGGACGATGGTGTTCCCCCAACGAAGGGCTTTGACGGCGAAGATGTGCGAGGACAAAAGCGACCAAGTGCTTCAATGAACGCATTCGCGGCGTCTGTCGTTCCCAAGCTTGAAAGCTGTTCTAGTCCGTGCCATTGACTCGGATGCAGGATGTCTCCCGGACGAGGTTTGTGAAAGCTCGCTCCCACGGTGGATCGCGTGTACTGACAGCTCATAAAATATAGCATCCGAAGCGCAGGACGCCAGACTGGAAATCTCTGTGATCGTGTACATAGGCGTTGTTCTTTGTTTGTTGATTTGGAACCACTCGCACGTTACTTTGAAGCAAGCAATATACTAGTGGATCAGACCGTCCAGTGAGGCAGAATCACCTACAGGTCGTGGTGATCCGAGCTTTCGCTCCCATGAGACTATGCTTGATATCCCTGGGTCAAAATAAACCCCTGGTAGACGGGAATTTGAAGGGGATAAAAGTAGCACATTGAGCGTAGTCCTCGATTGCTTGGCAGCCATTCTCGACACGTCGCCATCCGACCTCATCTCGATTCTCCTTGAATACTATCAGCCGTCCTTGACAGTCAACACAAGATATACTTGTTCAGTGTGTCATATCTCGTATGGAAATGCGTTCTTCACATCCTCTACATGTTGCAATGCAACACATCCATCGCCCTTCATACATTCCGCCATGACAGATGCTACCTTCAATCCTTCGTCGTACGCACCGTGCAGAAAGCCTGAAAATTAAGCATCAAGCGTCTGCTCCACAGCACGCCAAGCTCACCGAAATATTTCTGGCTCGTCGCTTCGCCAGCAAAGTATAACCGATCAACGTTTGACCGAAGGTTGTCGTGGTGTTGACTAAAAAATGATGGGGGCCAATTAGAGTATGATCCTCGGTAAAGAGGATCAGAATTCCATCGAGGGAAGAGGAATTCGGTCGGTTCAGGAATTGTAATATTTGGGTACATCTTCTGGAGGACGTCTAGCACTTCATCCTGTACTTGCTGATCTGACAACGCCTCTACTCTCAGCGACCAATCTCCCTACAGAATAAACCATGAGAGGGCCGCAAGCTTTCAAGGTCGCATACTAACCGTCACGGTGGCGAAGATCAGTCCGGAGCCTGGGAAGAAGTTCGGGTGGTCTAACGATTGCCAAACTGGATAAGTGCCGCGAGTGGGATCCGCATACAAGGCCAACTATACGACATCAACGCCCACTTGCATGTGACGGGAGAAACGGACTGACCTCGGTATCAAACCAGAACTTTTTGTGAAACTTTAGGAATATCTTGGTGTATGTAGCCATTGTCATACTTTGGATTGCTTCTATTTTGTAGTCTGGAAGAGGAGGCTCGAATGTCACATCGTCGTCCTGCAATACCCCGAGGCTGAACGTGCAAAGCGCGTAATCTCCTTCAATCGTTTCGCCGCTTGTCAGCGTTATCTGGACTCCATCGCCGGAATACGCAATGGCCTTGACCGCTTGAATTCAGTGCAACTTGTTCGGCCCGTAAGAATTCTTGAGCTTCCAACTGGATCAGAGCCTTGAACCCCCGTTGGTCGATGGCGAGAAGATTGTCCTCGGAAAAGCCGCCTTCGTCCGCATCAAAGGTGAAGTTATTGGCCTAAACTGACTTCAGCTTTCGAACTGTTTTAGCGAGTGTTCTTACGTGCCCAAGACGATGCAATCCACGAGGTCTGATCAGGTTTCTGGGCATATTCCCAATCAAACTGCGTCTCAGGGTTATACAAGTTTGCATGTGATTTTTATGGAAATGCTCGCCTGATAGTACTCTGCTGCCATCTCATACGAATCTCGTGGCTTGACTCCATTTAGTGCATAACCGGTTTTTGAAGTCAAATCCACTAGTGATCCATTGACACGCACACCTGCAACCTGTATTGAGCACTGAAGGTGAAATCTGCTAAGATTAAACCCACCTCCAGTCACGGTCAAAGCAGTATAAGCGTCAACAGCATCATTAAATACATCAATATAATCCACTTCGCCGGAAATATCATAAGTCGCTATGACCGGTTAGTCAGTGAGAAGTTAACGGCCGCGGCCACCCACTTAAACTTCCATAGAAATCGTTGTACTGCGTTGTGATGTTGTGCTTCAGGGCCAGTTCAAAAATTGGGTTAGCCGGGCCTGTTCCCGTTTGCGTCCCTTGCACCCTTCGGTCGATAGCAGTATCAGCCCATTGGACGTTATTAAAGGTATTCCTGGATACACACCAGTTGGCGCCAAGTTCGATCGTATAGCCGGCGAAGGTTTGGCTCTTCAGTCGTCCGCCAAGCTCGTCGCGAGCTTCAACGATTAGGAAATTGTCGATGCCGTTTTCGTGCAAAGTCCGGGCAGCAATGACACCGGTAACGCCTCCACCGAGAATGAGCACTCGAGGGTTACTGGATTCATTGACCCTAGGAATGGCAGAGCCTGACACGCTCGCTACTAGGGCGAGGGAAGCAGTCAAAGCGGGTGCAAGTATCATCCTGGACAGGAGATAAGGAGTGAAATTATGCACTCAGCTTATATATGTATTTCGCTGCCGGTGAAACGGCAAGTGCAAGATCTAAAGTCTTCATATCTGTGTGCTCAGCATGCGCTTCTCGGAAGAAGGTTCCTTGACACGGGTCGACGGGATTGTATTTGAACTGATGAGCACGCGGACCCAATAAATACATTTATGCAGTCGTCTAGCATGACTTCTCCTCGAAGGATATCAAGGCATACCTGGAAAGGAACCGATGAGAGACCGGAAACGTCAAAAAGAAGCTAGAATTTACCGCCCACTGACTCGCCAGTGCTTGTCGGTCTTATCAAGCTGCGCAGCTACCTCATCACTAACTCCCGCAACAACATCAGCCTTACTAGTACGAAGACTCAATAGAGGGAAAGATCCCGCCAAAGGTCCTATTACAGTGTGAAAGAAAATACTCGCATCATGAATAGCCACCTTACCTATGGCTTCCCGAAATGGGGTCGACGTTGGCCAGCTTATATCCCCCGTCAATCTACAGGCACAATCAAATTCCAGAAACGCCCCAAGATAAGGAAACCACTTGCTTTCGGTAACTGAGAGGCTCAGATAAGCGCGTAAAGGTGGTAGCACGAGGATCGTACTTACTTTAGGTCTCCCTAGATGATGTGTCAGTCTGATCGAAGCATTAGGTCGAGTGGAGACAAACCTTGAAAATAACAAGGTTACTGTTGAGATGCAGATCGGTCCACAAAGACTGAGCATGGATCTTCATATCCCAGTAGGGTAAATGAGTCGTCCAAAAATCAGCTGTGGAACCTATTTCTGCTCCCAGAGCTGTACTTATCGGTACGGACAACGAGAAGATGCCTCGTTCTACATAATCTTTCCACCTGGTCGTCATATACTGAAGGTGCTTTTTCTCTGCTTCGGTCGGTGACGATGAAGCCAGAAACGCGTCGTCAAGGAGAAGATCAAGGGTTTGCGAAAAGTCGGACGGTGTTACATCCGATACATACCATGGAATTAACTTGGGGCTTTATTCAAATCAGACACAAGGATGTTTACGCATTAAAGAGACCACGTACTGCATAACGACCTTAGAAACATATGATGTATGAGTGACTAGAAAGTCGGCGAAGACCAGATCCGTAAAAAGCTGGATAAGGTATTTGGTACAACTATGAAATGTTATTCTCAACTAAGACTTACCTCAAAACCGGCTGTAATGGGATCACAACGTTTGTCAATTGGATTAAGGAGAGGACCTTCGTCTAACCGTTATCAAGCACAAAATCTATTCTCCCATCCTCCAGAGACTTGAGATGGTTCCACAAAGGTTCCTGATCGTCTTTCAAGATGAACGCCTCTCTAGCTGCTTGAGCATCTTTGCCAACGGCTTGAAGATGCTCCATGTCCGATAAGGATAGGTTTGTTAATAGAGATAAATCCTAAGAGCTGTCAGTAAGAGGCTAAGGCGTAAAGCAGTCCACAAACGATAGAGTTTCCCCTGAAGAACGAGCATACTATCACTATATGATACGGAAAGTTTAGAAGGTTTAGTTACCATAGGCACATCTGCGTCATCTCTTGAAACAAAACCTTGAGGTTATCGACATTATCCTCTAAGTTTTTCTTCTCGTGGTCTAATTCATAGACAATGGTCGCGATCTCTGCGTTCTATTGAGTAACCCAACATTCTGAGCTGAGGTGACACCCCAAGGATCACTCACTATGTATTGCGACGCCAGATTTCTGAAATGCGTCAATCTTCTGAGCACGGAAAGGATCATATTGGCGCCAGTGCGTGGTTTGCAAGAGGTAAGACCAGATCAGACGATAGCTAGGCGCGCATTAGATGTATTGAGATAGATAGGAATGATGTACAAACAGATAACATCTAGAAGGTGGTAAGTTCTCCATTCACATTGAAGAAAACCGAGCCTTACTCTGCGAACAGCCATGGAGCAGTAAACCACGTATTCTTCGAGATGGATGCTAGTCGTTCCAACTCCGTGTTATACGTCTCTATGTGCGAACCGCCGTCTTGAGAGAGAGGTCTAAAACTTGGTCAAGGATATCGATGGTAGGCCACAAAGAGAACATACTCCAATGCACGATCTCGCGCCATCTCATACTTGAGTTTGCTAACCTTCTCAATGAGAGCTTTCCCTTCAGCAAGTTTTCCTTCCTCTAGATTCTTGCCATCGGCGTGTTCTGAATCAACAAAAATGTCGTGGTTCTCTAAATGAAGCTGGTTCACGACTCCAGTGAGGATGATCGGCCATCGTTTTTGTACAGTTTCGTAGCTATGATTGTTGGACTGATCGTTCAAAGATAAAATTGATGACGGACTCACGAAAATCTGATAGACTTGGTCAGACTTCATCGGAAAAGAAGACTTTTAACACCTACCCGTCCTTGTCAGTGGGGTCGTATGGTGGATACGGTGCTTGAAACATCATTGAAGATTGGGTCAAAGGTGAGGCCGGTGACTCCGGCCCGACCTCAACTGAAATCCATCGGGACTTAATCGTATATAGGGAATACTCAGATCCAAAGAGTCAAAATATCAACTGGTAATATGTACACAGGTCCACTTTTACATTTATAGAAAGCAAAAATATATGGAGGATATCAAATCTGAATACCATCCATGTTCAGGCGGACCCGCCGCGCTGAAACTAAAGTTCACGGGTTGTAGGCAGCTTGAAAGTGGCTTCGAGGTAATTGATAGCTTTGTCATGCTCCGCTTTGGAGTCAACATGGTAATCCATATCGTTCTCGAAAACGGCCGGGGCAAAGTTCAACGACTCTAGAGTAGAGTCTGCATGCACTGTGAAAAACGTTAGTTCCGTGTTCTTCAGCGTAGTAGACAAAAATCGCACAATAATGGGCAAGACCCTCGCCAAAATTGCGGAGGCAAATAATGCCTAGAATCATGCAAGCACCCATAAGAATCATGGAGACAACAGTAAAACATGCCAAGTTCGCCCAGCTGACAAACGTCCTGTATGAAGGGAAAGAGGTCGGATCGCGTGGTTAACTCGAAAGGAAAACACAGCTTGCCATCGGAAGACTTGAGAATAAAACATGATGCTCGTAGTGAATAGGAAAACAAAGGAAGCGAAAATGAAAAGAGCCATCAAGAGCCTCCTCTCGTGTCGAATTGCGTACCATCCCTACGGCAGTTGTCAGGGGTAGCGAGAAGGGGAAAAAACAACAGTCTGACCAAAACAAGCCACGGAATAACAAGCTGCAAGAACTGATGGATCAGTATATGATAAGGTTAGGAATTTAAATGACGTACGACGGTGTAGAATATGAACACACCCTCATAGACAAAGGTGTGTTCCGATATTGCTCCGATGTATGTATTGAATAGTTGATCAATCCAGAGCCCCATACTTGCCATGAGAACGTAGAGTTCCAGCTGCAAACATGCTTGAACTGCCATGAAATACTGGTGCCGTATATGTCAGCAATAGAAATGAGATGATAGATTGTATGGATAGTCATACCTTGTACAGAGTTGCAATGCGCTTTGGGGCGCCAACACATTTAAAAGACCGTTTGTTGTAGTCCTGAGGCAACAGGCCCATGAGCAAGTGGAAGCACGATAAATCTTGACACTTACCCTGAAAAGTGTCAAGGACAAGAAACACGCAATAGACAAGGCAGTCAAATTGAGGATCAAATCCGGTATCTGAAGTATGGGTGTGTGAGATACTGTGACATAATGCGGGATAACCTCACCTCGTAACCATTTCTCACTCGGAAGTAATCCTCATTGAAGAGATCAACTGAGCAGGGGGTATGAGCATCACCAATAAGCTCTTGGTAGATGGATTTCTTTGAATGGGTTCGCCAAAGAACATATGCAGACCAAGAAGAAAGAAGTGCCCGAGCGCAAAATCCTGCAACGCTAAGCTTGTGTAAATTGCAAAGCAGCCATTGATATCGAGTCTCACTTACATGTGAGGCACAGAATCATATACCATGGCGATTACGGATATTACGAAAAGCCAGAATTGAATGAAGACCAATCTAATGCCCGCAATTTGTAAGTTCGCAACCATGGGAGACATTTGGGAAGCAGAAACGAACGCAAGGTCCTCCCTCGCATAGTCTCGTAAGCTGCATAAGGGCCAGTTAGTTACAAATAAAACAATATGCAATGGAAAGGAGTACTCTTGAGAAGGAAATACGAGGATTTTGACACACTGGGTGTTCAATAACAATTCTTTACCATCCTGAAATTCGATCGTGATGCCCGTTTCATTGCGAAGCAGCACTGGCGGCGTGTTTTTGCCGATATTAGTGCGTAGCTGAGAGTGAGAAGCTAAGTGAAGTGTTCCAGTAGGAGAGATCACACGCACCAAGCTACCACGTGTAGCTGACTATTGGTAAGGGACAATGTAAGAGCGAAGGGAATGAAGATAAATCACAAAGTCACGAACGTCTTCAGCAGATAAGTTAGAGGCACTATGGTGAGACTCAAAGATGTCCGTGCAGTTAGAGTCGAAATGGGGAATATAATTGCACATCCGTAACCGATAATTGCCGCTCGATCCTTCCAGGAAGGTATGATTCCTTGCAGGGACGTCGGCCGCGTGTACAATCTTGGAGAGAAACGAGCTGTACTCCGAATCGATGGTAAAGAGGAACGATTGCATGATTCCTTGAGCAAAACAGTGGAAGAGACCAAAGAGAAAGAACGTGAACGTTAAACGATTGCGTGTGATGCGCGTGTACTGTCTTACGGTAAGTGTCCAGAAACAACGAAGAAACTAGGCACGAACCAATGATTTAGTTTTCCTCTTGAGAATTCCAAGTTTCCATGTCGAAAACATGGCTAATCGTCACGAGGAGGTATAGCGAGTCAGAAAGATCAGTGGAGGTGGAGGTGGAAGGGTAAGCAGTGCGTGAAAGGATGCGGGGGGGTATTCAGCACATCAATTGGAACATCGTAGCATTGACAGCTTCGCGTCTGATGATCACCAGCTAGTGATCTTGCCAGCGGAAGTCGCGATGAGACGACCGGCGGATTTCAATTTTGAATGGTATCCATCCAAGAGATATAAGCTGTACTCTGGTCTCATAACAGGCGAAGTGGGCCATCATTTCGCTGCCAGCATCCACAGCTTGCCCGATTCCGCATTGAACGACACTGGGATTTTGTTCTGCCTAATTCGTTTCCAGTTCGCCCCCAGGATGATCAGGTGTACTAGTCCCGTCCGGGGGGTCAAAACAAAATCCGAGGGCGGTACATACTGACTGATATGTACATCAGATACAGGGGGTCCAGGACTTGGAAACCAGCACTGGCAGTACGAGAATGCAATGATGGTGAATCACAAGTTCTGATTGGCTGCCGCGTGTTGGTGACTAACTCCCCCGTGATTGGTGGATCCTTGGCCCGGGGTATCACATGCTTTTGTTGATTAACCGGCCTCCGACCATCTATCCGCCACCAACTTGCTAGAAGTGTCACCATGTTCACAACATTTTCTAGACGCGCAGTTCGTAACAGAAGGCTTTTCTCGGTTCGCGCTGCTCTTCGGGATTCTAATTCAGCTTTACCACTGCGTTCCGTTGCCGAAGAAACACATGATGTAACAACCATGGACGAGTTATTGAAAGTGGTTAGTGAGTATTTTTTTTATCTGTTTGACCTTCGATATAACACTCATTACTCCAGGGACCCGCTCCGATCCTGCGTATCATTCGTATGCACCTTTTCTACCTTCGTGGATCGGTCCTAACTACTATACTCATAGGATTATGCCCATGCGGACCCCAGTCAGGTGGTCGGAGACATTGCTAAATACTGCGCCTAAGCCTGGAGAAGAGGCTACTGTTCAGTCAACGCCTATCGATTTGACTCCAAGATATATGCATGACTCTTACTCAGAGCTCATACTTCCATTTGGGTCTTCGCCGGAATTATTGGAAGAATACACAAACGCCCATGGCACGATAAGAACCGGCAAGTAAGTATGCTCTGTAATTTACCGCAGACATTCTAAGACTAATATCTAGGCTCATGGAGCATCTCGATTCACTGGCAGGGTCAATTTCCTACAAACATACGCTTGGACCAGGCGTTGAGACCCTTGGTCGCATTAAAGAAAGGGGTTTCTACATCGTTACTGCGTCGGTGGACAGGTTCGAAGTCACATACATTGCATGCATAGCTTCCTGACAGGCAATACCTAGACTTGATATGCTCGCCAGCTTAGACCCCACCAGAGACCTTCGTCTCAGCGGTCAGGTCATATACACCGGCAAGAGCTCTATGGAAGTAGCTGTGCAAATGGAAAGTATTGGCGGTGGAATGTTTGAAAAAACTGTACTTCTTGGTATGTTCGATGAATTCTTCCGCTTCGGTAGCCAACCCGTTTTCTAGGCCGTTTCTCTATGGTATGCCGCGATGCCAACACCCACAAAGCGCGAAAAGTAAACCCTCTGATTATCAGCACTCCGGAAGAAGAAGCATTGTATGCTATGGGTGAAGGTAGATGCGCTTAGTTTGCCGTAATCCATCCTCTAACACATCCCGATAGACATGAAACGGCGACGTCAGTCAGTAGCCCTGCGTTCTCTAGACCGTGTACCTCCTAGCTCGGAGGAAGCCTGAAGCATTGCACTTCGTTCTATCTCAACTATGGGCTAAACGAAGCCAAGGTTATCGATCGTGTCTGGATGGGAGACACTCGCGTAGAAAAGTGCATGCTCATGTTTCCACAGGAACGGAAGTTAGTACCTATGCCTTCCATGACGGGTTTCTTCTGAACATTTGTAGTGTTCATCAAAAGGTCTTCGGTGGATACCTTATGAGATTGGCATATGAGGTCAGCTCGCACTGCGTTTGATTTCTTTTGTTTGTGTGACTGACGAGCGATGTAGCTCGGCTTTGCCAACTGCAGCATGTTCGCCCGAGGCCCCATACGTTTCTTGTCGCTGGACGGTATCTCCTTCGCTCAGCCTGTTCCCATCGGGTCCATCCTCCGTTTGACATCATACATCTTACACTCGACCACATCAATCCAGTTTCCCATGATCGCCGTAAGTACTACGATCATGGTTTCAAAGTTGTTATGATTATCTTAGACTCCACCGCATAGCACGTCGGAGTCACAGCCAACGTCGTAGATGTGAAGACCGGCTCCGAGCACACGACGAACGAGTTTAGATTTACCTGGGCTAAAGAAGAGGGACACCATCTCTCCCGAAAGGTTGTGCCAAAGACCTATAAAGGTCGGTCCCTATAAGTATTAGCTCGTCACTATTTCGATGCTGAAGCATACCTTTCCAGAGGCGATGCTCTGGCTTGAAGGAAAGAGAGCACTTGAACTCGGAGATCAGATCCGTGGTATGCGGAATTATATCAAGGAATAACCAGATATCGATACAAATCAACGATATCTGAATCATATTACCGAAACGCTGTAAATCGAGTGGATACAACACCGCTACGGGAAACTAAATGAATCCTATCGTAATAATATAATCACATACAAGACGTTGATGTTTGTACTAATGACAAGCTGAAAATATGCCGGGAGTCCAAGTATGAAATAATGCCTTATAATTATTTGTCCATGCGTGGTCATGATGAGATGGAAGTCGTCTGCAGCAGGAATGGTCGTAAAAGGTCGTTAATGATTATCATGGAAATGAAGGTTAGAGCCGCGATCATCTAGTCGGGCTTGCCTTGCCGCCTTGCTTTACTTTAGAAACCGGAGACGTGCCTGTGGTGTGATCTTGGTAAGAGGGTCGAAGACCACAGTCGCGCGGAGCAACCTCGCCGCACTTGATATGGGCCCTATACAGCATGCTTCAGTGACACCGCGACGATAGGAAAGGAGTGAGAGAACATACTTCAGTCCACAGTCATCGCACTCCAAAATGGGTTTCCATCCGAGTCGTTTCGTACATACATCGCACTTGGCCACAAAGAGACCACTCGAGAAGATCAAGTCAAGTGGGTTCCATGTGACAGCTTCACCCGGGGGTGAGATGGTACCGCTGATGCTGTTCTTCTTGGGCTTAGCACCACCAGGCTTAAGAAGGGTGAAGCGGTGGACAAGAGGGGCAACATAGTTGCCATTCAGAGTGCGAATAGTGGATCCTCCTTCTGTCGCCAGTGCGCTGGAGATGGCTGACACGCCGGCCGCCGTGTGGTACGAGTCAAGTGTGTCAATGGACATAATGGATGAAGTACCCAGGAGATCTTCCCCTTCAGCACGCTGGGCCATGATGGTTGAAGGTTGCGATGAAGATGAACTGTTTGACGCTGGTAGCACTGGGTCTGGTGTCTCGTTTGGATTCGGGGAAGCACGAATGGTGAGGATAGAGGAAAGGGAAGGAGGCATTGTTTGCTGCGAGGGATGCGAACGGATAACAGTGGTACTGTATTCGGATGACCCGGTGTTCAGAAGAGGCTCATTACCGCCTACATTAATATAGATAAGCAGTTCAGATTCCAAACGAGAAGCAAACTTACCACCAGTCGAGTCACTCCAATCACTGTTGACTCCTACACTGGATAGACCCATGACTGCTTCCATCAGCTCGTCATCGCTGTCATCAGTGGAAGACCCGCTGGATCGAATGTCCTTCCCGACTCCCATTCCGAAGCTGGGAATGCGCGGGCCGGCGGATGGTCGCTTGCCACCTGTCATGAACTTGATGCTACCTACATGAGCATCTTCATCCCTCGCTCGGACGTGCCAGCACTTCCGTTTCAATGAGGCGAAGACGCTCAAGGATATCCCGGGTAACAGGTCGCGCAGCGGGATCCGTCGCAAGACAATCGATACACAAGGCGATCATGTCGGGAGGACAGCCCGGGCTTGCGAGTTTGCGGATCTCGTCTACATCGATGTCGAATGTGGGAGGGGTCCTCTTGAAATGCCTGTCATCCGCCAGCTGGCGTGACACGATCTCGCACAATATAATTCCAAGGGAAAAGATGTCGGTGGGCAGATCAAACTCATCCCCAAGCAAGACTTCAGGGGACATGTACGAGTCTGTACCACAGAAGGTTAGACGCTTGAGCTCTTCTTCGTTTCGAGCAGCGATGCGAGCGAAACCAAAATCGGTGATCTTGAGGCGTCCGTTGGAAGTGACTAACAGATTTTCGCCTTTGAGATCGCGATGGATACATTTGCGAGCGTGCAGGTAGGCGAGAGCACGGGCGATGTCGGTAGCAAAGGAGAGACGAAGGCGCCAGGGAAATGGTTTGGACTTGTTGTGGAATGTACAGACGAAGGTTTCCAGTTGTCGATGTATTCGGAGATGATGAAGATTCGGTTGTCAGGCGCTGGCGCCCGCGAAAGACCCAAGAAGAGCACAATATTGGGATGTCGAGACTCCTTCATCAACCGCCATTCTCGCTCAAAGTATTTGCCGACGTCGTACTCGGTGGATGGGAGAACTTCCTTGATGGCTACGTCGATGCCCAGATATTTCCCTGCAATCACCGTCGGTGAGGTCGCTGTTGATCCGCCGAGATATACGGGACATACCTTTGTAGACGTTCCCAAATGACCCGGATCCCAGTCTGACCCAGTCTCCTTTGATGTCCTAATGGATGAAATTGAATGAGCAATGGATACTAGGGCTCATGAAGCGTCTACCGACCTCATAAGGAATCACATCGAAGGCATCCGAGTGCATCGTAAGTAAAGACAGAGAAAGTGAAGAAACGAAGACGGCGAGACCGACCACAACGATGAGCAAGTCAGGGATGAGGGTTGCGGTTTGAAACGCTAAGTAGTCAGCGCCTCCGGATCGTCAATACACGTGATTTGCCCGCGGCCATTTCGAGGTACTTAGCGGCGGCTACCCTCCCTTCTTGATGCAATTTGACGATTCCATCTTTTCAATTTGGATTTCTTTCCTTCTGACACTACAACTCGTTTCTCGCTTTGCTCTTCGAAGCCGTTGCTAGTGAAGTTCCCATGCGCCTCCGTTGCTGCCTCTTCTGGGCCGCCTGGGATGTTGAAGAATGAATAGTAAATCTATTCTTATCAACTCAACGTTAACGTATACAGTCTGCCTGACTTCAACTAATTCTATAGTCCTACGCTGTCACATAAAGTCAGGGAAATTTCGTCATGAGTTACCTCTACAAGGGAACCGGGCCTCCACAAACTGATGGACACCTTGAATGCTACCAACCTTAGCCAGCAATCAAACCTTTTCGTGTCTTTTCTTTGCTGAGATCGCTAGACCCCTTTTCGTAAAGGCTGGTTGGGCTGTAACAAGCTTCAATTTCCGCTTGACTAAAAAAGACGATTATTATTTGTCATAGCTATCGCTGGCAGGAACCATCGCACAAACCTTGGCAGGGTCCAATGCAAGTCTTGCACGCTGCAGCAACAATCGTATCCCAATCGTCGTCCACAAACCCCGGCCTGTTTTTCTGCCAGTTTCCATTCTGATCGTGATAACCGTCGTATCTCTAGGCCCCCCTGGTAGGCCGCGCCCTACTATCGTCCTTATCAGTGCGACAGAAGCATATGGTCGCCCCCGGCGCATCCGGATGTAGTTAAAAAAGCTCTATCTAAGTCTTTCCCGCGGCACTCTTTGCTTCGCACCATCAGCATCGCATCAAGAATGTGGTACAAACCTTCGCACTGGGCATTGGAGTCGGCAGCTTCGTCGTTGGCCCCCCCTGGGAAAGAGAGATGGAGTAACAAGGATATGGACCCTGTACCCCCGCATTTACGTACTTGGTCGACTCGGAATTATGTGGCTTATTGGATATCGGACGCGACGAATACGGCTGTTTGGGAGCTTGCGAGTTCTATGTTGGCTGTTGGGCTTTCGTGGTATGGTTTTTTTTGATGTGGCCGAGGAGCGTAGCTTATCGGTTCTTGTTTCTTTAGGCGTCAAGCTCTTCCTGCTATTGCTGTCGGCCATGTTATCATAGCAATAGTCACTGTATTGAATGGGACTATCGGTGCGCGCTTACACATTGCAGTTTCCAGGTACGTGTTATTCTATCACGACGCGTCTAGGTGCTGACTCTCGCTAGTGATAAACCGTTCGTCCTTTGGGATTCTGGTTCAGCTACTTTAGCGTGGTCAGTCGGGTCATTCTTGCCATGTTTTGGTACTGGGATACAGGTGCGTACTGCATACTCTATCATCTGTCCACTTGTTGACGGCACCAGTGATAGACGTATACCGGCTCCTGAATGCGTATACCAAATGTTGAAGGCCATATGGCCAGGGACCGCTCGTATACCCAACCATCTCCCCGAGGGCGCTAACATTAACCTACCGTCGGAATGATGACATACTTCCTCTACTGGTTATTCCAGTTCCCCTTCATGCTCGTTTCTCCGCAGAAGATTCGGCATCTCTTCATGGCCAAGGCTTTCATTGTCCCATGTGCGTGGCTCGCGATCCTGATCTGGGCGATGGTCAAGGCGCCGCCGAGTGTATCTCTGCAACCCGAAGCATGCGGAAGTTAGCGGGAGTGCGCTGAGTTGGGCGTGGTTGAGCGCGTTGAATAGTGCTCTTGGTATCTATGCGACTCTTGCGGTTAATGTTAGTGATTTTACGAGGTGGGGTGTTTGTTCTTGGGATCTGGAAGGGGCAAGTTGACTGATGTTGTTTTTTTCAAGATATTCGACTACGGTACAAGCGTAAGTCCAAAGTTGTCGTCTTCGATTGCGTTACCGAAACCAACTCCTGGTTTGCACGGACCAGCACATGTTTTTGTCTATCCAGTGGAGCGTTGAACTTTACTGACTGCTTTTAATCTAGTCAATACGTGCAACTCTTTATTATTCCTACCGTATTCACTCTCATCGGGTTCGTGGGTATCGCAGTAACCTCCGCCGGAGAAGTTCTCTATGGCGAAACCCTCTGGGACCCTCTCAAGCTCATCGACAAGTGGGATAATCGCGCCGCGGCTTTTTTCGCGGCGTTTAGTTTCTTTATAGCGACTCTCGGCACGAACATTTCGGCGAATAGTTTGAGTGCTGCTAATGATATGACTGTGCTGTTTCCGCGGTATATCAATATTAGGAGGGGGCAGGTTATTTGTGCGATCTTGGGGGGGTGGGCGCTGTGTCCCTGGGAGATTTTGGCGTCTGCGCCGGGGTTTTTGACGTTTATGAATGGGTGAGTGGGGTTTTTGAGAGCTGGAGGCTTTGAGGCTTATTTGTGGATAGGTATACCGTGTTTCTTGGTCCTTTTGCTGGGATGTGAGTGTGGTGTTGATTGTTTTTCTCTATCCTCTTGTTGATGGGTTGTGTACAGAATGGTTACAGATGTTGGTCTCTTCGCTTTTTTTGTGCGGGTATGTTCTGATTCATGAAATGCAGTACTGGTTCGTGCATAAATGTAAAGTGGATCTGAGAGCCATGTACGACCCGCATGGACGGTATCGCTATTGGAATGGAATTGTATGGTGGTTTCATCCACCAGAACAGAATATCAATGCTAATGCGGTTTATCTAGAATTGGAGGGCTGTGGTAGCCCTTTTATGCGCCGTTCCGCCCAGTTTCCCCGGTCTTATATACAGTGTCAACCCATCCATCTATCCTGGCAAGGTTTCTCACGTCTTTGACATTGCATGGCTGTACGGGGTACGTATAACTTTCTCTGTGTTGCTAAGCAATTGTTCACGCCACCTACTTAGTTCTTCACGGCATCGACTGTGTATTGGACCCTCAGCAAGATTTTCCCACCTCTCGAAACGTTCGTGGAGGAAGATCACGAGAATTTGGATGTGTCTGCTACGGCTTCTTTGGATCTGAAAAATGGAACTGGGGATGAGAAAGTTGGAGTTAGTAGTGTGAGTCATGTATAATATTAAATTTTCCACGACCATCGTGGTGTCACCTTTATAGTGATTATCAGCACGTTGTCGAGACATCAGTTCCATAAACGCGCGGGGCTTCGAAATGAGGTGTTGCATGTATTTTTATAATGAAAGTTTCGCGAGCAGAAGAAAGTGATGCAAGAACGTGCGAGTGTGCCTTTGATTGCCAAAGCCTGAAATAGTTTTGATGCTTCAAGGTTTTCACTACTACCGAGGTCTGCTCCGAGTTGCTGTACAGGTACCGCTATTGTCACCACCATCAAATCTGTACTAGCGCGCCGACCCTTATTAGGGGCGTATGGGGTGGAGTGCTTCGCGGAAAAGGCGGAAGCAAATCCTAAATTGACATGGACTATAATTGATTTACATAATAATACCTCGTGGCAAATCGATCACATGACTGGTCCCGGAGCTCATCGTTTTGGGCGACTCGATGGGGAGTCTCATAAACGACCATCACGACTCGCACGACCCACCGTCTGTCCTGGCGACAACCCATAACATTGAATGTCCCGACAGGATGCAGACACAACCACACCCCCCACACGATCTCGGCCCCGTGCAAACACCAATTTCGCTCCTTTCAATTGGCGGCGACAACGCACGGAGACTCAGACACCGACTACGGTTTCACCTCCGTCGTTGCCTCTGGAAACGCTCATCTCGGCATTAACCCCGCCCTCGGCTCCTAATACGGAATATGCTCGTGCTCTGGCGGCGATGCTGCCTACGCTGTCTCCTCTCCCTCCTTACACGCTCCTCAACCCTGTTCTGGCTTCCCTGGCCTCTTCTTCCTCTGAGGCGAACCAGGTCGCGGGATTCGACATCCTCTCTGCGTACTGGGAAAACCACGAAGCCCCCACGCTAGGAACTGCGGATAGGATATCCTTCTTCTCGTTCTTCCTCGGACCCGGCGTAGCGTGGAGTATCGATCTCTGGGAACCCCGCTTCAAGGCCCTGCGGGCCCTAACGAAATACGGCACGGAAATCGTCGGGATTGAGACGGAGTTTCTGAAGGTTCTCAAGAAATGGATCATGGGTGCTTTCGAGGGACTGGGTACGGAGGCTATTTCTCATCGCGAAGAGCTGGAGAGGGAGAGGAGTATAAGTATCTTGTCGGAATTTCTTACGTCGATTGCGGACAGGCCGGAGATTGTGGCGAGGATTTCAGAGACGGAGTTGCAGGGCGTGGTGGAATTCTATGCTGTGCTCGTGGATCGTGTTATTGACACGCCGGGGGAGGCGTCTGTGCTACCGGTTTCGGATCAGGTGTCGCGTACTAATACTCCATCGCGGTCTCCCAATGCGCATAGGCGACATGCTTCGTCGATCTCGATATCTTCTCTGCCGTCACCTACGTTTTCAATGTCGCCGTCGTTACCACCTACGCCTCACCCTTCAAAGCAGCCTGCAGATATCGCGATTGGTCTGTATCTGAAGCATCTCGATTCACAAATGAGGTCTCTTTCTCCCTCGTCATTGACCTCTATTCTCCCGCTTCTGTTCCGTGCCTTGGCCTTTTGTGCGACACCTCTGCCAAGGTTAACGGTCTACTCGCAGTCACTCAAAAAACACCCTTCGGAGGAAAAGATTGAAGGGATGCTCGATTCCCTACTCGCTGGACCTTACTCGTCGTCGTGTATGATGATCTTGAAGCAGCATCTGTATCCTACGCCGGCACTATCGAACGCAAGTCGCATGGAAGAGGCTCAAAATGGTTCCCCGAATCGCAAGGACGACCCGCGTGAGATGTCCAAGGCCACCCAGACGTCCTTTGGTGCGCAGCGCGCGTTGCGGAACCATATCCGTCGAGCCCTCATCACCCGACTTGCGCGTGCGTATATATCTCGACAGAGCTCGTTGAGTTATTCACATACCGGTGCACCAGGGAATATGGATATTGAGAAGGACCTTTTGGAGCGGGCGTGGCCGAAAGACGATGTTGCGCTGAATGGATGGGATGCGTCGAGAGTTGGGAGGGCTATGGCGGGTAGTGTGGAGTCGTGGATTGGGTGTGATTTGCAGGGGCTGGAGGTTGGTAAGGAGAAGGTGCTGGCTGAGGCGGCGGGTACTTTGAAGGATGTTCTTCAGGAGCTTGATGAGCGAGACCCTGGGAGCGGGTCGTTTGAAGAGGAGGAGGCTAATGCTGTAGGCGAAACTTTGTATAGTCTCGCGGGATATATTAACCCCCTCGTGTGAGTTTTTACATGGGTCCCCTCCCCGATGTGCAAGCTTATTCTCTTTCGTTCACAGAAACCCGGACGGTACCCCATTTGTGGTTCCGCTTTCTCAGCCCAACACGGCACCGACACCCTTTCTTCGCATTCTTAGCTCTCTATTGGCACGTGATCATTCTACACATCTAAGACCGCTGCTTTCCTCGACACTCCTCCATATTTCTGATCATCTTACTGATTTGGATGCATCGAGGCTTCCGACTGTGATGTTGGAGCAACACGATATATCTCCGACGTCTCCTGATTGGCTTGACAATTGGAGGACGATGCTGAATAACCCGGTGATGGTTAGTGCTCGACGGCCGATTACGACTGCGTCTGTGATGGCTGCACTTGCGAATGTGTATGACAGTGTGAGGGATATGCGGAGTTATAGGCGAGCGTTGGCGGATGTTGTGTACGAGTACCGTCAGAAGCGTGGGAGCGAGAGCGAGACGGAGGAATGTGATGCGATGTGGAAGATCCTCGGAGATGAAGTCGTCCTGCGGATCGTGGAAGAGGATGAGAGCGTGGGGAGGTTTTTAGATTTGCTGTTCAGTGTGGCGGTGGATGAGGATGAGGACGACGAGGATGCGGATACGGTTTCTGTGGACACGCACTCGCCCTCGCCGCAGATCGGTCCTACGCGGTTGCACAGCGATGTGCAGTACCGGGATAGTAAGGATATTGGGATCCTGTCGATTATATCCTCGTTGACTTCGAGTTCGGTGTCGAGGGCGCAGTCTATTCATCCGCAGACTATTGAAGAGGCGCCTGCTGCTGATACTCGGCCTGTGGCGCATGAAAATACGGCTTCAAGGGCTGTTGGGGCGGTCACTGCGCTGATTAGTATCTTCAGTCAGCTGTCGTTCACACCGTTTTCACTGAGGCCGAAGAACCTGGATCAGGCGCTTTCTGTGTATGATACTCTTATTGATATACTTGGGAGTGTCAAACATGCGAGGGTGCGGCTGACGGTGCTGCAGTTCTTTATGCGATTGCGTGCGGACCGGGATCATAGGGTGTATTTTATGAAGACGGGGTATGATACGGAGGGACAGGTGTCTACGCTGGCCGGGTCTATTGCGAGGCTGAGGGAGGGCAGTGAGCAGGGTGCGCGGGTGGGTCCGTATGTGGCTGATGCGGTGTCTGAGCTGCGGAAGGCGCGCGCGCGGATGCCCCATGAGAGGAGGGGCCGCGGGGCGTCTACGAATACGGGCAGTCGGAGTCGGAGTCGCGTCCCCCCTCCTGCGCTTGCGCCCCCTGTGAAACCCAGGGACCCGCTGTGGTACGTTCCTGAGGACGTCCCGTTTGGGTTTGCAGAGGTGGATACGCCGAGTGAGGCCCTCATCACGTATGATCCATTGGGTCCGGGTCGCGTTCCTGTGTTGCCGATTTCAAAGTACCTTGCTGCGATTTGCGATATCTTGGAGCACGAGAAGAACTGGGAGATCCTGTCGTATGTGCTGTGTCATCTGCCTGTGCAGCTAGCGAACAAGCACCTGTTTTGTGGACCAAAGTGTCGGGGAGTGGTTTCGAGGATGTTGAATATTTTGTGTAATGGGATTATGGAGGGAGGGTTTGCGATGCAGGTTGATCGGTGGCCTGTTGGGTTGAAGGTTCGGGATGCGCATGGGCTGGCGTATCATGTCCTTGCTGTGCTTATCAGTTATCGGCGGTGTTTTGATCTTCGGCAGAAGCATACGCTCGTGGAGGTCTTCCTTGGGGGACTTGACGGGCAGCCGATGACGGTCAAGACGTGTTTGCACTCGTTGTCGATTACGGCGTTTGAACTGCAGTCTTCGACGACAAAGTACATGTCGAGTATCCTCGAGAAGCTCTCCCAGATCATGTCCAATCCGGATATGGCTGTTCATATTCTGGGGTTCTTGTCGATTATCGGTTCTCATTCCTGCGCTGTATTCGAATTTCACGGAAGGGGATTTCAAGATGGTGTTTGGGGTAGCGTTGCAGTATTTGCAGCATTACAACGAGCAGAGCCAGAGTCCTACGGTGTCGTGGGCGCTTTCGCAGCATGTGCGGATACTTTCGTATTATCTTGTGTATGTCTGGTTCTTGGCTGTGAAGCTTCCGGATCGACCGCAGCATATCCCGTATATCACTCGACAGCTCTTGTTGGCGAATGAGGGGAGGAAGGATGTGAATAATGCGACAGAGGTGTGCTTTGACTGGTTGGCGCGGTACACGTATGCGAGTGCTGATCCTCGTCCTGCGAATTCCCTACTGAGCGAGATGATCATGAACCCGACACCGTGCAAGAGTGGTGAGCCGGCGACGACGTGTGAGAAGACGTGGATTGTGGGCAATGCGGTCGTTACGGTCAAGACGCTGACTGAGGTTGGGGCTGGATTGAAGGTGGTGTCGAGGAGGCCAGTCTGGGATTACAAAGTTTTTGTGCCGCTTGGAGAATTCGCCGTTGGTGAGGCCTGGGGATGTTGAGCCTGATGTGTGGTCGGTGCCGGCTGTGGTGTTGGCAGGAGCGGAATCCTCCGAGAGGTGGGAGTTGAGGGATGGCGAGGTGGGTGACAACTTGGCGGATGTTTCTTTTGCTGATTACGATGATTTAGTATGAGGATGTTCGTGAGTTGGTGTCGGTAGAAGAAGGAGGAAGAGGACGACGATTCGACGCCTCGACCAGATCCTGTTACTGGATACGTGTGGAGTCGGACAGCACCGTCGCAGAGGCGAAAAGAGGTGGTTATTGACCCAGGCGTACTTTGCGCTGCAGTTTTCTGGATACCCAAAAGTTCGGTCGTCGTCGCGACTAGTCTCGGACCAAGCTGGACTTCGGCGGTTTCTATCTGCCTTTGACAGGATGCCGGTGATCGATACGCACAAGGTCGGGATTTTGTATGTTGCGCCGGGACAGGTGAACGAGGTTGAGATTCTGAAAAACACGCATGGGTCGCCTGCGTATACGCGGTTCTTGGAGGGGATCGGGCGGTTGATTGAGTTGAGAGGCCAGATTGATGTGTACGCGGGCGGGTTGAACGCGGATGATGATGGCGAGTACGCGTATGCGTGGTGGGACGATATTGGCCAGATCCTGTATCACACTGCGACGATGATGCCGACGCGTCCGACGGATCCCGCTTGCACCAACAAAAAGGCGCACATTGGCAACGACTTTGTGCGCATTGTGTGGAACGACGGAGGTCGACCTTACCGATTCGATACTCTGTCGACAGAGTTTCAGTTTGTGAACATTGTGGTGGAGCCTCATTCATTGGGTGCCATTGCGGCGTTTTCAAACAATTTACACGAGAATGAGTATTTCAAGGTGACGGTGCAGCGAGCGGAGGGGATGATGGAGTTTGCACCCGTGGGAGAGTACCGGCTCGTGTCTGCCGAGAATCTGCCCTTGTTGGTCCGGCAGTTGAGTCTGCTGGCTGACTGGTACGCGTCTGTGTTTTCTCGGACTGGGATGGATACAGAGAGAGTGGAGATGAAGACAAACTGGCAGGAACGGTTGGAAGCTATTGGCAGATTCAAGGACAAGGCTGTATTAGCTGACCAGGATGACCTTGTATTTTAATAACTTGAAACTAATAATCTGTATTACTTATTTGTGTCTATTTATTGCCACTATGCTTCGCTCAGCCATGAGACAGCCCTCCGCGTCCGCGTCCCCTGCCTTGTCAGTGTCTCCTCTCCCGTCCTCGCCGCCCTCCCCGTCACCCTACACACCGAAAGTGTCCTTTGACACGTTCGAGAACCCCGTGGCTTCAATGTTCTCGTTCACCCTCTCGGCTAAATCATCTGCCTATCGACGGACCAAGAGTACCCGCGTCTTCCTGTGTGCGGCCTCGCCTGACGAGACGGGCAACGAGGCGCTAGACTGGGCCCTCGAGTCGCTCGTGCAGGACGGGGACGAGTTTGTCGTGTGTCGGGGGGTGGACGAGGACGAGCTAGGTGCGAAGGACCATGATGTGCTGAGGCACGAGGCGCGGAGTCTGATGCGCCGTATTCAGGAAAAGGCGAGCGAGGTGGATCCTGAGAGGAAGTTGTCGTTGATCTTGGAGTATGTCCCTGGGAGGATTACGGATACGCTCGATAGGCTTATTGCGCTGTATCGTCCGGATTCGGTTGTTGTTGGGACTAGAGGCAGGAAGTGAGTGCTTTGCTTTGACCTTGTGAGTGATGTTGGCTGATTGGGCGGTTGGCAGGGCGTGGCAGAATATAGGCAAGGGTCCTATGGGGTCTGTGTCGAGATATGTGCTTATACATTCGCCGGTTCCTATTATTGTCGTCAGACCGGAGCGCAAGGTGAAGAAGGCGGTACAGAAGAGAAAGGCTGATCCGAAGCGCGGTATACATTTTGATTAAACGTATTGTATTGTCTTTATATTTGCGAACTGTTATTATATCAAGCAGGTCGATTTACTTGCACCGCTCTAATACACTTCCATCTCAAATCAAAATGTACCGAGTGTCTGGGCAGTTACAATCACTCCCTTTCTCGAATCGCCTTTGTCGTTTTGTTTCTCCAGTTCTGCTTTCAACCGCCAAGTCAAATGTCTATCTGATTCCTGGATTTCAGGCGCTCGATCCTTGAGTGGTTGGCGGCCTTGAGTTGCTTCTTCACGCTGAGGATCATCTTGCTAGTGTGACCCATTCTCTGGATGTTCTTCGAGTATGTTATTCGTCTCTTGGAGCGCAATGTTCTTTGTTAACTGTCTCCTGTCCATATGCTGGGATGTCGTTTTATCACCAAACTCATCCCACTTCTTACGTTGTTCAATCCCTTCTTGCTGAAAAATGTTCTGAACACCTCATGCTCTAGATTCATTCTAAACGCGGGGGCGTCGTTATTCTTCACCCGTTTCTGATATTTAGCTAGGAGCTTATCTGTGGCCGAGTCTCCAAAATTGCCTGCTACCTTTGTCTCGGTCTCAAACCGAAAGGATGGTGTTTTATTTCTCTCGGATAATGTGAGAGACGGATTTATGGTGGTTTACTACATGCGGTGGAACTTGACCAGAGTAGCCCGCACTGGAGGAACTCTTCTCGGCCTTCGCTCCATCCAGAGGTCAGATATCCATTGCAGGGGGCTCGTGGGAGGTCTACGAAGCCCTCTGAACTCTGAGTCAGACATGTTGATGCGGTGCAGGGACTTCATTACGACTGGCTGATGAAAGCAACTATTTGCACAGTTCGCATAGCTCTTGGTCGATAACCGTCCGGTCGTATCCCAGCCCCTCGACAGCCAATTCGTACGTTAAAAACATAATGGATGTAGATACCTGGATGCCTGAGACGCTAGATATACACGTTTTCAAAGTCACCTCCCTTGTGCTTTTACGTTTTTTTTACTGACCTCGAGCTGTTGATGAGCAAGTTATCGTCAAGTTGTCGCAGTAACCAATTTCCTGCTAGTTTTTCATCCCGCTGATTCCCCATTACCGTCGCCTGGCCATAGCGCAAGGGTCAAAAAGGCCATCCAGAAGATGGGAAATATGAGACAGGTAAGCAGTAGAGATTTCATAATAATCATGGCAGTAGTCTAAGGATAAGTATGCACTACCATTTATTTGGCTTTCGGGGAAGTATAGAGAGATAAACTCAGTGAAGATTCGAAAGCAAAGACGAGCAACCAAATCGAACGTGACGGATGGGGAATGCAATGAAGGAAAATCAGAGTGAAAAGAGAAACCAAAAAGAATCAGACTACGACGCAGCATATTACGGTGCACTGGTACCCTGGAGTCCTCTGTTCGGTTTCCTTCGTACTAGACGGGTGAGGAGGACTTCTATCAGGACCTGGCACCACCACAGGTTGACCAGTCTGTTGCTTGGTTACCTCTTCGTTTACCTTCGTACCGCATGGGTCAGAGGTACTTCCACCAGAACCAGGCATCCCTCCCGATTCACCAATATGTTTAGTTATCTCTGTATTTACCTTCATATCGGGTGGGTCGGGGATAATTCCGCCAGAACCCGGCATCATCCCAGTTTGAACATTTTGTTGTTTAGTTCCCTCTCCATTCGTGCCGTACGAGTCAGGGGTGCAACCGCCAGAATTCATCATCATCCCAGGGTGACCAATTCCCTGGTCAGTTCCCTCTTTGATCATACCGAACTTCGGGTCAGAAGTACTTCCGCCAGAACCCAATATCATCTCAGATCGACGAGCTTGTTCCTGCGCTGGTGTCAGTTGATACAAGTGAGGGGATATAAAACGCCGTACCTTGTTGTAATTCCTGATTTCACGTACGAGATTGCTGAAAGCTTCATCGACGTTGATCCGTTGCTTTGCAGACGTTTCGATGAATTTGCAGCCAAAGTGCGCCGCAAGGTCGCGGCCCTCTGCGTCAACACATGAACATCAGAGTACTGTGGATGGAAGTCACGTACCGTTCATGCCAACTCGTCGTTCGTATTCCAAATCGCACTTGTTGGCCACAACGATGACAGGGAATGTATCTTGATTCTTCGCTCGAAGAATTTGTTGATAGAAGGTGCTTATTTCTTCGAACGAATTTCGAGACGTGATAGAGTAGACCAAGAGAAATCCTTCGCCCGTACGCATGTACTGTTCCCTCATGGCACTGAAAGAAGCACCCCATTAGGACCGAGATCATAAACGTGATGGTGCAAGATATGATGGAAGGAAATAGATTTTCTTTGGATGAACAAGAACAGATGGTGGCAGCACTGAATGGTGGATAGGGATTGGGGGCCTGGAGGAGGGGTCAAAATATGATCAAACATGAGGCTCACCCACGTTCTTCTTGACCAGCTGTATCGAGCACGTCGAGCAGTGCGACCTCATCATCAATCACACACTGCTTGCGGTAAGAATCTGTATGCTGTATTAAACGACAGGAAAGGGTGAGGCTATTGGAATACGTGCCTTCAATAGTAGGGTCATAGTCTTCCACGAAATGACTTTGAATGAACTGAATGGTCATTGCGGACTTGCCGACACCTGTTACGGTTGAGTAAGGTGCGGCTAGAATAGTACAAGGCTGACCATGTGCTTACCACCACCACCGACGACGACAAGCTTATACTCTCGCAAGAATTGGGCCTGCCAGACCCCGTACCGATTAGATCAAAGAGACCAAGACAAGAATGGCATTACACACCCTAGTCGCCATCCCTCCTTGAGAATTTTTGTGTAATGGGAAGGAAAGGGGAAGGAAGGAAGCGTAATAGGACCATGGTCTTCGGAGGCCTGCATATACCCACGGGAGTATCAGGTGCTGGAAGTACAATCAGTGCATCACTGGCCAGGGTTTACCGCCGGTTTCACTGGGTTCCCACGCCATGTTACCTGCCAGTTATCTGCCATGCCCATACTGGGCAGGTGGGCCCCACGCATTCAACAATTTATTTTGAGGTCGTTTCTTCATTGACCCTCATAAGTCTTGTATATATAAATTGAATATATTCATATAAACCATGCAGTAAAAATTTGTGGCTCAAAACGCGATGAGGATAACGCTATTCACTCAACACACAATTCCCCGCCAAAGTTATCTGCCATCAGCCCCTATAGTTATCTGCCATCATCCCGAGTTTCACCTGCGCGACTGTTCTTTCTCTACTCCTGTCACGTATTCTGTCCCTAGTCATGTCGCTTAGTTGCTACTATCATAGTGACGTGTTTGTGTCAGTCTGGTATGTTCTTTTTGTGATATAATGTGGGTACACATGCTGAAAGAACTTCTTTTCATAAATAGCTCGCATTTTTCATTTTTCAAGCTCTGTCTCCTGCAGCATGGCATGTCCAAGCAGTGTGAAGGATGGACCGAGACCAGACAATGCTCCAAGGAGAGGATGGCCACCAAAGCCACGAGATATTCCATCCCAGGAGGAAAATGGTCAGTATGTCTCATTCCGGAGTTCAGATATTCTACTCACTGTATGCGACATCTGTAGACTCGGATGCAATGACGAATACGAATTTGATGATGAGGAGTACTCGGAGGAGTTTTTGAGGAGGCTGGATAAGGCTGAAAGCAATGCCATAGCCAGTAAGTTGATTCTCCTTTCAATTTCGGAGTTTTTCCTGATTTTCTGGCTGCCTCTTAATGCAGAGCTCAAGCGATTGAAAGCAGAAGCAGACGCCTGCAAGAAATGTCTTGTAGACCTGCAGGAGGCTGTGAATGATCCGCTTAGCTGTACGAACCATTCTTTTCATTGCAACATGGGATACTCATATTTTCCTATAGAACCATTCTTTAATCCACTTGCAGGACCCCTCTCTGATGCGGCGAGTGACGAGGATGAGCACTTGGACTCCCAAAACAAAGCTGAGACACTACATGTCAGTCGCAATACCGGGGATGAGCCAGCGGCGCAAAGACCTAATGCAAATGACGAACCTGGAGGTATGTCGCACCTTCGAAGTTTCCTTGTAAAAAAATTGAGACGTTTTTCACTAGTGTGGTTCGATAAGCCAAAATATATGCAAGACTGGCTGTACCGGTACTTTGCTACAGTTATACACCCGCTTATCCACAATAAAAATGGCGGCAAGATCCTGCTTGCACCGCCAACATTCACAGAGTCTAAACCTTATGCCCTGCCAACACTCTGGATCCATTCTCCGGAACCTGTCATGTCTCTCTCTGTGCATCGGTTTGAGCCCACCCTTCTCTTCCGCCTACATGTCTTGCTTTGGCTTGTACATTTCTTTGTCGATGTATTATCTTGTCCCCAATATGGAAAACCACTTGAAAAGAATGGTGCGCTGCCACCTCATCATGTCGTAGACCTTGAAGATTCATTCTACATCATTGCATGGGCATATTATTGCTGACAGGACTGCTGCTCACATTTTCATGGGTGGAGCCAGCATCTTCTAAACTCATTACCCCCATATGTGCATATGGCTTTTCCTGCTGTGCTCTCCCACAAAATAGGCCTGTCATGCAATGTTGTCAGGACTCTCCGTGTTGGCAATCAGCATAAGATGGGACCATCCGGTGTTCACTCACTACTGTTTGAAATGCACACCCATCGATTCAATGTAATACAGCTCCAGTATTTAGAGTCAATCTTTGAGTGGCTTCACACTCGAGAATCAGCCAATGCTGATTTGCGCAATTACTTTGACGCCTCTATGAAAGTCCCTTTGATCGGAAATTTCAGTGATGTAGATGGCTATGGTGGCTTCATTCCCAGTGAACACTATCTTACTGCCATGTTGAATAAAGCCATTGAACGGGATGAAGCTGATGCCAACCAGCATACATCTTTACTTGAACCAGACCAGCTGGCTATTGGTGACTCTCACAAGGTCTGCCAAGGCATATAAACTCAATGCAAGTAACAACTGGCTGTGACAGTGACAGGGCTTAGCTCTGCCTGTTCTTCCTCCAACCACTCAAGAAGCTTGCCGCTACTTCTTTGCTCAGATACGCATTTTCTCTGTGAATGCAAGTGCTGATGGCAAAGGCAGAGTTGATTATGAAGCATTTGCTCAGGAATGGAACCAGATGGCAGATGGAACTAAGCATGTTTATGTCTCTCCAGAGGTCCTGGCTGCATATTCAAAATCATGGGAGAAAGCAAACAATATCCGAGCAATGGTGGACTTGATGTCTGACGGGCTTGAAGAAGTATGTCGCAGTGGTGAAGTATTTGCAGCAGCAGATCTTCCATTCCCAGATTATTTGGCTGGAGATGCATCATTCACTCATCCAAGTCAAGGTGTGGTTGAAATAGATTCAGAACAGTCACTCCCTCTGAATTTGTCAATTTCGACAGCTCCCACTGCTTCGCATTCTTCCTGATTTACTGATACACTGATATCCACCCATCTCACAAGCGGTGGCACACCTCGATCCACTCCGTCCCCTGCACCTATCCCTGCTACATTTGATGAGCTTCCTACAAGTCCTCATCCAATTCCTGCATCCCGTACTGAACTGGCCCAAAATCAGCCACTAGGCGAGCCTCAATCGGATTCCCTGTCCATAGTTGTTAGAAATGGCAGTTCCAGCAGCCATCAGCACATAGACATGGAAAGAGAGAGCAAGAGAAGACGTACCATACCCACAGAGGAGAGGAAATGCTGTAATATCCATAGCTGTCGACACTGCTGCAATGAGACTTGCCCTAGAGGTAATGACATTTTGCGGTGTCAGATTGCATGCACTATACCTTGCCGATGGTGCAGGAGACTGGATGAATGTCGGGGCATCGATGGAGGGAAAAAATGCATGGCCCCCCAGGCTTGAATTAGTGTATGTCGAGGCAGAGAGTGAGGCAAATGAACAGTGATCAGTGTTGTCTTTTAAATATAACATGAACAAACAAACATCGGTGGTCGCCCATTTTGGCATGCGAAATCTTTCTTTTTTTATTATTTTTCTCCTTTTGGGACCTCCGACACCCAGTGAAATGGATGGAAAACCCTGGCCAGCACTAGAGTTATCAATGATGTCACATGCCTTGCTAACAACGATCATATGGACTGACTTTATGACTCCTCCAAGGCAGGAAGTGAGTGCATTATATGGCTTTGTGAATGATGTTGGCTGATATGGTGTAGGGCGTGGCAGAATATAGGCAAGGGTCCTATGGGGTCTGTGTCAAGATATGTGCTTATCCATTCCCCGATTCCTATTATTGTCATCAGACCAGAGCGCAAGGTGAAGAAGGCAGTACAGAAGAGAAAGGCAGATCTGAAGTGTGGTATACATTTTGATTAATTTTAATATAATGGGTTTATTTATTGTCCTCCCTGAATTAATGGCCGCACAACAATCCTCTTCATGACTCCCATGGCGGACAATGACAATGGCAACGACTGGTCCCTCCTTGCACACATTCAAGAGTACAAGTCCCTCACTGCGCTTTCTCTCTCCAAGTTTGATTCTCCTGTGAAGGGTTTTTGACTGGGAATCGATGTCCAGCCATGGTTTCACCATAGTGATAGTTCCAAGGAGGGAGAGAACCTGCAATTGCGCCTCCTCTTCTTTCGGTGCAAGCATCTCTTGGAATATCCTATCCTCCCTCTGTTTATGTTTGATAAGAATCCAAAGAGGCATAGGGATAATCACCCCCAGATGGAGAAGCTGATGGAAGGGTTCATTGATATTATCGAGGCATTTGAGTTTGAGTGGAGAGATGCCCCAGGGGATCCCCTTGCTGAATTAGTGCATTTGAATGAGCAAGGGATTATTGATGCGGTGATGACTGACAATGTGGCCATCTGGGTGTTTGGCACAAAGACTGTTTGGAGGAACCCTTCGTCCTCTCATCTGAAAGCGAAGCCTTTGGAGAAACAGAACCTGTGCAAGTTCTATGATGGTACTGTTATGGACAAGCACTGTTCCATGATGCTTATGATTCTACTCTGCCATCACGGTCATTGGTGTGATGCAGGAACCTTGTTACGTCTGGCTAAGACTGACTTGACAGAGGAGATCTACCGTGAAGTGACTGCTCACCTGAGCAAGGACTTGAAGAAATTCTTGCCTGAATGGCATACTCGACTTGGTCCACATCTAAAAGACACTTCCTACCATGTTCTAAAAGACTTCCCGGACTTGTCCCTTCTCACAACCCTCATTCATCCATGCATTTCAGCCCAGCCAGCTGAAACATACCCTCCCAGGATATGGATGGACAAAGAACCATCCCTCCCCAAGCTCGCACGTATCTGCAAAAAGTACTTCGAGTGGGGCTGGAAGGATAGAATCCTGGTGAGGTTCCACAGCACTATCTGGGGGTCCATCGCTCTGCGGATTCTGCGACAAAAATATCTTTGTCCCTCCCTTTTGGATAACGAGATATTCAGGCATTTTGGAGGGGACAGTGAGGCTGGGAGAGTGGTAGATAGGATTGTGGGTGAGAGGAGTCATGATTTGAATGATGGGACGTGCGAGTATCGAGTTGTAGTTGATATGAGGATGTTGATAGCTTGGACAGAGGCTGGGTTGGAGGGGATGAGAGAGGGGAAAGGGAGGGATGGGGAGGAGGAGGTTGATGGTGGAGAAGAGGTGTCTAAGCAAGAAAAAGGTGGAAAGAAGAAGAGGATACATCCACAACAACCCTTGCGCATTTGGATACCTGAAATAATGGTACAGCACGCGGATGTGGGATTGGTGAAGGAATATGAAAAGGTGTGAGGAGAAGAAAGGAAAGAAGACGAAGCGCAAATGTCAGCCTGCGGAAGACAACGAGGTGAGTGACTTGACTTGGTAGTTTTTTTTTGGAGAGTGAGGCTGATTTCGAGTCCTTTGTTGCAGGACTCGTCTCCCAGGAAGGTTAGGATGGAAAAGTCAGAGGGGCGGCCGTTACTCTCATTTGCTAAGACTCGGAAGGAGTCTTCTCAGTCGAAAGGAGGACCCTCTCAGGCTGAGGGGGAAAGCACTCGTTCGACTCCGAGTCGCAAGTCTTTATTGCAGGGGATGAAGAAGAAATAGTATTAATTTTGTACACGTTTTTGGTATACCCAGTCTGGATTGTATTTCTGGTTTGCTTTTGGATTGTATACTGATATTTTGCTGGACTCGAATTGTGGGCCTTCTTTCTTGCTGAAGAAAAGATTGAAGAGCAAGTAAGAAGAAGGGTGTTATCTTGGTTTGGGAAATCGTGCAGTTTTAGATTGGGCTTCATCATTTCAGGCAGATTATATCGTACTGTTAACCTTGAAATGGAAAAAAAAAAAAATCGAACACCGATTTTATCATTAACCTCATGTTAGCATCCTATCTTTTCCAAGTCAGGAAAGAGAATAACATGAGATGAATAAACTATAGATGTTTGTAATAGTCATAGCAGTATACAGTCAAGCATAAGTATACAATCATCCTGTTTTTGGAGACACATAGAGGGATCAACTTGTGAAACTCGATAAAGGGTTCGAAGGCTGGGAAAACCAATGACCAGACAAATTGAATGTGACAGATGGGGGATGCAATGCAGGAGAAAAGAATCAGGCTACGATGCACTGAGGTTCTGGGGTTCTCTCCTTGTCTACCTTCATACCAGATGGGTGAGGAGTTACCAGTTTGGTGTTTGGTTCACTCTTCATTTACCTTTGTATCATGCTGGCTATGGGAAGGACCCGATATCGTGTAAGGTTGATGAGCTCATTCCTCAGCCTGCATTGGTTTCAGTTGATACATTTGGGGATATAAAAATGTCATACCTTGTCGTATTTCCTGATTACATGGACAAGATTGTTGAAAACCTTGTCGACATTGATCTGCTGCTTTCCAGACATTTCAATATATTGGCAAGCTTGCGGCCCTCTGCATCGACGCATGGGCATCAGAGTACTGTCTTGGGTTGAAGATGGGGGAGGGGTACCTTTAGTGCTAACTTGTCATTCGTGTTCCAAATCACATTTGTTGGCTACAAGGATGATACAAGGGAAGGTGTCTTCATCCAACTTCACTTGAGAAATCCATGCATAGAAAGCATTAATTTCTTCAAATGATTTTCGAGATGTGATGGAGTAGACCAAGAGAAATCCTTTGCTGACACATATCCACTGTTCCCTCATGATGCTAAAAGCACCCTGTTAGGACTGAGATCATAAAACGTGATGGTACAAGATATGATGGAAGGAAATATGTCTTCGTTGTGTGAATGAGAACAGATGATGGCAGTATGCTGAATGGTGGATGGAGACTGAGACTTGAAGCATGGGGAAAGGGTCAAAATTAGATCAGGAAGACTCACCCAAACTTGTTAGATACTTGATATACATCGATCAGTGTGGGCTCATCATCAATCATGCAGCTCTTGTGAGAAATATCTGTGCCACATTGAATGATAGCCTGGAAAGAGTGGTTATTGGGCATACTTACCAGGGTTGATATAATCCAGGTAAGGACCATGAAGGAACTGAAGAGATAATGTCATTGCCCCAACCTCTGTTATGTACGGTTAATTAAGGTGCTGCTAGAATAAAGGGATGATCCATGTACTCACAATCATCACCGATAAGGACAACCTTATATTCTCTAGAGATGCCCATCGTACCCGTATGTATGGTGGATATGGGTACCGTATATACGGGCCCATACCCATACCATCAGGCCCTCCAGAGGCTGCTATACGGTACGGTATATGGTATGGATCTGGTCCGTATAACCTGTAGCATAATATGGCTTTACAGCCATAAATACAGCATCTCATTTAGGCAACAGCAGTGCCTGGCTGCCATGTATGACTGGGGTATTGTTTTGCCTCTCCGTCATGTTCAGTCATGTTGATATGCTTTCCCTCCCGTCTTTCGCTTTGAATACCTTTTCAAAACCTTGGCCCTCAAAGTGTACACTAGAAAAATACATTTCTACTTATTCTACCCCCAAATATGACCCCACAACTCATTAGAAGCCTGTTCTAATGATCTTCAAGTACTGATTATATTCAAATTTGATCACTTCCTTCTCCCTCTTGGTCATTCATGCAAGTATTATTCAACTGAGCCCCTCTTGCCTCTGTCAAAACCTTGGACCCAAATTCCGTGACAACTAAATTAATGTCCCTTTCTTCAGGTGGTAAATTGTGTCTGCTATGGCAAAGAAAGGTGCGTTATTCAGCTTGTGTTGATGTGCAAATGGACTAAACACGATCTCTACCCTTTACAGATCATTTTCGATGAGCTGCACTATTATTCATGCCTAACCATGCATGGGCTGTCAGCTGGCAGCCTTTGGTATGAACTTGTTAATAACATGATCCTGTTCATGAGTGTTTACACTAATTTTGCCTTGCCTACTATATTTATTATACCAGGATTTGCCCATATGACCTGTAGTACCATATTATGGCTGTACTGTATGCTGTACTGTACCATCGAGCACTCCCTAATATTCTCACAAGGTTTCAGCCAAGTAACAGGATCTTTCATCATCAGGCTTTATTAGCAGGAATATCTCTCGCAATTAGTCATGCACCTTGCTTATCCCCTCTACTGCTTTATGTCCCCTGTAAACCTTTGATCCACAACATTTGTACCTTTGCCCCTGAAAATGTGTTGTATGGAGTGATTTGCCCAGACCATGACTTACTGTCTATTCTCATATTTGTACTGAAGGAATGTATCTGCCTGGTTGAGTTCCGGATTCCCTCCAGCAAATCAGCGACAGATTTGCAGTCTGCATATGCTGCCCATCTTGCCAGGAACGTTGTTGCCAAGCACAATGCAACTCATAGCATATTTCTTGGAGCTGTGGATTGTGTCCCTCCTCCTGTCCCACCTGACCAATATGCAGATCTTGTTGCAACTGGCTCTGTCACTTCCAAGGTCTGTACTGATATCTTATCACCTGAAACTGGGAGCAAATGGTGACACTCCCCTCCTCTGCCCTTAACAGCTGATATTGATGATGATTCTGAGTCTCATCATGGCTGAGCCAAAGTGCAAGAGCATATGTGGTCTAATTTGCAACAGTTAGTTCAATGTGCCTCTGGTTCCCAGATGTGGAATCTTGTGTGTAAGTGGAGCTCCCCAAAATCATGGTCTTCCCCCATATCTGTTGATGATTTTGAATATACTTTTCATCATCACATGAATCCACCTTCTTCTCCACCTTCTCACATAGATCCTCTTCTCAAAAGTGTGGCTGATCTGCTTGCTGAGAGCTTGCCTGACCACACAGAAGATCACTCTCCACTTCATTCTTTCTCATGAGTACTTGTTGCTGATGACTAGTGTTGTGAAAGGCTGGGCTGGGCTGGGCTTTTGAGGCTCAGGCAGGGCTTGAGCAGGTTCAGGCTCAGTACATTCATGAGCCCAAGCCTTACAAGGCTCAGGCTCAAGCCTGGGCTTCTGACTCAAAATATATTTCAGCTCATTGGAGTCATTATATGTTAGTATCCATTAAGATATCATTTTGTGAGTTTAATATACTATCTATTGAATCACACAGAGCATCTATGAAGCCATTTTCACTCAATTGGACTTGTCATCATGAAGAAAACATGCTGTGATAACATCACTACCACTCTCAATCAATAAAAACTTGCACATAGATAAGTTCTATCATGAAAGCATGGTAAATCAAACTATCAGATAATATTGGAATGTGTTATATTCATAAGAATTGACTTTAAGAATGAGTATTAACCACCTCTCAAGCCCAAGCCTCAGCCCAAGCCTTGAGCAAGCCTTACTAGCAGGCCGGGCTTTTCAGGGCCAGGTCAGGCTGGGCTGGGCTGGGCTGGGCTTAAGGCTTGAAGCCTGGCCTTTCACAACACTACTGATGACATCTAACATGGTTTGGACCATCTTATTAGTAATAGGGCTAGCACCACCCCTGAGATTGATGAAATCAGTCAAAAGGATGTCCTTGCTATTCCCATTAAGGAACTTGTTCACCTCTTCAACTATTGTCTGCAGAATAATGAGATTCCCCATGCCTGGCTTCTCAGTCTCTTGACAGCTGTACCCAAGAAGAATAGAGACCTCACCATGCCAGAGAACTACCATATTATCAGACTTCAGTCATGCTTGACATGCTTGATGAAACTCCTCACACTTATCATCGACTTTTGTGTGACAGAATGGATGGACAATGCTAATATTCTTCCTTGCTCCCAAAATAGCTTCTGTCATGGAAATTGCACTCATAATAACTCCTTCATTCTCCACATGGCTATTGATCATGCCCACACTCAGGGCCACATTTTATATGTCACCTTTATTGATCTTGAAAATGCCTTTTCTTCAATGGATCTATCTGTTCTTTGGAATAAGCTGCATTGCCTTGGCATTGGAGGCCTCATGTATGACTGGATTCAGCAAATGTACAGAGATATAAAGTATGTCATCAAGATTGGCAGGTCTTGCCATGCCATCTTCACTTCCTCCATTGGTGTTCTCACTGGAGACACTTAGGGATGCCCACTGTCACCATACATATGGTGGATATGGGTACCATATATATGGTCCCGTACCTGTACTGTTGAACCTCTTAAAAACAGTTGTATGGTATGGCCATGGCCCATATAACCCATAGCATAATACGGGTTTATGGCTGTAAATATGGCATCCAAGAATAGCAATAGATTTCTCCCAAAACGGGTGAGTACACATCATTGTCCTAGCCATGCAGGGTTCTTGTCATCTTTCCTTCTCATTTTACACCCTTATTTTCAGTAATTTCAAGTTCTACTATACATTGTTGATATCCTGATTTATTCTGACACCTCCTTTTTTCTTCTGGTCATGCATTTTGCCTAGGTATGACAATGATATCCACACACAAATGACTAGGAAGTATGGGGCACAAAGCAGCCATTTGTTGACCACCACTATCTCTAATGTGGTGACAGTGACAACTAACACCCTCTCTCTTATGATGCTGGAGATGCTCCTTGCATATCTCTGACCAAGTATTAAATCATGTCTTGCTATACGACATCCTATTCAACTCACTGCTTGACATCTATGGCAGTATGGCAATGTTCTTAACACATGGCTTTGTTGCGGCTCTTCTGTGTGAAAGTCTCAACTTCTCTGCTGGAATATTCAACCCTTTTGTATGATGGTAAGCCTTAAGATATGCACAAGATCATAGAGCCTTAATTTTTTTGACAAAGAGAAGTGCTAATATTATGGCCTTACCCCTATTTTCCTTATCTTATCCTTATCTCCCAGACCTACGATATTCTGCTGGCACACCTCCTATCCATTTACCCAGTTGCCGCTGATGTGAATGAGATGCTCTATAGGTGCTAGAGCAATGCCTCATCCTGCAAGTACTTCGGGAAGAGGTGGTAGTATGAGTCAAAGGGTGGATTGCTGAGGTAATCTACTTCTAAACTTGGACTAAACTATCTGTAACTACTAAATCTGGCTAACTGAATATTACTATAAAGAAAACATAATCCAAGTTCAAAACGGGGTACACCCCATCACCACATCTCAGATGACCAATGTACCACATGTGCTATCATGCTTCTCCTGATGGCATCATGCTTCCAAGTGGTTCAGCAATACAGACTGCTAGTTGAAGGTGGTCTACAGGATGGGGACTGCTCAGACGGAGTCCCGTGTCGATGCAGGTGATATGTGCTCTTTACTCTCATTTGCTGGGGACACACTTCTTTCAGTATCCTCACTCCTCATTTGCTACAGAGTGCACTTCTCAATGCACACACCCTAGTAGGCACTGTTATTAGTACAAGTCTAGCATGTATTTAAGCTAGCCTATGCTGTGGCCTTAGACCCCAGCTTTGGCTAAGGTTATACACTCCTAACTCTTATAAGCTCCTTGCTTTCACTATTTAAGTGATGCCCTAACTTCTCACAATCTGCCAAACACTCTCTAACACTGAATCACAGAATGCAAGTGACAGGATAGAGATCATTGTTACAATTTTTCTTTATCTTATCTGGACTTGACAGTGCTTATACTTTATCTTGCTGCATGCTTAGGAGAAGAGCAGTTATTCTAGCATGAGCTTGTCCTACCAGTCCCACACGAACACCATGGACTGCTATGCTTTACTATGGCTCGTTACAAGCTGCAACACTCTAACACATTAATAGACGAGTACCAACAGACAGTCGCATGTTGTTATGTACTAACTCTAATCTGAACCAAGGCTGATCTCTATCCTGTCACTTGCATTCGGTGATTCAGTGTTAGAGAGGCGTTGGTTGATTGTGAGAAGTTAGGCGTCACTTATAGCGAAAGCAAGGAGCTTGTAAGAGTTAGGAGTATATAACCTTAGCTGAAGCTGGGTCTAAGGCCACAGCGTAGGCTAGCTTAAATACATGTTAGACTTGTACTAATAATAGTATCTACAAGGGCACGTGCAGTGAGAAGTGTGCCTTTCAATGAATGAGGAGGGAGGACACTAAAAGAAGTGCACTCCCGACGAATGAGAGTAAAGAGCGCATGTCACCTGTGTCTGCATGGGACTCCATCTGAATGGGCTGCATCCTGTAGACCGCCCTCGACTAGCGGTCGACTCCTGTCCAACTACTAAGAAGCATGATGGTGCATGCAGCTTGTCAGTCATCCAGGATGCGGCAGCTATGAACTGGGGTGACAGCAACCAGGTAAACAGGTAAGGAGTGTGCTGGTGGAATATTGTGGGTCCGAGAGATAAGATAGGCAGGTCTGGGGTTCTGAGGGATAAGGATAAGATAAGATAAGAAAAATAAGGGTAAAACTGTAATAATACCCTCCGACTAAGACTGTTGTCCCGACAGTCCTTTAGATGTACTCACTCCCTGAGTCGAGGGAGTTAGTAGATTCTATATCTGATTCATAGTCCCTGTTTTGTTCCAAAGCAGACATGCCCCATTCTTCTAGAGAGAAGCTGGGGTCGGTCTGAGTCATTAGAGGAGACATGGAATGCTCATCTTTGAAGATGTCTTCATCTGTGTCTGATGAATAAAAGCCCTGTTCGTTGAAGGATAATGGATCGGTATGATTCCTATTTGAGATTGGAAAGAGTGTTGGGTTCTCAGTTGAAGAGCCAGGAGATGATATGGTTATACATCCCCCTTTGTTTTCCAAGTGTTATAAATTGTGATCCTCTACGTGGTCTTCTTTGTTCTCATATTGTTTGACAAGTTCTTCAGCATGGGCGAGATTGCTCCTCTTGACCTAGGTAGCTTCCTCCACTGGGTATCCCTTCCACTTGACCAAATATTCTGTTATGGTCTCTGGCTGTGTCCTCAGCTGATGATACAGTCATGGTCCTGAAGTAGTTCTTCTACTTCGTATTTTTCTTCACCTTCCATGAGTTCCAGCTCAGGTGGCAGAGGTTTTTCCTGGTTGGAAAACTCCGGAGGGACATACAAAGTTAGGTATCGTTCGTTGAACTTGTTATGGATCTTCCATCCTGGCGGTAGCTTTAGTTCGTATGTGGAGGGTCCCTTTTTGGAGATTATTTCAAAGGGGCCAACACGTTTGTTATCTAGCTTTTTCGCCGGTCGGGGAAGGTGAAGGTTGGTTGAATCCAACCAGACTTTGTCATCTGGTTGGTATTCCTGCACAGGATGAGTGTGTTTGTCATAAGCCTTTCTCATAACCTTGGCAGCTTTATTCAGAGAGTGTTCCACTTGTTTGCATACTCTCTGGAGGCTTTCAACGAAGTCAGTTACCGATGGTGTTTCCGACGGCCTCACCATGGTTGGGTGAATCTCCCCATCTCGTCCAAAGACTATTTTGATGGGGGAGAAGCCCATTGCAGAGTGTTGGCAGTTGTTGTGAGCGAATGCTGCCCACTGCAGCCATTCACTCCAGTCGTCCTGTTTGTGGTTAATGAAAACTCAAAGGTACTTTTTGAGTTCTTGGTTAACCCATTCCGTTTGTCCATCCGTCTGAGGGTGATAAGCCATTGACGGATTTCCTTGAATATTCATCATTGCGTATAGCTCGGTGATGAATTTCGATACGAATTGGGGTCCCTGGTCAGAGATGACTTTGGAGGGGGTGACCCCAAATCGGCAAATGATCTCATCACATAGGATTTTGGCCCATCCACTCGATGAGAGTTCTTTCGTGCATGGAATCAGCAAGATATATTTTGAGAATCGGTCTACAATGACTAGCACTGCATCGTAGCCCTTAGATTCTGGAAATCCAGTGACCATATCGACTGAGATATGTTCCCAAGGTCAAGATGGTATGGCGTTGGGATGTAGCAGGGCTGCCTTCCGCTGCATGTTGGTTTTTGTCCTTTGACACACTTCGCATCCTCATATGTAGGTTTCCACATCTCTTTGTAGTTTAGACCACCAGTAATCTCTTAGGATCAATTCCTTGGTCTTTTCGATTCCTGGGTGTCCTGCTGAGATGTGGTCATGGTAATGGGAGATGAGCTCCCCTTGTAGTGTGTGATCACGAGGGACGTAGATATATCCATCATAGTGGAAAAGGTGGTCCTTTTCGATGACCCCCTTCTCATGACTGAGGCTTGAAGCAATTCCTTTGTCCCATCATTGCACCTGTAGCTGCTACTTTGATGCATCAAACACTATTAGTTGATAGTTAATTGTGATACATCAGGAGTGTCAGTTTACATCCAGCCCATATACAGTAATTCCATCAGGATGACAAAGTGGCTTAGTAAGCTTCCCAATCTGTGTCAATAATGGCATCATTAGAAAAGAGAGCAATTCCGGGAATTGAACCCAAAACCTCAAAAATAAATCCAATAATGTCACAGGACTTTCTCGAGCAGGCATGCTAACCACTACACCATACTGGCATTATATATCTTTTCATCCCTTAATATTCATGACCTCATATTGATGCCCTCCCTTTGCTCCGCTCTGGTGCGCTCTTTTGCCTTTTTAGGCTCCCCAAATCAGCCCATCAATTTTGGCTGGATCCAGTGGCAGTGCCGCATTTTTAATACCCAAAATAGGGGCTATTTTCCGGTCAAAATACCTATTGGGCTATTCTCAGGCTACTGGCTGGGCCAGGGGATGGCACTATAATCTGTATAGACATAAACAACATAAAATAGAGCCCTCTAATGATGCATAGGAGCCCTGTATAGTGGGATAAAAGGGTAATATAATGAAAATCGCATAAATATTCGCTTTTGGGGGCTGCTGCATGCATTGGATCAGCTGGAGGACTTCACCAATCGATTCCCTGACCTTGAAAACACCCAAACGACCCCTCCACAGTACTTTTGGCACACTTTATTCCTGGAGATAAACGAAAATATTCGCTTTTTAGGGTGCAGCATGCTCCAGATCGCTTTGAAAACATTACCAGTCGAATCCTATGCTATAAAAACCCTAGAATACATCCTCCTTCG